TTTTTTTTTTTTTTTTTTTTTGCATACCTCAATTAGTTTGCTACCTTTTTCCAGTGTTCATATATATATGATGCACTCCTCCTATATACCTTACTTTGTATCTGTCATGCTATTTCTATAGCGTGCAAGATGGGAAATCTTATATGACGTAATGCTGTCTTTTGATGTTCTTGTACTATATACAACATTTGAACTATCTTTTTTTTGAGGTGTTTTTAGACGAGTAATCCATTGCTCCCCGCTGAATCTATTTCCGCTTTGCTTCCACCATATATATCTACCGTATGGTATGTATAAATCGAAGAGCTGGGTGCTGGTACGGGCACCTACGATCACCCGCTGGAAGCTTCTCCAAGTTGTTCTCCAGGTGCGTATCCCATAACCAGATCATTTTACGTTCAAGACCGAGAAAACGAGGCAACCGAAGATGGGGTGAAAGACCCGATTCGCCATGCAAGAAATGAGATCGATCAAAGACCACAGCACAAAGAAAACGTAGTACGATACTTGTTATAAACATGGAGCCGGCGCACATGTACAACGAATTATCTCCCAAGAGCTGGTCAGCACAGATCCAAGCACATATAAAAACACAAAGAGAAAGATAATGCTCCGCTCAGCAGTATGCAAATCAATCGCTGATTGTTAAGTCGAAAATAGCCTGATGAATCTGACGTGGGAGAAGGGGGAGTAGATAAAATCAAGGTGGAGCTTTCGAACACCGAGCACCCGCTGAAACAAAAAGATGATAAATCCAATCAATAAAAAAAAAAAGGAAAAGTGGAGTGAGTGGCGCTGAGCTCGACCATACAGGAGCTCAGTACAATGTTTCTTCATGTTGGTAGCTGCTACCTTCGCAGCAGGCAGATAACTAACCCAGTGACCTCTACAATTCGGTGTGTATGGCGTCGTCTGCCCCTGCCGTCGCTTGCTTTTTTCTATCGACCAGGATCTTCTCGAGAGTGTCAAGCCTCTCCCGGGTCGTACGTATAGCGTAGTCCATCTCCCGGACCGACATCTTCTCGTTGTCTAACTTATTGCTGTAGTCACGACCACTCTGAACCTTGCGGGCCCTCTCATGCGCCCGTAATTCGCCTGGTCTGTTGACAGTTGGGAACGCCAGGCTGTCCATCCCCACGCGGTCCTCCAACCAACCCCACAGTTCACTCTCTTCTCTTCGCCACATCTCTTCATATGCGGCCAGTCTCTGGGGTAACGAATAGCCAGGACATCCAATTTCGTGTGACAACATCGACGGCTGCGATGGAGACCGGAAAAAGATGAGGAAAAGTAAGATACCAACGACCAGAACAGCTAAGTTTCCGTTCCACAAGGGTTTAAGAACACTAGTTACAGGTTCTAGTATTCCTCGGACTGGCTCGAGAGGTCCCCAGTTCTGTGCTTGTTGCGCGCTCGTATCGCTAGCTGCCTTAACAGCGGCTGCAGCTGCTTCCTCAGCGGCTACATCGCCCTTCTTGCGGCGTCCTTTTCCTTTCCCAGCTGCCTTGGAGGCTACGCGGCCACGAGGTGTAACAGCCACCCTCAGCGCATTGAGCAGCTCACTCCCAAAACTCGACTGACCATCCATAGCACCTTTTTCAATTGGACCTGAGGCAAATCAGCGTGATGCTCTTGCGCTCTGAGAATAGTCGCGGACTTACCCTTCAGCCAACTTTTCCCGGACCACTCAATCGTGCATGTCATTAAGAAACGCGTCTGATTATTTGCAGCCCAAGTGAATAGGTATTTTGTTTTGGTGCAGAATACGTTACCACTAGGCACGTCAGGAGTCTGAGTGCTTAGTGTAACGAGAACTGCCTTCTCCAAGTCTAAGAAGTCCAGGGTTTCGGTGCTGATACACTTGGTTTGCCTAGGGCCGATAGATCCATTGAGTGGTTTAATGTACGAGTACTGCCTCGTCCTGCTTTCATTGGTAAGACCACCACCCTCGAGATCGAATTGGAGCTCGCCAGATTTCTGGTTGTCTACAAGAAATTTGGGTATGAAGTTTGTCGACTCCGGTCCAAAAACATAAGAATAAACCTTCCCAAGAGGGGCGGGGATAATTTCATCTTTGACCACTTTGTCGTACTGGCCGGCAGGATCAGTGTACGCTGTGGGGGCATGGGTAGCAGGACCGGGAAAGTCTTTGCCCGCATCTTCGTTCGATGGTTTGCCACCTTTAGAATCACCATTCGTATTCGACGTTGCTGGTACTGTACCATTGACCGGGAGGTTCCCGGAGGCTTGTCGGCTGAGGCCTTTGATTGGCAGTGACTTATCACTTCCATTGACGCTGGCATCGCCAGGCTCGAAGAAACTATCGGCGTTATCGCCGTCTTCATCCTCATCATAAATCTCGTCTTCCTCTTCACTTGCGGCGTCGCTCTCCTCCGCAGCCTTCTCCGTTTTGTCCCCTGTACCCTGGTCGACTCTGGTGCCATTTACTGAACTTTTGAGGGCCGGGTGGTTGATCTTCCATATATTAACCATCAAGTCGTAGGTGGACTCTCGGCTGAGCAAGCTTCGAAAAGTGTGGCGAGCATGTAAAGTTTGAATAGCAATCGCGTTTGGAAACACCATGGCCGTCGACTCTTTCTCGACCGCAACAATCTCGTCAAAGCTGATTACTAGGGTCGTTACCCAACCCAAGATATTACTGGAGAAGCAAATGTGGCCCTCCGATACATAGATTCGTCCTGCCAAAATGATCTCTCGTTGCAAGGCACAGCTGTAATCCTCAATCAAGTAATCATCTTCAGGGACACTACGGAACAGCTGGTGGAAGTCTCGGTTTCGCTTTTTGCTAGCAACCGCAAACCCAGTCAATCGTGGCACACTTGCGTTCCCACCTGGAATGCCTAGTGCCATCATGCTGGCCCCAGCGGCAGCAGCGGTTGATGTAGTCGCAGCCGAGGAGCCTCGATGACGCCGCCGAGTTAGGCGGCTACGTACGCTCCCACTACGAGAAGGTCGGACGTTGGGCTCACCATCTAGTATGCTACCACTTGGAGAGGTGTGGTCGCCAGTAGCGTCTCTCGGAAACGAGCTTGTAGATTGAAGTTCCAGACTTTCATCCGATGGTGGAACCACCGAAACTTCAGACGGCTTTTCGTAGGCTATGGTGACCGCACGCGCAGCATGTCGATCCTCAAGCCTTGCCGCCTCCTCATCTCGCTGATGGACTGCCGCATTTTTGCGTTTCTCGGCTGGTATTTCCGGCTTCGTAATAACGACCCCGTCGGGTGTTGAGACGGATCCGCCAGGCGGGACAGCAATGTCCAAGTGGCTGAAGTCAAGATCCCCAGACCCTAATGTCTCGATTGCTAGTGGCTTTTTTTGCTCGGACTGGCTAGAATCCTGCGCCTCTTTCTGGCTACTTCCCCCGTCTTTGGCTGAGGCATTCTCAGACTCCATTTGAGAGGGGTTGCGGGCCTTCGACTGTGAATTGAGACTGCTGCTAAGTGTCGAAGCTGCGTTTTGTGCCGCAGAAAAGACGGAAGAGAAAAATCCGATTTGTTGGGCGCCAGGTGTGACTTTTGAAGCCGCCTTCGCTTCCTCAATAGTTGGGCCCAGAGCCGATACTGAGTTTGACAACTTACTAGGTTTGTGGCTGACCGAAGAAGTAGATCGCACACGCCGGTGGGAGATCATATTCCCCGATGGGCTCACGACAACTCCCACTGGCAGTGGATCTTTCCCTTTCAGCGAATCAGGCGATTCAGTGACATCCGGAGATGCGAAAAGATGCGCAGCCTCAGTTCGAGGAGTAGGAGGGGTCACTGTAGTGTGGGGGGCCGGGGTAGTACGGCGGGGAGGTGTGCTTGGCGCAAGATGGTCTGAGGGCTGAACAGATTTGTCTTCCTTGATATCCGTATGAATTAGAGGCGGTAGAGGCGGTGGGGATTCGGCGAGAATGCTTGGAGCTTTCTTCGAGGATGTACTGCTTCTCCTACTGCTTCCAAATAGACCGCCTTTCTTGCCCTCGCTTGGAGTGGAGGATGCTCGATCGCGACTGGAATCTTTCTTATCCTGGCTCGAGCTGAACGCACCTTTCCACCGTCGTCCTGGTGAGACACTTCTTTTCTTGCCTGTATGATCTTCTGGGACACCCAATGTCGAGCTCGGTTGAGAAGTCGGCCTGAAGAGATCCGTGTCTGCGTTGGACTCCGAATGGCCAGCGACACTTGGCCCACTGACAGCGGATTCAACATCGGCCTGACCACCATCAGTATCATTGGCGTCCGTGGATGTCGTCTTTATTAGCAGCGAGGAACTTGTGTAGAAGCCAGTATGGGAGTTTTGCGAAGTGAGCGGGGTCCTGTGAAGAGCGTGACTAGTTAAAAGTCTGCTATTATTTTCGGCGGCGCCAGACAATCAGGGTAAATGACAACTCACCGATCCGGTTCAGAGTCGTCAGTCAAAATATTGACAGCATCGTTTGGGACGCTTTGGCCAACATTCCTGGGTGCTGACAGAGGCCTCTCCGGAGGCTCATCCGGTCTTTCTTGTATATTCTTCTCTTCTATTTCAAATTGAGTCGGTAGCTCTTCCGCGTGTTTTTGGTTTTCCTTCTTCTTGCGCTTCTTCCTAGTGGCGAGGAGTTTTGAAAATCCGCTAGGGCCAGCCTTTGCGGAATCAGTTCCCTCTCCTGCCTGAGACTTAGGTCTGTCGGAAGTGGAGTCGATCGACGACGAGCGGCCATTGCTTCGACTAGAGCTCCCAAGTGCATCGTCAATGGACGTTTTCGAGCGGTTAATTCTGCTAAAACTCTGCGCATCCGACGAGGAAGCCGGGTGGGCCTCGGTTTTTAAGGAGTGGTCGTCCATGAGAAACCGGAGCGAATTGGATCGGGCTGACGTTTAACGAAAGAACAGGCTAGTTGAACAATGAAAATGGCAAAGGGAAAGAGTTGTTACTAGTGCAATGACTTTGGAATGTCGGGAATATATGCGCATGGTAGAGTACAGAGTGTCCCGCCTCGAAGCAGTTCTTGATAAGAGCAGCGTATGCAGCTACTAGTAGACGGAGGGGGAAGATGCAGACGGTCGGGGACCCATCAGTTTTGGCCTCTCTCCTTTTTTGGGCGGAAGGTATAGAAGTAATAAGACAGCACAAGAATGCTAACCAACGAGAAAAACAGGCCCCAAGTTGTGATAATAGGGGAAGGAGACGGAGAAGGGGAAAGGAATAAGAATGACGAAGCGATCACCAACATCGCACTCCGCAGTCTGAGGTAAAGGTAGCTTACCCGCTTCAAGCCTAGCGGCTGAGCCTTACGGGATGACTCAGCATCAGGGGTAACATGACGATCATTAACCCTAGTTTTATCTGTTCGTATCGATGGACGAAAATAGCTGGGTTTGAATGATGGCAGCTAATTATGAGGTACAATACTTTAACTACGTACTATGAATGATCGATTACATCTTCATCACCTATCCGGCTTGTTTTGATGCTCAAGTATTCACCTACAGTTTGTCTAAGCGCCAAGACGGATCTATTAATAGACGTGTCATCCTGTTGTGCTATTTAAAACACCGACAAAAGAAACACGATAATATTCCCGTCTCGACGTACGGAGTATTGCACAATATGCAGTGGTCAATCATAGTAGAGCTTTTTATTTTGGCTTTAATTTAATACCGGCTATCAGGGGCTTATTCTTATGTAGTAGAACCCCATACGGAGGTATTCAACTTCCGACCCATCGAACAGTGCTGCTGCGAGAATTCAATCCTTAGCTCCATTAACTGCTTGTGCTAAATTATGGCTGTACAAAATTAAGTTCATATTCCTGGAAAGGGTTAGATTGGTCAATAGGTGGGCATCGTATTCGTTTTTCAGGGTGCCAAACGAGTCTTGTCTCATTGTACCCGATTTCGTAAACTCCTTTTCTCAAAGTTCCATACCTGGAAAACCTCTCTAATCAATCGTAGTACTTTCCACATATGTCCACTCTATTATTTTTCTCAATATCCCCAGCCACTCCATGTTGGGCGTTCGGTAGAAACTATTAGGCCGGAATCTAGGCCAAGGTCTAGATATAAATATCCTCACACATGTCTAACCATCAATAATGCGGACATGATTCAGGGACCTACATAATTTGAGTGACTAGTAAAGTATATCTGGCGTTATGCTTTGCACCTAAATAAAGCAGGGAACTACTCCCTATCACACACGGGGGTTAGCTTGCTCAGTGAGCTACCAAACAGTCATGGACCGAGAGCCGTAAGAGGGGTAGGTGTACCTATCTAGTACTAGTGGCAAAAGGACAAGCATGATGCATAGAAGCTATAATCCGCGTTAATCCCTTAAGGCGCCCCCCACCCCCCAGCATACTCTGTACTCTGCATCTGCGAATTATCTATATAAAATGTCTGGTATAGAGTTAAATTAGAGAGCCGTTCCTCTAACAAATCCTCGATGGTCTAACGGTCATGATTTCCGCTTGTCATCTTATCAAAGACCAAGCGCGGGAGACCTGGGTTCGACTCCCAGTCGGGGAGATTATTTTTTGTCCCGTTTGTCTATAGGTCGCTCCATTCATCGTGTTTTCTTTCTTTTCTTCTTTTTTCCCCCTTGGTCTCATTCTAAGGTAGATAATGGGTGAATATTGATTATGATAATAGATTAACATAACAATTTTTTTATCAATATGCATTCTTTGTCTATGAGACGCAACTTGTGCGGAAGAGCACTATTGTAATGAATGTATAATCAAACATAGAAAGCCGCAAACTCTATTGCATTTGGACTATTTGTTTATCTCAAAGCTGATTCTATAGATTAATTGGAAGGATATTTCAAAATATCTCCTCTCATCTGTTTTGCTGAATTGTGATCAAGCTCCGGACTTGCGGTGCAGCGAATTCGACTCAACAAAGAGGTAATTCTTTATTTTAGCCCTAACCGCTGGATATTGGATCAAGAAAGTCTCTCTTCATATCGAGCCTTTGGATGTTAACAATGGGGTGTGACTGACAAGCTACTATGCGGACATCTGACAGTTAGAGCACAGCACAGAATAGTGACGAATAGTCGATTCAGGCCATAAAAAAGCAACTTATTAGGCAGATGAGTCTTTTAACCTACCACTACTCCCCAGTGCTGTCAGGTAAATACTTCATAGCATCCAACCAAGGCGAACCAAGTATCATTATTCCAAGTAACATGGCTCAGTCTTGAGAGAGTATTCTCCACCATTAAGCTCCTGCTATTCATTACTTTTTTGGTAAACAAGCGTCCCCAACACTCCACACAATAATTACCAATGATATCCCGCATATCAACGTTCCCCCCCTTCGTCCGTCCGTAAAGGTACAAGAGTACAATTTTGCGGCTCCTTAAGCGATGTATCTTCCTCCTCACATTTATTTCGATTTTGCTTGTGCTTCATGGACTCTAACATGTCAGGGCATATGTTGAGCGGTTTGTTCCGTATGTGACCACAATGGAGGTAGCTGATACCTAGAAACAAGCACATACTGTTGTGGGCTTGCTTTGCCTCCTTAGAAAGTGGGGTTTAGGAGGAGATGATTGATGCTAGAGATACTCGTATGAAGAAAAGTCTCGACTGGCTTGCTGTTGAATTGTAGTTCAGGAGTCATCTTATCTAACTCGTGTTGAAGGAATGGAAACTCCTTGACTCCTTGAAAGAGACCACCAGTATAATCAGAGAAACCAAAGGAGCAGAAAGGGTGAAGTCAACTATCTGACATTTGCGTAGAACAATGAATTGAATTCTCTAGCACTTATGTAGTTAACTATGTTGAGACCTGATCTTCTGAAAGGAGCCGCCAACAATGGTGGTAAATATCCCCTCAGAATAGAGAGAAAGATAGCAATACTTTTGTTGGGTAGGTGCCTAGGATATCCGCATGAGTAAAACTTTCAATATGGGTAATAGTAGTAGTTCTAGAAAGACTTAACCCCATGTAACCCTAATAGATGTATGCACATACGAATGATGAGTCTCTAGGTGCTGAGGCTATGCACAATTCATTACTAGGGATATTCTATTTCACCTCACACTAGAGTCACTTACCTATCATTTGTGCAAGTAACAAAGAATGTGAGACAAGTATAAGGTCAGGGTACACTGCGCTGAGATTTGAGCTACAATACGGGGGTGAAAAGAGATCACCAACGCTTTAACCACAATAAAGCATACAAATGGATTGTAAGTCAAACACAGAACGTAGGGCTGGCTGAGAGGGCAATGGTAGCTTTAAAGTCCACCAACAATCTAGGGATATTTCAAAATGTAGGGAGAAAACCATACAGCATGGGGATGCAACAACAAATGTTTTCGCTGCATTCATATACACAGTAGGGTTTACGGTCTTTCTTACCAATATTAGCATCTCCTAAGGCTGCAGTGTACTCAACAAGTCGCTATACTTAATTTCTTAGCAATGGGATCCACCAACTTACGTCCCTTAACCTGCCCTTTGCGCATCTCCTTCATAGCTTCCCCTAAAGCTGCTAGCCCTTCAATTCGCTCTTTCATGGGATGTGGCTTGATACTGCCCTCGTCGAGCAGCCCCTGTGAAAGTGCGTACCATGCCTTGGCGCAAAGAAGGTCATCAGGTCGCGCGTCGAAGTTATACGGTGGTGACCATGCGACGGGATTGCCGAATTGTGTGTATGTACACACCCCATCCGGCACGACGCTTCTCCGGGTGTGGCCTTGTAGAGGAAAAAAATCAAGCGCTACGTATCACCCGCCCTCTGTTCCTAGGGCATTATAACACAATGCCATAGACGCGGAGTCAGTGATGAAGTCCAACGCCAACCCCAGCGAGCCCGCCTGTATGCTCGCGTATCTCGGCGCCACAATTTAGCGAGCGGGTAAGCGCGTTCTCGATTATTTCAGCGCCACGGCCGTTTGGCCCGGTAGCTCGCTTGGTGATAACATGGTTATGCACCCGGCTATGCTTGACGTTGCCTTCCAGACTCTTTTCGTTGCTCTGGCTTACCCGGCTAGTGGCCAGGTTACCTTGGCGCTGCTGCCGTCGCACATTGACCGAGTGCGGGTCAGCCCATTACTACCCAAGCGTTCTGAGGACGGTGAGGTCCGCGCCGATTTTGAGAGCTGGGAAATGAAGCAGAACGTGACCTCGCTGATCGGTGACCTCAATGTATACGACACTGTTTCGGGTCAGACATTGGCTCAGGTCGAGGGTTTAGCCCTTAACTGTGGGCGAGCAGGACTCCTCGCGCGACAGGCCTATGTTCGCTAAGACACTGTGGACGCCTGATATTACCTTGGGACTACCGGAGTTTGTTCACAATGATTCCTATGATACTGAGCTGCTCTCCTAGAGCGAAAACTTTGAGCGTGTAGCTTTGTACTATGCACGACGCTTGGCGGAAGTGACAGCCGACGAGGACAGGAGCAAGTTCCAATAGTACCACCAACGCATGCTCACGGCCAATGACGAGCAAATATTTTTGGCTAAGAGTGGACAGCATCCTGTTCTGCGGCGTGAATGGCTAACGGACGGTCCGGATGTCATGTACAAAGTGGATGCGGCACATCCTGGTGCTGTGCGGCTCCAACTGCTTCATGCCCTCGGCAATAATTACCCAAGCATTGAGAGGGGTGAGATGGAGCAGCTGAAGGTTATGATGAAGGACAACATAATGAATCGTTTCTTTATAGATGACTTAGCATGCGCTCGTGTGAACCAGTCGCTGGCCGATGTGCGCCAGATCAGCTTCAAGTACCCGCGGGCTAATATTCTCGAGATTGGTGGTGGCGCTGGTGGCACTGTAAGTACCTATTCCTTATGTCCTCTCTATTGCTGTCCCCGAAAAAGTAGGTCGACATTATTGTACTAACTGTGAGCCAGGCATGGAGTGTGCTCAACAATATCAATGATGCCTATGCATCATACACTTTTACTGATATCTCGTCACTGATCCTTTCAGCAGCATCCGAGAAGTTTTCAGAATTGCCTCTAAGATGCTGTTTAAAACACTAGACATCAATAATTATCCTGTCACCTAGGAGTTTGTTCCACACTCATATGATATTATCATTGCGTCTAATGCTCTACACGCGACCAAGAACATCGAGAGGACAATGCTTCATGTCCGCTCAATGCTTCGTCCCGGTGGCTACCTTTTTTTGGTTTTTGAGACTACAGGTGTACAAAACTTGAGCAACCCTTTCAGCGGTCTCCCTACGTGGTGGCCCGGTGAAGAGGCGGACCGACAGCTACGGCCCATTGTATCAACCCTACGCTAGGAGGAGATCTTGAACAACACCGGCTTCTCAGGCCTTGACGTGGTTGTACATGACTTAGCCAACGCAGAGAAACATACAACGGCACTGATGGTAAGTCAGGCCATCGATGATCAAGTTTTGCGTCTTCGCGAGCCACTCAACAACATTGCTACCGCCCCAGCTCCAGTCGAGGGGGCTGACACTGATTGGCGGCAAGAAGCTGGCAACAACTAAGATACTGTCCGAGATACAGAAGCTGCTACCACGTGCTTGGCGGAGCAATATGCGAACTGCAAACAGCATAGATGCTGTTAAAGACCTAGCCACTATTGGACCAGGTTCCGACATTATCAGTTTACGCGATTTTGACGAGGAGTTGTTCGCGTCTACAATGACCAGTCCCGCCTGGCTTCACTACAAGGCTTGCTAATGAAAGCACGCAACGTACTCTGGATAACCAGCGCCACGAATGGCAAGTCTCATGCTCCTCGTGTGACCATGTTTCACGGTATTGCGCGTATAGCACCTGTAGAGATGCCTCATCTGAACTTGTAGACACTTGGGCCTGAGACCGGTCTGGTGCCCCCTGCGGCTGCTCGACACTGCGTCAAAGCCTTTATACGCCTGAGAGAGATGGGCGAGGCATCCAGCAGCGACCAAGGGAATGAAACCGATGGGGGAGAGCTAATGTGGGCGCCTGAGCCAGAGGCAGAAGTGCTGAAGAATGGCGAGGTCATCATTCCACGGATTGTCCCGGACCAAGTACTAAATGAGGTCTTCCATGCCTCAAAGCGCACCATCACCAAGCCCGGGGATGTGACTGATGTGGTAGTTCAAGTCGTTCCCGGAACCGCTAGGATGACGCTCCAGGCTGTCAACGACAAGGACGTTAATACTAGTGACTTCACTTCCGTGCAGGCCCAGTAAGGGGCAAAGCCGTGTCTGCTATGCAGGCGCGCACCTGGGTGACATTGTTGGGGATGAGACGGTGAGCTACACGATGTCAGTCAGATATTCATGACCATCTCCTTTCTTCTTTTATCTGGCAGGAAGGGAGACACATACTCTCATTCATAGCCCATTAAGATACGGCATGTTCCGTAAGACGTCAAACGTCAGGGGTGCATTCTCGCCCAGAGCCGCAACCTCATGACACAGCTTCTCCCAGGCATGGGGATTGCGCGCCAAGTACCAGATACAGTTTGCGATGAACATGGAAGTGGTATCATTCATCGGCACTATAATCAAACACACCTGCGAGCGCAGACCCTCCAGCTCACCCGCATATCCTTGGCCATAGTCCAGAGCAGATCTGTGCGTTCGGCAGCTAGCTCCTTACCCTCACTCTGTAGCCGGTCGCGCTCATCCATCTCCGCAAAGGTGGCCTTGACATTGGCGTTCACGAACGCGTGAATATCATTTACAGCATCAAGCCACCAGTTCCAGTTAAACGCCCACATGAAGCGGTAAGCTTGGGCGCGTAGTCTCGCGCCGCGGAGGGCGGTGGTCATATCCCAGGCGAACTTGGTGCGGGACAGGTCGAGTAGGGAATTCATGGATTGCCGAAGATGAAGCCGCTGTTAATGTCGAGAAACCAGCGCTGCAGAAAGGGCTGGACGCCGAAGGTCTCACCGTCGCCTGGGAAGAGGTTTGGGAAGCTGTCGGCGAAGGGCTTTATGCGGTCTGTGTCGTGGTAGACGTCGCGCACGAAGAAGGGTTTGATGAGTGCGCGGCTGAACATCCAGTCTTCGCCGTCGATGGCGTTGACACCTTTGTCGGCGAAGGGCACAGTGAATTTGGAGTTGCGGCGGATCAGCTCCACGCCGGAGTCCTTGAATTTGGTAGAGTAGATGGCCTTGAGCATGTCGGGCTCGCTGGAGTAGATCCAGCGGCCGGTGAAGAAATGGAGTGAAAAGGTCTTGGGCTGGTTGCGGTGGAGCTTGTGGAGCCAGTCGAGGTAGGTGTCCGGTTTGAGATCCCATATCTGGTTCATCACTGTGACTTGCCGAGGAATGGGTCCCATTGCCACATTCGGGGGGCGAGTAGGGCGCCCTCTGGGTCATTGGCAGTGTTGTTTTCGGCGTTTCTGAAGAGTCGGCTTAGGAGGATAGCCAGGAAGCTTGAGGATAGGACGAGGAGGGATAGCCTGACGGTCTGTACGGTGAGTATGTCGTTGATTGTATCCATCTTGCTGATGATGTTGATACGATACTAGAATTGAAAGTTTTGGTGGAAAACGAATGTATATACAAGTAGTGAATGGGTCATAGAAAGGAAATGTTAGGCATGAAAAGTCTCTTGTTGACGCTGGAGAGATGTGACTCAAAAGTCAAGAACCGAACTGAGGTAAAGGCAGCATCCCTGATAGACTGCAAAGTCATACCTTAGGTTGTTTCGTGCAGTGGGAATTCCTGACCAGAGTCATTGCAAATAATTCCCGCTGTGGAAGCAATACATTGTTTTATTTTTCGAATGTACCACGGATTAAATATATAGAGTAGAATTCCCCGAATCTGTAAGCGTACTACTAATAAGTTAGGGCGGGTTATGGCGCCGATTTAGGGCCTCCGGGATAAGTTTGCCCTAATGCGATAGTGTATAATGAGCCGCGTTTACCCTGGAATCCCCAGCGAATAAACCGGAAGCACCCCGAGCTCGATCTCCGAGGCCAATTTTCATTCTTGGCCTGTAACGAGGTGAAGTGAACATCGTAGCCTGTGAAGGTTTAGTCTCTAATAACTGAGTAATACTCGTAATATAAAGATAAATTATCGCTGCTCATACCACTGCTGAACTGTAATGTGCGTGACTGTTATTAGATAACAATCTATTATTACCATCACGCCTTTCCTTTCAGCCCTAGCTTTGTCCAACTAAACTACCTAGACCTCTACATCCCTAGTCAACTAAGCACAACCAGAAGCCTTACCATGGGATCCTTCGTCGAGATCACCTCCAACGTGGCAGATAAGCTCGAATTTCTTGCTGCTAAACTAACGGAATCCGCCAAGAAACTCCGTGAAGGCATTGGCCCGTCCCCACAAGAGCACGAGAAGCTTGTCATCACACTCAAGAGCACAATAGATGCGGTGAATCTACCCCGAGATGATCTCGCTGACATGAAGATGGGATTCGTCAATGCCGTAGCCACCCGACTTCTCATTAAGTGGAAGGTGTTTGAGAATATGCCCGACACGGGGATCATCCCGTCCAAGGAGCTTGCTCCCAAAGTCGGCGGGGACGTGGTTATTATCAGTGAGAATATCACGTCCCTAGCTCATATTGCATGTATATGTAGCTAACCAGGTGATCTCATCAGGGCCGTCTGTGTTGGCTTTTGGTCGCGACCGGATTTCTAGTGCAAGAGGGTACAGACCGGGTTGGTCATACAGCCCGGACCCGACCATTAGCTAGTGTTAATCCACTTAGTGCCTGGTGGTTAATGGGGTAAGTATATCTTGACTCTCATTCAGTCCGGACAAAATAATGCTAGCAACCACAAGCTACGAGTATGTACCCATTCTCCTCGCTATGTCACGGTATTACGATACCTACGGCATCAAGGAACCGACCGGCAGACTACACACAAACAACGCCTTCGCGGAAGGCGAGCCGGAACTCACCGTGGCGCAGATTATGAGCAAGCATCCATCCAGAATGCACTGCCAACATGATGCTCTGTATGTCTGCCATGGCGAGCCAGAATCCTACCCCCCTTACCGGATTTTATGACTTCAGCTGGGTTGTTCCCAGGGTTAGTGAGTCCGTCGATCGACCGCTGATTGTCGATGGCGGTGGCGCCAAAGGGTAGACGCTGCAGACCATTTGTAAAGGTACCAGGAACTCCTATCAGCCGTTGTGTGCTTGAGGATCTACCCTGTGTGATCCAGATGGTGAAGACCATCGGCGATGAAGGTCTCCGCAGCGCTAAATTAGTGGCTATGTATTTCGACAAGGAACAACCTGTGAAGGGTGAGTTGGTCCCTGCTCCTTTTCTTGTTTGTCGATAGTAATGGCTGCCTCATCCAGGTGCACTGGTCTACATGATCCGTCGTTGTCTGCGTGACTTCGACGATGACGAGTGCGTCTCAATCCTGAAGCATATCGTTGATGCCATGGCACCGGATAGCAAACTTTTGATTGCGGATACTGTCACTAGTAATCCTCCCTCCTGGTACCCTGCGATGCTGGACTTTTTCCTGTCTACCATTGGTGGTAAGGAAAGAACCGAGGAGAACTTTCGTGACATCGCAGCCCGCGCATGACTGAAGGTTACGGGTGTTCATTATTCTGATAAGGCAGAGCTCTCGATGATCGAATGCGGGAAGGCGTAGTAGCATTGACCCTGGTCAGTTTTATTGGGAACCCGATGTAGAGGTTATCACGTTCAATAAACATTGATTTCTATAAGTGTATGACGGTTCATATTAACGTTTTTCGAATAGTGGCGACTCCTTTGCTAAGGTCCACTCATATACTAAAGCAACGACGCTACTAGATTGAGGTCGTCGTTAAATAACCAGCTCATAGGCTCGGTGTCACCCGGGTTGAAAAGTGCATCAGAAGTCTAAGCTATAGTGAGCAACGTGTAAGATAGGTGTTTTCGCTGAGCGCATTTTTACTCACCGTAAAGCCCCAGTCCTCATCCAGATCGACCGGCACAGCGTGCTGAAGCTCGTCTCCCCCTCCCATCCCCTGGCCTTGGGCTAAGGCCGCCATTTTTTCTAACTTGGGCAAGCATGTGTATTCAACATCCTCTACAGCTTTGACTAACACCTCGGCGATTTGCTCCTCCCTGAAGCCGCGCATGAGGCCTTCGACCTGGGCTGCAACCAGGCTCATGAGTAAATAGCCCTTGACGTTGGTCTCACCAGTCTCGATAACCCTCAAGCACCATGCTTTAGCATCGTCCAATACGGAAACCAGGTCTGGCCGCAATGGAGCAGGACACAGACTGTCTTCCTCCTGCAGCTGCATCCGGAGCTCTACCGCGATAAGGAAGGCGGCATGAATAGCTACTGTTGGGTAAAAGCCCGAGCTGCAGGCCACCAGTCTCGGCAGATCATTACTAGCAGAGGGAACCGTGTCGCTGACGAGCTGGGCATCCACGAGCGATAAGGATGGACACGCCGTTCGCCATAACTTCAGCGACGACTCGACCACTGATTTTTGTGAGAAGGTGTAAGCTGTCCCGTGCAGGCCTGGGCCAAAGTATGGAACATGAAGAGACAAGATATAGCGGTGCATGAGAAAATCAACTACGTGGATTTCGTAATGAGAAGGCAAGGGCTGGGCATTCAAGTTCAAGGAGCTTAGTGCTCGCAGACTTTGGCCCAGCGCTCGATACGCCGCACGCAGCTCTGCATCGAGCTTGAGAGTCTCCCCGTATGTGCCGGGAGAAGCAAGATCATTCAAAAACTTGACAACGGCAAGACGTTGTGGAAAAGTTTTGCGGAGCGCAATTGCAATGGATACTTGCGTGAAGCCCACTTTTGGTACAGGATCTTGGGCCTCCAGCTGATCGTCGTCAAAATTACCGGGAGGGGCTGTATCAAAATCTCCAAGAGAGATCAAAGGAGTACCCCCGGATGACAAACTGGACTGTAAGTTCACCTCGAGGATTGTGTTCCAGAGCCTTCGACGCATCTCAGCAGCGAAGGCTGTTCTTCGTGGTAAAAAGCTTGGGTCTCTGTGTAAGCCCATATGTATCGCTCTCCTAAGAAGAGCGCCTGCTGAAACCCATGTCAAATCTCCACCGACCCCGACTTGTTCTTGGGCAAATAAAAGAAGCAGGTAGATCTGTAGAGACTGTACGTTTAATCTTAACTTGAACTTAGGCTCCGCAACCCAGACCTGGGCCTCATAAACCCATCGAATAGCTGAGGTTCGCAATGAGAAGTGATCATCATACGTGACTGCACCAAGGGCGAGCACGAGCTTGAGCTCAACCAAGAAGGCCACTTCAGGCTCGGTGTTTGACACCCAAAGTGCCTCGTAGTCTCTGCGAAATGCAGGGATGTGCAAGATTCGATAGATAGCCTCAGTTGTCCGGAGGTAGTTATCAACTAGTGTGTCCGCGACCTCTCGGGGAGGCAGGTTAGACGACGGGAGTGCGGGCCACGAAGGTGACCGCCACGCTTTGATGCTTCTTGCCAGAGATTTACACTTCTCTATGCCAGACCAGGCGTTCGATGAATCTCCTCGTAGATGGGGCTCAAGCGTATTGAAAGTATCACGCATCTGCGCGTGTTAGCCGTCCTTTTCCACTAAGAAAATCAAAAAGGAAAGGCACTCACCAGATAAACACCACTGACGCTCCAATGACTTTGGCCGAGCAAGCGTGTTTTAAGGCTAACACTGTGGGGAATGGACTCGGGCTGGCCTGATGCGTTTCTCTTGCAATGAACATGAAAGGTTCCACTCACATGTGAGCTTGTTGTCTCAATATCGGAGTCTGGGGCCGAAGGCCGGAGAGTTGCATTAGTTAGCTGGTCCTCGAGCTGTCGAATTCTGAGTTTCAGTCTCGTCGACTCAGCATCTTGTGCGGAATGTTGACTTGTAGGAGTCGATGGTCTTGTCAAATTGGTCGCCAGGGAGCTTGGTAGATGATTGGGGAATGGCGAAGTGCTCGCGCTGGAAGACCTGTCAATGGGTACCGAGTCCTGGGATCCAGCTGTGAGCCGCTGGCCAGAATGGTGCTGTGGAGATGAAGGTAGGTTGGGATTCTCATAAACGCAAGTTCCGCTTCTGGACCGCAGGCAATTGCTGCAGGGACTTTCTCGATTGCATCGGATCTTGCGTCTCCGGCATAAAGTACAGGAGACTGCCGGCCGTCTTCGCCGCTTTTCTGAGCCGAGCATGACTGTCTCCATTTAGTATCAACTAATCGTCGTATGAGAGATCTTTTGACGTAATTGTATTTTAATCCCCTTTTAGGGTTATGGAAACCAAGATCATCTGTGTGTTATATTATGTGGGAATGAGCTGTTCGCCTGCAGGCGATGTGCATCGATAACAGTTCAATAAGATTGCTGCGATTGCCTGGGATAAAATCAGCAACTTCCAGCAATATGTAGATGGAGGGCCTTCTGGAAGTCGGGTGAATCCGCAGAGAGTATGATATAAACCTCTTTACGTTCAAAAGATGGAACCACCTGGTAAGAAGAGGTGACAGGTCCAATCAGCGAAAGAGAAAGGGCAAAAAGCCGAGGCCGATCTCCGACTTTCAAGTCCGCACCGTTGATGTTTTATCTCCAGCGGTCATCGGTTTTGGGTAAATGGCACGTACTAGAACGAAAATGGTAAGAGAATACCGACCCCGACAATGATTTCCCGATTTCCCGCTTTGCACCGATCCCGTCAGGAGGGAGAAATAACCCTAACAAAAGGCTTCATCGTTTCCAAACAATCGACGTTTCCCTCCTATCTACAATCACAAATGACCCTCTTGCAGAGTCGGGTCTTTGTTTACACCAACTCTATACTATATTGGCCTCCTTCAGAACCTGTGATTCATATCCACGCGAACACTCGACTACCGTGTACTTCTAACTACGCCATGGCCTCTGAAGAAACGGAACCAGCGCCCTCGTCATATGATGATGAGAGGACGCCATCACAGCACTCTATCATTCCTGATAGCGAAAAGGCATCTGGTGACCCATCTGGAGTCAACCCTGCTCCTGAAGGTGGTCTCCAGGCATGGCTCTGCGCCGCCGGGGCCGCAGCCATCTTTCTCTGCACGCTCGGCCTGGCCAACTCTTTCGGTGCGTTCGAAGAGTATTATCTGACCCACCAATTAAAAACCGACTCTGCCTCCAAAATCTCTTGGATTGGCTCCCTACAGTCGTTCCTCCAGTTCTTTGCCGGTATGCTGGGAGGTCCGCTGTTTGATCGCTATGGCCAATGGGTACAGTTCTCCGTCTCTCTCTCTCTACGGACGTGAAATCACACTAGCATGATCTGTGCAGGTTATCTTCCCGTCAGCGATCATATACATATTCGCTATCATGATGCTGAGTCTGTGCAAAACCTATTGGCAATTTATGCTCACCCAGGGCATTCTGATGGGTATCGTCATGGGCTTTCTGCAGATCCCGGCATTCGCCGCGGTGTCGCAGTACTTCGACAAGAAACGCGCAGCTGCCTTAGGCCTCGCTGTGTCCGGATCATCCATCGGTGGGATCATCATGCCAATTATCCTGTCCAGGATGCTCAACGACTCCTCACTGGGCTTTGCATGGTCAGTGCGTGTCGTTGGTTTTGTCATTTTGCCGTTCATGTTATTATCCTCTGTGGCCGTCAAGCCACGCGTGCCACCACGAAAAACCCAGTTATTCCTCTTGTCGCCTTACAAGGATCGGCGATTTATCCTGCTCTTCACCGCACTGTTCTTCATGTTTATGGGCATGTTTACGCCCTTCTTCTACCTCACAACATATGCTACCACCCAAGGTATGGGCGCAGCTATGGCCGGTTACCTACTCGCAATCGTCAACGCAGCCTCCACAATCGGTCGGATTGTCCCAGGTATCGTTGCCGACAAGTACGGTAAACTCAATACATTCGCAATCGGTGGCATCTCCACTGGAATTATTGTTTTCTGCATGACCTCCGCGACCTCAAACCCTGGCTTGATCGCGTACTCCGTCTTCTTCGGTTTCACCTCTGGCACCATCATCTCTGGGGCATCCGCAGCCTTTTCAAGCTGCCCGAAGGAGGCTCGAGACATTGGTACGTACATGGGTATGGGTATGGCCATTTCCGGTCTAGGAGCCTTGATTGGGCCCCCCATTAACGGAGCCATCCTCAACACGTACGGCAATTTCTTCCAGGTTTGCATGTTCAGCGGCACCATGGCCGTTGTCGGTGGCTTCATTGCGTTTGCGGCCAAGCTTTCGACCGACGAGGATCTTTGGGGATGGGTCTAAGATTCGGACTTCTCCTTTCCTTGCTGCTCTTTCTCCATTCTTTTCTGGTTAGCTTTCCTTTTTTTTTTTTTTTTTTTTTTTTTTTGTGGTATGCAGGGATCGGATAGACAGAAATTGATCAATCTTTGCTATGAAGGCAAAATGTCATAGAACTGGCATGATTCTAATGATATTTAGGATTTACTTTTATATCCATGGTCTACGTACCTAGCATTTCTTGTTTACATTATTACATTAATACATATACCTCATATAAGATTTCACAGCTCCACCTTCACGTTGACTTTCCGTAAGAATACAATAAGATATACAGTTAAATAGTTTTGATATGGGCATTGAAATATCCTGTGACCCTGTCCTATAGGCTATCCCAGGCTTAATATCCTAAACTCCAGATGCAGAATGGGATAGAATAAGGGGTTAAAAGGAAAGGACTTCTTTTTCGCTCCTTCATGCTCGAACCAAGCAACGAAAGCTTTTATAAAATTATGTTTCGATGTCAACGATAATGTAATGGCCGTGTAGCCATGTAGCCCTTTGTATGTGTACAAATATTGGTTTATCGTCGCTGGATGCAACAAGTTGAAGGATGGTCAGCTCTAATATCAATTGAAGAAGACAGGAGCTCATCTCCATTCCTCCAAGAATGTATCTCCTTCTTTTACTGCCGCGTTCACCAGGCTATTGCGCCAAAACCGTCCCCGTTCCTCCACGTCCCCGGCCCGTGGTACTAAGGTCGGCCTCGCTCACAGTTAAGGCGCTCAGATGAACGCCAATTCTGTCGTCGCCAACTGCTCGCACCACCTCTTACGCAGGCCTGCGAGTTTTCCAGACCAATCCGTTAGGTCACAGTAGCACCGTCACGACAGCCAAAAATCCGGGAACGATCTTGCCAATCAGCACACTGAGCTAGTTTACTGATACGTCTGCTTTGTCCTCAGGATTTACCACAGCCACGGAGACGTTGGAGAGCTCGGGATCAACAGCGAGACGCTTTGAGAGTTCGACACTATATGTGTATTAGTCCATACTCCGTCGGGTATAGGATGTTCAGTTGTATGTCCTATGAATTGTAGGAGAGCTCAATACAAGATAGGTGAGAACTTACCACCACATCATAGTGTCACTCGGCCTTTCAGTACTAGAATAGCTTGTCTGTTCTGTTCTGGAGATCCAGTTTCCATTCACCAGGCTCTCGGTACTTCCAGATTTGCTAAATTCGTCACTCACACTGCAGGCCAGGTGTACGAGAATGTCAGCTCTGCCTCTATTACATGGTCCAAAGAATACTGTCAGGATTTATAATTCACTCACTTATCCACTCGTTTTCCAAGCGCAATGATTCTGCCGCTGTCTCTGTCTATTCTCTGCAGAAGTAGGAGACTTAACAGAAAATGTGCTAGATGACTATACCTTGGTTGCAGCATGTGTATTTCACTCTTCCCAATCGGAGTTCAGTAGTATGGCCTGGATTGGCGGGAGAGACCCAGCAGCAGCACGCTTGTTGATGGTCTCTGCTGTCCTGCGCACGGTCGCGAGACTAAATTGGTCAAGAGCCAAATCTCATGGGAGTGTGTTGTCGACTCGACGTTCCCAAGCTCTTTGGTGACACTATCGGCCATACTCGCCATATAGCGTCCATACTGGCCCTTAGCAAGATCAGACTAGCGCAGGATTCGGCGCACAATAGCAATACCAAGTCTGCTATCAGTCCCTGTGACCAAGACCGAGTTATTAACAGCACCTATGCGATGCATCTTTTCAGTATACCAATCCTTATACAATCCTCGTCAGCAATCAATCTCATACATATTATTTCAGAATCTCACCATCCTCACCTTTTCAAGACCAACAACTATAAGCTAGACACCAAGATGCTTAGCAACCGTGCTCCCCTTAACCCTCCTCACATTCACCACAGCCTCACGATCCGCCACATTCGGATTCAAGAGCACCGTCCTTGGCAATTGGCAACAAAGGATCCATGATCGACGGTCTTGCAAGACCCACCAAATCACAACTCCCACCCCCCAAGGCAGACTCCATACCGCGATGCGAGCGAAACCCACCCATAAGCAGCAGCGGCACTTCTGGGAATTCGGTGCGAATGGAATTAGAAAAGTCGATGAAGAAAGCCTCACGAGCAAGAGTGCTCGCCTTCTTCTCGGCCTGCACCTCCGCCCCGGGCCCCGTACTAAACATTGGATCCTCAAAGCTACCGCCGCTCACCTCGAGAAAATCAATACCTGCATCGGTGATAGCGCGCAGCTGTTCCACGCAGTCTTCTAGATCGGCATCGGCTGCAACGTCAACTGAGTTCAGTTTCAAGCCCACGCAGAAGCTAGGTGGTACAGCTTCACGGATGGCGTGAATGATTTCGACGACGATACGGGTGCGTGCGGTGGCGTTGCCGCCGTAGGCATCTGTGCGGATATTCGATCGAGAAGACAGGAATTGGGTTAGGAGGTAGCCGTGTGCGGCGTGTAACTCGACACCGGCGAAGCCAGCGGCAGCGACTACGCGGGGGGCGTTGGCGAAGCGACGGACTGTGTCTTTGATCTCGGCGACTGTCATCGCTCGAGGGATGCCAAATACGAGGGCATTGAGGACCCGTGGTACAACGGCGTTGCCTAGGCCCATGGGTACTGCGCTGGGGGCGATTGTCCCCTTGTTGAAGGCGATCTGTGGTCCTGGGTGGCACAATTGAACGACTGTCTTGGTGCCATTGAGTGAAGAGACGCTTGCCCAGGCTTTGAAGGCAGCGAGCATCTTTTCCTCTGGGAGAGATGGATTGATCGTGAAGTCTTTGGGGTCGCCGAGGTGGTTGGGGTCGATTTGTACATTAACTATTCGAGTGTATTAGATAGATTCGATGTGTATGGTTGTTATGGTAGTGAAACTCTTCTAACCTGATATTACAAGACCCCAACCCCCCTTTGCCCATTCACCGTATATATTTAGGCATTCTCTGTTTCATGGTAGGTTTTCTTTGTCCCCCAGGCATTCTGCCATGGCTGGCTTGATGAGGCGATTGGGAGGGTTAGACCGCATTTGAGCGTGATTGGTTTGGCGATGCTAAGCTCCTTTATGTTTTGTCTGGGGCACGCTGCTAAAGGAACGGTCAGATTGGAATCTCAATCTGAAGCTATCAGTATTAAGAAGAAAAAAGGGCGGGCGTAATTTCAAAATTGACAATTGTTTGCTTAGGGTTGAAAACGTTTACTTCCTTATATGTAAACTCTTATGAGTTGTAATACAACTAGATGGTTTGAAGATAACAAGCGAACACGCTAAAATTAGGAGTATATTAGAGTCACATGATATTCTTGCTCCGATCAACTCATTAAATTATATGAGAAGACAAGAGTGTCTTTCAAGGAAGCCATGACGGACCTGCGGTTGACAAAAGTCGGACTATAACTCGGCATAACTGATGATCCAAATAAACTTAATGGAGTTGGCATTTAGGGCAAGGCTAGTTAATCCCGGCTGTTTATATATATATATTTCCCGAGATACTCTGCAGCTTACTTGATATCCCGAGGGGCGATCCAGAATCGACTTCGTTGCTGATATACTCCGTTATACTCAACGATTCGTTCTTCTCATGGAGCATATCACGCCATATACGGACACTCTGGGAGACCACCATGATTTCTCTCGACTAAGTGTTTATTGGGCAACCCACAGATTTCGATAGATCAATCTCAGCCTACATGTGTATATATACGTATGGACACTCAATAGTCGCTGTTCAATAGCTATCTCTTTCAAGTATCTTAACAGTACTTGCGATTTCTCACCACTCAAAGATCATCTTCAAGGGAAAGAAAAACCCTAATTACTGAAGGCTAAAGTCGCAGTAATGGTGTCCGTGGTTGCTCAGTTGGCGAACCCAGGCGAGCTGGTACTCCCAGCCGCAGTCTTCGGCATTCTTGCCGGGAGCAAAAGACGACTTGAATATGGTGCTAACCTATCCAACAGTTTGATAAAGAAGGAAAGGCAGCGCTGGTGCCGGGCTACGGCGGACGCGCTGACTTGACCTTACCCGAGAGTTCAACCGAATGGACCATGGCACAGCCAGATACTGTTCTCAAGGTGTCGCAAGCCTTTCTCCAGGCGAATCTGTCAACCTACAGTCTTGGCCACTCAAGATACTGGGCAGACCTATGGCAATTCGCACTCGTTAAGACACAACTGAACAACATGATGCAAAGTCTCATCCCCGCGGTTGATGACAAGCTTCAGTATATCGTGCTGAAGGTCCTTGGCACTGACACTGGATCATGGAAAGAGATCAATTTGGACGAGTCAATCAGAATGATCGTGGCTGGTTTGTCCGGTCGGTCCACTGTTAGGCTTCCACTTTATTGCAACAAGGACTACCTCAAGCGGACTCTCTCCATTATTGATTGTGTGACGAGTACAGCAATTATTGGCAACTGCATCCCGCTAATACTGCTGCCCATTGCCGCGTGCCTGTCCAGCTTGCATACTTGGAGTAACCTGATCAAGATCAAGAACCACATCACCCCGCAGTACCATGAGCGTATGGCCGCGCTGGAGAAGGACACAGATGACCAGCCTCAGGACCAGCTGCAAGTAATGCTACGCTTTGTTCAGAAGAAGCGCTCACAGGAGGATAACGAAATCGGCATCATAGCCACCAGTTTAGCCGCTTCCAACTTCGTGAGCATGCATTAAACCTCCGGCACCGCAGTTCAAATGCTGCTTAACATCATTGACTCCGACAAGGAATTTAATACAATTGCCAAGCTACGTGAAGAGGCTAAACAAGAGCTGGATAGTGACAGCTGGGCCAAGGAAGAGTTCATGCGTATGAACAGCCACAACAGTGTCGCCCGTGAATCTATGCGTGTCACCTTCCCCTTCAGCAATCGCGGTCTGCTGCACAAGGTTATGAAAGAGGATGACATCACTGATAGTGGCATTCCCCTGAAAAAGGGCACCATCGTTGCCTTCCTCGCCTCCCAGGCGCAAAGGGACCCGGCCAAGTTCCCGGAATCAGACAAGCTCGATCTCTGGCGTTTCTCATGCATGGTGGAAAAAGAGTAGGAGAAAGGAGAAGCGAAGAAGCCCGCTTACAACGCAAATTCCTTCGTGGCCACTTCGCCGGACTACCTGCCTTTCGGTCACGGTCATCACGCCTGCTCGGGACATTTCCTCGTCGACTTTGAGCTGAAGATGATCGTTGCATACATCTTGAAGCTCTACGACCTCGGGTTTCCCCGCGAGTACAACGGCAAGCGGCCGTCCAACAGGCAGGTTGCGGAGCTGCAGGCGCCAAGAGTAGATTGGATCTGTTCGCATGTCCCAGGGAAGCCTTGGGTGTTTTTGAGTGGATGTACGGTTATTTCAGCTTCAGTCTTGTATTCATTTCATTGTTTATGACCAGGTTATGTGTCATATAGCGATGGTAGATTTTCAGGTGTCACCTTTTATAGCTGTAAGCACAAGCTGAAACCAAAGCGTTCCGAAGTGGAGATATCTATACCATGATAGTGTCCAGAAGCGATCAAAGAATATAGCATATGTACAAATCGATGGGAACGTGACCAGTGCCCAGGTCGGTCTAGCGTGTGATTTAACTTCTTCTGCAGATTTAAATTTAGATCTTCTTCCCAAGGCAACATCTTCACTTATTCTGTCCTGTCACTCTTTACGAAACCCACTTGTGCACGTGGCATCTACTGGGCAAGATTTATTTTCTGAAGAATCGTCTAACTAGCTGATTTGCGAGGGTAATTTCCAGTGGGGGTGGTTAAATCTTTCTTTACCTTCACGCGTCCTTACAGTTCGGTCCTGACAATGGGCCAATCTTCCGCTATTCGCGGAGTTTCATATTAATCACATTGCGCCGCAGGACGGCCTGACCTGTTTAATTTGCCTTGCCTTTTCTGGATCCTTCCTTGGTTTCGGATATGAAGCAAACCGCATCCAAGTTTCCCCTGGCCACCAACTGGCTAGGGCAAGTCTTTCTGTTCCGGTGGCAAGTGTCTTGGCTGCATAAAGTAATCCAACTCCAGCCTGTCTGCTGAACGTTACTGGCAGTTTCCGAATCCTGTGCGCGTTGGATCAGGTTCACGACATATCTGTTGTTATGTTCGGTCCGAAGATTCGCCGAATTGCAGGCTAACTCGTCCAAGTCTCGCTACTACTGGTTCCATTTGGCAAGGATGCCAGTCGAACCTTGTTTTCTGGTGGTCCAATTCGAATCGACTGCCTGTATAAAAGATTTCTCCAATGCACGTATTAGTAGCGTGCGGTCAAGCTGACGTGAGATCTATTGGTTGCTTAAGTGCCATCTGATTCACTTTACAAACGCGTTGTTCAACCAATTTGGGTAGATATGACCCAGCTGTGCAGCTAATACCGGAGATGTTATCCACATTTGGCAACTGAGTAGGAAATCGTTATACCCTATCACCACGTTGCCACAACTGCTCAGTAATTACGCTCGTGTGACCTAGCCTTTCGAGTGCAAAAGTGACGACGTCATTCTCGAATCCCATGGACATCACCAAATATTTGCCGCAGAAAGAAGCATTGCTTGTCAGGCACGCCCTCCAGAGCGACTAGGCACGGGGGACCCAGGGCGAGAACCCATCCGCCGATCACCAGCAACATGAACAGGAGCGCGCTCGCATGACTCCGTTCCTTTGTACCTATTTGATTCTTAATATGTGCAGTGCGGCGCGTCGACCTAGGGGATCAGTACCTGCACCGCCGATGATCATGTCACGTTGAAGAACCCTCTCTACTGTAAATTAACAAAAGAAAAGCACCTAGTGCTTTCACTGAGGCTCCTCCCAAGCGGAATCCGAACCGGCTCTCGTTAGTATCCCTGATACATAAGTTAGAATAGACTACCTCATGGAAAATGAACGTGCTCACAGGACTAAGTTCGGTCTTTTTCCGACTTGGACAGATGAAATGCTTAGCTCACTGTTACTCTCCATATTCCATAGGGTCGGTCGTCTTGACAAGATGCTGACGTGCAGAAGTGTAGCACCTTTCACGCTTGCCCTCTTTGCTGGACGTGGAATGGTCACTCTCATCAGACTCATCACTCTTTCTCCGTTGGTGTGCCTTGTAAATCAAATTGAGAAATTAGTTGTTATCAACCTTGCAAGCAAATTGAAAAATCCCTGGTATTTATTCCCCTGTAATTTCCGTGTCAATGAAAGGATTCGAGGTCGGTTATATCTGCTGCCCGAAGATCCTCGCAGAGTTTTGAAAATACTGCCAGCGGATCAGGATACCCGAGATGTACGAACGGACTACCTTAGGTATACATACTTTTATCTTCTTTATCTAGAAAGAATTCTCTGGGAATGACGCGGGTTGAGTTGAAGTTCCCAAGAGCTATAGCTCGAACAGCATTGACCTCCTTGGTAGTCCATTCAGAGCCGGATGAACCGCAATGGGCTGGGCTTTCTTGAAGAGCAGTAGTCGCCAGGCTCCCTGCATTACGGATAAATTCCTATGCCACGGGCTGCCTTCGTTCGGCCTCTGTAGGGCTAAAAGGCACGGAGGTGGTGACCATGGTTAATATAGGACTTAAATATCGTACACAAAAGGTCGGATAATCAATCTGTGGATCTACCTAGATGCGATTATACGAGATAAATACTATTTAAGCACGCTTTAATCAATGAGTATACCTAGTAGTAACAGTTAAATTTTGGCAGTTAAATTTGTGACAAGTCTTATGATTGCTAGTAGCTTTGACCGTGAATGGTTCGAGTACATTCACAGTAGCCAGTGTCCTTTTAAAGAGTGGTAAGCAAGTAGAGTTAGTCTTTTAGACTATATCTATAGTCATGCACCCTAAGCGTGCCTATTATCGCTGCTTACCGATAGATTCTAACAACTCAGGCAATTGGAGCAATTCAAGAAGTAATTCACGCAAGTTTGGATGCTAGGAATCCTGTCAATTCCCTTGATGCACTACAGGGAATGGCAGGAAATAGTTAACCCTCGGGCTGGATGACTAAGTCTGGTCACTGTGGCGTAATAATACCGTACCACCATGTGATCTGCCGATACAGTTACTTTCCGGATGCCGTCACTTCTCCTCCTTCGTTCCACTTATCAAAGGCTGTTACACCAACGGTCGCTCTCGCGAAGAGCGATAGACGATCCCTGCAGCCATGGAGACTGCACCGCTTACCTTGGTATGTCATCGGCCACTGGAAAGGTTTTGCATCGTACACGCAGCCTGACAGAACCCAAGGCTCATACCCACGCTCGAAATGCAGTTCTGGAGACCCGCAAGTCAAATCCAGTCGCTGCAAGCGAGGAACATGATCTGGCAGCTGGCGAGTTCGCCGCAGCGGCTCAAAAGAGCTCTGATCACGAAGTATGCTAGCTCATTATTCACCACTTTTAGTGTTAGTCGAAGCTGACATAGTCGTGCGCATCACACAGGCTCTGAGAACGTTACAACTACTTGAGCAACATCACAAGAAACTCGCCCAGATCTTGCGTTTTCAGCATGAGAACCCATCCGCCGCGACTTCAAATACACTGCAATTGACGACGGACTCGGGGGGAGCGAAGACACAGGATACCCAGCAGCACCCACCGAAGCTGATTGGACATGCTCGCTTACCGGCAAGGGAGACTTCGTCCATCGCAAGCAACCTTGCCTCGGCACGAGGTATCCCATCACAGCCCCGTCGCGGCTCCCCGGCATCGCCTACAATTTCCTCTCAGCAGGCAGGTGCGAAGATGACAGAGGGACCGGCAAAGATCAGGACGGGCGAGGCGAGATTACGAGAAAGGCAGGCCTATGCGACCAAGGAACGTCCTAGCCGGACTTCATCGAAACAGCCATGGTCTCCGCCCGCGGCGAGTCCAACCGACGTCACATCGCAGCAATTCGTACCTCCGGACACCGAACCCTCGACCCCCAGGAACGGACAAGTCGCCACAGATGAGCCTTTTCAACGGTTCTACTCTACATTCGGAGGACTCATTTCCAAGATATCCGCACCGTTGGCTTTTGCAGGCCTCCCGTTGGGTGCAGATGTGTCGGAACAGGCTGAAGCAAGCCGTAAAGCATCCGCGGAGACGAAGGTGGATCGCCACTCTGCAGTTTCCGATCGTCAAGGCCCACCCGCAGAACCAGACGTTAACAAAATCTTTTCGCGTGCCGCTTTACGAGCTGTTCGAGATTCCACGGGTGGTGGAACGGGAAACACAGCCGAATCTTTCTACGTGGTGCCTACAACAGGTGGGACCGTTTCCTATGCCGGAATCCTCAGCAGGGCAGAGAAGGAAGCTCGAAGGAACAGTTTCGACGAGGGCGACGAGGACTTTGTGGATGCCCGCGAAACACCACCGTCACCAGAAATGCGGCAGAGCATGACGGGAAGCCGGGGCAGGGGTTCTCGGGCCAAGGACAAACTCACCAGCATCCAGAACCCGAAGACACTCGAGGAATTGCAGATGGAAAACCAAGCCTTGAAACACCTCACGGACACCTTATCCAAACGCCTGCACATGTGGGAGGTGAACGCACAATCGTCTTCCATGGCTTTGCAACAATCCTTGAGAGCAATGCATCATCAAAATGCCCCGTCCCCGGAGCATTACCCTCAGTCTCCTTCTGCCACTGCTTCACCTATCGCTACGCCAGCCGGCCCAGATCAAGACCGACGTATCAAAGAACTCGAGGATCTCATCCAGCAGAGCGAAAAAGAGCTCGACAAGGTTGGTCGCGAGAACGAGAAGCTGCGAAATGTCCTGGGGCGGTACAGAGATCGGTGGGAGAAACTGAAAGAGGGCGCCAAGACCCGGCGAGAGGGCAGGTCAGCTGCGGACAGGAATAGCTATGCAGAACCGCCCACGCCAGTCCGCACCGACAATGCTAATCTAACAGGTGAGACCGAGACCACGCAAGTCAAAGCTGACGATGGAACGGGAAACGATATCAACTCGACCAATGAAGCGGAAGGCCGGGCCGACTCTTCTACCTAAGCTTTTTTGACATCAGATCCAAAAGTGATGTGTCGCTTTTCTGGCTTAAGGCCTTCATTCGTGGTGCACAGAGGATTGCTTTCGCGGAGATGTACGATGCCCCTTCACCACACTCATCTTTGTCTGTTTATGTCCAGTTGTCATGAGCTATTTTTCGGGTTTATTATGGAGAAATATTCGGGTCACAAAAAGCATCAGTCTATCAATCACGGGAACTACGAGTTATGTCCACCAAAATGTGCCATACTAATGATAACGATGGAGCAAATACATGTACAATTCAATTCAACTCAATTCAATCACTGTACATAAAAAGTAGCATTGCCCCTAATATCCTCCGAAGAACTCCCCACCAGGACACCAAAAGCCCCCGGCTCAACAACATACTTCATCCGCACATTCCAGAGCCCCAAGTCCTGCACCTTGAGCGGAATCCCGACCGTCTTGCTCTGACCCGCAGGAACCACCACCTTCTTAAACCCCTTCAACAGCCGATTCGGCACCACAACCGACGCAACCTCATCAACAACATAAACCTGCACAACCTCCGTCGCATCCCGACTGGCATCCGTATTCCTCACCTCAACACTAACCGTCACCGTATCCGCCGCCGTAACATTCGTCTTATCTAGCCTCACATCCCCATACTCAAACTCCGAGTAACTCTTCCCATATCCAAACGGATACCACGCCTTTGGAGTCCCCAGCGCATACTGGTGTCCAAAGACCAGCGTTCCATTCGCCGCAACAACCCCCGCATCCCCGATCTCCCGTGCCGAATTCAAATAATCATAATAGATCGGCAAATCACCCACGGAGTGCGGAAAACTGACCGATAACTTGCCGGAGGGGTTGTAGTCGCCGAAGAGCACGTCCGCGAGCGCATTCCCGCCTTGCTCCGACGGGTAGAATTGCTGGACGAGTGCGGAGGTGCTGTTTGAGAGCCAGGGTTCGGTGACGGGTTTGCCGCTTTGGAGGACGACGATTGTGGGGACGCCGGTGTCGATGACTGCTTTGATGAGGGGGGCTTGGGCCCCGACGAGGTTGAGGGAGTTGACGTCGACGTGTTCCCCAGTTCTATGGTTGTTAGTTAGTCTTTTGTGTTCTTTTGTATAACTTATGGTTAGGAAGGGAGGAGGATGGAGGGGGGAGGGGGAGGGAGGGGGATGTATTTACGTTGCGTTCAGGCCCACCCAGAGTTCCTTCTGGTCCCTGGACCAGGTGCCCACGACGACGACTGCTACGTCGGAGTTTTTGGCTGCGGTGATGGCTTCATCGAAGCCTGTTTGTTCGTTACTCCAGCGTTCGCAGCCTTGGGCATAGTTGATGGTTGCTTTGTCGCCGACGGCGGCTTTGATGCCGTCTAGTGGGGTTACGCCGCGGTATTGGCTTTCGTAGACGACGTAGTCGCCGTACTGTTAAGAGATCAGTTTTGTTTTGAGTGGTTCGTCGATGTGTTGGATGCTCGGTGGGACGTGTGGAAACGTACATTCATAAACCCGTGCGCCATGGGCCCGATGACAGCAATACTACCGCTCTTCTTCAGCGGCAACGCATTATTGTGGTTCTCCAGCAGGACAATCGACTCCTTATCCAGCTGGCGTGCCAGATCCACCGCTTCCTGGGTGTGGATGAGCTTATTCCACTCGGACTTTGGGGCGCCATTGTAAGGGTTCTCGAAGAGACCCATTTCAAACTTGGCGCGGAGCACGCGGGACACGGCGGTGTCGACGATTTTAATATCGAGTTTACCACCATCGATCAGGTCACTGATGGTCTCGAAATTGCTGCTATCATTAGAGGCATCAACTGATCGGGTGAAATGAAACATACTAAGAACCACCACCCATCTCGACATCATTTCCTGCCGGCAACACGGCAAGCGTAACGGCCTCCTTGTCGATGGGGTCAGCACGGCACAACTTGAAAACTGTACAGACTCTGTCCGTTGCGCCTGCATCGCTGGTAACCCAGTACTTGAAACCCCATTCTTCGCGCAGGATCTCGGTGAGGGTGTGGTAGTCCGCCACGGCGGGGATGCCGTCGTATCTGCTGTTGTCAACCCGGAGCTGGAGGTAGTAGACGGATGTACACTTACGAATGGTACGCACTCATGATACTCCACGCGCCGGCGTCCATGATCGCACGCTTGAAGGGCGGCAGCCAGCTATATGGGCCTTGATCAGTCGTGCTGGGCAGAGTGCAATTTTTTCAAGGAGGAAAACATACGTTGTGCGCAAATATCTTTCTCCGCCGTGAACAGGTGCAGTGTTGAGCCCTTGCTCGGGCTGGGCGAAACCCACGAAGTGCTTGACGTTGGCAGAAACGTTGCGGCTTTGAAGAGCCTTGGTGTAGTGGTAGCCGATTTCCCCTGCGAGGAATGGGTCTTCTCCGTATGTTTCCTCGACCTGGATGACGGCTGTCAGCTATAATTTGTCCAGGAGGTGTATAGGGTTTGTCGTACTCGTCCGAAGCGCAGTTCACGGGCGAGGTCAACCACCGGCCCCATCAGGTGGTTGACGCCGAGGGCCGAAGCCTCCTGGGCGATAAGGTGGGCCATCTTCTCAATCAGCTGAAGGGGTATATTAGCTTGTCTAATATAGACTGTCGTGTGTAGGAGAGGAATAGCTCACCTCCAGGTTGAACGAGGATGCGAATCCAATGGGGGAGTTATAGATCGTCGCATTTCCAATCAGGAATCCGTGGATGGCTATACGAGTACCGGATTATAAGCACAAGAACCGGTGCCCGAATAAGACGAAACATACACTCAGTCTGCACAAGCGCGGGAATTCCCAGAGTTGTGTTGTGAAGAAGGTAGTCCTGGGCCCTCTGGACATTGTCCGCGATGTAATCCCAAGGCACGGGGTAGCCAACTAGAAATCCGTCGCCCGTTAGTAACTATCAGGATGATTCTTTTTTGACAGAGAAATATCATACCGTAAAACATTCCAGCCCTATTCTTCATATTCCATTCCAAACCCGTAAGATTAAACTCGCCGGTAGTCTCATTCATCCAATTGGTAATATCACCTACGCCAATCGATTAGCACCCGGTGGATAGAGCGATAGTAACAAAAAGCACCTTGAATCAATTGAGCCATCTTATCTTCAAGCGTCATTCTGCCCAGCAAGTCGGCGACACGCTCCTCCACCGGGGCACTGGGATCCTTGTAGCGAGGCTTCTCATCCTGAGCGACAGACAGGTGCGACAAAAGACCCAGGAGCAAAAGCCCCTTGGCAAAGGCACCGGAAACCATCTCTGTTAACTGGACAGCGTTTCCTCGTCAATTGTGTAAATGTATCGCCTGCCACAGAGAAATGAGAATCGGAAAAATTCCCGACGAGGGGGAATGCGACGACTTTAAACCTCAAGCCATGTTTCTCAACATAGCCTAGCCTGCCGGAGAAACTGCTATGAAAACCTGGTAAAAGATTATACCCCACGTAGTGACCGCAAGGCTAAGGCTAGCTCCAAGGGAACTGCCAGTGCGTACTCCGTATATCGAGCAAACTTTGATGTCGAGGGTCCGGTGATTCTCCGCGTCGGAGCTTGACATAGAGTGGATCGAAAGGGATCACCGGACAAATGATGGAGGAGATCGGTTAATCTCCATACATACAGAGAGTACTATCAATCCGGCTAAAGCATACGGCTAAACTGCGGTATGTTGAATTAATCAATAGTCCACGAATGACCTGATGAAGCTTGTCTCCGCAATTCATTAATTGAATGCTGAACCTTGGCTGCAGGATGGCATTACGGCTAAAATGCATGTACGATCCTCCTTTCCGAGTGATATCCTAGACGAAAGCCTTTGTTGTATAATGGATCATGATCCCATACGATTTTACTACCCCTGAAGATCTCAAGTTGTACGTCCGGTGCTGTGAATCAGGGTCGCAGGCTAAATTTCCATGGGTATACGAATTGACCGTGGCCCACAAGTATTCAGCACGTATCTATCCATCTCCCTATCATGAGCCAGCACTAAACCCACTAGATCTTATCTCATATAACAAAAAGTGGATAATTCCACTATGAATGCGATCATCAATTTCACTGACACTGTCTATCAAAAGCACCTATTCTAACACCGCCTCCCGTCGCTCGCTATATGTTCGTCGGCATCTCGACCATGCGCTTCCGATCATCTAAGTCCATCCATCGGTCGGGATTGTATTCCTCGGGGTGAGGGAAAATATCTGGATCCCGATGAGCCGAGTAAATTGTCATCGATACACTGGTATCACCCGTGGTCCATTGAATCTGCGCACCTTCCGTCGAGATCCGTCGTGGCAAACCAGCCGAAGTAGGGAGTTTCAAATGCAATGCTTCATCCAAACAGGCGCGCAAGAAAAGAAGGTTCTTCACCTGGTCATATGGCACGATCACTTCGTCTTCATCCAGGGCGCGGTCAACCTGGGTCCGCAATCGTTGCAGGTATTTTGGGTGCCGGATCAGCATATCCAGGACTTGGGTTAGGGCAATGGCGGTAGTATCAGCACTGGCGTTGATGGCGCCTACTTCAGCGACGATCTCACCCCATTCCAGGTTATTGGAACATCCTGCCTTATCATCCATGAGAGAAGAGAAGAAGACGTTCAACTTCTCCCCGTTCTGGTATTGCTGCAGCCGCGCCACGGCTCGGTGCTAGATCACGTAGGTCCAGGGTTCACTTTCTTCCCAGACGCGCCGCCACTTGGGAACCAGCTTCGACAGTCTAGGAAGCCAGTGATAATACCTGTAATCCCAGATGAAGACAGACTGGACTGCGCATACGCAGTGTTATCCTGTGACTTATGATAACCAGCACGGCACGTCGTTCCATCCTTCCTCTGCGCGGTGGCCATATCAGACCCTACTCCAACAGACCCCAGGTCGAGGAAAGGGTAATGTTATTAATCGCCTCGATCGTGAGCGTATTAATCTACCGTGGGATCCTCAGGCCGTGGCTCCGTCTCTCCAGGACTCAATGGGGCCGTACACCGCGCATCCAGCGCATCGATAAGCCGGCGGGTAGAATTGGCAACTTTATGTTCCCATCTTTCAAAGTTCTTGGTGGCAAAAGCTGGAGCCATTCACTTACGCTATTCGGCATGCTCTGCTTTGTCGATAGAGTCGAACGGGGCGTGTGGGTGCCTCACGTCACGCATATTTGACATCTTTGATACAGAGTGTGCTGTGCCTGTAGATATTTTTGACAGTGCTGAGGTGTAGTATATGAGCTTTTTCGTGGGCTTCATGTAAGTCCGTCCTTAAAGCGATAGCCACAGGAGCTCAGTTAGCAGTAGGAGAGGTCAGTGATTCCGGCAAAAGGTGCGAAATTTGGGTATTTGCGGGATCTCATGAGGTCGTAGAAGTAGTATATGACTGAGAGAATAAACAAGTATCCTGTTGCGAGGGAGAGGGCAGCGATGGCTGCTAAAGCATAGATACTTAGCATAGTTATGTATGACTCTTGTGATCTTGCTATGCTGAGGATCGAGCAGCGTCCGTTCACTTTCCCCACCTTTGTTGATATGTTCAGAGACTGTCGGAATATGGATATCATTTTCCGACAGTGACCCCATATTGGGCAAATGAAGCTATAAATTATAGACCGCCATTTCGCATTGATAATCCCAGGCCGAGCAATGTTCTGTCAAGTACTTTGATATGCTCTCTTCACAGCCTCAGCCGGCCACATGAGACAGACACTAAAATGCTGCAACAACATCAACGGAACAGTCATATTCGACGGGATCGACCTACCAGGCCTCAGCGAAGACTCCGCAATCCGCTACCACAACATCTGCATCTCCTACCTGATCGAGATCTCCAAAGACCCAGCCGAACTCTGCAATGAAGACGTGCTAACGGCAGCAACCATCCTCCGCTTCTACGAGCAAATAGACGGGAGCCCACTCACCTACCACATTCGCACCTACCCCTACCCACAAACTAACCAAATTACCTAACTCCAGCCCCCTCAATAGACACCGACACAGAAGCCTACCTCAAAGCCGTCCAATTCATAGTACACGCCCAACACGACGACTCCTTCTACGCAGCGCAAACAATCCACGGCCCAGCCCACGACACAAACATCCACCCCTCGCCCGCAATCTCCGGCATTCATAACGAGTGCGGTTGGGATATCGATCTGTGGGGAGTATTTTGATGACACTGGGGAGAGGGAGGCCTTGGTAAGGTTTTTGGGGAAGTTGGAGGTTGGGCATGCTTGGCCGACTAGGGGGATTGTGCGGGCGTTGAGGGAGGCGTGGGCTACGTAAGTATTTAGGGCTAGTATAGTTGGCTCTATACAGAGAACAGGGATAGAGATGTTTGTAGATGGGGCTATTGGGCCTTTTTTCATTGATAGGTACATGGATGAAGCTGAGATTGTACAGGACTTTGGAAGGTAGAAATTGTAGGAGGCTGCAGCTTACCGTCTACGCCTAGGTCACGACCCGAGGTTCGGTATCTTTCTCTGCTGTCTTGTAAATATCTTCTAGAGAGCGGGTCTGCACTGGTGAGCTAGACCCATAACCTCTAGATTACAGTATAGCGGCTTGCCGAAACAACTTGTGTAGCCCACATACGCCGAGCAAGCTAAGAGAGCGCCATTGCATACAGAGACAAAATGATCCAGCTTTGCGCTGATTGATGCAATAAGGCATTGCTCCAGCATGGAATAACATCTCACATTGCTAATTCCCACTGCCAATAGAGAGCATTCCTGCAAGATGTCCAACTTTCGATGACATATGACTACAGAATACCATTTAGAACCTAGCTACTGGACTACGATTAGCCCTAACTCTTCAATCCATAGCTACCTAGAAGTCAAGGCGGAAATTACTCCATCTTCACAACAGATACAAAAGAGCCATAGCCTCAGAGGAAAATGAATTAACAGTGATAGCAATCTCGTGTCTATTTATTTGCGCGCATAGCATCCATTAGATTTAGTACTTCTCTGGGATGTCATTAGGGCAGCTTAACCCAGGGCTAAGCATACTTCCAGTGGAGACGCCAAACATCTGCTATGTTCTGAAGGGAAGTGATCAACGCCTAGCCTACCAGTCATTTGCACTTATAAACTGTCTAATTTGCCGGGCCCTAATAATACGCCGATGATACACGGAATCCGGAATCTTTAGAGATAAACCTACATTCCGCCTAGTCAACGATTATATCCTGTCAACCAGAATTCCCACTAAAGCTCCGCTATCAGCCTCTACCCTACTCCATTTAGATTAGTGCCCTTGATCATTATCTACACTATGATATCGCGTGTATAGCGTCATTTGAATGATCATTTCAGGCCTATAGATATTGCTCATTTTATCATTAGATCAGAAATCAGACCTCTTCATTTCATGATTGTATACCTTAGGATTCAGCGGTAGATTACTAGGTCATACGGAATCCCGCATTTCTGATATATCCTTAACATAAGAAAGCTGCATAAGATGGATCTCCACAGCTCTGCCGGGTTTCAAGCTCCAGGCTGGTCAAGATCCATGAAGATTTTTATATTCCTCCGCACGGGTATTTCGATGTAAGCCCTATAAATGGTCGGTGCATCACTACCCTGGACAAAAAATCAGGCTTCGAAAGAAAGTGGCCTTCTACAGGACCACATTTCTCTAAGCATATTGACATACGTGGAAGAATAAGCTACTAACAAGCATAGTTCGGCGAGCGATTCGGGTTTCCTCGACAAAGGAAAGGGCATTAAGGGCCTGGCGAAGGCTCTCAGTTCTGGATTCGCATATTCCAGTTTTGTCAGGTTGTTCCGTTAGTTAGAGCTGTTGCTCATCCTAGTATTAGGATTTCCGAGCAATGACAGTGTAACATATATTCAAAAGTTCTCAGACAGCAAAGTCACATTCACCAAACAGGAAAGGCTTGATACGGTAGACAACGGTCCTATGTATATGGCTAAGAAGCTCGTCCACGCTCAGGGGGGAGAGAAAGAGGGACTCACTGGCAGAGACGTTTCATTGACGGCAGTGGCGAACGTCGGAGCCGGAAGCGATACGACGGGTCTCAGTCTTAGCTCAGTGGTCTTCTACATCTATCAGAATCCTCGCTGTCTGCAAAAGATACGGGAGGAGATAGAGAATACTGGGCTCGGTTCCAAGAGTGAGATCACCTTCCGGGAAGTGCAGAAATTGCCGTATCTGCAAGCAGCGATTAAAGAGGCGCTCCGTATGCATCCGGGGGTTGGATTTTCTTTGTAGCGGTTAGTACCCAAAGGTGGAGCTGTGATTTGCGAGATATTCTTGCCTGAGGGTGTACGTGCTGTATTTCCTCAATATGTGTTCTTGCATGGTAGCTAACGGAGTGACATCTGCAGGCCAACTTCGGTGTAAATAGCTGGGTCTATCAGCGCAATAAAACCGTCTATGGACTTGGTGCGGACGTTTATCGGCCAGAGCGCTGGCTTGAGGCTGACGGCGAGAAAGCAACGTGCATGGAACAGTGCTTTATGCCCTTTGGTGTAGGTTCTCAGACGTGCATTGGGAAGAACATATACCTTCTGGAGATAAACAAACTGATTCCAATGCTTGTGCGAGACTTTTGACTTTGGCTTTCTGACAAAGGATGGAAGTCCGCAGAGAAGCGAGTATCTTCCTGGAAAGTGTATGTGGTTTGTCAAGCCAGATAACTTGTATGCACGGGTGAAGAGGCAGGGCATCGCTACCGACCTTTAAAGCACGAACTGGGTCCACTGCACCAGGCCACAGGGAAGGTTGGAGCTAATTATAGGTCTAATACGCTCGCTAGTCTGTCAAATTGTGTTTATTCCCGTCGAGACAATGTATTGGTATTATACATATTCACTATATATAGACAACATTAGTAGTCTAAGCGGCTAGCATAGAGCGTAGCTAGACTCCAACCTATACACAATGGGCTCGATGTGCAGTTGTGAAATTCACTCACTGCGTGAAGCCCTTGATAGCTATAATTATAAACAATGCAAGAGCTATCCCTCGGTACATTACTCTAGGCGAGCCGAATGTAGCCATTAGACAGTGATGAAATAGGGCCACCCGTCTTTCTTGTCTGGACGCCTTAGTAACCGTTATGCTGAAATATCTACTAATACATATGACTGACAGTCATAACCTCTGCAAAGTCTATATATATAAAGGGTGCTATATGTACATCAAAACACTTCCACCACTGGGCCCTGGTATACGTTTCTCGCCCGCAGGAAGTAGTATACAATAGCAATGATTATAGTCCCGAAGGTTCCGACCACGCTATAATTCATGGTGGTATAGTCCACTACGGCTTCGGTAGGCCAGAAGCTAAAAAAGATCACGATGATTTGATACGCAACGGCAAACATGTTGACGGCGATGCCAAGGATTCCTGGGACACGGAATGGGCCCCATACCAACGGTGCATTGGGGACGTTCACAGTCATCTCCTCGTTCTCGCTACTGAGGCGAATATCTCCGCGGATGCGACGGTAAAGTAAAAGACCTGAAACTGTCAGATATGACAGATATAAGCCCGAAATAGCCATAGACAGGATGTCATTGAGAGCGACGTCAGAGCCGATATTGATGAGGCCAAGGAGACATGACACGGCCATGGTGAAATAGACAGAGTTAATCGGGACGTTAGAGGTAGTAGAAACCTACAATAATGCGTTAGTCCCCCGTGGGTCACGAAAAGAACAACAGGTGAATAATGATATATACCTTGCCCCAAAATCGCCATCCCGGAATTCCTCGATCACGGGCAAACGACCAGAACTGGCGGGAGGTAGCAGCTAACATGCCGATGGTAGAGCACAAGCCAATCACAAGCAGAATACATATCATAGTAATAGAGCCACCTTTTGAGCCCGTTGCTTGGAGAAAAATCTGCATATACGGATAGCCTGTGGGGGTTTCAAGAGCAGTGCTCAGATCGCCCATACAGAATAAGACCGCAATCAATATTCCGAACCCGAGAGTACCGTTAATCAAGACGGTCATAAGCAGAGCGCGAGGTATGGCTATCGAGGCTTGTTGAACTTCTTCAGCCATCTAGAGTCACGGTCTTTAGCTGCCACTCCGGATATGATTTTAGGAATATCCACAACTTACATGGACAGCAGCGTCGCCTCCTGAAAATGCGAAGACCCCACCTTGCATTCCAAGAAAGAACACAATACCGTTCGAGGACCAGCCACCCTCATTCGTCCACATTGTAAAGACCTCCTTGGCACTTTTGTGATCTGCCATATAGGTGAGAGGGATCAGGATCGCCAGGAAGCCAACAATATGTAGCACAAGGACAAGATTCTCCAAGCGTGGCAGTAGTTTACCGCCGACAATATTAACAGCGAGGGAAACAAATACGCAAGCCCATAGAATAAGAGTCCCTTGATACGGCTGGGCGTTATAATTCTCGAAAGTCAAGATAGCGGCCCCTTGGATCTCGGTGCCACTAAGAAAGGCCACAGAAGCAAATGCGGCTTGCCATGCGAAAACGGTGATCCAGCCTGGGTAAAAAGTCGTAAGCAACGAGAGGTGATTGACTATATTGATCATGTATACCTGTGAGATAGCTCGCAAATTTCATAGAACGAGAAGGTGCAAGCATTGCGCACCAATGGTATTGTCCACCAGATGTTGGAGCCCTATATCGCCCTCGTTCAGTACGGTTTAATATGCGGCCCGGACCACAGTAACCTACATCGAGGACAGCTCGGCGAGAATCACAAAACAAGATGCTGTTCCTATCCATGCAAAGATATACCCGTAGACTGCAGTCGCAGGCCCGCCACTGGTTATTGGGTCAACTTTTATGCTCGATCATGGAGGGAGTAATGAAGACGGACTTTTCCATAGGTATTAGAAAGGTACTGCTTAGATATTAGCACGCATTTCCCTGTCCAAGAGAGTAATGACATGACTTACTCGAGTAGCCCTTCCCATGTTGCGATGATGGTGCAGCTGAACGCGAGAATGGAAAGAATACTGAAGTTTCGCTAAGAAGCAGGCTGATTAGGCTGTCGGATGGGAAAAGCTAGGCTACCATAGAGGGGAAAGAAGAGGAAGAAGCTTACCTTCAACACCGCCTTCTTGCCAATGCGCGCAAGATCCATGTCGTCGCGATCCTTGCCCATATCCATAGGCCCGGCATTGTGGCGGACCGCGGCCTGATTCTTCATCTCATGCGAGGACATACTGAGTATACGCTTCTTCGAGAAGCGTGTGACGAAACAAAAGAAATCAAGAACAAGCTATGGCAGGGAAAAAGGAAGCTCAATAAAATTCTCGAAAAGGAGGGCGGGGAAATATGGCAAAGGAATCCCACAGGGTTGCATGAGCCCTAAAAGCTACTAATGCAGCAGAAGAAGTCGTCGGCGAACCAGTTCAGGATGTAACTACTACTGGCCAGTTTGTTATTGAGTCGGACCATAACGGCGCACTAGTGAGTTATTATCCCTGTCAATTCATTTACTAGCTCCTGCACTGCAATTTCTGTGAGTGTAACGATATATTATAGCGATTGGTCTGGGCTCTCTATTATTAATATTGCTACTCCGAAGGATTACAACCTGACACCGCATGGCGCAAAGATCCCTGTCTAGTCTTTTAAAGGCGTTTTGTCCAGGGTTGAAGCCTTGAGATAGCCCACCTTAACTGTTACTATATAGTGTGCCCCCTTGGCTGGCCCGTTCATGGTTTGGCCCGTGCAACATCATTACCAACCAAAATACCCCAGCATTCTACAAAACAAAAGAAAAAGAAAAAGAAAAGAAAAAGAACGGAAGGACGTCCAATCTAACTTGAAGGGGGCGGAAATGGACGGCTTTTGGGCGCCCAGGAGTCGCTTCATGTTCCGTTCGCCTTAGCGTGCTTGGCACTGTTTGATATGGAGACCAACATTTAACTAAAGGTATACTACCTGGAACTAAATATCGGACGATATGATGTGGTTGGGTATCGCGCCGGCTCCCTCCTGACACCCTACAAGCAAATTGTACAATTGTGCATTGCATCCATCCAGAGGCGTTCAAGTGTAGACACCGTTTTACGCTTCGCCGTGGCCAAAAAATTGTCAATGCATTCCCCCATCCCACCTGCCCTCTTCTTTCGCCCATGTCTATCTCTGTTTAGTATCATACCATACTGATCGATGACACGGTTTGCGGAAGATAGCTGGAACCCGGCGGTTGCGGTCACAGCATGGTTCCTGATGAGTACCACCGTTCTCGCGGTCATTTCTCGACTTATAACAAAATGGCTGGTTTTCCGGAAAATCACCAGTGATGATTATATGGTAGTTGCATCAGTTGTGAGTCGTCCATTGTTGAATGGAAGCTGTACCCCTAAACTACTCACAGAATAGATATTCTGCGTAGGCAACACCATCGCCGTTTCCGTGGCTACTAGCAGCGGCTATGGCGACCACACCGATGCAGTCTCGAGGGCCATGCAGGAAACTGTGATGAAGGTAAGACATTGTAGCTTCGTTGGCTTATGTATCAGCACAGTACTAACGCAAAGAAGTCACAACTAGCCGCATCCCTGCTCGCTATCCTGAGTATATTGTTCTCCAAGTTAGCGATGGCAGTTTTCATTCGTAACCTTACGCCGACATCCCGAGACCACCTTTACGCGCATATTGTCCAGGGGCTGGTGGTAGTGTTCGCAGTGACTACTCTGTTTGGATCGGCTTTTCAATGCCATGCTCCGGACACATGGGACTATATATCCGGTACATGCATTGACAGGGTATGGGACTCTTATGCAACGTACTTGTATGCGAGTGTATTATAACCAGCTATAGGTCGCGTGGGCCACATTTGTCGCTCTCACAAGTGCTATCACGGACATTCTGATCATTATCCAAGCTATGCTCTTAATTAGCCATGTCCAAACTACATGGCAGAAGAAGTTCATGTTTGCGAGCATATTCCTGCCGCGACTGTTGTGCGTATATCTCATTGTCGCCCCAGTAACTCAAACACTGACCCTCCAGTGTCGTCGCTGCTAATGTCGCCCAAATCGCCCTCATAAACACCTACCCCATTTCAGGCGATCCCTTCATCGATACGTCCCCCTCTACAATCTGCATAGAGACCGCCCAAGCTCTCAGCATCATCACTGCTTGCTGGGGCCAGTTGAAGCCCTTCCTTACTCGTCTTCGATCGAACGCGTTCCGCATTCATGGCACAGAATGGTCGAGTACCTCCTACCACAAGGAATCGCGGACGCCTCAATCTCAGACCAGGACAAGGGCAACTACTATACGCCGTGGCTCGGCGCATGAGTTGCAAGAGTTTATGCCCCAATCGGCGTATGGCACACAAACGGAGGTCTTGGCGTCAAATGTGGCGTCTGACTGGGATTCAAGGAGTCAATCCAGCGAGACGCATATCATTCAGGAGACGACGTGGACCGTAACAGAGGCGCGATTAAAATGAACGGCCATGATTCGATGATGGTTGGATTGGTATTCGTTCCTTTGATGCTCTCCTCTTGTTTGTATCAGATACCAAGTGCTCTATTTATTTCCATATCTAACGACTATACATAAATTCTACGTGCTCTCCTAGCTGTGAAAATGCAGCCTTGCGCCAGCCATCTATGGCTTCCGGGCGGGTACATCTGGCATCATATACCATAGACATCTAAATTTCGACCGGAGTTTGAAAAATCCTATCACGGCAAGGTTTGATGCATACGGGTGAATTCCTCAACAACTAACTACAAGCCATCTCATTTCAATGCCAGGGCCTGGTATATCTGCCGACGTGAGCTTTCCTCTCGACATCCTTCCTCGTCCATATCAACGTTTCGATCGACGTCGAGGCACGCCTGAGCATCTAGGGCCCTTCTGTGGCTGGAAGCATCTACGTTACGCTCTCGATCATATCATTGATAATTGGGTTTGGAGGCAGCAAAGCAAAGAGCCAGTGTACCCCATCTCACTCGTGGCGAATTCTACGAGCTAGTGCGACAATCTAGCTCGGGCCATGACAATGCCTCCAACTATAGATGAGGGATTGTACCATCGGCAACGGCCCACCAACAACCTAGCCAAGAACGACAGGGGCATGTCATGCCATTTTCGTCCAATCCGGCCTGTTTCACAAGAATCCGGCGTCCGATCATGACCAGAACGAGCCATGGCTTGTGAGATCAGGGTCATTCTCTTTCCTTTTTGTCTGCAAAATGGCTACCAAGACGTCGACGCTCAATAACCAGCCGCCCCTAACCTTTTGAAGGAGATATATACTCCAAACCGCTGCACCTCGCTGGTCCCGCATCCCTTCCCGGTCTTCGACATCGAAGACGCCGACATCGAGGCTCTGCCGACGGTCCAATTTCCGATGATAAACCCGCCCAAGACGACTGGAAGCCAGTTGGACCATTATGGAGAGTATTTCAATGGATTGCAGTGAAGAAGCACTGGAAGAACCATGTGATGGGAGAGGATGCGTAAACAGACTTCGTAAAGGAGTTCATCGACAGATTTGGGTGGGGAACAGCGATATCAGAACGTGAAGTTCAAGCGACTGTATAAGCAGTTCAATGACCTGTACGTTGCGGCGCCACTGTTGACGAAATAGGTGATCTATCTGTATTATGTTATAAACAGCTTTTTTCGCCATCGGCCGCTAATCTCTAGTGGGCGGGCCAAGGAGTGGTGTTAATTTGGTTTGACCGTACGCCAGATTTCTGAATCTAAGACATGGGATCACAAATTAGGGTCATGGTACTAGCGAGCCGGTCTTTTCGCTTACAGGGGTGCTTCTTATACTCATTATATATTCTCTGGAAGCATCAATCTTGGTAGGATAGCCGAAACTACACCTTACCCTTCATTTGGTCCTTGCGAATATTCAAAATCAACCGCTCGGTTGCTAGGAAAAAGATGATACCACGCTACAAGCTCTAAATTCTGTATTAAACACTATAAACTACAAAAGCTAACACCGTGGCTGGTAGACTAAAGCCTACCCAAGAAGTGTTTGAACAAAGAAGCAATATGTACGGAAAAAAAAGTGAACCAGCCACCCGAAAGAAGAGCATCAATTTCACGCACTCGTATTTGCGTCGGTTTCCTCCTCATTCGTTTGTGACTCGGTGATCCGCTCACGCTCGTTGCCTGGACCATTCACTTTACGTAAGGTACCGCCTAACCACGCGAGGCCTCCACTCCAGGAATCACTTAAACTGCGAAGACGAGATACAGAAGTAGAAACATCAGGCTGCGGGGTTTGCGACGCGTTCTCTGCATCCAGTGTAATGGTCGATTGCCCTGCTGTGACAGGGGCAGTGGCAATGTCACCAGTAGAATTAAACCTCGCTGTTGGCAATGCCCCTCGGGCGTTCAGGCCCTCCTCAATGTTGGTGGGCTCTCCGTCTCGGCTGCGCAGGAATCCATCTAGGATGGTTGTACTGAGCTGCTTGCCCTTATGCCTTCGCAAGAACTTGCGATCCTTGGCCGGACTCGTTTCGCCGCGACGCAGAGACTCTGCTACCACTGCACTGAACCCTGCGGAAATGGTCGGAAGAAGCGGGCCAGGTGAAAATCGTGACGAGATCGAATTCCGCAGTCTGCGCGCTGGTGGTGTTTGCGGAACAGTAGCACTTCGGGGTCCTGCCTGCATGTCTTCTACTCCAGGGGGAGCAGGAACTTTGAGGCTATTATTTTCAATGCCGGGGGCAGGTGGGAAACGAAGAAGGACAGGTGAGTCGGATGTTGTGGGCCCGGACTGCCCTGGGGGGGTAACTGGACGGCGAATCTGAGGTTCAGATTTGGAGGTATCAATGGCTTGCTCGTGAGCATCCGCCCAAGGATTGGTCAGGAGTGAGTTGGGGTGCATCGGAGGGGAAGGCTCTGGTGATTGCTGGGTAAGAGAGTCGGCGGTCAACGAACTGACGGGAGACGACGGTGCGGCAGGTGAAACACCCCTGGGAGTGCGCTGATCTTCATCAACCCCTTCAATACCGTGACTGAAGAACGACCCAGAGGGAGACTGTAGACGATCTTTTTGGGGTTCCAAGACCCTCTGTGGATTCCGTACTCTCACATGACGCGCAGGAGGCGACATGTCGACGCTATCACGGTATCTCTCTCCGTCCAGCAGGCCAATGGCTTCCTCTTCGTCATCGACCGAGTATGTAGACTCATCGTCACTGCGGATCCTGCCACTGGTGATGAAATACACCCCCAAGAAGGTCAGGCCGCAGCCGCCGATAAACTTTCCAGCGCGGTCAAACGTGTAATTTTCGAAATCCCGGTACAGCACCGCACTACCGATAATCACAGAAAGTGTGAAGAGAACGAACTGGGTTGGAATCACCTGAGTGGAATCAAAGCGCTGCAGAGCGCGGTTGATGTAGCGAATCTGCATTAACGCGCTGAAAACGAGGACGAATACTAGAAGGTAAGTGATCGGAAATGTAATGACATGCCACAATGTGAAGGACAACAATGACGAAACACCCTTGGTTGACAAGGCAGTATATCCACCTAGACCCGAGAATGAGCAGTCGTCCAAATGAGTAGAAGCAGCTTGTGCTTATCACATACCAAAAAGTCCCACCAGCCCGACATCAATCAGGACCGTCCGCGGCCCATATTTACGACTTGCCCACAAGAGCCCGGTTATCAACACGGTGGAAACGCCCAGATACGTCAGAAACTCCCAACGGGTGATCATTACCCAAATATCATGCGGTCCGATTTTCTCCTCAGAGGAACTAGCGCTGAGAACCACCACCACCGCACCGGTAATCGCAACAAGCACGCCCCAGAAGTCGCGCCCCCGAAATTTCTCTTTCAGCATAATTGGCGCAATAACACAATTCGATATTAAAGCCACGACGCCCAATGGGGACACAATTGATGCAGGAGCAAAGCCATATGCCATGAAATTCCCCACCTCGCCGACGCACATCAACACAATTCCGACCCACCAGTACGGAGAGCGGAGGTACGATTTCCGGCGCAGATCCCCCGGTCGCACGGTTCGATCCGACATGAACGATTCGTTCAATTGGTGCTGGAGGGAATGCGTGTCATCCTCATCGTCTTCAGGCTCGAGATCAATATGAGGCTGATCGTGATGCACGAACCGGACTTCTGGAGACTCGTCCCTATAACGACCGAAGCGACGGTTCTGGTCCCTCCCCCGTGTTTGGCAGTCGTCATGTTCATGTTCTGTAACCGAACCATAAGCGTTTGGCGAGTCCCGGCCTGGATTCGCGCGTTTCCATTCAGCTTCCTTCTGTAGCTTTTCATGTTCCAATTCCCGATCGATCCGGATATGAGCATAGCGCTGAATGTTGAGAGCTAAGGAAATCAAGACGTTGCCGATTAGTGCTGTCACGATACCGATGAGAGAAGACCACTTATGCATTCCTCCTCCTCCACCCCCGCCGCCATCGTCATATCCGGGGTCCGAGGCCAACGTCGGAGACGGCTGGGATGAAGGGGAGATATACGGTAGCGGAAGGGTCGGCGTAGGCACGATGGAAGAAACGAAAGTCGTGAGCAGACCTGCTGCTAGGGGCACATCGTGGACGTAATCCATTCGGAATTTTCGAAGATTAAAAGCAAGGGGAGTGAAGGGATAGGGATAGGGGACAAGTCCGCTGTCACCGTTGGGGATCGTGATTATGGCTGAAACTCCAAAGTATCATTTATCCACCCGCTGTATCAGTATATAGAGTGAGATTGATGCAATCGCACAGTTCGTCTCAGATACTTCGGCAAAATTTCAAGCCTAGACGAGTGTTCATGCTGTTAAGGACAGCCCCATTGCCCTACGACACGACTAAATCTCCGAAGTGAGATACCACTCTCCTCTCAGGGAAATATCAAACCACACCTCCCAGCGTATTCAAGGAGGAGCAACCCGGATTAGATCTGAATATCCACCTTATACAAAGCGAGCGGTGGTTCGTGTCAAAAAACGATTTGCGATGTGGAGTGGGATTCGACGGAAGGTAGCCGAGAGAAGCCGGAGACGTCAGGAGTCAGATAGTAGAACTAGATAGTGCCTAGACTAAGATCCAACAGGTCGCACGTGCAATATCGCTAGTAATGATGGGGAGCATAAGCCCAAGCGCAGCATCGTGAAAGACAGGAGTCTTGGGGGAGGGGAGAGGGTCCAAGCTAATGTATTTCCAAACTAGTAGAAGGAAGAACAACACTATTGAAAGATGCTCGGAAGCTCAATTTTAATTGGTTCGACTCTGACTAATGACCATCCAAGTATGGATTTTCCTCGAAAACGTCATCGAGCGGATCAAATAAAATAAGCATTTATCTGGAGAGAGCAAAAGCAGCGGTGAACTGATAATAATTATACCTATATGCTAAAGTGAAAAAGAAAATAAAATTATGTGGCTAGCAAGGTTCCTTATTCCCAGCATATACTTTTACAATCCAATCATCGCCGGGCTCTTTTCTTGTTCGGCTCTTCCTCTTCATCATCACTAATCTCCCGATAGATGGTTTTCGGCTGGGTTTCCTTCCATGCCTTGGTAAACACTGGATCTTTTTCGGCCTTCTCCGCATATTTCAGTAAGGCTTCTCGTGGATCCTCATCGCGCATCGAACTGAGGGGAATGTTCTCCCGAATATGCTTCTCATCCGGCTGCGATTTGGCAAAAGGGGTCTGTGCGGGTAGATGAGGTCTCCGCGGATCCCTGGACCGACCTGAGGCCGTGAGCCCAATGGTTGGGTGCCGCGAGGACCAGGTTGCCGAGCTGTAATGGGGTACACCGTTCGATCCGACCACAACATTGTCACCCGAGATACCTTGCGAAAGATCCATAGTAAGACTCGGGTCATCATCGATGTGGCGGCGTTTGGGTGCCTTCGACATGACCAAGGCAGCTCCCTTGGACGACATGGTAGGGTTGTAAAGTACGTGTGTCTCGGCATTGGCGGACCCAGTGAGGATCTGGTTGAGCTTCTCGTGCCATTGGACAGTAACCAGAGGCGACCCTGGTGTAACTGGCGTTACCAACTCCGGCTTTAATGTAGCAGGGTTCAAGATGTGCAGATGGCCGGTTTCTGAGCCTGTGACGACATTTGCGGAAGTGGGTGAGAATACAATATTCGAAGTCGGGTATCGGAATGAGCTAGACGGATGCGCCACTGTTGTGATCGGATTCTTGAACTTCCTAGTATCCCACAGCTTAATAGTATCGTCTCCACCCTTAGTGACAACCAGTCTCCCATCCGAGCTGATGTCCAGTCCGCTAGTCCATGTGTCGCGCGTATGAGCATCCCGGATTTCGCCACTAGGCCGAGTAAACGGTCCATTTCCACTCCACATCATTAAGCTTCCATCAAGAGCAGCTGCAACAAGAACGTTAGATCCACCCTGCTTTGGGGAACCCCATGCAATGGCAGTCATCTTGCTCCGACCAGCGGATCCAGCCGCTCTGGATTTGTGCATAATCACTTCTTTCTGTGATCGCCCGATATTGGCGTCCCATATACGTACCGTACTATCTGTCCCTGCCGTGGCACACAGGTTCTCGTCGGTGGGACACCATACGCCGCTGCTGACCTCCGATATATGACCCTTGGTATTATGAAGGTCTCTCAAATACATGTCTCCTTTCACAAATTCAGTAATCGTCTCACCGTCGCGATCGAGGATTCTTGGTTGGGGTGTAGCCGAAACGACCATTACGTAGCTCGGCGATAGGGGATTGAACGCAACATAATGCACGGCGTGCGCCTCCTGCGCGGCGGACTGCTTTTTGGCCGAAGGATCCACGGATTTGAAGGCGCGCACAGTTGAGGGTGTCATAGAAGCAAAATCATGTAGCTTTATTGTACAATCCGCGGATCCAGTAATCAAACGCGAGCCTGATGGGTCCACTGTGAGAGTTGTAACGGCGCGCTCATGAGTTTTCAGCAGGAGCTCATGAGAGACGGGAAACTCGTCCTCGTCATCATCATCCGAGTCAGAATCATCTGAATCATTATCGCTATCACTTTGGCTCTTGTCTTCTTGTTCATCAGCACCAGTCTCAATGTTAGCTCGTTCGTCGCTAATCACTGCCTTCGCATCATCGGCGACGGCCTTGGCAGACACATTTGTCCGCTTGGAGCGGTCTATCTGAGTGGTAACGTCGGTCTTTGTTTCTTGTTTCCCGAAGCTTCCTGGGAAGAACTTCTTGAAAGCTTCTTCATCAAATCCGTCCATTATGTGCTGCTGTGTAAGTGGTTTTTCGGATTGCGCAAGGAACTGTGACTTGACGGCGGCGATATATCAGTACAGTTTGCATGGGTTGTGATGTTTGTATCGTTTGCACCATAGCTCCCGCAGATGTTGTCGACCCGGAGGACCGAATTGTATTGTCCTGTCTACACGAGCATTGCGCCGATCACTTTATTTTGAATTCAAGCTGTTAGACCATTGAATAGACTATAACTGTAAGAATCGCTACACCAAATAGGGCATTTGCGTCATTGAATCTAAACTAGGTACACCACAAAATGCATTACAGGTACAAGCCCTCCACAGGACCTCCATCCTGCTTTGTCTTCATGATACGTTCCCTAGCAGCGCGGAAATCATCCATTTGCACTCTCATCCGGCGTTCTCTCAACGCCATCAGACCAGCTTCAGTGCAGATCGCTCTGATATCCGCGCCAGAGAGGTCGTCCTTCTGATTGATAAACTCGTCAAGGTCGACGTCATCGCCGAGAGACATCTTGGAGGTGTGTAGGGTGAAGATCTTCTTCTTGGTATTTTCTGGACGCTGTCAACAAGTAGCTCCTCAATTTTTCTCACAGGGCAACACTTACGGTCTGGGTTCTCAAAGAGAATCTTCCGGTCAATACGACCAGGGCGAATCAAAGCAGGGTCCAGTGTCTCGATCTTGTTCGTGGCCATGATAACCTTGACATCACCACGGTCATCGAAACCGTCCAACTGGTTCAGAAGCTCAAGCATAGTACGCTGGATTTCTCGTTCACCACCCGATGTAGAGTCGTAACGCTTCGTTCCAATGGCATCAATTTCATCAATGAAGACAATGGAAGGTGCGTGTTCCGCAGCAACCTGGAAGATCTGTCGTACCAAGCGAGGTCCGTCACCAAGGTATTTCTGGATAAGTTCACTACCGACAATACGGAGGAAAGTGGCACTGGTTTGATTGGCGACAGCCTTAGCCAGCAGCGTTTTTCCGGTTCCCGGAGCACCGTAGAGAATAACACCCTTGGGGGGCTTGATACCCATCTCTTCATACAATTCGGGGTGCAGTAAAGGAAGTTCGACAGACTCTCGGACTTCTTGAATCTGAGACTCGAGGCCACCGATATCTGCGTAAGACTCCGTCGGTGCTTTGTCGAGCTTCATCACCGACACCAAGGGATCGGACTCCTCGGTCAGCACACCCACAACTGAAACAGATTTGTGATGCAACAGAATGCTAGCACCAGGCTCCAGCAGATCCTTGTCGACAAAGGACATGATGGAGACATAGTACTCCGGCCCAGTGGCGCTAGAAACAATGGCATGGTCGTCGTCAATCAACTCTTCCAAGTTACCGACTCCCATGGGAGTGCCTCTCATGTCATCGACACGGCCCCTTTCATCTGCATTCCGATCCATAATGTCAAACTCGCTTCTGCTGACAGAGTCCTGCGCCGCTTGTGCCTTGGTCTTGCGTAAACGCTCCATATTCTCGACATACTCCTCTTCTAGTAACAGGTGGTCGTGGACCCGTTGCATGCGCAAATACCGTAGTTTGCATCGCGAGGTTGGGTATATATCAGGTAGCTTAGAAGCCGTACTCGGGCCGGCAGCCTTGCGCTTCTTACGTCCAACGCGAGTCGTGGGAGGAGGGGGTGGTTCGTATCTAGGCTTGTCCTTCTATCCAGGGCCGCTTTGTAAGCGACTGAAGCCGTCTCAATGAAGCAGTCCAGCTCACCTTCTTATCCTTATCATCTCTTCCATCGCCACCGGAGCCCCCGCCGATGTTGGACTGCTGGTTACCCTATCGTGAACGATGTGTTAGACAGACCGTGATATGACTGAATGAGACAGTGACGACTGTGAAGTTTGGGTACCAACCATAGTCCAAGTGTGTGCCGCGGAATCAACAAGACGTTCGCTATAGTTTGATTAACCGAGCCAAGTTATTCCGATGTAAGTGATTTCTATACTCAAGGGGTTGTTGAAGGACGGGAGGGAGGATGAATGAGGAATGATGATGAGCTTTCGGGGAAGCTTGGAAGCTGTTGTCGTTGTCGACATCCGTCGGCCTTAGGAGGCTTGGCCACCGCAGTCCCCGCACGTGACCCAGGAGCTGCCCACAGTCCTTTTGATGCCTTGCGGTTCAGGCAGTTTTAAACCAAATCAATGTCAATAGCCGGTGCGTCGGATTTACTCCAGAACTCTTACTACGTATTCATGAGCATGTCTACAGTTCCTGCAACCCAGTTGGATTGAATCTCGAATTAATAAGGTATTAGAATCCAATGGACTTCCTCTGACTTCTCATCCAGTTGTGTCACCTATTTCTTTCCATCCCACTTGAGCTATTTAGTATACCCGCAACAAACCCTCCCCCGCGACGTATCCCCTCGTCTTACCATAAAAACCACCCTCTTTCAGGTAAGGCTCTCCCCACTACTGTCTTATCTTTAACACCCTGCGCCCTTTCTTTATTCTTTATTCTTTCCTCCCCTCCTGGCGTTCCGCTCTTTCCTCAACCTTCCGTATGGGGTCGTACCTAACAAAGTGGATCTATAGCTCGGGTTTGCGCATTGTTCCTTGACGTCAAGCTCTTCTTTGGCGCCTAACCACCCCTAGCGTAAAAGTACTCCCAACGACCATTCTGTCTCCTGTTTTCTTAACCCACGCGACTTAAAATTCCGAAATATACCCATGGCATCCAACAAAGCTCGGCGTATCGCAAAGGAAATCGCCGATATCCAGGCAGATACGCAGTCAGGAATCACGGTGGAACCAGTGGATGGCGATGAGGACATCACACATCTTCGGGGGACATTCCCAGGGCCTCCAGGTACTCCATACGAAGGTGGTACCTACGCCGTGGATATAAAGATACCAGCTGAGTATCCTTTCCGGCCGCCAGTAATGAAGTTTTATACCAAGGTCTGGCATCCGAATATCAGCAGTCAAACGGTGGGTAGCCAATCTATGCATATATGGGATAGTTTTCTAGACTTATCTAACGGCTGTTATAGGGAGCTATCTGCCTTGATACTCTGTCAACAGCGTGGTCCCCGGTCCTCACCATCAAGTCCGCTCTTTTGTCGCTACAATCTTTACTTAGCACGCCAGAACCCAAGGACCCTCAAGACGCTGAGGTCGCGACTATGCTCCTACGGAAACCAAAGGAGTTCGAGAGGGTTGCCCAAAGCTGGGCTACTCTGTATGCTGGAGCTCCCCCTAAGAATGCGGGAGAGGGCAGCGGAGGTGCAACTGAAGAATCGCTGCGACAACAAGAGTTGAGGTCAAAGGAAGAACAGGAGAAAGAAGATTTAGCTAAGTATGTCTTTCATCTGTCTTCCCCTTTCTACTCGATCACCGCTTCTTACAACTTTGCCACAGGTACGATGGATACAATAAAGACCTGATCGACCGCTTTTGCAGCATGGGCTTCGATGTGGACCGCGTAGTGGCCGCTTTCAAGTACTACGGTATTGACCGAATGAACGGAGAAGACTATGAACTGGAGGAGGCCTACATGGGCGACGTCACTGCACGGCTTCTTGGTGAGCCGTAGGCAACCCTAGTAGTCGAGGACAGCAGCTGATCGATTTCTTCTTGACTATTGAGGTTGAATGAAACTGATGAAGCATGGTGCCTGGCGATATTTATATTTTTACTTTTTTTTTCATCCTAACTTGTTACCCTCTATATGTTTACATGATGTTAAGGTGTGTTCTTGTGGGAGATTCCATGCGGCGATGTCCAATATACCGAATGATGTTTAGCAAGCATTCCAATCAATTATGTCTTCTATTTGTTCGAGCAATAAATAATTCAATCAGCAAAGTAATACTCCGTAACCATGGTTGTAATGATTAAATTACTATGCTATCGATAAGCACGTGGTGGGCCTTCCTAAGCTCTTTCTCCGCCTTCAGATCTTCAGTACTTCTTTCACTTTTCTCCAATGACTAGCCAGGGATTCAAACACAAGCCATCTTATAATCATACAACCCCTTATTAATCGAAGGCTTAATAGCCCTATTTGCCATCCATTTTACAGACTTAATCAACCTCGATATAGACGCACCCTCGTTCACCCACCATGATCGAGGACGATTTCTACCGCTCCTCATCGCAGTTCCGACTTTGGTCCTACACAGAGTCCTCCTTAAAATCCCTGCGCGCGGCCACAAATGCGAACGCCAGTGAGCGCGTACGATCTGCGCTCCGGAAATCACGAGGGGCGCAACAGTCAGCCACCTCGTCCGCAGCAGGAACGCCGGCAGCACACCAGATTGGGAGCGATGCAGATAGCAAAACAGGCGGGGAAGATGCTGAGGTCGAGTGCTTAACGCCGGACGAGGAGCATCAGCTGGTGCGATATTTCTGTGAACAGATCATAGAGCTTGGGGAGATGTACAAACCTCCACTCCCAACCATAGTACGGGTACGTTTGCCATATACTTGAAGAAACCCCCTCCCACCATCTATACCAAAGCAACCAAAGCTCTCAAGAAGTAATATCTGACCAACGAAACCACGAAACCACCAACAGGCCACCGCAATCCAATACCTCCGCCGCTTCTACCTAACCAATTCCCCAATGACCTACCACCCCAAATCCATCATGCTCTGCGCCCTCTTCCTCGCCACAAAAACAGACAACTACTACCTCTCTCTTCGCCAGTTCGCAGAAGTAATCCCCGGCGACACGACAGCAGAAGAGCTCATCCAGCCCGAGTTCCTGGTCATGCAAAGCCTCCGCTTCACTTTCGACGTCCGCCACCCCTTCCGCGGCCTAGAAGGCGGCATCATGGAACTCCAAGCCATCGCGCAAGGCATGGGCCAACCGTCACCACACTTCCCAACCCAAACGCCCGACGACCTCAAACGCAGACTCCACTCGCTCCCCCCATCCCAAACAGTATCCTCCATCAATGACCGACTTGCCCGCGCACACCACACCACACGAGAGACCCTCAAATCTGCCGCCCAAATGACAGACGCTTACTTCCTCTACACACCCTCCCAGATCTGGCTAGCGGCATTCATGCTCGCAGACCGGCCGCTGGCAGAATTCTACCTCGACACAAAACTCGGCGGTCCTGTCGCGGAGGGCCAACAACAAGAAAATCCCCTCTACCAGCTCCGAACCAAGCTCCTCCGCACCTTAACTGATTGCTCTAACCTGCTCCAAGCGTATACGCCCCTCGCCTCGGATCCAGACCAAAAGAAGAACCTAAGACGCATTCGGAAGAAGCTCTACCACTGCCAGAATCCGGAGAAAGCTGACCTAGCGGGCCAGAAGCGTATCCCTGCGGCTGCGGCAGCAGCAGTAGCTGCAGCCGGTGACCCGGCGACGTCCGAAAGCGAAATGGAGCGTCTTGCAAAGAAACGGAAACTGGAAGGAGGACAGCCGAAGGATATGTTTGGGGGTGAGCTGGTGACGCAGCGGACCAAGGAGTCGCAGCCTCAATAGCAGAAAAATTATAGAATTATGGTCGGTATATTATTAGATGAGTTTTACTAGCGAAAAGGAATACATGTCAACCCGCAAAACGTGCATTAAATTATGTCTAAACTTTTGGCTGAACTTCTTGTTGAACGGAGAAGAATCCCGTAGACCATGTCATCGTCATTAAGTTCTAAGCCCTGATCCCAATGCAAGGACCATCAAAAAAGAAAAAAAGGAGGGAATCCCTACACAATCTCTATAACAAACGGCAAAGTGATATAATAGGTGTAAAGAAAAGGGTGGGAAAAAAATAGATTGAACCCCTGAAACTCAAAAGGGTCTAGCAGGGAATGAGGTATGAAACACAGACAGACCATCTAATAAAAATAAAGCAACCCAAACACGCAAGAGCAGATATCTCCAGATATGTATGTAAGAAAGAAAACCGTCCCCCGCCCATGTCACTGTATCACTCAGGATGGATCATTTCTCCTGTAAGAAACTTTTTTTTTTCAAACTCCCCTGCAGCTTTTGAAATTCTCATTGTCGTCTCTGACATTCCAATCATAACAAGAAGCGTCGTTTTCCTTCGTTTTATGGTATGCCCTATTTTTAGACAGCACCGGAATCAATCATCTTCTTGCGCAGGTGGTTCTTGTACTGGCCAATAGTGCCATCCCACCGGGTGACGGTCTTGTTCTCACAGACCATGATATCCTTGGCGATCTTGTCGAGGAGACGGAAGTCGTGGGACACGACGACGACACCACCGCTGTAGGAGTTGATGGCATCGGCCAAACTGTCAATGGTGGGGATATCGAGACCGTTGGTAGGTTCGTCGAGAAGGATCATGTTAGGCGCTTCGATGGCCAGCAAAGCGAACACGATACGGCTCTTCTGACCCTCGGACAGAGTGCCCATCAGAGCAGTCTGGGATTCACCACTCAGACCGTAACGGCCAAGCTGTTGACGCCAGTACTGGTAATCCTGACTCTTGTCGGGGAACTTGTCGCGAACGAAGTCAAGAGCACATTTGGTCAGGTCAAGCTGTTCAGCGGAGTGCTGACTGTACATGCCCAACTTCAAGTGAGTGTGACGACTGACACGACCACCAATGGGTTGCAACTTTCCAGTCATGATGCGCAGCAGGGTGGACTTGCCAACACCGTTGGGGCCGACCAGGGCAGTTCTAGAGTCCATATCAACACCGAAGTCAAGGTGCTCGTACAGAGTGTCTTCCCAGTTGCCAGAATAGGAGAAGCTGACGTCATCGAAGGACAGAACCGGAGGAGGAAGCTTCTCAACATCCGCGAAGCGGAAGCTGAAGACTCTGTCGGGGACAACGGGCTGGATGAAACCCTCGGCCTCCATCTTGTCGAGGATCTTCTGGCGCGACTTGGCCTGTCTAACCAAGTTGGCGTATGTACCGGCGGAAGCAATGAACTTCTTAATGTGGGCAATTTCTTCCTGCTGCTTGTTGTAGGCCTTCATCTGGTTCGTCTCCTGTTCGCTACGGGTCTTGTGGTAAGAGTCGTAGTTACCACCGTAGTACAGGAGCTGCTTCATGCGCATATCGATCATGGTGGTGCAGACACCGTTCAAGAAGTCCATGGAGTGGGAAACCAGGACGAGGGTACGGTCCCATTTCTTCAGGTATTCTTCCAACCACACACAAGCCTCGAGATCCAAGTGAGCCGTAGGGTCGTCCAGCAAAAGCAAGGAGGGCTTGACGAAGAGAGCCTTGGCAAGGGCCACACGCATACGCCAACCACCAGACATATCCTTGGTCTTCTTGTTGATCGTGGTCTTGTTGAATCCCAGACCAGTCAAGATCAAGGAGGCACGGGTGTGGAAGGTGGAGGGATCCATTTTGTCCATACGCTGAATGCACGGTTAGCGAGATCGGGGCTATCTCGCATTAAATAGGGTAACTTACATCGTACAGATCCTCCAGGATGGGGCTGTCTGGGCCTTGCTCCTCAAGGATATCTTCAGCCTGCTTTTCCATACGATCAAGCTGATTCTGTGCCTCCGTGACGACCCATTCTAGGGCACCGAGATCGGTAGGGGGGGCACCTTCGTTCAGAAGGTAGATATCGATGTGTTCGGGAATAGGGTATTCACGCTGGGCGATCGACTTCAGCAGAGTAGACTTGCCACAGCCGTTCTCACCCAGAAGACCGTAACGACGACCGAAGTTCAGCTCGAGGGTAGAGTCGGTGATGAGGACCTTGCCGTGGAACACCAGAGAAGCAGAAGTGACCTTGACGTCACGAGAGGCTTCCATGGAGGAGAGCACACCAGTTGTGACACGATCCGAAAGACCATGCTTGTCCATCTGGGCTGTGAGCTTCTCAACCTCCTTCATCTTCTCAGAGGTGGTGGCGGGCTGGTCATCAGTCGGGACGTCACTGTCGACCACGGGGGACTCGTCGCCATCCTTCTTGCCCTTGCCGACCTTCTTCTTAGTGTCGCCACGCTTGGCCAAACGAGCGGCTTTGGATGCAGACACCATTTTGTCGGATATATGTGTTGGTATATGAGAGGGGGGGGGGGAGGGGGGTTGAAATCGGCGGAAGCGGGAAAGGGGAAAGAATCAAAGCCTGTCGGTAAGGCGAGAAAGAAGAGAAAAAAGAACCTGAAGTAAGTGGATCAATAATAGCGGGGTCGAAGGGGGTCAACCAAAAGTCTTTCTGTTCTCTGAGTGGGTGGGGTGAAGTTTTCTTGGAAGCCCTTATCGATAGAGAGCACTCGGAATAGTAATCGTTTCGAAAAGAACCCCAACGTTAGTCCGTAATAAAGGAAAACGAAAAGAAAATCCGAAAACGATATAATATATAGACCAGCAACTCAACTGAATACTGTCTAGTGGCGATTAACCGAAGATGCTAGTGCCCGGGACGATAAATAGAAGTCAAGAAAAAAAAGGAGGAAAGAGATTGATGACTTTGATTCAACGCCTTCAATAAAATTCCTTCTGTGGGTCCGGCTCTGATTGGCCCTGCGACGTCACCGCACGGGTCGTGGCGCAGTCTAGCCTCCTTTGGGCACCAAGGCCACGTGATTTACAGCCTTACGCCCAAGGCATGACTCTCCAATGGTCAGCAAGGAGACATGAGGCAACATTTCCCTTACTCATCGCCGAGAGTTTCCATGTGTGTACTACTGTCTGTCTGACACGTAACATGTAGTCTTCCGGTAGGATCGCATCTCTTCGGAGACTGCATACATCCAAAGATATTAGTAGTAGGCATGTTTGTGCTGTATATACTTAGTACGTCGTCAATGCCAATCACTACTGCTGTGGACTTCCAACAGAGAATCGCTACTGTTCATGGCAACCGCTTGATAGACGATAGTCGAAGGGTTCAAATGTGTGATATTGGACAACAAGGTTATATGCATTAACGTATTCGCTGACTGATCTTTTCCAAACATGCCATCTCCTCTGCCGTAATCCAGAGATTGTCGGGGACCGAAACCTTTCCTTCCTGTATAATAATTTGTAATGGAACGGTAGTCTGACTATCGTCATCTGATGCAGTAGGGGCCCAGGTCCCTTCTTTCTCCCCTCCGGCACTTTCGGTGTCTTCCACCTTAACACGGGGAAGAGGATCAGGAGTCCACCAATACACCGGAAATCGTCGTTGGATGTTGTTCATCAACAGTGCCACCGCCTGCATAAGGACACTCCCGAGTAACATGATCAGGACCAGAAACCAGCCGATTTTATGCCCTTCAGTGACCGCCAGGAGAGCTGTTGCGCCCGCCGGCGGGTGAACCGTCTTCGTCAGAACCATCACTGCCGTCGTAATCCCACAGGCCAGAGCTCCGCCAACCTGGGGCAAGGAATTAGCATGAGGATTTAAAGCGAAGAGCCTCCCGATCCCAATGCCAATAGCGCTCGCCATGACCTGGCTCAGGACCGCATTGCGCGGCTGCGCAAATGGGGAGTCAATGGCGCTAAATTCGAGCACAGCTGCAGCACCCTATCCGAAAAATTAGTTTGCTGATCATTGCAGGGGTTCATGCGACGTGGGGCCATGTACATACAAAACTGGCCACAATAATTGGCGCATGGTGGTTCTGGAAAGAGGGGATGTGCAGGGATACTTCCGCGAGGATTAATACGCCGCAGAAGACCCCAATCAAGGACCAGAAGGCGATCACAATGTTCCCGAGGGCTTTTGGCGGTTTGTCCCCTCTATATCCCAGAAAATGAGAGACGGGCCGGGGTAACCAGCGCCATGGCGGTGGTGGTATCAACGGGTTCAGGTATGTGTCAATATCCACATGCCAGCGGGTAAAGTCAACGTTCCCTAACATGGGGGCTGACTGGAATATGTCCTACACGCGAGATGGGTTGGTGTGTGCTCTGTCACAAACACATCCTATGCTTTTATGTATCTGGTGAGGTCAGAGCCGATTGGCACGTATCAAGAGGTGCAAAGTATCTCATGCAACGCTAAGTATTAAACAGAAAGCAACTCTTAAGGATGGATGTACAGGGAGTAACAGAAGAAGAAATACAGGAGAATTTTCTGACGACAACAACAAAAATGGAGAGAGAGAAGGGGCCTAGGCTTAGCCGAAAAGTACCGGTCAAAGGACAGGGAGGTGAGGACTTTTGACTACTCAATGTCTGACTCCGGTTACCCGATGACAGTTGAATAGCAAATGAGAAGTGGACACTCACCAGCCTGGACCGTTAGGGAGGGAATGGAGACTTAACCCGATGACTCTACATGCAAAAGGTTCATCGAAGCGCCACTGGAGGTTTGGGACCATGGGGTACTTTTCAGGATTTAGTCGCCGAGGATTGGCCTTAATTGCCCAAGAAAGACTGTCAAGGCTGACCGTTTCTGTCCTGTATCTCCGCGGAATAGACACAGAGTCAACCGCTAGAAGGGAGAGTAAAAACATTGCTTCGCCTGGAAGGGATGACGATGACCGTATTGAACTTCTTGGGTCTGCCATTGAGCGCATTTCAATTAAGTAACAGATTTCCTTGTTAGGTTTAGCGCCATGGAGTCCTGAGGATTTTCCTTCCAACCCCACAAATGAGTAACGTAATGGAGGAGAACCCCGATTCGTTGAATAATGTGTACGTGTACGGCCTAAGGCATTCATGCTGCATTCCAATATTCCTCGACAAATTAAATACACAATACTCACCACGCATAACTGCAAAAGACATATCATTTTTGGTCAAGGCAAATATACTACTAGTCGTAATGTCTATATTAGCAAATACATCACCAAGTTTCCAGGGTTTCCATACGTACCTACTACCGCTACGAGTACGGCGTCACAAGACACATCATCAATATCCATAGCGCCCGGATCACGAAATAACACAGCATATCATGATCATTAGCATCTCATATTTACATACACGAATGAAAGAATTCAAACATCCAGAGTCTTGCCCAGCCGTGAACTCTCCTGCGCCAACTCAATCAACCGGATAACATCACGGGCTTCCGCTCCGCTGGCGGGAAGGTCACCCTCTCCGGCGAGAGCTCGGGCAAGCTTCCTGTAGTATTCAGACCAGGTCGGTGGCTCCACAGTGGGTGCAACTTCTCTGACGGGCTTGCCATTTTGGATAGTGGTCAGGGTACCTGGGAAAGAGCACGTTAGCATATGCGATCAAGGCTCGGCCTGTTTGCTAAAAGAACAAACGTACCATATCTTTCACTGGGTTCTCTGCCGTATACGCTGTCACCGGGCTTGATTCCATTCTTGAGCTGCTCCTCCTGGACATCGAGATGGAACTGTTTTAGGGTGGTTCATTAGCTTATTGATTCTAGGATCCCAACCCGACTGAGATTAGACTCTTACCTTCTTGAAGCTGCCCTTGTCTCCGCGGATCCAGAACCTCAATTGGTCCTCTTCCGGACTTACGACAGCAGCCTTGGCCGTCACCAAGGGGCCGTTGTTATAGTGAAATAAGACTGTGAAAGAATCCTCGTAGCCGGACGTGTTGACCTCCCGTTGAGAGCCAATGAAACCAGTGACACGGTTTGGCAGTCCGAACAGATGCACGGCCTGATCGAGCAGGTGACTTCCGAGATCATAAATGGCACTGCCACCGGGGACGACCTTGTTCTTCCATTTCGAGGCATCGGCGGCTGGCTCTTCGGGGCGATGACGATCGAAATGAGTCTCATATTCAGCAATCCGACCAAGAGCGCCGCTCTTCACAAGCTTAGACGCAGTCACGAAGTCAGCATCCCAGCGACGGTCTGTGCAAAAGTCATTGTTAGTATCCTTCGCAAAATGCGCGCCCATCGATGGGTAGTCAGACATACTTTGATAAACGGCCAACAGCTTGTTCTGTTTCTTGGCAAGCGCAACGAGCTCGTCAGCTTCCCTAGTGGTTGGGGTGAATGGCTTCTCGCAGACAACTGTACAGATTCCGTCAGCGCGAGTACGAAAGGAATTGGTACATCCAGTCTCCACGAGGACACCCACCGTGCTTTCCATTCTCCAGGGCAAGCTTCGTCAGCTCAAAGTGCGATTCCGGGGCAGTAGTGATAATGACGACATCGACTCCTTCATCTTTGACCAACTCCTCGGAAGTCCGATAGGACTTGATGCCTGGGTGGTCCTTCTCGGCATCGTCGTCAGGCTTTGGGGTACGCTGCACCACGGCATACAGCTTCAATTGGGGAACATTCTGAACGAAAGGGATGTGGAAAGTTTTGGCGCTGAAGCCGTACCCGACCACACCAATGTTCCACGTCTTGGACGCCATGATGATGTATTATATATGAAGGACAATTGTACGGTAGTAAAAGTAAGAGGACTTTGAAGGATGAATTAGATGGAAGACCAAGCGGGGCCTAGTACAGCTTTTATATACAGCCCAGCGATCACGCAAGCAAATATATTAGTGATGTAGAAAAACAGCTAGTGCGGGGGAAGGTCCTCGCGATAGGAACCTTTGGATCCGGCGGGGACGGAGTTAAAGCGGGGCAAATTTCAACCCAATCTGGCAAAAGCCGACCGTCTGACACTCCGGGCCGACCGATTCAGCCTGAACTTCCCCCGGAAATGCATTTCCCGATCACTCTTTCACTAACCCTATACACCGAGAAAGCTCAAGGGTATCCTGCAACACTGTCAGTACTCTGGACCTTATACATAAGGAAGAACACCACTCACTCGAAGGCCCTTCGGTTGATCCAAAATACTCTCATACACCAAATTCGGGTTCCCCAGAATGTCAAAAAGAGGCGTGGAGCTCTCGCCAATAAATGCCCTGACACTCGAAGCGGGGATACTCTCAATGTTATAGATCTGGATTGGCCCCTTCTCAGCGGCCTTTCGTTTCTGCTCCACCGTGCTCCGGACGTATTCCAGGTAAGGTGGATTGCCCGGACGGAGTACGTTATCAGCCACCAGAACCGAACCATTGGGAACGATCATGCCCAGTTGCTCGCGTAACTTCACATCCGTGGTATACGCAGGCTTGTAGTGATCAGTGAATAAAATCTCGACCTATTGGACTTCACCACTAGTATCCAACTTAATGCGAGACTGGTCACTACGGCTCACGAGGATCTGGACAAAGTCTCGGAGGCCCGCCAAGTCAATGAGCAGGCTCGAAACAACGGCATATTCGGGGTTCAATTCTAGATTGTAGCACTTTTTGCCACCGGCCCGACGCACGGCATCGCCGAACAGAAATAGCCGAGTAGCCCACGTACCCTCCGAGTTCCATCATCGTCTGGGGCTTGCGCTCCGTAATAAGGTCCGTAACGACCTTCCCTTTCTCTAGACCCACATGGATCAGGTAATGTGATTTGTCAAGCTTGTCGATCAGATCCAACGCCTTTCTGGGGTTTCCTTGGATCTCGTCCCTGTTCGGGCTGGGCGTAGATGATTGTCAAGGTCGAGTGCAGCTTCGTCGTCGCGCTATCCATAGGGTGCAGGTTAGCATTGGCGTCCCATGAGAAATGATGCATCGGGCCTATCTTACCTGACGAACAGCAGGCGAATTTTGAGTCACTCTGAATGAGTACAACCAGAGGCACTAGTAATTCAATCGTAGACACAAAGGACCAGATTAGCTTATCTAACCTAACGCTAAGTAACTATAGTCTCCCGCAAGGATGCAGCGATAACCTTCTCGCATCGGGCTCGAACACCAGGTTTGGTTTAAGCCCCCGCAAACTCCGAGCTCGAGATGTCGATGGACGATCTAATAAAGGCCATACCTTCCTTTAATCGTTCCTTCGAAGGATTAACAGGGATCGATTTGCTTCTGTGACCCACAGACTACTTTTTCTTTTTCCCAACGGTGGGTCACGTAGCTTTTAGACATCCCGAAGTAGCTTACGGGGGATGCTTAGTATAGAAGTAGGAATGGAAATCGGGTCAAGCCGCCAGTGATGTCTATGATGTGTATCTGTATCTTCCTTGGGAGTATGGCAACATCTTCTAGCTTGGCTGCAATCTTCCTTTCCGGGTGACGTATGTAGTGTTAGGCAAAGAAGTGTAGCAAAGTTGCTGCAATTGCTTCGGAGAGGCAGGTTCAACTTGTATAGTATGATCGAGCTCCGAGCTTCGAGCTTCGAGCTTCGAGCTCTCATCACAGGATACGGTACACGTCTACACTTCGTGATCTTCAAGACAGTCTAAACTTGTTAACTACTCCCATACATAGGTTTTACATAATAAAAGCGAATCGCTTGCGCACTCGAGCAGCGCATCCTGGAAGAGCCCATCGTGGATTTTCGTACCTACTATTGTAGACATTAATGCAACGCCCACGTTGTTTGTTCGTAATCACGTTGTTGTCAATCACAAAGGTACAGGTATAACTAAATATTAGACCTATAATCGAGGGAACTATTGGGGGAACCGAATTCTGACCTGCTTTAGTGAGATGCAGAGAAGTGGGGACAGGTAACTGGATCCGGTGATAGGAGACCAAATGTTGGTCTGTTTAATAACTATTGTCACTCTACATGATACTTATGAAATCAGGGACTCGTCCCATCTACTGTTGAGCTGAAGTTAAGTGGACACTGTTCAAGTAGTACACAGATCATAGGTGGAGCACTACTTCCTTGAATACATATGTTCACTCCTGGCAGGGAATAATCTTTATCAGATGAGATTATCCATGTTATATCTAACTATGGCAGAATACCCTATTTATTCTATTATTTGTTCGTGTATTTTTCTCATGGGCTTTAGGGCTACATCTGGAAGATACCGCGGGGTAGATCTCGGAATTGAGGGGGACGGAATTCTTCAGGATGTCTGTGCGTGCTGAACATCTGGTGTGGATCCTAGATCCAGTACTTCAGTGTGTTCTAGGGCTGGTCAGAGGTCGGTTAGAAGTATATACTTGTGTTTTATCCTATATATTGATGCATTTGTTACTTTCCAACAAATTTTACAAGTAGTTCTTGCTAATATTATGCAAGCAGCAGAAACTATAAGTCTGGTCAATGGTTTCCGAGAAGGGGCATATGGAAGAAAAGCATCACCAGCAACGTTTCTCAAAAATCAGCGGGAAAGCGTCGTTTCGGTTTGAATAATAACTAAACATGTGATTCTTGGTTCAAGACAAGAAAAAGAAAAGAAAAGAAAGAAAGAAATCATCCGAGGTTTTCAGCCCAGCCACCTCAAAAAACCTGCCAGCTGAATACTACCACGAATGCACGCTGACGTGGTCGCCTTGCAGTATTCCGGAGGGGTTAAGAGTTGAGAATAGCAGGGCAGCCACCCTCCGCCGATCCATTTCTTTGCAATTCTCCATGAAGATATAGATCTACCAAAAAGTTGGCCTCATGTCCGTGCCTACGGTGAAACGGGCCTTTGGCTCAATTCCGAAACAAAGAACCCTTCAGTCCGTTCGAGGGTTATTACAAATTCAGATTCTCACCCATTTACTGCGGATCGCCATCTCGATCGCCTTTCTCCCGCTGGACAACGCTATCCTTTTCGCCACTTGCCTGATTGGCCATTTCTCTGTATTCCTGTCTCAGTCAGGTCCTGTCCATCGCAGACAGACCGCACGACGAGATGTACAGTTTTATCCGAAAACCATTTTTATTACCGGCATAGACACCCTGCACGGCTTGGCCCTAGCACGATGTTTCTACTACAAGGGCCATCGGGTGGTGGGTGCCGACATCACAGATCTCCCGCTCGCATCGGGCGAAGGCATGTCGAAAACTCTGGCGACTTTCTACCGCATCCCAAGGTCGCACTATGTCTCTCGTCTGCTCGACATCATCCAGAGGGAGAAAGTGGATGTCTGGATCCCTTGTTCCTCGCGGGCGAGTGTCTTGGAAGACGCGATGGCCAAGCAAGCAATTGAAAGTCGAACCTCGTGTAAATGTATTCATCTAGACACAGAATTGGCGAATCAATTCAGCGAAACAGAGCCCTTCGTTCAGTATCTAGTCGAAAAGGAGCTGCCGGTGGTGGAAAACCACCAAGTACTGTCGCGTGACTCGGTGCACAAAATTTTGCATCGGTCGCCGAGCAAGGCCTACCATATGCGCCGACCAGGTACCGGCACGGGCGACAATAAAGTTGTCAGTTTGCCGAAGAGGACTCTAAGCTTGACTTATGCTGAAGTCAGCGAGATCCAGATCTCAAAGGATCGGCCCTGGGTATTGCAGCAACAAGCTCGTCTGGGGGAGTTCTTCGCCGAATTGCTACTTGTTTGTGGGCAGGTTAAAGCGATTAAAATCCGCCCTGCCGACAACCAACCTTGGGGCCATTCCCGCCTAGATGAAGGGCTCGCAATAGCGATTCACCGGCTTGTGGGCCGATTCGCATTGAAAGGCGGCCACCGGATGACAGGCCATCTATGCCTGCGGGTAATGGTTGACGAAGAGTTTGAGGCAAACAATGTGCGGTATGCAACTCATATCGCTGGCTGCACTCAAGGCGCCAGTGCGGTCGAGCATCTCCTACAAAACCCATCCTCCTCGTTAATCAATGGGTATTTGGCCGTACTTTCATCACAGCCCAATGACACATCTGCGGACTTGGAGAGATCGCGGATACAGGCTAGAGCAAGCATGCTGGCGACCCCGCCTCGCCAATTCAGTTTCTATGAGACGCTTAAGCGGAGCGATGTTCGGAGAATCCTCCCGTCATTCTACACTGTTGCCCAACAATTCGACAATATCATCACCCAAGCCAGCGATCTCTTATTATTTTGGAAGGACCCTCGATTCTCGGTCCTCGATCCACTGCCATGGTGGTGGAATGCGCACGTCTACCAACCATTGAAAGAACTGGAATTATTGCTGAGCAGGAAGTATAGCAAGAGATATTAGGAGTACCTACTGTCGCCTTTGTTCATTCTCTCGTCCCTTTTCTCCTACCCCCTCTCTTTTTATGATTTGCATTGTCTATGTTTCCTTTGGTTGGACATTTTGTTTAGGTTAATGAGCACAAGGAACGTGAAAGGTATTATAGAGCATCGGGTGGCGTCTTCTGGCCATTATTGCACATTGGCAGACGAGCTCTCTAACGATTTGATGTTATGTTACGAAATTGAAATGTATTTGATGGATTTGGCAGAAACAGCTGGATTATCAGTACGCGATTCAGCAATTGCCATGAAGATCCTTCAAAACATGGAAGCCATGTGGCTTCCCGGTGTTTCCAACAATAGGGCTGCTGTCTGTATCCTGATCAGACTGTATGAATATTGGCGATATATGTACATTGGCGATCCCAAATGGTCATTACCCCACCTCATTGGGCAGTTCTGGGCTGATTATACTGCTGCCTTAGATGCGGAGGATTTTTTTCAGTGGCTCATTCTGGCATTGCTTTGCACTGCCACGCCAGAATGAAAGGTGATACTCCCCTTCGGCCATCCATAACAGCTGACTGTTGAATGTAGCCTGCACGCTACGTAGCATATTCTAGTCAGAATACATTTCATAGAGAATGGTTGTTATGTGACTGAAAGAGAATGTTGGGTTGGCCGAAATTATACCGTCAGTGGTGCCCAACCGAGGGTTTGGATGGTTCCATGACGTATTGGAATTGACACATCGAGGCCCACAGCCCAGCCTAAATAGTATTCAATGTTCATAACAATGTCATTCTTCAGGGCTGATTGGGTTCAATAGCGTTCATAAATTCCTGGAGCCTTTTTATGCACATGCGCTTCTATTTCAGATTTCAGTAGCCGCTATGCCAAAGAGGGTTAAGGTCGCTTTTACCATACAGCCGCGTCCGTACAGTACAGTATACAGTATACGGGCATATCAATACCCTTCCAGATTGTTTCTTTGCTTCGATCTTACATCTCTCTCATTCTACTCTCTTCACAATAATTTCTACACTTTTTTCCCCTTTGATTCTTCCGAATTTTGGGACATCCGTTGGAAAGCCACTTTCCACGTCGGCTGTGTTGTCCAAGCCTCCGAAGTCTCCATCCGTGAATTTTAGCGTCCGCGCGGCATCGATCGGGTTGCCCCGTTGATTGCCCTCGCCGTCGTTTTTACAACCTTCGGATAAACAATTGCATTCCACCACCTTCTGACGCTGTTAACGATCTGATCTCTCTCTCTTCCTCTTTTTTTTTATAAAAAAAAAAAAAAAAAGGAAACCCACCGCCCCTTTTATTCCAATCACCATCTGTCAACTCTTACTTTACGATATACTATCAGTCACGAAGTACCTCCTGTCTTTATCTTCGTCAGCGATTTCTCAGCCCGCTTCCTCAAGGAAGCCCTCTTCTTCGTCAGGCATCCTTCGTATCCCCTCCCCTCTTATTCTGTGATCATGAAACTAGCACGGCCTTCGATCAATCCCGGACGCACGAAAAACATCCTTCATGGTGTTCAGGGTTTCATTATCTTTCTAGCATGGGCTTGCACCATTGCCGTGTTCACCAAGGGTGGTGGTATTGATGGCCGATCAGCGTGGTACTGGGCTCTGGTATGCTCACCTCAGCCGTTCGGCGCAAGCTGATCCCGAATCATGCTAATGACCTCTTGTGTAGTGTTGGTTCAGCATTCCCGGCCTAATCTATCTCGTCGCAGTGCCAATGTGGCCGCGCGCACGACGTTTCGGAAATGTATATGCCTTTGCAACCGTCGACTGTCTGTTTGCTCTGCTATGGTTTACGGCGTGGGTCTGTGTCGCCAGCTATGTAGCGCAAGGAAAATCAGAGGGCAAGAGCGATAGCGACAAGGACAAGGACAAGGACAAGAATAACAACAAGACTGGCTGCGATAACTGGAAGTACGGCAGCGCTAGCAAATGCAAGATCAGCACGGCCACCTGCATTATGGGAGTTGTCGTCTTGTGCGTACCAAATTTCCAAACTTCAAAGTGTCTACCCCACTGCTAACCTAAGAAACCTACAGTTTGCTGTTTGTTGTGACCGCATTTATGTCCTTCCGCAATGTGATGCATTTCCGCCGGACCGGAACCCTGCCCGATGCTGTCTCCGACCCTACATTCGCCGCGCAGAGCAAGGCCGCTTTCTCATCGAATCCGGCCCACGACTTCGACGAAGAGGATGATTTCCGGTCTGGCCGAGCCGGCGGAATGGGCTCTTCCATCCATAACAACCAGGATGAGGACTACGCTCTCCTGCACCAGAGCGAGGTCGATGAGTTCGGAAACCCGAACGGGCGCTCCGCCATGCATGGCGCCTACGATCCCACCGCTTCCAACGCCGGAGGAAGCGTCCTTCATGACTACAACACCACCACCAGCTACGGCGGTGCGCATGGGCAACACTACGCCCCGCCCTCGGAATGGGGCTCCAGTGTTAGCGGCTACGGACGTTGATACACTCTTCTCTCTAGAAAACTCTCACTCTTGTACCTCAAATAACCATGGAGCGGTGTTACGGCGCAATTTCCGTGCTGTCTTGTCTTTGATTCTGGAGGTGTTTTGATACAGATGTTCTACATGCGACGGATTCCTTGTCCGGGCGATGATTGTATGCTGTGATTGGAAATTAAGACCCGGGCAGGCCGCATGTTCACTGATGATTTTGACGATATTCTGTTTTGTTATAAAGTTCTCAGCCACTTGGAAGATAGCATATTTGAATTCTATTTTAGTACTTCTCCGTTACAAACTGAACAATATCCCCAGTCCTCAAATTTTATAAAAAAGAAAAACTTTTTCTATTTTCTTGTTTCACCTCAACGGCTACACAGTGCCTGGAATAACATACGCAGCCAATGAGCATTAGCAGAAAGGGGGACAGATGGAATGTGCCGGCAGATTCCTGACCGCCTTCCCTTCTAGCGCTGCTGTTCTGGACAGCTTGCGGTCTTCAGGTACTCATGCCATCCAGATTACTTCGACCATTCCATACATTCTAAACTACAGTTCATATCTGGTCTAATCCTACAGACCCGCCTTTAGATAAAACCCGACAACCAGCATCAACACCAGGTAACTCGCCCTCCCAATCCCCCTCAACCAACCCAACTAACGCCCAAACAGACCAAAAACACCGCTGTGACCACCATCCAAGACATACAGTACAAACCAACCAACAATACAATAAACCAGAGGATAAAACATCTCCCCTAAGCCTAGCTCATCAACACTCAAAACACGACAGCAAAATGGCCGACAGCATCGACATATACAACCAATACCCAATAACCCTAGACCCAACTTCCAAAGCCATCAACCTCAGCACCCAAGCCACAACCCCAGCCTCCGCATCAGCAGTTAGCAACGAGCTAAACGAATTAAACGCCCTCCACCGTGCCCTCCTCTCCGTCGACCCCCCAAACATCCCCCCACCCCCGCTCCCCATCAACCCCAAGCGCAGCGCCCAGATCACCAAGCTCCGCGACAGCGCCAATGCCGCCTATCGCAAGGACGACCACGCCGAGGCCGTCCGGCTATACACCTACGCCATCGACATGGGGATCTCCCGCCCGGGCTGGGAACCCGTCACCCTCGCGCGCGAGGAACTAGCCGGGTTATACGCCAACCGGGCGCAAGCGTACATGGCGCAGCAGGCATGGGCGGACGGACTTGTGGACGCTAAGTGTAGTGTTGAGAGCAAGCCGGTAGGGAATGTGAAGGCGTGGTGGCGGGCGGGTAAGTGTCTGGCTGAGATGGGACGGTGGGAAGAGGCACAGGTTGCGATCGATAAGGGGTTAGAGTTTGAGCCGAGGAGCGGGGAGGGCGCGAAGGAGCTGGTTGCGCTTTTAGAGGAGGTCAATGAGGGGATTAAGAGGTCGAGCTCGGCTTAGATCTTATCTTTGGGGAAACTAGGAAAGGAAGTGGGAATGAAATGACATTTGACCGGGGGGGGGGGCTGTCAACACTCGAGCGTCGTACAGGAAAGCGGGTACGGACATGCTTGCTGGGCTGCTGGGCTGATGTGCTTGGGGCTCGGGCTGGGGCTGTATTATCATGTCATGCATGTTTTGAATTCTCTAAGTGTCTTTGCCTTTACCTTTGCATGGATTGATACTAGTTCGGGCGTTTGGTATGGAATCATTTGGCTTTTTATTGCTATGCTACCTATATATGGATTTAGATATGCAGTTGGTATACAGGGTATTGACCGAAGTGAGCTTAATTAAAATAAAAGCAGAACATGCTACGACAGACACGATGTCCACTTAATGTACATATATATATAGGAAGCACCAAAAACTAAAATCGAAAAAAGGTTATTCCGATGCGGGGAATCGAACCCCGAGCTGCTGTGTGAGAGACAGCGATGTTAGCCATTACACCACATCGGATACTTGTTGTAAACATGTGGGTTATATATGATTATAAGAATAAAGAAACAACTAGAGCCCCAAGTTCTAAGAATTATCTACCACTTTGAATAAGAGGTTGTTGTCATCTTATGTACAACCTGGAGCACATAAAAATTTTAATGAATATCAGTTGGTTGAAGCTAGATTAGTACCTCTTTTTCTTTTGCTTGGGTTGTTTCTCTCGGCAGTGTTCTCGTTGTATTTTACTGATTGCTCAGGGATAGGATAGTTATAGATATATATACGGTTAATGTCTTGCCAGTATTATGTACTTTGCACATATCACCGTCCACATTACCGATTCGCAAATAAAGAAATTTAATTTTTGTAGCCATTTGCTCCATCTAAGTAGCATTTATAGACTTTCCTGTAGTGACTGGGATCCCTGAACGTCCAAAAACTCCAGTCACAACAATCAACTATTCACCAGTCGCATTAGTATGAGCAAATTGGCCTGATGGAATGAATGAACACCTTGGTGCCAGGGAGGCAGGGACTGGAGTGAATAGTTAACATTGGTATTCCCGAACTAAAAGTATTAGAATAGTCCCTTTATGTATTTGGCATACTGATCCCAAGCCATAGCCAAGATGTCCAGACGGCCCAGTAAAACGCTGTGACCAGGAAAGAACAGAATAGTCATTTGACAATTCCCCTGGAGGATAAAAACATAGGTTGGATAGGTCATCGATGGCGAGGAGCAACAAGGACGAAGTTGTGGGTCTTGCGGGGGAAGAACAACTAAGACAGTCAGGTATGGATGGGTGCTTATATCGGAGGGGCGCTCCGGCCGAAGGCAAATTGTTGAACTGAGTTGGAGGAGGGTTTGCGCTGTCGCGTCCGAGGGTGTCGCTATGGGATTGTATGTCCATATGCTGAACATGGGCAGAGGATGGCCGCTATTCGGAAAACCAGTCGGTATGGGGAAGAAGAAGGGGGAGTTAGTATGCCCATATTTTAAACCAAGGCTTCTATTTACCAAGAAGACTTCACAGTCCCTTTCATATTTCATAAGTACATATCATGTCCCGTGATGGGGGGACGTCTATATCCAGGGTATAAATATTTAAACGCGCTCGATGGGCCCACCTGTGGTCCATCGGCATTCAACTAAAAGCCAGCAATTGCGTCAAGCTTATAACATAGCAAGACAGGGTTTCGAGCTAGTGGCCAATTCGACACCGATTTCCTCACGGGCTGGCTGAAAAGAGTTCGACTAAGGAAAAAAAAAAGGAACAAGTCCGGGATCGCAGATCGGCCATTATTGCCGTTCGACGGCGTCCATGCCGGAAGACCTCCTCTCCAGGGCGCGAGGAAAATCCACGCTGCTTGTTCGCACGTGGTCGTATCGCCCGTGGGACAAGTCCAGCGACCGCATGCTTACCGCTCGCACTGATTCCGGTCGAGACTCTTGGCCGGTTTTGGACAAGGTCAATAGGGAGATACCGATGAAGTTGAGGAGGAATCCGCACATCATCGAGGTAATACTGGTCCAGTTGCTGGTGTTCAGACCTTGGTAGAAGATGATAGAGGCGGTTAGAGTGCATGTAGTAAAACCGACATAGTACATCGCATTTACTCTGAATGGCTGGCTGTAAGCATATGTTCGGGGTTGGACAAGTGTAGGCACTTACAGTGACGCAGGGAATTCACCCATTGCTTTGTTTAGGTAGTTCATCTGGGTTAGGGTGGTGACCACTAGGACTAGGGCGAACACGTAAGTGGACGCATGCGTGAATTGGTTGTCCCCGGCAATGGTGAGCTTGACGGCGATTCCGAATGCCTTGACGGACATGACGGACACGGATCCCACTGTGGAGCAAATCGAGAGATAGACCAATGGATTTGTCCGGCCCTGTCTCGGGGCGACTTTGTAAATCATGTAACTAGCAAAGATTCCGACACAGACACAGTAGATAAGGAAGGCTATAAAGAAAACCGTTAGTATGTTTATATCCAAGGGATGTGTGCTATAAGTAGCTCACCTGGTTGAATTGCTAGGTGTAGGATTTCATCAATGGTCTGTATGTCCTTATCGCCCGGCGCATGGAGCACCAGCAACACCGATCCCAAAAGACAGATGGCGGATCCGAGTTTGCCAAGGACTTGAATGTCCTCCTTAAGGAAATACGCACCCATCAAAGCACTAGGACGGGTTAGCGTGGACATGCGGCTTGGGACCATCTGGCTCACCTAATAAGTACACTGAGCGCCCCTAGCGGCGTGACCAGCACTGCTGGAGCGAATGCGTAGGCGGCAGTGTTCATCAGTTCTCCGGATATCACTGTGACCGTCAGTTTCTGGCACTGTGTTGCTCGAACTGATAGCCATACGTATGATCATTCCACACCACCACAGGGGGCTCCGTAGGTATTCAAATCCATCTCCGGTGAAACCATATTTCTCCGCCGCTTGAACAAGACCCTAGGGTGATTGTGTTAGGCTTTCGGTTTCGGCGATCGAGGACGGAAACCCGTGCGTAATGCGGCGTACCTTTTTGGTGATGACATAGCTCGAGCCTAGCAATCGCGAGGATCAGCGTCAGCAAATCATTCAAGCGGTGTTAACAATGTGACCAGTAGAGCTCGAAAGCACGTACCAATGGCTACCGACGCCAGCACAGCCAGTGAGAGGCCAATAAACCTGTCCGAGCAAGATCTCGGTTAGCGAAAAGGACAGGTCGTGTGAGCAGTACAGTGCGGCACATAACGTACTTATCATGTTCTCCCATGATCACCAGAATTATCCGACATCGGATTCGGGGAGAAGAAATTGCAGTGGATTGCTAGGAGATGCGTAAGGCAGTAAAGATATGAAGTACGGGGTTGCGCCATGTCAGCGGAGACGAGTTTGTTTCAATTAATCGGCCCGGGCCCCATGCCGAATCACAGCCTCAATATAGGTCAACGCTAGACTCGAAAGGATCGACATCTCATCACCATGGCTTTTTTTTTTTATTTTTTTTTATTAAATATTAGGTAGCACTCCCCTGCAGGAACCCTCATCTTTATGTCAGTAAGATTCGAAGTGAATTTGCATGAATTTATCAACTTGGTTGTAAGTTGTGGCTTGCTGATTGGCTAACCCCTGGAAAAACGCTTTCCGATGATTCGTTGTTCGTGACCCTGCCAACCTTATCGATAAGCTTAGTCTTCCGACTATTACTAAGTTTAGTATAGGAACTAGTTACTTCTCCAGTTATTAGCTGGATCAATATAAGATGAATATAAAATAGACAAACGGGAGAACAATCGCATTATATTTATATTTATGACAATAGAACAATAAAACTTAATGAAACCGAAAACCCAAAAGGCACACAAACCCGTGAACTAACTCCCTTCTACCACGCTGTCTGTTTGGATGACGGTATGATCCATACACCACCCCTAACCCTAACTTCTACTTCTACTCTTGAGTATACAGTAAATCTACGCCCGATGCTTCCTACTCGCCCCCACAAAGCTCACACCCTCCTTAATATCCACCGCAATCTTCGCATCATCTGCAACCTGCCTCTCCATCAACGGCACCACCTCCCCCACCAACTCCCTCGGTAAACAGACCACCCCATTCAGATCCGCAACCAGATAATCTCCAGGCTGCACCACCACCTCTCTCCCCGCCGCCTCGTCCCAAACCGACACGACCACATTTACCCCACCAACCTTAACACTCCCATACGGCGGCGCAGTCCCTACATCTTTCGCAAACACCTACCCCATACCAGTTAGCCAAGCCCCAACAGGGATACCCCAGTTGGAAAACGAAAAGAGAGGAGAGAAAAGATAAAACAACGAACAGGAAACCCCAACCCCCTCTGCTCCCGCAAATCCCTGAACCTCCCGTCAACAACAACACCCACCGCGCCCCTCTTCTGCGCTCTCGTCGACATCAACCCCCCGTAAACGGCGTCGGAGGTACTCCGTGGCGAGGACACGAAGATCACCGTGCCTTCGGGTATGGAGTCGATCTATATCATAGCATGACATATCATCTCGTGGTCAATCTCCCTTGTGCACTAACTATACTATACCATAAACCTGGCAAGGAAAGAAGGGTAGGGATGTAATGTAATAGAGATGAGGAATAGTACATACATAATGGCTCTCCACCTTCGGCGCGTGATCATCTAACGGGACGTATTTGACCGTGTATGCTGGACCGATGATCTTGGTGGTTCCCTTTTGACGTTTCGGGGACCATATTGTTAGGTTGGGGAGGAAGCCGCCGGTTTTGGAGGAGAGTTTGAGGAGGGCGTCGCTTATGTCGCATCTTGTTTTCTCTCTTAGTGGGGGTTTGTAGGAGGTGGAGGGGGGGGGGAAGATGGGTGCTTACGTTGAGTAGGGTTGAAGTGATTGCACTGTGAGGTCGGCCATTTTTATGGTTTTCGGCGACGAGTTGGGGAGTGCTATAAGAGAGTAGCAAAGTTTGGATTAATTATATAGGCCATGATGGTGGACTTGGTGGCTCTTAAGTCTTGACGAGATGTTGACTTGAGGTTATTCGGAAGCTCGTCATTTCGGATGGATGTAGGCGGTTTACCTGGTCGTTCTCCGAGAGGGAAAGAAAGATTATCAGGCGATCAATGCATAGCTTGATCCACAGTATAAATTGCCTCTCTATAGAGGGTGGAAATGAAGTTGAACCTCTAGATATTGTTGCGCGGGGATCGGCCGCGGAAAGTGCCCAGGGTGGGTTTTATTTTGATATGGTATCATGGTCTATAGAGTATAGTATAGTATGCAGTCTCAGATATAATCAAACTAGGGGAAATAAAAGAAAACACAATTAACCTCTCCAACTAATTAAGCCCCTCAATCTCATTCTTTAACCATCACAATCAATCTACACCAATTAACCCCCCAAAATGCCCGACCCAACCCCCCAAACCCTAAACATCATTCCCGCCTCCGCCTCAGCCCTAGCAAAGGCAATCCTCGCCTCACACGGCGTCCCCGAAGACCGCGCCACTCTAATCGCCTCAGCCCTCATCCTCGCCGACCTGCGCGGCGTGGACACCCACGGCATCAACCGACTCCCCGGATACATCGCGCGCCTACAAGCAGGGGTTGTCGACCCCGCCCCGGAGCTAACCTTCACCCCCAAAACCCCCACCATGGCTCTTTTGGATGCTAAAAACACCTTCGGCTTCGTAGCCGGCAATCTCGCAATCGACAAATGCATCGAGATGGCCCAGACATACGGAATGGGGATGGTGGCGGTTCGAAACAGCAACCACTACGGCATGGGAGCGACGTACGTACTCCGGGCGATCCAGCAGGGCCTTGCCTGTTTTGCGTACACGAATGCAAGCCGGGCAATGCCGCCGTGGGGCGGGGCGGAGGCGTTGCTGGGGACGTCGCCATTCGCAGTAGGCGTGCCGGGTGGGAAGAAGGGGGATTTCGTGCTGGATATGTCGCCTTGTGTGGCGGCGAGGGGGAAGATGAGGAAGGCTGCGAGACGAGAGGAGTCGATCCCCGAGGCGTATGCGCTTGATGCGCAGGGGCGGCCGACGACGGATCCTGTGGCGGCGTTGGATGGGGGTGTGGTTTTGCCGATTGGGGGGCCGAAGGGGAGTGGGTTGGCGATGATGATGGATATATTTGCCGGGGTGATGAGCGGGTCGGCGTTTGCGGGGGGCGTGAATGACCAGTATACCGAGATGAGTCGGCCGCAGGGTGTTGGGCATTGGTTTTTGGTGTTTCGGCCGGATGTGTTTCTGGATGGTGGGGTGGAGGAGCTTAAGGAGAGAATGGATACGTTATTGACGACTGTGAGGGGCGTTAAGAAGGCTGAGGGGTTTGAGAGAATCTATATTAGTGGGGAGATGGAGGCTGAAATTGAGGCGAAGAGGAGGAAGGAGGGCATTCCGTTTACAAAAGCCGAAGTTGATACGCTGCATTATTTGGCAATGCAGTCGGGAGTACAGCTTAAGATGCAGGAAGCGACTAATACTCTTTGATTTATGTAGTTTGTGGTTGAACTAGAATGTTCCCTTTAATGTGGTATTGATATATATCAATAGAGGTTCCTTGAGAAGGTGCTTGACAAGTTGCATAAAGAGTTCCAGGACCTAACAATTGACGCTGAAATGTTGACTCATGGCAAGCAAAAAAGATATGACCGCGAAGGTAGCACTGGATACGTTACTTGAAGATTGTTCATGAAGATATGAGCACGACAGACCCCCTAATTTCCAACCTTGGTAAGCCTCCTCTCAAATCTCAACTTTTTTTTTGGGTGATGTCGAGTCTATCAAATATATTCACTCTACGCCTTTAACATGCACAACGGCCCTACTCTGATGGTGTGGGTTTGGGGTTCTTCGTTTCACTCTGTATAAGTCCTTACCTCTAGAGATCTGACAACTATGACCATAGGGTGCGGAGAACAGGGTTTCCCGTCAGCTCATCTGAATTATACTGCGGGTTGAGATGGGAAACAATCACATAAGAGGGATTCAATAGGTGAGTACACGGTTTAACTTGTAGCTAGCACCCGTTGACATATATGTGGATTTGGTCTGTGGTCTGTGGTGAAGTGGATGATGTCTGGGATGTCACTCTTGATTCATGGAGGGAGTTTCGGTTTCTTGGAACTCATGGAACATACTCATGAACCTATTATCGTAATTACAGGTGGAATGAATGATTCCTATTGTTTTACAAAACACTTCTTCTACCCTTGCCTACGCCTGGCATGGTCAATGTACTGGGAGTCATGTACTCAACACGTAGATAGCGTACTTTATAGAAATATCCTGTCCCTTGCCAGCTATGGCCTCTATGGCGAACACTATACCATTGCTTTGGTGCACTTGGCCCACTGGCTAGACTTTACTTTCACGGTAAGCGACACTGTTAAATAAGCAGGGGCGGCGCTTGACTAGAAGCCTACTGCAAAGGAAGCAGAACTGGGTTACTGCTAACATATTTGGGGCTGCTGTGCACTTCTGCGATGTTCTTGGTAGTACATCGGCCCCCTAATTCTGCCTGGCTTAACAAGAGCTGGCCGTGGCCATTAAACGCAGAAGCTTCTCAAACAGCGAGTGTTGTTTCGTCCACGTTCCGGAGTGCCATGAGATAGTTCAGTTATATCAAGTGTATATAGCATTGGGATATCATATACTAACAAGCGTCACCGTAAAAACAAGATAGAGACCAGAACAATTTGAAGGCTGATTATTCCAGACCCTAACCTCAACTAACGCCGACATCCCCCGTAGTAGTCCGTACTTGACAATGATCGATTTCCTTGCTAGTCGCAGCCCCCCTGGACCGCCGCCAAGCTAACATATCATACATCTCATAATTCGGTGGCCCCGAAACCCCAGCCTTCACCTCACCCTCCAACTCCGAAGCCACTTCCCTAGACTCAGACAAGCTCTTCGCCACGGACCCCGCATCGAGCTCATATACCGCAGCTTCAGTAGAGTAACCCAGCCGCTGAAGCCTCTCCAAGACAGCCATAAGACTCTGATAACAAGCCAGCAAGCGAACCCTCTTATCTTGCGCCCGTCCGCGATCCCGACATATCCAGCGCAGCTGCCTCCCCAGACTTAGTTTCCCATTGCGAGCCTCCACCTCTACGCGAGTCGGCTCGATCAGAACCGCCACGTCGCGCGCCGCACCCGCAATGTCTTGGATGGTCGAGTCGATCCACGCGCGCTCGTCATCACCTAGGATGTGATCGTGGAGCTGGCGCAGACGCTCGACTTCGCGCAGTTGGGTCCGGATGTGGTCTGTGGTTTTGAGGAGCTCGGATGTTTGTTCACTTACGGATGTGGGCTGTCGTCGAGATGTCGGGCTTGGGCTGGGTATGGGGTCATTGTTTGATATTTGAACGTGCGGTTGCGGTTCCTTATTGTAACGGGAATGTGATAGTGAGTAGCGAGTGTGGCCCTCGATGAGGCCCATTGTTTTTGCTTTTTAACTTGCTGCTGCTGCTGCTGCTAGGATCGCCTGAGGTGAGAAACTGGGTCTCGGGGGGAAATCCTTCCCCGCCCGAGCTTTGGAAAGGTTTGTATTCCAATCCAAGCTATAAATTAGTGCAGCACTAGTGGGCACTCTCCCAGGGCGATTATTGGGCGTGTTGTCTCACGGACCCGCGACAATCCCTGCAGGGTCTCGGATATCAAACCTGGTAAGTAATTCGTACGATAGAGACAGTGTGCTCGACTGAACATCACTAATGTAACCAACCCAATGAGGGACTTTATAGAGTTCAATATATCTATCTCACCGTCGTGAAAAGCACTGGAAGCAGATACAGGCACTAAACTAATCGATTGCTAATAAAATATTCCCCATTGATTTCAACCAGGAACAACAGTCTCCTCCACCAGCACCCTCGGCGCGAATAATCGCTGCCCCTGTTCATCCGAGACCTTCACTACAGCCGGCAACACAGCAACCTTATCAATCAGATTGGCATTCCAGCAAAAATCGAACGAACATGGCTGGGCAAATAGCCAAACGCCCAGGTCTGCAGCTGCTCTGGTGACGCTCATCAGATGGTCAAGCCGGCTAGTCTCCGAAAAGTCCGGATCACTGTATGGCGCGAAGGCCTGGACGAAACTAGCCGCTAGTGTCCTCACGGCGGATGGTTCAGCGGTCACGGAGTCGGCGAAATACCCTTCCTTGTATAAACGGCTGGTTAACATGCGCCAGGCGAATAGGGCCCTGGAATCTTCTGTTGCGTTATAGTTAGTTAACTTTTTTTGGATTGTCCATGGAAGCGGAGATGAGGCTTGGGAGGACTATACCATAACCAAGAACGGCATTTTGCCCAGATCGCGAAGCTGAAGCATAGGGTATGGGAAGCAGGGACTCGGTCGCGCTTCCTGATTGAATGGCTTCTAGCAACGACCGAACCAAAACGTGCGTCAGCGCGGCCCTCCGAACTCTCCGCTTAGAAAGCAACTGGACCAGGGGCGCGGGAAGGAACGGGGATTCGTAGGTCGTGATGCGAGCGAGGGCATCCTGCGTCGGCGGTCCCGTTGGAGAAGAAGCCGGGAAGTAATAATTGTCCACGTGCAGACTGGCCAGATCGAAAAGGGTTTGTATTCGTGCGCAGACGACGCTATCGTCGGCCGGCTCTGGGACGTACGACGACAGGTTAAGGAGCTGAGACAATGAAGTGGCTGAAGGTCCTGGCGATTCCCTTTCTTGCGAGGCGACCAAGGGATGGCTGGATTTATCGCTGAGGTTTCCCTGGTGGTTTGGCTTATCGGGTGTGAGCGATGGTTTTGCAGTCCGCGCGTCCTGGTTTTTGCGGAAGCGGATGTAAAGAAAGGAGACTAGGACGGCTATAATGGCGGTTCCTACTATTGAGCCTACGACAGCACCTGCAAGAGCTCTATTGCTGACACCTGAGCTGGCATGGCTTGTTTGTGGAGCGGAAGTTCCCGTTCTGTTAGGCCCCGTAGTGCTTGTTGTGCTGGCACTAGTACTATTGCTGGCGCTCGAGAATGTGCTTGGCTGTGCACTTGAGGTACTCGAGGAGGCCACGGGGGTCGAGGAGGGTGTTGAACCGGGGAGCGATGTGGGTGGGGATCCAGTGAGAGTAGCGGAGTCTGGCTGAGAGGCTTGTGGTGGACTAGAAGCAGAAAGGGTAGGGGTGGAAGATATAATCGACGAGGTAGAGGTTGAGGCCGCTGCCCCAGACACGTCCGCCATCTCACCTGGAAGCGCGATGCACACGAACTTCGAGCGCCAACGGGGGCAATTACTTGTATTTAAGTGACTCGCAGTTATTTCCCCTTTAGGTTGTGGGAAGCTGCGCCGCAGTGAGCATCCAATTTGGCTAGTCATTGGACCGAACCAATTGACCCCTGCACTAACTACGATCCTGGTCTAGATGGTGTCGTTGGAGTGGGGAAAGAGAAAAAGCAATCTCAAAACCCAGAGCTCCTTAAAAGCAACACGGGGATTTGGCACCGTAACTCACCCTCATATCCAGTAGACCGCACGCTTTATGATTTGCCTTGTCGATGAGTGATAAAGAGGTAGTAACCACCCGCACCCAGGTCATTGCAGAGGCCTGGGATGGATGGAACCCTGATGTTGTGGTTGGGATCGATTTCGGGATGACCTATACGGGTAGGCGCGCGTTCCAGCATGCTATAAGGAGACATCGAAGACTGACCGTATAAGGCGTTGCATATTCCTGTGCGCCGGAGTGGCTGCCCCCGAAAACTATCCAGCGTTGGCCAGGAAAGCTGCCCGGTGAACTGGCAAACAAAGTGCCTACCTGTCTAGAATATTGCACACAGACGCAGACCATACGAAACTGGGGGTTCAGCTGCGATTCGAATGACCACACATCGGAGATCAGAGAGTTCTTCAAGTTGCACCTGGCACCTCAGTATCAGGACTTAGGGGGGCCTAGTCGGCAGGAGGCGCAAGGCTGGTTTCAAGACTATGTGCAATGTGTTTATCAGCATGTGGTTTCTCATTTTAGCAGCACGATGCCGCAGTTTGCCTCACGGAAAGTTGAGTTTCTTTTCAGTGTGCCGACGACGTGGAAAGACATAAGAATGGTCGAAGAAACCCGTACGCTCCTAGAGCGCGCAATCAATGAGAAGACGCCGAACCACCGCGCTTTTATCGGACTCACAGAGGCAGAGGCAGCAGCAGTATATGCTGGTAAAGAACATTACCAGGTTGGTTGATGGATACAACCTTTAGACCTTCTCGATTAACAAGTTACGTATATTGATATAGGCCGATGATACGATTCTTATTTGCGATTCAGGTGGAGGGACTACAGTGTGCAAAACCGAAACCCCGACTTCTGCTATCCCGTTCTAACCTCCAGGATAGGATGTCAATACTCTCAGGCTGATCTCTTCAAGGGGAGAGCCAACCAGGCTCGAGCAACTGGGCCACGTTGAAGGTACAGACAGTGTCTAAAGAGGGAGGACAATTCAGGGAACCAAAAGACCTACGCTGATTAAATGCAGGACAACCTATTGGCTCCGTATTTATTGACAGAAGAATGCACCAGCTAATCTGCAAGAATCTGGAGAAAGTCCGAAACCATTTGCGCCTATCACCGAGCGATGCGGCATGGCGAATGACATCAGATCGTTTTCAGCGACTTAAATGTGCCTTCGGTACAGAGGCAACGTTGTCTCCATGGTTAAAGCTTGATGTACCATCATTATTGGCCGAATCAGACCTTCCAGAGGCCGATATTTACAACGGCCAGATGCGTATTGCATGGTAAGCGGGGTGCTTCGAATATTATCAGGTATATTGAAGGTTAATAAAATGACAGGGAATATGTCAAGGAGTGTTTTGACTTGAAGATAGCTGAAATATGCAGACTTCTGGATGATCAGATATCCCAAATGCATGCTCGATACCCCAAGGAACAAATAGTAGGTTTTTTTTTCTTGTCAACCTCCGGCAAAGAACGGGCAGCTAACAGTCTACGTGCCCACAGGCATACCTTATCCTTTCCGGGGGATTTGGGAGCTCCTCATACGTGAAGAAATGCCTCGTAGAGAAATATACCAACCCAGATACCAAAAAGTATCCAAATATTCAACGCATGCAGATCCTTCTTGCAGACGAGCCGTAGGTGGAGCTTGCTTCTTCCCTTTTAACTATTTACTCTACTATATTGACTGAGCTTTCTTTCTGCACAGGCAGCTCGTAGTGGTTCATGGTTTAGTCCTGGACCGGATCCAACAGATCAAACACGGAGTAATCACGTTTGGAACACGATGCTCTCCCGCAAGCTACGGTATTATATGTGACCAGATATATGACCCGGCAAAGCATATCGGAGAGCCCGTCCGGCGTGACTCCCGAGACAATAAGATATATGCAATGGACCAAGTGGACTGGCTTGTAATTCAGGTAAGCACTTTGCATCAAATAATACACCTGGAAATTCTACGCCCTTGTATACTTATTAAGCGAAGGGTCGTCCGATCCCACATACAGGGTTTACAAAAGAGTTTCAATTTAAGGCAGACCCTGGCCAAGAGAGCGAGCTTCGGCAAGTGCGTGTTGTTATGTCAATCCTTCCACCTAACAGGCTTCCTAGAAGTATGAGCCAAGGGGGTCTTCAGGTAGTTTGTAGCCTTGATATAGAGACTGGTGATGTTGACAAAAAGCTCAAAAATGGTCACTGGTATAGTCTCAAGCCTGCCTTCTGGCGGACTGTATTTGACGTGAAAGTGGTTGTTGGGCCCGCTGATTTATCGTTTCAGTTATGGTCTAAGGATAGGAGGATCCGAGGAAGCAAGCACGAACCGATTACGGTGAAATGGATGCCCGCGAAAGCGTTGGATGAGGAGAAAGCCACATATTGATGTGATAATTACGATGTTAGATGCCGATTCCACAGTTCACGTTGTTCCTTACACTGTATGCATAGCTTATGTAGGGTATTTGTCGATGGGTTTGGAGCGCATATGTTTGCCGCTAAGCCTTTAGTCTATGCCGTTTCCCCATAAAATTGCTAGAAGGTCGTCGGAATCCCTAATGAGTGAACGCAGTCATCAGCTGTCATGGTAAATCAATTCAAAGCGCTATTCATACTGTCCGCATATCATCCCACTATAAATAAACCGAGGCTCCAAAGCACTACCCTTACCTAGGTAATAAACCGAAACATAGGACTATTATCCGCCAAATCTGTAACATCAACCGCAACCCCAGCCTCCGGCTTCCCAAACTTCCGATCCCGATAGTTATTGATCGCGCGAAGAAGCAGACTATTTCCTAACGCAATAATACCTGTGGCAATCGCAAGCCCCATACAAATGAAATGGCCCTTTTTGAACTGAGGTCCTTCCGTCGACGGATAGAAAAATGAGCCCGGCAATACTGCCCAGGTTGCCGAGAGCCATGTAATAGCCCATTCCGATGGCGCGTTTGGTTTCGTTACCGAAGTTGTTAGCGGCCCAAGCGTGGGACGGCGGGTAAGTGGCGTAGACGCAGGCGACAGCGATGCAGACGCAGGCGTACTTGCCCTTCAATTGGTGCTCAGGAAGGGTAGCGAGGAGGGCGTAGGCAATTGTGGCTACGATCATGAGGCCTGTGATGTGGGTACCTCTTTCTCGGAAGTGGTCGGAGGAGTAGGAGGTTACAAGCATGAGGATGAAGGCAGCAGCGTAGGGCGGGACGGTCATGAGGTTTGCTGTGGCAGGTTTGGAGTAGCCGAGGTCTGGAAACAGTGTTAGGCTGTGTTTAGGTTGATGAAAGAAGGATACCTGTGGACCGACATACTGCTGATGATGGTTGGTAAGAAGCCTGAGATGGATGACAGCAAGGCAGCGGTCGGGAGATACACGGCTGCTTGCACGTACAATCTCCAGTCGGTGAAGACCCAGAAGACGTGTCTGGATTTTGCCTGCCTTATCAAATGGCTCGTTCTTATAACGGGCTTCGGCGATCTGTTGGTCTTGGCCGCAGAAGCGTGAATTGCCCATAGGACGATCTGGGAGCCAATACAAGCAGAATAGGCCGAGACAGAAGCAGGGAAGGGCTTCGATTAGAAAAAGCCATTTCCAATTCGGTACGGAACCGTCAATATGGCCAATACCGAAGGCAATCAGGCCACCGAACGCACTGAAAATCGGTCAGTCTTTGTGTATACAAGAGACGCCGGTTTTCAAGCTTACCCTGCCACGGCTGTAGGCTTAAGGAACTAGAATATGCGTATGCCCATTTCCGTCCGGTGATATTAGAGCGAAAGATAGTATATAATATTAGTGCCAAAAAGGCCCTCGAATACTCCAATGAAAACTCGGCAGACCAGTGCGCCCGCCAAGTTGTACGCCGTGCATTGGAGCATGCTGATCATCGCCCACCCGCAGACCCCAAAGGCTACCCACTGTATCTTGTGAGTCTAAACCTGATTGATGATGTTCACAGAGGTGACAAACCTTGGAAGGTGAAAAGATCCGATACCCGATGCAACCGGGTACTTGAAACAGTACAAGACCGACATAGAAGATCATGACAACTAATTGCCATTGGGTTGAGGACAGCATTCCATCGCCAGGACCGATGCCATGATGGTAAGTAGCGTAGCCGTTACTGTACCCATAAAGCTTCGCATTCTGCGATATCCATGATCAGCAAGACGTAACGAAAGATAAAAAGAAGCGAGTCGTACAGCAATATTTCCCCGATCGAGATACTCGAAAAAGTATAGGGCCGAGATCGTCGGAAGGATGATATAGTCGAGCTTTCGTAGATAGCGATTCTGCGCGGTGTTCCATTCCGGATCATCGGAAAAGGGAGCTTCTTTTTCACCCTGCATGTCTCGAACCTCGGTAGTAAAAGATCCTACCTGCGCGACATCGGTATCGTTGCCCATGATGGATATACTCCGTAGATAAGAGAACTGGGTGAGGCTACGGGTATGGCGAATTCGGGATGGGAGATAGATAAGCTGGTGGAAGTAACATTTCTCGGGAACCCAGAGGCAGCGCAGTCATCTTAATATATGCAGTCCATGAGCAATGGCAGGGGTTGATAACCCTCGACTGGGATGTGAGGTAGTGCCATTGAGAGTCCATATGATCGACAGTCGTCGTCTCGTCCATTCCAGTTCCAGACATCCACAGTCCTCTGCGGATATTTCCCCGGCGATCCCCCAGATAACTTGCTGTGGGGATTCTGGAGAGAGAGGTTCAGGGTGGACAAAGGAACAAAGCTTGCGGGGCTGTAGGAATCTTTTCTTTTTTCTTTTCTTTTTTCTTTTCTTTTTTCTTTTCTTTTTTCTTTTCCCCAGATGAGTGAAAGCGAAGCTTTTTCTCCCGGGCATCTTCCCGGAGAGTCACCGGGAGACTTGCCGGGATCTGAATCCTCAGGCAGGGATCTGGACTACCACCCATCGAATCATTATCAAGAGCTGCTCTATAATTTATATTATGTTCGCAAAGAAATCAGTGACTCCCAACAGTCTTCAACTTCGGCAAAGTCAAGATCAATGAGCACAAATTCGTCGGAACAACTTGATTTTTAATTCAACCATTCAGAACCAGAGAGTCCGATACAATGGGCTCCATCGATGTTGACACCGTTCTACCTCCAGGTGCTTGGGATAGCCACATTCACATTGTGGACGAGGATCAGTTTCCCTTACACCCCCTGCATCCCTATCGCCCTAAGAAAGCTCCATTGTCTAGTCTTCAAGCTTTCCATCGCAGCTTAGGTATTGAGCATGCATGCTTGATTGCATTCTCCGTCTATCATACAGACCACAGCTCTATCCTTGATGCGCTCTCGCGCCTTGGGAAAGGTCGTGCAGTAGGCTGTATCGACCAGAGTGTCATATCCGATGAGGAGCTGCAACGGCTACACGAAGCGGGCATGCGTGGCATCCGTCTTAACATGCGCACCAGGGGTGATCCGGTGAACAAGGCTGCCGTGATAGCAGCTGCCGACCGTGTGCGGCATCTTGGGTGGATGATCCAGGTGTATATTGCCTTGGAACAGATCATCAAGTTCGTACCACTGGTGCCGCGGATCGGCCTACCAATTGTCATCGATCATATCGGGGCACCTGATGAGGCTCGCGGGCCCTGCAGGCTGCAGCCGGGGTATGCCGAGCTCATCGATCTGCTCCGCACGGGGCAGGTGTGGACCAAGTTGAGCGGCACTTATCGCTTTCCCAACCTTCCTGACCTCGACGAGTACGTCACCGACATATTGCGAACGGCCCCAGACCGTGTCATCTGGGCGAGTGACTGGCCGCACAGCGGGGGTGTGGAGGCAAGCCCGGGCGGAGATCGCACTCAGGTGCAGGAATACCGGAAGGTTGATGATGCGGCATTCATAGCTAGATGTAGGAAGTGGTGCCGAGATGTTGAAGGCGGAACCGGAGCAGGACTGGCGCGCAAGATCTGGGTAGAGAACCCACGAACGCTGTGACAGTGGGATGGCGACGAATGAGTAAACCACCGAGGTGATATCACACTTGTATACAGTGAGCTTTGGAGAGTTACTTGTTTCCGATCCTATAATACGTAAGGATTACAGTGTGGGAAGGAAACATTCTCCCGCGGAGTCAATAATCCCATATTGAGTTTCAGGAAAGCAGTCCAGTAGAGTAAAGCCGTCAAGATCTGGATTTCCACGAGTCACGTAGGTACCGTAACCTAGGTCGAGGTCTGGGTAGGGGAAAGCGGGGAGGTAGTTCCGGGTCTGTCCGGTGGGGGCACACGTCGGTTGGGCGTCTGAGAGAGCTGTTGCACCGGTCCTCAGGCTATTGGTGATTATGTGGAGGCTCCGCTGTACAATCGGGCACGTCGTAGTTCCCTGTCTTAGGGCCTGAAGGAATGTCTGGATTTTGACTTGGGCGTCGAAGTCGCCCTTCTTGATATCTTGCATCAGGACCGATGCCCCGGTGTAGATGCAATAGGACATCAGATAGGTAATCCGAGTGAACCCAAAGTTTCTCTCGAAGAGAAGCACGAGCTTCTCGATGCTATCTGAAGCCGCACGGCAAGCAGCATGGTGTCCAGGGATGGAATAAAATGGTCGATGTAGAAGAATGATGGTTGCATAATACAAGAGACTGTAGATCGGTCAGCCGTAGCAAGAATAACATAGCTTTCAAACTCACTTTTGCGTGAGGATATGAGGCGGGGGACATATTTGGGGTAGATGATCCGCGTCATATCTTAGATGTGCCGGCGACTGTTCCCTCCACTGGTCGAGTCTGCCTCGGATTCTATTCAACGCCTCGTCCATGTTGAGGATGCCGCGTCGGGAATATAACTGGAGGATGATGTCATTCAGGATGACAGCAAGTTTGCATACGTTTTGAAAACTCGAAACCAAATGGGATTTCATGGGGGGATATCCTCCCGGGGAAGCCTTGTCAGGACTGAGTTGATCACCATAGTACGGGACCCATAGGTCATTCTCTGCAGAATCATCCACTACAGATATGTTAGCCAGTGGCGTTTGTAAGAAGCCGTGCCCAGCACTTACACAGCTCGGGACACCGATCGAAGGGTAGTTCTTGCAGAATGGGCATGCGTCCAAGGAACAGGCTTATCGCCTTATCCCAGAAGTAGCAGCTCCAAAAAAGGCGTCGACGGATCTCCAAGTCTTCCGCTGTTAGGTGCCCAAGCGTTGCAATCTTGGTCGTATTGTGATGGAGCCCCAGGTCGCTGACCATGCGAAAGGCCATCCCGCTGTACAGCCAAGCCTGAGATATGGATCCCCATGCAAGTTCGCGAGCGCTGAGCTGAAGGAGACCTTGGGCCGTCGGAATGCTGCTGGGATTATGTATTTCGGTGCCCAGGAGCAGGCGTGCTCTGGAGATTAAGAGCTCGCTTGTCTGGCGATCATCAAAGCGCGCAGCGTGGGCACACATGACGATGAGTAGAAAGGGAGAATAACAGGGTCCACTGATTGCCATATCTCCTGCGACAGAGTAAGTCTCAGGTGAATAGAAAGGCTTATCTCATAGCTTACGCATGAATGCGGGGCGGTACACCCAGTTGAACATCGGCGCGATCCACGTCCAATGGGTCTGAAGGAGCTTTGATATCATATGCCGAGGGACGTCCGTTTGAATTGCCGCGTTCCCGAGGGCGAACTCTTCCCATGTCCTTGATTCGAGAGCCGTTGAAGTGAGCAAGGACCGAGCGTCCGACATTGACGAATATGAGTCATGGACATTTGTTGATTCTGCCGGTGGCGGCGCATGGACGGCAGATGTAGGGCCATAATAGCAAAGCTATTGAGACAGTCAAAGGATGTGCGGCCGCGTTTCATGAGATTCTAACCACGTACCTTTCCATTTTCATCGAGACTGAGGTCCGAAAGCAATACTTGATCGGACCCCGGCTCAGAATCGGGAGCCACCAGTGTTGATGAACTCGCTTCCGCGTGCGAAACATCATCGAAACCGGCATCGACCGAGGGAGTATTCGGGATCTGTCTCTCTATTGGGAATGGAGGTTGCACCAAATTTGCTCCTCTCGCCTCGTGCAACGCAGTGCGGAGCTCGGTGATCGTTTGCTCGGTCTCCTGCAATCTCTTGGCCATTGCAAGGATCTGCGACATGGGTGGGGCTTTTTCATAGCGACACTCCACGCCGTAGACCTCGCAGGTCTTACATCCAGGCTGGGTGCCATCGCATCGAGTCTACTTGGAGTGAGTGACGGAGAAATAGTCAGGGTGGAAAAGGGGATGAGATGGAAGACATGGGTTGAACTGACCTTTCTCACTCGGCAATTGGCACAAGTTAGGCCACGCTTCGAGCGATTCACCCTGTCGGGGCCATCGAGTCTCGAAGTGTTCTCATTGGATTGACGTGACTTTGGCATTCTCACGGGGGTACAATGGGGGTGGAATTGGGGTTATCTGATAAAGGGGAGGGAGAGAGGAAGAGTTGTCTGGGGGAGAAAGGAAGACGGAGGGACCAGGATTACAAAATTGTGCATTGACGGTCATTCCCATTCCTAGTAAGATTTACCTCAATTAACCTAGACTCGCATAAGAAACAAGCGGGGTATAATCTATTAAAGTCTTCTTTTCTCCAGGTCTTTCTTTATTCTGGTCCATTTCTTTAGCCAGAACCATTTACCGAGTCTTTTGCTACGGACCAATAAAATACCATTTGATTATTGGATGTCCATGCCAGGCAGTGGCTTGCTGACAAGAAAATAGTACATCTGGTCTAATATGAGATACTGCACATAGAGCGTTGGTATATATAAAGATCTATCAACCGAATATCATGCTCCTCCGTACCCACCTGAGACTGTAGCTACTATATCGTACATATGTTGCGTGAAATCTCCACTATCGATCACAAAAATCAATGATTTCCCCCCCTCCAAACCTATAAATCTAGACAATATAACACACCCATGCGGCAAAATAAGTGTTTCTCACCCTGAGAATTTTTCCAAGTGTCCACGTGGTAATAGTGGTTACTGCGGGTATTGCGGGTATTGCGGGTGGAAAGTCCGCGGAGGAAGGAAGAGGTAACGTGACAACCATGGTTCTCTTCCTTCTGGAATCCAAACACGCCTCTTGGAAATACCGGCCGACCAGTCGGATGGAATTCTACGCTTTTATCTGGTATCAACACTGCCTGTCCGAACTATATGAGTGTTGTTGGTGAATGGACTACCGATTAGGAAAAAGGAAGGTTGTTATTATGATTCTCACTAAGCGGCTATCGCATAGGACACTCAACTCGACCAATTCAGCTCAGCTCATCGAGAAAGTGAAGCTTGGTATATATTATCTCCTGTCACAAGAGCCATTCAGCCATTCATCTCACATCTTATACAAGTCATTAGGGGGAATATCTGGACCCCTAAACCCCCGACTACAACGGCAGCCCGTGTCTTTATTCAATCTACCGAATCTTCCGAAGTCCTTCGTGATCAACCTTTGGGTCAACGGTAGCTGTCTCAGCCCAGTCCACATTCCGGACTGACGCCTTCTGCCGGTAGGAGCGGTATTTCTGCAAGAACCGTCTAGACCCGAACAGAAACGCGATGGCGATCACTACAGCAGCCACACACCCAACCACAATACCGGCAATGGCACCACCGGAAAGGCCCGAACCTGAGCTCTTCGCATTCGTGGCATCCATGCCATTGGACGAGGAGCTAGACGAACCGGATGTAGCGGTAGCACCGGGGACAGCAGCGGTAGTTGTGGCAGCGGTGAACTCATCTGCCGTGACATTGAAACAAGGAACTTGAGTGGTGAATTTACTGGCAGCGACGTATCGGACATCGGCACAGGCATAGTACGTCTCGTTCTTGTCGGTTTCGAAGTCGGACGTGTATTTGATCTGGAAGGTGGCGTTTGAGCCTTCCTCCACGTCGATGGAGGGGTTGGGGACAGGGTAGCATTCGTGCCCAGGCTCTATATCCTTGATACTAGACCCATCAATGAAGGCCTCGAAGTCGTCGTTGGTGCTAGGATCTATGGAAGGATTAGCTTGGACGGACCAATTGTACACCAAGAATGGTTATCATACTGTTTTTGTGGGAGACCGCGATCTGAACGTTCCATGATTCGTCTTGGATGACAAGTGCGAGTTGGCCGTTGACTCGAAGCACGCACACCCATTAGCGATCATGATCAAAGATGAGGCTCAGAGATACTTACTAAGAGGGAAATCCGTCCTGTTTGAAACTCCAGCAGACGACCCGCATGGAGCTGTGTTGTCGTAGGCGGCACCCCAAGGACGATCTGGCGGCCACATGAAGGCAACAGGACCCATCTTTTTGGCTTCGTCTTCACCGTGAGCCCAGGCGCCGATGGCAGACGATAAGGCCACAAAGGGTACAAAGTTATTCTTCATGATCATGTTGGCAGCAAACCGATGATCCCCTGGAGGTTTTGGTCGAAGACTTGGATGGTTTGCAGCTCTTCAGGAAGAGGGCACGAACGCCTCGAATCCCAGTACTTATAAGCCTCTAGCACTCGACTAATTATCACCCACTTTGGAAAGTGTCGGAAATCCGACAAGCGATCCAACATGCATGTGTCATGATTCCATGCGTTCCACTCGCCAAGGGAAGAGTTCATTTGACGATAAAACCGACGCCGTTGGAATGCCCGTCGTTCTACACCTGAAAATCCATTCACCGGGACTTCACATGGCTGCCCGTGGTGGAGTGTTCCACGAGAGTCGAGAGCATTACGCGAAAATTCCTCATGCTCAAATTGCCAAGAAAAATAGATTATCGAACCTGTGGACCAAGCGTGCCATACGCGAGGAAAAGCACCGGATTGGATCAGATAAGATCAATCAGATAAGATGATGGGTGGGGTCTTGGTCCGCTATTGGCCTGGTGTTACGTCAATTCCGCGACGAACAACTTGCGATTAGTCCAGAGGAGGGTCTCGGACGGTCCTTTCCATATTTCCCCTCTTATTATCCTGTCGGCATATTCCGTGGCTTCAGAGAGACCCCATTCCAGCACAGGGAGTCGGACCCGAAGGGCCTCAGGACTCCGAAAAGGTCGTACGACCTTTTTCTGTTGTTCTTTTCCTTGTTCCTTTCTCGTATGTATGTACATTATAGACATGACTGTACTATCACGTAAAAGGGAGACGCTTGGGGCGATACCTCATCTCTCTACCAAGCATGAAATGTATAAGTAGACGCTAAAATTCCCTGTCTCTCACGGTCTTTGCACACCACCCGATTTTACCCTCGTTTAATTGCTCTTCATCGGCCGCTCTTTTCCTGCGCCTCTCGTTATTCGCTGACTTAACCATGCATCTTCCTGCTCTTGTCACCCTCGCCTGCATGGCAGCCAGTGCCAGTGCGTTCCAATACCCGGAGTTTGTCCCCTTGCACCGTCGCCAGGACCCCGGTACACCCGAGTATGACTGCCACGCAAACTGCGGTGAGTTCCAACTTTTCCTTTATTTATTTTTAAGTTTCTTTTTCTTTTTCTTTTCTTTTCTTTTCTTTTTTTCCGCTTACCTATCCAATATTAATCAATAAAACTAGGCGGAGTAATTACAGCCGCTCGCAAAGACGGTTACTGCGACTCTGATACTTTCAAGACCGAGTTATCCGACTGCCTCAACTGCGCCGTCAAGTACGATATCTGGAAATATTACGGCTCGTCCGTTTCCAAGGCAGCTACTGGATGTGGTCTAGACGCCACCCCAATCGAAGCGTCCTCCACCACAGCAGCTGCTAGTGTCAGCGCTACTGAGTCCGCAAACTTAGTCACTGTTACCCCCTCTTCTTCTGCCACGGACGACACTCCAACTACTGTTGTAACCTCTAGTTCATCCGGTGCCGTGCCCAGCTCGAGTGGCGCGGTTAGTTCGACACCCGCGTCATCTACGGTGGTTTCTTCTGCAACGCCCTCGCAGAACTCGGTAAGTTTTTGGTTCACCTAATTTAGTGCGATAGCTGGGACCTTGCTAAGTTCTTTGTTGCAGACTGGCGGGGCTTCTCCGACTGTTAGCCTGTTCCCGGGAGCTGCTTCTACTAATTCCCGCGGTGGAATGCTCCTTGCTGTGCTAGCTGGATCTCTCGCTGTGGCCTTTTTGTGACAAGGGCATCTTGACTATTTAATTGGACGTTGTCAGGTGGAGAGCTTAAGTGATGCAATGGACGCTGTACACTACTGTAGACATCCTTAGACAGCTGAAGTTTTCAAGGGGAAGTGTGCGGCGATAATAATCTTTAATTCTCAATTTTAGTTGACAGGAATCTCCAATCCCTCTAGACATTATCAAGACCTCCGAGGGAATTAATCTCTGTAGGCTAGATAAATTGGGCCGACCTCTTACAAGTATGCCGCCCTTTCCGACAAGACGCTCCACCCTGCTTTCACGGTGCAGCTGGGACCATCCAGCGATATTCGGACCTATGTGTCCTATAAATTGATACCTCATATAGTACAGGGGTTCATGTGCAATGGTCAAAACTGTGCATGAGGGATGCTACCTAAGGAAGCCCTGGCCTAAAACTGGTATTTTATCTTCCTGCCGTTCAAAGCCCGAGAAGGGCCCACTGTGACAATGGAACCCTTGTTTTCCTTATTGTTCTCGGCTTTGAGTTCCGGCTCATTATCAGTGGAGAATGGTATAGGCCCACAGTGGGACTTTTGTAATCTGATCCGAGTCTGTGATCCTACGCTAACATTGGATTCGTTATACTCAGAGCATGCAAAGAGTTTGCAGTCTCTGGTCCCCGAATATTTTTATCACTTGTCTACCTTCGGTCAGGAAAAGTTTGGCACTTCCTGATGTGGTAACACCTGTTTTTGCTAGCCTTGAATATGATATGCACGCTTCCTTTTTGACCGGAAAACCGATAGAAGGAATATACAAGGGTTAGGATAGATAAAGGGAATGTTCTGATCAGGAATTACCCGCGTCTTTGGGTTATCGCGGGAATATGAAGGGTATGCTGCGCTGAAGTATTCCATAATCTAGCAAGCCGTCTTATATTGACTAGATGTTACCCTATGAAGAAAATAAAGCTTGTCACTCATTGGCACATAATTCACTACACCGATGCCATATTCATAGACAGCTAACCTCTGTATAGCCTGCTCCCTTTTCCTTCTTCTTTCCATCATACACCCTTGTTTCTCTTCTATCATAATCGTTTAGTCTGTATCCAGTGCTCAACTACGATACTAAACTTATATAATGCTAGAACTATGTCCTATTCACGTACACACTTGGAAAGAGTCGGGACACTGCGGCAGACCAGTGCCATGAGTGACCACTCCCAGGAACGGGGCGTCATCGCCCTTTAGCCCTCCAGGGAATGCTCGAGGACGAAACTCTAACAAAATGTGGAAAGGGAATCCCGAAGGGATCAGCGAAGAGAATGGCTGAAACCGGCGCAATTAACGGCCCCTGGGGTTATCAGCTATTTGGTGGGAATGGTGTCGAATAGGGCCAACGTGCCTTACCACCCATACCGTGCTGCATATTCTAACCAAAATGTCATGTCGTATTCCCAATGAGGATCATGGAGCTTATACTTCTCTGCGCTTTTGGCGCAGCGCAATATTCGATATCTGCGGTCTCGCACATATAGCTCTGAACCATCAAGTTTATCTATAAAGAGATATCATAACTAACTGTACTCAATTGCGCAGAATAGACCCTACGGAAACTCTAAAAGCGATAACCGCGCTTCCTTGGGAATGAGCGCCTAATCAAACAAAGAGATTATGTGGGCTGGGGATTCCGGCTGGCGGTCCAGATTGGACCGGCCAGGGGGATGGACCGGCCGGTAAGCGGATTTAGGTGTTAGTGATGAGGATAGCTCTAGATAGCAGGAAGAAGATAATCATGATTCTCATGGAAATAGGCTCCATATAGTGCCTCAAGAGATTATAAGGACTAATTCTACCGTTCCTTAACTTTGATACACCTTTATTTGGGGCAAGCGATTTTCTTGTTGGTGTCCGATTGTTGACCCACCCACCCACCCTGCAAAGGGTGCAATTGGAAGTCCAGACGGGGAAACAGACGGGGGTAAGTGGCAGAAGGAGAAACAGGGCACAACTTGCGTCGAAGGAGTTGAAGTTCTTGGATACATTGAACGGTGTATATTCGAGCTGCCGGACCCCAAAGTTTGCTTCACCCGTCAAGTCCAAGAATAGGCTACCTTTCTGGAAGAGCCTCGTTGTCTTTTTCAGGGTCAAAGCTCGGCTCCTGGTCTACCAAGGGGGGTGGAAAATAATACTCCGACGCTCTACATATATTCAGGTCACGCAGGAGAGTCGCAACGGCCAAGGTTAAATGGTTTCCAAGGACTGATATTCACACCCTGCTTTTTAATGCATATTACTAACAATATATGGGAGGTAGTCAGATATAAGAAAATCCTCGTTAGCCTGTGCGTTGACGAGAATATAGTCAAAGCTGGAATCGAACCCGTACATGGTGATGTGTACTATAGCCTTTACTGCTGTCCGGCAGGATCAATCGCGGTGCAGCAACGTCTGGCTAGGAGCAGAAGAGTTCCGGCAGGTCTCACCTCTCGTTCATATAAGTTCTTGTCGATACCCGAAGGTTTAAATGGCGACCCTGAGACGGTTGTTAGGATATGCCTGCAATTTTCGTAAAGCGCATAAAAGCTAGACCTCTACCATAATAGTAAACGTACCGAAAATGGGATGTCTAAGCATCGCCATCTGGAAGTTGAAGCGTTATCCCGCTGAGACCCCTGCAAGAATGATCTGGGAATCGACAGCCTTCTGTACACTATTCTTTATGATGATTTGCCGGTAACTTTGAAGTCATTACTTTCCTTCACCACTTGGCCTGTATACTTAAAGTATACTGAAGATGGCCAGTACCTTGAAAACCCTGGTCCTCAAGCTCTCCCTATACTGTGACTGAAAACTTCGCAACGACTCGCTAATATCCTTCTGCCATCCATCACCAAAGCACACACACACACACACACATCGACCTGGCCAATTACATTTACTGGCGCTTTAGTTGGTTCGATAGTGGCCTCCTCTCCACGATTCCCCCAATTGAACGAATAGTCGGCCGTCCAGCAACCGACGTCCCATCTCATAGCATCCCAGCTCATATAACCCAACTAGCAGTCGGTCCTCAATCAGTTGTAGTCGGTTCTCAGGCTGCCTCACCAATGCCTCCTGTTCTCATCGGGCCGCCCATTGAGATCTCACGTACACTCAGCCCTGTAAGGAATATTATAACTAATAGTGATTTAAGTCTGGAAGTATCCTATTGGACCCAGTTTTGTGTCTAATTAGTCCTGCGCCTTAGTAGTCAGTAGGACAGCATCCAATACTCTCACAGTAACGTAACGAGTCCATATCCACCATATCCCATATCCCAACTTCAACACACACGCAAACTCAAGCAATAGCCCACCGAAAACAACGGCTCCAACCCAACCCTACTTTCTCGATATCCCCGGCCCCTACACTCCCCTCATCCACAATCCCCACCAACCCCCTCAAAACCACCAACCACTCCGCAAAACACCTGCGTCCCCGAATAGCTCCCCTCTCACCCAAAAGTCCCCAATGCAATCGGCTCACTAAACATACACGGCACTACAATCCCCAACCAAAGCAAATTAAGCCCAGTACTAACACCCCTCCCCCCCGGGGGCCCAAACCACCTGCGCCATCAGCGGCGCAATCGTAGCCCAAAAGTTGCCCGCCCCGAGGCCCTCTGCGAGCGCGAAGAAGATCAGCATGCCGTAGCTCTTGGCATTGGTCCAGACGTCGAAGGAGAGGATGCCAGCCACCATTGTCGTGGAGGCGGCTGTGTTGATGCGGCCCCGACGGTCACTGAAGTAGTTGATGGAGGGTCGGCCGAAGGCTTGACCGAGGTTGAAGAGGGCGGTTATGGTTGAGGATTGGGAGGGTGCACAGCATGTTGATGACGAAGCCTATTATGCCTGGGGTTCGGGATGCCCATTGGAGACCCAGGGTGCGGATCACGGCGCCGATTGAGAGGGAGTATATGAGGTCGTATGCGGAATTGAAGCCCCAGGAATGGGCGTTAATTGTGGTAAGGTTTCTGTGGGTTGGTTGGCTGGGTCGTTGGCTATCCTTCTCCAACTTGATAATAAGGAGATAATGCCCGCCATATTGGGGTGCACCAGCCCGTGGATCTAGCAAAGAATGGACAACTTTATAGAGACCAGCAATATACACAGATGCTAAAATATGAACCGGCGTTCATAATTAGCGAATGACGAAATCCTGTGCCTGCTAATTTACCGCCGCAGCTTGTTCGACAAACAGTTCCCTTGTTTCATAGCGGCTGCGCCTAAACCTAGCCTACCGTCGCCAGTGAAAAATAACCGGCGACCATTGCAAGCGTTTTGAGCTGCTTCCGCGAATCGCCATGACGCCCCATGATCGACTAGAGACCCAAGAGCTAGGTCAAGCAAAGAGTTCTGCTCAGACGTAGTGTGGTTCCTGACTGCATTCTTACCCTTTATTAAGGATATTTCCATTCTTGAGTCTAGTATCATTTGAGAGGCCCCCTGTGGTAGCGCTTTTTGCAGCAAGCCATGCGGCAATATCGGATAGATGAGCTTTCTTATCTCTCACTAGTAAACCATACCAGTCCTTCCCGGCTGTGAGAGTCCACGCCAGAAGGGCTCTATCAGCACAACCATGGAACAGAAAAACTAATTTGTGTTTAGACCCGGGGCTTTGAAATGAAGGGTCTTGGGCAAGGGTAAAAACAGAGCTTTCCATGGTTGGGAGAACATCTATTACTTGCGCACAGATAAAGCTTTGCACACTTGGATGGTGACCATCATTTAGTATCTGCACCACCATTGGCGTTCCACCGTCTGCAATGTGACATTGCGCATCGTCACCACTGAGCAGCGATTTCGTGAACAACGAATCCCACATAGGGACCCAAGTCTCATGCGTAGGACAAAATTGGGGGCCGTACTGTACGCTCGAGAGTATGGCGAGGTTTCTCTCCGTCTCGATAATTCTCGTCGCCGCTATTCGGTATGCAGCTCTGTCAGACAGACTGTAATCCGGTTGAATAAATGGGCGGTCATCAGAATGAGAGTTGGTAGACAGCCGTAGCAGCCCATAAACTCGGTCACGACGATCAGAAACCTCGTATTGCTGTGTCATAGCGAGAAGGCGTGAAAAGCTTAATTTAACCGGCGTGAAAAAGGTCTTTGCGATGGGCGAGATCCGGTACATGAAATAAGTGTTGAACAAAACCTGGTATCGATCAACGTTCAAAAAGATCGGACATGCGCAACCGTATGCTCGCAGCCGCAAAACCAACCCATTGCCAATCAATCTCCGAGTCACCCCAGACCAACGTAGCAGAAAGTGGATAGTGTGATTTCCTGGATGATCCATACCCCCCAGAACCAACTCAACTCGAAGAGAGCTTGTAAGATTCCCACTGAGGAGAGTCCGCGGCTGGCAGAGTAGCCGGGACGGACGTTTCGCTCTGACTGCGAACCGAAGGGAATGTCGCGTTTGGGAGCTAGCAGAAATAACTTGCCACGTCACAGAGTAGATAAAATGCAGTGTGTGAGGTCCAATTTCTATCTTCACCCAGCCAGACAAGCACTCGGGTAGCTGTCCTGAATATCCGATTCATCAGTTGAACTTGGACTCCCTTCTCCTTGTGGCTTTCTTGGTCAATGCACAGCATATCGACCCATATGTATTTTGAGCTACTCTCATGACGGATTGTCTCGAGAGCGTAAAAGAGATTCGGGGCAACCTTGGAAGTCTGACTGCTTATTGTGATAATTCTTTTCCTTGACGAACCCCAAGCGTATGAGAGCGCCTCATAGACCGGATAATCGCCCAGTCTTCGGACATGAAGCCGCGTTGAGATGGGGAACACCTTTATCCCAGGAAGTAGCTCGAGAAGCCGGAATGAGTCCTCGGACTCTTGAGTATTACATATGCATGAGGGTGGGGCAGTCGGAGTAGGAGATGCTAGTTGTTGGGAGACAGTAACTATAGACGGAAAGACAGCTTATGATATCAGCGATACATTATGAGTCTGAGAGAACCTACGTAGGCGAAGAGGGAAAGCCAGCATGGGAGACAATTAAATATAGATACTCACCACTGCTTGAGCTTGAAATGTCCAAGTTTGCAGGACTGGCCGTGATATTGTTCAACATGGTAAAATCCATTGCTCGAAGATAGTGTCGAGGTTTTAACAAATGAAGTAGATGAGACTTGTTTTGAGATATTGGAAAAGACCATAGGAGAAGGGTGATGAGTAGTAATTATGGATAGAAGCAACAAGCTTATCCCGGGCCCAGCGGAAGGAGAATAGAGATAAACAACAGTACCCCTCGTATGAGGTAGTATATCTGAGGCTGTTTTGTTTCGTATTATTAATTGAACTATGCCTGGCCTTACTGGGTCAGCCTTACATCAAGAGGTCATCAATAGTACCCGACTTTGTGGTCACCATCAACAATATCAGATATTGTTTGTTATTCGGTCAGAGGTGAGTGATGGATACGGACTGACTGTAGAGATTTGAGACATGCAAAATCCTGGTCCACCCCTAATTTGCCTATTAGCAACCCCTATAGCTCAGTAGTGGAAAGCTAGAACAAGGATTTTTAGAGAATCAAATAAATCACGATTCTGTGACCTTTCAACTAAATGTCCATATAGAGAGAGCCCAGACTCAGAGCCCTTGACCGAAATATACCGCTAGACCACAAAAAGTGCCTGGATACTGGGTGACTTGCCCTAAATTATAACTTTATTTTATGTATAATGTTTTAATGACAAATCCTGGCTTTGTGTATTGTGCCAACCACAAGGCCCTATACATATTTCATGTACAAAGTAGGGCACCTACGACCTGAAGAGATCGAGACAGTGGACAATCCCAATCGCGTCTGATCGACCAACCAGAAGCCCCTATAGCTCAGTGGTAGAGCGCTGCACTGTAAGTGTGACCAATGAGAATTAAAGGATTTCTGAGGACGTTTGTGACTAATCTTCCTAGCGTAGTGTAATGCAGAGGCCCATCGTTCGAACCGGTGTGGGGGCACAGCGCCCATATGTCTTTTTTTGTTTTTCTCCCTACATCACATCATTCCGCCCTTTCGAATTCTATATGATGGATGATGTGCTATGTTCCAGAGGGGAGATTGGGTGAAGCTCTATCTGGCTGGGAAAGGCTACATGGCTTACCTGCCTTAAGTTAGTAGTTTAGTAATCACAATCAGTAGAATATGTCAAATGACTGAATTTATACAGTTTTGGATATGATAAATAGTTAGATAGATCATTAATCATCATCACCATATCACGATATGGGCTTCAAGTTACGACAGCGAGAGAACCGTCCCTCTGCATGTTAATGCCATACTACCAAACTCAACACCTTGAAATCAAGCATAACATCAAACCAGGACGCTAGAGCCATCGTTCTTCCTGCATGCGCAGGTGGAAGCGCTTGCTGCGATCTGTGAAGGCGTTCTAGCATAGCTGGGAGGAACATCGAGAACAGGATTGCGAGTGAAGAAGTGACGAGGACGAAGAAGCAATGTCATCGGCTCTGCCGGCATGATAGGATAGTCCTCAGGAGATGGGAAGTGTGTGAGTCCAAAGGTGTGCCAGAGCACAACATCCGTGTTGTCAATGGAGCTGTTAGGGCCAGCTTCCTCAATCCAGGCAGGCAAGCCTTGAGATGGTTCTCCAGAGGTCTGGGGAACGTGACGGCCAGCAGGGTGGACTTGGTCGTCGGAGTCTTTAAATGGGTTAGTATCCATCTGTGACAAAGCAAAGGGTGGGAGGGAATCTTACACTTGGTAACATGGACAGCGTGTCTGGCGAATCCAGCTCGCTTCCACACTAATGAGCCCTCCTTAGGGAGCAGAGGGGGAACCTCACGGCTAACTAGCTTGTAGCACACGGGCTTCTTGCTGTGGGGGTTGAGCTTATTGGTATTGGCAATTTCCCATGTTCTTCCAGTGGAGCCGTCGTAATCGGACATCGCCTCAATGGGAGTTGTGAACTTGGTCTTCTTGGCGTAGAAGGCGTTACCGTACTTGTTCTCAGCGCTTCCAACTTCACCTGGACCTTGGACGGCATCAACCTGGAAGACTGTGTTGTTAGGACCGTCAATGTTGGCATCAACACGCAAACAGAACAAGTGCTGGTGGTTGTGAGCATTAACACCAGGGTAGACCTCAGTTCCCCAGCCCTTGGCGTCCTCTCCAGGATTCATGGCATAGGTGTTGAGAATACCAGTCAACTTAATATCAAGCTGCACTGTACCATCTTGGTGGAAGATCCAGTATACGCAGTACTCGTAGTTTGCAGCTGTGAATATGTGAGAAATAATCAACTTTCGGCCACGAGTAACGATAATTGACTCATCCCGGAAATCAGTGTGCTTGAAGAGAATGCCTGCATCCTCCTCGTGAATGCAAATGGCATTCTTCACGATAGTGCTAGCGCCAGCGCGGTTGACGAATGCGGCATCCATGTAGTGAATCGCTCCCTTGCAGTCACATCCAAGAGACAGACTGTTCGTCATGTATCCACCACCGTATTCGCCGAGGTCAAAAGCGTGCTTACGCTGATGCGGATGCTCGGGATTTCCATATGGCACCACCATCTCCGCGAGCGACAGGCGATAGAAAACGGGACGGACATTCCCCTTGTCGCTGAAGGTGATATTATTAAGTACAATGCCTTCACGGTAGTTGAAGCCAACGTGGATGTTCCAGTTTTGCCACTCAATATGCCGTCCGTTAACGGCAAAAGATACGCCTTCGGGCTGGGTGATGTGAATGGGCTTCAAATCCGTCCTGAATCCGCCTTCCTTTTCGATCGCCGCCGGGTGGTAGTTGTTGGGGGCCGCTTTGCTAAGGGGTCTCCGCACCGGGGGGATATCGATGTGAATAATCTTCTTTGTCTCGGCGTTGTAAATTGGACAGAAATCTAGAGGATATGTGTATTGGGAGTCATCGATATGGGGTCGGTAGTACATGAGAGCTTGCTGGAGACGCACACCGGTGCCGAAGCGCTCATCGTAGCCAATTGTCCACGCTAAACATGTGTTAGTCGGTTCCAGAATCGCTTTCCCTCTTCTCTCGACCTAGGGGACTTACGGTCACAGTACACCTTGTCCATATCTTCCTTGGGAATTCCAATGATCGCACACTGCTCGATAACCTTCGGGTCCTTGCGAACAATATGCTCAACTTCCTGCAGATCCTCCATGGTAATCAACGGCTGGACGCCCGGGGTGTGCTTCCATTCGATGATTTTCTTCTGGTTCAGGTCCACAATCCCATCATAGACCTTTCCACCAGGAGCAATTGCCACAACATCAGCAGCTCTTGTCGGACGAGGAACCTTATGAGGATCCGCCAACCAAGCCATCATCTCCGCCTTGCGAGGCTCGTACAGAGTGACGGCATTGAAGTTAACCTTGCCATGTGCCTCGCGGACAAGTGCAACGGCAGTGTCGATTTCAACAGTCGAGAGGGGATCGAAAGGGTGAGGAGGAGGAGATGAAGCATTGACCTGCGAGGCCAACTGCTGCAGGCGGTCGAGGACCATGATTCAGATAGATCGTGGAATAATTGCACTCCTCTTGAAGTATAGGGTGGTTGCGGATGTAGATGATGGGATACGCACCGGGGGGATATGTAGTTTGCGAAAGTCCCCGGGAATGAATGTCGGTGTAACACACAAGTAGAAGAATGCAAAAAAAAAAAAAAATTTATTTATACAGATCCATCATGCAGAAGGGACCCTTGCTTATAAGCTTAGAGTATAAATCGATGATGCAGAAGCGATAAGCGATAAGACACGGATCTCTTGACCTGATCGGGTATAGTCTCCTATCTCCAAAGCGGCAATCGAAAGTATGCGTTGGACACGCATCGAGACTCGAGTTGAGAAGCGGGGAAAGTATCGGATGTATTTACTACTATCGTGGTAGGGTCCGACTGGGTAACACAATCCGAGCAAAGGGGGAGACTCATTTAGGGGTCTCGTATCCGTTGATCGGACACCTATTCTCCCCCCCCCCCAAACCCCGGCGGATATGTCAAGATGTGATGTAAGAGAAACAACTTACTTTGGAACCAATCTGTTTTTATCTACGGCTAAGACACAATGGATAGGGAAAAGGCACGGAATGCCTGCGAAATGAGATTCATATTCCAGCCATATATCAAACACCGTACACCCTTCGCAAATAACCATCTCCAAGACAATGTGAATCATCTCAGGCGACGAACCCATCGAACGAACCGTGAATGGAAGACCTAAGCAAACAGAAAATGCAGTTCAAAAAAAAAAAAAAGAGAAAAAGAAAAATAAGGAGGCACCGCCGTGGTGCCGCATGCTATGTACATCCGTCATATCGTATCCATCCCGCAACCCCCTGCCATGAGAAAGACATAAAAGCAGTCGCTGTGAACGTGGTAAAGGGAAAATAAGACAAATAGCGTACTTGGAGAACAACCCGAGGATGAGAAGCTCGTCAAAAATTTCCAGTAGAGTACACAAGCACGCGAGAGTCTATAGAAAGGGACTAAACAAAGGGAAAGAAAGAGAAACAACAATGCAAAGCATATCATGACTCCCCCCACCCAATCTAAAACCAAGGAACAAATGAGATACTGGCTAAACTAGCTTCAAGCTTTCCCAACTTGAAATTGTCCCAACACTCCGCCTACAGCCCCGGGTGTCAGTGTGCCGGCCCCCTGGTGCTGAGGTGTGCCGGCATTGGGGGTGCTCGGGGTGCCAGTCGTAGAGTAGATGGTGGCCCCGTTGAGATTGGGCGTCTGATGGGACATTTGGTACAACAAAGCGGGCATTTGACCATTCAGTCCCCAGATTTGTCCAGAATATTTAGACTCGTCGATCGAGCCGCCGAAGACCAATTGTCGCATCTTCCAGTAGATTTCACCAGTGACAAGCGAGTCAGACCCCGCCTGGTGAGCGATGCCTACCCGTTTGACGCCGAGCTCGTCGGCAATGTCTTGGAGTCCAGACTTTTGACCAAGGTTGGCGAGGATCTGGGCGGCGGCCGGTGTGAGAGGAATATCATTGACGGCTTGGTTGCGCCCGGCATGCTTCATCAAATATTTGATGTCATATAGCGATGGGAAGAAAATATTGAGGAGTTTGTGGAATTCTTCTTCGTTCTCCGGGAGAGTCTTGCAGAGCATGATCTTCATCAAGTAGCCGAAATCGTAGCCGGAGTGGAAAGAAACCCAGTGAACGTCATCCAGCAAGACAAGCCCCGAGCTGATCAAAAGCGCACCGAACTCGAATGGATCAATGCCGTTCTTCTCGTGCATGGTGAAATCAATTCCGGCTTTAGCAAGCATTGCTGTCGACTCTTGAGCGTACATGTCGTCCTCCAACGAGAACCGGAAGTTAAATTGCCAAGTGCAGGGTGCAGGCACCAGACCGTTTCCGAGAGGTTGTCCATTCGCATCCGTTGCATTGGGTGGGGGTACTTCTCCTTCGGCGGAGAACAGGGTTATTCCCAGCTGAATCATCTTTAAGAGGTCAACGTTGCACCGGAGAGTCTGATAATGGTAGTCTGCCTTGTTCGTAAACGCTCCGATGGGGCGTGCAACGATACCGGGGAACTCGGTATCCTGAACTGTCATTAGCTTTTACACCACAGAGGGAAGCAGAAAAATAGCCGCTCCGAGAATCATCTGGCGATTGAAATCCCCGGAACCACTTGGTCGCAATCTCGCAATCTCACCATGCTGATATACGGATACTTCTCCACCAACTGCCGTAGCACGGCCATTTCCTGAGCCAAGTTGTGCTTCCAAACATCCCGTATCCTTGTCTTCACCGCACCCGCTTTGGCCTCGAGTGCTAAGCGACCATCATGAGCTTGATGGAGCTGCTGTTGCTGCATTTGGGCCCCTCTTGCGAAGCCCATCTGAGCCGCGTGGCTGGCAAGGCCGGTACCGCCGCCATCAGCGGCAGCCCCGAACCCAGCGACAGACATGCCGTTTGTAAGTCCGGTTCCGGAGAGCGTAAAAGGATTGATATTGGTATTCGGGTTGCCGGCGGCGAAACCAGGATGACCGCCAAGGGAGGGAGGCGGAAGAGCTGTGTTAGCCGACTGGGCATGAGCCGGATGGTGTTGAGGTTGCTGTTGTTGGAGGTGGGCTTGTTGTAAGTGGGTGTAGGGGGCGCTTAGGCCAGTAGGCCCGTATCTGCCGACAGGAGGTGGCATGTTGTAAACTGTAACGTGGACAGCTTGTCATGCATCTGAAATGTGATGGGGGTGGAGGGGATGGTGAATGAGTGGTCGGGCCTTTTTCGCGCTGGACAAAGCGCTCGCAAGTCTAAGAAGGCGGAACAGCTTCTTTGTCCGTATTTGGCCTAGCGCGCCAAGCCTCAACTTCGACGTTCCTGTACAGCTTCAACTTCCCTCTCACTCCCGCCTTAATCAATAAAAGTCATCGTCCCCTTCTGTTCCTCCCCTTCCATTGCGCCTCGGAACCTACGGACTCGGGTGTCGAATTTCTTCTACCTTTACTCACCTGTCCATTGACGCCGAATTTTCCCGTCCCTCCATCTCGCCCGTTCACCATGGCCGGCCCGAAACCCACCGGTTTCGACCTCAAGGAATTCAAGGCCGCCGCTTCTCCTCGGTCGGTCTGGGCCAAGAAGGACCCCTGGGCTCGCTAGTGCGTGACATGCTTGAGGCTTTTGGCAATTGCTCTGACTGACTCACCGCAGTGAGACCTGGAGATACACCGGCCCCTTCAGCCGCTTCAACCGTTTCAAGGTCATCTTCCCCGGCTTCGGCATTGCCAGCGTTGCCTTCGCTGGATACTGCGCATACGAGGCTCTCTTCATGAAGCACGATGATCACCACGGCGAGGGCCACCACTAAGCCGACCAATTGAAAACATCGCATTGAGACGGAACGGATCCCTTAACGAATGACCGACCGATATCAATGGATTTGAAAATAAAATGAGGATACCCCGGATTACAGTCGACAAAGTCGTCTGAATATCAGGAGACGTTGCGCTTTTCGGTTTCTTAGAAGGGATCATGTGTTGAACCTGTGCCAGTGGCTAGGCTTCAGAGGCTACGACTGTGCGGGAAATAAACTATTGATTGTCATGACTGGCCCTTGCACTGCAGTCGGCGCTTGGGTTGTTTGAATTTGTCGGATGTACATAGTATCTATCTGGTTTTCGTTATATCAAGACTGTACTTTTGCTGTTTGTTTGGTCTCGTGCGAGTTTGACCTAGAATGCTACGTCATTTGGCAAGTATTGCACTACGTGGTGCAGTTGTGCGCTTCGATAATCAGTGGCGTTCGTACTGGTAGATTGTATAATTTTTGTTGCGCTAATATATGTGATCCATTTTTCAGTGGCTAGATTACTCTTCAAAGGCAAAGGCAATGCCATCGTCACCCGCAGTGACAACCCGCTTTCCATCCGACGATTGAACAAAGGCCATAATGCCACCGGACTGCTCACCCTCCGAGTTCTCGGTGAGACCTAAATGGCCCTTCCATTCCTTCAACAGTCCCTGTGCGGCAGCTGCAGTGCCACCACGGGCATCCCAGCGCCTTACCACACCGTCCATGCCGACGGAAGTGAGAAGCCATGGCTGACCTTGTGCAGCCGCGGCAACAGGACCACGGGGAGGCAAGGGACTCGCTCCACCGCGGCTCTGAAGGAATTCAACCTTAACCACGGCACCTTCGGATGCCTCCTTGATATGGCGACGGAGAGCAAAGCGGTGGGCGGTATCGAACAGGGCAATCGATCCGTCCACCGAGCCGGCAGCGAGAAGACTCAAGGGAGGAGAGGAGAAGGACAGAGTCTCAATGCCATCGGACTGAGCTTGAAGAGAAGCCAGCAGAGTACCAGCAGCAGCACTTGTCGATTGCGAGCCGGAAGCCTTACCCTTCGCTTTCGATGCAGCAGCACCGCCAGATGCCAGACGAGGAAGGCCGACAATCTTGATGTGACCTTCCGCGCCACCAACAGCGGCGAACCCACCACCCGGCGCAACGGCAACAGAGTAAAGACCTCCTTCCACCTCAAACCGCTGGTCATCTGCGGTCAATCCGACAACGGCACTAGTTCCGGCGGAGTAGGAGATACCGGCGGCGGCGGCAGCGCCAAAGACATCATATACGTAGAAGCTGCCATCCTCCGAGACGGTTGCGAGAAGCTTTCCGTCGGGTGTCCAGGCACCCGCTGTGCAGGATCCGGTGTGCTGGAAGAAGGTCTGGATGATCGAGATCGGCTGAGCGGCGTCCTTGTGGTCAATACGGAACACCCAAGCGCTACCGTCATTCGCTCCCATAGCAATCACGTTGCTCTTCTCCTCATCACCATTCTCACAAGGACAAACAGCAACCCAATTGATTTCCTCCACTTCCTGCGCCTCCGCGACAAACTCCCAAGCCTGGCCAGTAAGCTGGGGAGTAGTATCGCGCAATACGCGCAGCTGACCATCTAAACCCGCTGTCACGGCATATTCACCCTTGGGTTCAGTGAACGCAACTGCATTGACGGTATCCTTGTGGCCTTCAATCTTCGTGATGGGCTGCAGAGAGTCCCGCTCCTTCTTCGGTTGCGGGTTCGACTCGTAACTCTGTGGCAGAAGAGGGCGCTCGGTCTGCGGTGTAGAATCGAAGATGTATGCGGTATCGTCGCCGGAGCCGGTGAGAACGATAGAGTTGTGGATTGGGTGTTGGGCAATGCAGAAGATCGAGTCTGAATGAAGATCGAAATGGGCGGAAGAGTCGTTCTCCAAGGTGATTTCCTCCTGTTCAAAGGTCATGGGCTCGTCTCCATCGTCGCCGTCGGAGTCCATGGGATGGTCCTCATCCCGCTGGAAGATTTCTTCGGCCTCGTCAGCCCCTACGTAGGCATCTTCTTCGGCCTCGCGATGGGGATTTTGCGAAGAGGACATAGTGTGGGTATATCGTGACGTAAAAAAAGAAGAAAAAAAAAATGAGCACTACTAACTTTGGAGGGGTAGTATGGTATGAGGGCGGATTTTAGTCGGATTTACTGCGAAGCAAGAGACTTTATGAATATAGTATGTCTCTTCCAGCCTTGTATGTCACAGACAAAAAGAATTGTTGCGACAATACCAAGCCGCGAGGAGATTTTTAGCTGGTCAGTAAATTATTGGCGATAAGGCCCCGCGCTTAGAAATTCATCATATTTCCCCCCGCGCCCAAATCAAACACTGCAAACAGATCAATCAAATGTCTCCGATTGCTTTATAATCGCAGTGCTTCAAATCATCATCTTGGCGTATGACTACTCTATAATAAATCATTAGCGACTCGCACTTAAATGTAATAATTTATAAATATTTTATATAGTATACTATAGTGTCTGTATGATAGAAGGAATAGTCATTATACTAATCACAAGTATTGTCCGGGGCCAGATAGCGTTTCAACCCAGACAGTATATATTATACTAATTCGAAATATATAAATTATGTGGCCACCAAGGAACCCGATCATGTAGAATACCTGGTAAGTTACCCGTAAGAAACGATATCGAAACGATATAAAAACGATCAGATTTATGACCCCCTATTCAACTATCTAGTAGGCGTATCTATGTGGGAATTATGAGGCCTTTTTATATGTGGCCTGATTACCATAGTATTCAACAACCCACATACTTCCGCAGGTGGTCAATTCACCAGGCATATGCCAGGTGCCTGCGATACTAGGTAATTTCATGGGCGTAGTCAATAGAGCATCAGGCCAATTCAGTTCCCAGTCACATTCTCAATACAGCATCAATGTCTGATACGTATGGGATTCTCGGTTAGAAATGGACGTACTGTTATTAGGAAGAGGAGGCAAAAATCAGCCTTTGTCCCAGTATTGACCAATCCCGTGAACGCCAGGTGTCTCTACTCACTATAACCAAGCTTATACTATTGTACACTAGGTTCACGGGCAAGGCTTTGTATATGCGATGATCACTAAGCACAGTGGAAGTTGAACTATCCCTTTTGACATACTAGCCCCTGATTGTAATTATATCTCATACTGAACGGTGTGAATATTCATCAACTTGTTTCACATACATTGGTTGATAGAAGAGCTGGAACCATCCACGTAGAGAATAGAGGAACCCGGGATTTACATTTGTGTTCTCCTGGGTTGTCCATAGCGATTAGCCTATAAGCAAAGCATTCGCCGTTTTCAAGGCCCACTTAGAGGCTGTCAGCTCCTCAGATGGGGGGCCATCAGCGTTGCGCTGGAGTGCATGGTGCATGTGTAATTGTGCCAGCCGCTGAGATCCATATAGCCGGTTGCCCATGAAAGAGAGACCAACTCCATGCCAAATGGGACGACACTGGCTAAGGACTAATCAACAATACCTGTGATCTCAAACGTGTTCTCGTTGACTAGGATGTTTGTTTAAGAAAGGTCATTATATGTGAGGATTTGTGGGCATGTTTGCTTGAAGAGGTTTGGGAGGCTGCGTTCCAGCTCGGAGATTGCTGGGCTGGAAAGCATGGAGGACGATGTGATACTTCGCTTGATGAGTCGGTGGAGGGCTCCCTCCTGAGCATCTTTTTGCACTTCGTCGTCAACCGGCTGCGGCCTGGTCCAACATCGAGCAAAGTACCTGGAGAGAATCAGCATTATGTCTGTGTCATTAACCTAAAGGGGAGTGGGAGAAAGACGAGCTACCTGGCTGGATTTTTGACATAACATACCTGCCTGGCCTCCTCTTCAGTATTCAACTCAGTTTTGGCGTTGAATGCTTCTAGGCAGGAAATGCATTGAAAACAGGGCATAGATGGGGAGAGTTGGGCTGGCACCGCGCATTTTTCCTTGATAAGTGGCTTCCGGCACCAAGGCGCCTTAGATAGTTTTGCCAGTTTAATCACACCCTGATCCAGCGTGGACTCGGGCTCTCGAAAAGACACGATCAGATCCTGTCACTTGCCTGGGCGACCTGTATAAATGACTGTGTAACTCAGCGAGCCTGGGACGGCGACTGCCTGGATTGTCGAACCACCAGAGATACGACGGCCATTGTCGAAGAACCTGTCGGTGGCTTGTTGAGCCCACGAACGTTCGATCATGGTTTCAGACACTCCGTTGCGTACTTGGAGTGATCTTTGCCTTAGGAAGGTATCTAATTAGGCCGACGTTCTTTACGCTATTTACCTGGTGTAACTATCCCCGCCTTCCGATCCTCATTGTGGTCCTGAACTATTACCACCGTATATTCATATTTAATTCCGCCCTAAGTGCTAGAGAACAACAAGACAACAACAACGACCTTTATGGTAATGCGGCCGAGTTTAGTGTAAATACTTCCAAGCTACTCCTAGTCCGCTTCTAGATGCACTCGGCCGGATGCCATCTACGACATTATGTGGACCACAAAAAAAAATAAAGCTCTATATTGATTAAAGATGGACATGGAATAGACAGTTTACACTATGTCTATAGCTTGGCACCAGCGCGCCTGCGCGCCTCCTTCTCCTGGTCTCGAAGAAACCGGCGCAAAATCTTTCCACTAGGGCTTTTCGGAATAGCGTCGATGAATCGAACGCCACCCTTCAACCACTTATGCCGAGCCTTGTGCTCTTCCACAAACTTCTTGATTGACTGTATCGTCTTCTCATCGTCCTTGTCAGCCGAGGCGGATTTGACAACTATAGCCTTTGGAATCTCGCCAGCAGCCTCGTCGGGGACAGCGATGACGGCACAATCTGCGACAGCGGGATGGGTGAGTAGGTGGGCCTCAAGCTCCGCCGGGGCAACTTGTAGACCCTATAGAAGGTATCAGCGGGGATATTCAAACTTTGAATTGGCATACCAAGGAAGAACAAACCTTGACCTTGATCAGTTCCTTGATGCGATCAACAATGAACACATGCTCAGTGTTCTTTGGGCTCAGGCGGATAACGGCTTCGTCACCGGTGCGCACCCATCCGTCCTCAAATGTCTCCTTGTTGGCCTTGTCATTGTTGAGATAACCCAGCACCGCACTTGGACTGCGGAGCAAAAGTTCTCCGGGAGTGTCATAGCTTGTAATTTCCTGGCCGTCTGGAGTGACTATGCGAGCTTCAAACCCAGGGAGGAGACAGCCGGAGGATCCAAAGAAGACGTCGGCAGGGTGAGTCGAGGAGGCGACCGTGCATGTCTCTGTCAGACCTATAAGGTAGAGTGAGCAATGACCGAATATCTCCACCGTGCTATTGAATCTTACCGTAACCTTGCCGGATCGTAACTCCTGGGTATACCTTTTGAAAATCTTCGGCTGTTTCCATACCCAAGGGAGCTGCACCACTGAACAATGAATCGACCGAGGACAGGTCGTACTTGTTGCAGACATCCTGGTTTCGGAGCATGGTAATGATGATTGGAGGCACCTAATCGAGACATTAGTTGCGGAAAGCTGTAGTACTAGTGGAGAGCACGTACCAAGAAAAGGGACGCAATCTTGAAGGTTTGGATGGCAGAGAGGTACGACTTCAGTTCGAACTTTGGTAATACAATCACCTGGTCACCTCTATAGGGGCCAGCATGGCACACAACCACCAATGCATAGATGTGGCTCTGAGGAAGGAGACCTAAAGAGACTTCGTTATGTCTGGAACGTCCCTTAGACGTGCCGAGGTTGTCGCGATGAGTCTTTTCGAAAGCGGAAATTTGCAAAACGTTTGCGATCACGTTCCTGTGAGAGATCATGACACCTTTCTGAGATAAACGGTTAGTACAGCAGCTTCCATCTCTGTGCTTAAATGCGCAATCTACATACAGGCAGTCCTGATGTGCCACTGGAATAGCATAGAAATGCGGTTCGACGAGCACCCTCTCCTGCGCTCCAGTTGAGTTTCTCTACTTTAGGAAGTGATTTTCCTGCTTCGATGAATTGGGAGACGGTCTTGTATTGCGCAGGGATGCTTGCACCGCCTGTGAGTGCGGCGGGTACTTCAAGCAGGTAGATGCGGTCTTGGGGAAACCCAGCCAAGGCCGCCGCCTCCAAGGCAGTGGAGAGCAAAGGAACACATGTGAACAAGGCTTTTGCTTGGGAATCGAGCAGCTGATGTTTCAACTCGGCCGCAGAGTAAGCTGCGTTGGCAGGAGAAACAATTCCTCCCAACTGATGGGTTGCCCAGGACAGGGGGAGCGTGTCGATCTGGATACCAACTGATACTTAGTTGCTGATTCTTGGAGTTGATCGAGGAACTTACCGTGTTTACGCTGAAGACTGCCACTGCTTTGTCCCACTCCGTACCACTATTTGGGGCCCAGTTGAACTCCTTAGCTAGTGCTCGAGTTAAATAGTCAACTCTCTCTGCAACCTGAGCGACGGAGTAGGATTTTCCGGTGATTCCGCATGTAAATGGGTCTCTTGATTCTTGCAAAGGAGCTCGCCCATAGTGATCGTTGAGCATGAACTCGCTAATGGGAATGTTATCGGGGATCGCGGGTAGTTCACCCGCGCTGGCTGGAGGAGTAAAGCCCATATTTGGCGTGTAGTAATGTATAAGTGGAATAAAGGACAGAAGAGATCAGAGGGAGTGAGAAGGAGGAGCGAATTGGGTGAGAGGAGAGAGTATTAAACACAATACAAAATGCCGGGGTTCTCTCCACGCCCAGTGCGGGGAAAGCTTCCTTTATCGAAGGTTAAAGCAGTGCGAAGAATTGACCGAACCGCGGCCAGTGGCTCGGCATAAGGTGGAGTACATTTCCATGCACTTTTAGGTAATCAGTCAACTACGACGCTGATCCGGCTCTCTCGGACCGTGAGAATTATTCATTCCATTCTACATCTGTATTCATACAGCATTTTATCAAAGTAAGCAGGGCAGTGGTACATAGGGGAAGCTACGTATGCCGAACTGCTTCGGATGAGTTCATGATTAGTGAATCCCTCGGATATTCCTTGCAGGAGCCGAGGGACTTCCCGAACAAACATAAGGGCTCCACTTTTAACTGGCGGATCCGCTCATAATTCAGTCAGGGTTCGTCTAGTTAGTAGAAATGTTTAATTTCCTATTTACGGTTAGGATATACTATGGTTGAGCCTAGTAATTTTATTAGTACGGTCCACCTTAGGGTAGGCCACAGCAAAGCGGTGAGACCAAAAACCGCCTGCCTATTCTGAAAATTGAGAGAGCCCCTGAGAGCTCAGTCTAAAGCTTCAATAATATGAAACTATTCAGAACTCTACTATGGCTGAACCTACTACCCCCTCTACTACCCCACGCACAAATTCTACACGGCTTGAATGGGATGATCAAATACATATATTGATCCTTCGAAGTGTTGATTTTACCTATAAAGAGATTGTTAATCATTTACCTGGTATTACCTACAGGCAGGTCCAATATACATGCCAGTCTGAGACCTATACACCACGTAAGGCACGTGGCTAACTACCTAAGCTTTCAGATTCTAAGATAGATGATATTATTAATTTTATAATATCATCTAAGCGCACCCGGTATCTGTCATATGGTAAAGTTATCCAAGAACTTAATCTTAATATATCTTAAAATGCTTTTTTATCTCAAGCACTCAAGAAAACTGGCTATTCTCGCTATATAGCTCTTCGAAAACCTCCTCTTCCTGAGCGTACTAAGTGCATACGTTTAGCCTGGGCATTAGACTATATAAGTCAGACACTGGAACAATAAAAAGGAAGTCTTTTGGACTGATGAGACTTGGGTTACTAGTGGATATCATAGATGAATCTATGTAACCCGTATACCAGCTGGGATTATTTATAATGATTGTCTTCAAATCTCATAACCGCGTTGTCGTGGCTGGATATTTTGAGATTCTTTTCATGGCAATACTAAAGGACCTAATCTATTTTGGGAGAAAGCTTAGGATTCTATTAATGCTCAAAGCTATCGTGAACATACTATCTTTATAATAGCCAACTATCTATATCAGAAAAAGACAGAAAATCAAGCTATCAGTCTTTTTCTTATGCAAGATAGGGCGCCGGGGTATAATGCTAGTGAAACTAGACAAGATTTACAGGAACAGGGTATACCACTTATTTTTTGGCCACCCTACTTACCCGACCTTAATCCTATAGAGGGAGTATAGAACTGGATAAAAGATTGGATTAAATCTCACTACTACCCTACAGATAATAATCTGCCTTATCCTAGGCTGAGACATTATATTAGAGGCGTGGGACGCAGTCCCTGAATCAGTCTTTCAGGGTCTAATTGAATCTATGCAGGCCCGCTGCCAGGCTATTATAGAAGCTGAAGGTGGCCATGCTAAGTATTAGAACAGGTGTTTCTTTTAGTATTTTAATGAGCAATTTCTAAATATTTTAATGGGCATTTTATGGAGCGGTTTTTATGTGTTTTCTAAAACGGCAGAATTCCTAGGGTCTAAATTAGTGTGGTGGACCGTACTAACAAAATTACCAGGCTCAACCACAGTATATCAACTTCCAAAGCCATCACTACACTTCACATCCAACCCAGGTGGTCAATTTTAAGGTAAATATCAGGCTGTCGATATGAATATCTTCAACAAAGCATTCACCAGAAGTAAATCACAGAGCTCAAAGTTAGTGTAGACAACTACTTCACCTTCTCCTCGAAGGCACAATGTATAGTCACAAAAACGCTTATGATAATGATGTAAAAAGTAATAGGAACGAACAGAAGGGACTGACAGACGGAACTGAAAGTCAGTTGAAAGAATACCCTTACCTCCGTCGAAAAATAACGTTATATTCTCTTCTGAAGCTGTACAGTATACTTGTTGAAATGATCTGGCAAGTCCAATGAAAATCACCTTCCTCCTCGAAATGTTCTCCGCGCCATGAGTGAATACAAGCAAGCTCATGTAGGTATCCCGTGACTCAATGATGGTTCTAGATCTACAGATCTCGGTAGATCTCAGATCGTCTACCTTATCTAAACCTCTAAGCTAAGCGATGGTTGTCTTGTCCGATCTCTCCACATGGGAAAGCGTCTAATGTGTATGCATGCAACCTATTTTCCCAACCCCGCCTATCTAACTTCCCAGGAGTCTCGTATAAATGTATTTATATCGATCATGTTTCCTCTTTACAAACGAAATGCTCAATAAAGAAAGGGAAATAACTGTGTAGGTACTCCATCATTTGTTTATGGAGGGAGTTGTTCATACTAAACAAGGCCAAGTAAGATGTATAGGAAATACTATGTAATCCGTGTAATCGATTGCAGATGCCTTAGATTGAGGGCATCACAGAGATCACTGTCCGTGACTTCATCATGATTAACCCGTGACCAGCAGTTAGTGTTGTTTGTTACTGCACTTGCGCCTACTCATGTCTGAGCCCAATCCATCTCTTTTATCTTGTTGTTCTAGCATACTATGCTCAAACAATCGTCCTTTAGAGATTTGTAACACGATCACAAATCTACCCGTATTTATATGAACGTCACTCTCCATATTGATTTATTCCCTGATATGAAGGCACTGAGAGGTGACATATATTAACGATGGTCAGCGAATAACTATCTCCCTGGCGAATAAATTGCACACTCCCAGAAGTGTTTACTATCAATTCAATTGGCCCTCATCGACTGATTATATGGATATTCTTACCTTCTATACTCTTTACTCCCTTATACTTGCATTCTGGCAAGGCTCTATCTCCAACGAATACCGTTTACTCCCATTATCGATACAGCGTGGAAAGTTATAATACGATACCGTTGACAAAAAAAAATGCCTGCTAAGAGAAAAAGGGCGATCAGAGCGAACGAGGCCAAGCCTGTGAAGGCGAGACGTACCTCCGGAGGAGGCATAGCCAGGTCTGAAGGTACGGACTATATACCTTATGTATATACCTTATGGCATGAGGACTTCGGGAATTGCTAACCATCCAAAGTGTCGGAATCAGCTCTAGTCACAGCCCGCAAGCTTACCATTCCGGTCGATGGCGAACCTCCCGCATGGGCAAATGTACGCGGACCGATTGCTTCCATAATGCTCTTGCTAACACTTCCAGCAAGTACCGTTCGGAGTTAGGTGATACCCTTCCTTGGTTTCGAGCTGTCCAAGGCGGTATATATCATAAAGACGGCCTCTGCTGGGGAGTGCTCCTCGATGCCGACTCGGGAGACCGCTGTTATATTGACGAAGAGGTGATAATAACAAGGATGTAAGTTTTACTGCTCTTAGGCGACTTGCTATATTCTCTCTTGAAACGAAACCAAGGCCAATGACTCTTTTAGTGGCGGCGGCTGTACTAAGGATAAAGATGGGAAATTGACTCGCGTTAAAGATCAAGACGCAAATGATACTATGGTTAAAAGTCTCTTGAATAGCATGGAACAAAAGCTTCCTGTCGGTATTATAATCGGTAAGTGCGCTGAGCCATGGAATGCAAAAGCCCATCATGATTAATGGTATAATAGGACAGGGCAACACTGTACTGGAAACAAAAGTACCTCATCCATTTAATGTTATGGCCTACTTCCGCGTCTCGCATGTCTGGTTCGAAAGGTGTGACGGGAAGAATGGGGCGAAAGTGCGCTTTGAGAAGTTGGACCTCACGAGCAAGAGTTGGTGGGCGGTCAAGGGGTCGTCGCCGCCACCACCTCGTGAAGAGCGCGATTTCAAAAACAGGCCAGAGTCAGTCCAGTGCGGCGCATGTACTTGCACTAGTTTTCGGATCTATAACGAAGGATGGATGTGCCTCGAGCCATCCTGTGAGCAATTCTTTAGGGTTGAAAGATTGGAGGCTCCTGCCATCCTGACTTACGACCAGAGGTTTCTGGACTATCGATTGCACCCAGATGACACCGTTCAGCCTCATCATAGTCTGATTCCAGACTTACTCAGCACCTTGAATGAGGATGATTCGGATGTGAGCACCATAAGGGTAGCCTGGAAAGGAGTTGTGTGTCCCCAGTGCCGCAAATGCATATCACGGAAGCTTTGGAGGGGATGGAAGTGCAGCGATGATACCACCCCTACCCCAGGGCACCCGCACCATACTTGTACGTTTCAGAAGATGCTGAGAATGCACCCCGTTCCATTGCGCTCTGTGATCGATTCTCTCGAAATTTCTCCTCAGAAGCGAGCTCTCATACCTGACAAAACTGTCATGACCCCACACGTGGATGATGTCTCTTTGGCTCCGTACAGGATGCTAGTATATACCCTCCCGGGAGTCGGGCATATTACGCACCTTGTGTCAAACAGAACAATAAATAGCCGGCCTGATGGGCCAGACATAATGTTTCAGCAACTGCAGCAGGTTGAGCTTGGGTTGCGGCGTTTTCCTTTGGACCAAAGTGTGGGTAAGTCGGGAGATTATCTAGTGATAGGAGGTGCTCTGTTGATGATTTTGTTTTAACGTGTTTGGTAGTCGATGGAACTCTCACTGCCCACTTTGCCGTTAACTATGTAGGTCACCTTGGGACATTTGATATCTGTCATGAGAAATGTCTGACATCAGCTTAGGGAATGCCGTATAAGTACGTCGTGTCTGTGAAATCTAAGGGCTTTGATGAGGCCCCCAAGGTGATTCTCCGTGCATTGGGCCGTCTGAAATGGGCGACGGAGAAAGCCTTGGACCGCGCCAGAGATATTGCTCGTGCTCCAAATGAAATGTTAGTTCTAGGGTATTTTGAGGGCATGAAAATTGGAGTAAGTACTTTCTTATCTATGAACCATGCAAGGAAGTGTGGTGTACAAAGATGGAAGCGTGTTAGATACGTATGCATATCAAGTCTAGCAGATTCTAACGGTTCTAGTATCATGATGACGGCGAAAGCTCTCTTGGTCCTACAATTGCGACCCTATCACTGGGGGCTCAGTCTACCATGCTAATCCGAATGAAGTCCGTATACTTCAACGGTCGCAGTAAGAATAACATTTTCCTAGCCGAGGATCCGGTTCTTCCGGGATGTGCGTTCGAAATAGAGCGTCAGAATTTGAAAACTCGGATGCACAATAGAGACATCACACATGAGATCTATGACAAGGAACTAAAGGAGGTCCTGAAAGGCCATAAGTGTTCTGTTGCAAAGCCCTGTATAAAACTGCAGTTGAATCACGGCGACCTTGTTGTGATGCATGGTGAAAACCTGCAGAAATACTACGAGGTATGACTATAAGGCGCCGGATGAATGCAAAATTCTGACAAGTGTGTAGCACTCCGTTATTCCAGAAAACAAATTGCGATTTGCGCTGACTGCGCGCCACATCAAGGCAGACCACGTGGATCCGAAGGACATTCGTAAGGGAAACTTTACACTATCGGGGGATCAGGTTTACAATGGACATTAATAATTCCTGTTTTCTGTTTTGTCTTGAAATTCGAATTTCGGTGGCTTGTCACCTCATGCTAATTTCGTTTGTAACTGTCTTTCTAGCAACTTCTACCACAGACTGAATACATGCTTACTGTATTTTATCGGTGTTACCACCGCACAGCGTGCACAATATTTGGCTCACTGATCCCTCTTAAACCAGCCACTTCCCTCTCCAAAGCCTTGCGAGCTCCACGGAGCAGAGCCACCGTCTCCAAAGGAGCCTCCGCTAGGGTTTCCGAAGGAACCTTCGCCATATGGGGAGTTACCAGAGGGTGCAGATGAGACTTCCTGGAAGTCGGTGCTAGATGGACCGCCATAAGGCTGTGAACCTTGGTTGTTGCCCCAACCTTGGTTACCGAAGCCAGAGGGCCATCCGGATCCAGATGGTGTAATCTCTTCTGCAGGAATAACCTCCCAGGGACCCATATCACCTTGAGTTCCCTGGCCAAAATCCTGCCCGTTTCCTTGAGTGCCTTGTCCAAAGGGGGAATTGGGGCCACCTCCCATTTCATTTCCTTGACCAGTGCCTTGTCCAAAGGGGGAGATGGAGCCACCTCCCATTTCATTTCCTTGACCAGTGCCTTGACCAAAAGGAGAGCTGGAGCCACCTCCAATTTGCGTTCCAGTGGGTCCAGCTCCCTGATTACCTCCCTGTTCATTTCCTTGACCAGTGCCTTGTCCAAAGGGGGAGCTGGAGCCACCGGTTTGTCCACCAGGTGGAGAGCCACCCTGCTCGCCACCCTCTGCACTGCACTTGTTGAAAACAGCTGCAAAAGTCACCGTCAGTCCAACCACAACAAAATCATCAAGATCGAAGGGAGTGACATACCATTAGCATAATAAGCGTACGAATCGGCGTTGTTCTTAGCCTGGGCATTATCCAGACCCAAGACACCTTGAAGTCCATACACAACATCCTCTGTACCAGGTGAATAGACGCTAGTAGCATGCGCGAACTCGTGAAGAGAGATAGCCGCCTGATCCAGGTATCCACACTCATTAACCACCTGCTGCGTCTGGTAGTACGCCTGGCAGTTGACAACACGGTTCATAGTCGGATAGGTAATTGCTGCAATATTTCCGCCGCAGGAATCCTGCGCCTCAGCCTGACAATAGTAGGTCAAAGTACCCGTAGATGTAGCCTCCTTAGCGATCGCCTCCAAGCGCCCGGAAACCTCCTTCTTGTCCGCCTCGCTATCGGACTTGAAGAACTTCTTGAGCAATCCGCTGCTGCCGTCTCGGGCATCCTTGGCCGCAGCAGTGGCCATCTCGGAGACACGCTTGAGATTATCCTTCATCAGCTGGTCATATTGACCGTCGCAGCCAGACATGGTGGCACGGGCTGTGAGACGGCTCTCGACGTTCTCAGGAGCCTCGAAGTCGATGGAGTTGGACTTGTAGGGAACGACGAAGAACTTCTTGTGGTCGTCGGCCTTGGTGTATTCGAGCATGCCGTCCGCGATGGCGGAGTACTTCTTTCCTGCGGCAAGGTCATGGGAGTCGGCGATATCGAAGATGGACTCGACTGTTTGGTTAGGGGCGAGATCCATGAACGCTTCGGGTGTGAGATGGCTGTTGATATAGTCGACCCGTGCGCCACTGAAGGTCGGGTTTTCTTCTTTGCGTCAGTTGTTTTCGTCCTGAGACCGGGGTATATAGGTATAGTGCTAGGAAACCCACCAGATCCAGATACAACGACCTTCTTCGTGGGAAGGTCCTTGTCCAGGAGACCGCCTCTTTTGACGACGCGAAGACTCTCATCAGCAACATTCTTGATCAGAGCCTTGACGGTCGAGTTTCCGAGCGCCTCCAGCTGGACATCGATGAGGTTTTGAGCGCCGTCCTGCGGGGCTCCCGAAGCCTGCCTCGGAAGGTGAACCGGCTTGCCAGCAGCCAAGGTCAAAAGACCGAAGAATTGAACGAGTTGAAAGAACGACATCCTAAAAGGGGGGAAAGGTACGGAAATGAGAAAGAAAGGAATGAATGGGGTGGATGGAAAACTACATGAAAGCGAGATGGCATGCTTGATTTTATACGGTTGTACGACGAGCGAAATAATCGAGTGACCCTGTTGTTTCACGTTGGTTAAGGGCTTTTGCTGGATGGTTACATTGTTACCCAATGGATTCTTTCTCTTATGGATACCCGGTGTTCTACTAGCTATGGTCTTGGCTGTTGGACCTGATGCTATGAGGAATGGAGACTAGCGGCTATAGATCTGATGTACGGCTTCAAAGCATCGTGGAGAGAGAGCCAATGGCGGCGGCAAACAGCGTTCCTGGGCAAGAATCAGGTAAATTAAACGGGAATAGGGTCTTCGAGATCTAGACTAGAGTAGGTCGATCACGGCTCTAATAGGCTAGAATATCTAGGGATAGGAGATATTGTGCTACATCTAGGTAGGTAGGGACGAGATCGAGAAAAGTCCGAGGCAAAAATCGCCTCAGAACCGCTCGATAGTATAACCATGTTAATCTTCAGCGCTCCACCAGAGCAACGGCAGATCCAAAACCTACCATTAGCTAAGGAATTCTTCCGCCCTATGATTTATCATCCCGCACCTGAAACGCTTATTTATTCAGGATTCGGCCTGAATACTACCTTCCCTTTCAGGCCCTATCCACATCAACACGAGAGGGGTGGCACTGCATGGCATTTATGACACATTTCCATGGACCCTCGGCCAAGAATCCAGGTCAACAGTGTCAGGAGCCTTAATACGGGAATTAAGGAGCATAAATGTGGGGACGGGTCCCTAGTACATGCGACGTCTTGGCATCAACGGCGTTTCAGGGGGTTCCAAACCCTACCGGATTACCAACTCCCAGAGGCAGAAATAGCTTTTTAAGGTTGGACCCGTTTAAAACACATCGAACGGTACTGTGGACTGATCAGTGAGAATGTTCTGGTTTGTGGTGGCCTTTGGAAAGGGCTTGTTTCGACTCCTGCTTGACTTGAAACAGTCCCAGATGTTCGGATATTGAAAGTACTGCGCCCAGAGATTGATATCACTTGGCAGCTACGGGACGGCTCCGTTCGGATCGAGATTCTTCTGCAGGGGTCTTGGTATTACTTTGTCGTGGACTCGAGTGAAGCTATCGGAAGAATGCTTACCCAATAAAGGAGCTTGGGGAAGTTCGTCCTACATACATTGTTAGTAAAGGTTCCTTCACTAATGCTTTTACTAGAACTGCCAACCCCCCGATGAAAGAAAGAATTGAAAAAACGGTCATACATGTCCTACCAACACTAAGCTAGTACTAGTAAACTTGAAAGAAGACCCTAGATAGCAATAAGGGTCGATCTGCATGGAGGTATTACCCGGAACGGGAAAAGTGAGGGTTAAGGTACTTTAAGAGCAGAGGAAAGTGGAGACTAGGTGTATCCCACTCAGGAAGCCTTTCCTAAGCATCTGGCTCTCCGCCGTGGAGTACACATCTGTACCAGAATGAACAACGGAATCCAGCACGAAGCTACTCTTAATTAAGGATCCAGATTCTAAGCCGCATCTGGCATGACACTGCCGATCGCATAACTGCCATCGAGTTAATGCTGCAGACGGGGTGTTGTCCCCGCGCTCCCAAGAACCATGGTGCATGCTAGATTATATTGGACATATCATGGATCCACCACACAGGATTCACATTACCTATTACATAGGGGAATCAACATGTGATCTGGGCCACAATGGCATTGCTGAGCCGTCCCTACTGCCCACCGTAAATGTGAGTGGAGTCTTTGCTTCATCGTTCGACTCTCTTGCCTTGACGGCCCGAGGATTACAAAGGCTCTATCTACACCGGGATCTCTTGGGTAGAAGCATGCCCACGGTATTGGTTTTCCTTTCCAGTGTCTTTTTTTTTTTTTTTTTTTTTTTTAAAAGGTCAGGAAACTCCACACCGAGACAATACCACCACAATCAGGCGATTTGGGAAACCTTAAGTCTTGGGAATCGGATATCTCCAACATGAATAAGACAGACACGGCATTTATTTTCTGATCTAGACACTACGGTGGCTGCTTGCTACCAGGGATTAAGAGATTTCAGGACCTCCTCTAAGCTCGTCCGCTGATCTTCCAAGACCCCTGGTAACTTCGGAGCAGATGTTACTAAAGGAAAATGATCTAAAATTGACACATCGCGTGCAAATAGAGTTAATAGACTAAGGCTGCGGGAGTGTCTATTCAGTATTCGGTGTCTGATCATGGTACCTCAGAAGTGGCAACCATGGGAGCAAGTGCTCTTGGAATTTCGTCCTTCCCTCCCAAGAGCTCACATCCCTTATTGATTGCACAATGACTGCACTTGACAGCTTATTAGCTGTACAGGATGCTATGCTCGTCCAATGCTCGTCCAAGCCATAGGAATGTTCTATCGTGCCACTCCTTGTATTCTCAACGTGTTCTTTCCAGGAAGACTCAAATGTGGCACTGAGCCGTGTCATTTTGCTACCCTTACTACTAAACAGCGTTGACTTGTCAAGGCAGTGGAATAGTTATTATCCATGCTGACTCACTACTAACACGACGACAGAGACTATATCTACCTGAAAATTACCTTAAAATATCACATATTGGGACACGGCAAGTGTTCGGGCATTTTTGGTGGCCTGGTGGTATATTTTGGTCGACAGATTACTAATTCGATAGATTTTGCTTGAGAGGTGTATCTCACCACACTCTTCCATCGAGAGACAGTCTGACCTATCTTGATGTTCGTGAAAAAAAAGGGTCGTTATCCACTGCCAACAGGTTTGATACTGCTGATCGGGAGCGTGGGGGCAGCTGACAAGACCAGTTTACTGCAGATATGCATTAGTATAATAGGTTCCTACCTCCACTCTCTTGATCTTCATTTCTTCATTCGTTCTCCCTCACTTAACCAAATTGTGATACCTCTCTGCAGCATGCAGGAATATGTTCGCCGCGATATTTCCATACCATGCCTGTTGAAAATTAAATAACAGGAATACTAAGGGCAACGGTGAGTCCCTTGTAACCGTTAAGTGGAACAACATCACTCTCGGCAAGAGAGGGAAAAAGAAAACATTTAAGAGGTCTGATCGCAACTGACATTAGTTAATAGATGAAGCCAATGGCAAGCAATAAAGCGTCGCAAGCGAAGAGACTAAGATGGCCAAGGCGATAGGAATGTTACCCTTCTCAGAAACAATACCATTCTTGACGCGAACGGGATGTAACGTCGACACGATGAAGAACCCCCACGGAATGCAACCGTTTATCGTCTGGGGAACTTCCCGGGGCTTGTTGATGACTATAATAACTACTCCATATTTGACTGTTTCAGGACTCTTTCCACAACCCGCATCAGCAATGTGGCCAATTGTCCTATTCTCGTTACTTGGAGCGGTATCCGCTTTGCAACCTCTACCACCAGTTCAATGGACTCATAACCGTGATGGTTTTAACATTGCGACCATTGAACGAAATATCTATATCAGGGACAATTTCGCTTCGGACCGCGATGAGAATGGCTTGACGCTCATTCCACCGTCAGCCTTTGAATTTGCGAATACCTTCCGTCATGATTTGGAGGAGATCACGGGCGAGCCTTGGGGCCTTCACTCGGCTGAGGTGTTCCCTGAAGGTCAAACGGGGATTTTCCTGGACAGATTCGAGGGCGAGTTGACCTATGAAAATGGCGATGTCACAGAAGAGGGCTATGAGCTCGAGATTCAACCCGGACAGGTCGCTATCCGCGGTTCTGGCGCCCGGGGAATGTGGTGGGGAACGCGAACTTTGTTGCAAGAGCTGTTGATAGCTCACAATCATCCGATCCCTTCTGGTCGGGTGGTTGACGCGCCTGCGTTTCCGACCCGAGGATTCTTACTCGACGCTGGGAGGAAGTGGTACTCGCCGTCGTATCTCAAGGACCTGTGTACATATGCATCGTTTTTCAAGCTGTCCGAATTCCATTACCACACCAGCGACAATTACCCGCTGAGTCGTGGCCATAACGACACCTGGCAAGACGTTTACGCGCAGTTTTCCTTACGACCGGAGAGTCCTGATCTGCAAGGGATTGTACAGCGAGCAAACGAAACACTTTCTCGGTCGGACTTCGAGGATCTTCAGCAACACTGTGCACAGCGAGGTGTGACCGTCATTCCGGAGATTGAAGCTCCCGGGCACGGTTTGTTTATTACCAAATGGAAGCCGGAACTCGCTTTGGACCACAAAGACCTCTTGAATTTGTCACACCCGGATACCATTCCACTGGTGAAGGCTATCTGGACCGAGTTCCTACCATGGTTTCAAGTCAAAGAGGTCCATATTGGGGCAGATGAATATGATTCCACATTAGCCGATGATTACATTGACTTTGTCAACGAAATGGCGCAGTTTATGGAGGAAGAGGCCGGCAAGAAAATTCGCATCTGGGGGACATACGAACCATCGGACACCCGCAACATCTCGAAAGACGTTATCATTCAACACTGGCAGTACGGACAGTCGGACCCCGTCGATCTGGCGGAGAATGGCTATGAAGTTATCAATTCAGAAGATTGGTGGGCCTACATGTCACTCAAAAACGACCATATGCCGATCTATCCTGCCCCTTATCCGCCATTCTTCAATACCACGAGAGTGCTCAATTTTGCGAACAGCGATGGATGGCAGTGGACACCAGCTGACTTCAACCCAGTCAATGTCACCGAACAGCCCGATCCAAATCCTGTCAAGGGTGCCATCCTGGCTGCATGGAATGACAACGGGCCGGATGCAACGACGCAGTTGGAGTCCTACTACGCGATCCGCAACGGCATCCCGGTTGTCGCTTCCAGAGCGTGGACTGGCAGCCGTGGACCGGTTCTTGATATATCTACATTGTCAGCCTCGATGGAACTTTTAACTTCCAAAGCCGTTGCCCAGAACCTGGACCGGCAGATTTTGCAAAAGGATGGGGATGCCAACGAACTAATAAGTTGGACTCGACCCGAAGAGAAAAGAGCGTGCGACAAAGTATTTTTAGGATACGGTAGCAAAGGGATGAACTACGAGTTGGACCTTGATGTCGCTGGCCCCTTCACCCTGTCGTCCAATGACTCCACTCTTACATTATCACCTGACGGCAGTCTGACCTTTGTCTCAGACGGGTGGCACTACCCCCTGCGGTCCATACATGAAACCGATGGTTTTGACGAAGGATACCCAGGACGAATCTGGGTGAATGAAACAGGATCAACTCATGAACCGGTAGAAGTTCCCTTGCAGAGTCACATCACCATCCGGACAGACATGATCGGTGGCAGCCGAGTCTGGGTCGACGAGGACTTCGTAGGGAGATTTGAAGTATTAGTGTTTGGTGGAAAAAACCTGCTATTGTCATGGAGCCAGATGGCGTTCGTGGCACCACTTGAGTGGATCGAAGGAGGGATTGAACGGTTGACGGTGAATCCATTTAACCCGCAGCATTAGCCAATGCAAAGTGGTGCGGGTTGTATGAAGGCGCGGGGATAAATATTATGTACAGCGTACCCCTCACTTCGCAATTCACCGACTTGTGGAGCCTTTCTGTTCATATATAGAGAACTTGAATATGTCCATCCAATAATCGCACTTACCCCGTAGGAATTCCCCGCATCCCTTGTATTCATCCGAAACCCGTGTAAACAAGCAATCAGGCTGGCGATGGTGAAGCTTAAATATTTTAATCTAGCGATGTGCCTTTGTTGTATTTGGTGTATTGACATTCCTATTTCCCTTTTTTCGTCCTTCCTGACGAAGTCACAGTGACTTAACGCATATTCTGAATCGTGATGCGCGCATTCCAACTACTGCTCGGCATTTTAGCCGCAGCCCTGGACATAGCCCTAACTCATCGAACTCAAAACTGGGGACCGTTAGAATTTAAAAATCTTGTCACTTTCGGCGACAGCTACACAGATGACACACGGCTATCCTATTTCTACGCCCATAACGGTTCAGCACCTCCCGTAGGATGGAAGCAACCGGAGGTACACCGGCCCCCCTTCCCTTTCCAACTACGTATCCACCCCTAACAAATCTATATGGATTACAAACAGACCAACGAGTCCTCATCAGGCGGCTACACATGGGGCCACTACGTCGGCAAAGCCGCAAACATAACCCGACATAACTATGCCGTCAGCGCAGCCGTATGCTCCAACAAAATCACCCCACGAACGATGCCCCCCTTGGGAATGTTCTATCCCTCTGTCCTTGAATACGAAATCCCAGCCTTCATCGCAGACAACCAGTACATAGACCCACAGGGTAACCGATTCCTCGACATCCCGCCCGACGTAACCGTCTACGCCATTTGGATCGGAACAAACGACCTCGGGAACTATGCTTTTCTAACCGACTCGCAGGCAGCCGGGAAAACAATCCCAGATTATGCTGAGTGTGTTTATGAGGCCCTAGATGGGATTTATGCGAGCGGCGGGCGGTATTTTGTGATACTGAACAATGCGCCGTTGCATCTGACGCCCCAGTACGCTTTGTTGGAGAATGGGGGCGTGAAGAGTGTTTCGTGGTGGCCCGATAAGCCCGACAATCAGACGTTGATCAACTATCGGATATGGGAGCAGGTTGCTAATGCTAATGAGATATTTAAGTACAAGACACCTTTTGAGGTGTTGGTTGCGGATAGGTATCCTGGGGCTGGGGTGGCGGTTATGGATATGTATGGGTTGGTGAGTATCTTCTTCTTTTGTTTGTTGGTGTGCATTGCGTTATCATTTGGCAAATGGGAACGAACTGATTTATTGTTAGTTGTCTGATATTTACTATAACCCGGAAGAGTGGTTCGGACGGATTGGTGCTAATGTGACGGGGTTTGTCAAACATTGTAACTCCGAGGGCGAGGACTGTGTTCATTTGCAAGATGAGGAGACTTTCATGTGGTTTGATGAGTTGCATCCATCCGACACGACGGATAGGTTTATTGCTGAGGAGTTTGTGAAGGTTGTGAATGGGGAGAGTCGATGGGCAACGTATTGGGGAGATTCGCTTGGGTAAGGATCCCTGCTAAGGGTTGCATCTGGTCTCGTGATCAGCTTGGATGACTTCATGAAGCTATGTTCAACCGCAAATGTCAGTAATGTTTCGAATTGAGTGGATATTGTCAAAGTAAAAGTAAGACCTCCTTTACTGCTCATGTATATCGTCGCGTCTTCCCGGCTGATTTGGAATTCGACGAGGCAGGTTCTCACGTGGAATTTGCCACAACGACTAGCTGGGTACTCAATCCATTGATATCTGTACAACACTGAATCGAGGAATAGCCCCTTCGAACACGAATCTACTCGAAACAGCTAGTATGGGGTGCCGTATAAGGCAAACAAGATGTTAACAGACTTGGCTCAGCCCTCCACATCGCCACAAGCCGAACGTCATCAACCACCAAAGCCGATAGGACGAACACCCCGGCAGCCAAAATCCTGACGAACCATAATTCTCAAGGCCCATGATTCAAACCCCAGCCGTTGCTGACAAGGAAGCCTCCAACATGACAGGATCCTGCAACGCCTGGCCCGGAGGTGCGTTTCACAAATGTCCCGAAGCCAGAGGGCCCAAACACCAACAGACATCACCGCCCTACCTATCAAATGCCCCCATATCACAACATCAAACCAGCCCCTTCTTCGCTCCTTCTGGGGCGAACCCACCAGCCCCATCCTGGAATCAGCCGAGTAACCCCATTAAGTAAAGCAGAAGGAAAACACAAGGCCCAGTCCCCCCTCCCACCTATCAAAAATCTGAACAGCCAACACCCTAGAACAACCTTCCTCCCCTTCTCCCATGGACCACCACCCATTGGAACCCACCCTCCTCGGACCTCCCAATAAAAGAAACAACCAATCACGACCCCGCAAAAACCAACAAGTCTACTAGTACGAGGCAGAAACCTATTTCCGCCTTATAAGGAGGTTCGGCCAATCCCGTCCCTCCCAAAAAGGCACCCTGAGAAGAACACCCAGTCATACATATCATCGCCCTACATGACAGCCAAGGGTGTCAACATGCCCCTCACCACCACGCCCTCCAGTTCCATATCCGCAATTCCGACATGTCCACAGCCCCACCCGTCCTAACTCCGCCCCCAACGCCCATTGCGCTGCGGCCAGAGAGCATCGCCCAGACCGAACTTGTGTTAACGGTCAAGAACCTCCCAGAACCATGGCACTCGCTGGACTACTCGGTGGAATATGAGGGCCAACCGATCTTCACGGTCCAGGGCTTCCCCTGGAGTATAGGGCAACGACGGGTATTTTACGATCGGTCGGGGTTACCGCTTTTCGAGCTGCGGGGGAGGTGGTATAATTCATCTGCGTTAGAGTTGAGGCTACCAGGGGAGATGGGGGAAGTTATTTTGTCGGCGAAGTTGAGGGTTGCGGTTCGGGCGCCAAGGGTGGTTGTTAAGTTTCGGAATGCGGTTTTGTCTGAGAGAGACAAAAGGAAGGGGGAGGGCAAAGTTGAAGACGCCGGGCTGGAATGTCTTCTCGACGGCGATGATGATGTGACGCTCGAAGTCCGGGACGAGGATCCATACGACAATACCCAGGTGTTGGTGCTAGGGCGCCGCATTGTGGCGCATATTCGGCGGATAACGAATCCTGCGGAGCTGATTGAAGGGCAGCGGCCTCCCTTTCGGTATCGGTCTAGGTGGGAGGTGCGGGTTGCGCAGGGGGTGGATGTTGCGTTGATTGCGGTTGTGGTTGTTATATTGGGGCAGCGGGTTGCGGAGGATGCGTATGATAGTCGGGGGTCGAGGGATATATGACAGGATCTGGGTTTCATGCAATATTTTGTCTGAAGGAAAGGGTCTAGAGCACAGCGGTGTTATTGGTAACTGTTCTATGGAGTTGATACGGTGCAGGCAGGGGCTTCTTCACTGCACAAGGTATTCTACCTTCATGTACCTTACAAGGAAAGAGTGATTTCACTGCAAGTATCGTCATACTTCGGATATAGGTGTCTCGATTTGACCACAATCGTTTCAACGGACAGCAAAAACTCCCACAAAAAAAAAATCAACTCGTTGGTAACAAGTTACAGATTCAAGGTCAGTCCTAAGCCTTCGTCGGGCAGCTAGAAATAAGATGAAATTGGAGATTGGGGATCGTAATGAGCGTCAAATGAAGGGGATATGAGCACCTCCCGTGAATACGTCTGTCATATAAAAAGCAATATGAAATAGTCCTCTAGTAGAATAAGGGAGGAACTGTGTCATAGGGATGTTTCGTACTGGAACCAGCGGCGATTAAAGCTGACTCCACAGCAAATAGACATGCTTGTTAAGATGTGATGTTGTAATTTATCGCATTTTTATGGTGTTCTGTGGTGGCCGGCTCGTTAGTGGAATATATTAATTGTTTCCCTTGCCAACCTAAGCCCGCGGTCCACTCACTCTTTGATCTTCAAGGGACTCACTCAAGGCTGAGTTGAATCATCTCCATAGTGGATGAGATTTAAGCTCACGGCACCTAGATGCGAAAGATCTAATTGTCTCTTCAACCGCTGGGTCTGGATACTTTCTCCCGAATGTTGTCTGTGGGTCACAAGTGCATTGGCTAGATTCTCAAAGTCGCCTATTACCAGAAGCATAGCGGAGAATATCCCATCCAGGCTGATTCTATCGACGACCTGGGAATCGTTGAACTCCTTTCGGCAATAGCGTTGGATCCTTCGAATATTCTGGTTCAATTGCTTTATTTCGGCGTCACACGGCGGTGTCCTAAAGATTCTAGAGAGCCAAGAGGTGCGACCCGACATCATTTTTCGATATTCATTAAACGCCCAGACGGTTGTGCGTATCTGGAAGTATATGACTGTCGGCTGCTCATCTTGTAGCCTATCTCGAGCTAGAGTTATAGATTGTCGAGCCCTGTGTAGATACGAAGAGGTGATGGCTGGACTCAATATATCTAGGGATTCTTCCCCTGCCTCCATCTTTCGCGAACTACGTCAAGTGTATAGATTGCTTCGAGGTCAAGATGGTTGAGATATAATAAAGGTCTATAAAATAAACCTCCAGGGCGCAATTTCACAGGATTCAGATCAGACAAGATTGCCTTGTGAAGAGTTTGGTGGTTTCTTAGGGCATTAAGCAAAATTTAAGGAGCGACCAAACCAAGTCGATATGATGACATGGCTGATGAGTGCAAAGAATCTCCACTCTAACAACGTTTCATTCAAAAAATATATGAATGTTGCTTTGCAGCTTTTTGCTATGCTTGATCACTCGGGAAATCAGTCATGGCTCTTGATTGGCAGAGGGACAGCATCGACATTCCTTGGAGAGAAATACTATTGGCAAATATCAATGACGGATTATCATATGAACACGGTTAAGATTTCCAAAGCCTTGAACTTTTTCCCCTCTGTTTTGGCAAATAGCGTAGTTTAATGGGAAAAGGCAGAACAAATAAGCTCAGCGGGTCCTAGGCTAGAACCTTTCTTCCCATGGTACGTACCTAGGCTATCAAATCGTATAATCGGTAGTTCCTCTGATTTTATAGTGGGGCCATCCAGTATGCAATAAATAGTATTATCACCCGCTTTAGAACCGGACTTGACGAGGATCGTATGACTCATCCGACATTGGCCTAGTCGAAAAGATATTTAGGGCCACTGCCGTATTCTTTATATGAATAGTACAACCTTACAAAATACCATTTTATATGAAAGTTAGAATACTCACCCAAGGACGTGGCCTGCTCGGTGATTGGTTAAATGAAAGCAACGAGGATGTCGTCCGGTCGAGATTAGGCATGAGGATTCGAGACCAACATACACATTGAAAATGGACAAAGACAACACAGCTGTGTGGCAGTCATAGGTAGCAACTTTGTGGAAGTTGCCTGGACTCAAATTGTACGTTAAATGAGCTTCCTTTCACCCCACTTTGTTTAGGATGCTTCTCCTTGTGGGACGATACGCCGTGCTTTTTTACACCCCAACTCATGCTCCCCAAAATGGCCGCATTAGACCATACACATCAAGGAGGACCTGTCCTCGCGAAGAGGTACCTCGAAATTATGCAACAGCCTGCTGCGCCTACGCCCCCTGCACCCCTTGTTGGCCCTGCTCTTGTTGCTCTTACTGCTGCGGCTGCGGATCCTGCTTTTGCTAACGCTGTTCCTCAAATTACAGCCGCCGCCGCCGCTCTTGCTGCTGCTCCTGCCCCTGCTGCTCCTACTCCTGCTGCAGAACGACTAACAAATTGGCAACAGGTGGAGTGGGTACTGGACCAGATGTGGTGGAGCTATGAGGAGTTCGTCTACATGTGTGGGAGAGCATTCAAAATGCGCACAGACGGAACTGGCCCACGACCCCTTGACCCGAGGTTTCGAATTCGCTTACATCGAACAAAACATCGACACCAGGGGCGCGTCGCATTGGGGGCAGTTACGCGAGCGCGGAAATCATTGGAGCGGGCTGAAGGCTCACAAAGACGATTGTGTTATGTGCCGCAGGTATCGGATCAGCACAATGATGGCCCCCCCACGAAGCCTGCTAATAGCCGCTATAATACCAACGCACTGAGCCCAGGAGAACAGGCAGATGTAGCAAATTGCTTACAGGACTTCCGTGATTCATTGGCAGCTGCTGTCGGTATTGTTGGTGCTTACCAAGCTAAACTCTCGAATGATGCAGAGAGGAGGCAAAGATGGTTTGATAATGCGATAAAGCTGGTTACTGTCGCTACGGCTCTGGGAAAGGCCCTGGCCCCGATTTGAGTCTGGAGGGTCCCGAAATAAAGTTCTTAATCCCGCTGTACTGGACTGTTATGCTACCTTGGTCTTGGAATGATTTTGCGAACCTCTAAGTGCTTTGGTTGACTGCTACTTATTGTACAATCCACATCATCTTGGTACTGGAAATTTACCCCTGTATTCATAAAAAGCGCAGCCAAACGAGGTATCGGTTATTCTGGGGCAAATAATAAAAAGCTAGCACGTTCTTGGCATGTATTTAAAAGAAGGTGTGAAGCAAACAGCGGTATCAATCACCATACTGTCTTAATATTCCATCTTTGTCATTCCTTAGGTCATATCATTGAACTCCAATTCGAACGTAATAGACGCAGAAGCCGGTGCCATGATAACATAGACAGGAATTCGATAATACTCCTCCCCTTTGGAGTTTCTTTTCGTAAAAGGCTCAGTCGGGATAGCTTGGGGGTCGCAGTCCACTAAGCACGACTTGGATACAGATGCATCTCAACTTTGGCATATAGAGTCCTTGAGAGTATATAAGGCAGCAATAGTGCTTAGCTAACCTTTCATCATATTATTTTTAGCAGCTGCATCGACATGACAGACTAACAAGTACCAAGAGCCCACCAGCCTTTTGCTAGCCCTTTTCGGTGATGTTGAATGGGATCTTGATGGGCTGTTCTCAGATATTGGATTGCCCTGCTAAGGCCATAAAATTGCAAGGGCAATTACCTTATTGGTATACCATTTTACACGATTGTGCACCATGTATTTCTCTTCAAGGGTGTTCCAGATTCTTTCCGGTGGGCTGTGGAACTCAGGACTGTAGGTTTTTGAATGCCTGACCCCATAAAGGCATCGCGCAATACATTTTCCAACCTGGCTCCCATCCAGAGCTTCTTGTACGGCTCTGCTTTTGTCATCATTTTTATTTGCATATAGCATATTGACGTGGCTGTGTGGGCACTTACCGGACCACTGCTGACCACCTGTAGCACTTGCGACTGCACGAGCGATTCGGTTTGATTGACCACAGGATCAAATATCCCTTTTATCGTAGCCCTAAAAACTTTATTCATTGGCACGCCGGAAGGACAACTTGTAGAGCCCGGCGCTTACCGGTCGATCGCAAGAAATCCAATCTTTGAGACCTATGGATGGATTGTTGTCAACGCCAGGAATAGGAATGAAATAATCCATCTTTAGGAACTCGTCATCGCAATCCTAATCCAACAAAAATTTTAGGCTTGATGGCGTCCTGCCAGTAAACTATTGCAGCATGTCTTGACCTTTCTGGAGTCTGGTGGTACTGGGTGTCTCCGAGAGCCTCTTCAGAGTTATCTCAAATCCCATGTCTAACATTATCGAGAAACAAATGGCCCCTATACCCGTTAGCTAAATTGGAGATGTGAGCAAGTAGAATAGTCTATATACCTGTGCCTTGAATTGCCTCCTCGAGGTACAGTAGGCTAACTGTCTTTACGCAGTACGATATAAGTCCCTGCGCAGGTGTGTGTGTTGTGCCAGCTCAACCCGAGCTATAAGTAGCATAAAGTGGGTATCTATACCTTTGGCTGCATCTCTCTCCGAACTGACGATGTAGTATCTTCGTGCTATGAGATATTTAGGAGTCTGAGGTAGTCTGCGATCACGGCGCTAGTACGACGAACAATATGAAATAAGCGAAGATCTCCACACGACACAAAAAAGACAGACCCGTCATTTTATAAGGTTCCTCCCTCATGATCCTCCATCCTTGTTTTCTGTCTTCTCTCTCGCTTTGGTTGCTCCTCCACCCATTGGCGTGAAGGCAAAACATGAATCATCTACAGGGGGTAAACACCACCACGCGTGGTCTACCTTCCTCTTCAATTCGCCAGGCAAATATTTCAGTGATACAAGTCACTTAAATGCTAGGACGGTCGCATCTCTCAGGCCCAAGGTAGAGTTCCTTCGAGGCGTTGATGAGCCACAGAGCATCCATGAGCATAGAGCTCTGATTCAATCTGTTATTAGAGGGCACATTTACAATTACATATTTGATTGGACTTTTCTGTGAGCTTGGGACTTCATGCTAGTTGGGTAACTTCAAACTGTTGCTAGACAGATCAGCAAGCACTATACCCCCCACTTCAGTACTAAAAGTTATAATATGAGAAAATTCCTAGGCCTAGGCCAAGACATTGTTTCCAACCACTGGCGCTCTGTGATAAGTATAGGACTGTGGTCCCTGAGTCCAGAAAACCTGCAAGTGCGGTGCAGCCGTTTTATGTGAAACGGTTGAATCTCTTTTCCTGAGCTACTCTTCTGCCAAGAAATAACCAAGAATGCATAAATTGGAACGAATTTTCCAGCAATGCTTGGAGTTTAAACTGCGCTTAGAGAGGCAGGAAGGAAACTTTTCGTTTTGTTGTACCACCAGAAAGGAGCCTATTGCCGGTCATATGCGGAACGCTTCGGGCTCCCAGTGGGTTAGCCTCTGGCCGGGGATTGCCAAATGTGCTCCAAAAGGGTTATATATTGTAGAAGTGGAGGTCGTGTCGGCGGGTGATTCTAGAAACGAGGACCAATCCCTCAGCCCGTCGGTCACAGACACACACGAACATTGAGGGAGACTGAGACGGAAGAGAAGATTGAACCGGCGCTGACCCAGGACGATGTGGCTGTATGAGATGGTGATGACGGGGTTTAGGTATCGGAAGCTTCTGTTGACAGAGTTGCTACTCTTGTTCAGTTGTGGTTTGTGTCTGGGGTCAGGGTGAAAATGAGACTTACGATGACAGATATTCCGTTGTCCTCTGGTGTTCAGCTAGTTCCACAATGGAATTAGTACGATTTAGAATGCCATCTAGCCCAGTAGACATGGCTCTATACTTAATAATATACGGGTTAGGGCTCAGTCAGGGCGCCAGATGTCCAGCCAGTACCGGAAGGGGAAAGTATGCTTCCCTTAGTCACCTTTTCGAGTCTACGTGAAATGCTTGTCACTTAAGAAAGATAAGAAATTGCATTGAAGCAAAAGGAGAATACTATCTAGAAACTGTAAGACACAAAAGCAGACAAAAGCTCAGCGCAGTCTTAATCAAAAACAAGAACAATATAGAAGTTCAGCAACACATAGCAAAGCCAAGGGATTTATGAAAGATAAGAAAAATCAAACACCATTGGTAAATCCGCTGCCGCCGGACTCGGTGTCGATCTTCACCGAATCCATCAATCCACAAACCTCGAACAGCTTCTTCGGGCCCAAGCCGTCAGGAATACCAGTAATCCCATCCTTCTTCAGCTTTTCAAATGCGGACTTGATCCCAAGATAGGCCGGTGCCAAGGATGCGAAGGAGAAGATCATAATGCGGAAGCCCATCTCCTTCGCTTCCTTCGTGGTGATAACAGGACCGGCTCCATTCTCAACCATGTTCAAGAGCAAGGGCCATGGCGCCAAGTCCTGAACTGCCTGCCTCGCCTGCTCTTTGGAGGTGAAGCCTTCCAAGAGTCCAACATCCGCACCAAGGTCACGGGCCGCCTTCAGACGCCGGATACAGTCATCATACCCATGCTGCTGCAGGGCGTCAGTGCGGGCAATCAGGACGATATCCGAGCGGAGACGATCCTTGGTCAACTTGGCAGCGCGTATGCGGGTGAGATATTCCTCCAGTTCGACAACCTTCTTTCCAGCAAGGTGACCACAGCGCTTATTCTGGATTTGGTCCTCAATATGGAAGCCAGCAACACCGGCCTGGATGTACTGTTGAACGGACTTGGAAACCATCAAGGGACCTAGGATACGTCAGATGCCAGAAAACCACAGCTGGTGACAGAGAACAACATACCACCATATCCAGTATCCATATCAGCAATCAGTGGGGGTCCGAAGGGATCGAGGTTGGCAATCATCTCCGCATTGGTCCTCATATCATACAATTGCGCCAATCCTAGGTCTGCCATTCCGAGTCTAGAGGCAGTGGTTCCAGCACCAGTCTGACGGGTTAGCCTTAGTAATGAAACGCACTATGGTTCAAACATACCATGTACATTGCCTTGAATCCGACCTGCATGGCAACCCGGGCAGAGAGACCATCGTATACACCGGGGCAAACAATCAAGTCGTCAGTTTCCTTCAACATCCGACGAAGCTTGGATGCCCCAGCTGTGATGTGGAGGGAAACGGTGGGCTCCTGCCTGGCGCCGTTAACTTCATAGAAGCCATCTTTTTCGACGGTGATGGTGATAGCCAAGTTGGACGAGGAGGATTCTCCGACCTTCATTGTCATTGTGTCTGGGGATGGATAAGAATGAGGATGATGAGGATGATGATTGATTCTGAAAGATGGCACTCCTACACTGGAAGTGTGGCCCTTTATATACCCCAGATCCATCCCCAATGTCTATACATTCGGGGAAACAACTATCCGTCGGGTTACTGGCCGGTATCTGAACTTCCTGGATCTGTTCCACCGCCTAGCGCTGACACCCTCCGTTTGGGATGCACCATAAGGACTTAGCCCTAGATGGCTAATCAATACGGCGTACGAATGTAGGATAACTTACTTGACAATACTCGGAGGTATTATGTCCTCTTGGCTGCTGGCTTCCTTGCAGTGCCGAGGGAGGGTGGAGTGGTACAGTATAGGCCTGTGACAAACCAGAAAGCGTAGAGCTCAAGGTCTGGAATCGGTGTACATCAATCCGAGCACTTAGGCTAATTAGTCTCAGACATGCCAATTGACAACATGTGCAGATATCCCGCCAACCCCGACGCGCTTTCTCTGACGGTTGACGAAAGAGAGTTTGGCGGACAAACCATACAACAGCGCTCTTGAATCTGAAGAGCCCACTGCCAAGATCTGCAGAGAGACTTTCGTTCGTCAAGAGATGCTAGAGCAATCCGCTAACCGGATTTGCTGAGGAGACTGCATGTCAGACGTCGATTCGTGCAACGGACCTTTTAATTTGCGCTTGGCTTTATTAATTCTGTGCTGATCAACAGTGGAACGAGAGTCGTGGCGCACCTGCGGATCATGTTCTTCTCCTGCGGGTAATACCAATGCCCGCCGCCGGTCTAACAGAGCTGAGACAGGTTGGGGGGGGGGGGTTCTGAAATAGCCCTGATTTGTGAAAACCGTATTGGGAGCGTGTGATGCTTGGCCACTGTGGCATCAATTTCCGCATGGGGTTTAATTGAGGTTCCGACTGCCACGGCCGGGGAGGAGGGGTTCAGGTAGGATCTTGCGCAAATCCATGAAGGAATGAGAGAATGAGGAGTCATCTGAGCGCCGATCTGATTTACTCGGCATCCCATGGCTTCAGGCCACTGTCTCCCATGATTCGAAGGACCACGCTCCATCTTCGGGTCCTTCCGCACCCGACGCCCGCGGACAATCTCCCTCCTCAAAGCCAAGCCCCTTGGCGTGCTGGCCCCGATTCTCGGCACAACAACTTGAGTTGGTCTCGGCGTTCGGTGGGGGAGAAATGCAGGCTGTCGAACAGCATCATACGTGAAAAGTAATGCCTGCGAATAGTCCGATTGGTCACTCGCTGAGCGAGAGTTCACGCATATCGCCGAGTATCAAGTCAGACAAACTTCCACTATCCCTTATGACTTGGCCCGGAGTCGGAGGTCATTCGATCTACGAGTGCTTATCATGAGGAGTCGTTGAGATGTTTTAACGCTGGTCCTTGGTTGCTGTTTTGTTTATTCGTTCAGTTGTCTATTCCCTCCCACCCTTCACCTCCAGTGTAACGATTTCTTTTGGCACACGACGAAATGTACGACGGCCAGAGTGAAAAGCGTCTGAACTTTTTCAGGGCAGAGATCCAACCAGAGTATGCTCATTTCCTACTCTTCGCATGCTGTCTCTGCTCTGGTCTTGTGGACAGCACCCTTTACAATGGTTCGTTGGATTCATCTTTTCCGAAAGATGGCACTTTACTGACGAAAGCAGCATATAATACATTCGTATCCATGCAGACTGGTTCGTAGATACTACTAAGTCGGTTTAATTTCCACATAGTCACTAACAGCTATCAGGAAACACAATTTTCGTCGGTTTAGGAGCCTCCAACCAGAACCCCCGGCCCTATGGCTGGGCCCGCTCTCTCACTTCAATTGGGTGTTTCGTCATCGGCTCGTTCATCTTTGCGCGGTTGAACCGTCTTTTCGGCGCAAGGAAAAGGGGAACGCTGATCCTCTCGTTCTCTCTCCAAGTGGTTATGCTGATTCTCACGGCATCTTTGGTTCAGGGTGGCGCCATATCGGGAATCCCTCTACACAATTCAGTGACCACGGAGACAAACTGGAGCCAGGAAGTACCTATCGTGCTCCTCAGCATTCAATCTGCGGGACAGATAGTTGCCAGTCGGGCCCTTGGATACAATGAGATCCCTACTGTCGTCATCACCAGCTTGCTGTGTGACCTGATGTCTGACCCGAAGCTCTTCCTCCTCCGGAATGAGAAGCGTGATCGAAGGGTCATTGCTTTCGTACTCACTCTTGTTGGAGCAATTGCAGGCGGTTGGATCACCAAGGCTACGGGAGATATCTACGCTGTGTTATGGATTGCTGCGGGTATTAAGCTGGGAATTGTGAGCGCATGGATATTCTGGAAACAGGAGCTTGAGTTGGCAACTTGAGATTGTGTGTAGGGATCAGATTTTCTCCTTCTTTCCATAGTCTATGCAAGGGTTACTATAGAGGGCATGAAATTTTTAGCCGTTCATTGACTTAGGTATTCTGTTTATCATCTGAACCACATTGTACTTTCGAGTAGACTACCTCAATAGCCGCCACCTGACTGACCGATCATTTATGCCACTGTGACTACCCCTCAGCTTAACAGATACGGTATGACTCCGTTATTCAGGGGGCTGGAACCGAGTACACGCATCCTATCAGCTCTCCACAGAGAAGTAAAGAAAGCGGGGGACCGGGGAGACTTGTTTTACATGGAAGCAGATCCTACAGGGTTTACGCGTCTCTTCTCCCGCGCCACGGATTTTACCGATTTACTTACAGTTGGTGTGGGCGAGGCCGATCATTCTGCAGGGTAGTATCTAAGTGGCAAGGCTGACCGAAGGACTCCGGATCGCTGACTATACGGCTGCAACCGTAAGCGGGTTGTAAACGCTTCATGAACAAGTCAGGATAAGTGAGTGGACCATCAGTGGAAATCATTTGCAATAAAAACTTCGATCATCTTGTCATTCTGGCGCGTTAACTCCCAAGTACGGTCGGGATCTAGTATCCAGGCCCATCGATCCTGCTTTGAACCATGCATTTTCCGAAATGATTTGGTAAGAGTAAACGCTACGCAACTTGGAAGTTTTGTATATCGCCCGATTGTCGTATTGGCCAAATCACGTGCAAATCACGTGAAGAATGCAACTTCTCTCAGAAGTACTATGTACGCCACATCTACCTTGCAGATGCGCACCTCTTGCTCGAATACGAGTGTTTTTGACGGCCGCTTCCCATCCCTTGCGCGTTCCACACCCCGGCTGACGGTGTCTGGGTTTAGTACTGTTACTTAAAATTACTTTGTGGAACATGAATGACTTTGCACTGCCCCCATAGTTTGGCTGGTTGGGAGTGACCTGGCGTGCATCCTCATTCCAGCAGCTAATGTTGAATGAGGTGCATGCCTCTCCTATTCGCCGAAAGACAATATTTACGGCGTACAGTACATTTATCACGTGTGTTGGTTGCAAACGAGCTGAGGTGCGAGAATATTTACCTAATCCAGGCGAGGACACTTGGCATCGTGGGTTATCCTTGATTTCCCATTAGAGGAGGATACGGTGCAAAAAGTTGTGATCCTGCAGTGACGGTTCTCGGTCTTCCTTGCTTTGCAGTGTGATACATAGATCGGTTGTACAGTATTTACTGATTTGACCTTACTGACAACTCTAAATAGAGTTCGGTTTAAGAATGTTAAGGGTCTGGAAAGCAGCAAAGATAAGGGTTTCTCTTGAGGGTTGTAAAGCTGATTAACTGATTGATTAAATTGACTGATTGCTGGGGGTTGGTCGGGCACGTGCTCTGTAACCTACACGTGGTCACCTTGGAACCCTCAAGACTCCTTTTCTTCAACAACAACGACAACAACAAAATGGGAATTAATTCCGTTGAAGAACAAATACCACCAGGCCCGTCCAAGATGACAGCTCGCGCCCATAGTCCTATTTTCTTCAAGCTTACCTCAACCCGCAACGCTCCACTCTGATAACCCTAAATCCTCGCTGAACATGAGAAGCGACAAAAAGATCCCATTGGTATATTTATCTAGACTCCCCTTAACCGGCCACACTACCCACACGGGAAGCTATACACGAAGTGACTCCATACCTCTTAACCACTTCCATACTACAAAGGCCGTGACTTGAGCCAAATAAAACGGCGGACTGTCAATTAGCCCCATAACCCAACGTCTAGTGCTGCCGATCTAAATTCGCCGGTCGGGATGTTCTCGGCATTAGACCGCGGAACGGTACCGCACCCCCTATAGAGAAAACAGATATACCATGGCGTGGTCGACTATAAAACCCACAGTACATTTGTGATTGTGCGGTGTAACATACAAAGATATTGTACGTGATTTTAATATTCTAGCAATTATGGCTTCTATCATTGTGAGCGGTGCCGCTGGGCGCCAGATTCAAGGTACGCCTGCAGTGTACTCTCCAACCCCAAATTAAAAACCATGCACTATGATGTTATTGTATCAATATTGTATACCCCGCAGTAAACCAGGTTGACTAACAATAATTTCGACACATCCAGTCCCGACCGGTCTCTTCATCCACAACGCCTTCGTTTCTTCCACTACAGGCCAGACCCTGGTCGTCGAAAACCCTTCCACCGGCGAATCCCTCGGAACTATTTCTGCCGCCTCTCCCAATGATGTTGATAAGGCTGTCGAGTCGGCCACAATTGGCTTCAACACCTGGAAAAACACGCCCGGCCCGGCCCGCGCCAAGCTTCTCCTGAAACTGGCCGATCTAATCGAGCGAGATGCAGAAGACTTCGCATCCCTCGAGGCCGTCGACGCCGGCGTCCTGTATACCGACAGCAAGGGAATGAATATCCCGCAGGCCGTCGGTAACCTCCGGTATTACGCTGGTTGGGCTGATAAGATCGATGGGAAGACCTTGGCAATGGAAGGTGGTGTCGCTTTCACTTATCGCGAGCCATTGGGTGTCTGTGGGGCTATCGTACCCTGGAATGCACCTCTGTATGTTACTTGTGCTAGTCGAAGTAGTGGTGAAGTTAGTGCGATTCCGTTATCTAATGAGTTAATTTGGACAGGATGATCACAATTTGGAAGCTGGCTCCGGCACTTGCAACCGGCAACTCGCTCATCATCAAACCCTCCGAGCTATCTCCGCTCTACGCCCAGAAGCTCGCTCTCCTCATCCAGGAAGCTGGTTTCCCTGCAGGTGTGGTGAACATTATCGCCGGAGACGGCGCATCGGCCGGTAGGGCTCTGGCGGAGCACATGACCGTACGGAAGATCTCCTTCACGGGATCTAGTGCTACGGGCCGACAGATCTTGAAGACCGCAGCTTCAACGAATCTGAAGCGAGTGAATCTCGAGCTTGGTGGCAAGGGTCCGTCGATAGTCTTCGACGACTGTGATTTGGATAATGCATTGCTGTGGACCAGAATCGGTATCACGGCTAACAATGGACAGATTTGCGCGGCTGGATCCCGTATCTACGTCCAGAAGAGTATCTACGAGAAGTTCCTGGAGGCGTACAAGAAGATGGCCGAGGGTAGTCCGTCGGTGATTGGTAATGCCCTTGATCCTGCCACTAACAAGGGTCCAATTGTGAGCTCGACGCAGCACAAGAAGATTCTCTCGTATATTGAGCAGGGAAAGCAATGTGGGGCCCGGCTCTTGTTTGGAGGTGAGAAGGTTGGAGATAAGGGATACTTTGTTGAGAACACCGCGTTTGCCGATGTTTCTGAAGACGCGACGATCATGAAGGAGGAGATCTTCGGTCCTGTCGCGGTATGTATCTCTGTTTGGTTAGGTTGATGGTTGAGGGGAAGATCGCTAATGCGCAGTAGAGTATCGCGCCTTTCGAGACGGAAGAAGAAGTTATCGCCAAGGCCAACAATACCCTGCACGGCCTCAGTGCGGCAATCTTCACGAATGATATCAGTCGCGCCCATCGTGTTACAGCCGCCCTGGAGTCCGGCCAAGTCACCGTGAACGCCTGGGCGATGCTTAGCCCGAACGCACCCTTCGGAGGTGTGAAGGAGAGTGGCTTCGGACGTGACATGGGTGAGGAGGCCCTCGAAGGATGGACTTCAGTCAAGACTGTCAAGTATGCCATCTTTCCTCCGAAACTTTAGATCGCGACGCCCTACATATTGAGGCCTTAGCGTAGCCTAAAGATCGGTCACCGATGAAGCAAGATACCCAATAAAGTTGAATAAACGAGATTCTTTAGGTTGGACACAGTATTCCACGAATGGGAAAATAAGCACTAGACACGGATCTGAATCCTAAAGAATAAGGATGCTGCATATTATGCATATTTAATCTAGCGGATACGAGACCCTACTGCTTTAGCGCCCAAATGGGCAGCACACGGTACACCGGCGAGCGATCCTAGCGTAACAACCTCCCACGCTTTATCCCTTCGGTTCTGGTATCCGACCACGTTTCTCCGGCTTGTACCGTAGACTCCATAGAAAGGATTCCACTAATACTAGTTCTGGATCCCACTTCTAGATTCTTTGAACTCTATGCCTGCGAAACCGGATGCATCTTATGGAATAGGTTGTTTGGGTCGTATTTCGCCTTAACTCCCTTCAAGCGCTCCAGGTTACCTCCGTAGATGTTGTTCACAACCACGTCTCCGGCTATCAAATGTCAGAATTGTCTAATTCAATTTCGTCTCACGGGCAAGCACTCACGCTCTGCGTAGTTGATATATTGCGGCACATCAGCGGTCTCCTCGCCGCCGAGCTGGGTCTCAAACTGTGCCTTAAATTTGGCCTGTATTTCACGCGACCAGGCGCGATATTCGCTATCCTTGGACTCATCTGCCCAGCGCAACGTGAGCAGGCCGTTCTGCGTGAGACTTCGATTCGCAAAAGCAGTCGCATCAAGGGGTACACTGCACGTCTTTCTCATGTCGTAGCATTCGAGGAGCATCGCCGGGATCATGTCCGGATTCTCCTTAGCCCCGGCGCTCAATTCGTCGAGCATGGAACGAAGAAACTGGGCATCCAAGGGTGTGCGATAGAATAGCCCCTTGAAGGTTTTGCGATCGCCGTAAGTGGCCATCGGGTTCTGCAGCGAGTTAAGCAGTGAGTACGGGATAACCTCGATCAGGTTGACCACGGGCTCGAGAGCAAGTAAGCCCGTGTAGCGCTTCTCGCCTTCCTCCTTGGTGCCGTTGTAAAAGACCAACACGTTGACCATGAGTGTAGGGGCACCAGGAGGTTGGGCGAGGATGATCATAGCACCGGAGCGAGGGTCCGGGGCCTCAAACAGAGCGTTCATCTGCTCGACGACCGACTCCAACTTCTCAGGCGGGAACGCAACAATGCCCGCATACACGGGCGTCTTCTGTTCATAAGCCTGGAAGGTGAAATCGACAACCACCCCGAAATTGTATCCTGCTCCGCGCAGACCCCAGAAAAGATCTGCGTGCTCGGTCGCAGAAGCCGTGACGACTTGGCCGTCCGCCAGGACTACTGTCGCAGCGAGCAGGTTGTCGATCGTCAGCCCGTACATCCCGCTCAGCCAGCCGTATCCGCCGCCGAGGGTCAGTCCACCGACGCCAGTGTGGTTGACTGTACCTCCGACGGCGGCAAGTCCGTGCTCAGCGCCCGCTTCATCGACGTCTTTCCACACGGCGCCGCCCTGCACAGTCAGGGTCTTTTTCGCCGTGTCCACGGTTACTTTGTTCATGCGCGACAGATCGATCACTAGGCCGCCATCGCTGGAACTTGTTCCTGCCACGGAATGACCGCCGCCCTTGACAGCGAGGTCAATATGGTGTTCCTGTGCCCAGAGGAGCGCGGTGCGAACGTCCTCAACATCCGTGGGCTGAACCACGACACCCTGAACGATCCGTTAGCACTATCGTCTGTGTCTACCAAGGAACGGATGTGGGGATTGGGAGGACCCATACCGCCCTCTTGACTCCGGTTTCCGACCATCGACGGATACTGTCCTGGTAGCCCTCAGACGAGGGAGTGAAGGTAGTTGCGGACTTGAGGCTATCCACGAGGGCGTGAAGCGTCGAGTCCGAGATAGAAGCCATGATATTTTTGTGCCCGATGGATGTATGTTCAGGTTAAGTTTGCGTTCGGGTTCATCCGCGGGATGAATCAAATGTGGGGTCGAGCTGAAGTTAACCCGCTTAGTGATTATTATCAATACGAAACTGCTGCTGTGAATTTGATCCTACACTATTTCTTGGCATTGTGGATGTTTAGATGTGATTCCTTTTAAAACCCTATCTCTGGTTATGTAGCAACGTATTTTTGGTTATGCGACATGGATATAGATCTGTAGTGATATGCTGACTCGTATTTGTAGGGATTGTGCCTGACAGGGGAAACCCGACATATATGTGCGTGCACATATGATGATTTTGAACATATTTACGTGAGCGTCTCCTTGGTATATCGTGCATAGAGATCCGGGTACCATTTCTGGCCCACGTCTGGATGGCTGATGATCCGGTTACGCAGGTACGCTTCGCCAAACTGGTTTACTTCAGTTATTTTTCAACAGTTCGCTAATCAGCAACACTTACACATGAGTATAGAGGCGAAAGGAATTCACTGGGCACATCGACGGCACGCTTTTTCCGGTCGTCCGAGGCAGGGATACGTTCGACAATGTGTGCTGCAGACTCGCGAAGCTCGTCAAGCGTAAGATCCATTCTAATTCCGAGGAAGAAGGGGATGCTGTATCGCGTTTTTGTCGTAGGAGCCTGCGTTGATGGTTAGTGCTACTTGGCAAGATACTGGAGCAATTTAGAGTGAAGATCATTCAGACTGAACATACAATAACGCGGTGCGTTGTTGCAGTGCAGATGCCGCCCGTGATGGCCTCAAAGCCCTGCTGGATATTCACCACCAGACTTCCCTCAATGGGAGGGGCGTCGATCCACTCCCCGTTCTTGTTTAGAACCTGCAGTCCGCCGGTGTCGTCTTGCGAGAGGAAGGTAAATAACCCTGTCGAGTCCTTGTGCGGGCCGACACCCTGTGAACCAGGCGGAGACTGAGGGTACTTGACAAACTTCAGACGATCCATCTTACCCTTGAACGACTCAAAAGTTGTCGGGGGCAGGGAAAGACATTCTGAAACGTACCGCATGAACTTCTGCGATAGCCTTGCGGAGTCTGCTATGTATTCATCGACGAGCTCTTTAGCGCCGGGATGCTCCGGATACTACATGCATCATTAGCTTAACTCCCGTGAGGATAGCTGTTGAGCCATATACCTGGCTTTCGCCCTCGAGTCTTTGCCAGAAAGGGTCGACGTTTTCGTTCCAGGTTTTCATACCCGGGGTACCGAAGTCGAATTGCTATCAGACTCGGTTAGTGGTGCGTACAAATATCCATCCGTGTTGAGAGGGTCACTCACCTCTCGCAGATCTGTCTTGGCTGCTGTAGTCTCTGCCCCGAGACGGGTGTACCCGACGAACGAGGGTGAATTGATCATGTTACATCGTTCTTTGACCTCAGTGGGCAACGCAAAAAGCTCGGGGAGCTTCTCGTGCGTTCGTCTCACAAGTGGCTGGATGAAATCAGCACCCAGGTCGAAAATCCATGCAGAGTAAAGGGTGCTTACCTCCAGCCCGTGGTTAATCAGGTACAAAAAGCCAACCTGAAAGATGGCTTCCCGCAACTGTTCTAGGGCCTCCGCTTTAGTTAGCGGGTCTTGAAGACGACGCAAGTCAATGATGGGAATAGAGGAGAATGTATCAGCCATTATCGAATCGGTATACTCGGAGTGTAGACTAGGGGAGGGAGTTGATGTTGGGTGGGGGTTCAAGAGGGGATGTTCGACCCTGACTCGGCATTTGGCCATGGAGTGCGCCAATCACATCATCTTGACAATGAAGCCATGTGTGGCTGTGTCCTTCGCCCCATCGCATGGCCCGAGGTTTTACCATTCATGACCATCTTGAGGCATGTACTTCTCTTTGGACAATTCCTCTCTAATTAAACATCAGCTCCTGACTATTTCATTTAGCATACTCATCGTTCTTGGCAGTTGAGGCACGAGAAGGAAACCATGGGAAAGCATCTTCCATCGTCTCGGTCATTTTGGAAACACCAGAAGCACCCACATCAATTACGTAGGGGTGTCTAACTTGAAGCAGTAAGCCCCCACTGAATTTATATGCTATGAGAATGTCTAGACAGATTGTGAACATTGCGACTTTGGTGCGAATCTTAGGGCATCCTATTTGTCGCGAGGATTCCTTCACATGCGCCCAGACTCATTGTGCAACAGCATACATTACATTATATTAAACAACTCAGTCTATTGTCTTCTATGTGGAACAGTATTCGTTAATATAGACCGTGCCAAGCACCCTGGAAAGGCCGGTCCAAGAAATTGCTTGGCACTATCAAAAGAACGGAGATAGTCCTAACGACTACTCCAAGGAGAACGGAATGCCGTCTTTTCAACAACTCTAACTTCGCATAAATGCCGTTGCTGCCAATCATATATTTCGGGAATGGTTGGGATTTGTGGATTTGACTCCGACGATTTCCTCCGCGCACATAGATCTGTGCACAGCCACGATGGAATTCCACCTGTGATAGAGATTTCTAACCATATACAATAGAACAAGAATCATCACGAGGACCACCTCCGCGGATCAACTTCCACAACTCCAGTAATTAAGTACATCATGCATGTGCAGAACTATTGATCCAGTCTTCGTGTAGCCGAATTGCCAAGAGCAAGAAGCAAAACATCTGGCTTCTTGGCACTGTTGTCTGAAACGCACCAATAGCTTCCGGATGCTCTCCATGTCTCAGCTAGACCGCAAAGGATAGCCCTAATCGTCACCTTGCTACCCACAGCCAGCTACATTGTCAGACCACTGTTGACAAGACTGACTGGTTCATCGTAGTCCAAGCTTGGCACTTATCGGATGGTTAATCTAACCCCAGTCAAACGGAAAAATTATCCACCCTTTTTGTATCTATTAGGGGGGGGGGGGAAACAACGACGATCTCTTCATTCTGTTCCACCTATAGCAGCTAGTGGTGGTCCTAGCTCGAAATTCCATGGCTCGGTGATGCTACGTTGAGGTCTGTGGAGATTGAGCACTGGTGAAAGATTTTGAAGCGCCAGAGGAGGATATATAAGACCAGGTCGTCCAGCATACTTGCAACCTCCCTTTTTTCTTCACCAGCAAAGCTGTTCCCTTCACTGTGTCATTCTTTCTACGTTCCTTTCACTACAATCACCCGTCTCAATGGCTAACTTCAAGCTGTTCCTTGCGCTGGCCGCATGCCTGTCTGGACAGGTCCTTGGTGCCCCGACTGCCAGCAAGACCGTTGCCAAGCGCGCTTCGGCTAACGACGTGAGACTCCTGGTGATAGTCTGTGTATTGCTCTTTCAACGCAGTGTCTAACCCATCACGCAGGTTGCTCACGGCTATGCCAGCCAGAACGGTGGCACTACCGGTGGTGCCGGCGGTACGACCACCACCGTCTCCTCCTACGCCCAGTTCACTGAAGCTGTCTCCAGCGACGATGCTAAGGTCGTCTACGTTAGCGGCGCTATCTCGCAGCAGGCGAAGCAGGTGAAGATCGGTAGCAATACTAGCATCATCGGAAAGGACGCCAACGCCGTCCTTGAGGGATTCGGCCTGTATGTTTCAGTCGCACACGACACTCGCGAAGGAAGCTATGTCTAACTTTTGTCATTAGCCTCGTCAAGAAGAAAGAGAATGTCATCATCCGTAACCTGGGTGTCAAGAAGGTCCTTGCCGAGAACGGTGATGCCATCGGCGTCCGTACGTTAAGCTCGACCACAATCCCCCGAAAACGCATCAAAACTGACAAAGAACAAACAGAGTACTCCAACAACGTCTGGATCGACCACTGCGATGTCTCCTCCGACCGTGACCACGACAAGGACTACTACGATGGTTTGATCGATGTACGTCTCCCCCCTTTCCTTAGTCCATTAAGTAAAATCGAAAGCAAATAACTAACAAAAAAACCCCCAAGCTCACCCACGCCGCCGACTACGTCACCGTCTCCAATACCTTCATTCATGACCACTGGAAGGCCGTCCTGATCGGCCACTCCAACAACAACGGCGACGAAGACACCGGCCACCTCCGCATCACCCTCAACAACAACTACCTGTACAACCTGAACTCCCGTGGACCCTCTTTCCGCTTCGGTACCGGCCACCTCTACAACAACTACTACCTGGACGTCAGCGACGGCATCAACACCCGCAAGGGCGCCCAGCTCCTGGTCGAGGGCAACAAGTTCGACGGCGGCAAGAAGCCCCTCTACTCCACTGATAGCGGATATGCTGTTGCCAAGGACAACGACTTCGGTAGTGGCGAGAACACCGCCCCTGAGGGTACCCTTACCAGCGTTCCCTACAAATATGACCTCATTGCTGCTTCGGCCGTTAAGGGTGCCGTCCACGGTACCGCTGGTCAGACTCTGACCTTCTAGGTTGGAGACTGTGATTAGTGGTGGAGTCACGATGTTGGGGGTGAGGGGGTTGCGGTGATTGTTTGGACTCTTTTTTTCCCCTTCATTCTTTTGATTTGTTGGCTGAACCAGAGTTGAGATTTAATTTGGATACCTCATCAAGGCAATTGTTCTGCGATCTTGTTCGCGCGTAAGGGTAGAGTAGATTTCTGCTAAATAGTAGTAGTTGTATTTGTAGCGTGGTTGGGTTAGGGCATTCTACTTGAATTTTACTTTGGAACAATAATTGGTAAGTTGGTTTAGCGTCGCATCATGCAATGTATACTGACTGATATTGTGGTTGATACCCGGATATGGGTAACTTCGTCTATGGATAAATATGTATCCTTGGTCCATCGGCGATTGAACCAAAAGCACTAATTGTCCGGAAGAAATGACCGAACCAGTCAAGTATGTCCCGGAGATAATCTATCTGTGCCACCTTGCAACATACGATACACTTCGCTTCGAGACCAACATGACTTATCATTTCTGTACCCCGCAGCGCTAGAACTCGAATGATAGATGAGAAATGACTTTTCTAGTTAGTACTTCTACATTAGGTACTAGTAGCAGAAACCCGCACGGACGCTCATAGCACTCGCCGTGACATAGAAATCTCAACATAAAGCGCAGCGGAAAAAAAATCCAGCGCAATCTAAACAAGTCGATCAAAAGAGAAGAAAAGAGCCAGTTCAATGTCATACCAACAGCAGCAATAATAGCGCCATCATATCTCGTCAAAGAAATGCTATGCAAAGTGTACCAGAAAGACCCAATACTCCATATATGCAGCCTATCCCACCCAGACCGACCAACCGACCATCCATCCAACCCAACCAATCCCGCCCAACCGAGACAGCCCATACAGAAAAAGACCTAGACCCGCCAATCTATGAACAATCCGACTTTCCGTAAGAATACAGTGAGCCCCCCTCGACCGGCATGGGGATGGTAATTTGGGTGGCGTCAAACTCCCACGCCGCTTCTCTCTCCTCTCTGTGATTGCGGAGGTAGAACGGCAGGGTCCATTCCTTGAGTCGGCCTTCGAGGTAGCCCATGTCACGATTTTTCTCCCACATGCGGCGGGAGGCCTTGAAGGCGGAGTTGACGGTGTTGCGGCGGAGGTCCTCGTAAGCTTTGAATGCGACGGGGAGGGGTTCGTGGCGGTGTTTGGCGAGGATGCGGGAGAAGAGGATGGCGTCGTCGAGGGCGTAGGCGGCGGATTCGTCGCGCGGGGGCATCTTTTTTTTTCATTTCTGTTAGTTTTATACGTGGAGTATAGTTAGGGTAGGAACGTACAGCATGTGCAGCATCACCGAGGAGTAAAGCTCGATCGGTGTGCCATCGTGCATTCGGAGGAACCTGGTAGACGGGGTAGAGCATCCAATCACCGGCTTTGCTCGTCATCTCACGGATGCAGGGGATCCCGGATTTCCCGAAGCGGGACTGCATCTCTTGATGCAAGACATTCTTGATGCGGTGCTGCGTGACCCAATCCTGACCGTTCTCGATCTTGCAGTAAGCTAAGTGCGCCTCGCTGAACTGCACGATGGCGGCCAGGAAGATCTGATCGTGTTCGCGATCACAATAGCTGGCTAGCAGGGACCCATGACGGGAGATGTTCATGGAGGTGGAGCGAAAATGGATCGGAGATTTGATACTCTTGGCGTCGATGACGGTCTGCAGGAAGGAAATGCCGGTGTACTCGGACGGGTGTTTCGGAGATACCCATTGGGAGCGGGTAGCCGAGTGCACGCCGTCGCAACCCAGGACCAGGTCACCGGTAGCGGTGGTGCCGTCCTGGAAATGCAGGACGGCTTGGTCTTCTGTTTCCTCGCCGCGGACAAGCTTCTTCCCGAATACCACGTTGACGTTCTTCGTCCGCTCCACCACCGTCAGCATAGCCACTGACAGGACGATCCGCATTACCCGGCGCCCTTTATATCCACCGAACCCGTTGCCGTTTTGATCCGTAAAGTCGATGCTGCCTAGTTGGCGGCCGGATCGGCTGGAGAAGAGTTCGATGGCTTCGACGTCCGTGCCGCCTTCTGTGCCCATTTTATCGAGTTCGGCGAGGACACCGAGACGGTCGAGATGTCGTTGGGCGACAGGGGTAAGGTTGATAGCTCCACCGGAGGTCGAGAGAATGTCATGGCGTTCGAAGATGGTGATCTGGAGGTCGGGGACGAAAGGAGCGAGTTCTTTGGAGAGGGCGAGGGCACAAGAGATACCGGCAATACCGGCACCAACGATAAGGATATTCCGAGGAGCAAAGACGGAGGTGAGGGAGCGTTCAATCTCGGTAGGAAAATTGTACCATTCTTTACCCGCTTGTTGTTGCGGAGGGGGTTCGTACTGTAGATCCATGGTTTTTTGTGTTGGGTGATTCACCGAGGAGAGTGAAAAAAAACCGAAGGTATTATTCGGAGAATATTGGATGCATCGACGGAGCGCAAGAGAACTATTAATTGACCATGCAAGAAAGACGTAGCATGTATCTAGATGACGGGGGTAGTATCCGTAGAATCCAGGCCCAGTGTTATCGGATCAACTTCCTGAAATTCGTCAGCATGGAACCAGGGGGATCGTCCATGATAGCGGGATGAGTATTTATTAATACTCTAGTCAACAACACATTAGGAGCCAAAAAAAAAAAAAAAAAAAAAAAAAAAAAAAAAAAAAAAAAAAAAAAAAAAGGTAAAAAAATTGACAAAAAGGCTATATTCGGCCGGAAAGGAGAGTGTTCGGGAACTATTGAGGCATGGCCTAAATAGGCCAGGAAAAAACCTGGTAGAATTTTCTTCAAGCACCCACTCTAATACTCCTGCTGCGTCGATAAATCAGAAACCATGCAGACATAGCGAGATCGGTGGACCCACTCTCACCCGAGGTACGGAACCTTCGCATGCTTATAGGCCAGGAGTAAAGCTGTCAGTGTAGACCAATTTTTAGTCCGGAACGAACTCTGGATCCCTCCGTCATAGTGGCCGTTGAGCGCCGGATCGGCAGTCAGGAGAGGGAATAGACCAGACGGCTAGTGCTCAGAGCGCCGGGCGGAATACGGAGAAGAGTACGGAGTATGGAGTAGGCTGGTCCATATTAATTTCGCGAAGAGATTATTAAATACTAAAGCAATATCGAGTTCTAACAGTGGTAAATGGATGCGACAATCGACATTCCTATATGTAACATGGGACGTTAGTTAGGGCTTCGACCGGCTAAATTACGTGTGACCATGTTTTCGTCGTTTATCTTGCGAGCAAATAAAACAGATGAGTCAGCTGACAGGTGGCAACTCGTGGCCATTTTTTCCCCTTTCCTTCGTTTACTACTATTTATTAGTATTCTACTGAGTATAATCCATGGAACCGACAGACAGAAAATACCCTATTCAACCTTAACTTCGGCCGGTCTTCGGGAATTTACCTGCACGAAGGAATCCTCCATTATACAGGTCACGGAAATCTTTCCGAGGGAAGCAATCGCCAACTGTGTGAACGGTATATCATAACTTTATCATAGCCTGTTGCCACAGTCGCCTTCTGACCAAACGAGACCTTCCCTTCCGCTTCCAGAAAAAAAAGCCCTATTTTTCCTATTTCTTTGACATGACATCAAAAGGGCCCACGCGAACCCTGGTTGCAACTTTTTTGCTGGGTCATAACCTTTTGCGCTTCTGGAGCAACCGTTTGGTTTTTTCTCGCGTGGGCGGAGTTGTTGTGGTTCACTTAGCGTATCTGTACCTGCACTAACATGGGTTTCATATTTAATAGGATCTACTATAGCACCATGGGTCACTAACTTTTTCTTCCCTGTTTTTTTCTCAGCGGGCGCACACTGGTTTATCAAATATGACAGATACCAAACGTTAAACAATAGATTGGTCAGTTCGGATAGGGCAACCTTGCTCAAGACATGTCCGTTATGTGAGCTTTTTGTGTTTCTTTCTTTTTCTTTTTCTTTTTTTTTTTTTTTTTGAGACATAACATGTGAACTCTACTTGCACCTACCTAACAGCTTAGTATACTGATCTAGTCGGAGCACCTGGATTCGTCTCTGAAACACACTTCAAACTCAATCGGAAGGAGAGTGGTCATAGGTATTGGACCGTTCAGCGCAACGGCCAGTCGATCATCCAATTGAGCGAATAATTTATGGGACAATGACGCCTCGAATAGTCTCGGATGAGAGTGAAAGAAAAAATATCGGCGCGTTCGACGTGGTTATCCCGATAAGATCTGACGAGGCTGAACCTTCAAAACCTATGCAGCAATAACCATGCAGCGTCGCCAGCTCTCTGGAACGCATCCGGTCTCGTACGACGCATTGGCTGACTAGGGGGACCTTGTCACCCTCCGGGATGTGTGCGGGCGCTGCATGGGAGCATATATTTACCATGATTGTCTTGCCGAACAATACAGGGGTTGTAGTGCCTAGCGACATAAATTAACAACCTAGGATATAAAAGACAAAGAGATTGCTCATCCAGCAGGGCAATAGGCTCTGAGTTAAATTAACCTTAACAGGAACTGATGTACTTTGTTTGATAATCCTGTGGAGACAACAGGTTTGGCTTCATTCTTTGAGTTAGACCTGATATATGAGGCAATTAATATGAAGCCTTGTAGAAACGGTAGATAAGAACCAACCGGGGAAAGAACGGGAGGTGGAGAGGCTTTCCCGTCCCATTATCATCCACAAAGCTAACCCTACTCCGTACTACGGAGTACAAAGTTCAAACACCTTTCGTAGGGCAGACCCCGAATATCACCGCTTCCACAACGGGATCTCAGCCTGCTGGAATGCCTTAATTCGAAAACTGAAATTCTCCGCCTAGACACCAAGACCAAGATAGCTACAACAAAAAAGACCAGGTAATGCCTCGACTGGGCATTAGTTTGTGGGTATTATCTCAATGTTTGGTGTTATGGCTAGACTATAACAGGTCAATTATCAGACTAAACTCACCAGGGCCCTTACAGCATTGGCCGAACCACATGTAGGGAAAAATCTACTCGGCAGCTAGGTTGGTAATTTAGGGCATGGCTCGTATCTCACATCCCGACATACCCACTCTTAACGACACTTCCAAGCGAACTGGGCAGGTAATGGTTAAGCGATCCCACCATAGGGATGCTACAGCCAACAACCCGTTCTTAGGGTCGTTTGGCCCCGATGTCTAGATTGGGTTCCTTACAAATGATAGGTCGCGATTATGTCTACCGTTGACTTGGCTAACACGTCGGTAGATATTATAGTATCCACTTTGGTGAGCACCAGCAACGAACCCCTTATTCCCCCCCCAAAAAAAAGAAAAGAAAAAGAAAAAAAAAATGCTGGGACTCTTACCATGTCGTTTTCACAATATGAGTAATCAGGCTGTCAGGGAACCTCGAAGATGTCATGCACTGAGACAGTCAATTCCGACAGCTTCCCCTATACGCCCTATACGAAGATCCAAAAGCAAAAAACCCTCAAAAGGGGAGAGAGTATCACTAGTTTAACTACACAATGCTTGCAGCGCACACTATACCCACGTGGAACTCATGTAAATAACCCAATCAATGCAATCCCACGCCGTTTCACGCGGCACTACAAGTTTCAAACCCTCATCCTGCGTTCTAGGCCAATACCTAACTCCCCAATTATCTATCAATAGTACGCAAGGATCTAGGTCCCGGTTATATCAAATACGCTATGGAGCCTATCTGAGACACAACGCCCCTTATTATAGCAACAGGATCTGAGATATAATAAGCATCTACCTGTATAGGGTCATATTTCCACAGCTCACGGTTGTATATTCCGGATCTGCATTCTCCATAACATTATTCACAGTTCTCCACTGCAATGGATCAGCACACACCTTCCGTTTTCTTCACGGAAGTATGCAAATAGAACATGAAACTCACTGCCCAGTCTTCCATGGTCCGAAAGGCATGTGGATTGGCTGTTTATATATAGTCGCAAGTCATTACCATGTTTCAGTCCGTGGAATGGGCACGGGAGCCACCGCAGCAGAAAGACGGGGAGTGGTAAGGGGCGAAGATTGGCGAAGGATTTCCGCAGAAGGATACAGTGTTCCGATTGGTTTGATAAGACAACAGGGTTGATCTTTTTCACGTTTCTCAGCTCCTTGATATCTAATAAATGCTACGTGATATGGGTTCTTTGCATGGATATCCTTCTCGGAGGCAGAACACTTAGGATATAGAAGACCATGTTCTCCTGAAAATATACACGCGCCATCACAGCCCGGATACACCAAAACACAAATCACCAACCCTGAGAGCATATATCATACATATAATATAACCTTATGTAAACGTACCATGTGTTCAATGAAACGTGTAACCTCCTCGATCAGGAAAAGGGCTCTACCCCTTGACCCCATATTCCATTCCTGTTTCGGTAAACGAAATCAAAACGGAACGCGATCCGCAACAGCGCGCCAAAATGAGCATCGCAACCCGCGCCCCCCTTCCCAGGAATAGGCATTCGCAAGACGGAAATGGTTGACCACATCCTCACCTTCCCGGATAAAATATGATAGGTTTGGCGTGACAACCAGCGGAGTGAGTGTACCACCAGTCGTATTCAAATCCAAATGCCACGGGGCCGAGGGATGGAACTGCGGCCAGTCGAGATGACCGTGCAGATCATCAGGAACAACAGCCTTGCTCCGGTTGGCAGTTGCATGTTCAAGAGGAATGACCGGTGAATTATCCATAATGAAACTACCCCACATTTTCTGGAAGGCGTGATTGAATCCCGGACTGGGCCAGGTGGTGCCGAGATCGTAAATGGCGTTCATGTCCGCACCGTGGTAGCCTGGGGTTACTGAGAATTGATACTTCCAGGCCTGGCGGAAGTGGCCTCCGAATGCCTCGGCGAGCCACTGGGCCGGACAGTCGAAGGTTGTCTCAGCTAAAATGTTGAAGACGGCTTGTTGGAGTCCTGTGGCCATTTCTGACTGGTTGATTGCGCTTGGGCCTTCTGTGCCCAGAGTGTCGAATCGGGGATTGTCGTTGGTTGGTTGGCAGTCTGCTGTGCCGTAGACTAGCTTTAACCAGGCGAGATCGGTTTCGGTGAAGTTGGGGAACGTGGTCGAGAGATGATCATTGAATGCGGCGCGTGTGACTACATTTGGGTCGGATAAGGGGATGCCTTCATTGGCGTTGTTCTACCGTTTTTTAGCTGTCTTGTGGACTGGAGGGAGAAGGGCAGTGCTTACTCCGACAAGGATTCGTTGGCCACTGACCCTCCCCGTGAGTAGTTGTACTGATGGCCGCTCACGGATCATATCCTTATCGATGACGGGCACGAACGCCCACGTGCCGAAAAGCCCAGACGTGGAAACGACACCGCTGGCATTTTGCAGAATTTCGGTCGGGGCTGCAACTAGGCAGTCAAAAGTGGTTTCGTACTGGGTTCTTCTAATTGAACCAGAGCCACACCCCGCCTGTTTTGCAAATCGATCATAGTAGCTGGTCGGTACAAGGTCATTGTATTGGTGAATGGGTGCTGAATACGGACTGGCCGCAATGATCTGAGCATGGATTGTGTTAGTCAAGCACCTAGAGGATATAAAAGCAGATTGAAAAGGTTAGTTGGGACCACTCACGTTCTGGAAAAGATGAGACTCCTTCCCTCCATAGGCTAGAGTGTGTAGCATGACTGACCCACCACCAGCAGATTCGCCACCAATGGTGACGCGCCGCGGGTTACCACCGAATTTGTTGATGTGCCGCTGGACCCATTGTAGTGCGAATCTCTGGTCTAAGAGGCCAGCGTTGGGTGTACCCCTTTCGCGGACCTCTGCGGATGAGAGGAAGCCAAATGCTCCAAGCCGGTACTGGATCTCCACCGTGATAAAACCGTTGTCGTTAGTGTTCATCATTGGGCTGGGATCATAAACGGCACCAAATAGGCCGTATCCACCTCCATCTATTGCATCATTAGCGGCAAGATCCGGCTTTGTGGGGGGTAAAAAAGTTTGCGAAGCAAAAATGACAGCTTACGGATCCAGACGAGCACCGGCAAATCCGATGCACCTGGGGGAGCATAAACGTTGAGATACAGACAGTCCTCATCTCCCGGACCGGAGTTGAAGCCAAAGACAGTTGGTGTCTTGGCGGCACCTGATTGCGGGCAGATGGGCGGCTGGTCAACAGCTGGGATGATATGACTGTTGTTCTGAGCAGGGCCTACTGGGGGCTGCCATCGCAGCTGGTTGATCGGAGGAGCCGCATATCGAACTCTTAGAGAAATCAACAAATCATTGATAGAGGTGAAGATGGGCCATATTTTCTATTAATACTAGCAGCGACGCACCCTTTCCAAATATTCAACCCGGTTGTTGCGTTATAGTAACCTTGATATGACGAATACCCTAAGTCAACGATGGGGCCAGAGCTAGTAATAGCGTCCCCAGCGACCGCGCATAGGGCAATGCTGACAGCAAGTAAGCGAACCATCGGTCAGTACACTCAGAAACAGTTCGTCGATAGAGAGAGAAACATAGAGTAAGTATAAAAAACAGGAATGGAGGGAAACAGGTGAAGGCTTTATTCCTGTACTCGCTTCTTATTTGCTAGCAGGGGTCATACATTAGGGTTTGGGAGAAGAGATCTCCGATTGGTGAATAGCAATCACATCCCTAACACTATCACGAACCAGTATAGTGATCGTCAACTAATGAAACCTTCACGAAAAATCTGTCGTAATTGGAAGAAGATCATCGAGCCTGGTTTCTCCGTTCCGATTCCGAATCAGCCGGAGGGGTAAGCTCATCGAGCGTCAATGTGCTATGCTCGGCCTAGGTGAAGTTCCCTATTGCTAAACTAGAGGTAGTTTCAATAACAAGGGCTTAGCCAACCCGCTTCTAGGTTTCCAAAGAAAGTGTGAATATTGGATTAAGAAGCGATCGATCCTATACCTGCATACCAAGGCCAATACTCTATCCAAGGCCCCCGCAGTGCGGTCCACGGATAGTTCAAGGCCAAGGAGATGCGTAATTTATCTAGAGTATAGTGGAGAAAAGGCTTATAGGTAAAAAAAGGAGACTCTCAAAGACATATTTCTCGTGGAAGCGTGATGGCATAAAGGCAACGACCATCAAATCTGGTCGCTGAAATGATACAACCGCTCTGCTCAGTACCGTTCTGTGAATCCAGCCATTTTCATAGCACTCCTTGAGTCTATTATCTTTCTCATCGAATGGAATAATTTTGTTCACTATTACACGCGTAAGTGTCTTAATGGTATCTTCTGTCAAAGCAAGACGAAACAGGTAACCCTCGACGTATGGGACGCGAGTTGAGGGCGCTAGGAAAGCTCGACTCATCGCCTAGGTCTCGTTCAATATCATCGAAAGTGATAAGCTCCGCCCTGGGACCACTGAGCTTGGATTTGTACCTCTATTGTGAAATTTAGCTTATGAAAGAGGACAACGGACGTGGGTGGTGCAGTTCAATAAAGGGCGTGAGACAAAGACATACCTCGAGCATAACATTAGCCACTGGAGTCACTGCACCGGGATAACCCCTGGTGAGTTCAAAGATGTAATTTTGGGCTTTCTCGTCAAACGGACAGCGTGTATTGTGTTCATGATGGAGACATAATTTTGCTAACGCATCTTGAAAGTCTGGCCTGTTGTACTGAAGGCCAGTGGCTCTGTGTTCAACGCGCAGGTGGACTGATGCCCGTCTATCGTTGGGTTTGTAAGGCAGGCCTATATAAGAGGAGCCGTATGAGGTGAACATGATAAATTCGTAAGTTCTCAAAACGCAAACCCTCTACGAGCTCCTTGACAATTGTGTTCCAGAATATAACGCCATCAAATGAGCCCTCTGCATTATCCAGCAAGAACACCACTCTGTCTCTCACCATATCTGGTGTGATACTGGCTCCCTCATTGTAACGTTTCGCCATTTGGAAAAAGTTGACCCAATAGTCCCATTTCGCAATAACGGAGTTGCAAAAGCCGAAGTAACCAACAAGGAGGTCAAGTCGGACTACAGTAAGATCGTGGTCCCAGCCTAAAGTGTAGAAGATTTCCATCCCGTATTGATATAATGTCTTGTAGGAGATGGGCAAGTGTTGTCTTTCCAGATACTGGGGAATCCTGTACATGAACGACCCTCTGCCTAGCTACGAGATTTGCTAATTGTGCCATTGTGTCAATTCGGGGGAAAATGCTTTCATCAAAGTTGACTGTCAGAAAAGTCAAATTACGATCGGAAGGTTGAGCGTGGAAATAGGCATTGGCCAACATATTTTCTCATAGTCGCATAAAGACCATTCTGTCTTCAGAATGGGGAAAGTACACTGAAACCTAACTATCCGTGTCCAGTAATCCATGGTGCTGTTGAATGCTCCTGTACGTAAGACTGTTATTGCTAGTTTGAAGGCTGTTCAGTGACATGCGAGGACCGTAGAGCTCCCAATCCCAGGAGGTTACCTTTCCTTTGTCGTCGCCTGCGTGGATCGCCTGTATAGAACACTGTACAGTAAGGGGATGGTCGGCTCCGTCGGAGAAGGTACAGATCAACTCGCACTGAGATGTGGTAGCCATGGCTAGTGATGAATTGAGAGAGTGGCTCAACCAAACAGACAAAAGACTAACTTTGCCGCACGGAGCGTAAGCTATATGAAGAGAACTGGCAGGGGCTTTGAAGTTTTTTTATTTTTATTTTTGCTGGTGTGAGAAGGCGTCTCGCCAGAGACTTCTTTCTGAGAAGGCTTTCTTGAACGACTACTAGCCCTAGTTGTGATGAACTAGGAGGATGGAAAGGGGTAGGTGACCAGACGAGGAATCTCCAAAAAAGGGGATTAATGGGTGGTTGGTGGGAAGACAACAAAGGATGGATGAAATGGTGGTACTACTGTTATGTCTATCATATATTCTATTTAAGGCAGTCATCCATCATATTGTAGCCATGGACCTCTTCTAAGATGTAGGCTGCTAGCGGTGTATTGTAGATACTGTTCACGATGTACAATCATGCACTGATCCTTCCACGCTTACTCACACAGACAAGGATTAGGTTCTACAGGAGACAAACACTCATAAGTGACTGCCCATGGACAGTAAAGTCAACAAATTAAATGGATCAAAAGTCTTCAAATCACGGTTGCCCCGTTCTACTTACACACAGTGATTAGGGCTGCTGGTTCAGGGAAGATATGAACCTCCCAGATGAAGATAACAAAAGACACTCAATATTCTTTCCTTTTATTCATAGGCATAGGAGTCCTTCTATTTTCTACCATATTTTCCAGAGTAAGATATCTAGATATGATTTATCGTGGTATGAATGGTCGGAAAATAAAAGGACACGAATCCGAAGCGGGGCTTGTTTAACCGATGAATGGTTGAATTCTGTGGCTGTTGGACCAGCCTTACGCTAAAATATTTCCAAAGCTAACTCACTTAACTGATACTATTCAATCAACATGCTAAATAATTGCTAGTTATTCTTCTACAAGTCTACATCATGTCGAATGAGAATGATACTCAGCTGAGGGACGCCGTGACGGAGGAGTTTACCGCGGCTGGCTATAGCCCCGACCACATAGAATTCATTCACGCCCGTCAAGAAGAACTGAAACGCGGGCCCGAGGAGACGCATACGTGGATTCGAGTCCATCGAAAGGACCTGCTGCAAGATACATTGGTAGCATATGGGCTCCCGTGGGACTGGGACGAGGTAGCAACCCGTGCGATAAGGATAAACACACTGGGCTTACATTGCTTAGGAGGACGGGAACTATCTGATCATTAAGGAATGGATTGGCGAGGATTTTCGTGAAAAGCTGTTCGACCATACCAAGCGCCTACGGGACAGGAAACTCGTGGAAATCCGAAACACGATGAAGGATGTGAAGGAGTATGACCGAATGATGGACAACGTTTATTACAAGAGGGACCGAGAACCAAGGGGGGGAAGACGCCGGTTGTATGTAAGATAGTCTTCCTATAATCCCTTATATTCTACATTGATGTGCCGTCCTCGTATAAAATCTCTCTTGCCCCACCTCCGCGCGACGTGGCACCAGTTGAATATCGCGTAAGCAACCAAGCGCCCTAAGCACCATCTTTTCTTAACCATCTTTACTCTGGAATTTGGAAATAGAAGGAGGTTTGATACTGTGACGACTGCATGTCACCGGGTTCTAAAAGCGCAGATGGCGGCAAAATCTGCGATTATGCGCGGTGTTTGGAATCGCGTTAGTCGCACTACAGGATTGAAGGACGATTTTGTCCTTCCCAGAGACAATGCGCCGCAAAAGACACATATCGCAGCAGTGCACCAGACTTTCTTCTCGATTGAAGCTACGGCCCAAGACCGCCCCGAGCCTGATGGCGAGGAGCGCGTCCTTCTAGGAACCAAAAACATAGGTTCCACGGGCGAAACCCAGGAGGCTGGGCTTATGCAATGGATGTAAGAGACACGCGCGCATCTTACAGCCACGGGCGATAACATGATTCGTTAGGCATATCTCCCATGAAGGGGTCGAGTTCGAGGCTTTCCTGGTATGTGGGCGCTCGACTTTCTCTCATTATGGTTTACATTTTGTGACTGAACATGCCAGAGAAGGGCATTAGAGGCAGTCAGGGCTGGGAAGCAAGAAGAGGAAGCTGTGGTTTCACACTTCCTGAATCGTATTTTGCCTTTTGTAGAAAAGCCCTCCTTTCAGGGCAAGCGCTTCTTATCGAGTCACTCTTCAACAACCATACAACTACCAGGGGATTCAACAAAAGCCAAGGTCAACTTCATTACAGTTCCTTACTTCTTGCTTGGAACGCCGTTCCAAAGACCCAAAGCGCATACTTCTAAAGTTCACTGGGTTCAGCCCTTGGTACAGTCTGCGTATCATCTAGATTCGTCTATGTCTCGAGAGAATCAACAGGCAATTCGGCGTTTGCACAGCGACATAACTGAATTTCTCCATGTCCCGCAGCTTTGGATTCTGACGATTGGTGACAGTATGTCCCCGCTGATGTCCGTTTGGCGTTAGTGTAATACCTCAGGAGACTTTTTGGTTAACATCTTAGTAGAGTTTATCGCAACATGCTCACCTACTCCCCTGTTCGGTGATCAGCGATCATGTATTACTACCTGCGCACTTGGAAGGGACCAGTTTCCTCCCACAATCCGTGTCACAATGAGTCCCGGCTTTGTCTTTTGTCTCAAGCGTGACGAATGTACTGTGTGGTTTGTAAGCTTTCCATTATCAATTAACAATGCATTGCTTTCAGTATACTTGTTGGTTGGATCGCGCTAATCAGCTAGAATTCAAGGAGTTCTTATATCGAGTATATTGTGTCGTGGAAGCATGTGTGGGTATTCGCGTCGACTACAGACGCTACATGTACACACTCCAGAAAGATGGCAGGATGATTGATGGGCGTCAATGGCCTTTAATCTTACAGTCCCACAATTACAGAGAGCCACTTTGTGTGCTAATGTCTCATCGTGTACCTCCTTCCTCTGAAGGTCTACCTGCGACCATCCCGCTCGAAGGGAAATATGAATGGGACTCACCCAAGGATGACCCCTCAAAATACCTCAGGGCTGATACAGAGATACTTGATCAGAAGACATTGGATGAGTACAGACTCCCTTACTATTGGGATGCACCAGAGCGTGGGGTAGGTTGATCTGCCAGAACAAAGTTGCGTTTGTCCACCATATTTTGTACTAACCGGACGTATCTTTTGTTTTAGGCACGCAAGACTCTCGTTGTAGCACAAGAGCTTACCGAGCTTGACCAAAAGATCATCTATGATCACACTAGGCGGCTCCGCGCAATGGACGACTTTTCTCCGTTGCTTGATCGAGCCATGGACATCGAGGATCCATACTATACGCCGCCGGTATTCGTCTTCGACGCAGCGAAGTCTCACGCAGAGACAAAGAATGTCAACCCGGAAATTAACCCAGAGACTACTTCACACCAGTCTATGAATGGTGGTGTCCAAGACACATCGGCAGTCTTAACAGAAAAGGAAAAGCGTCCATTCTTCAAGTGGCCTGTCAAGAAAGATGTTCATGATATGGAACCGCTCATAGACGGGGCCGACCCAATATCATCACGCGCATACAAAGCTACGACGCCGAGACTTAACCGACGTGAATCGGCCTCTGGGCATGACCCAACGCCAACACAGTGGCTGAAAGCTCTAATGGCCCATATGCACTATGAGATTCTCTTTAATGTTGACTTTCATTCTGCAAAGAAGTACAACGACCTCCCTCTCAAGACAATATCAGATGTAGAAGGAGAGCTCGGTAGCTTATATAATCATCACCAAAGTAACCGCCATATGCTTGCTCTCGCCAGGTCATTTTTGCGTCGTCTGAGTCGCGTTCTGGAGTCTTTCATTGGACAAGATTACGACTGTATTGTCAAAGGAAAGGTTTGGGCGGCGATGCATGTCTTGATACAGGTACGATTAATTCCTCTGAGAGTGGTACTTAACTAATTGGACGTGTAATCTAGACATTTCAACCGCGTTTCCTAGATGCTCTGTTCAGCTTTCACTGTGACATATTTTCAATCCAGCTTCGCAAAATCCAAGACAAGATTCAGGGATTGCGTGACGGTCTATCTGGTACCAATAGTCTCTATATTCCACGTTCTATGACCAAGGCATTCATCGAGATAGTGTTGCTTCTCGTTGATGCATCGGACGAGGCCACCAAACTCATGCAAGCGGCTGAAAGCAACCCGCATCACAACGATGCGAATGATGATAAGTCATCGGAGACTCATACTAGGGCAGGCGAAGAATATTGGGGTGGAAAAACCTCAGCCCGGTCCCGAGAAAGGATGGATGAATCGTCGAGGTCACCCAGCATAGGTCGTGGTCGGGCAAGTAGTGTCAACAGGCCTGAAGAGAGATACAGTTCGGATTCACGTTCATCTGAGTTCAGAGGCCGGTTCCGGACGCGATCACGCGAGATTAGGAGAGGCAGGCGAAACAACCCAAATGTCACGTTCTTCGAGAAATTATCTCGTCGTATGGACCAAATATTCAAGTATCTAGATGATGTACAGGATGAATGCTGTCTCATGTTTCGCTCGGTGGATGCTGTCGAGGACTCTGCCTCACACGGGGTAGACTGTGGAAAGATCATCGCCCTTGTTATGCTGTCTGTCTTCAAGGGGCATTCTACCTGTGAATCTCTGCCCATGCTCGATGTTGAAGAAATCTACCGAACATATACAAGTTACTTAGTATGTTTGATTCCACCTGCATTCCATAATAGCATGAGAAACGCACTAACATAAAATTCGCGATCTAGCAACTCAAAGCTCGAAACGTACCTAGCAAGAGTCTGCTTGTGGACATGAATCTCCTTCGTGAAGAGCTAGAGATAATCACTAAAATTGTCTCCAGTCAATCAAATATGATCGATGACCTGCGCATGTCCAGCACCACTTACCAGGATTATGGCTCAGAATATAATGACAACATAAGCACAAGTACGACAGGCTCTGGAAGAAAGATTTCTGGCATATTCAGCAATGACAAAACGGTTAACATGTCAACCCGCACGATTTTGCAGCAGATCCAGGGTGAACTCGAAGAAAGGCTTGTGATATTCGAGGAGTTAACCAATCGCGTGAATCGTCTAGAAATACAGGTAAGCGTCTATCTGTTACTCCGGAAGATTGGGATTTCCTTCTATCGCATGCTAACTAGCGTGGCTAGATTTGTCAACGCGTGGAAATCATTGAGGAGGACCATGGCAAAGCCATCCTCGTCTTTTCAATCGTCTCGACAATTTTCTTGCCCCTTTCCTTTGTCACTAGCTACCTAGGTATGAATACTTCTGATATCCGCGACATGGAGCCTAGCCAAGCGCTTTTCTGGGAGGTTGCCGTTCCCTTTACTGTTGCTGTAGTCGCAGCTGTTCTTACAGTCGCGTACAACATCAACCGAATTTTTCCGTGGATATCGAGAGGTCGAGCCCTTCCATAAGTCTCATCTTTCACTATGCACATTCACAGGCCTTAAGCCTGTAAGCTATTCGTCCTTGTTACATGTGGTTGTTGGAAGTCGCCATCATGATTGTGAGAATATTTGCTATGAATGTTTCAATCATGCTTACCAGCTTTCGTTCTCGACATGTATTCTGCGATACATGCCATTAATGTTCTTTTGCCGATGAGAATCGTAAACAATCTAGGCTATGTAAAATAGTGGGTTTTTGGCTTCTATCTCCGTATGATAAATTTAGGACGATGACATAGTTTAAGCCTTGTCGTTAAGGCCTATTTATTAATTTTGTGAATATGCAGGCATATATCTTTACCAAAGGATCTACATCAAACGAGGCCTTTCTGTATAATAAACTATAACAGTATGTAGACTAAGTCCATTTATTCCTGAGGGTAAAATTCAAGAGCAGGCTGCGATCTGATTGATATACCGGAAGCGCGCTAGTTCCCGATTTAGTCCGCTGTTGCCTGGCCCCTCAGGCTACTATGGGTCTCTTTGTTTCTTTGGCTTACTTGAGCTGATGGAATCTTTCCTTCCAGCCAGGTATGTTTGTACATGCGACCTCTACTTTCACTTCATCAATTACCAAAATGCTTGTGGAAAGCACACCTGGCGCCTTCTGGGGGCTGCAAACTGCCAAGGCCAAGTCAGTATACCGTACTCATTATTCCATGCCTAGTTAGCTAACAGCCTGACAGCTTTTGTGAGGAGGTCGGCACCTACCATGATGATATAAAAAGCCACAGTGACCTCGTACATGTTGCTAACTTATTCTGATTGGCTTGTGATAGGACTATGTGGTAACGAGATATGTCGCCGAGTTTATTAACAGTCTGACAAACCTGCTTTACAGTAAGTGTAGACACGAATAGGTATCCGTTGTAAGGAAATAATCTCACAATCACCAGTATTCTATGGAATTTATGGGCTTCGCAGGTTGAGACAGAAATCAAATGTCGATGTCTTTCGCACCATCCCGTACTGGGGTTTGATGGCTGTTGGTATCTGCTCCGCCGCGTTCCACATTAGCCTCAAGTACCAGACTCAGATGTGTACGTTCCTCTTTCTGTCAATTCAGGTCATACAGTTACAGATAGCTTACCGTTGCCATATGTGGTCGTCATCAGTGGACGACCTTTCTATGCATTTCGCCACAACCCCGGTCCTCCACCGCGTCTTGACTGTCAATGCTACACGCAGAGACACTATCGCCATGGCTATCCTACTAGGATCGTCCCTTCTAGGTCTCGTGGTATACCACGTGAAAATGGATGAATTAATTCTGCACTCGGTATACTTTGGTGCCACGATTGTGGTTATCGGGATCCGCACTATGCAGCTAATCAACACCCAGACGCGGGCAGGTTCGGCTGCTCGCGGGCAAATCTGGGGAATAGTTAGGTTTGGCGCAGGTAAGCTGATACCATCACTCGCCATTCTACTCTTGACTAACACGTTGGGCCAGTTATATTCAACTCGGGATTCTACCTCTGGTTGATTGATGGATGGGCATGTGGATTTTTGAGGAGCGCGCGGGAAAAGATCGGCCTTCCCTGGGCTTTTCTACTGGAGCTTCATGGGTGGTATGTCCTTTCTCATTCTTATGTTTTTGTTGGTTTTTGCGACACGTAAAAGCTGACACTAGGCTCAACAGGTGGCATATCTTTACTGGCATCGGTGCTTACATCTTCATCGCGGTGGTAGATCATCTCGTGTCTGGTGAGGAGCATGATGATATCGAAGCGACATTTGCTTGGCCTGCTCCGTGGGCTTCTCGATCTATCTTCGCGGGAAAGGAGGTTAACTTGAAACCCCCAAAACAAGAGTAGAGGTCTAACCACCTTTGTTCCTTGAGTCCCAAGAACCGGCGAGGTTAGAACCTGTTGATGTGTGAACTATATCTTCGGAGGACAGCTAGACTGTCCGAGAGTTGATGGCATTTGTTTAGTAGGGAATGTGCTGAATTACGATACGTACAGTTGGCTGCATACTATTCAGTAAAGATTTCTATATATCTATCGTATGCGTTGCGAAGTCTCCCGGTATAATAGGGTAAATCCTAAGGCCCTTAATATAACTTCCCTTATACCAACCTCGAAAGAAACTCCCTGACACCACCACCCAATTTACAACAATACAAAAACAACACTTACTTCCGCAAAGGCCACTCCTCAAAAAAGGTAGTCAACGCCCTACTCATCGAACAAGCCATAATACTCCCATGATCCTCCCCCCGGTACTCACTCACCGACACCGTATCCAACCGCCTACAATCTCGCAGCAACTCACCCAGCTCAAGCGCATTCCTCCCCATCCTCCATTCCAATGCGTCCATCTTCCTCCGCTCATAATGATCCAGCTCCTCATCATTCCACCTCAGCGGACTCACCTCATGCGACCCAAAATACATCAAGAGCGCCGGCACCCGCCCACCCACTTCTTCTCCATCCAAAAACGCCCTCGCCTCAGCCAAAATACACCTCCCATTCCACCAAATCGACGGACTACTCGCAACGTAACAATCAAACATTTGCGGACTTGTAAACAACGCATGCAAGGCAAACAAACCCCCAAACGAATGACCGTACAGCGCCTCCCTGGAAACCTCCAACCGCGGGAACCGGGCCCTCACCGCTGGTTTCACGGTCTTATCGATAAAATCAAGGAATGAATCCGCGCCTCCGTGTCCATCTACTCGGGTCGCTGTTGGTGGGGTTAAGTCCAAGCAACGTCGAGGGATGTCATATACTTTCCCAGACAGGGGATACCCGATCGCGACGACAATGCCCCCTCCGGCAAAATTTGGCCATACAGCGCGACGCCAGGCGGCTTCTGTTGCGGTTAGGAATAGGGCGTTGCCGTCGACGATGTAGCTGGTTTGGTTTGTTAGAGAGTGCCTTGTGGGGATGAGAGTTGTGTTTGTGCTTACATGATGGGAAGTTGGTCATGGCCAGATGGGGGGTTGCGGTCTTGCCAGTGGAGGGGCCAGGATATTTGGATTAGGTATGATTCGCCTTGTTCGTTGCTGAGATAGAATTGTTCGGAGTTGGGGAGGGTGATTGGTGCTGGGCCTGGGTTGGTGGTCATCTTTCTTTGTGCTGGATTTATGTTGAACTTTTCTCGGGGTGCTGTGAATGAACTGTTAGACTGGAGGTGTGATGTGAAGGGGGAGTTAGGTATGCTGACAGAGAGGAGAGTAAGCTAGAGAGTTCGTTGTGTGACGGGAGGCTTAATGGAGACTCATTCCGCAGTCAGCATTCGGCTCAGCACTCTGTATCCCGGCGGAGTCCGCTCCATATCCGGTATACCAACATTTTGATGGAATGGTTATTGGTGCCGGCTGGGGGCAAATCCTTGCTCAAAAAGTCTCCGCGACTAGCTATATGCTCCGACCACCTTAGATAATGGTGTGCTCTTACGGCATGTAGGAATCGGCATAGGTCTACATAATCGAGGAACAGCAGCAGCATGAGATATCAGTGGGGCAAACGGATGATCTTTCAACGAACGATGGCGTGTATATCGGATATTGATGCTACCCCGTAGGACATACTCTACTCCGCATACCCGCTTGTATCGATTCGAGCGTAATGGAGACGAAATACAATGGATAGGAATTATAGGGAGAAATTTCCTAGTCTTGGAATTTCACTAGTAAGTCTGAGTAGTGACTTGGCAGTGGGGCTCAAACACAGAGGTTGTCAAGCGGGAGTATTTTTATGGCAGCGTCCACAAAGGACTCGTCTTCGGCGAAAAGGCCAAGTAGGGTTTTATATGAAATTGGAGCAGTTGAACAGAGCCTCGGCTATGACACATGGATTGTTCAGCATGCAAATATAACTACTATTGCCTGTCTTCCTGGGTTCATCAGGATTCTAGAACGGCTAAATAACATTGTCAGACCCATGCCAATCGACGGTACCTACAATCCGAGCTTCTCTGAAGTCATTGAGCTGCCTATTTTCCCCAATAGATTGCTCTGGGATCATTCTGTGCTGATAAAATGCGAAGGGCCTGACCGGTTCAATAGTCTGCTTGAATAGCCGAAGTATGTATAGATTCAGGACGACTCTGCTTGGAAGCCTACAGCCCCCTACATTTTCGCCTTAAGGCAACTTAACAAAAGGACGTAGAACAGCATTCCTACTGTATATTAGAGGTGGCCCAGGCTGACACAACGGGAAAGACTTGAATACACAGAGGAAGATATTATTCAAGGGTCTCTACTATAAAAAGTTCCTCGCTGAATATTACTATCCGCGAACAAATAAATAGATCGGAATAATGTCACCGGACAAATGCCTGAGCCGCTGACAAAGTTAAACTAATGCGATTATGGATGATTTCGTTCCGCACTCTTCCTATAATAAGCCAAGTGCAGTGCCAGCCCCAACGATGAGTATATGGGTGAGACATTTTCTGTCGCGAGACTTATAAGGGTGCCAAGAGCGAAGGTACTCTGGAGTAGAATGGATAGGCGAGGCCCTGGTCTTCAAGGTTTTAGGAGTAGGCTTTTCTGACAAATGTTAATGCGTAAGTAAACCAAGTCCAGCCAAGAGCGTCCCGAGTTATCGAGGAGTTTGTTGGGTTCAAATTTCAAATGGATACTCCATGGAGCAATCAAGGCCTTAGTGTATTGTTATCGCTGGTCGGTTCATACATGACGTTACCATACCATCCTATACTGTACGGGATACGTGACAAAACGTGCCTAATCAAAGGCATCGCGACTCTGATTCACACATTCTTACCATCAAGTACATGGGTTCTTAGCGCTGGTCCCTTGAAAAGCAGGCCCAAATATGATACCAGTCGAGATTTGGCTTAGCTACTACTTGAAGTCAACCGATTGCATCGGCCGCAAATAGAATAATCGAGTTGGATGGGTCTACTTCCTAGTTTTGTAGGTTGGTTGGACGTTTCTGGTAGTAATTCGAAGGGCTTGGTTTGGCACCGAATGTGGTGCTATTAGGAGATGACTAGCAGAGGCATAGACATCCATAGATTCGATTGTGTGCGTCGCATGAATCAGTATTCATAATTTACAAGCTATCTCACGGATGTTTCAAACGTTTCCGAAGCCGTCTTCTGCCATGGCCTAGGCATTTATACTATTATAGAGTGAAATAACGGCCAACGGCCCTTTCATAGACTCTGCAGGAACATGCTGTCCTAGCCATATACCGTAATTTCATGAAACGTAAGCACCGCCACCCAGAGGTGCAGTGAGTAGATGGATGAAGGAATGAACATCTAGGCTCATTGGATGACCAGGGACTCTAGTAAGAGAATGTATTCAATTCTATCAGACGAATGTCACTCAACAAGGTGTCGCTGCAATCTGCTTTTTTCATTGAAGATATTGAACTTCTTACATAAACTATCGTATTCACTGAATGTCAAATTAACCTCCCACGGAATTAAGCTTCATATCAAATAGGGCGAGAAGCGCTCACGCACGACCCAGAAACCACCAAACGCTTGCGCAGCGCATGAATCAACCCAGCGAAGCAAGGCTAGAACACAACACCCTTAGTCTGGCTCATCGTCTTCAAATTCATATTCCTCATCATAAAAACCGCCACGAAGGATAGAACCATCAACCCCGTCCCGGCAGCCAACATTCTCGTCTGCGCATAACCATACGCCTTCTGGATACCGATTCTCTCTGGGCTATTAACTGGATAGCTAAGCTGTGTGGGAAGACTTGAGTAAATTGTCGCCAGATCCGGCAGTGCAGATTCTGGCAGATAGCGCACAAGCGCCTTCTCAAAGGTATTTGTCCAGATGGCACCGGAGATCGCGTTGCCGACAGCACCACCGATACTGCCGGACACGAATAGCACGGCCATCGCGGCAGCGACATACTGGTGGTCAACGGCCGCCAGGACTGCAAGCTGCATGCAAAGGATGAAGACACTTCCGCCGACTGATATGAAGATCTCGCACATGACGATGTAGCCGATGTAGCCATTCGGCTGGCGGAAATGGATCATTAGGCCCTGGGCGAAGATGTAGAGGGGCACGCCAATGATGAGCAGCCATCTGAAGTAGCCAGTTTTGCGGATAACATAGCCGACGATGAAGAGAAGGACGCCGGAGACGACTTGGAATGTGCTGTTGACGTACCCTGCTTCTGCGACGGAGAGGTTGTTGACGACCTGGAGGAAGGAGGTGAAATAGCTGTTCCAGCAGTAGTAGCACATGTTGTAGGTGAAATCTAGGAGGCAAGCTCCCAACACGGTTCGGTCGAAGAGGTATTTGTGTTTGAGGAATGGTACCGGGGCGAGGTACATTTGGTAAAGGGCAAAAAGAACGAGGAGGATGAAGCCTACAACAATCATTGCGATGATGTAGTCGGACTTCCAACCTTGAGGGGCAGACATGGCGAGCGTAAATGGCAGGAGAAATACGGTCAGACCGGCGGCGAACAGGATCACTCCGGGCACTGTTGGTAGCGGTTAGCATCCTGCTTGCCTTTTGGGGAGGACTGTGTCGATTACTCACGATCAAACTCTATGAGATAATGAATTATATTCTCCACCAAGGTCCTTCCGCTGCTTTCGTGAATTACAATTCCTTTTTTCTCGGCTTTGCGAAGGTTGTACTTTAATACGACGTATAAAGGGAATGCCACCACGGGGACAATGATCGCGAAGGCGCCAAAGCCCCACTGCCAACTAACATGTTCTAGAAAGCCCTCGGCGGCTTTGGACCCAGCGAATGCTGTAATCATCCATGGAGATGAAGTAAAAGCGAATGCCAAGCCTCGATTTCTCAAGTTCGTGACATCGGCGGCGAGGACATCCACGCTATAGACCATGCCTCCGAAACCAACTGAATAGAAAACCTGGTATCCATGTGTTCATTAGCATAGACACGGGTGGCTGAGACGGTGGTACGGTAATACCTGTGCAGCGCAGAAGGTATAGATATTGTTGGACGCCGCGAAAAGAACCATGCCCAAAGTGGCGAACCCAAGCATGAGGAGGAACCCTTCAGCACGTCCCCAGAGGTCCAGCATCTTGGCCATTGGGATGTAAACTGCTGCAGTCATGGCATTTGCGACAATGTCGATGACAGTCAGAAGGGAATGAGATTGGAAACTGCTCGTGGCGTAAGGCGTCAAGCTAGCAAGAATCGAGGACTTGAACCCATTCGCAAGCGTGAAGAGCCAAATACTATTGAAAAAGTTTATGTTAGCTATTAGTGGCATAGAAAGCACGGCACTATGGGGGAATCAGAATACAGTATTAAGACCGTGGCTAGCCATCTCCTAGACCATGACAGAGTCACAGCCTGGATATTTTTAACACCCCGCTGTACATCCTCGCTTGGTAAGTCTTTATCATTAGGATAGCTGGCGGTAGTATTGTCGGGTGAACCGATTCCAGCTTCCTTGTCGTTCAGAGAAGCATTGATCGTCACTGGAGTTTCCATGTCTTCTCCAGCCGAAGAGCTGGGTGTCTTGCGACCCATAAGAAGCTGAAGCCTATTCCGAATTGCCATCGTGGTTGAGTTGGTAGGGTGAGACACAAGGAGCACGTAACGGAAAGCTACCGACCAAGTGCGGAGGGCTGTGTCTTTAAGCCTGGCATACCGACCCCGGCTGTTTAGGACAGAAAAGTCTAGGCATTTGTTCGAGCTCAAGTCATTATGGGGCGAAACAGGGGTGGTGTTCGGGAATTTTCCTGATAGAAATTATCTGATTGATTAGATCCGGCTTCGGGACAAATTAGCCTGGAAGGGTGGGCGTGAGGGACTATGATTCGACCTATGGCTAATCTTCGTTTCCTCGGCGTGCTATAGGCGTGCGTCTAGTACTAGGGTCAGCGACTTGGCTTCTGGGCTCGTGCCACGGAATCTTCATTCTGCGTTTACTGCTGTGGCTTTACTGAACAGTGACCTTATAGGAAGGGATATATAGGAAGATTTTGCGTTGTCAAGGTACAAGTTCCTACACGGCAACCGTTGGAACACGAACTTTAGTAAGAAAAAGCCATTAAAAAGGGTGCAATGAGCAGCCAGCATAGAGAAATAAAACATCCAGGGTTGCTCTTGCAAACTATTCTAGTTAAATCATGTTACAGCTCAATACGAACAGCCAAGGTCCACGATTACGCCTAACACCAAACTAAAGATGCACTAATATCAGGCTACATTTATATTGCTCAAACTGCCGCCTTTCGGTCTCACCTAAAGGTATACAACCTTCTGGAACTCATTTAGTTCAGTCAATGGCATTGCGAGCCCTTTGATGCACTACTCTGGCTCAGATACTACGACTGTTTACTTTATGGCACCCATCCCAGGACGACCTAGCAAGAAGTACACTACATTTTGGGTTTCATTTGGAGTGGAAGGCCTTGGCAGAATACGACACTTGGCTTCGCGTAATAACCGAACAGAGCCAAGATAAGAATGTGACAGTGACGCCACGTCTAAACAGTGGGTGATTATAGGAAAACATTATAAGCTTGAGTTGCTAGATAGGTATATGCTCTCCCTTGCTCAGGAGCGGGCATTCCCTTACCGTTTTACAGATCCTGAAAAAAATTGAGTTTCGGATATATGTATCAAACATACGCATCGAACAACCATTTGTGTACGTTGATGGCCTGATCAAGGTGCAGTGGCTTGCCATTGGGGATGTAATATACAGCAACAACGGCGAACTTAGACGAAACATTGGCTTTTGGTAGATAGTGAATCTTCCTTTAGTAAAGCAACTTCAGTTAATGAATGTCTTTTCATTTGTACGGTGTACATCTACCAGCCTGTAGAATTCACTATCATTCAAAAACGGCCTTAACTGTATTGCTCGCAGCCGTAGGCTAGTATAGTAGACAAATGATGGGCGTCTGCAGTCCCTACGAATGCTTTAGACCTCTTCAAGCGGAACTAGCGGCATAACTACTCTATGTCACCGAATCATAGACTAAATGAGTCATAGCTAGTGCGGAGAACCACGGTGAAGATTTCAACAACGACATGAGTGTGATTGTCCCTATTGAAGCCCGAGTGCTTGGTGCACGGAGCCGAATAGTTTTCTATGGTTTAACCCGAAGAATGGAGAAATTGTCAAGCTGATTTAAACAACGAACAATAACGAAAGTGGAAAGAAAGATTGCAAGCCCGGACCGATCCTTTCCACAAGTTGGTGGTATCATATTGCTATACCATACTGATCAGTAGTGCTGTACCAGAAATACAATTGTACTTGGTACAATACCATACAGGCGGTAAACCAACAAAATCAGATTAGATGGTCAGATAAGATTAAGTTAGGCCCATTTAGGCACCGATAGCGGACCGCCGAGGATTGCAGGGCAGGCCCGTGGTCGTTTTCTCGCCTATTTCGGTTCTCTAGCTATCATCTGGTGCTTTGACAAAAAGCCTATTCACTTCCACTAAGACGCTAGTCCCTATTATATAACTCTTTTGGTAAGATATGTGGAAGGATTCAGCTAATGGCCATTACAGCCTTACTAAAAGAGTTCAAAAGTTAGTGTTCACTTGGGGGTGGCATGCTTTGAATCTTGGAGGAAGGAATTAACTTGCAATTGGAGCGAATAGTGGGGTAGAAAGTGGTACAACTTCTCCTTCAGCCTTGGCCATTGATGGCCGGGATTTCTACGGGAACCGTTCACTCCTTGCCAAGTGTAGCGATTACCGTTATAGGTTACTATGCCCTATTATACCGTATTGGTCCGCGTAAATCTTGCTCTAGTGGTATTGCTAGTATGATAAATTAAATCAAAGTTAAATTTTTCGGATATCATTCTCAAGCTTGGATTCGTTCACTAGCCCCCTTTGTACAGAGCATTTGACAGCCAGCTTCATTGAACGTCGTAATCTCCGGTCTCAGAAAGCAAAAGGCAATCCTTCATTTGCGCTGCTTCCTCCATTTGAATAAAGCCCCATTTATGCTGTTCCCTACGTTGGCTTTAAGTGTTGTGTCATTGAGGGCACGTACCAAGCACTAACCCACCCTCCCATCAAGGCACACTTGTATCGGGATCAGGGCAGTATACACTCTTTGCGTAGAGTATTTTTGAACAATATAGCCTTGGGGTATATGGCTGTTGCCAAGTAAAGTCTGCATAGAAGAGCATCGCGCCTGTTTTATGATCACATCGTAGCTCATTTGCCAGAGAATGTCAATATCCATTCCATATTTCAACGAATGGAGTGGGCAAACGATAAAAACGTAGATATTAAGACAGGATCTGAATGCCTCTTAGGCTCAGCTCGGTAGTCTGCCAGATAGTGGGCTCATTTCCGTTGGGTTCCATTAGTGGCACTGTAAGACCTAAAAGATCGCCCTGTTCCCCGTGGATTCCATCCAAGATCGCCGCTATATCCTTCCTCCACTCGCCCTTCTGTGGTAAGCTTTGTTTGAATACGTTGTTAACAGTTTCAGCTTCCAGGTGTGGATTGGCAACAGGGTTAAATGCTCTTGACATGAGGTTCAGTGCCTTTGGGGTTGGGCTTTTGTAACATTGGCCCCTATGACGAAAGAGGACTCCAAAGTCAAAGTGCTTCTAAAATTCTATGCGAACTAAGACAGTGGTTCTCGATAGTTAAAGAAAAGATGCTGCATCAAGAGGGTAATATATAGACTAACTTGATACTCTAGCACGTCCTATTTTCTAGCCTCTTCGGCGAGTTTCTCCTCACAATGGGTTTCACCAAATAGGTTTCAAGGGAAATGGCAGCCGGCACATTGCGGCAGTCTCATGTATATTGTCTTTTTTTCTTAACAAATAGTACTAACCGTAACAGCCATTCGAACCTCGCCACGTATGCCAGATTCGTTTGACCGTGCCCTGCACTGGGGACCTTTCTTGGTATAACCCGGATTATACATTCTTTTACAAACTAGCTGGGTGAGGTGTCGGTGCTATGTATCAAAATTTTCGTCTGGATTTCTGCTAGTTGTTAGGAAAGAACGCCCTCGGAGATGTCCATTTCTGTCTTCTGAAAAATGGGGCGTCCTATTTCCTGTTAAGTGCTATGGGGAGGTTCCATGATTATAGCCGTTGAATGGAAGTCCCACCAATTCATCTCTGCGGATAGCCTAGTATGCCGGCATTCAGCCCATGTTATATCGCCATTTATCCTATGTTTTCTCAAAGACCTTTGTAGCTCTCAAGGATTCTTTATATGAGTCGGCCGATTCATAGGGCTTCGTTTCCTGCCGATGATCTCTCCGTAAATGATATTTTCGTCACTTCCCCTGCCATTATACTGGGGTACGTATATACCCAACAAGTAAAGGGCCAAGCGTCAATCTGTACATCACAGGGGATTGACTTGGCTGTAGACCGTTTTGGACAATAAACAGTCTGCCAAATGCCAACAATAGAAGGGCATTGATCAGTGGATTATATCATCTCAGAGCTGATTGACACCAAATAACTGTTAGCCAAGGGCCAACAACCACCCTTTGCGAAGCATATGATGGATCCAAGAGGATGTATCACCACTGTTATCGCGAGCAGTCCAAATCTCTTCAAGAAGCTCGAGAGCGTGAACATTCACAGGTAGTCGGTTCATGGAATACAAGGCTCGAAGTCTGTGCCGAACATCGTCCCTCAAATCGACATCCTCTCTCTTCAGTTCCGACCCAGCAGTAAGAAGTGGGACAGACTGGAAATTCAGGTAATTCGAGGAGAGTGGAATGTGTAGAAGATGAGCTATTGTTTCCAACGCATAATGGTAAATTAGAGACTCTAGGTCGAAATCCTCAAAAGACCGGTTAACAGGAGAACCATTCCACCCACAGACCCTGTAAAGTAAGATCAGTCCGTGCTTTCGTAGAGACTCATATAGTAGCATCAGTGTAGGGTGTGTGGATGGTACAGTCCACATGTAGAGGTCCTTTTCTAACTGTACTTCTCGGGCAAGAGATCGACACTGCGAATGAAGCACCTGCCGACAGTATCGGCCCAGGTTCCCGAGCATGAAAATGAGCTCTGTGCAAAACCCATACATGGGATGATGCCATTGACCTAGTTTTTCTACGGCCATTGATATACTCGGTGTGTCTAGCTCCTGTTGTTCGTTTGGATGCACGAGGTATGAGCAGCCCATATCCCAGTAGAGATACACGCCGAGACAAAGTCGAGACAATGGATCCGTGTCCCATGGATGGGCCTCATCCTGAACTACCTGGTCCACCAACATCCGTGCGGCAAATAGATGCCATTTCCCAAAATCGGTCATGTCGTGATCGGCTCCATGCGATAATCCCAGCAACAACGCAGTAAGTATAGACAGTAGTGGCCGTGTCTTGAGAGCCCCCAGCTCCGTCCGGAACGACATTAGTGCTTTCCCCCTCTCCTCGAGGGCAATTCTTGCCACTTGGGCGGAGTAGTATTGTTCATGGCGTGCACTAACGGACTGTATGATATGCACCAGTGCCGGCGACTCCTGGATGTATTCCAGGACGGGATATGAGAACGGATTGTTCTCGGGGTCAATCACCAGTGTCTGGCTTACGCGTTCTAGCCAGTACTGGAGGAGTCGGCGATTCACGATAGTATCCACGTGCGACGAATACCACCGAGTCTCAACTTGCCACTGTGTTACACGAGGCGTCGACGAGCATATTGACCCTCGACGGGCGCAGCGCAAGCACGTTGGGTAGGTCTCGTCACATTTGACCCGCTTTTCTTTGCATTGGCGACATCCAAGTTTGCTTTTAGGTCTTCGACGAGCGTTGGTCGGCTTTTCTAGTGGAACTTTTTGGCCCCGTTCTTGTGTTATTTGGGGTGCACATTCCACTGGCTGAAAACGTACTCGGAAGGAGGACATATTTGTATTTGTTTGTTCACAATCTCAGGTCTTTTGGCCAGCGAAGTGCCTGGCGAGGAAAATGCGCATCTAAACGCGGGCTTGGCGGCCCAAGAGTTGCAAGGCGAAACCGTAGTTGATCACGTGCCGCCCGATTTCAACGGCCAACGATGTCAAAAATGAAGCTTTAGAGCCACATACAATTCGTACTATATAGAGAGCTTTTAGAGTAATATGAGCATTGCCTACTGCCGAACAAGGATGTTGCGAGCCCCCCACCGGGCCAACACAAATGTCGTTTCACACCCTGCCACAGTACTAACATCGTGACCAATGTTATCATCCCAAGGGAAACTTGGTGACGTGGGCATTGCTGATCACAGGGGTATCACACAGGTTGACATATGGCACAACTGTAGCCTCCAGTGCTTGTCACAGTGCCTTTATTATAGCCCATGTAACTATAACTACTAAATGTACTTCCGAAAACTAATCATGTCAAAGCTTGAAGGGCTTGCAAAGTGGTTCACAGGCCGGATCATGCCATTCCTCGACAACATGCAAGCATTTAAGAACCGGATTACAATTTCTGCCGAGCAATTTCCATCTCTTGGGCTTATAGTAACGTGGTTTGGGAATAGGTTGGGTCTGCTGTGCATTGTCTTGATATCGCGATATGGTACTATCAGATGGGCCCTGCAAGATAATTATAACAATCAAAAACAACAGTAGAGTGGAAGAACCTAGTCTTGTTAATTAGTACTATGTAATCGTTTCCTAATACCGGGAAGACGCACTTGTCCAGCACCACTCAGCTTGCTTCCCAGGTCAATAGAGATGTAAACCCACGCGTGGGAGTTTGGGACTATTTTTGGGTGTGTTTAGCGTTGAGAGCTGAAAGTTGTCCAGCTTGTCCACTTCTCCCAACCAATGCAAGATGTAATCAAGCCAAGGTTAAATTCTACCCTGGACAACCTTACGTAGCTACGTCGATAGGAAGCAACCCTGCTTTTACCTTTGTGCCGACTGTAAAGTCCTCAGTATAATATCCTAGTTCTCCTACAGAAGAGAGATCGACTGTAAAGATGCGAATCTCAGGATCACTCACCGCAGATCGCAAAGCATCACTAAGATAGGATCTCGGCAAATTGCCTAGCTGCAGTGCGCCATCTTTGGTCCGCGTAGGACCGAGAACATAGAATCAATGGTCACTGGTGTTAACCTCCAATGTGACCAGGAGCTGAAAACTGCCTGTCAGTATCTATCCCCATAATATATAGTTTCTTGACTCCCGGCTGCGGATATGCAGTTTATATAGAATACGGAGCGTGGGTACTCACTCGTGGATCGCCTAACTAGGAACTAAGCCTATTCTTTCAGTTGATCATAGTATAACCTGAATGAATCTGGGCTCTGAATTGCTCTTGCATGGTAAACAATCCTTAGATCTATGATGACTATCACGATTAATTTTTGATTTCAGAAAGGCCAAGTTTGTAATGGACAGTAATTTAATCTTGTGCTATATTAACTTGTTTGATCAATCCACTACAATCATCCAGTTAGAGAAGGTCGGTGCCATTGTAAGTGTCATAAGTTCCTTCTTTGAGTGTTCTGTTGCAAACTCTATGCATTAATACAACTACCATATCCAGAAAATAATTGACCGGGGAATATCTTACGTGTTCTTAGGGAATGTGCTCCCATCGTGCCGTTAAAACCCCATCGCACAGCCAGTTGTACCCATCACCATCCGTCCACCACGCCGGCTGGAAGCCATACGTGTCCCAGCCCTGGCGTGCCTCTTCCATAAATCCAGAAACCTCTTCTCGTGACTGGACAGAGTACGATATACTTCCGTTACCTTTGAGGATGCGATCCAAGTATATGTGGATGGATGGATGGGCCGAAAGTGCGGCTCGCTTGAGAAAAGTCTCCGTTCCAGTCCTGGAGATACAGGTCGGTCATTTTCATATGCTATTTCTGGCCAGGGACCCCCGCACAGCATGAAGAGGCAGCCGACGGTCTGCCGAGGCCGAGGAGGGCGGTTATGAGCAATGAAATGAATGCCATGGGGAATGAATGAAACCTGGAAACTCGGGAAGAGCAAAAAGTATTGCGTGACAGCTTTTTGACGTAGGAGTTAGATGAGATTCTCGACACCTGGGCATAGCGGTTTAAATAGGAATATATGCACACATATAGGCCAGCACTGTCAGGCAATCTCTGTAGTAGTTTTGTTATTTATGCATAGCTATGAAGCGCTAGATTCATTCTACGTCATGTTTCGCACCAAGGACAAGGTTCTTGTCGATGCATTGGTAGCCGATTCTGATCAACATCCCAGTCTTCATCGCCTCCACAGACTGCCTTCTGAAGTACTTTATCGTGTAGACCTCCAAGCTAGTGGATATGAAAAGATGTCCCATTCCAGCCTTATAAAAAACTTAAAAAGATACATCCAGCTTCCCCAGTGTTACCTATCTCCACTCCTAGTAAAATGTTATTGGTGTAAGAGGACGTTGGCGCAAAGACTTGCTTGTATTGGCATAGCAGTATCTACCCCCCGACAGCCAAGCATCTTTCAGGTTAATGATTGGCTTCCATTGCCCGTCGTATCTGCAGGCGGCGCGATCCATTGCCTAAAGAGATACGAGCGCCTTAGACGTCCCGTATATCTTGGCGTTTGGAACAGGCACTCCTCCAACTTTGAAATAACGGAACTTCTCATACAGCTTCTTTAGACTTATGTTCACACCTTATTCAAAGCGACAAAGGGTGATACAGCTCAAAAGACAGAAAATAAAAGATAGGGAGATTGGAGATATACCGTTACAACAAAGCTTACGTTGGTAATTGAAACTCGGGCCCAATTGGTAACCCCATAATCCCATCGCATAGCTGGTTTCAGTCCCCCGTGGCATCAGCACAGTCCTCCAACCCCGACCCGCCCATGGGGGCTCTAGATTCCGATATTGGGCATCTTTAACCAACAAGATCCTTTTAATCTTAACAGCGAGTCCATCTGTTAACCATCGCCATGGTCCGTAATGAGAGTCGCTCTAGCGCATGTATAACGTGCTTGATGCGAAAGAAAGGGGTATGTGTTGAATCTGTTGCAATATTTCTCCGGGGCCAAGTATTCCCACTTCTCGTGTGACCGAACTGATCAAAGTCAATCAGTGCGATCGGCAGAAGCCTTTTTGCGGACAATGCCGTAAAGCATGCATCCCCTGCCGGGGGTACTGCAGGCCTTATACATTCCGTAATCTCACCGCGAAAGATATACGCGGGTCAAATGTCCCGCGCGAGCCACGTATGGTGGATGGCGATCCCGCATCTGATATCGCCCTCCCGTGGCAACTGACGCGCTCCGCCTACGTTGTCAACATGCTAGATGGGTTCTGGCGAGCTTACCTGCCAGATGGGAAACGGCTAGATCCTGGGCTGGGACATCATTCAACTTGGGGAATGGTCAAATCCATGGAGCTCTTCCTGTCGCAGGGGGGCGTCGTAGGGAAAGCAGTAGCTGCTTTGTGCCTCGCCACTGTCGACTTGACAAATAACAACCAGTGGATGCGGCAGGATAGTCTTCGTTACTATAGTGAAGCTCTCCGCGATATGACTATTGCTCTCAGTCAGCCGAGGAGGGACTGCGGAATGGGCCTGGTCAGTGCCATAAGGATCTTCAGTATCTATGAGGTCAGAACCCCACATCGACCTAATCAACTTGCTCTTGACTGGCGACTTCTGATACGTACAAAGTCTTATTTCGTTGCTGTGAATCCAGAGCCGTCCTCAAAACAGTCCCTTGGTTGGATGACCCATATCACAGGCGAGATTTCTTTATTTCGTACTAACGACCCGAGTTACTATGCAACGGGCGCAGCCCACCGGTTGTTTGTCGATGATAGGCTATATATGGTACGTTATAAAGTGTTTCCCGGTGTGTATTTCAACACTGCGTGATTCCGTCGAACTGTATCCTGTGTGCTAACACGGCGGTTCATGCAGATCTCTATAGCTCTACACGAGCGAAAACCTTCGTTTCTACGAGACGAGGCATGGAAGACACTGCCGTGGAGCGTCGTTCCCAAGACACCGCGGGACCTTATTCTTGACATACTAGTCGAGGTGCCAACGGCTTTTGAAGCCGCTGACACGTACCAAACCATGGCTTCTCGTGAACCGATAACTGCCGAGGTACGTCGCCAAGAACTCGTGCAGTTCTGTCTAGGTCTGCACCTGCAGCTTGCCCGGTGGCACGCCGATCATCTCGCGGTCGTGCAGTGGGCGTCACAAGTCACGCCACTTTGGGATATGGACACCTCCACCCCGGCACCCAGCCAGCCTCACATCGCCATGCTGCATGTCATGACCTTGTACTGGGGAACATCCTCCCTGATCCACAGCATCTTGCGTGCCACCCTCAAGGACGATGAGCCACGGCCATGTAACATGAGTCCTGAAGTGTCCTGCAGCAAGATCATCGTCGCCCTCTCAAACTTGCTTCATCCCAACATCGGATTATTCCGCATCCACCTGGTTACAATTCCCCTGAGCATTGTGATGCTACAACTTCAAGACCCTTCCCTGCAACTTAATGCGCTATGCCACGAGAGGCGATTGCTAGCTCGTTGTTTAGCACACCCAGGGTGCTCAAGTATATCCAAATTTCTGAGCAAACTGGCTCATTTACTTCATTTTAATGTTCGCTTGCAGACTACCGACCTTTGGGCTAGCGAAGTGCCTCCCATTTCTTGATAGAGTTTAGCCCCACGGAATAAAAACATCACAACGCTCCTACCACTGGGCCTGAGGCGCTACCTTCTATGCCCCAAGGAGAGGGCTCGAGGCATAATCAATGTATTCAATTACCACATTCCAAACATACCCAGCCTATCTTGAGCTGAAGACCACGAAAGCTTCAGCGATCCGTAGTGAATTCAGCCGCCTTTGTTTATACCTTCTGCTCCTTCTCCTATGGGCGTGAAGAGCGTGGAGGAAACGAAAGTCATGCTTCAGTAGAGCTCTTCGCATACTCCTCAGGTACCCATTACGTTTTAGGACCGGCGATCTCTGTGCCAGAGAACGCTATGCTAGTTAAAGCAAAACTTTGCGCTGACGGCATCACGCCAATGAGGTTTAGCTCTCAGAAAAGTACATAGGCTAAAATGTAACATTGTATTTAATATTACAGGGTCGTTCGAACTATTTATGTCTCATCGTTAGTGACAGATTCCACGGTCAGCTCGTGACGCTGCATATCAACCATACCGACAGCCATATAGATCACCCACCCGTAGCCCCTTCTCCAAGCCTAACCAGTTTCACTTGCGATAAAATTTTATATACGCCCCTCTTAGCCCAACCACAGCCATGGTCTACACCATTTACGCAGGCTATGTCTTGCAGGCAAAGCGCGCGTTGACAACATTATCTGATATTCTCCGCAAAGCCGAAGAACAACCCAACGCTTCCATACTTCCATCCAGAGCCGACCGCACGAAGATACGAAATCTCTCATTTACCAAGTCTTCACGGCGACCATGCAAACGTTACTAGTCTTAGCAAGGCTAACAGACGTAACACCACCCGACGAAGATACGAGTAAAGATATTGTCTCCTCAATCGCCAAACTGCACATGCGAATTCAAAACGCCCTCGAAGCCCTTGACGCCGCTGACAAGGCTTATATCCTCGACTATTGTGAGGCTATCAGACCCAGCCCTTTGGGGCCCCACGAGCTTCCGCTATCCGGAATTACATACGCTTGCATTATGCAGGCTAATATCTTTTTCATGTTACCACTGCGTATAGTATTTTGTATAGGGAGAGAGGTTCCTCTCGGCAAAGCTGATTATCTCTTATCCTTTATTCCTGCAGAGTAATCGAAACGCCGATTGGAATACGACACGAATGATCGGGGACTATATTAGGTCTCAACATTTGGCTCATCTGTACTCACTGTATTTGCAGTGATAGTCAGCCACTCTGAAACACTTATTTCCCTGGGTTATAAATAACGCATGCTCACCCCTCCCCAAGGTCTACTGTTCGAGGCATAAAGATAAACGGCCTCTTGCGTACACCCAACTACATAAAGCCATTGCCGGCGTTTCTCTCCATTCCTCCTAGGCTTTCCCCTTACAGCAACTGTTTTTTTCTCTTTTCCGAAATTCCAATATATGAATTTAAGCTGAGCTATTCATGCTTATTTCCCCCTCTAGCCATAGGGTATCCTCAATTATTTTGCCAAGTTTATAGGCCTCTTGTCCTTTAGAATTGGGGTACAGTACCCCACCGAAACCAAGGCCTTGGGGACATCGACCCAGTTATCCTGGTCCTTCAGCACGATCTGCCAGTCTGCATCCAACATGATATTCTTGATAGTTTCTAAGCTAGGGAGCGTATACTCTACGAAGCAGTCAAAATCAGCGAAGTCCCAGCTCGGTCGAATCACCCCAATTTCTTGTTTCAAGACGCCATTTAGTGTAGATACATAATCAAGCATGTGCAAAGGAAATACAGGAGAATATTGGCTTGATGATACATGCTAACAGGTGCATATTCCCATGGTCTGAATCATTCTTTTCGTGTGGCCCCATGACCGAATCGGGCGTTGAATACTCGAGAGCCCTTATGGTTTTGATGCAGGGATCTGCTGTGTCATACAGTGAATCCCGCCTCCATTGACTGCGATCTCATTGAGATAGACCTGGACAACCTCTCGGTCAGGGAATAGGTTCTGGAGGATCTCCTTCGCCTTTGTGTCGGATTTATGGCTTCCAAATCGTGGAGCGATGACCCCCCCATTCAAAAGAAAGTAGTTGACATAGCTCAATACCATGTCTGTTTCAGGTGAGTCGATATCATTGGCATCCGCCTCGGGCAGCTCAGTAATCTCGAAGGCACGTCCTTTAGCATCAATAGCCTTGGACAATATACGCTTGGTATCATTGTAAACCGCGGTCCACACTTCATCGTCCGGACTGGGACGACTCAACACGATTTTTCCGGGCGCGGTGAAGCGGACTAGGGCATCGATATGAGCATCAGTCACATCCTCATTCTTCACGCCCGGTACCCAGATCACTTTGTCGATGCCCAAGACCCGATGAAGCTCCTCCTCGATAGCCTCGCGCGTCAAGTCCGGGTTCCGGTTTGGGTTGAGGATTGAGCTCTCCGTCGCCAACAGAGTTCCTTCACCATCAATTTCCAGAGACCCCCCTTCGACAACGATCGAGGTCTCCACGCGAGGAATATAGCTATCGTTGAGGATATGACCGGCCAATTGTGCATTGCTAGCTGATAGATACCGTTCTCCCCAGCCATTGAAGTTGAAATCGGCCCCATGGAGAGAGGAGTCAGACCCCTGGCTGAACACGAACGTCGGTGCCACATCACGCATCCAGGGCTCCAGGTCATTTGCTCCTATCGCCTTGATATCAACGCCATACTTGCCACAACCTTCGAGTCTGCGCCGCGCGTCAGAGACCTGCTCGCAACTAACCACCATGGTCACCGGCTCAAAGTCGCAGACGGCCTTGGCGATGGCGGACAGCTCAACCTTCATGCGCTCCAAGCTTTCAGCCTCCTGATAGTTGGGGTTGTTGTTCCCCGGCCAGGCCATGATCGTTCTCTCATGAACCAGGCCTTCATCGGGCATAAAGAACTCACTCTCGGCGGCCATTGTGGCAGTAATTCCACAGAAAACCTGCAAAAGCCAGGAGCGCATGATTGGTAAAGTAAAATGGAAAGCCGAGTATGTCCGTTAAGATAAATTGTAAAAGAAGAGAGTGTTGAATCTGGTGATCAGAATCAGATGAGGTGTTGCTGAAAAGAGTCAACCTACCGGGGATACAGGGCCATTTTATGCTCAGACTTTATTATTATCTTAATATATTCACATGTTCAACAGGCAGATCTCAATTTCCTTTAAGCGGAGAGGGTATCCAGTGGGAAAAATTATAACATGTTTGAACGGGGGAGGGAACGAGTAGAAATAATTATATATTATATATACTCTTCTTGCCGAGCTTAGAGACACAGTTGTAGGCCAAGATGCTCCACATAGCACAGCCCATCCATCTTAAACACGAGCCCGGTTCCTCGGTCCCATGCAGTATATTCATCGTCGCCATCTTCAGGCGTCAACAAATTTTTTGCTACCACTCAAGTTACGTAAATCGTCTTCCATAACGGGTTACTCATGGCATCGCACGTTCAATGAGAGTACCAGCATACTGTTCTACCTCTTACTGTTGGTATACTCTGATTAAAGGCCTTCATAATTCGCATTCTAATAATTATATCATCGAAAATAGCGTGTTTTTTGTTTTTCTGTTCTTCAATAGAGTTAGACACCCATTTTTGTTTGATAATTTGGATAGATATAGTACCACGCCTAACAAGCTGCATATAGGCCATTCCTCGCATATAGAATAGTCTAGGAGCGGGTCGATAATATAAGCAATAGTAACTGGGGCCAAAAAGCGATGACGTGTCGGCTCGCTTACAATCGCTTGCCGGTTACCTTAACATGTACCTTATCACCACAGTCAAGTATCAGGATAAAACTTGATCTATTCCTAAACTCCAGTAAATCATCATGTTCACCACCTTTGAAGGTTCAAGACCAGTACAATCCTCGCGAGGAAGACCCACCAAACGAGCTCAAGTCGCCCGAGCATGTAACTGGTGCCGAGTGCACCGCGTCAAATGCGATCGAAACGAGCGCTGTCAGAGTTGCCAGAATCGAGGTGGTGACTGTATTCGAAATGGTAGGACTGAACCATTGACTATTCCACGCGCAACGAGGTATGATGCATCAGATGGTCTGGCCCCTTGGGTGACTTGCCACTAACAAGAACAGGGAAATCGAACGGTTGACAAAGAGGGTCCAGGAACTGGAACAGCAGCTTCAAGATCAATTTAGACCATTGGGGAACCCAGCATCCCCAGGAAAACCTCCGTCGGTGCAATCTCTAGACCCCTTTCACGGCCATGGAAGGACCAAAATGCACTGGGAAGGCGTCCACACTAGAAGTGCCAAATCAGACCAAACACAGTATTATGGTCCCTCGTCATCGTTCTATTTCATCGCCCGTGTCAGCTCCTATCTCGGTACGGTGCTTGGTTTGCCGACCTCGGAGTATTACATGCAGCCAAATTCCGCCAGCAGGTCGTTCGCTAGTCCAACGAGTGCGAGTGTCAAAGTAAATCGCCAAGAACCGGACATAACGCTCGAGGAGCCGACGACAGGTGATTATCTAACTGAGATTCAAGAGGAATATTTTCTCGGTTTGTTCTGGCATTCGTATCACTGCATGTACCAGATTCTGGATGAGGCTGAGTTCAGGCAACATTATCGATCATTGTGGACGGAGTCAGGGGCAGCTCGCAAACCGTCTGCGTTGGTAGATATTGTACTGGCGCTGTGCATGCAGTACGGCGTCTCGGTTCTTTCCCGCAGCGGATCAGACTTCAAAACAGACGTGGACAGCACTGATGCCACCATCGCCGGGAGAGCTCTGTATCGCCGATCACAGTCGCTTCTGAACAACGAGCTGGAAAGTCCCTCCCTTGTCACCCTACAATGCCACATCTTCACCCTAATTTATCTTTGTAATGCATCGTTCCAGAACATGGCTCACAACCTCCTAGCCACTGCCGTGCGTACGGCCCATATCCTAGGTCTACATTTAGAGCCGCCAGAGGACCTACCTCTCGCACAGAGAGAGCTACGCCGGCGTATCTGGTGGACCCTATATTCCATTGAGGTCAAAACATGCATGAAGCTCGGTCGACCCTGGTCCATGCAAATGGAAGAAATTACCTGCGGCTTACCTAGTGACGACCGTCAGCTTGCGTTTGCATCGGGATCTAATTTTGCTTCATCCGGCAACACAACTTGGCTTACGTACAGCGTGCAGATGATTAAATTAGTCATGTCTGCCCGGGCTATCTATAGTGCCTTCTATGATCGCTGCGCTGATGTTCTCACTGCCACTGGCGGCAAGAGCTTGTATGCCAATCCGGCTTCTCTGGAGACTTGCGCCGACTTTCTTTTCTCGAGTATGGGCTGCTTGGAAAGTTGGTTAAGAGATTTACCTGAGGCGATGATGACCAAACGAAAAAACATGGGGCAGGCATTCTCCACCGATGCATCGGGTTTAGATATTGAACGCTTCGCCCCGGAGTGGCTGCAAAGACAAAGGGTCCTCCTGGAACTGCTATATCATAATCTGGTTATGAATATGACTCGGCCGTTTATTACCTTTCTGTCAAAGCCTCGATCTCCTACTCCAAAAGCAGATAAGTCTGCAGAAAGGAGTGTCAACCACGCCATGGCAATTACGTTAATTATGCATCAGATGCTTACCGAGACTAAGCTCCTGAACGGCTGGCATGAGGCCTTTCAGTGGCAGTGGAACGCGGCCTTAACAATGATCGGATTCATCATTGCCTATCCTACTTCTCCAACCACCGCCGAGGTACGGAAGGTGATTGACACCGCGACGGCAGTATTCGATATCATGGGGATGAGTTTCGCTACCGCAGCTAATGCAGCCAACGTGACAAGGGACGTCACTGCAAAGGCGGATTTTCTTGCTCGTCGAGCACAAAATATGCAGACAATGTCTCCGCTCCCGGATAAAGTCGACTTGAATATCGTCGACAGACAGTCTCACTCTCTATCCTTTGCCGATCTCGACCAGGAGCTTCCGGTAGGATTAGAAGATTCTATGGGCCTCGCCTTTACAGTAGACTCGTTCACTAGCTTTGAGCCGCTCTACGCAGGCAATCTTTTTGATATGTGGACAATGCCAGATTTCAATTCGGATAATCTATAACTGCTTAAAGCTACTGCGTTTAACCCTTCAGCCCTACTCCATGGTGATTACAGCCCGGAATCTCACTGTTCCTTTCTTCATTGCCTCTGTTATTGTTAACTGGGTCTTGGGTGAGAGATGAATGTTTCAACATACCATATGCCTCATTTGCCTGTTCCAGAGGGAACTTCTCAATCCAGCAGCTCACATCCTGCTGTTCCGTGAATACAATCGCCTCTTCTGTGTCCAGAGCATGACCAGCCGGCCATCCATGAACGGAAAGACCATGGGTAATCTACACCATTAGTCACATGCTGGATCACAACCGCACAGAAAACAGCAGAAAGCAGAACTCACCATCCTCCCTGACGATAGTGGAACATCCCCAGCAACTATACAGTCAGCCTCGAGCTACCCAACACCGATTGAAGAAAGCCTACCCGAAAGAACCAACAACTTCCCCAAAGCCTTCAATCCCATCATCAAGGACATCATGCTCTTCGCATCTGGTGCAGTCGCAACAACCAGCTCTACCCCTCCCAGTCCCTGTAACTGTTCCCCAACATCCCCCTCAGAAGCGGCAACAAACTCATGCGCCCCTAGCTTCCTCGCAAAAGCTTCCTTGTCCCGGTTCCTCGAAATAGCAATAACCCTCCACCCAAACCGATTCGCATATTGTATTGCTAGATGGCCTAGTCCACCAAGTCCCTGCACCGCGACGGTCGAACCAGGCGGGATCTTCATCTGCTTCATCCCGTTGTAGACTGTTACTCCGGCGCAGAGGATAGGTGCGTAATTTGCTGCGTCGACATTTTCTGGGACGCGGACTGCAGCTTCGGTGCGGAGGGTGGCGTATTCTGCGTCTGCAGCATTCTTCAGTTAATTCCCGTGTGTCCTGCATGGACGAGGTACGATTGGGGGGGGTGGGAATGGGGCCATACATCCTCCTTCTCGGCTTTCACCGTTGATTTCACGTGCATCGCACATTTGGAAGTTGCCTCTCCGACAGGTGCTACATGTTCCTGCCACGTATATATTAGCTTAACCTGCATATTTGGCCCTGAGGATGAAAAAGTGTGAGAGCCAACCATCATGCCCAGCATGCCATGCCCCACCGGCTCTATCACCTATTTTCCACTCTGTGACGCCTTCGCCGAAGGCGACGACTCGGCCGATGAATTCGTGGCCTGGGGTATTGGGACTGGTTTCTTTCTTAGTATTTCAAGCTCTATTTTGGAGCCTGGATAGGATGAATAGAGGAGGGGAGGGAGCAAGACATACAACCCCCGTCCTAACAACCCGCCATCTTGGAGGAATACATCCGAGTGGCACACTCCGCACGCCTCTACCTTTACCAGGATTTCTCCTTTGGGGGGAAGCGTCAATTCTTTCTCTTCGATGACTAGCGGTTTTCCAGCCTCTTTGAAGGTTGCGCGTCGGTAGGTTTTTGGAAGGGCCATGATTTGACTTGTTAAGTAGTTTTTATTTGTTCTGCCAGGTGGAGCCCCGCGGAGTGAATAGATTGGGACTGAAGGGAATGGAATGATTAATGCATTGGGGTGGATATAGTCGACTTTATAGATCTCGTTGCTGGCGGGTTTGGGGGCGGTTTGTATGATATCCGAAAGGAGTATCCGGAGTTGTGATCTTGGCAGTGGTGGTTTACATATAAGTCAACTCCGGCACTCCTTTGGGCAGTTAGGGTAGCTTCTCACGGAGGAGTTGGAGTGACTTGGCGGAAAATAAGCTTATTCGGCTATTCCTGCTCTTGTAGGTTAACCTCTGTCATGGTGTTGGGATATTTATGCCCGGTAGATACGTTTAAGCCAATGTGTGGCATATTGTAGTTTTCGTGAGGTATACAGTAGAGTATGTATCTCATCCGTGGGACGCACGATAAGGGAGCGATTTATTATATCCAGGGCTTTCTCATTTGTGGAGAATTGCAGCGTTCAAGAATTGCGGGAAAGCGGGATATCCGGTCAGATTTACAGAACACGTTATCAACTTTCCCGACGTGTTAGCTTCTCTCCCCAATAAATCGCCAACCGTACAGAAACCAAGGCCTAGATCAGAATAGTATCATGTCGAAACCGCTTTTCCATATTGTCGCCGAGCTAGACAAGCAAGTGCCCCTATCTTTCTGGGACCTACCTGACTATGCGTGCAAAATTAATAACACAGAGCAGCTTTCCCTACCGGGAAGATAACCCAGGCATTTACTACGCGACATTGAAAAACTATCACACATTCAAGATACAAGGTATCGATGGTGTGCTTGGATACATCCCAACGACGCTTGTACAAAGCATCTCCTGGCCAGAAGAATACTGGACTGTCGACACTGCCCAGAGGGAACTACGTATGACACCCAGAAGCAATACGCTGTCAAGCCGCAACAATATTATAGAAGATGCAATACGAAGGATAGCAGAACAAGGAAGTCCCGAGATTCTGAAAGGCTGGCGCAATGAACGGTTTCCTGTCTACGGGCCTGACGGGACGGTGGTCGTGGAGATTGAACGGTCGGCGAGTGCGCAGTTCGGAATTGTAACGAGCGGTGTTCAAATGCTATGCTTCGTAGAAGACGAAGGAGGCTCTATCCATCTCTGGATTGGTAAGCGTTCAGAGAAGAAGCAGACATATCCGGGTATGTTGGATTGTACGGCAGCGGGTGCCCTCAGTGTGGGAGAATCGCCGCGGAGCGCTATGGTTCTCGAGGCTACGGACGAGGCGTCACTCGACACGGAGATGATTGAAAAACACATGCGATCTGTCGGCCACATTTCATATTTCCATGTGAAGAGTTCGACCTCGACGGGAAACAAAACGCTATCCACTGCTTTGCTGCTTCCTGAAACCGAGTACCTATATGAGCTGAAGCTTGATCAGCATACTGTTCCTCGGCCGAAGGATTCCGAGGTTGAGGACTTCCGACTTTGGAGCGTGGACCAAGTGCTTGATGCACTGAAGAATGGAATGTTCAAACCGAATAGCGCGGTGGTGGTAATTGACTTTTTCATTCGACACGGCATCATCACACCGGAGACGGAAGCAAAATACCTTGAGATTATACAGAGATTACATCGACGACTCCCATTTCCCGTGGCACATAGAATTCCTAAAAATGTCGATTGAAGTCACTGCGGCCGCGAGGTGGAGATTAATAGCGGGTTGTACCCATGGTATTGGTAGAATTCATGCATTCCTTTTATGTTTACGCTATGTCCGGGAAAACTCGGGTAATATCCCATTGGTCTTAGGTGAAGTGACTTTTATGATCTAAAGAAAATAGATATACAATAATAATGTCAGCCATGATCATATTGTTGCCCTCAATGTCCACATTTGCCGAGCCCAACCCTTGGCCCCATCGCAGCGCCTTTGTAAGACGTTTGAGTGGGCTTTGGTCATATATCACGTCATTGCTGGTGAGCCTCGGCCACCAGGGACTGCCGGAGGATCCAAACGAATATCCATAGGCAGCGACTTTAGAGTCCCATCATTGCCCTGGCCACTGCAGGTAACTCCTATGTCTGAAGTGCACTTGGAGGCTGGATCTAGTTCATCATGGAAAATGCCCGTAACGGCACCATCACCATCAGTAAGAAGAGGGCAATACTCATATTTATAGTTAATATGGGTCGGCAGTTGAGGTCCGAAAGTATCGGTTCTTCCTAGGGAGATTCGCAGCTTGTCGGTGAGCCGTGGAAGCAGAACCAGGAATGATGGACTTACAACTAAGACGGGGCAGGAAGGTGGCCCACGGTAAATCTTCAATTTCTGGATCCAAGCACCCTAAATGTTTTCATGTCTATTGAAGTGGAAGTAAATCCAGTGATTATGGTACCTACTCATCTGTCAGTGCATTAAATCGACGAACCTCCTGAATGGTGTCGACGTATTTGAGAAGTTGTGAATCCCAGCAATCATACCATTGGTACAGCAAACGAGAACACGTCAAATACCGGCATCGAATTTGATATAGTTCTAGCATCGTCTATCTTGGAAGGTGTATAAATTCAACGGGTGGAATTTCGGCGGGAAAGGAGTGCTCCACGTCCTACGTGAAGAAGATGGACCATTTGAGACGAGCTGAATGCCTCTCACGAACAGACCCTGGTTGTGATAGTTGTTATGCACATATTTCTACAAATAAACATACATCGCAGCTGATATGGACCTCTGGCTGGGAATCTCTTACGTCGAGAATCTCGTACCATGGCGACGCATCCGACGTCGGATTTGCGTTAGTGTCCAGGAATTGTACTCCACGTAGGCCAATATCGTCGACCGATATAATAATTAGGCTAACCTTATTAGGAAGCTTTATATGGTGTTGATCGGAAGTGCTTGTTAGTTCGAGCGGCTTGTTGCTAAGCCTTGCCACGTAAGAGGAGCCGCAATGATTTATTCTGGATATCCAGAGTTCATCGGTTAAATTGAGCCGCGTGCACTGGGTTTCACGACTATTCCTCAATAATTCGACCAACGACGGTTCCCCAAGCATAGTCAAGTACCAGCACGGAGTAATAAGCTCAAAAAATATCATGCTACTCTCGACCGGAAGTGGCCCAAACAAGTCCTGGTGGAAGCTGTCTTGGATGATATTCGTGGTATAGGGCTGAAGAGCCCTTCCAAAGCTGACATGGTTTCTCCGCATCCCTCATACTACGATTTATAAAAAGGTCTAGTTGCATCAGAGAGCCTTCCCAAAATCTTCAAATGTGGGTTCGTGGATGGCTCATAGCTACTCTCTAGGACGTGTGGCACTCTACATGAAACCAGACTGATGGACGTAGGAAATGAAACAGCGTCTCCTCGTTCTTTCACACACAGTGGCTTTAAATAAATCTTGCTTTAAGTCTGCAAATTCCATTAGGCGGGCACAGGCTATGAGGTAAAAGAGGACGGACTTAGGGTATTTGATCCAGTCGTTGGAGGTTGTATGCATGAAGACAGTCCAATATGACTATCCTGAGCGCGGGATTTTGCTCAAGGAATCATCTAGGGAAATTGCCGCGATGTCACACAAAGCTTTGAAGGGTGACATTTGCTGCTTGAATGGTAACTAGCGCTTGATATACTATGATCAGAGGGACCCAAACTCTTTAAATAATCCAACTGTTGCAGCAAGGTTCCCATTTCTTTGGAGTTACATGGTACATTGCGATTTGCATATGCAGTACAATACATGACTACCCAAAAATGGTGTGTCAGGAATAACTGTGGCTAATTATACACTCCAAGGATAACTAACTAGCTTTTATCAACGACGATGGGATGTTTTAGAGCTTCTGTGTCGGTACTGTATTAGCCTGTCGTCTTCGCGCTATTGCTGCATCAGGATTTGGCCTGTCAAAGAGAACAGCGTCTTAACAAGTTAGATGACTAATAAAACAGACGGTCAACCTCGAATATTATACTCAATATAAAATTGTTGTTATATATGATCTATAGTGATGTTCAGTCCCTTAAAACCTCGCTTTTCCCCGTGACTGTCCAGAAAAATAACCTGACCGGCCTCGGAATGCCGTGTATGGGTCGGTTAGCATAAAGAATAACAAAAGAGTGTGATTGGTGTTTCAAGTATCAGTAGTAGCAATACTGAGCTACGCTATATAAGGGGCTCCAGTCCTACACTTTGGTGGGGCCATCATCGGGTTCAAATTGTGGTTATGGAAGGGAGTGGGTGGTTCTTAATACATGGAAATCCTCTGTGCAGTTAGACACCGGGTACTCTGGATACATTCTTTGACTATATTCCATGATAACTGGCTCACATTTTTCTAGCAAAAAAAAGAAAAAGAAAAGGTGTTTATGCCCAAAGAAATCTTCGAAGGAGCTATACAAGACATGCGACGCTATTTAAGCCAAGCACATATGATATCCTGAGCAGCCTTCCATAGCCACGCGCCATGCAATTTAGCCGAATGATCAAACCCGTGCTCACCATCCTTAACAACAAGCTTGAAGTTCAAATTACGATCAACCTGATCAATCTTTTCCTTCAACTTATAACTCCCCTCGACAGGAACAACGGAATCATCTCGCCCATGAAGCACCAAGACTCCACCCCTCGGAAATCTAGCACCCGCATCCAACCTTTCAAGGGGATGAAGCTCAAGAGCATCTCTGGGGAAAAATTGTCCTAAAAGCCCGTGCTGACAGACGGAGAACATCAATTTAGTTCGCCCCTCCTCTGCAGGTGCGGAAACTACAACCTTCTGTTGTGTCACCGCTTCTCTTTCCCGAGCCGCCTTAATATGGCGTGTTAGGAGGTCCCGCGGAAAGGTAGGCAAAGAGAGCACGACCTTCTCTGTCTGAGATGTAAAGTGCGGTGAGTTGGTGTCGACCAACGGGTAGACCGCATTAACGGCCCGAATTTCTTCAGGGTGGCTTAGACCCATTTGGATGCTGAGGTAGCCCCCGGCACTGTCTCCTGATGTCAGGATGCGGGTGAGGTCGGGTTGTATGGTTCCATTGGTATGTTGATATAGGAATTGAGCGAGAGACTCGTGCATCCACTTCCAATGGTCTTCGACGTCCCTTAGTATCTCAAAGGTGGTGGCCTCCGGGAGGAGTCGATAATTCGGGGACACGATGACAGCGGAGTACTCTTGTGCGAGTTCAAGATACCATGGGTTGAAGAAGGGTGCGAATAGACTATATCCAGCTATGAGGCCACCTCCATGGTACCGGAGAAGGATGGGGCAACGGATAGGCTGTGGCTTCTCGTGGGAGGGCTGTAATAGTGTCTTCAGGAAAAGAATATCTGTCGTGATTTCATGTCCGTGTATGGTTTTGTAGGTTGTGGTGAGGATCGTGAAGTCAGAGAAACGCGACATATCGCTAGGATCCCAGCCGGGTGCTTCCATTATCTCGACCTATATAGTGAGAGCCTACAAGGTCAATCGGTATACCCGGATCTTGTGAGCTTGGAGTTCTTACCTTCGGAATGTCAAAATATGTTCAATATAAAAAAGGAATCGATCTTCTCCTAGGGTTTAAAAGATTTTATCTATACCTCGCGTTCTAGACGACATAGGAAATTGAAGTGGGTCGATGCATCAGCGCCACTTTGTTCCAGATAACCAAAATTAGGCTCATTGACCCACTGGATTCAAGATGCTTCAGGATGATTATAAAATCCTGCCACGTTTCTGCCAATGCAGAGGAATAGCGTAGCTGACCTCGGACCAAAAGTCGCTGAATGCTTTCTTGTTGCACAATGCCGGACCAAACACGACTATCGTCACCCGAGATTCGTACAATAATTTTTTCCACCATAAATCCTGGTCTGAACCATGAAGTTCATCCGAATTTTCACCAGACCAAGGGAAAGCGAAATTCTATGGTCGTTTTAAAAGTCAGCCATGGTGGAATAAGACTCTCTCAGGGAAATTTCCCAAGAAATCTATGCACTGGAGCCAAGGTTGGCCGTGGGGGTATTTCATCTACCGGACAGCATACAGTTCCGACGAGGACTGGAACCAGGCCCTTGCCAAACTCAATCGCTATATTTACTGCACCATAAGATACAAGGATAATCCTGAACCAGCTGAGATTGTCTGGGAGGGCTATAAAAATGTTATCGTTGATGATAAAAAACTATTAGAGGGTGCTCCACCTACCAAAGTCCGGCAACTATTTCATGACTGGATAAAACATCATCTACAGCACAATCATTGCAGTATATCACGGTCAGCCTTTTGCTTGATGATTGATAATCATGCTCTTCAGTCTATATTAGCGAGTCCGGAGCCTTCTCTTGAAACTGGAAATTGGATTACTGAGAAAAATGGATACGTGGTCTTGATTGATCGCTACTTTCCTGATAGGGGGTTTAGACATGAGCCTTATAATGTGGATTGGGTTCGTTTAACAATTGATGGGATTTGGGCATTTTTATATTTTTGATACAGTGAAGTTTGAGTGTCGATATCCTGCTATTGGAAAGCCTGGTTTGATTCCATATTTTGATGGTGAGTGGAATTGGGTGGACGATGTGAATAGGCGGAAGGTGACAGATATTGATTCTTCAGGTGATGTGGAAGAGGAGGAGGACTATGATGACGTAGAAAGTGACTATGGTTACCATGATATTTATCAATATCTAAGGGAGGGGGCATATTTGAATCTGAACTTATTCAACGTGCAGTATGCTTGTTCTCTCTGACTTGTTTGTGGCCATAGCTCTGGCAGTTACGGCATCGCACTGGTCGCTGTATATAGCGATACTCGGTTGTAAATAGGATCTCTCCAGATATTTGTACAAACTTTTGAGAAAGTAGCCGGGTCATATCGCTTTCCTGAGAGAGGAAAGCTACCATTGATCCATATACCTTTAGTCTACTAAGCCAGTGGATTCTTCTTATTTCCGCATTATTTTCCTCTTTAAACGTATTGTAGAAGTTTCAATTCCCATTGTATGGATCTATCCATGAATCTTAATATAACGTTGGTATTGTTGCCCATTCCGCTGTGCTTACCTCTGTTGACACCTTTAGGGCTTCCTTAGGAAGAACAACAAGAGCGTTGTGGCCAAATGCAAAGTAAGAACCGATAGTTTATGATTGAACAAGCCATATTCTCGGTTAAGAGAACCACTACCAGAAAGACGAGGCTCAAAGTGGATGACTACCTATCTCTGCCACGCACTGGTCATTGCTATTCTTAGTGTGCATTCGTTTCACTGAAAGCAACAAGCTGATGTACAGCATATCAGGCATAATTCCTCGTAAAATGTGAGGTTGACTCCGTACCACCCTAGGAATGCATTGCTTTGCATCGGAATTAAGGTCGGCCATTGGAATTGGCGGCTCATAGCCCTGCATGCGCTACGGTAATTGGCACCTATTGATAGGTTCTGTATGTATCAGTGGGTAGCAAATATACAATGTACAGTAGTAGTAGTAGTAATAGTAGTAGTAGTAGTAGTAGTAGTAGTATTAACTCTGGTCAATGTAACAGTCAATCATGTATGTCTTTGATGACACCTTTTGCCGTTGTCATCTTCCGCCAACCGTACTGTATCCGAAGCGATCCAAGTACCGCTACACCAAATCCTTGCCTCCATCGAGCCAGTACATGCCTAATAGGATATGTCGGGATCTCTTTTAAATAAGAAGTCCGTGTCGTCCAACAACTTCCGACCTTTCAGAGCATTGGGAAGGAATTTCCCCCGCGTTGCCTCATCATCGTATTCACGGCCCGGATCAATGTCTCCCGCAAACTTCCAAATTTCTGAACTAACAGGAAGAAGACGGGCTGGAATTGGTGTATCAGCAGCTCCAGGCTCCTTGAGACAAGAGAATGCGTTATTCAGGCCCCGGTATGAACGAGTACTCTTTCTCGTCAGACACATCATAACGACAAGCTGTGCCAGGGATGCCTGTGCATCTTCTATGCCTACCTTCTCAAGCACTGAGTATACCGAAGTTGCATACGTTTGTAGGCTGTTATCAGCAAGCCCAATATCCTCCGATGTTGCTACAATAAGACGGCGCGCGATGAATAAAGGATTCTCGCCAGACTTGAGCATCCTTGCTAAGTAGTATAGTGCAGCGTCAGGATCACTGCCGCGCACTGACTTATGGAAGGCTGAAATGGTGTCATAATGTTGGTCACCTACGCGATCGTAGACGAGGTGCTTTGTCAGTGAATCCTTCAATCTATCTTTAGTCATCCCGTCTCGCTTGGAGAGGTTATGAGCTATCTCCAGAAGATTTAGCGATACTCTACAATCCCCATCGGCAAAACTTGCCAGGTATCCAATGAATTCATCCTCGAGTAGATGGGATTGCAACTCCTGTGACTCCATAATCCGATGAAGCATGTTCCGTATGTCTATGTCCGTTGGCTTGGCGAGGGTGAAGACTCTACACCTGTACACTAAGCCATGTCGTATTGCCAAAGATGGATTCTCCGTTGTAGCACCAATGAGAACAACCCGACAGTTTTTGACAGCGTCAAGAAGTATGTCTTGTTGTGGCTTAGTGATACGGTGTATCTCATCACAAAACACAATAGAAGGCTTTCGTTCTTTTATCAAATCCTGCGAAGCCTTCGTGATAGTATTCGCGTACTCAGTTTGTGTCGTCATCGTACTATCGATCTCATATATCCTCCTTTTCAACGTAGACGCAACAATGCGAGCAATTGTGGTTTTTCCGGTTCCAGAACTTCCCCAGAGTATCATGTTTGGAATGTTTCCCGTTTGGACTAGCTTGCGAATCGTTCCATTAGGCCCGACGAGGAGTTGCTGGCCGACAATATCGTCAAAGCATCTCGGGCGAACAGATTCCGCCAACGGAGTAATATCCGGCTTTCGTCGCTTCACCAAGGATTGAATGACTGCAGTCTTCGACGTATGGTTCTCTTGTGTACGGCACTGTTGTTCACTAGACGGTCGCTTCGCATTGTCTTTAATAGAGGATCGGATTGGTATATCCCGATGAGTTGAACTGGGTTCTCTGCCTTTGGCCACAGCATCGGTAGACCCAGTTTTGCAAGGAAGGCTGCCAGGTTCAGCCAGCTTATGACATCGCCTGTCATAAGGTCCAGGTTCGTGAAACGCTTTGCATTCAGAATCGATGTGCTGGTTGACCCTGGCTAGAAGAACAACCTTTTGGCATATCGGACATTCGACCATTGTTGAGGATACTTGGAAGCATGACTCTTGAACCCTTAAGTCAATTTCATTGTAAAAGTCTCCCTACTTATCAGTACACCCTATAATCAACGGACCCACCTGCTCGCTTTCTGGCCGAATATGGAAGGTCAAGTGGGCCCCAACGAGCGGGGATCAACGCTAAGTACTACTTGACCAAGGGTAGCCATAAGTAGGATCTGTATAGCACGCACTGTAAGAATCGCGAATGCCTATAGCTGGGAAATGACAATCCTCATGAGTCATACCACATATTGAATAAGAAACAAACCAGGAATGGGAAGATCTAGACACTTGCTTAATAAAGCTAAGACGAAAAGGGTGAAAGTATTTCAGTGGTTACTTGAATAATGTGTGTTAGTGTAGTCTGTTGCTTCGAAATATAGATCTTAAAATAACTGATGGCTGCCTTACGACCATGTAATCATATTACGCTTGTGCGGCCTCTATAAAATCTGTGTAGGATTGACTCTTTTATATTAATGCTCTAACTATACATTACTAATGTTTTAGTATGCACTCCTTCTCACCCCTTCTAAAACCCATCATTAAGTAATATGCAAACGATGTCCAAGTAAAAATACATCATGTACAGCAACATTTACTTTCCTGCCACGGGAATAGGGGCATAGTATCCGAATCTGTCGTTGGGATCATACTTCCTCTTCAGCTCAGACAGTTTGCTTTGTCTCCACGGCTCATAACCGTACATGGTCTCCAGGGGCTCATCACCAGCAGCGTAGTTCACGTACACGTGCTTCTCCTCCTCGCCGCTTCCCTCGTAGAAGATATCGCGGATCCGGTTACCGAAAGCCTCTGCCATACCCCTGTCCGCCGCATTCTCGAAGATAATAACGGGTGAAATGAGAAGAGTGTCATCACGGTGTGGGTATGCAGTGGAGGCTTCGTCAACCGCCTTGACAGCTTGCGAAGAGTATCCCTCGAGCATGATGGAGGAGTGTTCGAGGGCCGGGTGCGCAAGGGTTTCCTCGGCATAAACCTCAAATGCGGCACGTTGGGCCTCCAGGTTGTAGCTCTTCAGGTTGATGGGGAAGCGCGCGATGTAGCCGGCGCCCTTGCCGCAGGCCCGAGATCCAATGTTGAACTCAGTCCACTTGGAGATGTCCACGTATGGCCCGGAATGGGTATCAACCTTAACGGGACCAAGGATGTCAAATGGTCCTGCAACATCTTCAGTCATGGCTGCGACGCCCTCCTGCAGGACGAAGATGTCGATGATAGGCTATAAATTGTTAGAGTTATCAAGGGGCGCGATGTTAGTCACGGTGACTTACGTTGACAGGGTCCACGGTAGGCTCGCGGGAGATGGTAGCCCAGTATACCACATCAACGCGCTGGTTACCATCATCTCCGAGGACATTGAGGTACTCGAAGAGAGCTTCCAATTTGTCCTGAGTGTAGGTGTAGCGCTTGAAGGACCAGATTCCATCACCCGGAATGTCGTAGATCTTCGAGGTGACGGAGGTCACAATACCAAAGTTGTGGCCGGCGCCCTGTAGGGCCCAAAACAGCTCGGACTCAGGCCCGTAAGGCGTTACAATGCGGAGTTCTCCATCAGCAGTCACAACTTCCAGAGAGACAAAGTTATCGGAGATAAGGCCGTGACGCCCTTGCAGGTAGCCGTGGCCTCCGCCGAGAGCGGGTCCGAGGAAACCCGTGCAGTCACACACACCAGTAACTATGAAGCTCATTAGCAAATGCAGGTGATGAGATAATATATCTCTATGTGGAACTCACCGGTCTGTTTACCGGCCGCCCATAAGGCCTCAATGACCTCATGAGAAAGGATACCACCACCGAAGGTAGCGCTATCGCCTACATCCGAAATGGCAACGGAGTTGAGCTTGTGTAACCAAATCTCAATGCCGTGGTGAACATTTTCCAAGGTTTCAATGTTGCCATGGCCGCCGTTGATGGCAATGAAAGGAACATGGTGTTCGTTCGCATATTTCACCTAGGCCATCAATCAGTTTACAGACCGATCATCACCCAAGAAGCTCGGAAAATCTCACAGTCTCAGCAACATCCCACTGGTTCGCAACCTCAACAACAACACTAATATTCGGCTTGCCCCACTGGGACCACCGTGCAGTTGCATTGGTGAACAATTCATTCCCGGGGAAGTAAATGCTCGCGCCTTTCGACAGCCTCTTCCCCAGCTCCCAGCCGACAGTTGCATCACTGCCCAGATGGCTAGCGTCAGGCCAAAGAGCGTGACATTCCCTCAGAAGTGTCGCACAAAGAAGGCTAGACGCCCAACCCTTTAGTGAATTCACAATCATATTGATATTATTTGTCGAAACGCGTGTCGTTGTCGTGTCGTGATATGGGATTTCCCTTGCTCAGATAAAACTCAGAATTTGCCAGTGAAACGCGACTTCTTTATAATCCAGGGCGGTGGTTATGGAATGTAGACCCAGTTACAATGTTTCCTGCATGCGGATAGGTCTATCCTGAGTGCAAAAATATGCCCCCCCCCTTGCTTCCTCTATCGTGTATTATCACACATGGCGATGCACACCTGGTGATCTACTGCTAGCTGATTTCGGTAAATGCTAGCCCAGATGTGGCATCTGGCGAAATCTCAACACGGGCTTTACACCCATGAGGGCTGCTTGTTCAGTTATCAGCATTTAGAAAATTCCCTTGTTCTGTTTCTCTCTGGTCTTCGGAAAACCTACAATGATTGAAGTCATGGTTGATTCCAATGGAATGCTGCCTCAACAAGAACAAAGCCAATAACAAAGCAACTTCACACTATTCCATGAAGTCAATTAGAGAATGTATTGGAGATTCCTAATTAGAATAGTCTCTCACGGACCACAATTACAGCTCACCGAGAGGGTTGCAGCCCCGGCCCCTTCGGCATTCCTGGCATAATCGGGAAGGCTGGGGTTCCCCGGATTCATCAAAGCCGTACATTCCTGCACAAGGGCGGTGGGCACTATCCATCTAATGACATAGCATCACCACTGTCGACTATGATCAGCATCTTGGGGTGGCTGCTATCAGCACAACGAAGCCGTGCTCAGAAAAATAAAACCTGGCTGGCTGGAGGTATTCTATTGAAAGCAAGTTTTGAAGGCGATGTACAGTAGTAACCAAAGGGTTTCGAGAATAGAAAATGCATGTAAGAATGGTACTTCTATGCATGGGGAATATCCACAAGAATATGTGTTATCATATTTCTGGGTTTGTTATGGGGGAGAACTGGTGATATCTTTTAAACAGCTTGATGCATGCCTGAGGCACTAATTAGTGGCTCCAGTTTCGCTGAATAACATGCTTTCATGTCATCTGTGTGACAATTACCGTACCTGATCACCTGACGACCGATTGTCTATATACACTGGCTTTTTCGATGTAGTGTTAGATCATCATGTCTCATTCAAAATGAGCTCTATCGAGGCGGCGCTTGTAGAAATAGAATCCTTAAAGCCAGGAGAATCGATCAATTTTACTAAAATTGCTCAGGCTCATGGTGTAAGCCGAACAACTCTGTCGAGACATTACCGTGGCGTACAAGGCACAAAATATAGTCAGTATGAAAAGTAATGTATTCTCAGTAACCAGCAAGCTAAGGAGCTTATTAAATATATAGATAAGCTTACTGAGCGTTGCTTATATTCTACACATGAGATGCTTCGAAATTTTGCTGGGGAAAATGCTGGAACTAAGCCAGGAAAACACTGGCCAAGCCGTTTTATAAAGACATATCAAGATGCTCTTTTATCTCTCTATACTACTGGTATTGATTCTGCACGCCACAGAGCTGATTCTGTATTTAAATATGGTTTGTACTTTGAGCTTCTGGCTAGAAAGATGCAAGAATATGAGATACAGCCAGAGAATATGTATAATATAGATGAGAAAAGATTCCTTATCAGGGTGCTTTCTAAAGGCAAAAGGATTTTTTCTAAGTAATGGTATGAGAAAGATGGCCTCAAGCAACGCTTACAAGATGGTAACTGGGAGCGGATTACTATAATTACCTGTATCTGCGCGGACAGAAGCTCGCTATCTCCTGGCTTAATATATCAAGCAGTTTCTGGCAAGTTGCAGGATTCCTGGCTTTAAGATTTTAAAGCTACGGATTATCAGTGTTTTCTTTGTCTCTTCTTTATTGGTCCAGCCAATCACCCCGTTTATGAGTCTCGTTTGCTACAACAGTATCGCGAAGCAAAGAGACTGATATCCCACAAGCTGCAATGCATGTCTTTTTTTCCATTGTCATGTAGAATTACAGGCATTCACCTAGAAATAAAGATAAAGAGAACGTAATTATTACACTATAGTTTATTTGTTAAATTCATCCCATCATTATATTTTATTTTACACTAAGGGGATGGAAAAAAACAAAATTCATGGTATGCCGAAAAAATAAGATTCGAGGGACAGGCCAGGATTGAACTGGCGACCTAAAGATAGCTTGCAATGAAGAAGCCGGAACCGGCAAATTGCAATCTTCCACTCTATCCACTGAGCTACTGCCCCATTAGTTGTGATTTTATTGCTCATTAATGTTCTATCATAGAGGGGTAAGATAGCGATATGTTATGCCCTACTCTTCTTGGAGCTGGGTCAATACTGAAAAACTGTTAATCCCATAGATAATTTATATGCTATCGAATTAAACAGTTATTTACACCAGAAAAGACAATGACCACATTCTCTCGGGCGTATGTTTATAGCAGCATACATGTCGCTAACGTACGCGTGTCTCACCGCTTTTCTTCGTCTTAGCTAAATATACGGACAATCTAGTGCCCCATTGATAGTCAAGCATGATTAATGCAAGCCGCTGAGAGTAAAGGGTATCGCTCTAGGTCCGACTTGATGGGTTTGCCTCACTCTAGGAGAAAGGTACGTTGATTTAGTATTTCTCGGCTTTGTACGAACTTCGAGCGAAGATACGTAGCGGTGCGACAGAAGTTCTATTAGAATTACAAATTATACACATTAACAAAAAATACATATATGTGCTAAGAACGCCATCCAAATACAATATACATGATATACATCAATGATTTCAACGGTACAGGCGCACCGGATTTGGAGCATTCACTTCCTGCGATGTAAAAGTGCAGTGGGCATACTTGATCGAAGAATCAGGCCCAGCTCCAAAGTAAGCCGTTGACCCACTTGGATCCTGCTCATCTAGTCTATGGCCTACAACCTCTCCCCACATTACCGGTTTCAAAGCTGCATCGTGGTCGTCCGGCGGAGGATGACAGGCAGCGCTGATGGCGGCGCTACAATGCGTGGCTAGTGGCATGCGGGATTTCAGCCGACGACAACTCAAGCCTAAGAGGGCGATTATAGCTACCCCGGAGACGAGAAGGCCGCAAAAAATGGCAATGGGGGAATAGCCGCACCCGCGGGTTGATTTGGACGGGTCCGGCTGGTCGCGGACGTCATAGGCTTGGATGTTAACGAAAAAGATGCTCTGGGAGAGGAGCCAGTGCATTATTACCGAGAATAGGAGGAGAGGGGCGCCGTAGCGGTATGGAAGGCTGAGGTAATATGTTGAGCGTTGTTGACCTTTGGGCCAGGAGACCCGTAGAGGTTTCCGCTGTGTGGCATAGTCGTCGTATTCGGCGGCGATCAGCATGCAGGTCATGAGGCTGTTGCAAAGGAAGTAAAGGATGGAAAGAATCATCTGGGGGGTGTTGGTTAGCAGCACTAGCGAGATCACGGTGTTCGAAATATTGCGGTCTTGAATCATGGTCTGCGCCGTGGCTTTTCCGAATCCGATATCCCACGCTCGAGGGATAGAACCATATATGTTGCTACCTGCAATCGACAAACAGAAGAGAAAGATGGAGGTCGCCACGCAGCAAAGAAGGCTAACCAAGCGACTGGTCAGACGGTAGGCCATAGTGATAGGGTGAAATTGCAGACTTACAAACCAAGTGTAGCTGTCCAGCGCCAGACACTAGCAGCCTGAAACCATCGCTTCCTTTCTGGGAGCATCGTCGGGTAATCCCTTGAAAGACTATCCGATCCTTGAGGAACGTCAACTAGGGGAGTACCCGCTACACTCACCGCGGAACGGTGCAAATGGTACCCTTTAAATCGACCAAGGTTTGACAAGAGAGTAACCGCAGCCCAGGATTGTGGGCCATGAGTGACGTCTGCTCGCGACATCAGACACCGGCCTTCTGTATTCGGGTCTGGGTGCGTCAGAAATGAGGAGATCGCATCACCGACGGTCAAGAGAATATCCTTCCGACTGGACCTTGCTGTAAGATACATGCAAACCACCTTAATCACATTGGAAACGATCACCGCAATAGCGATAGGCGGACTGTAAAACAACTGGCATCGTTGTTCCTTGTCCTTGCTCATACATCCGGAGATAGGAACCCGTGTAAGGCTGGTTACATTGGCTATATACAGAGTAGAAGGAAACACCGGGCGGTTGCCCTGCTCAAATGTGATGTTACCAGCCCAAGAACTCGCCCAGTGGGATGGAGTCTTCAGATATGTTGCCAGGGCCTGACCGTCGGGGTTGTAGGCGGTTAGATACTCGTAGAGCTCGCCCAGGTCATGGGCTATGTCCTCGTCGACATCTTTTGCCTTGTCATACACGTGGACGGTAGTATTGAGGGTGAAATAGGAAACGTTAAGTGCCGAAGAAACATTCGTCATGGACGTAGGAAATGGCATGGTGAAGTTCCAAGGATGATACGCCCAATGGAGGCCATGTACGGTCAGATTGCCGCTGTTCATTATTTGATGGACGACTGACTCTCCCTCGTACTGTTCTAGGGAATCAAAATAATCGTATAGTAGGGGTACCGAGAATAATGAATCGCCAATCACGCCAAACAGACTGCTTGTATTACGCAAGTACTGCCTATCCGCAGTAAATAGAAGAGTGCCCAGGTGAGTATTGTATTCTATATTATACTTGTTTAGACAGTCTTGGATGGTCATATTGTTGTATGTGCCGTTGAATATTTCGGCCCGAACATCCATGGGACTCATGCCAACAGTAGCCGTGAAGGAGTCTGAGGCACTTTCATCCGCGACCAATGGCTCACTAGCTGTCAAGTCGTCAGGGACCACAACCGTCGCGTATTCCAGCGTGGAGATTGAGGAGAACACCACCGAGTTGTATCTATGCCCATGGTTAACAACACATAACCCGTTCAGGGATTCAGGGACCTTGCTACTTACATCATATGGATCGGGGTAGAGCTTAACAGTAGAAGAACCCATAGTATCTTTCGTCTGGTGTCCATTATAGCAAAATTACGCACGCTAAAGGTGCCAACATCCAGCCATTTCCGTTTTTTATGAGCCTGGTTGATGTCCGAACGCGACGGCGCGCCTAGACACTGCATGACATAGTTGCTGGTTGCCAGTAGGAGAGTGCTGAGCACGTTGATGAGCAGATGCAGTCCTGTGGCCCAGCGACTCGAGACAGAACAGTTTCCATCGTACAGTGTGATTGCCTGAAACTGTCGCCTGTTTAATGGCTTCGAATAGCTGATCCCTGTTGCAACGATTGCCATGATGAAGTTAAGGGCGAGAATTATACCTGCGCCCCGTGTACAGAGCAATGCACCACGGATCCATTCTTTGCCTTCCTCATGAGTCTCATCTGGGCCGCTCGGTGATGATAAAGATGTGGTCGAGACAGTTCTCAAATGATTGGTGACCTCCTGTTTATCATCCCCCTCCGATATGCCCTTAGATAGACTGGAATATTTTGGTGAGAGTCGCCATGATGGAAGGATGGCCCAAGGGTCTACGCCAACTTCCTTATTTTCGGCCGCCATCGATTCATAACTGGCCTTGGGACTTGGAGGACAGAAGTCAGCAGTAATTCGGCCGCACCTGATTGTACGGGACCTTTGTTATCCTGAAAGTATCGAGTTTTTCTAATGTCGCAGGTGAACTAGAGATGGTTGTCAAAATGTCAGAAAATGGAGAAGGCTGGAAGTGCGGGTTTTGATGAATTTTGATCCACTTTCTTCTTTCCCTCTTTAGCTCTTTAGCGTCTTTTACTTGAAATCCTGCTTTATTGTTGGTAGGAGTCTGAAACTAATAACGCGGCGCCTTTTTTAGCTCCTAAAACAACTTCGTCTGCTCTGTACTCAACCTTTGGACGGTCGCATAGCACCCGAGACCTTTCTACTACAAAGATTAAAAAAGAAATTAAGAGAGAAAATCTTAAAGGTGGGCAAGAACAGTATGCATACCGACCATTTATAAACTCTGAGACTCCACGACTGCTGAAGATAATTTGTATGAGTCAAGATCCATGATTAGAACACTTATTCCGCTGGCTTTAACGACTGATGAGAATGGAAAATGCTTCACCATCCTACAATCTAATAGACGAGACTCTTGTCTCCTTGTTGCTCCAGAGTCTAGGCTATATCCTTGGGTGGGATGACGCGAGGATCGCAGAAACTTCCGAGGTCCGTGCATGCGTTTAATGAGGATAACCCATATCCCATTTTCTCATTGGTAGCGTGATGATTAGTCTACCTAGCCTGCAGCTGAAGAGGGACGACAGCATATCGGCACGGCTTGGTCCAACTGCCATGATCTTCTCACACTGACAAGGAGTAAGTATAAACCGATTCAATGCGGAAGCACACAGAACCCTGGCAGCCACTTTGACAGGGCCCTTTGGATCATCTATGTTCAGCTGAGGATAAAACTTGGGGCTGTGGTTTGCTGGAATCTTGATTATACCTCCACCTGCTTCGTCCCATCTCTTCTTACCAATGCTGCCATATCGCCAATAACAGTACGGGAGGTTAGATACTGTCCGACTTGAGTCACTCTTTGCCAAGTTTGCGAAATCTTCAGAGCCCATAATACCAGGTAAAGGGTACTGGAAATCGTCACCTAATATCCCCGTAATACGCTAGCGAGGTCTTCGGCAATATCGGCTTAGTTGTCTGCGAGTGCGCAATAGAAGAGGTCCTCAAATTATGGATTCGGCCCGCACTCATCGTCCTGGCCGCTAGGGGAAGGAGGGCATATATCACGGTCATCGGGGAGAATGGAAGCATTCACTTCGTGCTGTACGATGTTCCCGATATGCTTCTCCATAATGGCTGCCACCTCGTGTGAGCCAGGCCGTGTTCGGTATTATATTGGGTACAGTTCCTGCATGCAGCTCACCTACTGTGAGCACGGCAGTATCCCGGGGTGATACAACCCGGGAGACAACGGTTTGCAGCCTGGACACCATGTTGGCGGCCATGATAATAGGATCAACGGCGGTTTCTGGTCTAGAGGCATGTCCACCCTTCCGCCACATCGCTAGCGACCTTCCACCCATCTGTTCTGGCGTACACTACCCCCCTTAAGAGACAAATACAACCAGGTGGCTCTGGAGTAACGTGCCCACCAAAGATATAATTCGGCCCTTTGTCGCATATTAGCTTCACCTTTGGATAGCGGACACTAGGTTCAACTAGGCTCACAAAGGGATCTTTTCCCGTCTACTTTCAACCTCTGATACAATTATCATCTATCATCGCTTGCGCATCTTTACCCTGTTCTTCGGGGGGACTGAAAGCACGCTATTAATATGCCATTCCAGGAAACCTTGGCCTGAACCAACGCCCTCACAGCCGCCAGAAGAGCAGTTGTATGCAGATCATGACCACATGCGTGCATAACACCGTTATTCCTGGACTTATACGGCAATCTAGAGGCAAGTTAGTCATGCAGCAGGATTCCCAGATCTGGGCCCAGATGATAACTCACTCTGTCTCTTTCTGAACTGGCAGAGCATCCATATCCGCCCGAAGTAAAAGGACGAGTGGGTCACCATCTAAATCTTTAGATACATTACTGAGTACGCCCACCGTAATGGGTCCGCTTTCCTCTTTCCCAATATCCCCGAAGATAACGATATCGCTCTCTATTTTGCCAAGGAATGTTTCGGCCTTCCCGGCAGTAAATCCTTCATCAAATGATCTCCCAGGGTTTTCGTGCAGCTGCTTGTAGAGATCGTAAAAGAAAGCCATTGGTTCTGGTCCCAGCCATTGATTGTACCGTTGAGAATGGTCTGGATTCTTTCATTCCTGGAAACCTAGTATCTCGGGTGCTGCGGCTGGTGTCGAAGCCTGGGGGGTTCTACTCGCGGCTGCTCCTTGTCGGACGAGGGCGGCGTCTTATTTCTGTTATCGAAAGGAAGGGAAAACATGTTTAGTTGCCGGTTTGTTTCGCTACATAATGTGCATGGATGCTTATCATATACTGGAAAATGATAAAAGATGTCGAATGGTTGCAATTCGCTCACTGCAACGGTTACCTACCACGATGCCGACATAGACATACAGAGTACGACAACTTGGAAGTGCCGATCGTTTTCCAACAATGCGTCTGTTCCTGCACACCAATAATGCTCATATTTGTTGCCAGAGTTATATCATGTTCATCACAAGCGAAAACTGATCGGTGAACCGCGGTACAAAAGCCGATATTGTAACATGCGCATTTCTCCGGTAGACTCAATGCATACGAGAACAAATTTTGACAAAGTATTCTTGACAGATACGTTGCATATGGTATTCACCTGCACTACGGGGGCCATCGCTAACTATACAAGCAACCATGGACATGAGGTCTGGTGATATCGATACTCGGCTTCTTTCCTCGATGAGGGAGTATTTGAAGAGTAAGATGCGGTTCACGGGCCTGAGGTCCCGATTATGCCGGACACTTTTGTCACAGAGAATGTCACAGACCAGAAAAACGGTCTCAGCAAATACCTGCAGCATGCTTGGGCCGAGTTTGTGAAAACCCCACACAATTGACCCGGATGACCGCGGATAGGTAGGAGCGATGGCTGTGAACTGGCTGATATTGATAGTAATGGTAGCTCTGGTGCGGATATAATCCCTTTTTGGGAAGCAGACCATGATGTGTGGCACTCTGCTTGGTTTTGCCAAAGCCTTGGGGTTTGCATTGTAATGGATGTGCTCTGACAAACTGGCATTGACACCGACACCCCTCCTTGAGGCTGACCTGGTCTGGTCACGTAGTAGTACTGCCATATATCCTATTGGAGATAAACTATGATGAGTAAGGAGCGAAACACATACGAGGTGGAACAGAAGCCGTTTTACGTAGCTATTCAAGTCACGTAGAGATTCACATAGTTGATTTACATACCGGACTTGTCAGAATCTCAATAGCAAGTGATACGGAAAGAGAAAAGAGGTTGTAGACGTATTGGTAATATTATAAAAGATTAAAGTGAACGAATAACCGCTATAGTGGAATCTCAAGTTCTACCTAAGTCATGTGACTCACTATCAAAAGCGGACATTGAAGTAATACCACTGCCATTCTATCTGTGTGAATCTTCCACTTCAATTGGCCCATTGAGCTGCGATTTCGCAAGACGCCATTGCACGATGTTCTGAGTACGTAGTTCTCTTCCATGGCATAACCGATACTAGAGAAGTTTGCGGGCGTCACTACCACTCTTTGTGATCACGTTCGGCATCCGTAGCCCTCGTTCACGAAGGAAATCTGGCTTCCCCGGAGCATCAAAATAGACTAATCGTTGTTCCCAGAGATTGTTCAAATGTACATGCTCCTAATGATCCCATTTCGGTGGCTAGAATCTCAAAAACAGGTCGAAACTCCTCCTGACGGAAATGAATCTCTTCCAACACCAAGTGCTTTACCTGTTGATGGTGCTGTAGGAAAGATACCCAAGAGCAGCTTGGAATGTGTAGATACCTTTCAAACAACAGCGCTGCAGAGAGATGAATAAACATGTCTCTGCAACCCGAGCGAAAGAAGACCGCTCTTCCTCTTGAGATTCCGTTAATTACGTAACTGGCGTCTACCAGTGGAGCTCGAGATCGTCGGATGTTGGGAAATAGGACAGAAATTGACAATAGACTGAGCATTATTTTTGCCTGCTGTCAGTGATTGCATGTCTTGGCTTCTCTGTATTTGCGTCCCTCGATGGGATAAACTTAGTGATAGCTTTCTGACTCCCTTGAGAGACAAGGACAGGTTATCAACTTCTTGTAGCGTTCTTGCGATATAACTGCACGCCATGCTGCAGGGAGCGCCATTTCCGAAGGCATCCAATGCGTTGATGGGCAACCGGCTTGATTTGAGTGCTAGTGTCGTGTTTCCAAACAGATTGTCCACGGCCATCCATGTGTCTGCGGACCAGAACCCATACTGAACTTTAGTGTCAATCGTCAAAGACAATGAAAGCAAATAGCCTCGGGGTGAATTGAGCTGGATGTTGCTCAAGGCCTCTTCCAGGAGCGAATTGGGTTGATGTACCTGCTGATCTTCAGATATCTGTTAATTGTCGGATACTAGATTGTCGATCAGAGTGAGATGTTGAAGGGAGCATCCAAATTGATCTCCCTGGGTAACCTTGACGAATCTTCTCGGCTGGTCCTCATCGCTTAACTTGACCATCTGGGTGTAGTAGTTGGCCCGAAAGACGCCACCGGAGGACTTGATCGCAATGTCACGCCCCGCGAGTCGAAGGTTGCAAGCGGCCTTGATGCAAGGCGAGATGCTATGAGCTCTACCAACTCCTCCGGCAGACTGTCAAGAGTCGGGGGAGCAATTCTGGATATTACTCAGAAAAAAAGAGTGCATCCAGAGTGACCTATATTTACCGAGAGACAACGAAGATGTACACAAAGGAGCCGATAGAACAGGGCGAACAATAGCTGACCGAACAATAAGGTGTAGGACAAACACACTGGACAATGAAGAGATAATGGCGTGGTAAACTCCCCGGAGATAGATCATCGCTGCCATCATGTTTCTGAAAAACCAGAGAATTCAAACAGATCGAACATAATCGTCAAACACCCGCTTTTGAAAGCTCGTCCCATAGCCGTGTTCTATTACATGAATGTGCCGCTCTATTAACGCTGGTATAGTATAAGCCAAGTATCATTGCACTTTTGCTGCAGGATATTATAGAAAACACCAATTTCATGTACAACCAGATCACCGATAATCAGCGTTTCTTCAACTCTTTGATTTGAGGTTCCAGAATGCGTTGACAGCCGAAATGGCGCACAGCACCGCTGAGTAGACATTAGTACAACAGGAATAAAATAGAGGAAAGGAACGGCGAACCTATAGTGCAGTTCATTTCATAGTAGCCGACCTGTTCCGTTAGGTATCCGGACAATATAGGGCCGATGAATGCTCCTAATGTCCAGCTCATGCTCGAAACAGACAGCGCTCTCGAATACCCGCCATTAGGGCCAAAAATACCAGGATGACGGGCTTCAATCTCATCGACCGTCACTGAAGCAAGGGGAGAGAAAGTTAGTGAATACGAGTCAAGTCTATTAAGGCAAACCTAATTTACCTGTAGCTTCAATAGTCCCTGCGCCATTGAGGAAGCACGAAAATGTCCCCACCGCAGTTACAGCGGCCGCATAAATGATCCCTCCTCTGTTGTCGCGATTCGCCCAGGGAAACCGATCGTCGCCAGGCATACCCAAAACCCACATTATCGGCGTCAAGAGGGCGAAACCCGCGACGGTTGGCCACCGCGTGCCATAGCGATCCTTCAACCAACCACAAAGTGGACTCATGATAATCCCGGGACCTTGCAGAGCAGCAAATAATATGCCTGACATCATACTCCCCCAATTGAATGCGTCTCGAACATGAAGGGGGATCGTGGTGTCGAAGCTGGAAATCAATATAGCGAAGACAAAATAACTCATAGCACCGCATACGAATTGGCGATGCCGAAAAAGATACATGTAGAAGTGCCATCCGGTCTTTTCCTCAACCGCACTATCATTGCTCGGCAAGAGGGGATCGTTCTCGGGATCATGGAATCCGGGGCGCGGTGTACCTAGTAGTCACCCAGGTTAGATTTTGCATATACTGATTCGACCGGTGAGTCCACTCACCCGGATGGCTCTTCGGTTTCTCTATCATCAATACCCGGAGAATAATGTCCAAAACGAGAATAGCAAAAGCGCTTGACCATGCGAGCCAATATCCACCCATCTCGAATAGTATACCAGCAGCCATAGGTCCCGCCGACGTGCCCGCAGCGACGACAAGGGAGATCACCCCGTAGGTCTTTCCGAGGTTCTCCTGTTTAACATTATCCGCGATTGTTGCGTATCCTACTGTCCAGATAAACGAGCTTGCAATTGATTGTATTGCGCGACCGAAGAACAGGGTGAAAGCTATCATTATAACGGTTAGAAATCACTTTGCGACGATAAGGGTCTGGTGTTCAACATTCGGCTTGAAAGGGCTGCACATACTCGTCGTCGCTACAGCGAGAACAATAGTAGACACAAGCGCCGTAGCTAATGATCCTAAGAGCAGGGTCTTCTTCGAAGACATCTTATCCGCATAGTGGCCGATGAATGGACTGGATATGAGGGATGCGACCGCACTTTCCGCCAGTAATATGAAACTCATCCGCTGCGTTAGGGACACATCGAGGCCGAGGCGAGATTCGAGAATGTAAGGAAGAATCGGCACAATGAAAGCGTAAAGGAAGACATCTAGCGATAAAGACTTGGGTAAGTAGGCCTGATTTGAGCTATGCGAACGCGCAGGGTGGCAAAAGGTGATCAATACCAGAGAATAAGGCCATCGCCATCGCACTGACGATGAATAAAGACGAAGACCGCCATTTTTGGCCCCAACCAGCCCACTGAGAGGTGGTGGACTGCATGGTACAATCTCAACTACAGAAAAAGTCGTAGAGAAGAACCACGAACAGTCAGCGATAGAGGAGAAAAAAAGGCATGCGGAGGCGTATAAATTCTTTTATCGGGGGAAGCGCCAAACATTTCCCATTAGTCAACTCCGAGACCCACATGCTTCCTTCAAGAGCTATCCATAAGGGATGATGAATACGTCTTCAGCTGAAACCAGTTGCGGTGAAAGAGGGCCGGCATTGTGATATCAATGACGATGCACTTCCGACCATGTGTGAGATTTGCATGCTGCATGCAGCTATGTTTTAATCCGCGCAAGGGATTGGTGAGTTCGCTGGCATGTTCCTAGTGTCATTGACCCAATGCGGATGTAAAAGAGGCCTGTGAGTCGGCGGATCGTCCGGATCGACCGCATTCTTCGTCTCCTCCCCGTCATTCCCAAAGTTTAACCCCGTCGAGAACCCCCACTGGTTGAACATTATTCCAAATTCATACTCTACTTCGGAGTATTGCGTTAAGTTTTATCCATCTTCTGTTCAAGGACCAAAAGGGAAATGTACTTGATGAGAGAGACGAACACCTTGATCGTTCCTCTCGAGGATCCTTAAATTGCTGTACCACATAAGGCGCCTAGGGCTTGGAATGTCACGATACAGGGTTGGGATGGCCATCCCTACCAAGAGGTTTCACTCGAGATATCTTATACTCCTGAACAGGTGGCCATAACTTTTCTGTCCCCTTTTCTTTTTCTTCGTTTCGGGGGGAAAGGGGAATTATCTTTCTCACCCTGGACTTGGACCGTAAGAATCTTTACCCCGCAGGCAGTATGCGCCCTTCCGGTTATATGTCAGCAACCAATATGCAATATGATGCACTCGCCACTTGGATTAAAACAGGGGTGGATATCTCACCAAGATAGACTTACTTCAATCAATATATATTTTGTTTTGTCAGCTCAATCCTCGCAAAGGTCAAAGATTCCAGGACAGCCATCCTTCTGCTAGGTCATGTATGAGCACAGAATACCCTGAACGCACGTCACCGTCCACTTCGCATACAGTGTACCCTTCACTAAGCTTTCCCTGTCCTCTGTGATCGGCATCCTGTGCTGTATATCGTGCATGTTTGTTGCTAGAACATTGTTACAGTCGGTTTAGAGAAAGAAAAGTAAGCGACAGATTCCAAGCACCTTGATCGTACTTCTGCAATGCCCCACTGTTCCGTATTTCCGAGTACTCCAGGCCGTACTCACGCCATTTTTCTTGTCAATAAAATACTACCCTATTGAATGGCCTCAGAACTTTACGGAAATTAACGCAAGGGCAAACACTTGACAACGTAAATGAATCTGCGCCGATCGAGATACTAGGAACAAAAGGAAAGGCTTCATGCTACGCTGGCGGTTTTTTATATATTGACGGAAATACGGCACAAGGGGCATTGTGTCAATCCCCGAAGTTTAGTGCATGGGGTAATATAAGACCCGTACAACCAGACTCTAGGAAGAAGCACTTGTGTGGGATCTTAAGTTATTGTTTAAGATACTCTCTCATTCTTTTTAAACCATTTCCACTCCGTATTGCGATAAACATATCCACACACACACCCATTCTTTCGTTCAACGTTGGAAAAGCCCACGAATATCTGACGTCGACCGTGCCGTAAGCCATAATGACCAGCGGAAATAACGATGTCAAGAGGATCACGGTTCTCGGCGCAACAGGAAACCAAGGCGGCGGCGTTGTACGCGCCCTTCTGGCGAAGACCAATCCATCCTTCCATGTTCGCGCGATCACACGCGATGTTTTTTCTCCTGCGGCCCGGCAGCTTCGAGCCAAATATCAAGATAACGATCGGCTCGAACTAGTCGCTGCTAATGTCTACGACAAAGGAAGCCTGATCAAGGCGTTTAGCGACACGTATGGGTTGTTTGCAGTGACGAATAACCGGATTCCCGGGCAAAAGATTGAAACCGAGCAGGACATGGACCACGAACTGTTGGCTGGGAGGAATATTATCGATGCGGCAAAGGTAGGTTTACTCGCTAGACTCCTTTGTATAGTTGAAAGCCAAGCTTCGCAGGCAGGATGCCAGAAGGAAGGGAGAACTTAAGCTAAATCCTGCGATGAATGCAAAGTCTTGTCATGCGCAGCATGTCATCTTGAGCAGTTTGCCCAACATAACAGAAGCCAGCAAAGGCCGCTATACGAAAGTCTTCCACTTTGACAATAAATCCCAGATCGAGAAATGGGCAAGGAATGAGCTTCCTGCTATGACGGCTTTGTATCCTGGTACGCGGGCAGAAATACTTCTTCAATAAAATATAAATGCTTACTTTACTAGGTTTATTTTACACAAATTTGCAATGGCCCCAGTATTGTCAGCGACAAGGTTAGCTCGACAGCTCTCTTAACTGAGAATTATATTCCGTTTGACACACGGCTAATGGGATTTTTGCTTTAGCAGATGGCACCGTCCGGTTTTGCGCGCCTGTAGATGGGAACAAACAGGCTGATTGGGTTGATCCAAGTTACGACATTGGCGTATACGCTGCAGGTGGGAAGGTCTTATCATTGGTATTAGAGCATTTCGCTAAATGTAAACACAGAGATATTTACCTTAGGCCCCCAAAAAACAGCATCGAAGGCATACCCCGTCGTTGGTCCAAAACTTTCATTTGCCGACTTTGCGAAAATATTTAAAGAAATCGTTCCGCTAAACACCACCTTCGATCCAATAACAATTGGTCAATGGGGGGCAACTGTCGCGGCGACTGTTGGCAAGGGATATGAAGAGGACATAAAACAAATGATGGAATGGATTGCTATAGCCCCAGATGACAAGATCTGCTACGGGACTATGCGTCCACAGGATGATAGATCATACGAAGATCTCGGCGTTAAAGCTAGTACATTCGGGGATTGGGTGAGGAGGTCCGCGTGGAAAGGCCCTTAATCCGTTATTTGTCCACAATATCTAAGATAATGCTATCTGGTCATGTCCACGCCAAACCTAGGCGATGAATCCATCTCAGTGTGCCACTGCATTTTAGCTCCAAATAAACTCTTGTTGTTGAATCACAGGAACAGGTAGCCTTGAATGGCTCCTAAATCTCCGGTCCTTTTATCTTGATCTACCGGTGACAAATACACGGCTGCTTGGTTCCTTAATTGGTTGGGGGTTTCTGTCCCCTTGCAAATGTGAATTTCAATAAACCCTACTTTAATCCACAGATTCCTTGGGCAAGAACAAGATTGAAGTCCCAACAGATTGTACGCAGCGCTGTGGCGCCGGTAACCAGCAATAGTGCCTTGATGCCAGCTTACCTAGTTTTACGTGGCTGGATAAAAGGGGCATTGCTTTGGTCGAGACCGGGCCTTTTTTTCTACAGCTCCTCCCCTCTACTATAGTTGCTTCCAATTATGCCAACGGAAGCGCCACATAATGCAACACGACAAATCCGAACCGGTGACCAATGGCTGTAGAGCCATCTCCAAGGCATAATAGTATCATGCACGTCTCACTTGTAGCACAAACAAAGGCAGCCGATTGCAGATCGGTAGCTGAACAAGCTCCCCATTTGTTCTGTTCTGTTCCGAGAAACATTAAGGCGGGGTGGTAAATCATATAGGGTCATCAACCGGTCGATGCATGCGATCAATCTGGCAAGCCCTTTCCAGTACATAAAAGCAAAAAAGTCCCCTATTGATATATCGACCTTTTCTTGGCAAGCGAACGGTAAAGGCGAAAGCACAAATAATTGCCAGAAAGAATATATATACAACCAATAACTAATTAGTTGGCTTGTAAGACGGATTTTCTTTGCAAGGTGATGATGTGTACCTGATCCTAAACATACATCGGCTCTGGATAGCTGAACAATTACGCCCTACATGTACGAAGCACATAATAAGCGATCAAAATGACACGACAAAAGGTCTTGAGACAGGTTTGATGGGTTTTGGAATACGTTGTTTTTTAAAACTCTTCGCACCGGTACTAAAGAGCCAAACCGTCCGCATACTACAACCAGCTAAGAAATACAAATTCTGTGCAAAGAGCGGGATATACAGCCTACTAGGAAGTGGAATGAAAAGATATGCCTCATTTCTATCGTCCTTCTGGGTGAGGGAGAACCCGACCAATCATACCGGAGTTGTCGATGATGTTTCAGTTCTTCCACAGCCTATCTCATCTTTACTATTCGTCCAGGAAGAGGCATCGACCAAATTACTTTGAGGGACCTGTGGTTGTAAGGACCAGATTTGTTAGGAGCAAGGATATGGCACCTCGTAATTTCTAGCTCCAAACAACGATGGTTTACCGGGCGCAAAGGGAATCTGGGAGGATGAGTACAACAAGGTAAAAAAGTCGATTCTATGAAAGACATATTGAATGATAATGTCAAAATGGCGAGATCGATGGTCAGATCTGACCATGCTAGTGACGGCTTGTCCCTTCCTCACTTCTAAGCAGTTTTTCATTACTTGTTGACGCTGACTAGTATTCGAAAGCATGACAGGAAAACTTGGCCATGTAGACAAAAGGACTCTAAAAGATTTGATTGAAAAACTAGTAAGGAAAGGCGATAAGGGCTATAATGCATCGACAACGGAAAATCTGCTGGGAGGTATCGAGCAGTCTATCACAAACAGTAAAGATACTATCAGTGCAGCCTTCAACTTGTCTGTACGCCTCTATTGCATGGCTAGGAGTCTGCTTCGTCCTCTTACTCGTGATTATATCATAATGCTGGAATGCTCAAAGTGTCGGATCGGGATCACGAAGGTATCAAGCAATATCGAGCAACAGGCTACCAAGCGTTCTGGATTCAAAAATTGATACTGTGATTGCCTTGGTATACCAATCTGATCGATCTTCTCCGCTCTGATGCCTGGGATAACACCGGGGAATTCACACAGTACTAGGGCTTTTTCAAGGACGGAGTTTCGAAGCTTAATCAGTTTTAGAATACCTAGTCCTGAATTGGTCGAAGCTATTGAATCATCCTACAAAATTTGGCAAGGACAGTCATCCCCCTTGGCCACCCTGATCGAGCCATGATCATTCATCAACGAGAAATATGTGGTTTGCATAGACCGCAAGTTTTTAACAAAATAGGAAACTGCAATCAAACAGTGGAGGATACTTAGGAGGTGGTCGATCTGGCGGCTATTTATCGGCATCAAACCCAGGGAGATGCCTTGGCCGGTTTTCTCTCACGACCTGGTGTCGCGAATTATACGAGTTGGGAAACGATCCGAAATATCTCGACGAGGCAATTGATACAGCTAGAAAAGGGCTTGAGGCGGCACCACATACACATTCTAATCGATGTCATCTCTCGCAACTCCTCACCTCCCACCTATACCGGCGATATCAATGCGACAGAACCAAAAGAACCTTAAAAGGGGCAATTCACTCCGTTGAAAGCATCCCTGAGGACTCAACGGAAGACTACATAGTAGTCGATATTTCTACGGCTATTGACACAAAGACCTGCGCGAGGAATTGGGTGCGTATCGAGAGAGCCCGCCGAAGGCCTGGACGCTGTCTCACAGATACTCATCGCACCGCATTGGCCGCTCCCGCTCTCAGATACAAGGTCAAGGGCAGATCGGAAATTGTGCTCGTTGTGATTGAGAGGGCCTTATCATACTTGGAGGCGACTTTAGGAAAGACTACAGTCTTTTGGTTTATATGACTTTATATGACTTTATATGACATGGTGACAGCAATGATATCACAGATATGCAGCTGAAAACATAAGTACTCATAACACCTTTCGATTCCGCCTCAAAATGCGGAAGGAAGGAAGTCAGTTATATCATCCCATTGCTATTCTGTATCTAGCCGGTGATAGCTTACAGAGCCTGAACATAATTTGGGAGGGAATTCATAAGACTAGTAGTAAGGGCACTGTCGACTCCAGCAGCTTGAATCCACTCAAGCACAAGCTCAAGGTTTTGATTGCATTCATTTGGCAACATATCTCCTTTGGTGAGGCCGAAAGCAGTGCTGTTCACCATGACGATTTTATTTTCCTTTCTTGAGCAACCATAGGTACGCAATATCAATAGATCGGCTCCTTCCTGTTCCCGAGAGAATCAGATCCCTATAAGCTTTCCCTATGTTCACAAGAAGAAATATGTGAGCCTCCGTGGTTGATCTAGACTACAAAGGACAATAGTCGGGAGATAGAGGACAACACTACATACCATGATCGCCTAACCTAACCTCTGCTTCATGAAGAGCCTTTCGCCAGGCTTCGGTTCTCGCTACAGCAGGATTTGTCATGGCGGGCGATGAAGTCGAGGGAAAGTCTGCAAATCTACCATCCACCGTCGTTGGAATAGGGACCGGCTGCTTTCCCCAATGTCTCAAGTCTCCGTTCAATGTATTAAGGAGATTTTGCATATATGTCACAATCTTGCTCCGGAGGTCTCTAACGTCCGGCTTCCGGTATTCTCCAGGAGATCTAGTCCAGACGCTCGGCAAGATATTTGAACCGGTCGGCCTGATGATACGTTGATGCTGGGCGTTTTCTTTGAGAAGTTGGGCGTAAAGCTTCCACTTCTTGTCCTTGTATTGCAAGCACACGGTCAGCAAGAGCTGATTTGGATCTACCTCAAGGCCGCCGATATAATCGGTCAAATCAGCAGCCATCACAACTCTGTCAAAGAATGCCGAGCTCATTGGTCGGGAATCATGGTAGACGCGGTAATGGGTGCTGTTATAGTCCGTCACTATAAAGGAGCATCCAGCAAGCTCTGCGGTAAACAGAAAGTCGCCCTCCGTTGCAGTCTTTGGTATGTCAATATAAACAGGACTATCTCCTTGCGTTGAGATTTGCTTGTAGCCGACGAAGTAGGAATGCACAATATAGTTGCCCGCGGAGGGCGCGGTGTGAACCTCATATATTTTGTTGGCTATTTTGACAAGCTTGGCGTAACCAGAAATTGGGGGGATGGCCGTGGACATGAGCTTGTGCGATCCAACTGCATTCTGTTTTAGAAATGCTTCTGCATTGCTCTTAAGTTGCTCAATATCTGGGCTTGGACTGTGACGTTGACTTTTGTTAGCATTCCCATAAATTTGTCAAGTTTCTAGTGTATCATGTACTTCATCTTCGGTGGTAATTTCGGTTGCGAGTTTAACTGATATAAAGCTGTCGCACAGTGCTATTGTCCGATTTAGTGGTTGCCTAATAGCAAGAAACAAGACCTGGATGATGCAGAGAAGACGGGTATTCCGAATGCCCTCATTTTATACCTTTGGGTCTAAGTTGCAACCCTACATCATCCGGATTTTCATGAACAAGGCCCCCGCTATGACCTCAATATGACACGTAACCACATATTATCCTCGCCTGGGAGGACACAGTAATGGTCGTGGCTGAGATCAGATTACATTGTTAGCCTATCAAAACCTGAAGTGAGCAAAAGCACGAAAGTATCATCCACCCGCCATTTTCCCAAGCGAGTCCGAAAATATAGAGTCAATCATGGCCAGCTGAAAGCCTAGCCGAGTCACAACATACCCCGCAGCCGTGGCTAGCTGACGCTCGAAATTGACCTGTAACTGGTAGCTCCTATTACATGAGATCTGCAGCTCCATAAGGCACCCATGCTAGTTGCCTGTCACATATGCAAATCAAACGACAGGATTGGTGCACAGTGCAATTCTTCAGCTCCCATGGGAAGCATAGCGGACCGAACCTATTCTTTACTATTCGTTGTCAACCTGCAGGGTGATCTACGGCCCCGCATACTAGACGGGAAAATCGGTCATTACGAGAAAACGTAGCCGCTACTAGGTCTGAGTGTCGTTACTGGATCAATAATACGTCTGATTTCTTAGACTTCGGATCGCTGCGAACGGTTCGCATGCTGTGTATATTTCGCGTACAGGCAAGGTGGCTATCGTTGTAAGAGCAAGCCATATGTACTGGTATAACTAATTGTCAAAATTAATAAGGCGAGAGACTCAGAAGAGACTTATCCCTTCTGGTATTTTCTGCGGGCTTTATGGGAGAAAAAAGCGCATTTACATACAAGTAGGGTCATCTGAAAGAGGTGGACATGTTCGCTTAAGGGATATATTAAGGCACTATGTGGTGATTATTTTCATTCCAATGATGATTCTTATCCCTACAGCTATCCTACCACTAACACCTAAACACTTGTCGGCCGGATCATCCTTCTGGCCGGCCCAGTCAGGACCGCCAGCCGGAATCCCCAGCCAACAGGATATACATTTACCTAGTCTTAGAGAGTAGATAGAAAAAGCATATCTGAGGAATTCTCTGCTTTTCCCACTGGACCAAAAACAAACGCTGGCTGGCTGAAGGTCTGACCTTGCAACCTCAATATATTCAACAGTATCACATAGCACAGCTCCTTTACTCTGAGGACCACAGGGTTTCCAGGCGTCCTGTGTCAGGTGGCGACGCGTATTTAGAGGATGTTTCACATTACCGAAAAATATATTGCTTTCAAAGAAAGATTGGTTCTTCCTGAGACTCCCTAGAGCCTCCGTGGGCAATGCTCGCTACCGTAGTCCTTCCTCCATTATTGCAGTACAACAGTGGAAGATACAGAAAACCCAGATAACGCTAGTCTCTCATGTATGCGGAAGGCATACATAGGTGGTGCCTTATTGAGGCTTGTAGGCGTTTCGGTGTTACGTGTTTGATGCTCGTGCATGGTGATTGCTGGGCTACTTCTGGCGGCATTGCCTCGCGCTCCGCGCTCACTTGACCGAGAACATTGAAGCTCTGTGTTCTTCCGAAGGCCAGGAGAAGCGAGTAAACCAAGGCTGATAGACCTTCTAAGGGTTAGGTTCGAATGACGCAACAGTAGTGGTTATTGCACGATCCACATTCAGCTGGGCGGCATTACCTCGCCCCAAAGTCTATGAAATCCAGCCGAGCACGCAAAATCTACCCAAGCAAAAGACCTGAGTATACTCGAAAACTGTGTCACACTCTGAATATGCAAGTCGCGACAAAAGCCTTCTGTTAGTTGAACCAGTAGTTGACGCTGCGTCATGCCCTCTGCCCCAATGGCAGCTACCGTTATGCACCACAGTAGCAGCGCATTACAAACATTTTGACTAGCTTGGTGGAGTCTCTGAGTAAGCTGTGGGACAATGGTGGCTCGGAGCATAGCAGACTTGGGAGCCGGGAAAGTGACATGGAGCGCATACAAAAAGGCGGAGAGTCTGCAGGCGTAGTAGATCTCCAGGGACTGGGAATTGTCACCCAATGCGCTGGCGTGACTGGATTCTCTAATAATACACTCAGCCCGATCGTGCTCATCTGGCAAGCCGAATAACTTATGATGCACTTGATTTCGAATATCTGCGATTAGGTCCATGGTAGATACATCGAGGTCTCGATTGCAATACAATTGGACAACTTCTGAGAATTCTCCGAGATGAATGAATACGCCTACAATTTCTTCTTTGACGGGAGGCGTGAGCGATAGCAGATCCTGAAAGCCTGACATGGGTGGTTTCGATGAGACTTGAAAAACCCCTAATGCTGATGGAGGGTTGTATACACGTCCTTGGACATCTACCAGTGGGTATTTTGGTTTCGTCAATGAATGCGCCGCAAACATCAGATCCGCACTACATATCGTGAGATTGCCAGTTAGCAAGGAAAAAGGGATTTAACCTTCGCAGCAAGAGGGGCTAATAGGAGGACCTATATTGAAAGCAGCCAGCCCAGCCCATAGAGACTAATGGAGTGGATCCCTCCAAGCCGACCTAGAAGGGTCTGGATGAAGCCCCAGTGCGTACTATGATACTCCCGACTACCGTAGAAAGATAGATATTGCAAGTCCACGAAAGGAGGAGTGAAGGGACTCGTGTCTCGGGCTACTTTCTCCTTCACGCAGTCATTAACGGCAAGGTATAGGATGCACATTATAACGCCATCCCTCCGCTCTTCATTTTCATAATCGGCCACGTCGCTATATAGAGTCCTCAGTACAAGACCTTTATAGTACAGTTGCTCTTTAGTTTCTAGGACTGGGTCTGAGGAACCGTAGCTGATCCGCAGTATATCCCTATGGTAGGAAGCAGCCCACAAAGTGCTATAGATCAATAACTTGTTCTGGGAGGATTGCAACATCCATGCTTGATAACAATTTCCGGCATAGTCAGACTGTCGGAATGCCGGCCAGATGCAGGTCACAGCTACGAGCCGGTCAGCAGGGATAATGTGAAACCGGCGAGTAGTGTAGCACGCAGGATTTGAGGGTCATAAGCCACTAACCGAAATGCACTAGGCTGTCGACTTGAGCTCCCAGGCTCGCATCTAGTGGGGAAAATGGATCCATTCTTCCATTCACGGCTGACAGGGAGGGAGGGGGATCTCTTCTCTCTTGGTTGGTCCTCAGATCTTCCAGCGAACCCAGCCCACTGCAAGTTCCACAAATAGTAGCTCTATCGCTGGCGACTAGAAATGCTGGACTATTCTTGCGGCTCATTTGAGTTTGGCTGGTACCAACGTCCTGGGATTCTCTACGACATGAACAAAACGCCTTCAATGCGTTATTATTCGGTTGCCCCTGCAGATTCCTGCGTTGTATCAGCCTCTCGCGCTTGGCGGCCTCTTCACGGCGGAAATTGTCTTGCTTCTCCGTTATGCGTCGTTTTATTAGAGCCGACCTTATATTGCGAGACTTTGCGTCCGACCCACTTCCCAACGCAGGGCCATTCACAAAGACGAAATCTTGTTGCTCGGGGCTCATCTTGGTCGCTACTACCTAGGTCCGCTAATGTCATGTGCTGATCTCCAGCGTGTATCTGCAAACCCTCGGTACCAACTTAGCAACCAATCTGGATGGTGGTGAGATGACAGGTTGCCCTAGCTTCAAATCCAGACCAGCTTGGTCCAATAGGGATCCAGCAACACGCTTCCAGTTTGGGACTGGCCGAGACAAAGCTCGGATTTACGGATTAACGGAATTATCAAATTCATGAATACGAGTTCTAGTCATTGCCCCGATATTTTTCCGATCTATTTGCTGCCAGCTCTCGGCAGATGCTGCATAATTAAGCAGTAATGATTCCCGAAGCTTGACAAATGGTGGAGATGCCAATATAAGCTAAACTAAGTCTCCCTGTATATTAGTTAAAGGGAACTGCCATCAAACGGGAACTATCTTTCTAAGGCTCGTTTCTTTCTTTCACGAAATCGTTGTCATCTCAGCATATTAATGTGATTTAAGGACTCTCAGAACGGTCTTTCAAGCAGACAGAATGCGTTGATTCTGCTCCTCTCTCTTCGAAAAGTGCTACCAGCGTCTGCATCACCACCGAACGTCTTAGACTCTGTACGTCTATCTGCGAACAAGAGCCGGATGGTGACGACGACGAAGAACAACTCGCAGCCGGGGATGTTATCCGATGATCTGCGGTCCGTCCATCTTGTTGCGCCATCTCCGACATTACACGCAGGACATCCTTCCACCGTTTTCGCAATATCTCCACCTCATTCTTCAATCGCTCGTTTTCCCCCTCAAGCCTGTTATTCTCGGTCCTTAGCAAGTGGAACAAGTCCGACAAGCGTTTGTTTTCTGTACGAAGCACGTCCATCTTGACTTGAGTTTGTACTCGTTCCTGTTCCCTCCGTTCTCGGAATCGACGCTGGGCTTCACGGTTTTGGGACTGTCGTCGATTGACACCCTAGGAGATCGGAGTTAGCTTTCTGCTACAAGCGAGAGTTGAAATGAATCGTGACTTTTTCAGCACTCCGCTACTAACATTCGATGATCTATACCCGTTGTGGTCGAGATGTTGAGAGTCAGCCCCTACAGAGCACACAACTGCGGAGTCTATTGGATTCATCGTGATGCAGGCCGTTGCGGCTGGCGGGGAAAGGTTTGAATGTGCAGAAATGGGTAATGAATGCAGGAGGGAGGGCGTGTGGCCGGTGACGGATAGGGTTGGGATAAAGCGGATATCGTCTGTCAGCATGGCTTGTGGGTGGTAATTGGCCTCGCGGTTGTCTTGATGGTGATGTTGCATGGTCTCATCCCATTGCAGTACCCCAATATCCGTGTCATATTCGGTGTCTGTTGTCTCTCTCGGGCGCAGATTCATCGATGAGCCTGTCGAAGCATCCATGGTGACAAAGGAACTGAATCTCACGATAAACAACAAGTAATCAGACAAATAAGTCACCGAGATCCCCCGCGCCACTCGGGGAAGCTTCTTGTTAAATACGCCATGTGAAAAACTCTCCACGGTCACGATGGCGAGATTTAAAAGACCCCCCAAAGGTGCGTCAAGCTATCACCACAGCCGGCTTCTCGTCTTGACCACCTTGATTGGCAGACTGATGAGATGAACGACGGCCCGACTCATGGGCTAGCCCTAATCTGGGAGTGACTTGCTGGGTTCTGATTCGACCAGAATTGGGCTAGATCAGATAAGGAGATAGCTGTGATTAAGTTAGCCCTAAAATTAGAGGATGACTCCACTCGCTTGTCTCTGAATAATTTTCTGGTTCTGACAGATATCAAATCTCCAATTTCGATGGGCGGAGAGGCCCACCCACCTACCCATCACTTTTCCCAAGGGACCATTTTCCCGGAACGGAAGTACCAGACACCCTGGCCTATATCTTGCCCTTCTATTAGTGCGGCCCCGGGCCACCGGTGCTTCACGACCAAGTGGATGGGTTTTATCGTCCACTCACCAACATATCGCCAAGCCTATGGCAAGGTTTGCACATGCAGTAAGCAATATCCGAGTTCAGTGTTGGTAATTTAAACGAGCAGTATCACGTAGAGTTTTGGGATTTTATGCCCTCAACACGACATGCGGTAAGACGCACGTGGTCCATGTCGACCCACTCAGCCTGGTATATGAGTTTGTACCACTCTCTTGAGGAAGAAAACATTATGACACTTGCCATGCGAACTTAAAACCCTGACTAAGCACTAAGTCTCGCGTGGGTGCCCGAGTAAATAAGCTCTCCCAACGATAAAGTTGGAAGGTCAAGCCAAAGTAAAAAGGCCTCGAAGTAGCGCATTTTCGAGCCATGGGGAAATGAAAATCAAAAAACGGCCCCCACCTGCGGCCCCCGGGTTCCTGTCATTCGGAAACCTCCCGACGACTCGCTTGAATTTGCAATTTCGAGCGATAGTGCTGCGCGGAACTGTGGACTGACACTAGTTTTAGATCCTTCGGTCCCCAGATGCATGGTTGGATCCAAGATAGAGGTATTATTGCTCTCCTCCAGCTTGTGCTCGAGCTACAGCCCCTGCCAGTTTAGAGTATGCTAGAGCTATGGTAGATGTCTGTTTCAAAAAGACTTTCTGTCCTTCGGCTTGCATTCTGAAGTATATATCTTGGATCTGTAATAGATAGCCTATAAAACTAAAGGACCTACATAGGCATTGAATACATGCACGAGAACCCTAGGGTCAGGATCAGCCTCATGTCACGTTTTTATAGCACAGCGGATTTCCTTGCCTATAGACCAGAGGACACTCCATATCATTCCAATCCACTCTAAGAGAGCGTTCATTGTTTCGTTACCCTAATCTCTACACAATGGTCCCTTGGAAACCCACGAAGATTACGGCAAGAAAATGTGGAGGGTTTAAAAAGACATCGAGCGAAGGAATACAAGAAACCCATTATGCGACTAACCCCAGGGATCAGCAACAGTGGTGGCCCACTGCCTTCCCAGCCCACAATGGCCATTGACTTTCGTTGATTTGACGCTATGCTGAAGAGGAGTGGACCAAGTCCATCAACCGTGGCCCAATCGACTGGATTTAGTCGTCCGTACCACTATGTCCGCGATATTTATAGCAATTTCTTTCGGGCCATCGTACAGATACTGAAAAAAGTTTAAGGTTACACGGGACGGTTGGAATAGATTAGAGAGACTTTTTCAAGTACCTATCTCTATGTGCAGCTGCATATATTGTTCTACTAGTCCCAGCGTGGAAGGTGAGCAGTGTGACCCTGATAGCACGTGTTCTTATTCTATTGTGGCATGAAAATCCCTTATCTCCTCAGTACAGCATCTCGTTTCTCAAGAGGAAAATGGTGGATGTAATCTTGTTTTCCCTGCACTCTAAAGGACTCTCCCTCGATATTCTCCTCTTTTGCATTTGGACTGATCATCACCCTGAATCACTGTGACCGACGCTCATGTCCACCTTCAACCTTTTCATCTCCTCCCTTACTCTCCCCACCAGCATTTCCCTGACCCTTATGGTAAGCTGGAATGACATATCTGCATTGGCTGAAACCTAAAATCTAAGGCTAGATTCCTCATCCCACCCGGCTATAAAAAATTTCATAAATGAGTCATACTTCAGCGAGATTTCTTTATGTGGTGGTCATGATCCAACGGTCTGTGCGCTAATTTCAGACGACGATCAAGCATGAGAGATGGGCGCGATGTAATAGAAACAGGCCATGGGACGGTTTGGAGTTTGATACCCAGCCTAGACTCGTCATGATGTTTCATAAAACCTCCTATGTGGTCTTTTGGACCTACGGCTTTCTCGTGCGAGAGAATCTTGACGGGACCAGGGCTGGGTGAGAGGCCGGCAATCGGAGGCTGCGGGAAGGGAGGAGAGCAGCTATCGCAAAGTTGCAATCCGGTCGGCAATGCTGGGTCAGAGACTATCGACACGTCAAGCAGAAAGGGAGTTGACTGCCGCTAGCGGACTCTATCCCTGCTGTCGTCGCCACATGGATCTGCTATGCAAGGTTATTCCTTCCTCTCGTTATCGTAAGTCCAAGAGTAGCGCTGCTGGAGCCCCCCTGGGCCCTGAAAGAGTATTAACACACAAAGCACCTGATATTACTCATTATCCTGCTTGGAAGCGTACATTGCCCTTTTCAGTGGTATGTTTAGGAGGACTTGCTCAGTTTTGGTACACTTTTCCATGGTGAGTGAGATTTCAGACCACCTTTGTTCGTGGAGCTGCCATTTTCGCCATTTTCCCGATAACTGTCAAAGGGAGAAATATAAGAAGAATAAGAAGAAAAAGAAGGGGACGCAGAGGGGTCTCAACTTCGCTGCTAAATTCGCAACCGAATTTGCAAGCAGGGTAAAAAGTGAGCAACTATTTTGCAAGGACACTTGTCAGCCTCATAGGTCAGGCCATACAACCTGCACTGCTTGGCACTAGGGACTTTCAACTCCAAGTACCGCCTGACCGTTGATGCCACTGTGTTATCGGCTTGGATTCTTAAGATCTGTCCTAGCCTTATCATTTTCCTGAAAGAATTGGTGTATTGCACAATGTTGTCGGCGTTCTGTATCGTATGGAGGCAAATGGTGGTCTGTCAGTGGTGGGGTTATCTAGACATAGACCCGAGCAAACAGTGAAATACTACTCTGGTACGAATTGCATCCGTCTCCATGACCATGAACTGGACGTCCCTCACGATCCCAAACATCCATCTTCAGGTCCTCAACGGTCCTGTTCAAAGAGATAAAGTTCAGGCTCTAGAGATTTGACCTGCGTAGTGCCTCCGTCTTGTTGTTAAAAGTAAGAGCTGCAAAGGAAAAGTTGCTGGTCGTCCATAGAGGATCCTACCGCGACTTTGTATGGATATTTTGGTGATGGGATCATAATTGTGCATGTGGATTCGAGACCGTCATTTATGGGCTTGATGCAGTCTTCGTGCAATACGACTCATCGAACATGTATAAAAGTGGGCTGTACGGGAGACAAATAGGCTTGTAGGGTCCCGAAATTCCTTCTGGCGAACATTTCTAACGCTAGTTGACCGATGGTTGTAGCTCATTATATACTTGTCTGCGTCCAACGTGGCTGGACTTCGGAGCTTGGAGTGTCGAGGCACTGCTCTGTCCCTTCGGTCTGGCCCAAGTAAGTTATATGGAGCACCGAGATAGCTGCAAGAGTTGAGGTGGATGGAATGTCATCATCTTTGTTGGAATCATGGTATGCTTGAACGTATAATATGCTTTGGCTCCATGGTGATGTTGAGCCTTGAGGATACCGTTCGCCTGGGCTTGGTGGAGGGGAAGAACAAAACGTGGGTGAGGAAAGAGGAGGATAAAGACGGAGTAGAAAAGCAAGAAGGATACATGTACAGGGAGGATCCCACATTTACAGACGAGGAAACGGCATGAGCAATTCGTGAATCCCTCAGTGAAAAGGGAATAGACCAGTGCAATGTATGAATGGTTTCTGTGACACTTTGAAAAGTCTTTGACATAGAGAGCTAAAAAATAAAAAATAAAAAAAACTAAAAAAATAAAAAAGGTGGAGCTCTGTATTAGAAATCACTCATACGAATAGCGGCTTATGGAATATTTTTTCTTGTCGCACCCAGCCAATGATTTAAATAATGTATACATAAGGGGATACCATGGAATATTTATTGCTTTGTCGTATCATCACCCAGAAGCACACCAAATGATTCATTAGGTAAGAGAAAATAAGGCTCATGAGAAACAAGATCAGGCTTATACTAAGAATTATAAATTCATACAAGGTTCATCAATGAATTAAAAGCCATAAGCTCAGTAAGAGGAGCTATGAAACAAAGCTGGGCCCGCTATATCGCGCTTCACAGCAATGTCTCGGTATGCGCCACAATCCTCCATTCCCCATCCGATCCTTGACTCCATGTTGTGGATCCAGTGGCACGATACTCTTCCTTTCCCCTCGAGGCGTTGATATTATAGGTCACGGTTCCCGCCATGAGATCGATGATGATGACTCGGACATCCTTCAGCTCAAACGCATCAAAGTGATGGAAGGGGGGTTTCAGCGTTTGTGTGAGAGACGGTTCTCCATCCAGGGTAAGGATTGGTGTTTTGGGGAATAGCATATTGGCTTCGGGGTTGGATAACTTCTCGATTTCGGGGCCTGGATCGGCGGAGGTGAGAGCAGTCCAAAGACTACGCTCTTTGATGAGGAGATCATCGCGGATCCGGTCATGGATTGGAGGCATTATTGCTAGACCTAGTTTTTGTATGAGCTCTGATCGTTCCGACTTGGATCATCGTGTTATCGCATACCTGAATGATGTTATCTCCTATTATTCTGTCGACTTTGGAGAGGATGATGATACAGGTGCTGTTCTCTCACACCGCCTCGAGTGTTGATAACCCTACTGTCGTAATGTCTCTAGAATTGTACCTAGGGATATACCTCCTACTCTGAGAAGCAAATTGTAAATAAAAACTAGGTTGGAAGAGGTCCATGGGTGTTATATCTTCTCAACCCTTGGAAGACCATCTGATATGACGTCATCCGCCTGTTCGCCGACATGACGTGTGTCATCAAGATCGACATCCAGCCAGGCATGTCATTGCTTACTATAATAAGGTCACCCGAGTTCAAGTGGCTTCCTTGGCTTGTCCTACTCTACTGCGTATGCTGATAATTATCTATGGTTATCTGAAATTAGGCCGTGGATCCTGAACCGACCGGGGCCCCCATGCAGGCATTCCCCCAGATCGATATCGCTTGGATCAGATATACTGTCTTAGCGTCGAGCTAGACTCTAACTTACAGTATTTGCAGCATGAATGCGATAACTGTTAAATACCATTGACATTGAAGAATAAATTAGCGGTGTGCACCTACTCAAAAGAACATTCCCGTCATGTACGGAATAACCACAACTCGAGTGACAGCAAGTGCATAAGCCATATACAAGGCTATTAGGTATAGGTCATGATCGTAACCACCTCCAATGCTCTCTATTCATTGCCAAGCATGTGTAGCGGACGGAGCGTCAGATAATACACTAGCCAGTAGTCATATCGATCGCTGATATGGCGACAGTTACACTTGCCTGGAGTGATGATTCTACGGAAATCTAATTCCGACGAAATATGGTCAATTGATGACTGCAGAGCACGGAACTCTGGCTATAGTTCAGACACCTTGCTATATACTTACGACTCAATGCACGTCGCATGCCCCATGATTGCGTGGACGTCATAGACAATTGACACCGACGACATCGATTTCGATCCTGGTCTGAATGAAATTTCTTCAGGCTAATTCTATATTGATTTTTAATAAATTGAAGCACAGACTTTAGAGATTCAGAGACCTCATATTTTGATTTTAGGGGTTGCGCTAAATGGTATTTTGTATTAGAGCGTATCAGTTGACAGATGTATCCCATATTTTGACCCTTTTTCATATGAATAAGAACTTAATGTAGAGACTCAAAAGGCTTTTGACCTGACCTGATAGGTATCCGAGATATCTGCCTTTTTGAATTGGCAGTATGACAAGTAGAACATATATCATTCAAATCATATAACCGTTCGGATGAACCACAATAACTCTCGTTCATGAGACAAGAATGTGCCGTCTCATTAGAGATTGGTATTAAATCACCTATCGAATGTTTCCTTTTACTTTGAGAATCGGTCCGCCAACGGCATTTGGCGGGTAGTGATGTTGTATTAATATAGCTGGAGCGTCTACGACAGCCTAAGGGATAAGTTAACAGGGCTGGCCTATTCACTAAATCGCGTTCCCTAAACCTCTGGCTGGGCTTATTTTAAGATCGAGTTGCCGAATATACTCCGAGATAAACATTGGAAATGAATGCGCAATAAGATAGAGCCGTCAACCAAGCTTCGCGTAAAATTCTTATCTTTGAGGTAGGTGGCAATATACTTTCCCGATCAGTACATAATGCACTTTATTTCTACGCCGTGGACCGTTAGAAGGTTTAGTATTACTGCAAGACTGAAACAAGTAGTCCATCTGTCACTTATGAAGCCTGCACAGGAATTGGTAACCGTGTCTCTAGGTATTGAGCCCTATGGAGACCTGTCTATCCGCGCCTGCTGAAGAATTTTCTCGAAATTCGTGTTAATGTGGGTCAGGCATACACTCAAAAGTAACCCTATATACTTCCTCATTTCTTTTACGTTTGATTTGCCCTATCGAGGAAACCGAAAATCGCTTCATGTTACTCTACAATCCAGCACAGACATATCCGATATGTTCTCTGTTCTAAGCGGTGAAGATGCGTTATATTTTACAAATTCATTGATGATAGTGGGGGGAAGTCAATATATTGAAGCAATGAAGTAACGTCATTTCCGTGGGAATTGGCGAGCTGAACACTGATAAAGGACCAATATTTAGAGATGCCATTGGCTTATGGCCACGATTTTACAAACCAATCCCCACTACGAACGCTGATCCTTCCCGATAAAGATATACTGATATGATAGTTTATCTTCCTCGGAACCGATCGGCGGTCGCCGATGGATACAGGGAAGGAAAAAAAATAAGAAAAGAGAAAAAAAAAGTGCTACGCGGGAGGAGAGAGAGAAAGCGTGGGTATAAAGCTAATCCCCGCCCAATTGCGTGAGACCAATAACCCCAGCAAAGATTCTGCAAAGCACAGGCACCATGCAGCTCGTCAAGTCCCTCACTACCAGCTTACTCCTTGCTAGCAGCTGCCTGGCAGCTGCAAGCCCTGCCACCTGGCAACGTTCTCAGGTTGGAGCCAAGCACCACCCAAAGAAGGCTGCTCCTAAGGTGTTCATTGTGTCCATGGTATGCCCCCCTCATTGGAGGAGAGCGTGAACAGATAGCCCTAATAGCTCCCTAGTTTGAACCGGAAGCCGCTGCTTGGTGGGGAATTCCTGAATTCAATCTTCTGGCTCACAACATCACCATACCCGGTGCCTCGCCCGTCTTCCCTGACGTTCACTGTACTGCCGATTACAGCGTGTGTCAGCTCATCACCGGGGAGGGAGAGATCAACGCCGCTATCACGGTCTCCTCCATTGCCCTGTCTCCCTTCTTCGATCTCACCCACACCTACTTCCTCATCGCCGGTATCGCCGGTGTCAACCCCAAGGTCGCCACGCTCGGCAGCGTAACCTTCGCCCGGTATGCCATCCAAGTTGCCCTGCAATACGAGATCGATCTCCGCGAGCTCCCCGACAACTTCACAACCAGCTACTTCCCCCAGGGCTCCTACGCCCCCAATCAATACCCAACTAGCATCTACGGCACGGAAGTCTTCGAAGTGAACGCCGAGCTGCGCACCCTGGCTGCCTCCTTCGCTAAGAAGGCCAACCTCAGCGACTCCGAAGCCGCCCAGTCCTACCGCAGCAAGTACACAGCCGAAGGCTACGAAGCCGCCACCAAGGCGCCCTCCGTTCTCGAGTGCGATGTCGCGACCACAGATGTGTACTACAGCGGCAAGCTGCTCAGCGAGACCTTCGACAACACCACCGAGCTCTGGACCAACGGCACAGGTAAATATTGCACCTCCGCCCAGGAAGACAACGCAACCCTGCAAGCTCTCCTGCGCACCTCCGCCCGCAACCTGACCGACTTCTCCCGCATCATCGTCATGCGCACCGCCTCCAACTTCGACCAGCCTCACACGAACCAAACCGCCCTCCAACACCTCCGCTACTCTGACGCCGGCGGCTTCCAGCCCTCCATCGACAACCTCTATAACGCCGGTATCGAGGTCGTGAACGGCATCCTCAACGCCTGGAACTCCACCTTCGCCGCCGGTGTCAAGCCCTCCAACTACATTGGCGACATCTTCGGTACCCTCGGCGGTACCCCTGATTTCGGTCCCGGTGCTGCCCAGGCCCTCGAGGGCGCGGGCGCGATCACCAAGAGAGGCCTCGTTCGCAGGGGCGTGCGCTTCGCTTAAGCCAGTGGCAGCGTCATGTCTGTACGATATGAATTTACGTTAGCAATGTTTGCCTTTGTTGGCGCGAGGCTTTTCTCCTCAGTCGCATATCACATAAGACGAATGTATAATAGATGATGACTCGATCCGAGTTCAAGATCACGCTCACTCACATGAAAGAATAGAGAACAATAGAAAATAATTCATTCCGAATTGCATGTTATACTTTGAACCGAGTACAGGGAAAGTAGATCCCGATACAAGCCAGCGCACGGTTCAGGATTCATCTCTATACGCTCGTACTGAACCCTTGACTTGCTCCCTATTAGAACACTGCTATAGTCAGGGCCCTGGGTCCTCTCCTGTTCAAACGTTCATATGGAGTAGACGTGCCGCCTTTCTCAACATTATCCCACGCGATATCAGCGTCAGTTATGCGAAAACCTCGGCCCAGATATTGATCACTAACCGATACCGAGGTGAATCATTGGATTACGATAACCACGTAATTTAATTTCCGATTGGATAAAGAAATACGGAGTATATTCCAGGGATTGAAATTAACTGCACGTCAACCTTTTCAAATCAAAATTTAAATTAAACAAAGGGGAAAAGAGAGAGAAGTGTAACATGTCATCCAAAGATAGCCCCCAATTAATTAATTCCCAATAGAACCCAATTTCAACTTCACCGACCAAAACACGATACTCTAAACTATTTCCTCTAGAAACATAAAATCACTCAAAGGAAAAGAAAAGACAAGAAAAGAAAAAACTTGCGGTCAAGTGCTGCACGCATCCCATGGTTATCCTCCGTTTCAAAAGGGGAAACCAAGCAGGGATCTACAAGCCGATCACACGAGTCTAGAAACCTGCGGCCATCCGGTCTTCCCCGTCCGAAGTGTCCGAGGTAAATCGGTACGTAGGAGAGAAGAACGGGTTCTAGGGTCTGGGAGAACAGACAAGAAGAGCCTATGGAGTGTTGATCTTTACGCTAGATTGATTTTTATTAGGGTGGTTCCGTGGTACACTCGTACCCTATGGCTTAGAGAGGTTAAGATGGGTAAAATAAGCCCCGGCGAGTGTAACATTGTATATTGGCAATGTCTACGACTATTGAAGGTGAGGTAAAATAAAAATAAAGATAAGATGGAGAATGAAGAAATTTGATTTCTCCAATTCCCAGAGCCTTGGTTGCCAAGGGGAAACTAAAATCTAAACATCACTAGTTCCGAAAGAAAGATAGCTTGGCACTGGGCCATTTTATTTTTACTATTTTAAAAAGGGTCTAATTTGCTGAAGACCTTTTAGTACATTTCGTGCTTTTTCCGTGGACACTTGACGGGGAGGTTCTTTGCCGAAGCGAGGTTAGGTCCCACATACTAACCACAACTACTGCAGCTTCTAGGGTTCTTCTAGGGAGTAGGCAAGTGGGTTTTCCGTCTTGATTCTTTGTTGTTCAACGCCTTTGTTGATTTGATTTCCCTTTGTAGGGGGTGTTGTCCCCTTTGTGAGTGGCGTTATCTAAGTCCAGAGTTCCCGGACGCTGACGGAGAAAAGGTCAGGACGGTCTATTGTCTGACTTTCTGACAAACGGCATCAGACGATGTTCATTGGGGTAGAATTGCCCTTCTGGACGTGGTGGCATTAGTTCGTTCGTATACAGTGGGACCTCCCAAGAAGCTTCTTTGTCCCAAAATGATAATAATGCATGAATGGATAGTAGAGTAGACAAAAGAAAAGACGGAAAAAGAGAACAAAAAAGATGTGCACAAACAAGCAAGGAAAACTCCCCAAATTTAATTTCGGGCTAGACCGAATTCTCTCCGCTCAAGCACGCTCCTGTGGCTCCATTTCGACCAGTTGCACGAAACTGTGTCTCTGAGGCCTCTTGTTCGCCGTGTAGTCGACCGTGTAAGAAACGGTCTTGTTGATGTGACTTTTGCTGAGTGCTTGGTTGGAGGCGAAGGTGGCTCTGGCGTTGGGCGTGTTTCTGTTTTCGTAGTATGACTGGTTGCTGCTGTTGCCTAGCATCTTGGGGAAGAGGTGGACCATCATGGCGCGAAATGTCGGGAGACAGGCACACATGATCGTGATTTGGGTTTCGAGGACCGACCAGTGCACGATCGGTTGAAGTTGGACTAGAGTTGTCGGTTAGTATTTGTATAGAGAGATTTGGGAATGTGGTGTCCCGGGGTGTCCCGTGGCAATGTACGTACCTGTAGGGTTTGTATTCCAGCGGTTGAAGTAAAAGACAATCACTCGGATGATCGCAACGGCTGTTAACCTATCCGTTGTTTATCCTGATTAGTATGTAACTTGGTCAAGGGGAAATCATCGAGACTAACACTAGGCCCATTGCAAACATAACGCTCACACCGACCTTCTTGCGCGCAGAAAGGTTCAGTTTAATAACCTCGTAGACGGGCATGAGCACCATGACTGCATCCACGCCGATATTGACGAAGGCGTTCACAAAGGTTACCATAATAAAATCAACACACCTCCCTTTCTCGCCTGTTTCCCATTGATCCCATGCCAAGTGGACTGGGATACATCGAAGGCAATCAGTAAGCACCCAGGTGACCGCAATCGCCGCATTCAAGCCAATGATTATGAACGTTGTATAGCGGAACATTGGCGACTGGAAGATTCTCAATAAGAAAAGACACACGGAGATTTTCGCCAGCGAGATTTCTGTCTTGTACATCACGACAAACGCAAAGAAATACTATAGGCGAATAAGTCAAGGAGTCGGGTTATATGAGAAGCAGCCAGAAACAAACCTTGAGCACTATCGTTATGTCATCCATTGGGCTAATATCCCAGAGGTTTTGCCCGAATCCATGGTGAATCACTAAGCATGACAGTTAGTCACGAGTTTCTGGATACACGATGGTCGGCCCTTACTTGCTGCATTCGTGCCGAATATAGCTACTGCCAGGATCTGCAATGCGTCTTAGTGAAAGAGCTGACCGTACATGAGGGCAGTCTCACATAAGCTACGATAATAGTGAAATCGTCTGCGCCCCAGCCACCGCCAAGTCCCATGAATTTAGCAATCATTCGGTTGGCGAAAAGGATTGTTGAGAGAATAAGAGGAACTAGTGTGGCAGCTTCTATCTCCGGGCGTCCTCTATGGGTAGGTATGCCGCATTGGCGATTGCTAAGCCGTTTGGTGACTGCAAACTGTTAGACCAGGAAGGGATCCAAATAACTCGGAAGACGTACGGAGTGTCTGCCTTCCATTACAACTTGTTGAAACACAGATGGTCATATCATTTTGGAATGTGTTGTCGTCGCAGAGGCATGATGTATCGGTAGATGCGCAAGTTGTCGAGTTATTAGCAAGCACCTGCTTCTGGCATGTAATCTGCCGGGCTATCAGCAACAATACCCTAGCATCTGACAATGCCGCCGCATACCGCACACTGAGGTAAAGTCTGTTCTGAATCTGTCTCTGCAGCCACAGCCCCGACTGCCAGACTCACTGAGCCTAGAATCAGGAACCGACGCAACAACATTATAACCAGTGTTTTCCCCCGGAAAGGTGGTGGCAAGAGCCAAAAAGAGAAAAATCAAGGTCATTCTCTTTAGAACGGATCTCTGTGGAGGGCACTGCTGTCTAATATGGAGGCCAGAACGAAGTTCCAATTGGAACGCTTTGATGTCGTGATCCACTCGGCATGTGCAATGATGCTCCACGCAATTACCCTAAGTTATCCTCCAACCCATTCACGAGAGCTAAAGATGGCTAGATAAGCAGATCGTCATCTAGCGTCCAAGCCAGACAGGAGACCTTGAAGGGGTCTTTCGCCCATTCGGGGACTCTTGGTATTCGGGGTACGGACCGGTATTAGGCCGCAACGGTAGTTCAAATCAGACCCTACAATGATTTGCGCGTGTTAGGGTGGACGGGAATCGTGTCCAATTTCCCGAAACACTAGATCGGCAGTCTCCATGTATGGTATTGACGTCTAGTGCGACTGCCGGCCCAGAAGTCTGAGTGGGTCGGTCGACTTGGTATCGTAGAAGAATCTGTTGACCTGTCCATGGATCGCACATGGATGCAACCCTAAATAAAGTTGCTTTTGGGTTGTTATTTTTTTTTTCAGTTTTCTCTATATGAAACTTAGAGCGTAGCAGCCAGAATGCTGTATTAAGAAATGGGAGTCCGAAACCAATCCATCTCTGGACATCTCCGAACCAGTACTTTTCGCCTCCATAGGCTCAACCGCCCCTTAACATATCCACCCCACTCACTTCCCTTTAGCCTCGCTCCACCTAAAACTTTTTACTATGACGGAATTAGCAATGCCTCCATTTCAAATGTCGTAACTCGTCCGTCGTACGTAGACTATTTGCCGTGCGAAGGGGACTATTACCGAAACACGATGCCTAGACACTGCTATAATCTCAACCTTCGCCCTTAGAAGCCTTGTCAGTCATAAATAGTTCTGAGTTGTTTAGGAGGTTCACCCCATTCACTGCAAATCATCCCGATCAACAAATATACCACTGAATATTTCTTTTGCTAGCATAGCGATCATATGTCCGAAATCAGTCCTTGAAGCCCCTGACGTCTTGGCGTCTCTTTCATCCCTGCTCATGTTCGATACACGGGCCAATTCCGAGTTCTAATTGTGGATTTGGAGAAGCATGGCGCGGAAGAGCTGGAACCTCATTCTAGCATCCGTCAGTGATCCGACCACACACTGTGATAGGGCCATCATTGATATGCTCCACTTCATAGACAGTAGGCCGGCCTAGGGCAGCTTTTCGTCTATCCATCGCCTAATCACTTAGGCTGTTCGCCTGGTTGCGGACCTCCACATCTCAACGTGTTTCCCAGGCTCCCAGCCACTCTTTCTATGGGAAAATTTCTGCAGCGGCAACAAATCTGCATGTAACGGACAGTATGCTTAGTACTGTTAAGCTTCTGACATGACAACTCTAATTTGCAGTATATGGGCGTTGGCCTTGACCGTCGATGTGCTAACTGTAGCAAATGGATGCGGGTGGCGTCCTTTCTGATAACAGCGATTTCTAGGTGATCAAGCTATGTTTTTCTTATTGGCTAGAAAGAAGTGTAGCTATGGGAGAAGTACGCCCAGAAGCTGTCTTGTAAGGGGCAAGCCAGTGGGCAATAGCCAGTTAGTCTACTATACAACATTCATCTCCATTCTGATAAGGAGTGTCCTAAGATCGCTATCCCCCAAGAATAGGGATGACGAGGTTGAGTAATCCATACAGGCATACTCCACGAAAAGCATCCTCACGGGAAAACCCCCTGTGGTCTGAAATTAATCAATGCCATGCGACACCGTTTACACGTCTCCACGGCTCATGTAAGGACGAAGCCCATATGTGCAGGGTGATGGAGTAATTGAAAGATTAGAGGACCGGGATTGCTCGACATAGGCCGTCTCAAAGCAGCAATCATGCTAAATTCGAGTTGTTTCATTGTTGAAACTAAACCTCTTTCGGATCAGGCTGCATGCGACTGATTTGTAAATATCTTGTAATCACGGATTATCAATTGGTCCGAATTGACTGTTCTAGTCTAGCTTGATTGCCTGGGCATTTGGATACCTGACTGAGTACAACCCTAGAGACCAGGATCCTCTTGTAGACAGACTCTCAATGAAATGGCTACATGAAATTGAATGGTTCTGTCAAGGCACGATATGTCAATGCTTTGAACCTGTACGATTGAATGGCCGGCGTTTTGACATTAGTAGTATCTAGGTATATATAAAAACACACCCACCCCCCAAACCCAGCCCATTTAACACAGACTATGGTATATAAAAGTTAGGCTAATAAACGGGAGGACAACTATTAAATAGTAACTCCAGCATATTTACTACCTCATACCTAGTCAGAAGGTATTCTACATGCCAAGTACTAACCAGCATATATACCTTCTCTTCAGAATAGGTAGGGGCGGGGAGCAATAATACTAGGATACAAAGAATCAAAGGATGACAGTGCATAAGCAAGCCCCTGCGCCAGTTCCTAGTAGAATTTGCCCCTGCTGACCCCTCTCCCCTACTGAACTGAAATAAGAACAAGTAAAACTGGTTTTCAGCTGCATTATCAATCCATTACGCTTCAGCTGTATCACGCTATATCCTCTCTCAAAGTCTAGATACGCAGCCGCGAAAGATTCCGCCTTCAGCATTTAGCTGCTATTGATGCTGACTGGGAAATATATGGCTATGACAATGACAACAACTTCTGGCACCAATCGAGACTATTTGTGCAAAATATTTCCAGCCGTTACGCCAAGTCCGATCTTGCAATATGCCTTTATGAACATGACCTGCGTGAACTATGGTACCTAATTATCCAAGGTGCCCAAATCACGGATGCCACACACACCCCGCTCAGGACCGCCTGGCAGGCCAAATCTTGCACGCTCGAAGGATGGGTGTGCTGTCTCGCGGAGTTACAGCCTCAGGAGTTGAAGAGGAGGCATGGACCTCCAACGGAAAGATTTGGGTTGGTCTACCCTTGTGCAGGAGACCTAAGTGGCCTGGAAGGCAGCCGCAGAGCTAACCGCAAAACAGCGGCATAACCTCAGCGCCTTTATAGCCCGCCTTAGTGCTCGGGGTATCTGTGACCCTGAATTGAGTGGTAATGCCCTTTCAATTTTCAGGGATACGTTCGAGACGCGCAGGCCCTTGACTGCAACCAACGATCAACAGGGCGATGACATACTGGCCATTGCTGATCTGCTACCAGCAGCGGTAGTCTGGTTTGAGCTATGTGCCTACCAAATCGAAAACCTTTGTCTTTCGACCCAGAAATGTGAGTCCTCGACTATTGGTGATCTTGCTAGAGAAGTGCAAGTTGTTCCGGATACTGGTTTTAGCACTTCAAGATGGCTCTTCTGGAGGCTACGTCTGAAGGAGATCAGCCATAGTGATCATGCTGAGCTGGAAGTTTTAGCACAGCGGGGTTTGAGGGTCATGCAGTTCTGGGGTGAGAGGATTTTAGCCCATAATAACGGCAATAACCAAGGCAAATAGCACTCAAGACGTAAAGACATCACATGTTGGGGATTTTCATGATGCGGAGCTACGCGCGAGTTTGAGGCGGCAAATGATGTACAATTCCTCAGGGAACTGGTGGTAGGGATTTGAGCTGCGTTATGCGGAAACTAGGTAGGCCCGGTATAGGATGATAATTGGCGATCAAGATTGATGATCTCAATGAGGCCATCTGTATGAGAGAATTCTCTATCTCGGGTAAGTATAGCAAGTTTATGGCTGATGGTAGCCTAGCCTAGTCTGCAAGGCAGTGATCAAGTACAGCCTTACCTATAGGCTGTAAGAACAACTAGCAAGATAGGAACGGGCAGACTGAATGTGAACAGAACGACCAATATCATCTTCCGACTGACTGTGGTTGACAAGGCCACTTTAGTCGTTATTCACAGCCAAAATATTCAATAATGGTATCAAAAAGACGAACGCTAGCACGGTGATCATCCTAGGCAAGGAGTAGGCGACGAAAACGCTCAAAGAACTACGGACCTTATTGGTACAGAAGGGGACATTAGTCTCCGGACTGTAGGCTCAACCATACCCATTACTGAAAACTATAAACTGGCGCGGACCAGCATAGGGGTCGTCGGAATTTCTGCACTGAACAAGTGATGTTGATGACGGTGTAAAACTCGGCGCTTATTTGAAGATGTGAAATCCCGACAAAGCCAGTAGCGGCTCTGGAGAACCAGAAAAAGAGCTCCAGGTTACAGTATATCTCAGCGCTTTGACCGCCAAATCGAGCTCAGTAATGCTCTTCCACAGAGGGTTGACACGGAAATTTCGGTAGATGTACAGCTATAGAAATTTCAGACTGCTTTTCAAGCTCTGATCCGTTAGGGATGGTAAAGTAAACCTACCTTAACCCGAGAACCACCAACCTGGCCAGGGATATAGTGTCTCCGCTTGGGGGGTAAAATCTGGACCTAGGGTAATAGTGTAGATATTTCCCTTTCTTCTACCCACATGTACTCCTATGGACTGGTGGGCATTATTGTTGAAATTTGTTAGGCATCTATATTGAAGCCCAATGGGCCTTGGTGTTGGCCAACAACGCCCTCCTGCCCGGCGGCATCATCCGGCATGAAGCAGCCACAAAGATGAACGCGCCAAGGCTGGGACTCACCGATCCTAGCGGCGGGGAGAAGGAAATCTTTACGGGGTTTGAGCGTAGCATACGCCCTGGTAAGGCATAGACACTCACTAGCACACTAGCACAAGACAAGACAACGGCGGTGTTGATCGAAAATCGCAGCATTTAAGGCCAGGCCCCGCCAACCCGAGTCATTCGACATATTAACTAAATCTGTAGCACCCACTAGAGTCGTCGACGACTCGTGAGTTCGCAAAATCGAAACGCAGAACACGGTAGAAGATAAGCTTGTCTAAGCAAACTTCTTAGAAACATCATTTGATTCTTCTGCGTCTGTCATTTCTCGGGTAGATATAGAAAAGGACATATGATTGACTAGTGACGGTACAGGGAGGAGGAACGTTTGAGGTTACTGTCTCAGCTAATGGTGGTTTCACTAAGAGCAACACTGATTCTCAAGGCAACATAATAGATAGCACCCAGGAAAAGCTTCATATCATCTACTAAGTGCGGATAGATTCCGTGCTATTTGAAACGAACAGTTTCCCTGGGTAGAGTTCGTTTTCGAACAGGATCTAATACCAACAGACGGATTTCTGGAAGATTGGATTAATGCAACCAATGATGAAAAGAGTGTGGTTATGAGAGGTACGGTACGTGTGTAGTAGCCCGACAATATCGAGTAGACCTAACCTCCGGCTGAGGCCACGTTTTCCCTACCCGAGTGCTCCTGGGGGTTAGACGTATCGCAGCCCAGGAAATAAGCAGCCAGTGTTTCCATTAGCTCTCCCTGGGATGCTGCCTCGGTCAGTTCTAGCCACGAGGTGCAACAAAGCTCCCAGCACGAACACAACTGACCCGCTCTCAATTTCTCCACTAACTGGGCCGCTCATGGAGGTGACAGCCTTCTTGCCAACAGGTGAGGAAGTCTTGAAATCAAAGCAGAAAGCTCATAACTAATCAAACCCTATCTAAATAGCCCGCCAGACTAGTGTCCGACTGTGCTTCATACAACAGTTGGAGGGTCATTCATGTTTGTCTACGTTATTAAATGAGTGAAGCGCGGCCGGACTAGCCCACATGAAGCGTGAAGGTGTTGTTAGCATAGATGACTTTTTGACAAACGTTGAACCAAAATTCCTACATAGATATGTAATGGTGCAGACGAATGGCAGCGAGCAGATCGGAGGATTGTCTGTTGAAGATAATGATTTACGTTTGTAAACTTATATTCAGCAAGACTCTGCGGCGCCATTCCAATGTGAAAGCAGAATCAGAAGCTAAGGAAAGACTTCCAGTCGAGGATGCGGCTGTTTTCCGAGGATATAGGCCACAAAGTGCCGATACAGGCTCAACAATTAATGCGATCTTATCTTATCCTCGACTAGAAAGGAGGTAGGTGAAATGCTGTATCATTAGTCGAATGTGGATCTGACCTCAGGAAGGGTTATAATACGGAACGCGTTTCTAGATCAGCGACGAGAGACATCCCTGGTACCTGACAGTGATACATGATCATATAGGTGGGGTCAAAGTGCCAAAGAATCTCCAAGGGCTTGTCTGTATGAGTGTATGAGAGAGCATGATGGCATTGAGCAGGTTGTCGCTCATGATGGCTGGACACTTTTGCAGTTGCCCAACAGCTACCCTAATAAGTCCCTCTACTCGGATAAACAAACCCCCCCTATTTACACGGCTTCAATAAGTAGGAGACGCAGAGGCTGGCCTCAAATTGGGGACGGGTAGTCGACTCGCTGTTGTTGGCCCCAGTCAGACAACCTTCGAAGGGGATTCAGCTTGCTGATTCGTTCATATCCAGACTGTTGAAGCACTCACATATTGAGAATAACTCGGAACGAGGCTAGGTTGTGGTCAAACGTTCTTTTTATCTACCATTTGCCATTTGACTCATCGACTCTTAGCTTCTCTTCTTTTATAATGTAGAATGAGATTGATTTGCTATATATGAACACATATTAAAAAGAACGGTAAAAGCCTCGAGTGTGAGCTTGAAGCAACTTACCATGGACTCTGCAAAGCTTCTCAGAGAAGTCAAGTACTTCGTAACCCTTTTCTATAGCTTGATTATTGGAGGAGCGGTCTGACATATTAGCCGCAATGGAAATTACTAGACGACGCAAAATTGTACCTAAAGAAGGAATCTATTGCAATAGGTGGCGGGAAAGTTCCAGGCGACACTCAAGCCTGTCAAAGACGACGTTAGGCCTACAGGGCTACCGTAATATTAGACACAGACAATGATTCACGAATACAGGTCTAATGTCCCCCGCCAACGGTGTTGTAGCCATAAGAAAAGGAACACGAGAACGCTGAAGTCTCCACCAAGACTGAGTCGGAAGAATTTAACCTAGATCCAACAAATCATATTGCTTCGAAGGGGTCATTAGCACACACTATGCCGAGCTTCTCTCTACACCAAATCCCTCAGATCTATTAATATACTGCATCAAGTCCTGCAGAGCCCCATTTCACTTTATTCATCATCCCTATCCATCAAGAGCAAAGAATAAGATATCAACCAGCCAGGCGTTTTTGGCCTACCCGACAGAAAAGATGGATAAGGTTATTCACACCAGGGCCGGTTCTATCTTGTGTGTTAAGCGCCAATTGGGTATCGTCACACGATGTAGGTGTACATAATTCCGACGGCACCAGTGCCCACAACGGGGATTTGTTGGAGTCATAAATAGGTTACCTTTCAAAGTTATCGTTATGAAGACGTAAGAAGATGCGTGGAATAGACGGGCCCTTTTAAGAAGCCTATCCAGACTATCGATCACCTTGCAACTGGAAGTTCGCACTCCCGGTTGCCATCGCCAATGGAATTCTAATGGTCCCGGTACGTATAGACCCTTGCTGTGCCATTGATAAATGTATGGTTGTCATTGCCATCAGAGCTCCACTGTGAAGGAGCGAATACGACCCCATTTCCAACCAATGGTCAATATGGTCCATTGTTGAAATTTGCTTGGCTCCGGATATTTATCCTCGGGATCTAGATAAATCCCTCATGTTTTTCGGTACGAGGTTCAGTATTTATATAGAGAGCTTCATCTCCAAGCTGCTATGTCACTACTACTGCTCTTACAATTAACCCCCTCTATAATGGAAGACCCAATCACAATCGCTGAGGTTGAAGCTCTCGCCCAAAAGCGTCTGCCCAGAGCAGTGTATGACTACTACGCCTGCGGTGCCGACGACCAGCACGCACTACGGCGCAACGTTGATAAATTTTCTGAGTATGCCTTCTCTTTACTATGAGTCTAGCCCTACTAACGAAACCATCAGAATCACAGTCCTACCCCGGGTTCTCTGTGATGTGACCACCATCGACACGAGCACAGAAATCTTCGGCTGTAGGACCCCCCTTCCAATCGCCTTCGCACCAAGTGCAATGCAGAAACTCGCGGGTGGCGAGGGCGAACTACACGTCGCTCGCGCCGCGGCGAAGATGGCACTCCCGATGACACTGTCGACACAGTCAACCATGTCTCTGGAGGATGTCGCAGATACCGCAAGAGCCACTGTAGGAGATGGGGTACCAGCGCCACCGCTCTGGTTTCAGATGTACATGACACCAGATGCGGTGCGGAACGAGAGCCTGATTCAGAGAGCAGAGGGTAATTAGTCTCCCGTGACAGGTCCGAATAAAGAGCGCGAGCTGATGTGAACACAAGCGGCCGGATACGAAGCTTTAGTCCTTACCGTCGACACACCAATCCTGGGTAACCGACTAAACGAGCGCAAAACCCCCCTGGTTCTTCCTCCGCATTTGCGATATGGAAATTTCGAAACTAAGCGGCCCAACCGGCCGACTCTCAACCGGGAGCTCATGGATGCTAGGACCGCGCTGCAGGCAGATGCTATTCTGAAGGCCGCGAGAAAGGACATGCACGATGCCTCGCTCACGTGGGATGTTCTGCCAGCTTTGCGGAGGATGACCCGCCTGAGAATCATCATGAAGGGCATCATGGCTCCAACAGATGCTCGTAAGGCGGTTGAGTATGGTGCGGATGCGATTGTTGTGTCGAACCACGGCGGTCGTCAGCTTGACTGCGTACCGTCGACTATTGAGGTATTGCCATCTATCTCAGAGGCAGTGCAGGGAAAGATACCGGTCATAGTGGATGGTGGGATTCGTAGGGGTAGCGATGTCTTCAAGGCGATTGCGCTTGGGGCCGATCTTGTGATGATCGGTCGGCCTATTCTTTGGGGACTGAGTTACAAGGGTCAGGAAGGGGTCGAGACAGTGGTGAATATTCTGGAGCGAGAGCTCTACCGCACTATGGCATTGGCGGGGGTTACAAATACTCGGGATATCAGAAATTGCACGCTTTTTAGCAGGTCTGGGATCTCATTGGCGAAACTATAAGCTCTAGACTATCTGGTTGTTCAGTGAAAAGTCATCAAGGATTGGGGTACAGAACTGTTCGAACATAAGTGATGTGCTTAGGTCCTGCTGTCACATCAAGGACACCAGAAGAATGGCTGAGCTATCGTATAAAGAGGTTTCTCTAGTAGACAGACGATGGGTGGAATTCTAGGATTATATTCGGCCTATCGAACTATGTAACCGCGTCATAATGAATTCCTATTGATACGCTCAGCCTTTAAAGCACGAAGAGCCCAGTATATGATCAAGTTATCTCAACTTACTCACAGGAGCAACACCTTTTCCCTTCCCAAGAGAGTTTGCAAATGAACGCTTTGCTGAACTTGCGCACTGACGTATTTGCAATATACTCTGTGTGCGTTTAAGATTGTGAGCACCCCAATACTGACTTTAACCTAGAGAACTGATCAGCTATTGTTCCAATTTTTTACACTAATACTGGAGATTTTACTAGAATAAACATTCAATAACCGTCGTATTAGATCCCTCTTGATCTCTATGTCCGCGACAAAAAGAAAGGAATGACAAAATTAGTGTCTGGGCATGTTTATTGGTCTTGTCGTATATTTTGCCTTACAGTGGGTCTAACTGCAGGTAACCTTACCAGAAATGAATAGTATCAGCAAGGCTGGGGGCCAAAATGGTTAACGAAGCATCTTAAGTAGATAGCATAACAGAGGCCAACATAAGCTTACCGTGGACGACGAACCACAGGATGAGGGTGATTGGCACGTAGTCTTGGGAGGATTGAATAGACTGCATGATAGCACGCGGCAATAACTTCCTAAATATAACTGTTTTCGGTATATATATCTCGCCATTTCGTCGAATCCCTTCCAATATCTACTCCTTCCACTCACTCCCAACGAAGTCATCCCAGCGCCTATTATATCTTTCTACCCACACCAAACTCACAATAATAGCGCTAAACCATGATAACAAAACCCACCGTCCTCATTACAGGCTGCAGTGACGATGGTATTGGCAGCGGCCTGGCTCTCACCTTCCACGAACGGGGCTACCACGTCTTTGCGACTGCACGAAACATCGAAAAGTTGACAAGGCTCAAAGACATGCCAGATGTTACCCTGCTGACTCTCGATGTTTTGGACCAAGCCCACATCGATGCCGCGGTACAGGCGGTGCAGAAGCACACCGGGGGAACGCTGAACTACCTGGTCAACAACGCCGGGCGTAACCACTTCATGCCTGTCCTCGACGAAGAACTTGATTTCACGAGGAAGCTGTTCGATACTAATGTCTGGGCCCCGGTGGCAATTACCCAGGCATTCGCTCCTCTTCTGATCAGGGCTAAGGGGACAACTGTCTTCATTACGTCTATCGCTGGTCATCTTAATGTGCCGTATATGGGTAGGTGTTATAGTTGATTGTTTTGGTGTATCTCGTCTTTCTTTGGGAAGTTACATCATGATGAAGATGTGGCACCAGATTGATAGGCCTAGCGCACAATATTTTCAGGAAAGACTAACATCGTCGATAGGAGTTTACTCCGCATCTAAACGTTCGTTGGAGGTTATTGCCGAGACGCTTCGACTGGAACTGGCCCCATTCCACGTTGGTGTATTGTCCATTGTTACGGGCGCTGTAAGGACGCTGGGACAAACATACTTCGGTGACTTCAAGCTCCCCGAGGATTCATTGTACATGCCAATACAGGACACGATTGCGCGCAGGGCTCGTGGCGAGGACGGTAAGAGCAGGGCTGATTTGATGACATACGCGAAACAGGTCGTCTCCCAGATTACTAGTGGCGCGTCAGGGAAGTTTTGGTGCGGCGATGATGCGGAATCTGTGAAATATGGATCGATCCATCTTCCGTCTTCTGTTATGGTGAGTTCCTAGTATTCATGCGTTGGATAGGTGGGTAGCTGACATTTTGCAGGATAGTGGTGTGGTGCAGGATACGGGACTTGATGTGCTGGCCGCACAGAATCAGGAGTGATTGGTTGAAATGGACATTTACTCTAAAGGTTTTGGCGGTCTTCTCTTTCATATAATATAGTCTCTCTAACCTGAAGCATGGTAATCTGAAGCATGGGAATGATTCCAGTAGAATGCACGGAGACAGGCATTGTTATTACTACAGCTTCCTCTAATGAATTTTCATCCAACGAAACACACTAATTTAATCTTCCAAACTCCTCAAATAACCCCAGCGGAAAATAATCCGCCAAAGCCTGATACCCAGCTGCATTTGGATGTAAATAATCCCCGGAGTTATATTCGCTTTTAAGTCGAGACGGTGCCTCAGGATCTCTAAGCACTCGATCAAAATCCAAAACCGCGTCAAAAAGACCGTTCGTCCTTATCCACTCATTAATGCGCTGCCTTGTCTTCTCCCGCTCAGGATCCGAGTAAGGCTGCGTATTTGAAGCATTACCAGGAGCCCCAAAGGGCGTTATCGTGGCGCCGAACACCGGGATTTGCGCAGCGTGCAGACGCGTTACGATCTGCTGGTACGAGGCGATAAGTTTATCACCGATTTTCTCTTGCGATGCTGGATCGGTATCTGCGACTCCGATGTCATTTACACCTTCGAAAACAATGGCGTACTGAACGCCGGATTGGGCGAGGACGTCTCGGTCAAGGCGAGCCAGTACGTTGGGACCAAGGCCATCGGCGAGGATTCGGTTGCCACCTGCGGCTTGGTTGAGGAGGGCAATTGAGGTGGTTTTTGGGTTTTGTTGCATTTTGGCAAGGAGGAGGTCGGGCCAGCTGTGCCTTGTTAGGTGGGCTAAGGTAGGCAGTGAATATGTTGCTTACCGGTTGTTTTTGTTGGTGTCGCTTCCTCGGCCGTCTGTGATGCTGTCGCCGACCAGGGCGCAGCTGCGGGCTGTGGGTGGGAGGAGAGCTTCGATGGCGCTGATGAAGTACCTGGATTTGGCCGTTAGTTCTCTACTCGGTTGGGAGGATGTGTAAGACAGGCTGTTGAACTAACCAGTGATCGACGCTGTTGACGGAAGAATCTGTGAAATTAGTCCTCCCAACCCAGTTTCCGAAACTCATCCAAGATGTTGTTCGACTTCCAGGGTGTGATGTAATAGCTCCTCCACTTTGGCCGTGTTGCAAATAGATGTCGATCGTGAGCGTGTCTTGCGCTTTCACTGAGAGGTTGATCGGGTCTGAAACGACCAGACCTCCGTTCGGGATAATGGCATCTGGTCTCTCACTGAAGGCTACCTCTTTCGTGGTATTGGGTTGGACTATACTCGTTCCGAGCTTTTGGCCTGCCGATAGGCTAACAGCTACCTTGGTGATGGACAGATCGTCCAAGCCAAATGCATTAGAGAGTCGTACACGGATCTCGTCACCTGGCTGGGTGACTCGAATGGTCTGGCGGATGGTAGTATTTTGGAAAATAGACGTAGAAGAGTTCTATCAGTGTTAGATAGACGAATGCCACCATTGCTACAGAACATCGTACATATGGAGGTGGAGGTAAATTTGCCGGCTCAGTCAGTTGCGGCATAGCACTCCATATACTGACCCAGTGATTGTCCGAACCCAGCAATGCTGCATTACTTCGACGGCCTATTGATGAGGGAAGAGGATAACACCAGGCTATGCCAAGAAGGAGAGTGAACCCAACGATACGATACGATAAATGAAGTATCATATTTGACTATCCAATGAATTGCGTACAAACGGATGCTAGTCTTCTAGATCATGCAAGCTCAAGCAGCCTATATATACTTAGGTGATCAGCTACCACACTATACTTATACCTTTACCCCGGACCGGATTGTGCAATTACCCCAGATCCCCATCTCTCCGCATTTTGAGAGCTTAAACCGGCTAAACCGGCTAAATAAAGCTTCCTTTCGTACATATCACCAAATGAGCCAATAAGACATGGACCGGATAATCCTATTTCATCTCAATAGACACAGCTACCGGCAAAAAGGTGATAGACACGGCCATTGTTTCTCCGCAAATAGCCAACATGGCTTTCCTGGGCGATAAGCCACAATTGCCCTAATCGGCATGCAGCTGAGGCTCACATCGACATGCGCACCTACCCATAATAGTGCTCGATATGTCTCAGTATATCTCAAATATACACTAGTTCACATGTATGAAAGTGCTTCCATCATGCACGTTGATTACCCATGGTCCACAGTTATCTCCGCAAACTCCGCGATGAAGCGGGAAACAATCGGACGATAAATGCTTCCTCTGCTCCCACAAGTTCGCCTCATTGCACAGTAAACAATACACCTCAAGCTATGTCTATCTTTAAAGCCCCAAAGACTGCCCTCATAACCGGCGCAGCGTCCGGAATCGGGTTTGCTACCGCCAAGCTCTGCCGCAGTCGCGGCATGCACCTCGCGCTGCTTGATATCGACGCTGTCAATCTCCAGAGGGCGAAAGACGAACTTGCTGTGTTAGGCCCTTCTCTGAAGACTGAGTCATATGAGATCGATGTCGGTGATAAGAATAGGTGGACCGAGGTTGCGATCCAGATTGGATCGGCCTTCGCGGATGTGGATCTCGTCTTTTTGAACGCGGGAAGGTCGCAAAGAGCACAGTGCGGTTATGAAGGGAAACTGAAGCCGTGGGGAGATGTGGAATCGTGGAAGAAGGCTTGTCATTCCTCCTATTGTCTTTGAAAGCACCAAATTGACTTGATTAGGGTAGACGTTCGATACCAATGTGTTCGGACCGTTGAACGGTCTCGAGGCCGTTATCCCGTTACTATTGTCGTCCAACACACCCAAATCGATCGTAATCACCGGCTCTAAACAAGGAATTACTAACCCCCCAGGAGGTGGTGTTCCAGCCTACAATGCGTCCAAGGCGGCTATCAAGAGTCTGACGGAGCATCTTGCTCATGACCTTCGGTCGGATCCTGCGACTGCCCATATATCTGCACATTTATTTGTTCCTGGATGGACATGGACTGGCATGATGGGTAATGTTGGGCCTACACAAGAAGAGTCCGTGAAGAAGATGGCTGGGGCGTGGTATCCGAGTCAGGCTGCGGAGGTGCTGGTTAACGGGGTGGAGAAAGGATCGTTCTATATTATCTGCCCCGACAGCGAGACGGATTGGGCATTGGATCAGGCTCGAATTCAATGGGCTAGCGACGATGTGGTGGAAGACCGACCGGCATTATCACGCTGGGAGGGAAGCTGGAAGGAACGGGCTGAGGAGGAGATCCGGGCAGATGCTGAACGGCGGAGAAAATAAGTAGCAGGTTTGCTTGATTTCAGTGACCTGATCTGGGACTGTAATTCTTCAGTGTAGTAGGGCTGGCTTCTTGGTGCTCTGTGGATAAGCTAAAATGAGAATGTTCTCATTGGAGATATGTACTTCTAGCTTCGTACACAATCGGAAACCCTCAACCGCTGGTATCCTGTATTGGTTTATAGTTATGGCGGGGCCGAACAAACAAGAATAGAGGCAAGGATAGGCCGGCCAAAGTGGAAGCCACTATAAATGGAAGTCCAGCGTACTCAGTCCCGAACTTCAACCCCAAAGCGAAGGCACCTGAATAGATAGGGCCTGCCAAAGAAGTACTCAACACGTGGAGAATAGTGAAAGTGGAGTAGACAACGCTGATATCATCTGGGGAAATGATCATTGTCACAAGGGACCGCAGTGCTGAATTAAGTCCCCCCGCCATTGACATCAGAATAACCCCTAGGAGGGTATTGCTTAGAGATAGTTCTGAGACATGAAGTAGAAGGAAGGCATACCTATGATCGCAACTGGTATAGAAACGCCCAGCCCGAGTAGGAAACTTCCTAAACAAAGAATAGTTGCGCTAGCAATGGATATCGTAAAATCCGCTGTATATGCATTCATCCTCAAACGAGCTAAGAGCATTGTACTGATTTGCGGAAGAAGAATAATCAGGAACACAAACTGCACAGCCTCCCCTAGAGCCCACAGAAAGTTGGCCTGCTCATGATATCAGCCTTTTACTCCCATTATCTGATCGAGAAGGGACTCAACACATACCTGAGCGAATTCCCAGCTATATCTTTTCGAGATATAAAGTAACAGAATCATAGCGAGCGAGTCTTCGCATAGCTCGCCCAAAAATGACATCGCTAGTAATACTGTGAGCGAGAAGTTCCCGTAGACAACCCTTGCCCCTTCGTGGAGTTGCTCCACCACCAAGACGAGGCGAGATTGTATACTAGCATGTTTGTTGCCAAGGGATCCATTATCCTGGTTTACGGTACCCATACCGTGCGCACTATGTTGTCCTGGGTCCAGCACGGTGTTCTCATCCAGAGAATCCTCAGTGGAGGGGTTTGGCGCAAACGGAACGGCAAACACCGAGAGAAGAATGCAGAGTAACCCCAAAAGCCACGGCACCCAGACATTACGGGTCATGAGGAACGAGCTCACGAGCTGGGCCAGGATGGCCGCTGCAATTGCCATGGCGCGGATAACAAAGAAGGTTGAGGTCCGTGTTTCAGCCGTGGTGATCTCTGTGGCCAATAAATGTATAATAGTGCTGATGATGGCAGGACCGCCGCCGACGACTTCGAATAAGGGCGCAAGTAGGATGAGGCGGATCGGAGCCGAGTCTGAAAACCAGCAGATGAGACAGCTCCACGCCTCTTCACACAGGACGCCGAGCAACGCCAATTTCAGGGAAAGGCAGCGGCCATATCGTTCAGCGAAAATGCTCCACGGAATTACAAGAATGGCTATCCAACGTTGCATTGGACAGGTTAGCAGAAATATCGAATACAGGATACTGAGGGTTATTCAAGCTATACTAGGTAATACTGCCAATAATCTCTCTGTGCCCTTGAGGAAGGCCAGTTCCTCCTGGACAGCCTTGCTTTTGCATCTGTCCCTTGCTGGCGGGTCGTTCGAGTTCCATGGCAGGATACGGTGGCAGATAATGGTCTCGTAGATCTGGGTTCGTGGGGCTTGTTGGATATTTTCTCCAAGGAAAAAGAGGAAGGCCGTCAGATAAAGCAAAAGAAGCATACGCTTCGATCGCCTATTGTCACTTTCATGAGACATCTGACTATTGCGACATTATTCTGGGTGGTGGTTCGGGTGTGAGAGGGAGAGAGGGTGATGAGGGCGTCCAATTTGGGGGATTGATCGATTTCACTCGCGAGTCGCGCTTTTGAACCTGGGTCACCTTCGTTATCAGAACCCTAGCTTAGTCCCCATTCCTGATTTGCTCATTGGTCGCGTCTTAGTCGTCTCCGGTGACTAGGCGGACTCCGGAGAGCTATTCTCCTAATCCCTGCTAGGGGGATCTATTTGGTCCTGGTCTAAGCGCGCCGTCGGTACCGATGCTACTGCTAGAGAGGATCAAGCGAAAATTGTCATTTACCACTGTAGTCAACTCAACCTACTAAGTACCGCGGAACATAGCACCCATTTGTGTCTTTTTTATATGTTTGAAAAGTCGAATTAAGAATCTATTTGCATAAGTTGGTGCCGCGGTCGATGTACATTAAATGCAAAATGCTAAGATGAAAATGGGAGACAGTAGTATGCAGATCATTATCTCGCAGCTTCCCTGACTCTTCCCACTTGACCAGCTTACCGGGTTCAAAAACCGCAATGCGATTATATAGGCTGACAGTACAGAGTCGATGCGTGACCGCCAGCACAGTATGTTAGCTGAATCTTTCTTCGAGGAATAGGAGCATCAAGGTCTCTGTCGCTCGGTCTAGACTACTTATGAAATCGTCGAGTATCAGGATCCGTTTGTAGCCAGTCATCGGAAAGCTTCGACCAAGACAAAGTAGCTGCTTCTGGCCGTGGCTGAAGGGTGATGCGTCGGTATCGGCATCCAAGCCAACCTCGAGATGCGACTGTTTCGCACAGTTCCAGTGACTCCAGTATAGACTGCAGATCAGTGTCGGAGTAGTCAAGGGAAGGATCACGATTTTGTCGAATACTTCCCCCGGAAAGTCCACAAGGACTTGAGGAATAGTATTGCACATGGATCGTACCGCGTCCCACGGCAAGGTCGAAATGCCGACACCGTCTATGATTATGAGACCCTCCCGAGTCCATTGCTTTGTCCTTCAAGAATCCTACAGTGATCCACTGGCCGCCATTCAGTACCATAGCCAGCGCTTCGTGAAAACATATATAACGCTATGGACACCCTCTAGAAAAGCGGAATATCAACATGATACATCCCTCCTTCAAGCCTGATTTAGCACAGTCTCTATTCAAATGGAGGCCAGACTCGTTGGTCGCGGATGGCCCTTATTACCACAAATCAGACGAACTGGTGCCTGTTACCGCGTTTTATAGAGTTATTGCCGAACCTTGATATGGATCTGGCCCTTGTTAATCCCTATGCTCTAGGAGTAAGTGTCTCCCATCCAGAGGAACGATCCGCTAATGCGTTCTGATACTATCAAACAAGCCAATACTCTAGTATAAGTAACTAATTGTTTATGGCCTCAACTTGTCAGTAGTAGTAGGGATTAGTGTTCATTACTAAGAGGGGTCCGAGATAACTAACTAACTAATGTTGGATAGAAGGATAAGGTTACGGTTAAAGATAAGTATCACCGACATACCGAGCGGGAACGCTGACCAATGTAACCTATGCAACGTCAACGATCGCCGGATTCGTCGAGTAAAGCGACATGCGGAGATTAGTGTGGGGGTTTCCCCAAGCTTGGAGGTCAAGGCACGGCGCTTTCACTCGCCTATCATCTTCTTCTTCTGGTAAGGTTGCGACCTTCTTATCGTCCACTATGATACTACTCTGCCGACCTGCAGGATGAGGTGAGGAGAAGCTTTATAAACCTGCACCGCTTGCGAGGGGTCACAAAGTCTTGAAGATTCTGTGTCCCTTACTTCTGCTCGCTTCAACCTCCCTTGTCCTTTCCTCTGTACCACTCCCTTTCCTCGTTCTTTTCCTACCCTTGGAGCCAGGATCATGGCATCGAACAGTGCCCCTCCTGCTGACCTGGATCGTCATGATACCTCTAAGTCCGCGGGGCGGACTTCGTTACCAGATGAGGCTAACAAATTGGGAGTCTACGCATCCGCTCCAGGTGTAATCGAGGATGTAGTCAGAGTAACTGATCACAAAGCTGAACGAGCTTTGTGTCGTCGTTTTGACCTGCGGTTGCTTCCTATTTTAGCTGTTATGTGTGAGTTTCTGCTACTACGACCTCCATTCACGACATTCACTGACCCCATTAGATTTGTTCAATGCCTTGGATAAAGGAAACTTGGGGAATGCTGAAACCGATGGACTGAGCAGAGGTAAGGCCTAGTCCTATGGTACACAGTCTCAAGCTGATTGATCAACAGACCTCAACTTCAAATCCAATGAATATAATCTCCTCCTCTCCATATTTTTCGTCCCATTTGTGATTTTCGCGCCGCCGTTTGCGATGATAGGGAAACGATTTGGTCCCGCTCGTGTGTTGCCTGTCCTCATGTTCAGCTTCGGCTCCTTTACCCTCCTGTCGTCTGCAACCAAGAATTTCGGTGGCCTTTTCGCACTCCGATGGTTTCTTGGAATGTCGGAGGCGGCATTCTTCCCACTGGTCATCTATTACCTGACCACCTTCTACCGCCGTGGCGAGCTTGCCAGGCGGCTCGCCGTCTTCTATGCGGCATCCAACATTGCTAACGCTTTCTCGGGTCTGATCGCTTTTGGTGTATTTCAAATCAAAAACTCCAGCATACCGAATTGGCGCTACCTCTTCCTCATTGAAGGGGGAGTAACCGTACTCTTCGCCATCTTTTCATTCTGGTACCTCCCTCGCAGCGCGTCGGAGGCCAAGTTTCTCTCGGACGACGAAAAAGCCCTTGCCTTCCATCGCATTCAAGTCGACTCCAGTGCAGTAGTCAACGAGGAATTCCGGTTGCGGGAAGCCATCGGTATTTTCAAGCATCCTACTACGTACGCATTTCTCGCCATTGAAATCTGCCTAGGCGTGCCTCTACAAGGCGTCGCGCTGTTTTTGCCGCAGATTGTCCAACGGCTCGGCTACAGCACCGTGAAAACAAACCTGTATACGGTCGCTCCCAATGTGACCGGAGCAGCTATGTTACTGGTGCTGGCATTTTGCTCTGACGCGGCCCGTCTCCGATCACCTTTTATCGTCCTTGGTTTTCTCTTCACATTCGCCGGATTCATGATCTATGCCTCCATAAACGACGTACACGCACAGATCCGAGTCGCTTACTTTGCAACGTTTATGATGACCTGGGGCACATCGGCCCCATCCGTTTTGCTGAGCACATGGTATAACAACAACGTGGCGCACGAGGGACGTCGCGTCCTCCTCACCAGTATTGGTGTGCCATTGGCCAATCTGATGGGGCTCGTAAGCAGCAACGTCTTCCGCAGCCAAGATAAGCCCAAGTACATGCCAGCATTGATCACGGTGGGAGCCTTCGGGGCTACGGGTGCTACGTTGGCAGGGCTCCTCGGGATTTACATGTGGCTGGATAACAAACGGCGCGATCGGAGAACAGGAGTTAGTGTCAGAGCGCAGGATGTGCCCACCGAGCGATTGAGGGATGGCCCTGCCAGTGATGAGTTCCGGTGGTTCCTTTGATTGGTTTCCACCTCTTGTCATGAAGATTGAGTTGAGTAATATGTTCCAGCCACGCGTATATGAGATTGATGATTTGTTACGACACTCTTGACGAAGCGATACCTATACGAGATTGTGTTAGTAGTCCTATTTATCGTAGTATTTGACAAGGCCCCCCACGGCTTCTCCAAGCTTCAATGAGTCCCCACTTCTCCGCATGTAACGTGGGGGCTCTCCATCCCCGGATCTACAGAAGCCGGGAATGTGGACTGTTCCTCTCGAGAATTGCTACCGTGGTACCGTCTGGTATGATGCAAACACTTGTCTCTCAATATTATCGTCATGATCTATCCCATCGGATGGTCATGTGAGGCTTGTTTGACCGGTCATCTTTGACTCCTTCCGTAAACGTTTAATGTCGGGTGAGAACCCACTCAGGCTTCTACCCGTTCAAGATATTGGTTCGTATCCCGCGCTTTGACCTTTTCCCTCATTTTACATTGCTAGGAAACCCCTGTTCTGTACCTAGTACGCTACCATGGGTTTACGGTGTGGTAACTGACAAATCTAGGTTAGGTTTCTTTCTTTACCACGCGTTGAACGGAGAGACACTACCAGGAACCATTCTAATAGGCTGTCTCACTTCAACCTTTCATTGTTTTGCTGCTCTGATGTGATATGAACCGCTTAATTCAAAGAACCGGGGAAAAGGAAAAGAAGGAAAGAAGGGAAGAAGGGAAGGAAAGAAAAGAAAAGAAAAGAACGACTCTTAAGTGTCCTAGAACACTCCAAGCCACTCTTTTGGGAATCATGCACAGTATGCTATACCCACATCAGTGCCCTGCGGTGTACCACTGGACGCAATTGGAATTACCTCCGGCTCGCTAGTCGCTACGTCTAACAATGCCGGTCCTCGACAACGTAGCAACCAATATATAGCGTGCGGGAGATCCTCGACCCGTTCACACCGCTGCCCCTGGCATCCCATACTCCTTGCTAGTCGGTCAAAGTCTAGGCTGGATTTAGAATCGCAACAAATATTTATATCATAAACTGATTTCTCCGCCGGAGAAAGAGCTCCTCCTGGCCGACTGTTGAATACAATCACTTTTATTTGTATCTGGTGCTGCAGAGCGGTTATAAGCTCTTCCATCGTGGTGCAAAATGACGCATCGCCATCCATAGCAATCACCTGTTGGTCTGGTAGTGCTAGCTTAGCGCCAATTGCAGCCGGTAAGCTGAATCCCATGGTAGTGAAGCTGCCAGAGGTGATGAGCGAATGTGGGTGTGTACAACGGAAATGCTGGGACGTCCACATCTGATGCTGACCGATGCTGGTGGTAACTGTCGTGCTGCTCTTCATTGGGGTCGTTTGGCGGTTCAGCTCGGCCACAACCTGTTCGGGATGTGGTCGGTTTTTGGCCCTCGCAACAGGTATTTGAAAGGGATACTCCTTTTTCCACATCTGGATTTGGTCCAGCCATCCATCTCGCTCATCCACTGGAGTCAAGAGGGATATTAGTATTGGTAACGTCTCCGAGAGATCTCCAAGAATGATTTCCGTGGGTTGGATGACCTTCCCCAACTTCTCCGCATTGATGTCAAAATGTACGATGCCCCTTCCTCCCCTATCCTTATCAAGAGCCTTTGCTGCAAACCCAACTGAATTGCCTACCGCTCGCTCATCCAGGGTGGCACCCACCACGATCAGCAAGTCGGCATTTCGAATGGCATAATTAGCGTACGGGGCGCCGTGTATGCCGATCATGTGCAAGGCCTCTTCGCGGGTTTCGTCGAAGGAGCCCAGGCCAAGCAACGTCGTGGCAACGGGGATTTGGGCCTTTCGAGATATCTTCGACAACAATTTGCAACCCCGGGCTGTGGCCAGGACCCCATTGCCTGCACATATTACCGGGGTTCTGGACTGATTAATCACGTCGGCCACCCGAACAATTTTCTCATACATATAGTCAGCACTACCTGAGGGCGATATACAACCGCGAGCCAACCCGTTCAGTTCCTGGACTACCAGAGACACATTGGATGAGTCCTGTAATGCGTGTGAGTCAAAGACTGATTCGCCAATCCCAGGTAATATGTCCACAAGGGTCGGTCCAGGCTGTTTACCCCCTGCATGAGCAAATGCAGCATCGATTGCTTTAGGTAGCTGGCCAAGGCGCTGTACGGAAGTCCTCCATTTTGTGCATGCTCTGGCCTGCTGTATGATGCTTAGCTCCTGATAGCCGTCGGTTCCTTTCGTGTCGGGTGCCTGACCACAGATCACTACCATCGGTGTTCTATTCAAAAGCCCATCGAGCATCGGCGTTACCATATTGGAACTCCTGGGGTCAGTACCCACAAAGACAACACCCGGTCTCCGTGTTGCCTTTGCGTAGCCCTCAGCCATGTGGCCGGCTCCTCGTTCATGTCGAGAGGGAATGAAGCTGATGACAGGGGACTTGTAAACATCGCCAAACAACGAAGGTACCGCTGCCCTAGGGTGGCCAACTAGACATCTATTAGAACGCACCGGTATATGAAGAAGGTGTCACTCACAGACATGATCCACGCCATGGCTGATGAGATGCTGGTGGAGAATCTCTCCACCACTCAATCCTAAAAGATCATAATTTTCCATGTCAAAAGTAGAATTTCATGTCGTAAGATTAGATCGGCGCAGGGAATAGGATCCTGGAACATCCACCGGGGTCACTCTAACCCCCTTATAAGTTGGGGGTGAGAAGGGACGCCTGCAGGACTAAGTTCGGAAGCTACTCGACATATCTAGTGGCCTACGTGGACATACGAGGGAACAAAGAACCTGCAGAATGTACAACCATCACTACATCATGCATCCAGAAACCGGTCTCATTCGGTGAAGAAACATGCCAGCCAATGCCCTAAAAGGGTAACAGCCTGCAGGGCGGTCTCCCAGAGTCTTGCCAAATTGGTTCATTGCTTGCCACCATGCATGCGACCTCTATACTCAAACTAAAACCTGATCACCGTGTCAATATAACCGGAATTCCAATCAAATAAGCTCTAACCCTTACAGTCCAAATAAACCTTAGTTCTCATGTCGCCCAGTAGCTCTTTTAACTACTCGATTCTCAGTGCCCTGAGGCAAGGTCTGGCACAGATCGGGCCAACAATCCGCCAAATACTCCCGCACGGCGATCATGGCCTCGGGATTGCCTCTCATTTGAATGGCGAGATGATTATCGTTGACGGTGAAGCTTATCACTTCAATTCGGATAATCAATTGCATAAATTGGAAGTTCCCGTTCATCATGATCACCTAATTCTGACAAACCCTCACCAAGAACCTTTCCTCCCTGACCATGCCGACCTTACACACGGCACTGTCGCCTCTTCTTCCCTCGAAGCGGAACTGTCTTCTGTCTCTTCGCCTCGATGGGGTGTTTAATCACGTCGCCTTCCGAGTCATCCCCGCTCAATCTCACGCGAGGGAACCCCTACTCGAGCTATCGAAACGTCAGCAATCGCAATCAGCCCACAATGTTCGGGGGCCTCCTATTTGGGTTCCGGTCACTTGGCTTTAGTAATGGCTTCAGCGTCGCGGGATTTCATCTACATTTTCTCTCCGACGATTGCAATGCGGGCGGACATGTTACCAGGTTGGAGGCATGGGACGCGAAGCTCTCGGCGGCGGTGATCAAGGAGTATCGGGTTAGGATACACCAGGAGGAGTCCCATGAGGTCCCGATTGGTGACCGGGCGATAAAAGTAAATACGCGCTGCTGAGGGATAATGAGTTCTTTGAGTCTTGACTTCCGATAAAGTACTGATGCGTCTCAAACTGGTCGGTCATCCTCGCAATCTCTGTTGACTCGAACCACTTGCGGAAGCTAATACCCGTGGCTCTAGTACTGCTATTCATCCGCCGTTTCGCCTGTTACCATCCCTTCGCCACCACCGCGTTGGACATGACACAACATTATCACCTTCAGCCGATATATACGTTACACATATACGCGGCCACAGGGGTGATCTAGCTGATCCAAGCGCACCCCGCCATGCTGAAATCATGCACAGGATCCCCGACAGAATCTCCAAAATACCATGCGTCCTGCCGCATCGTGGCGATTCTCACGATGACATTCTTCAGCCAGCGAGTGGGGCACCTCCAGCGGTGACGTCGGGACATTATTAATCGTCTCCAAAGATTTTCCTCAAAACTTCCCTCCCCATAAATTTGCGACTGAATTTCGCATCCGTGACGATCAATATAGACATTCATAATTTTTTGGAAAAAAAAAAAAAGAAAAAAAAGTCGCAATGGCCTCACTCCATCAATGGACCACCCCATTAAAGGGCCTAGACTCGCTTCGCCTCACCCAAGCCCCGAAGCCCACCCCAGGCAAAGGCGAAGTGCTGGTCGAGATCCATGCTGTGTCGCTAAACTACCGCGACGTCGAGGGTACGGTAACTAGCGCATCCTTCGGCCGGGGTCAAGCGTCACAGCTAATCTTATCGATCGATCAGTGACTAATGGCGAATACACCCACCACCAATCCGTCGATCAAGAGAACAATATCGTGCCATGCTCGGACATGTGCGGTGTCATCACCGACGTCGGCGTTGATGTCACCGCATGGAAAGTCGGCGATCGCGTCCTTTCCACCTTCCTCCCTGACCACCAAACCGGCCAGGTCACCGAGAAAGAATTATCGCGGGGACTGGGTCTGCCGCTGGATGGTGTCCTGACCGAGTACCGCGTGTTCCCGGAGCATGCGCTCGTCAAAGCGCCGAGCTATTTGACCGATGAACAAGCTGCGACGCTGCCCGTCGCCGCCGTGACGGCCTGGATGTCGATCAACGGCATGCGACCGATGGGTCAGAACGGAGGAAACGGCGAATATATCCTGTTGCTGGGAACGGGTGGTGTCGCTATTTCCGGATTGCAGATTGGCAAGGCGTCTGGTGCTAAGGGTTCGTTTCGCTTCACCCCTCCCCTCCATCCCTCCGTTCAGCATCGCACAAAACATACCTAACTAAAATGCTTCGCAGTAATAATCACCTCCTCCTCAGACGAAAAGCTAGCCCAAGCCAAACAACTGGGCGCCGACTACACCATCAACTACCGCACAAACCCCAACTGGGCAGAAGAAGTCATGCGCCTAACCAACAACCACGGCGCAGACATCATCCTCGAAACGGGCGGCGCCCAGACACTGAGAAAGAGCTTTGACTGTATCTCCTTCGGCGGACTGATCAACTGCATCGGATACGTGTCTGGGAAGATGGATGCGTCGGAGGACCGGACCAACGTCAATTTGCTGACGCTGCGGAGGACGGTTACACTGAAGGGGATCATTAACGGGCCGAAGGATCGGTTCGAGGAGATGGTTGCATTTTATGAGAAGGAGAGGATTCAGCCGGTTGTTAATAAGGTGTTTGAGTTTGGGGAGGCAAAAGAGGCGTTTAAGTTTTTGGCTGGGGGGAGTCATTTTGGGAAGGTTGTTGTTAGGGTGAAGTAGATTTAGACGTGGAGATGGATGGGTTAAGTTGTGTATGCTTGGGAGTGTGTTATGATGGGGGGGGGGCGTTTGTGAGTGGGATGGTCAAGTACTTTGTTGGAAGATATGGACATGTACACGATCTTTTGGCAAAGAGCAAACGCAACCCTTTCTTGAAGAATAGATAGAATAGATATCTACAATGTGAGAACATAATTTATATCCATGATATAACAAGGCCCCTATGAACGAGGGAAACTAGTTGCTGAACACCCACAGAGTTTTGATAACGAGGCCACGCTGGTGAGGTCTAGGTTGCGGTTTGGAGGTAACCTATGTGATTGTTTAGTAATAGAGTAATATGACAATATAAAAGAGAAAATAGAAAAAAAAGAGACCATAACCAAAAAGAAGGAAAGAGAGAAAAGACATACATGGCCACTTCAGTATACATGGCAGGCTACTGAGAATCTGTAGAAAATTGAGAAGGCTAGTGAAGCGTACTACTACATGGCACCGTAATTGTACACGACGAACCCTACCGCTGCCTAAAAGAACTTATATCATTCGTCGCAAGTTGGCGCTTCCTCATATATTGACTGCTGGCTAGGCACACATGCAGCGCCTGTTATCGGGAGAATGTTGAAACTACCAATCCACCAGACGTGTCTGTTCACAACTGTTAAACCGTATATATCCTACCGCACCGGGCCTCCAACATCATCTCACGCCCCTTTCTTCCTATCCAGATATCGTTCCCTCCGCCTTTCGCAACTTAATACCTCCATCTCCGGCAACATGCCTAATGAATCAGACGAATCCGAAACAAAGCAGCTCCCCAACCTATTCCCGACAAAGGGGTCGCCCATATCGCCCTTCTATGCTATGCCTCAGTCGGGCACCAACAGACTATCTAACTGAAATGAGACGAGCCCCGCCGATATCCGCCCGGTTTTCCCCGTGTACTACTTCTTCTACGGGTCACTAACACGGTTCTCTCGGCGGAAAAGGATCCTCCGCTTGGATGACGAGCCAAAACTTCGAAAGACCGAGGTGATTGGGTACGACATTACGAAATGGGGCGACTACCCTGCGTTGATCAACGGGAAGTAGGGCCAGGCTGTTACTAGATATGCGTACCTTGTACAGTCCGAAGAAGAGGCGCGAAAGCTGGCAGAATATGAGACAAAAGCATACAAAGTAGCTCCCCTATCGGGATTTCTTTCAGGATGAGAGGGAGCCGAAAGAGGTTGGCGGCAAGATATTTATGTACGCGGGTGATGCACAGGCACATCTGGAGGGGCGGTTTGATCGTAAGCTTTGGGAGCACCAGATGGGAGGGACGATGATATGGTGGGTATATTTTAGGATATTTAGTTTTGATATACTCGCATTTATAACATGTCGCCTTTGATAATCATATTTCACTGCTTGGTTCACAATCTGTAGCTTCTTATACTGTCCTGAAAATGGTTGTAGTGTTTGTCGCTTTGCTGAGCACGTTCGTTATCTCTTGGGTGGCGCTGAGAGAGGTTTGCGCGGGCATTTCGGGTCCATGAAGTATCTCTGGACTTGGATGAGACTTAAAATGGGTTCTGACATGGTCTCTGGAGATTACGGTAGTAAGTATCTGACGATAATCTTACCACTCTGCTTCAGTCATCAGGTTAGTATAGTCTGGGTGCAATGAACTTCTTACTTGCGATCAATGGTTTGTTCTGGTAGTGATTCCTTTGTTGTACGTAAGGACGCTGATCTAATTATGTCTCTGGAGAGAGCCAACTCATCGAGATATCAGATTTAGTCGTCGAGGATAACGTAATCGACGAGGTCGGGTTTGCCAACCCCATAGTAGCCGGCAGAGAGTTCTATTCTAGGTTCAAGAACAGCGAAAGAATTGAGGAGGAAGCAGAGCCAGTTTAAAGCGGGACGTTGTTGAAAGTGGCCTGGAGGCGAGTCCGGTGTGATCGAGTCGTGACTAGTCTCTATGATCTTTTGCGAGACTAGTTCACTTAGGAGATAATGCAACAACGCCGTTACATTCGACTTGCCCATCATTATCTTCAACTCTAGCAACTAAAACATTATATATATCATCTGGTCTAGGCGCCCACTATTTAAACTGTCGAATGATCATCCGATTGTTACCTTCTACTAATGGATAGCAACTGATTGAGAGGATATATAATGTATGCTTAAGACAACTAAAACTTAATACCTATTCCGTAGTTTGAATGGAATGTAAAGGGGCGAGAGTCACGAGGCCTTTGGTTCATTTGAGTGGATTAGCGGAGCAAACAAATTAGACCATAATTAAACATAATATATTAGATTAACAACAAATTACTCTAATTTCAACATTAACCAAAGAAGAGGATGTCTTACGTCTTCAGAGCAGAGACGATGTAAAGATCGGGAATCAACCGTCGGGTCCCGTGTAATCTCCGGCCCTAAAACCTTCAATCCACTCGTCCAGACCTATGCCGGGTCATTTCCTGAATATGGCAACCGAGCAGCAAAGGTATATCTTGCACCAAGGACAGAAGAGTTCCATTTGTCCGGTTGAGTAGGCTTTTAAAGTGCTACAAGATTGTAGATAAGCAAGAGAGAGGAGCTGAGTCTGGGTTGTATCAAGTCCATATGCAACTGTGACTTCGACCCCGCCATGAGATACAATGGTGCCCATTCTAGTAGAAGCCAAGGCCCGTGCAGAATGCAACATGATCATTTAACGACATTACACTCTTCACTCGACGATTCTTCACCCCTATAGAGTTATCTTGGCTTAGTCCTGCAGGAAGATAACGGAGCGGATAAGAAGGTTTTCACCGTCAATGATGCCGCAGATGCTACCCACGAGGTTCCATAGCATAACGGCATATTAAGCCTATATAGAAACGTGGTAACAAGGTAATTTCCCGGGTTCCAAGATATATCATGATTCATGTCCGTTTGCTTTAGTGATCGTATACGAGATAAAGAAGACGCGTGGGAGGGATCGGCGGTGACAATTACCGCAGATGGCGAACTTTAGGCCCTATGGTACGTCGTAATAGTGAGAGAACCCGTGATAGCTGTTCGTACACCTATGACCAGTGCACTAGATCGATAATTTCTGAGGGTTGCTGGCCAGAGTTGAAGCGATACCCAGAATCATGCCACTGTCACCATCGGAGTTACACTGTAACAGGAGTTGGAATTGACGATCCTGCGACTCTTTCCTCGGAACATAGTCTCACTAAAGACCGAAAAGATTGATCTACGATAGCACTCAATTGTAAGAGGAAATATTGGCCGGACAGATGTAACTCAACCGTATACCCAGAACCGTTGCAAGGAAAGATAGAATGGAAGTTTGGTTTTCATGGCCAGATTGACACTGGAATATAAAAGGAGCGAAGCTGGTTTCACCATGCAATCAGACCTACCACAGTAAAAATCAACCTAGCAGTGATTATGCACCTTTATTGCCATGGAGCCCATTATACCAGACTATCATATTACGGCCTGGGCCTATTTTGCCAGTATTATGGCGTTGGTCTTGGTTGAGGGCTTGGTCAGACTACCTACAGACTTCGCCTTGTTCATCAGGAAAGGTAAACAGATACCGCAAAACATCATCATTCAAAAAATGGATTGCTAACGTATACTCTCGCATATAGGCCACCCTCAGCCCTTAGGCCCCATTATCCATTCGAGAATTTACGTCCTCGTCCACAAGTTATCTACCCTCCCTCTACCATTCATTTTCACCAACCATCGTGGCTCCGATGTGGTTCGCCTATCAGCATTCACAGGTCTAAATATTCTCTGGGGGTGGAATAGATTAAGTGAAAAGTCTGACTTCGCCCTATACGGCTGGCTTACAATTGCCAACGGCGGAATCTGTCTCTTAATGGCCGCGAGAAATAACATCCTTGCGACGGTAGCACGAGTGCCATCAACAACCCTCCTAATGTATCATCGTTGGACCGGACGCACTGCGCTAGTCCACTCCACCATCCACTTCGTCATGGTAACCCGTCGCTGGCTCACAACAAAAGAAGCGGCTGAACACTTCCGACATCGATTTATCCACGTCGGTCTGGTGGCATGGCTAGCACTATGCATCATTGCAGTCACGTCCATTAGCTTGATCCGGCGCAGGTCTTTCGAGGCATTCTACTATAGCCACTTCGTCTTCTTGGCGTTCGTTATCGGAGGGATGATCCACGTTCCGCGTCCTGGTCAGGAGTTCTTCCTACCCGGTCTAAGTCTCTGGGTCATTGACCGTCTCATCCGCTTTTATTACAACTTCCGCCCTGCCCGCATCACAGACGTGGCACAGTATGAGGGGAATCTAACTAAGCTAAGGATTAGAGGTGTATCCTCACATCAACCAGCCAGGATTGTGTGGATACAAATCCCAAATGTCTCCTTCTTGAACTGGCACCCATTTACCCTCGCCTCCGCTGGTCCAGGTGACGAAGTGACTGTAGCGATTCGCGGCTTGGGTAGTTACACGAGAACAGTCCAGGTAGCTGTTGAAGTCGCACGGCATACCAGTATTCCCAGCGAGGAATTCAAGTGTCTCCGGGTACGCGTTGACGGGCCGTATGGTGTTAGCGGAATTCGCTGGGGGTTATATCCGGTCATTGTTATCGTGGCCGGAGGGGTAGGCATTACGCCAGGTCTCAGCATCGCATCATACATTATGCAGCAGGCTAGTCGTGCCGCCGGACCGGGAAATTGCCAGGGCTGGCACATCCATTTTGTTTGGGTGGTCAAGTGCAGGGCGCATGTAGCTTGGTTCACGGATGCGCTGAGCTCCCTTAAGACCATGGCATCGGTACCTTCCACCCGAGCTACATTTGAACTCACGATTCATGTCACACAGGAACATACCTCGAACGATGCGAATGTTTCGGAGAAGAAAGAGATTGGCATTAGCGTTTCAGATGCAGGTGGCTATGATGGCCCGGGGTCGCTTATGCTTGGTAGACCTAATCTTCCGCAGGTCTTCAAAGACTTGCGAGACATGTATCCAACACTGGATGCGGCTGTTAGCGTTTGCGGTCCTAGATCCTTGGTTAAGGGGGTTAGAACAGCAGCTGCGATGGAGAGTTGTCTCTCTGGGGTATTCCATGTTGAAGATGAAGCTTTTGAGCTCTAGAGGCCTATCAGGTGTGCGTTTCTACAATTCGAACGGAATGGCTTGACTCTTTATGATACAATGCTAGGGTAGGTAGATTCATGCTGAGATGATAAAGCTAGATACGATACTGGGTACAATCTAATCAATGATAATGTGCCTTCCTTTTCCTAGCTTTTGTTCAAGTTACGGAATATCGAGACGGACAAAATTGTCAAGCTCAACTGTAGCATAACCCCACTATCACATAAAGCATTCGTACGATCAACTAGTGAAACCCAGTGCCTCGCCTACAGAAAGTAATCCGGTGTCCATCTTTGTACCTTAGGCTCGCCATATCTTGGGGAACGGTCAAACTGGATGCTAGTCACAGAAGTACGCATACCTGTGGATCTGCGTGCAGGGCACAAATCATACAACTTGTAATTGAGATTTTCGTCAATTCCAATGATTGCAGCCTGATTGCCACAGAGCGGTAGCAATAGTTTGGGGCTAAATTGAAGCCTTCAGCATCTGAATAACCCGATATATGCCAACGAGGAGATATTTACCGGAAAACCGTGGCCACATGTCTATCATGAGGCCAGAAATACCTATCCATCACCATCTGATGCGCCCGAGCAACAAATCTCATACCACTGGCATGACTAAGTGCCTCTGAGGCGTCCTTCCAAAAGTATACCCAGCTCCACGAAGAGAGATAGTCCACCCAGCTCAGTCATCAGGGTCACCCCAGTGCAAGTCACACATAGCGCCACTATGAGGGGGCTCCTGGACTCGACCAATAGCACGGACCTCATCGAGTGTACTAATAGAAGGGCCTAGCCCTCCATGCAGATAGAAACTCTGGTTCTTGGCAAGGGCGGTAATGGGAAAGTAATCGAATAAGTCCATATAAAATGTCCAAACATTCGTACTAACATATTTGCGAAGGCACTCATCATAGAACCCTAAACCTGTGGGATCTGCCGAGATTCGTGATTTCCACGAAGGATCGTGATACGTTTCAGGTAGCGGATTTTAAGGGCGATGAGGAGAGATACAGATTCGACGGAGTGACAGCCACGATCGACGTAGTCGCCTACAAAGAAAGGGAGGATACATCAGCGCTATGTTCATGTTACCCATCTGAAGAATTTTCTCGCGTCTTACCTATGACAAGGTATTTTGTGTCAGGACATGGTCCGCTAATGTGGAACAGGAACAGCCCTATTAGATCGTAATACTGACCATGGATATCTCCACAAACGGTGACCGGGCATTTCATTGATTCAGCTTGGACCACCTCTCTTGCCTGTAACTTCACAATCACTGATGAATATAAAATCATATACGGGGTCAATCGGAGCGTAAAATAAATGCTTATCTGCTTGCATAAATATTCCACCTCTTCCTCTGACAGCTGCTTGCACTTCGACAAGTGGTCAATATACCTATCTACAGTACAGTTAGACTAGAAATTTATTCTCTGCTCTAGGCTAGAAAACCCGAGTGATCTGGGAGGGTGGGATTGCATGTCCGCGTCCATTATCCTGTTCAAAAAGCATGGCTGTAGGGATTTCGTGTCGAAATATGGTAAAATATACCATCATTGGGTTTGAGGAATGGATGATCGATGAATTCAATAATAAAATGTATGTTGGCTGGGGATTCCGGCTGACAAGCGTTGGGGTGTTAGTGGTAAGGATAGCTGTAGATAGTAGGAATAAGAATGATGATTTGGTTGAGAATGATCTCCACATAATGCCTTAACAATGTACGTTGAGGCATTGATATAGTGGCGTGGAAGGATGTTGTAAATCTATCCTCGTCGGTGTCCTGTTTTCGGGCTCAAAGGCGACACATAGAACGATTCGATGTCATTTGACCCACAATACAATCTTGGGTATATTGGTTCAGGAACAATTTCTATATAGCATGAAAAGGATACACTAGGCACTGTGCTTAAAGGACAGATTGCTTGACATACCAACGGGCGGGAATACGTACGGAGTGCCTTTTCTTCAGAGGAGACTCCAAGCTCCTCAAACCAAACGCAAAGTTCTTGATCGTAGCTAGCCTTTGAAAGAATAAAATATGGTCAAAAGGAATCATGGATCCGCTGTGGAGACCAAGGTGTTCAAAGTCCGACGCTCAGTTCGGAATTCCGACTTGAAACCCGGAAGCTGACCGTCAACTCAATGAGGGTTCTGAGTGTTAGTTGAGCTTGCGAAATAGTAGCAAGTTAACAATAGAGTTTCTCCTATTTGCTAATCCCAACACGAGCTCAGATTGTTCGTAGCTAAACAAAAAGCAGGCGCATTCAGATATCTCTAGAATCATTGATAGAACATCGATCCCAAACCGTCTTCAAAACATTAGCCCCGAACTCCTCGACGCGATTCCCTTCACTGTAGATCCCGCGTTTATTCTCTGATTCATACTCTTCCCATTTTCTTCATTAGGACACGTCCTGCAGGTAGTTAAGCATAATGACCGACCAGAATGAGATAGATGTGGATTCTATCATCGAGAGGTTGCTTCGGGTTAGAGACGACCGGCCTGGTAAACATGTTCAACTTCAAGACTCGGAGATTCGAAATCTCTGCCACAAGGCGCGTGGAATCTTCATCGCCCAGCCCATATTATTAGAGCTCCGAGCGCCCATTCAGGTATGTCTTCAGTGTCAGTGTCACATTAGCTAGAGCAGTTCGAGACCCCAATAGTACAAATCAGTGACTAACCGAGTAGGTAAACAGATTTGCGGAGATGTTCACGGCCAGTATTACGATCTCTTGCGTCTATTTGAATACGGCGGTTATCCACCAAATGCCAACTACCTGTTTCTCGGTGACTATGTCGACCGCGGCAAACAGTCCGTTGAAAGTATCTGCCTCCTGTTAGCCTACAAGGTCAAGTATTCTGAAAATTTCTTTATACTCCGAGGAAATCACGAATGTGCGTCAATCAACCGAATCTATGGCTTTTATGATGAATGCAAGAGAAGATACAACGTCAAACTGTGGAAGACATTCATTGATTGCTTCAATTGTCTACCGATCGCCGCCATCGTGGAGGACAAGATTTTTTGTATGCATGGGGGGCTTAGTCCGGATTTGAACTCAATGGAGCAGATCCGTCGCATCATGCGTCCGACAGATGTAAGATCCTTTCCCAAAACATTACCAGCCAGCATGTGTTGTTCCAACCCTGATATCTATAGATCCCTGATACCGGATTATTGTGTGATCTCCTCTGGGCGGATCCAGACAAGGATATCACGGGATGGGGCGAGAACGATCGTGGTGTTTCCTTTACCTTCGGCCCTGATGTCGTCGCGCGATTCGTTGAGAAACATGAGATAGACCTGCTCTGTCGCGCGCATCAATGCGTGGAAGATGGATATGAGTTCTTCGCCAAACGGAAACTTGTGACACTGTTCAGTGCGCCAAACTATTGTGGAGAGTTTGACAACGCGGGAGCGATGATGAGCGTTGATGAGAGCCTGTTGTGTTCATTCCAGGTAGGGACCATCGTATTCCTAATAGTCCTCATATCCTCGATAATAATTCCTGATTGGTGCTGTTCTTAGATTCTGAAGCCGACCGAGAAGAAAAAATCGTTTATTCCTAGGGGATTAAAAGCAGGCAAATCCACCACCTCTTCAGGTTAGCAGAAGGAGCCATACCGTTCCCAATTATCGAGGTAAAACTCAAAGCCCTAGTGGCTCACTGAGGCTATCGTGGATGAAGGCTACATATCACGTTACTCGGTCGCTGTCCTTTTATGCGACAGTTATCGCATGGAAAATGTCCAAGTTATAGTTCTTGGACAAAAGTCTACGTAATTTCCCGCAACCACCAAAATATATATAATAATCGGAACATCATAATCTCACATAAAACCACCAGACATTAATATTTTTATAAGATATTCAAATATATAATAGCTATATTGTATATAAAGAATTGTATATATTTTTTTTTATACTAGTAGCGTGTATACCATCCCTTTGCCTCTAAAACTGCATTCACACGGCTCTCCATAGACCTTATTAAGGAATCAAAATAATCCTCTCCTAAGCTCTTCCATGCATCCTTAATAGCCTTATAAAATTGCTCTTTCAATTGGCTTTTGGTTCCATCAAATAATTCAAGGTCTGGATAAAGCATATAGATACGCTCTTTTAGCTTAGCCCAGCCATGCTCAATAGGGTTCAGATCGGGTGAGTATGGAGGCCAGTCAACAAGAGAAATACTATTCTTATTAAACCAATTCTTAATAATATTGGCTGTATGAATAGGAGCATTATCTTGCATAAATTCCATACCAGGTTCCCATATAGCAGGTAGATAATCTTCAATAATTTCTAAATAGGAGCGTGAAGAATATCTCTCTTGAGCAGATTCCTTATCTCTACTTATTCGGTAAATTTCTGTACGACTACCATCCCAGATTGCTGCCCAAATCATAATAGAGATTCCTCTACCTTTCATATATGGAATAATATACTTTTTTTTCCATTTTTTATTAAGGTAGTTGAGCTGCTATACCTATTGATTTTTCTTTTTTTTGCCAAGCTTAACAGAATATTCATCACTCTAAATAATCTTGCTCCACTGCTCGTACGTCCAGTCCTTGCGTGTATATGCCCATTGATAGCGTAGTTTAGCTATTTCCTCAGTTAATTGAGGTCTTTTTTGCGCTCTCCAGTGACCATACCCAGATTCTTTTAATATACGCGCAACAGTGCGTGCAGAAATAGGCTTGTCAAGTAATTTGTAGATATCTTCTGTTTTTATAAAGGGATCCCGCTTAATTTGTAAAAGAATATATCGCTTATCAGTATCAGAAAGGATCTCTGGCCGTCCGGAGCGAGGGGAGCTAGTCCCAGTAGTAGAGGTCTGATATGTTTCAATAGTGGTTTGAATTGTTGTATATGGCAAATTCATTGCGCGTTGAATATCGGCTTTTTTCTGGCCTGCAAGAAATCGACCAACTATAATCCCACGTTGAAATGGTTCCAATTCATGTCTACTAGTCCTATTAGAACTAGTAGACCGTAAAGGAGTGCGAGGCATGATCCAGGTGGTTGCAAAGATGAAGCATAATATTGGGTAGCGCGTCGCGTGATGCGGAATTACGTAGACTTTTGTCATGTGACTGTATGTACATTACGAAACATTGTTGTTACAAGTACAAAAGTTTATCTAATTTTATCCCAACTTTATATTTACCCCACATGTTTGCTACGTCTCGAAATCGTAGATATCAAACAAATATTTCAAACTGTGTTTCGCACTGATGTCTCCGAGTCCCTTACGATCGGATCAATTTATTCAGTAATACCCTTGTATGTGAAGACGTTCTTTCACTTAAACTGACTTCTATTCATCGGAGCGGCTGGTTCGTACATCCCTAAAAGGGATACATCGCCACCCTCCTAGTAAGCAGCTAGCATATAGCTCAGCACACCCCTCAAGTAATCCAGACTAGAAAACGTCCCATACTTCACATGCCTATGAAAAAGAACCGATCTTAGTCATAAAGTGCGACCAATAGATGGTTCGAAACGCTCCACCCGAAGTTCTACAAGATCATGACCCCTCACCACGTCACATCATGCAAGCCACTTCACCATGCATCTCAACCACATTGATTGGCCAGAAAGCATAATGAATGCTACATAGAACAGTAGTACATGAGATACACCCGCCGTTTATGATAACCCTTGTTGACCCCAAAACTACGGCTATTAACTATTCCAATCCCAACTTGATAACCTACAACAACCACCCAAACAATCCTCATCTACGCAAAAACCCTCAAAAAAGCCTAAGTCAATCAAAGGAATTACCAAAATGACCAAGCTCCAACCCCGAACCCACAACCCACACGACATCCCTCCCCTCCCAAACTTCACCCGCCACATAACATCCCACAACCCCAACGGCAAGGCCATAGTCCACAGCTCAACCGAAAGCACCTGGCAAAACTACGATAACGACAGCCTCCGCTTCAGCGTCGCCTACACCACCTCCCAATTCCCCGCGGACCTGAACGCCGACGCCGACATCGCGGCCCACGAGTCCCTGATGGCAACTGGTTCCATGGGACTTGTCAGTCCGAGTGGGACGGTCTGTCGGGTTGTGGACTTTGCGCCCGTGAAGCCGGGAACACATGGCTTGATGCATCGGACGCAGAGCCTGGATTATGGGATTGTGTTGGAAGGGACAATTGAGATGTGGTTAGACTCTGGGGAGATGAAGGTGATGAAGAGGGGGGATATTGCGGTGCAGAGGGGGACGATGCATGAGTGGAGGAACCCGAGTGAGACGGAGTGGACGAGAATGATGTTTGTGTTGCAGGCGACGAAGCCTTTGAATGTTGGGGGGAGTGTGTTGGGGGAGGATTTAGGGGTTCAGACGGAGATTAAGCCTAGTGCGAGTGTTCTTTGAGGGGTGAGAATCTGACCGGGTAACTTGGTTTGGCTGGAGATTAATCTTTAATTGGGCTTGTGTGTGAGAATTTGACTGTGTGAGACACGCGGGATTAGGACACTATGGAATATACTCTTGAAGGTATAATATTTTTCGAGTGAGGCTATTCGATCATACCAAACGTTAGTCTGTCAAATAACGGACAGGGCATCGGATGGTAAAGATCCAGGCCTTTACTATATCTATCAACCCATTATATGAGTCAGACTACGCTTGGTACTGATTTAGCAAGATTTTGCAATTGTACCCCAACGACATGTAACACGCTCACCAGCCGTAGAGGATTCATTAATGCGCAGAACCCTATTTGGATTTGGACATGCCAGCGCGCTGTCTAGGAACCCGAGGTTCACTGATACGTACAAGTAATCGTGCCACCGGCTTCTGCATTTATTTCAAATTTCCATGCTCATTATAGTCAATTACTGTAGTCTCTATCTGATCCGATACCCATCTTTGAGACTTTATTAACATGTTTGCAGTAGTAAGGAAATATTCTATGGGGGAATGAGGAGATCCAACGTCGTTGGAAGATTCTCTTCATCCAGAACAAAAATTGGGACGGACGTAAGAGACAATTTGGTTTTAATTATTATGGTTGTCCATTCCATGTTTATATCAGCGGTCATACTAGATATCGAGATGTTTCCCAAGGTAGCCATCTCTCTTGGTGCTGAGCTGGAGTTGGACATTGAAGTCGACATTGAGGTGAATGTCAAGCCTGGCTCGGGGCTTATGGAATACTTTGCTGCTCCACTGTTTATCGCAATGGAAGTCTGATTAACCATCGAACTCCTTGAGCTCGCCGTTGGATTAGGTTTAACAGGTGCGATTCTAATGCCCTCACTGGAAATTGTAATGGGCTTTGTAATAAAGGTGGACAGAATAGAGCGAATGATTCTAGATGATGTCTCTCTATATGTTGAGCTTTGCATAGAATTAGAGAAACTCAGAGTCTGGACTGGGGATTGTTTTGTTTATATGTGTGTAACCACCGCATGAAAGCTACTGAGTAAGAGCCCTGAAGGTAGCTGATGAGAGACTAGGGGCGAGCTCTCCAGGCTTGAAGGAGGAGGGGTGTAAAACAGATCTTGGCAGAATACTACTCTCAGATACAGTGGGGAGTGGTGGTGAGGCAATGGAACAAGTCCAAGCGTTAAGTGGTGTGGATGCATAGGATCCTTGAAGTCAAGGGTACATTACCCAAAAGGCGACGTTCGAGATTCCGCAGCGGACTTTCGAATCGCGAATACCCACAGCAGGCCTCAGAGGTTGCATCACAATCGGGTTGTTACAGGATTCTCTGATAATGCATAAATAGATTGCACAATATTGATGTTGCCATAGACGAAGTCTCAGAATTTCAGATCATTTTCAACGGTTCAGACTTCTTTATCCTGATCATCACGAAGTTGATGAACTACGGTATCTGTCACCGAAAGGTATTTTACAATTTACGAGCTAGGTTCAGAACCTATTTGAACTGTCTAATCTATTTTCATAGTATATCCAGATTAGTCTTGAGAAATGATTGCTCAGATGACAACTGATTTTCTGGTTTTGCGAGATTCTCAGGTTAGCCTTTCTGACTAGTGTAGATGTTTCCTACAGAGCATTAGGGTTACATTAGGAACCCTAATATGGTTATATAGTATGTGTTCCGTTGCTATGCCTAAGCTCGATCTCCTTGTGTACATCCTCCTATTGTGTTTGTAGTAGTGAGATTGTACGCTGACTGAACGTTCATCGTGCCACTTCATATTGGCGCCTCGGCAGAAATCCATCATGTGGATCGTTCCAAGTCTATATTTCCGCCTGGTGTAAAGTAAAGACTGTAGTGGATCTTGCTAATCCCATAAACATACTTATCACATTAGATCCAGTGGTGGAGCCCCGCACCGACTATATTAATGCTCCGTCTTCTGTCCCTTGACCACAATAATCCACATAATATGTTGGCTAAGACCACCACATACCTGTTCCATGGAAAGACACACACGTATAATAACACCCATAGTCGTGTTTGTGGTAAGTGAAAAGAAGATAGTAGAATACAAACGGCCATCCTCTTGGAGTGACCGAGATCGACTTCCCTCCTACTACATCTAGAAAGCCGAATAGCCCTAATAGTCCTTAGCATACGTGCGATGCGGCTTTCCATCTTCCCAAAAAAAGGCCAAATGCCCCATTTATCGAAGGCGTGATGCAGACCCACCATTATACCATTGCTTGTCCTCTAGCATCATCGGCCTCAAAATTTCGCCATCCATCACTCCCTCCGTAACTATCAACTACACCCCGATATTTTCTCGGCAACATGTAGATCACTTTTATCCTCCCGCGTTGATCGTCACGTATGAATCCACCCTTCTCCATGAAATGATGCTTTTTTCCGTCTTTAGATTTGTGCTGCGAGGCGATCCCCCTCTATGCAATATCCTGCTGGATGATTTGACAGTTGAAAAGTCCCAAGTTTTACGATGCAATCCTGTGGAGTGATCGCGAAAGAACTTCTCCACGGAGCAGGTTTTGCTGAACACGAATGGGAGGTCGCTATATGCGACTGGTTGCACGATGGGCAGGCCCTAAGAGACATAAATATTCATAATTGCTCGAAGCCTCCGGTACCTGACAGGCTGACTCCTCAATTCTATGAACGGCGGTTATTTTATCTAAGCGTGAATCTGAGCCGGGATGAAGCTCATGCTGGGAACATGGCTGCTTTGGGGCCTTGCGACGGCCGCCAAACAGCCCAATATCTTATTCATTCTCACTGACGACCAAGGCAAACTCATTGGAGGGATAGACCATATGCCTAAGCTGCAGGTTTGCTTGAAGCCCAATGCCTTGCTGGATAGCAAGTAGGACTCATTCAAAACGCCAGGAAACCCTCATCCAAAAAGGAGCAACCTACCCCAAACATTACTGCTCCGTCGCTCTATGCTGCCCATCCCGAGCCAACCTTTGGACCGGTCGCATGCCACACAACACTAACATTACCGACGTGGGTCTACCGTACGGCGGATATCCCAAGGTCGTCAGCGCGGGTTGGAACGACAACTACCTACCCATCTGGATGCAAGAAGCCGGCTACGACACATACTACGTCGGCAAACTCTGGAACTCTCATACCGAAGATAATTACAACAAGCCTTATGCGAAAGGATTCAACGGTTCCGACTTCCTCCTCGACCCGTGGACCTACCGCTACTACAACGCCAAGATGACCCGCAACGGCGGAAAGCCCGTCAGCTACGCGGGCCAATACTCCACCGATGTAATCAAGAACAAGTCATTGGGATTCCTAGATGAAGCAATAGCAAACCCGGGTCGACCCTGGATGCTTACCATTGCGCCGAACGCGCCGCATTCCAATGGATCTCAGGATGCAGTGACGGGAGCAACATGGTTCGGTGAGCCGGAGTATGCGCCGCGACACGCGCAGCTCTTCAAAGATTACAAGATCCCTCGCGATGAAAGCTTCAACAAGGTCATTGATGGAGCTGTGGGGTGGGTTGCCGATTTGCCGGCTCTCACTCAGGAGGAGATTGATTATATCGACGAGTTTCAACGGTGTCGGCTGCGTGCGCTTCAGGCTGTGGATGAGATGATTGGTGAGCTTGTTGAGAAACTTGATAAGGCTGGGGTGCTTGGTAATACGTATATCTTCTTTTCTACGGATAATGGGTACCACATCGGCCAACATGCTATGCAACCAGGAAAGAATTGTGGATATGGTGAGTATATACTCCAATTATGAGATGCTGAAGCTGCTAACAAGTCAAAGAAACCGATATCAACATTCCACTATTCATTCGCGGCCCTGGTGTCCCTCAGAATCAGACTATTGAGGTTATAACCAGCCATACTGACCTCGCACCTACTTTCCTCTCTATTGCTGGTGCGATGAGAGATGGTCTAGACGGCAGGAAGATCCCAACTACCGTTGACACCGGCAACGCCAACAAGTCCGAGCACGTGGCAATTGAGTACTGGGGAATTGTGAGCTCTTCCTAAGACACGACAGGCATTCCATCAATACGGATGCAGCTAACGAACTAAATCAGGCTGTTCCGGAGGGTATCTACGGCTACAGAAGCGACAACGACAGCCAGCCAAGGAACAGCTACAGAAACAATACTTATAAGGGATTACGCCTTGTCTCAGACGACTATAGTCTCTACTACTCTGTGTGGTGCACCAATGACAAGGAGTTTTACAACCTCAAGGTATATATACCCTCGGGATTAACCTCAAACCTAGAATACTAATTTGAAACAGGACGACCCCTTACAAACAACTAATCTAGCTTCCAAGATCAACGCGCACCAGTCGTACACGATTGCCAACCGTCACCTTGGCCAGATCATTCCTCGTCTCGACGCGCTAATGATGGTCCTAAAATCTTGCAATGGGGACTCCTGCCGTGAACCATGGCGTCAGCTGCACCCGAAAGGCTCCGTGAATAATCTGGCTGATGCACTAGATGAAGGTTTTGATGAATTCTACTCTAATCAGCCCAAGGTGAAATTCTCTGAGTGTAGCCTTGGTTATCATATTTATGCAGAGGGTCCACAAGAATTCAATATTTATGGGAGTGGGCCCAATGCGAAGCGGAGCGACGAGGGGTTGACGTTAGGAAGGAGATGGGGATTCTTTGATGGATGGCTATGAGTAGAGTATATCGGGGATCTTGATGGCCATGGGCCATAGGGTATCTGTCTGTCACGATAGAACGTAGTATACTCATCCCTTGACAGCTCTGTCAATAACGTTAATGAATGTATAGTTCTCCGGTTCACCTTTTCTTTCCGACATACGTGGGAATATAACCAATTAACTAACCCTTTGAGCTTCACGCTTGAATGTAGGCCCCCTACTAGTTTAAGTGATTTGGGAAGTGAACAAAAGCCCCGAGATAAGCTCCTTAATATCTTCGAACATCTTACGCAGAAGGCCTTCTAGACCGGGCTTCTCGATCATAAATATGCGGAGACACACTCAACGTTCGGCACAACCCCGGAAACCGTCGTATTTGACTAGAGTACTACATGGCCGAATCCCACCCATCGCGTGTCTTATATCTTTCACGGCATAGTCGCCATTGGTTCAAAGAGCAAACAAAAGATATCTGATGCCTAGCACTACCCAGATGGGCGACATGGCTACTTACTAATATTCAATCGATATGACACAGCCTAGCAAGGCATGGAAGTCAACCCATCTTCTCTCTGTCTACGCTGTACACTTAAGGTCAAGATGCCTACTTCGTCTTGTTGGTTAATCTGACTCCCGCGACAAAAGGTTATCCCCTGTACTTTGGGCTTTCTTTTAGGATGGTATCAATCCTTTCGTAATTGTAGGCTAATTTTCGGTAGATGGCTGAATCTGACCCCTTTTACCTGCGTCAGGGCGGGCTCGTTGCGCATCTCCGCCCTGCGGCCCACCCTCTTCAGAGATGGACTCGAGGAATAAAGGTCCCCTCTGTGGCCCTGCGTTCCCCCGTCCCCTTGTGGGCCACTTCGTCGTCATGTTCTCCCCGCCGCTCTGCTGCCCACTCCCCCGTTCCCCCCTCCTGCCTCCTCCGCGGTCTCTCCTCTAGGCCAGGAAGAGGAGGAGCTTACCGCAAGCTCTCTGGAAGAAGAAGAGAAAGAGGAAGAGGTCCCCCGCTGTGCGGGTTCTTTGTGTTTGCGTTGTCTACGCCCTGGCCGGTTGGCCTGTATGCGATGCCAGATCAGTCACCACGCGTGCCTTCCCGTGAGTATTCCCACAAGCTTGGTCCTTTCATTACCGGGTCTGTTTGCCCCTGACTTCGATTAGCTCCCCTTGATGGGTGTGCGTGCGGCGATCGACCTTCTCAGGGTGCTGCTCTTCCTGGGTTTTACAGATGTCCTCTATTTTTCTCAGACTCGTTCCTCTCGTCCTTTGGCGGCACCCCTTCTGCGCCCCCTTCTTCCCTGCTGGTGCCCTAGGTGCTGTGTGGCCCCCCTTGGTTCCTTCTCTCCTCCGCAATATGCAGGTTCAAGATACTCTTGTTACCGCGAGCAACATTTGGCGGTACCCATTCGATATGGGCCCGCCGTCCTCGGTCCCCTGGCTCCACTGGGCACTCTAAGGGCTAACCGGGACCGGCCTGTGCAGACTGTCACCGCGGAAGTTCCATAAACTGAGCTCCACAAAGGTATCTCGGCCTAGATGCACGATAAGCTCTTACAGGGCACCGTGAAAGGCAATCTCACGCTCCTGGAACACCCTGAATTAACACTCGTTTCTGGAACTGGCCCAACGTTTACCTTCTTTTGATGTGGCAGTAAGCCCATATTGTAGGTCACGGCGGTATCTACGTGTCCTGGGAAATGTTGACTCCAGGTAAACAGTGTCCATCGCCGCAGCCAAGCCTCATTTCGTGACTTGTTTGCCGATTCAATCACACCGATCCTACGTCCCGTTATCATGGATAGCAACACATATACTGCAAACAAGGACAGAAAATATTTCGCGTCTTGTTTATGACTGTTCCGTCAACGCTTCTGTCCAATAGCAATTTAAACCGCTTTCCATTGGAAAGTGGAAAGGCACCTCGTGTCTAGAGTTCGAGCCTACATTATCTATCACAAATTCAGCTCCTAGAACCAGGCGAAAGCCACGCACTGCAGGGCCGACCGGCTAGCCGTTGACTTGCTGATCATAAAATGACCTCTTTAGTGCCATTACTGAGGCACCATCTATCGGTCGGCCGTTGATTCACAGCAACGTCGTTTAAAGTGATCTAGCTTGAAAGCACTCCCAACCTTTAGGGGCTCTGTTAACTAGACCTTGCTTCGTCCTTAGCGAAGTATTTCAGTTCATAATCAAAACGGGGCCCCCATCCATTGCGCAACGCAATAGCCGTTAGGAGAGTACGGGGTTATACCTAAAGACATCCGTACCAAGCACGCGGAGACTTATGCCCTCCTTTCGAAAGACATACCCCTTCTAACATTTATCACACTTGACGACAGCTGTGGATTAACGCGAAGGTTCCGCCGGGATATGTATGGCAAAGTTGATTCAAAAACACGGCAACGGGGTTTCTCGGCCACTGCAAAGAAACCAGATGCCAGGGCTTGTTGGTGCTGAACGGATGAACCAATCTCGAGCTACAATCCTATTATCTGTGGTTGAGGAACAGCCTATATGATTAACAACCCTGTCGCATACTAGTTGAATGGGGTTCCAGCCGACATGTGTTTCATCCAACGAAGATCTTATCTTGCAACCCGTGCTTTGTGGCTACCAGTCTATGCGTTGGAAACCTGAAAGCAAGACTATATAGAGCCCTACTAGTGCCACCGCGAGCTTGCCACAAGCAATGGAAGGATGGTGATCCTCGCACAGCTGATCAGTCCTTATCGTTCCCGAATCACTCCCTACACGAACATTGAGAGCTATTTGATGTTGGCTGGGGATCCCGGCTGGCGGTCCTGATTGGACCCGGCCTGTAGGATGAGCCGGCCGGCAGAGCGTTTATGTGTTAGAGATAAAGCTAACTCTAGATAGGATCAAGAATAATCATTATCATAAGAATGTGCTCCATATAATACCTCAAGGCTTGATTTACCGGCAGGCAGCGCTAAAAGGCACTCATAGCTGTGCAGCGATCAAACAGGCTCTTGAAGACAAAATAGAGTTCCAGCCAACACAATGCAGAAGATAAAGAGCTATAACAACCACTTGGTAACAGATGCCCTTCGCCAACTGCCCGTTCTGTGGACTGCTCGGTTTGTTGTTGTAAGCACATTACCCAGCCCAACGGGGTCTGAGTGCCTAGCTACAACAACGCGTAACTCGGGTCATCTCCCGGCAGCGAGTATGACTGTTGGCGCGATTATAATATCCGGCTTATTTCTTATATGAATTATGAGTGATTTCTGCCGACAAGCCCTTCACAATGGGCATGCTAGCGGATTTGTCAAAGTTTATACCGGCGATTTCAATGGTATACCAAAATTCGACATGGACCAGCTCACGTGAGTTCTATTCAAGCACTAGTATCGATATTTATGGCTTCAGGGCGAATTCGATATGGTATAGGATACTTTCCAAGGCCCGCAAATAGCCAAAGGCAGGTTATCAGAGTCACCCGGGATCAGTTGTCGGTCTGGAAGAGCTTCCCTGACGGACTTCCTCACGTTGCTGGAGCGCAAGCAGCTTTTGGTTATTGCGAGCCCCGGTAGGTCCCTATTTTGATTCAGGATTTTATCTTTCATTATCTATGCTCTCCTCAAAGCTTACAGGATGTGACAACTTCCCTGCCCTATATAATAACGGCTACAAAGAGCCTGGTTAGTTTCTAAGGCAAGTTAGGCTCGATATGCCGACAATTATCCTCGAGTGTGGTTGGACAGAATGTTATCCGGGCTTGATACGAGATAAAGGCTTTTAGCTTAGTAGCAGCGAGGGCAATGTTAACATCGTTATTCTCTATGAGGACTGTACCTATTTTGCAGCCAACATGCTATCCGTTCTGGCAGCGGGTGTCCTTCGTTCTGCAAGCGCCCAGTAATGGCTATCTGGTTTCCCAGAGCCTGGTGCCTAGGGACGAGAACTATGCTTTTATACTAAGTATGTTACTCACAGCATACAAACCTACCTGAAGCTGTAGTATAATCCCATTGGACACAGGCGCTGCAGAGGCGGCTAGGATATTCTGACGCCGCAATGTATTTAGCCAACTATGGAGTGATACACACCCTAGAGCAATGGCACCCTGTCATAGCGATAGAGACAGTAACTGGAGATCTAAAAATCCGGCCTCTTAGCAGGCATGTCTTACGCAATCTGACGAAGGCCGAGCAGCAAACAACCCCTTTTGGTGCCAGCGGTTAGCCCGATGTTTTATTTTCAGTTTGGGATGCGCTATCAGTTCTACATCTCCATTGTCGCTTTCTGTAATATGTTTATCCGCTGTTACAGGTATCACAAGGGGTAGTAGCGTACCTTGTATGGAAGCTCCAGTGCTCCCATACATTAATCGCAAAACCCAGGTCAAGGTCTGCCACATCTCCCTGCAAGACGAACCAATCACCTACTCTGGATATTGTATCTGAAAGAATATTTGATAGTTCTGGGCATAGCATTATTAGATAGTACTATAACAACACGCGTAACTGGCAAGCCCAGGACAACAGCCTAGGCTAGATAGGTGGTATACAACAATATTGTAGCTATTCGGGAGGCTTTCGCCAACGCGTTGTGGGAGCCTAAGACCATCAGGATGTTGGCATTATCCTAACCGATCTTACCTGTTTTGCTTTTTAGGGAAGTACGCGGCTCCTCTGTCAGTTCCATGTATCAACCAATACAAGGCTAAGCAACGTTAGCTGCTCGTCGTCGCTTAGGTTACGTATATCCACAGTCTTGAGGTAGCCTTAAGACGGGACTAGATAAAATGCAGGGTGCTAGCGGAACTGTATTCTCGACCTGCGTGTCAAGGGTATCAAGATTAAAAGAGATACATTTTCTGAACCTGTTTTATAAGGTTTCTCTAGCTAGTAGTATAAATAGTTTGGACTCTCTAATCTTAAAAAGCTTGTCAATTCGCAAAAGGCGAGGACGGTGAGTAACGCTGCCTAGAATTTAGAAAGTACCAGTGCTATTGCTTGGACCATAACGGGTTGGGCGCGCTCTGGAGAAGTATTCAATGTACTTTGGTATACTCTGGATATGTCTGGATCGATATTATAAGTTAAGCTAGAGCCAAATTATTGATATCATCAACGGTCTAGTCACATCACGTGCCAGCCGGTGTCTTCTATATGATCAACATTATATCAAACATTATGTAAGGAGACATCAAAGCATATCAAAATGTTCCAAGTGTTCAATATCCAGCCCAGGACGGTACCAAGGGGAAAAGAAGCACCGTAAGATACAATATAAACAGTAAACGAAGGGTATAAGGCAGCCGGAATATGCATAAAAACAAAAAGACACAATACTCCGACCCGTGAATAGACGAAGAGGGGAAAATATAATACTGCCACCTAGGGAGCCAAATAGGAATGGAATAAATATGTGGCACTGCACATACGGGTAGGGTTCTAACATCATATCATCATTAATTTGGTGGTTCTTCGCTCTGGGAATCGCCCACCACCGCCGGGGACCATCCCGTACGGCCCGTCGAAAGCACTCGGTGGCGGAAGACGGGTCGTTGGCTGTCCTGTAGGGCCAGGAGGAGCAAGGGAACCAGGGGGGCCAGGGCGTGGACCAGGGCGTCCTGGGTATCCTGGAGGAGGGCGGGGATAACCGCGCGAAGGTTGGCGAGAATGGGACAGCGGTGAAGGCGGCATCAACCCTGGACTGGGGCCTGGACGCTGGAAGCGAGGGGGCGGAGGTGTGGAAGCTGCAACTCGGCGGGCATCACGCTCACAGTACACTTGGCCGTTCCATTCGAAATATTCCCCTTTCAGGACAACTTGGCAGGTACGACATGTGAGACACTCAGGATGGAACTTGTGGCGATCGGCGGGGCCACGACCGCGTCGTTCAACTGTCTCCAGATACTGTCCCTCAATGCCAGTGCAGCACGCATGGCAGAGAGAGCCGTTGCGCTGGTGATAATGCTGAGCACAATATGGAAGATCGTCCATGACATAGAAGTCGGCGGTCTGGAAAGGGGTCTTGCAGTCATAGCAGACAAAGCAGGCTCGGTGATACCGACCTGTAAGGCGACCATCGGCGGATGAAACAGATTTTCCGATAATCATCTCACCACACCCACGGCAAGGGCCCTTTGGACGAGGTGCTGGACGAGCAGAGCGTTCATTTGTGGGGCTTGTTGCGGGAGGCTCTGGTAGGTCTTTCTTCGCTACGTCCTGCGTGGGCTTATCGCGAATAAGAGACACGCTTCCCGTGGTAATGGCCGGGTCGGTCGGAGAGTCAGGACTGAAGAAATGCTCAGGTATCCGAGGAGGCTCGAGAGTGTCGGCGCTTCCAAGTAGGAAGGTTTTATCGTTGTCATCGCCCTTGCTTAGACCCTCCACTAACGTGGCTAGTTGATCCTGATCGGACGGGTTTCGCCGTAAGATACTTGAATCCGACCCGATGCTGGATAAGGAGGTGCCGCTCCGTGTGTCACTTGGTGATGAATCTGAAGAGGCCGAGCTCTCATCCACTGCACTGTCCACGTGGTCTAATCCTAGCTCACGGGCAAAATTGGTTATGGAAAGACCGGCTTCACTAATAGCATCTGAATTTTTCCGATGCGCTTCAGTAGGCCCATAATGGCTGCCAAACTCCCGGCCCGGGGGTTGCAGGTGTGGGAGACCCGGGCTCCTGTAGGCTTTGTATTCAATACTCTGTAACTCGGCAGGGGAAGTGGGCCGATCCTGGGAGAGATCTGGTAAATCGGACGGCGTACCGGCAGAACTTGGCGTAGGGCTTCGAAAGAACAATTCAGCGGACCCACGGTTGCTGCTCAAACGGTCTGAGTTGGTATGAGACGAGGCCCGGAGACCATTTTGCTTGGCCTCCTTGTCATCTGCCTTGTCGCTCGCCCGCTCCGTCAACGTACCGAGATTAGGGGCAAAGCGGTTCTTGTCCTCGTCTTGTTTGCTGTCACTGCGCGCCGTGTCCGATTCAGAAAAGGTGGATGTAGTCGAGTCACGAAGCAGACTGCTAGGTATAGTAGACGGCACCGGGGGAGCAGCGTCCATGAATTTATACTGAGCCATGCTACCGAAGGATGGCCGTCCCATAGATACCGATGTTGACCGTCTAGAATCATACCGAGAGCTTGCGACAGAAGTTCGGTAACTGCTTCTACTTTCAGTGGAGTAGCTATATTTGTGGGAAAAGGTGGGCAAGGGCCCAGGCACATCATCCTTGGGCAACGGTGGCGGGGCCACCGCTTCCTCGCCTAAAGGTAACCGTATGCTCCCCAGCGGTCGGTCAGCCTTTTGACCGGTTGGAACTGGTAGCGCCTTGTACGGGGTCTCTAGTGGTACCATGTTGTACGATTGTTTCTGCGACATGGACCGGGGGAGGGGGAATTTCGGAATATCATCTTGATCTGAGAATCGCAGCTCTGCGGGGAGGGGAGATGTCTGGCTGCGTAGCAGCGGAGGAGGCGGGGATTGCTGGCCGCCTGGGAATGGTGTGACACTCCCCTTGCTGCTCATCACCGCTTCTAGGCGCATAAATGGTCGATCTGCAAAGGCTGTTACTGACCATTCCTGAAGGACGGTGTTTTCTGCTGGAGAACGTACTGGCTTTGGACGGGTCAATCGGCGGGGGGATTCCTGATCTCCCCATACTTTTTGACGGCCTGTGTGATTTGGGGGGTGGTGGAGGAGGCGTTGGAGATACTAGCAACCTCGTTAGCGTCACGGAGTTATACGTATGGGTATAGGCAAAGTAAGAGCTATCATACCTGACACAGGTCCGCAGATATGGTCTCCCATGACAGAAATCTCGACACTCATGCCACAATTGGAGCATTTGATCGTGGGCAATAAGCCCGTGTCCATCGTTGTTGTCATATCCGACTATCGCAGTCGATCGCACGAGAAGTAATCATAGAAAAGAAGAAAGAGATCGTATTCGTTTCATCACTAGACGATAGGCGAACCCCAGTATCAACACCACACACGACACTCCAGCAAGGCTAAACTCCGTTGGAAAATCATCCAGATTAATAGTTAGTGTAGGAGGAGGGCGGTTTTATGAAATAAGAATGAGACGGGGACCAGAGGAACACAAGAATAGTAGCGTGGGAAGTGGAGACACTATGTTTTTCGGCGGCAGAAACTCCTCGTGTGCATCTGGGTTTGGCAGTTCCGCATTAGGGGGGGAGGCGTGATTTAGCGTCGACACTAAACCCGCACTAACAAGAAGCCCAGGACAACACGCGTTCTTTGTGTGCTATCACTTCCATCTGTCGCAGACGGCCAACTCACACTAAAATGAAAACCCTTTCGTAGCGTTACATCCTTTCCATTCACGTTACTTTCTTACTTTCCCCCTTTCTCTCCCAGCCCGGAGTTTTGACTGGTTTCTTGTCTAACATGATGCATATCAAGAGAACTCGGGTCCAACAATATACTTTGAAGAACCCCCTGAGCCAACGCAGATCTTCCTCAGGGGTACCGTGACCCATATTTCTCCCCCATGTCTCTGACATTCGATCGCCTGTTTTCTTCCTGATCTTGGCTATCCATGGTGCACGATCCCGCCCGACCGATTGTTCTTACAATTCTAATTATAATTAGTATCTTTTTCGGTCTTTTAGTTTTTTTCTTTACTCCGTACAACCTTTTAGTTTTGTCATCATCATGTGTTCCCCCGACCCCTTGCTCGTCGATTATGCTTTTTTCTTACTCGCATGAATTGGAATCATCCAGATCCCACCAACGTAGTAGATAAGCTTACCGGGTCGGCCATTGGGCTTGGAAAAGTCCGTCTGTTCTCAAGTAAGGGGCCAGAGTTTGGCACCCCCGTCGCTCGGGCTGTGCCTGTCCATCCGGACCTGTCAGAAGATGCAATGGCTCTTCTGAGTTGACAGAAATTCTCCCGATCCACAGACTATGAGCGTGTCACTGGAGACCTCGAGCCCGCTTCCTCTAGTAGAATGGTGGTTGCTATCTTGGGCGAGACGGTTCTGCTAACCCTCGTCCGTGTAGATCCATGATCCCTGCGACATGGCTTAACTCGCTCCCCGGGATGACAAACCGTGAAACCTCGTCGTTGCCCATTCTTTGGTTCATCGAGATCTCCATCATCTTGCGACACAGGCTGGGCGAGAGTACCATGGATGCGGAATGGGGCCCCAGCAGCGAAAAGCTGTTATCTAATGGTTCGAACCCGCTGGTCTCACTCTCAAACTTCAATGATTGCCCACAATCACTAGTCTTCGTTCCAGGCGATGGTGTGGAACGTTGGCTTGAAACGGGGATCAAGCCCGAAATAGCATGGGCTTTTTCTAGAATTAGTATTCGAATAATAGTCGCAAGACTAGTAGGAACGCCCAGGGAGTCGAGCAAACAAAAACAAACTTGGGACATGTCATCCGAAATAGATCAACTTGGCGAACAAAGTTTGGGAATCTTTGACTAAGCAATGCCTTCAAAGTCTTTGACTGGTCCCTTGCGTTATTTGTGTTTTCTAAATTATTGGAACAAAGCATCGTTCATCAAGCAAAACTGGTAACAGGTGAAACGTTTGCCCGAAAAGCAGAAGTGCTGAATATCGAGCAATCAATACATCCAGACTTCTATCTCACGGGGAAAGGATCAGGTTATACCTTTACCCACTCAAGAAGACCGCTCCGCAAGAAGCAATCAAGCCAGTGAATCAGGGGTAATATCGCAACCATGGGACGACGTGCCGAGCTTTCCGCCACTCACCGCAACGTCAGGGGCCAGGAGTTGTCCCTAAAATGCAGCGACACCCTCCATGGGGCTGGGGCGTCCAGTTCTCGCTGCCCAAGTTGATTCCGGGCAACTCGCGAATATCCGCCTTTATGATGATGAATTGTAGCGTCAAAGGAACGACTTTTCCAGTGTCTTTTTTTTTTTTTTTTAACAGGGCCGCCCTTAGCGGTCCCTGCGGAATGCCCGACCCACAATGAAAGCGCAGACCATCCAGTGCCCTGAGACTCTCCGCCGAAGGAACATCACATGTCATTATGCGGCAGGGACGTCAAAGAAAAAGATCTCCCCTTCACCGGTGCCCTATAAATCGAATCATTGATCCTGTCTTTTCGTTTTTTCGACCGGGTGTGTTGGCAACAATTTAGCGTGCACGTTGACAAGTAATCGTGGAGCAAACACGATGGACCTGCATGAACAAGCGATTAACCGAGAAAACTTGAACCAGAGAACATTACGCAACCGTTCTGAGTGGGTGGACATCATGAAATGTGGACATAAAATGAAGTGGTGGGCAGCGAATTATGAACGGGTGAGCCTTTCATTGCAACATCAAAATGTTGTGCATAACAGTCCAATCCCCCTCCAGAGTACTAACACTTCCCAACAACATGGATGAGTACTTGTTTTGGTGTCCGTACAGAGTGTAGAGACGAATCAATGGACATGGAAGGGTTTCGTTAGTTAGGTAGTAGGATGGAGGGAGGACAATTCATTCATTTCAACTTCTTGACCGCTTGTTCCTTTTCGGCCGCCTAGAAAGGTAGCTCGGCAAGACGTAGTGGACTAGACCATTAACAGCATGTTGGGGGAAAATGCCGGGTGCGGAGGGAATTCCCGTGCCTCCGGACTTTCTCTCCCCTCAACCCTTAAATACTCTGCCGTTCGCTTCCATTCCCTTTCTTCCTCTACCCCATTGACTTCGTATCTATCTTACGCTTCAATCTCGCTTTCTCAACCTCTTTCGGATCACTCTCGTCGAGGCGTGATCGCCAATAACCGCCAAAATTTTCGGCACACTTCTTAACTCGTAAGTATCCCCCCCCCCCCCCCCCGGCATATGCGTGCCTGTCATTACCCCCTGAGTGGCCGTTCGCCGTGGAGAATGGCAGGCAATTGGCGATCGGCCTCCAAATCAATGCGTGCAGGAGCTAACTGAGATCACAGGCGTCACCACCCGTTCAACGGCCGGCGCTCATCCTCTCGTGGAGGGGCATCGGACTACGAATTATATACCTTGTAAATAATTCATCACCAAACATCCCACTCCCGCCATACTAGTCAATTGTTCTGCTCTGTGAACGCAATGGCTCCCCACGCAAATTCGGATGTTGCTACCAATGGCGCCGTGAACGGGTCGGCTTCCCCCTCCCCTCTGTTTACCGTCAATTCGCCCAACGTTGAGTACACGGACACCGAGATCAAGAGCAAGTATGCTTATCACACCACCGACATCACCCGTACTGCCGACAACAAACTGGTTGCCACGCCCAAGGCAACCAACTACCACTTCAAGGTCGACCGCAAGGTAGGCAAGGTGGGTATGATGATGGTCGGTTGGGGTGGAAACAACGGTTCCACTGTTACCGCTGGTATCATTGCCAATCGCCGCGGCCTGCAGTGGGAGACCCGCGAGGGCATGCGTGCTGCCAACTACTACGGCTCCGTTGTCATGGGCTCGACAGTCAAGCTAGGAACCAATCCCAAGACCGGCGAGGAAATCAACATCCCCTTCCATGACATGGTGCCCATGGTCCACCCCAATGATCTTGCCATTGGCGGATGGGACATCAGCAGCATGAACATCGCCGACGCCATGGACCGGGCCCAGGTTCTCGAGCCCTCCCTCAAGCAGTTGGTCCGCAAGGAAATGGCCGAGTTGAAGCCACTGCCCAGCATCTACTACCCGGACTTCATTGCTGCTAACCAGGAGGACCGCGCGGACAACGTCCTCGAGGGATCCAAGGCTTCCTGGGCTCACGTTGAGAAGATTCAACAGGACATTCGGTGAGTTCTGGGAGCCAGTATTCACCCCCTGCACATCACTAATAGCAACAGGGAATTCAAGGCGCAGCATGGCCTGGACAAGGTGATCGTCATGTGGACTGCAAACACCGAGCGGTATGCCGACATCGTGCCTGGTGTCAATGACACAGCCGACAACCTCCTCAACTCCATCAAGACCGGCCATGAGGAAGTTGCCCCATCCACCGTCTTTGCGGTTGCTTGTATCCTGGAGAACACTCCTTTCATCAACGGATCTCCCCAGAACACCTTCGTTCCCGGTGCCATTGACCTGGCCCAGAAGCACAAGGCCTTCATCGGCGGCGATGACTTCAAGTCGGGCCAGACCAAGATGAAGTCTGCTCTCGTGGACTTCCTGATCAACGCCGGTATCAAGCTTACCTCCATTGCCAGCTACAACCACCTGGGTAACAACGATGGCAAGAACCTGAGCTCCCAGAAGCAGTTCCGCTCCAAGGAGATCTCCAAGTCCAACGTCGTGGACGACATGGTTGCCGCCAATCACATCCTCTACGAGAAGGATGAGCACCCGGACCATACTGTCGTGATCAAGTACATGCCGGCCGTTGGTGATAACAAGCGTGCTCTGGATGAGTACTACGCTGAGATCTTTATGGGGGGCCACCAGACGATCAGCTTGTTCAACATCTGTGAGGATTCCTTGCTGGCTTCCCCGCTGATCATCGACTTGGTCGTGCTCGCCGAGGTGATGACCCGCGTCAGCTGGAAAGAGGATGAAGCTGCCGAGTACAAGGGCTTCCACAGCGTGCTCAGCGTTCTCAGCTACATGCTTAAGGTAATTTTTCCCCAGTCAAACTGTCTGTCGACAGACCTCAGCTAACAACGGACGTAGGCTCCCCTGACTCCCCCCGGCACTCCTGTTGTCAACTCGCTGAACAAGCAGCGCAATGCCCTCACCAACATCTTCCGTGCCTGCGTTGGCCTCCAGCCAGAATCGGATATGACCTTGGAGCACAAGCTGTTCTAGGCGTCTGTGGATCGCTTTACTACTCATAACGACGAACTATTCTCCAACTATAGTCACTCCTTAGAAATGCATACTGATTACATCTACCGTACACTTTTTTTTTCTTTTTTTTTTTGCAGTAGCCAACCGTGTAGCTGCACGTATTTCATTCACTTCCTTCACAGGGTGCCGAGCACCTACTTAGTCTCCCCAATGCGGGAATAAGCATTAAGCGCCAACTGCCCGCCCAAATGCGCATAAAGCACATTCCCCGTAAGAACCCCCTTCTTAATCAAATCAATCATGCCCGCAAAGCTCTTCCCCTCATAAACTGGGTCTGTAATAAACGCCTCCATCCGCGCCGCATATTCAATCGCCTCCCATGTCCCCCGATCCGGAATCCCATAGGTCCCCGCATGATAATCCTCATTAAGAACCACATCCTCCTCCGTAATATCCTCCTCCTTCAACCCAATCTTCACCGCCGTATTTCTCGCAATCCGCAACACCTGCGCCCTCGTCTCCGCCGGCTTCGCCGACCCATCAATCCCAATAATCCTCTTCACCGGCTCCTCAGGATATAACCTTTCAATCAACTTAAATCCCGCCACCATCCCCGCCATCGTCGACCCCGTCACCGCACAAACAACCACACTCTCAAAGACAACGCCCATCTCCCTCTCCTGCTCCCTCACCTCAAACGCCCACCTTGCAAACCCCAACCCACCCAGCGGATGATCTGACGCCCCCGCCGGAATATAATACGGCCTCTCCCCATTCCGCTCACACTCCTCCCTCAAACCCGCAAGCGTCTCCTTATGCCCAATCCCAAACCCATCCTTCTCCATCCTCACATCCGCCCCCATAATCCGACTCAGCTGGATATTCCCGACCACCTCATAGCCGGGATCCTCCCACTCCACCCAATGTTCCTGCACCAGCCGCGCCTTGAGACCCAGCCTCGCTGCCACGGCCGCAACCTGCCGCGTGTGGTTGCTCTGCACGCCGCCGATGGAGATCAGCGCCGTGGCCTTCTGGGCTAGGGCGTCGGCGGCTAAGTACTCGAGTTTGCGGGTTTTGTTGCCGCCGTACGCGAGGGCGGAGTTTAGGTCGTCGCGTTTGGCGTAGATGGTTGCGGGTTTGTTAAGGTCTGCTGTTATGCGGGGGAGGGGGTGGATGGGGGAGGGGCCTAGGGTGAGGGTTGTCCTCGGGATGGTGGAGAAGGGGGGTGGGAGGGGGATTTCTGTTGGCATTTCTGGGGTAGCTGGTTCTTTCTTGTTGGGATTGCTGATTTGCGGTAGTTGAGTATGCTATGGTTGGCGATGATTGTAGATAGATATGTGAGGTACTGATGTATTTATATTTGCTGTTTGGTGGTTATATCAGACGTTTGTATAGTATGTTTCCTTCCCCCCCTTCTCGGCGTTCTCCAATTTGGGGTATTTCTGGGCAAAGGACTAGCCTTGAGGGTAGAGAATATGTAGGTTTGGTCTTTTGCGGTAATTGTGTCCCGGTTGTGTTTGGTGTGGAGATGGATTTGGAGTTGGATCTATTATCCCTGCGGGGAGCTCGGAGGTTGTCCGTTATCTTTGGTTGCTGTTCGGATCCTTGATATCAATAATCGCTGGGTTTGGGGGGTACGATAAGGTTATCAATTGATTGACTAGATAGATTGCGTATTGATTTGCGTTTTGTACCTGGAGATTTCTTTAATGTTGTTGTTTATTGTTATGGTAGGGATGCGTGATTAGGACTGGGATTGTCTGTCTCTATCGCAGATGCAAGGCGATATTGAGGACCGAAGAAGCTGAGCGCAGGAATTGAGATATCGGTCACTAGGGTTTTTCCAAACATCGATTGATTGATAGATGTAAGGCTGAAATAGTTAATTAATACCATTGAAGGATGTAGTTACAAGGCTGTTTGTTCTCTTTCGCTGTGATCTTCCTTGCCCTAGCGCGCATACGTGACCCAAATCTATCCCTTGGTAGAGGTACGACACTGCGAGCACCATATGCACTATGCAGCCGGGATTGCCTCAGGGGAAGGAAAATCAATCCCGGTTCGCAATGAAGAGTCCTCCTAAAGCGCTGACCTCTTGTTAAAAGCTGCGAGGATGCTCTTAAGCTGAAGAACGTCGTGACACAATTCCACGAGCTATCATACCGCACTAGGGCTATGGAAAATGCCCACAATCAAGTCCTCCTCACTGAAGCCACCGCCTACATTCGTGGAACCGTGCTCAACCACCTAATCAAGAATGAAGCGACCAACATCAAGGACCTGGCCTTTGACCTTCTTTTGCAGAGCGAAGACGCCGCCGAGAAGCCCCTCAAGATATACAGGAATTGCATGCCCCACAGACTTCATCCCAGGGGAAGTGGAAGCCCTCTTGCAAGGCATAACTCTCCACATCAAATCCCGAACCCCAACGCCATCATTGATAGGTTTCTCATAATTATATCTATATTAACTCAGCAAGGGCGAGCAATAATGCCCGATTCGTATACAGTACAATTCATAACCTCTCCCTATATATGTACCTATACGTACCGGATTTTCTAGGCACTAGCAAACTCCCTGAAGGAGCCACGAGGTATCATGGTATACGAGCCAAGACGTAGTATACCGTATACATTATAGACCGCAGTACCTACCCTCTCATGTGACGGAGACATTTTTTTTTTTTTGCTAGGTCTTTTTCATTCTAAGCACGGTGCTTCGATCAGATCTAAGTGTATTGCTACATCTACTGTTTATTGGACATCTATCAACCCCCGTCGACGCTGCTCGGGCAGTATCCGACACGCGTCACGACGCGTTGCGGTGACATTGCAATGGCAAGACCCAATCCTCCACCAGATAGTCCTCTACAGGCTGCCTTGCTGGAGTTAACTGCCGCGGCTGCTACTAGAGCTGCTGAAGGTCAAAAGATATTCAGCCCTGTTGCAGCTTTTCTAGACAAATACCGACGCCAAAACACGGGCCTTGCCTCCCACCAGCAGAACGCGCTAAAGCTCTCAGCAATAATCTAGCTAATATAGCCCAGCGCTACTTCAACGCCTATATTAGTGGCATACCCGCGACCTCACCTATCTCATTCCCTGCCCCTGTCCCTGTCTCTGCTTCCCTCCCTCCCATATCCTCTCCCTCTCGCCCCTCCTCCGGTCTTGCTCAGTCAATATATATAACAGTTACTCAGATAAATTCTGCTAGAGCTGCCGCCATTGCTGCAGCTATTCCAAGAAATAGTAATAAGGTAAGGACCTTTATCCCTATCCTAAAGTAACTGCCTGACTCCCGTCTTTTTATACGCCTTCTGTCTAATTATAACATTAAAAATATAGACGCTGCTTTCGCTTGCCTTCGTAGAACATGGTGACAGCCCAGTGGTTATAAACGTCACCACTTCTCTCTTGAGCGATGAGGCTGTATTTATCGCAGCCGAAAGACAACTTAGGCCTTGGACGGATAGAAACTGCTTGAACATTTTTTCATGCTTGGGGCCCACTACTAGAGCAATCCATGAACTTCATTCAGTAACGAAGCTGGTTCATTTGACAGGCGGTGGGAATGTCCTTCTAGCCGCTATACAGGGATACTCTATTTTCTATAGTCGTGGGTGAAGGTCGAGCTGGTTATATTAACTATATCTTTCTCTGTCTGGATCCTAAGGTAGGGGTGATCATTATTTGTACGCTGACATATTAACAGTACTGAAGTTAGGGGCATCGCAAGTAGTCCATGGTCTCTTCTAGGAGCTGTCGATGGCAGGGTAGGGTAAGACCAACAAGGATACGCTGTTCGCAGGAAAAGATACATATGCAGTGATGAACACAAAATATGAATTAGACCCATGATATTGATCTGATCTCTTTTACATAATTCGCGTTACCCTACATCTGGAGCGCCGGGGAAGTCATCGTTCCCCTATTCTTCACGGTGAGAAAAACTTGGGGCTATGAACTAGGCTACAGTGGCTGGAGGGCGAATCTGCATATGAACCGTTGTTGCATCAAAACACGTTGAGTTGAGCACTGAATGGAGACACTGCCCCACCTTTTTGCTGCATATGAACAGCTGTAGTTTTACTATAGAACAGCCAAGTTGTCGGTGCTAGACAACTTTGACACTAAATGAAATGTCATGTTTTACCTGAGGCTTCTACCTTCAGACAGCGACAATCTGCACAAACACAACACATAATGTACATTATACATTAATATGTAGCTCAGAGATGTACTAAAAAGTGAATGTAACAGCAAACTGCCAGCTTACTAGGGAAAATGATTCACTTATCAGGGTATAATGGAGGGGGTCACATCAGTACAACTTCACAAAGTTGAGATCATCTGGTGCAGTGTTTGGAGCTCAGTCTGAAGGCTAATAATGCGATCATAGGCATTCTGCAGAATCAATGCTTTTCTACCCTGTCTCAACCCCCTCGTCGACTTGACATCAGGTCCGGCGGTCGCTGTCTCTTGTTTAGTGGCATCTTCAAGTTGCTTGAATCTAGCATTCAGATCCGCTCTGTAACGCCTCTCCACCTCGTTGTGTGCCTTCTTCCGCAGGTTACGAAGGTCCGAATCAACTTTGTCCGAGGATGTAAATGAGCAGTTATGCTGCCCAGCGCTGTCTTGCGGTACTAGCCGTTTCCGTATTGGCTTCAGTCTACCATTATTCGCTGGTGAGGGATCTGAATCAGAAATAGGAGTAACCGACGTAGGTATTGGCTCTGGTTTTGGCTGCTGCGAAGCGTCCATAATCACGCTCCTGTCAATAGGAGGCTTCGCTGGCTTATCCAATTGCAGCTGCTTGTGCGTTAGGTTCATGGTCTCATGGCTGCTTCTCAATGATGCCGGTGCCTCATAGCAAGCCACACCGAGGTCCTGGCGACTACGTTAGCACCGTACGTCGTAGGCATTCAATGGGTATTGACTCTATCCTCACTTTGGGACAGGTGGGCGTATCACACAGGAACCCCTCTGTCGTATCAAGGCTGCAGGTCTCGCCAAGCGAACTGCCCGTAGACTGCAGCCGAGCGTGGGATGGTGACATGCTGCAGTCACAAGGTATCAACCAGCTCCCAACTGGAAGCAGTGGGTGCTTGATCAACCATTGATCGTTCTGATCCGAAGGGAAATCGCTGTTTGTAAAGTAAATATCCATTTTAATAACAAATGCTAGATAATGTAATCCTTCGGAGGATACATAGAAGCTAATAAGCGAAATTTAGGAAGACGTTTCCGGGGCCTTTTAATTGCTCAGGACGCCGAACGGGATGGGCTGTTGCGCACACTGGCTAGTGAGTATGTATGAGAGCAACAGTGGCGGAAGAAGCTACCGGCCAATCAAGGACCATAAATGAGTAATGGGCGTGTCATCTACCAAGAGACGCAGAGTATTTTGCCACATTCTTTCAACTTAGGCAGCCTTATAGGCCAAGGTGTTTAGCCAATTCAACGGTCCATCGGACCATGACGGAAGACTATGTCAGAGCAATAGAGCTTACAGTAATTGAGATGACATGCCGGATTTTCTTGGCAGTGAGCAATCGCAATCACTCCTACTGATAACTTGCTTGTAAAAGGTAATAGAGTTCAATTTCGATGGATAAACTTGGTATTGATGCCCCTTCACGTCATTTATCACCTTCCAATTCTTTCATTATTATTAGATCCCTCAGGCGATTCGCGGCCATGGGCTGCATGTAGCCTTATTATTATTATTATTATTATTATTACTCCTCAGGCTGTGCGCGGCCGTGGGCTGCATGTGTGGTTGCAGATGAGCTGGACTCGTTTTTAGGGTGACGCGACCCGAAAATGCTTATTAAGCAATTTTAGGTCATGTGATCGTGAACGAGGTGGTTTTCAACAACACCCGAATTTCAAGTCACGCCAACCCTTTCAAAATTGTTACACACCACTATTGTCACCACTACCCTCACCGCTAATCATGGTGCCTTTGGCAAGGAATGTATGTTGAACTGCTTATCATGTGCTAAATTATTACTTGTTAAATTCTATATTTTAATTTTAGTGATTTAGAAGTGGTACATATGGTATCGTGAGGTGACTGCAGGACAGCTACAGCTTTCGGAGTATGAGCAGGTAAATATATTTCCCTTACAGAAATAAAAAGGTAATCAGAATTCACTCAGGGGGGCTTGTAATTTATGGTTTCTGATCCCTAGTAGTCTTTCTGAGCTTATCTAATAAAAAGATAGGGTAACTAACTTAAGTTAACTCTTGATTAGACTCGGTAAATTAAGCTTATGAGTATTGTTTATCTTCTTAGTAATTTAAAATTATTCTGCTCTTTATTAATCTAACTTCTTATTCAAGTATTCTATAGTCCAGTATTTTATTATAATACATATATCTAATCTTGTCAGGGTGCGGGTTCAGGCGGGCAGGCTAACAGAGCTGATACGCAGGCTGGCTACTGGTCAGGCTATCTACAGGCAGATAGACAAGACGTAGCTTGAGAAGCTACAACAGGATCAGGATCAGGCGGGAAGATAAACAGTCAGAATCACATGACGAAGCGGTGGGGTCAGGCAGGGAGCAGAAAGTAGTTGGGTTCGCGCGCTAAAAGCTGGCATCGACGCACTAGTATGCCTCAGGCAGTTAGGCATGTGGAATCTGGCCCGTGCCCCAAATTCCACGTCGAAGTTACCTGTGTATTCTTCTTACCACTTTTTTATTTTCAATACCTTTACCATCAATCTGTACACACCATTTTATAAAAGAAAACAGTCCATCAAAACTAGATAAAATTACTTGATAGTCTTTTCTTGTAGTATTTCTAAATGCTTGTAAAGTAATTATTAAGTAATAAAAATTAATAATCAGAATAATTCTATAGCCGATTTACTAAATATTGTGGTAACGTAGTGTGTACAGTATAGTATATATATATCTCTCTATACAAAAGCACTTAAATAAGGAGCTTACCTTAATCTTGTCCGGGAGTTTCCTCTCTGGCTTTGACTGCCTCTTCGGCTTGGAGTTCTTTGTAATAGTCTTCCACGGCTAGATAACGGAAAGAATAGTTGATCTTGATCCTGGATATTTAATTTAGAATAACTAGATTCTTCTTCTTGCCGAGATAGCTCTATAGATTTCTTAGTATATATACTTCAAAAGTACTTTATAACTACTGTTTAAGTACTTGGAGTAATGACATACCAGATCAAGCCATATAATAAAGACAACTAGCTTCTAGTGTTTATGTTGTGTACCGGTACCAAAGACCATAAGGATTACTGATTCTGCTGTATATCTTGTATGTCCAGCTTTAATGACCTATAAATATTGATTAAATAGTTAACAAGCACTCATAAAGTACTTAATAAGAGCGCGACTGGAGCCTGGACACGCTGTTGAACGGGCGTGAGAAAATACAAGTCTGCTGCCCGCCCTCCGGGAGACATTCCTCCCGTCCAGCAGCAGCGACGTCGAACTGCTTAACCCGCGCCAGCTCAAAAACAGCCTCAGCAATCCCAGGAGGGTGGGCATGCACCAGGGCCGCGTAGAGGCGAAAGTGACTGCCGTCCGGATCCTAACAAGCCCCGGGACCCCAGAAAAACGGCATGTGGAATTCCGTATCCAGGACGAAACCACCTTGCGCCCAGGTGATTGATCATCTGAAAAACCTCCCGGTTAATCCACCTAGCACGGCCTCGCGAGTCCTAGCTCATTTCGATCTCGTACCGGATTAGAGCATCATGATGAACTCGTTCAACATGCTTAGTCTGCCCCACGCCACACCTGTGTCGGTAGCCGAGCTGTTTAGCTCGTATGTGGAGCTGTCCCAACCATCAACGCGGAATTTACGTTCATAAGGATCTTTTTCGACTTGACTCAAACTCGATGCCCTTGGCTAACTGGAGAAACCCCAGAACCTCAAAGCACTTGCCGCAACCGCACTATCAGATGCAGACAAACAAGAGCTGACCCGTTTCCACGATTCCTACGATATCACCCTCCCGGACCAAGCGCATCTCGGTCTTGGATGTCCTCCAACAATTGCCCTTCATCTCTATCGTGGCATTTATGTCCATGCTCCCGGCTTTGCGCGTCCGGACGTACTCCCTCTTTATGGCCCCCTCATTCAGACCCTCTCACGGCTCGCTCACCTTCTCCACAGCCAACGAGCCAGCATGGAGCGGCAATGGGCGATATCAGGGCGTCGAATCATAAGCACTCTATAGTGCTTGTGTTGTCCTCCTTCCGGCCAGTATATCAAATAGGTTGAATATCGATATTCACGTGCAATATAGGGCTCCTGTAGGCAAACGATATCTGCTAGCTCTGGAGCCCTGCTTCCAGTGCTGCTATAGTAATAGGATATGCTCTGTTACAAGTCTGCTAGATCACTAGCACAGAGATATGTTTGTGTGCCCTATGGGTCTAGGAGTCCGGGGATCCTCCATAACTTGGTCTCGGGAGGTGCTTGGTAGTGGCACTTGAACAGCTGCTTGCGGTGTTCCCGGCGCCGAGCTAGTCCTGATATTATTGATTCTAGGACTGCAAGATGCTTCCCTACTTCGGCTACCAGGTGCTGAAACACTTCTTGGGCGTTTTCTAATGACGACCTGTACTGCCAGAGAGCTAGGTGGTATGGTAGATGCTTGATTTCGGTGTTTTCAGCATTTTGGTGGACAGTCCCCACGGGCTCTGTACCTCTTATGCCCAATCCCGCAGCACCGGGGGCATACTGTATCAGGCCTAGCTACCCAAAGCGCTCTACCTTATACCTTGTGCCCCCAAAACGTATGCTATTCGTCTGGACCTGTTAGGCCTCTGCCAGTGACCCTACTGTAATTACAGTACTAGATCACTTCTGAGTACTGTTTCGGAGACTCTAAGGGCTTTTCAGCCCGGTAGGATCCCATTTCAGGCGTAGGGCACTACCTGTTTCAACTTCTTGCCTTGTCAGGCCTAGGCCCAAGGTGAGAAGATATCACGGGTTAGCTAGTCATTGACGCTCGTACTGGAGACCTTACATGAACCCAAACGCCTGAGTTTTGAGGTCAGTCTCTCTGAAGGTCACTCCAGACTCTGTGTCTTTTGCTAGAACAACGTGGGTGAGGATGTCCTTTCTATTTTGAATATTGCTGCATATATCCCTACCGAATAGACCCTGCAGTCTCCGCCCAATGCACAGCGATACCATGTCTATGCAGGCCTTACGTCCTCAAAAAAACTGTGTCGGAGGCCACGGTGTAGTACAAAAGGTAGTAGCCGCTTTAATGCCCTAGAATCTGTGGTTTGCTTCCTGGATGCTAAAGGACGGGCTGAAGGAAATCTCACCCAGGATGTCAACTACACTATGGTGCAGGAGCTTCTTAAGATCGAACACACCCCCTTCCTGGCAATGGTTTCGGATCTTCTCTTTGGCGATTTGGATATGAAGATCGAGTTACGTTTGCCTTCACATAGCTCAGGAAAAGTACCTGAGATATATGACGCCCTCTTGTGCAATGCTTCCAGCTAGCACACCCGTCATTTCAATACTAAATATGAACATTTTGCGGCTACGGTATCCATCTCGAACCTTTCTGGTAGATGGCTTGTATAGCGCTCTCTTTAGCGATACTATTCTTATCTCGTCAACAGCGAACAATGCGAACATATAATTTATAGAGTTTGGTGAGTTGGTACGGTTGTTGCAGGGTCTTGAATTGACTCACTTTCCACAGATCTGTCATGTTTGCGGAGAAAGGCCCAGGACACCCAGAAACAGGGAAAAGTAGCGTTAACACGCCACATCCCGGCACATAAGTACCATGGCCCAACCCAGGAAACGGGTGAATGGGTGGGCGCTGAGTATCACCAAGAGAACCGCCTAAGTCCACGCGCCGTTCGAGGCATCTACGTCTAAGGTAATGTTCTAGTGAACACCCTCATTCCCAGCGCTTGCAACTTGGTATCCATACAACTAGCTTAAAGATCATGCAAATGGCCGTTGCTCTACGCTTCTAACCGCATGTACACAAGCTCTATTTCCAATCATGTGGATGAAAAATGTTTTGCCCACCAAGGAAACTTGCTTAGGGCTTATCTTGGGTGACAAGAGTGAAGAGAACACCGTCAATACCCCAGAAGGCATGGTATCCCATGAATGCCCGCTTGTCATTCAATATGAAATACGCAACGTTGACTCTGTAGTAGAATTCCAGAGCACCTTCTTCATCCAGGGTTTTGGCAGTGACACGACAACCCTCACCCGTGGCAAGCACTGCATTGGCTGGGTGGCAAGTTCGGCCATTATTTGTGGCAGCTAGGGTACATCCCTGCCCCAGTAGGTGCGAATATGAGGTTATCCCCGACATACCCGGGAAACGCACCAACGAATGCTGGTTCGACACTTGTGGGGCACAAGTTTCCCCAGTCTGTATCCCGGGATTCCTTCCGGTATCCCGGGCAATCATATTACCCTGCTAATTGTGCTGTCACTCTTGTGATCTCCAGTTCTTTCACATTGTACTTCATTTACCTGCCTATTCCCAAATCACTATATCCCATGCTCTTGATATCGACCAATCAGACAGGAAAAATTCCAAAACCTCTATCGTTTCTCCAATGGGACGGACAACCATATATCCTAACTGCTTGTGAGCCTTCTTTAAGAGTCGGCTGTGGCTCTCGGTACTCTCACGGGTGTATTCAATATTTATACATGTCATTTATATATATACACTGAATGAAAAGAATATATCTATGAAATTGGAACAAGCTCGTGAAAACCCTATTGACATATTTGTTATTATTATTACTATTTTTTTTCAGCTTTGTTTCCGGCGCCAAGGTATTTAAGAATCTACATCCCTAAACTCCATTCTACAAACTAGCGGTCACCCCGATCTCAAAGTCAGCGCGATTGATTTGTTAGATCACTTATATACTAGTAAGCGAGAGCCCTTCATTAATGGACTTATACTTCATAACCGTCACGTGAGCATTGTAACTTAGCCAATAAGTTATATGTAAAAAAAGAGGAATTATGATATATCGACCCATGAAATTAAATCCCAGAGAATGGAATTGCCGTAGCCCTCTTGGGTAGATATATCCACTTCGCCTTCTAGGTGTATACTATGCTAAGCTAACAGGGTGTTTGTCATCTGAAGCTGCCCCGACTATAGTTTAGCACTGGAAAATCGATCTCTCCACCGGCTATGATCAGGCTTTCGGGTGCATGTCTTCCTGAGCTACCCAATTTCCATGTAGTCCGTGCCTCAACCGAACGGGCAATAGAATCACCGCTTGTGCCCTGGTAAAATCCCGTGTATCCACTAAGTGCAACTCACTGGCCATAGAGCAGTAGTTGTTTACTAACATCATCACATATCCGTCCCCTTCAGCAGTTGATCCTCGTCGAGGAATAAAGATAGGTTCCTGTACCATATGTGTCTTCCCTGGGAAATACACATCCGTTTTGCCAGTGGTTATATCCAGATGCCCAACCGCATTGTAGAGCGGGTGCCCTCCTCCCAGCTGAGCGCTGATGGATGCAAAATCGGTTCCCAGCGTTACGTCCATCATATCAAAGAAACAGTGTTTGTACGGCTGGGTGGCGAATCGGTCGTCAATCCGATAAAACTCGCAGTTGTCGCTCTGAATCACCGAAGGATTGCCCAGGCTTAGATCCAGGGAAGGAGACAAGGGATCAATAGTAAACCTTTTGAGCTGTGTCGCAATAGAGCTAGGCTCAGGCGCATTACCTTGAGCATCTGGCCACCAGAAGAAGGCGTTGTCGTTGCTTATCCCGAGGTCCAAAATGATCTTACCCGACTCATCCTCGTATGCATTGGAAGTATGACCAGGGAAGCAGTTTCGGTAGGTGTACCACTATGCTCGTTCATTTAGGAACAGACCATAACGCGGCGAGGGAATTAGATATGCTAACCTTGACATCGGTCGGCTTCGCTCCCCTGCGAGGAAGAACTCCGATATAAAAGGGAGTCTCAGGGCTCCATTGCCAGTGGTCACCGCCTCGCTTTAGCCGTTCGATATCACAAACCTGGGGAATAATTGGGAAAAGTACCTAGATGGCAAGGGCAATGAGCTACAGAAGTGCGACAGGCCGGATGAGTTGAGGGAAATAGGCTACACTTACCCAGTTGTCGGTCACGGCGAAATCATGGATCATGGCCACCACTGGAGCGCAAAGCCACACCGTCTGCAAAAATCTGCCGTCGGGTGCAACGCTGTAGTAGCAGATATCAGGGGTGCCATCCCCTTTGGCTTCATATCCGAAGCAGATCATCTCCCCGGTTCGGGGGTCAAACTTGGGATGTGCGGTAAAGGTCATACTGGGCAGCTGATCATTGAAAGTATATAGGCCATACGTCTCGAGGGTCTCCGGATCGAGCGCATACGGTGGAGAATCTTCCTTCAAGGCCAAGAGGTTACCGTTAAAATAGACCACATTCGTGTTGGCCGTCGAGCGAATTTTGAACCTCACGGCATCGGTGAATTTGTTGCGATACTTCCCTATACACAAGGTAAGCCAGACTTTTATTCAGAGCATGATCGAAGAGATCATACCAATCAAGGCCCTCTCAGCCGCTCTCTCCCGTACGAATTTCTCTGTTCGAACATATCTTTGTTGGAACGACACTTTACCGTCCAAGATACGGAACGCTGTGATGTTTCCATCGCCATTGAACCACTATAAGCTATCAGCTTCCAATGTAATCAAAATAGTCGAGGCCGCATTCCATAACTACCTCATCATTTTCCACGAATGGTGGTAGCTGGGGGTCTGGCATCACGCGATAGAAAGTCCCGTCAATGTCCTGGGGAATTTCCCCGTACACTTCGAGATTGGACACTTTGCCTTCCAGGCGGCATGGCTTCATGAACCCGGAGAACTGAGGGAGGTCCGGAAAATGTTGGGAAGGACTCTGGGGGGTAGGCACTGTCATCTCGTGTGTTTGGCTAGTGTAATGAGTATTAATTATGGAAAAAAAATATTACGGAAGGGCTGACAGTCTCTGTTTGAGTTTAAATATGTTTGGCTAATTCGAACGGACTAGTTGCGATTGTGAATGCTCCGCACCTTTACATAGTTTGGATATTACTGAATATGCCGCAGGTCGCCCTATCCCCGTTTCCCTAGTTAAGATGCATATTTACTATCGGCACCCGGACCAGGTTGAGATGGGCAACACTAAGATGCCATCCTTGTATTCTGAAGGACCAGTGGTAAGAGGTTGATGTAGCCCTACCCGCCTTCCCCGGCTCCCCCGGCGGGAGCGCAACTCGTCTTTACGATCGGAATGATCCGAGTCCCCGTTCCCCAGTTACATTGCATGCGGGTGTAGGGTGGATAATGGCTGTGCTTTTGTGTCACTCGGAGGCCGTCTCGATCTCCAGCCTCCGGTGGTACACAATTGACTCCACGCTAAACGCGGGAGAGGAGGTGATATATGTCTTATGCCGCGTCGACTGTCAATAGAACATGGCGAAAAGGCCCAATAACAACCCAAGCACACCTCGTTTTCCTCTATTCCAACATGGCTGTCCAACTGCCAAATTACCTTGTTGTGGGAGCCATGATCCTGGCGGCATGGGTTCTAGGAACTTGGATTTACAATACCTTCATGCACCCTTTGCGCGGAATCCCGGGTCCGTTCTTGGCCAGAATGAGCCACCTCTGGCTATTCGCGCAAGAGCGGAAAGCCACACCACACAAACACATTCTAGAACTACATAAGAAATATGGTAAGCAGGTATCGCTGGGGTTGCGTTATGCTCTCCAATGCTGAATCGAAAGTTGAGGCCCGATTATGAGGATATCACCAAATGAGATCTCGTTCACCGACATCGAAGCATCGGATGTTATCTACGCGCAGACCTCACGGTTCGAAAAGTCGAAGTACTACTATCAGGCTTTCGAAACTCCGGCAAAAAACCTGTTCAGCATGCAAGACCGTCGCGAGCATTCCCAGGACAAGAAATTAATCTCCCACTCTATGTCACGCGCTAATATCATTCTCCACGAGTCATCACTGTACGACAAGGCGAACTTCGTCATGGACCGAGTCGCCAAACGCGCAATGAGCGGCCAGACAGTCCCCCTATTTCCTCTGTTCCGTTGCATGACCCTGGATATGATCTCAGACTTCGCATTTGGCAAATCCACGGGCGCCTCAAAAATAGAGAACTTCGAGTCATCCACATTTGACGCCATTGACAAAGCCAATAGTACCGTTCCGCTAGTAAGTACCCTTGCGCCACCATTCTTTCCAAGTCAAACACGTTTCTCACGGTAACAGTTTCAACATTTTCCAGTAATACACCAGATCATTCAATGGGCGACTTACTACGGTATCAGTCGCCTTCCCCATGGGATTCGCAAATTGACCCAAGCAGCGGAGGCCGGATTCAATGATATGGAATCGGCCGGGTCCTGGACGATGTTCAAGAATATGATTTCCGCGGCCGAGAAGTCAACTAGGCTCACAAAGGAACACTTAATAGCGGAGGGGATGCTGATGATCGTTGCTGGAACAGATACCACGGCCACAAGCCTGTCTGTTACCCTGCACAATCTTCTCCAGCAGCCGGAAATCTATAAGAAACTGCAGGATGAGGCCCGTACTGTTTTGCCAACCTTAGACTCGCGGCCGCCGTTTCAGGAGCTTGATGCCTTGCCTCTTCTTGACGCGTGCATCAAGGAAGGTCTGCGCATATCTAGCCCCGTGCAGAGCCGACTGCCGAGGACGGTACCTGCCGATGGTTGGACCTTCAAGGGGCATTACTTTCCACCTGGAGTAAGCAATCTGTTTGCCGGCTTCCTGTTCAAGCGTTTTTATGGATGGCTACTGACCCTTGACAGGTGGAAGTGAGTACCTCTCCCCTGTATTTTCACTACAACGAGGACGTATTTCCGTCTCCAACGATATATACGCCCACTCGATGGCTAGTGGAAGGTCAACAGAAGAGTAAGATGTTGTCTTATTTCCACCCGTTCTCACGCGGCACTCGCCAGTGCATAGGACGAAAGTATGGCTCGATACTGTGTGAATCTTGTGAATGTTTCTAATACTGCATGTAGCCTCTCACTCATTGAACAGAAAATCGTTCTTGCCATGTTCGTGAGGCGGTTCGACCCCAGAGAGGTCCTGAATAGAACGGTCAACCTTGCAGAAGCCGTTACTGCAGTGCCCGAAGGTCCGATGGAAGTTCGCGTACAACTTGCAGCTTGACCCTATCGCCAGTCTTGTTTCTCCCTGTTTTGGAAGTGGCTGGTAACCATATGTACTAAGCAATGTCCTCTGAAGGGCATGTGAAGCGTTTAGCGCGGCATTAGATAACCATTGGATATGGGCGCTTTCATAATACCTAGGCATCATCCACCACTCTCCTTCACCATTATATACAAAACAACTTTTTCGGTCACTCTGTAGCTCATTTGACGATATCTCACAGGTCCAGGGATGTGCATCAATAGTGCTCCATTGTCCTATATGATCTTTAATAATTTCTAAGACCTCTGGCCGTCAGATTTTTCTGACAACCAAATAGATCGTGCTATTCGGTTCCTTTTTTCACTAACCAATAAACTACGAGAACAAAAGGAGAAGACGAACAAGCTAAGATGAGCATGAAACAACCATACCTTTAAATGATAGTGGACTATAACAAATATGATGGTCCCTCGCTAATTCACCGTACTAGGCAACCTCTATTGGTCAGCTTATGTCGAGGCATGGAGTGGATCTTCCATTATGTCAGATATTTGGTCAGACCCTGAGGTCGCTATTACGATTATTGTCATCGTCAGCTGCCGCCCTACGGCCGCTTATAATGTCTCTCGAACCTTAGCTAGTTACCGTCGAGGTAGAGATAGGGACACAGACAGCATTCAGCGGGTTGTCATCGAAGCCAATTCCTATTAGTCTAATGGATCGCAACCCCCGTGTGACCAGGCGAGCTTACACGAAGTGCTTTTAGACCTGATGGCTGGTGGCCCATAAGCAGACTTACATCGCAGAACGCATGAAAAGGATATGCGCAACAGGCCAACACTGATTGTTGAATCAAGAATCTTCCTGCTGTCGAGGCATCCAAGCAATCATTCTCCTCGGCAGAAATGTAATAAATTTCTGCGATAATTCCCTTTCCCTTCAGCCAACTAAAAGGCTCAAGCCCGCTTTTCCTCCGTCATCTAAGGCAAGGATATTGTACGGGCAAAGATTATATAGACAGATTCATGCTACCCTTGTACTGTAGGGCTAATATTTAGTATAATGGCCGATGTGTAATATTATAACATTTGTTCTACACTGGATCCCTGCTACTGTAAATCCTAATATGATACATTATATAGTAATAGAACCCTTTAGCCGTTGAATTGGTTTAAACCCAAAGGCTACCTTTGAGAGCCTACATGACAGGTAATAAAACACGGCATTTTGTATGGTATGCTCCTAGCAGCCTAAGGCATTGACACGTCATACCTATACTCTTCGGCTGAGCTCTTGTATGGAAGACGAAATAGCACTGGCAACTAAAGTTCCCATCTACCAGATCTAATATGGACAAATATCGAATGAGGTGCTCACCCAGTGTGCTGGCTGGGCAGGATTTGGCTAGAATTGTGACTGGAACTGCGGCGGAACTGGGATATCAAATGCAGCAGGGACAAGGGACATTGCGGACTCCGAGCTAAACATACCAGGGTCCATGAGTTGCCGGGCCCAGGCGCTCGACGGGGATATTGGGAGGGCGGAAGTAGGCAATAGCAGTGATACATTTGCTAACTAACTATTAGGTCCATCTATCTCCAATGGAGTGGATCATGAATGTATTACCTTCTAGGTCAAATGAAGTCAGCAATTTCGTCAGGATATTGTGACATCGCACTACTGTTCTATTAGAGTTCCCCAGGCCACGGAGTATGTCCTTGGCAGAGTCCAACAATGATCGCACGTGGGCATAAGACACGTCCGGTAGCCTATCAGGAAATGCGGAGACACGTTTAGTTAGCAGGACACCAATGGTAGCAAGAGAGGCATTGAAGGCTAGAAATGGCTGATCAGCAATCCTGCTTTCCCACATCTGGCCGAGGACCTACTATAATAACACGAAAACCACCATGCCCCCAATAAATTCTGATCTTTTTTCGCCCCGGCTAGGATATTCTCGCTGACTCGCAAGATATCGCTGATCGCTCGTATCAGGTCGGCTAGGAGGAGTGAGCCAGGACCATGGACCCACATTGACTGCTGGACGTCCAGGGCGGCGATTTTCGAGAGATCCAATAGGATGGGCAGAATCGGTCTTAGGATAAGTATACGAGTGCCCAAGTAGCGAAGAGAAAGTAAAACGCGTAATCGAGGGGTTCCAATTGTCAGAGGGACGTCCTCCAATATGTCTTGGGAGGTAATGATGCTGAGGCATGCGGGTAAGCCATCCTGCCATGTAGCGAGCTGCCAGGTCAGACGGTTAATTCGTTCTACGACTTCGTTGATCGGCAACTGGATTTGAGAGCCCAGATTCTGGTCGTACAACTTGTCCACAGCGCCTCCAACGATGTGGGTTAAGGACCTACTACGGTTAGTCCATGCTAGAAATGGGATAGAAGAGACCTACATCAGCGCGTCGAAGTACTCAATGCTAGACATTATCACGCCGCTGGGAACGTTGTTAAACGGAAGATGTACTAGTTTATTGATCCTGGCGTGGGAGAGTGGAATGAGCGGCGGCCGGCCATACGACGCACTGAGCAATCTATTCATCGTCAGCGAGTGTTTTCGTGGTCCATTTCAAGGTACACGCCGTACCGGTCGTTCATCACACACCAGTACCACAGCCTTCGTCGCAGCTCTTGGTCGATTTGTGACAATCCTTTTGAAGATATGCCATGAAGACCTAGTTGGTAGGCCCCTTTGACAGCGAGGCTATGGAATGTCCATGCCAGGGACGCTGACGTTGTCCCTTCCAGATACGAGTACACCAACAGGAAGAAAAGCTCTATTCATATCAGTGGGGATTAGGAAACCTAATGAGCGCGAAAAAACATACCTAATTCCAGGGAAACCCGTCCCACGATATCAGACTTCGTCACCTCCATCGCGCGTTCAAAGTACATACGCGAGCGGGTGGCGCGTTCACTGGTGGGGGTCGTCGCCGTCGTCAAGTTAGTAGCAATGGCAAAAATGATATTCAAGACGCCTAACCAGGACCGTCTTATGTCTGGCAGTTCATTGTTACGCATCTTCCTGTAGGTACCTAGAAACGATGCTTCATGAATGCATGGCATCATCAGGTTGACCGTGGTAAAGTAAATCTGCAACAGGCCGTCTGCTTCCGCCGGCGGGGGGAATGAGAAGCGTTCCACGACCCCTCGATCAGCACTCAAGCTGCTAGGGCTCTCATCCGGGGGCCTTTGTAAGAAGCCATCGAAATCGTCGTCCCTTGGCCCACCGGTAGCGTCTGTGCTATCCTGGGTGAGGTTAGAGGGGCCGTCTCCCCGAGTAACACAGTGGCTCGTGGCATGAATAATGAAGCGCAAAAACGACACGTTGGAAGAATTCCCTTAGAATTCAATGGTGCATTAGAAGGTCTTCGTTAAGAATGATATGCAATAAGTCGAGTTGGAAGTGGGTCTCACCGAAGTATTCACTTTCTTCCCCTTCGTCCTCCAACATTACGGCACCCATGCCATCTACGCCATCATCTAGTGTCAACTTTCCGTTAGGTGGAATAGATGTGGCAGCCTCTGGGGACCAGTCAACGCGTGCCTCCTGTCCTAAACGCTGCAACTTCTGCTCGATTGCCAGCAGTCGCTGTTCCACGCGATCGGTTCTTGATGATTGTGCGACTCAGCAATGTGTGTATCCCCTTCGGTGGTCAAAGATGAACTCACACGGTCTCTACGGCAGGCCTGCTGTGGGCCTGTTCGTACATACACTCGGTCTCCGTATCCTCACAGGTCGAGCATGGTTGCGCCCCATCGCACTTTGCTGGTGGTTAACCATGGCGAGTCCCTTTATGTACCTATGTGTGTCAACAGTGGTATTGGAACTTACGCGGGATTTGCGGACTCGACAGCTTCGACATGCTACTGAGACCCTCTTTCGCTTCCGGCCCAGCAGTCTGTTCGGCCGTTCTAGACTTTGAGACTCTGCCGTAACAGCTGAGGAACGCTGTACGTGTGCATTAGACATCAAGAACATTAAGGTTAAACAAATTTTGTTCTTTTCCTATTCTTCTTCTTCTTCTTCTATTGCTCCAACTTGACTCTTCACGCCACGATTGTAATGTAACGGGAAATCTAACTTGCGAGAAAAGAGACCTGGATCTTATTTAGCGGGTTTCCCCATGCTTCGGCAGTGTCCTTCCAACCCCCTTGATTTCCTGAAGGGGACTGGGTACCCCACGGTTATAGACGATCCTTGGTTGGGCAGAGCTATCCACTCGTGTCGGGCTTGCGGTCTAGTGGGGATTGATCGTCACCACATTCTCTTCGGACGAGTCTAGAATAAACATCTCCATGCCTTTCTCTTGAAGAAATGGCTGCGGTCTAGCACTAGATTGGCGGTATAACTCAATGCTTGCGGCGCTCTAGATCGTTAAATATTTACTATTCTATGAACACGGATTCTATCTCAGATGTATAATCTCCAAAACGCGGGCCCTGACAGCATATTGAAACATATACCAAACAGGTTAGTTGGAACACGAGATTATGATATTATGTACTGTTTTGATATTTTCCTGCAGATTCTCGTGGTTGACAAAATGATACTAGATCTAACATCGGAACAGCGTGGTCTTTGGCAGGATGCCACACCGAGTACCGCATTCAATGTTCTTTCTGGATGTCAGCTTTCATTGTAAACTTGAGATTATTAAATTCTGGAATACCGACCAGATGCCCCCGAACGTGTTTTGATCAGGGAACTTTAGTATGACTATACCAAATCAAGTTCGAACTCATAACCCTTGGTCCAACGACTCGTGTATCCAATCGTTAATGCTTTACGTAGATCATCCCACCCGTCAAGCGCACACAGGCCTCGGGATCTGTTGTGATGACCGATGGAGTAGATCATATTGGTGGCTACTTCTTGTATCCACTGTGTCCGTCTCTCGGAGACAGGACTTTCCGCTGAGTAAGCGGCACTTGGGCAGAGGTTCTGATGAACTATGGTCGAGTTCCAGATATGCTACGGAGATCCTACATCCCATATTTCATCAGTGATGGCGATGTTGACATAGCAGAAGCATATTATCAAGTCAATCATGATTGCATTTGCATTTGCTATCCTGGCCCACACTCATGCTGATAGTGCATAATTCCGCCAAGCTTTCACCTATTTCGGATGCATAAAATGACCAGTCATATTTATTAATCTCGTGCTCTCCGGATCACTTGAGGCTAACAGTTACAATAGTTGCATCTCTTTCGGGAATACATAAAACTTCCTACTTATTATAGGTCAGAGAACTTTCATTCAGTAGGCTCTAGTTAAACTACTGGCAGTCACAAAATTTTGTATCCTTCTGCTATAAACAACTAATTGGGGTGTGAATCCCAAGCTATCCTCAAGATATATTTCGGCTCTCGCTCTTGATGCAGCCATCTCGGTTCAAGTTGCTCCTTGAATTCAAAGAAGCGATAGGTGGTAGAGAAGATAAAATAAGATATGCGATAAAATGTACTAGACGTGCAATTCAAGGATCGTCTTCACTGTAAGGTACTCTAACTAAATCAAACAATTAATTAGGTAGTCTAACACGAAGAGACTAAGCTGAGGAGAAGAAAGGAAAAGAAAACATGAACCTATCGCGTACGCGATCTCTCTATGTTGCCCTTCTAGACAAGGTGTCACATGACTGACAGGCTCACTTCACTGATTACCTGACCTAGATCCGTGACATTTACAACAGACTTTATGTGCGTAACAAGGTGCCTACGCACACTCATTGCAGTGAGGTTTGAAAGATTATAGCAACTCTTCCTTTTTCGCTTCTTTTTTATAGATCCACGGGATGAAAAGCTAAGGGGGATACAAGTTGTGGGTCACCGTTCGCTTTCGGGAGTTGGGTCTCCAGCACCTCGAACAAAGGAAAGATGGTATATGTTGGACAATCTGAGGGAGTATCTCGGTCATGTTCCGTTCTCTTTGCCAGGCCCCTACAATCCGTGCTGATCGATCTGCAACCACCTTGAAAGTCGGACCCACTGGCTAAATATTGGCACGTTTTCTGGCCGCAGCTTTATATCTACTTGATAATCAAGATAGTTACTAGCTATACGCCATCATAATTTTGGGTTGCGTTTAAGTTAAGGGCTTTGTAATCGTGCAGCAATTTTTTATCCAGTATGGGTTTACATAAAGTGGCTATTGCGCACTTCAATGGTGATTTTACTGAACTACTCACTTCCCTGATGCCAGTTTAGATCCGCTCGCCGCCATCAGTCATATTGCAAGACACCTTAAACGTTCAATCTTCGTTTTGTCATTGCATCACAAACAAAGCTCTTTATCATGGCTCCAACTATTGTCGTCATAGGCGCAACCGGCAACACTGGCAAGAGCGTCGTTCGCCATCTTCCCAAGCTACTGGAGTCAAGCAACACGAGCTATCGCATTCTTGGCTTGACCTGCTCCTTGAACAATCCTGCCTCCTAGAAACTTGCGACGCTACCTCAGGTTGAGATGCAGAAGGACTGGGCTACCATCGACGCTGCATGGCTTCGAAGTCAGGAGGTAGGCCGAGTCTACATTGCACCGCATAACTTGCCACACCAGTTCGTGGAAGAGTCTGCCCTCCACCCTCCATATCGCCCTGCCGCAAGCTGGTGTCAAGTACGTGGTTAGGGCGTCAACGAACGTGGAATATGTCGGCCCGACTAATCCTGTGTTCTACAGCCGCCCACACGGGGCAATTGAGAATTTGTTGAGCCAGCCGGAGTTTACGAACCACTTACCAAGTGTTAAGCTGGGGCTTCGAGCCTGATCTATCAATTATAAAATTCTATTCATATTTCTGGCTGGAGCTTTTCATGGAGGTGGAGGAGCATGTGTATGAACACCATGAGATACAAAGACAAAATATGATTCTGACTTAAATCTATAGGGATTGACCAGTGAAAAGTAACATTGCGCTTAGCATGTACTAATTTCCCAGGTCCCTAAGGATGATCATATGCTAGAAATAGTTAACCTTTAGTAAGTATTTAATAAATAGTTTACAAATTACAAGCATTTTCTAAGTATGTACTACAGAAAAGTAACTTTGATTTAATTGATTCAACAGTACCATATTCCTCTGTGTTAATAATAATAGTATTATTAAAGAGCTCCTCAAGGAACTGAAATTTAATTGAGCCATTTTTTGGAACTCTGTAGGTATAATGACCTGCAGGATCGGATGATATGTTGATACATCTGACATAGAAGTCAAAGCCACCTAAAGGATACTATAACTGATTAGTAAGTGGTTATTAAGTAGTTAGTTGCTGGATACTTAGAATACCGGAATAGAGCTCTGATTGGCTGACAAGAATTCTGGAAATGAAAGAAAAGGGATAATTTATGAAGCGAGTATAAACTTAACCTATATAGCCTACAAGTGATATAAGATATATCACTACCTATATCTAATGAGCTGAGGCCTGAAAACGAGATATATTTTGATTGTCAATATATTCTGTTAGATAAGTATGGCTAGCGACATGTGATGATAAGCCATATTATCATAAAGCACAGTCCGGCCATGGTATTATTTGCCGGTACTGGCAGTGAAATCGCCCATCGTGTCTATCAAGAAGAATTCAGCAAACTTGCATGTAATCCTCTGGTCTTTTAGTCTAGCCCACATAGCCTTATATGGTCCACGTATTATCAAGTCGCTTTGACTTTCTTAATAGTTTGACTGCGGCTGGGACTGGTTCACTCCCTGACTTGCCTGCTCCAGATAATATAGTTACAGTATAAGCGGTTTTGTAGGAATTGATGGTAGTATGTATAGGCAGGGCACGAATGTCAGGAAAATATTAGACTGTAGAGAGAAACTAAGGGTCTTCTTCAGAAATATATAAAGATTAGTAATAGACAAATCATCCTTTCACATAGAGGAAATTCACTTATCATACTTCATGTAGTTTAACTGTTCAATAGCAGTGTTTATATGGAGATGCCCATTGACTGCGGTAGTAGATATAGGCAGCGGAAATTAAAAGAAAAAAAGAAAGAGAAAAAAAGAGAGAGAGAGAGAAAGAAAGAGATACCCTACCTGATTTACCTCACGGATGGAGTAGAAGGAATAATGAGCACAATTTCCCGTTTCATTAATGATCCCATCTCTTTGTTGAGTGGGCAAAATAGTTGATGACGGTCAACAGCACTAGGAGGGAAAATAGGCCTTAGTACAACTCTAGCGTGGTGTGTTTTATTGAGTTTAGTGTACTCAGGCTACTCCCCCCCTCTGCTCACCCCCTACTCAGTGATAAGTTCAGGGGGTGCTCAGGTCTACTCAGTGAGCAAAAAGCGGCAAGGTGTGAGCGAGAGGTGAGCACCAAAACGGAAAGGGAAAGCCTTCGAGCTGTGTAGAAAATCCGGTATGTATGTACTTCTACTTACCTTTTCTTCACTCAGATGAGCTTTATGGTAATTCCACTGGCTCCACTGTCTTCGCTTTCATACCACCCCCATTTCCCCCAGCCGCATCAGGTAATTCCGCCGGCCCCTTCACCACCCCCTCAGCCGGCATCTCATTGAGCATTCCACTGGCCGGTCCATCCTTACGGTTAAGATCTGGTATCGAGCCGCCCAGACCTTCCTGTTGCCAAGGTCGCTCATATTGATACACGTTAACCTTCTTCGATCTCCGTTTCAAACAGAGAACCCACACCAAGCCACCGACTAGCAAAAGTCCACCCACGCCAGCTCCAACACCGATACCAGCCTTCGCACCTGTTGATAATCCGCCCGAGGAAGTGCCAGAGTCGGAATCGGCGTTTGGGTCTGGTTCTGTATCAGAGGATTCCGCAGAGAGAACTTCGAAAAGAGGTTGACGTAGGGTAATAATCTCGCCGTCTGAAGCGTTGGGCTTTGTTTCGCAAGCTGAGCTCATTGTGTCGATGACTAAAATATTACAATATTTTATCAGATATCTGCTAGTATACGCATTTTTATATAACCCTTATCCAAGCTTGATAAAGAATGTTGGCGGTGGGAGAAACTCACAGTTCCCGAGAATATACGTCCCATTTTTACCCCGCAGGCATGATTCACATTTGTTGGCGTATTGTTTGAATCCGGCGTCGTCGCAGTATTTATAAATAGGCGTAAAGTTATTGCCCTGGTACCAATTGTCTTTGTAGACGTTTCTGAGGGGAAGGCATTCGTCATCACAGCCTTTTATGGAGGGACCGTCACGGTCGAAGAGACAGGTTTGAACCGTGTATTTTTGATTATCTATATTTGGTCAATTTAGTCCATGGTGGCCAATCCAAGGAGCATTGCATGGGCTCAGTCGTACATAAAAACGTATAAATATCATTTCTTTCATCCGAGATATATGCGGTGCCGGTACTTTGACATAACAGGCAACTTTTGACCGTCTTCCCCTTCTCAGTGGTATTATAGGCTGAATCCTGACAGACGAGATCATCGGCGGTTGTTTTCCGAGAACTTCCGCAGTCTTTGATACATTTGGACGTTTCAATTGTGCCGAGAGATATCGCGGGTGTATACAGGTAAATTGCGGCTATGAGGCCGACGAGGAGGATCCTCGTCCCTGGGAATGGTGAAATGGGCATAGTGGACGTGCAGGAAGGCCTGGGAACCCTCACGGCATACGGACAGGGGGCGCAAGTGCGACAGAGACTCGGTTATATGCCGATCATCTCGTCGTACTTCATACGCTCGCTATTAAATAAATATTCGATCGGGAGATTAACCTCCACCCTTCTTAGGGTTTCGCAAGCTACTGGACGGCCGAGGCGCAGCGTTAAAAGAATATGTTGACGATGAGACCAATTAGCAACGAGATCGTCCCCCAGCCTTCCTTGGCGTTGGGGGCTATTGTTAACTTATTGGTCCAGTCCAATACCACGTTGATCCATTCCAGTAGGAGATTGATTTATGCCCATCAATGACTGGCACAGCCTTATGGATTCCTTAGTAGGTGTATACTTTTCTCCCTGAATACTGAGGCTTTCTGCGATTTGTTTATATAGTCGCAACTGGTGGTGAAAGTTTGGGTCTGGCCACGCAGCTGTTGGTTACCCGATCATCAGTCCAAGGTTAGTCATAGATGAACGTTGTCGGTTTTTATTAGCCACACTGCATCTTAGAATGTACATTAGTCCTTGTCAGATACCTGCTAGGGGTAATTCGTGTCAGAATTCTCTCTTTGCTTGACACAGGCAGGCTATATAAACGAATCAATTATCTAATCGTCGTCCGTGCATATGTAACTATGGCTCCACTTCGGATGACCCAACAAAGCCTTCGATCAGGATTAAATATTCCCAACTGAAGCTCATTTTCTCTCCCTTTGGCTGGCTGCGTGCTTAGTGGCAGCTATTCTTGAATAGCATCTTGCATTATTATTGTGATCAACATACTCTGACAATACATGTCTGGTGGCCTTGTTTCAGAGAACTGTCATCGTTCGGAGATAAAAATACATATAACAGCTCCTAAACTGCTATAATGCAGACAATGGAGGCGAGTGTGTTTGTAACATAAGCCCATTAATATCGAGAAATAGAAGTAAGCCATCCACTCATTTGACTTGAGTTGACCTTATCCCGGTGAAACTTATCAAGCTTCCGACAATATATCCCAAACACGATCGTTCACAATTGATCATATACCTCAGCCTCCCCCCAGGGACCTTCAGGAACCTATACCGAAACACTACTGTCACAATACGCATGAAACCCTTGATTTCAAGACCAGTAATCGCTCATGCCAGCTCTCGCACTAAATCTGGTCTCACACCGTTGTAGATCTATCAAATTCTGATTCCGTCGGCACGGTAGAAGTTCTTATTGAAGATGTGTTAGTCGGCAATACATACATTGAAGAGCAGTATATGTTAAAGCTTACCTTTTGTAGAATTGAGCTTATTTGTAGAATTTTTGGTAAATCGTGGTCCATGGTCCACCTGGGACTGAACTATATATCTACCGCGAATTTGTAGTCTTGTACGCACGGTGTCCCACTTTTAGTAAAAAAATAACTTTGCTCTGGACTTTTGGTTGATCCTTACTTTTTCAAAAACAAACAAATAAATAAATAAAATAAAAATATTGTTTTCATTCAGTCCGCCGTACTGTATGTATCCAGCTGTACTCGCACCCACTCCTCCAGGGGGCTAAGATTGCAGTACAGTGGGTCCAAATTCAGCTTTGGCAGAGTACATACCCAAAACACTGCAATTTTGGCGCTCTGGAGGGTGTGCATCCTATCACTACTTTAAAAGCCTTGTCCATTGCGCCATCAATTCATATATGGCTATGCCGTAGTGAAGCTCCATCCATGACTTTGGATTTAGAGTCAGAAGTGTCGAAACATTATGGAATATATATCTATTATAGTCCGGGCACTTCACGGGAGAATTGATTTTTTTTTTTTAAAAAAAATAATCGAATCAATACGTTGAGTGATGCGCTAACCTGCCTGACTCCTGCTTGAGGTAGTAACCCTACAGTCCCATCACAATATGATGTGTTAGCCCAACACTCATAAACAACTTTGGCCGGAACCATCCATCTCTAAAGAGAGCCAATTTCAGCACACTCCCCCACGTTTCATTAGCGTGTCTTGCCCTCCCTCTCACGCGCACAGTCAAATAATCATTAAGTTGTACAATATATCACCACATCTATATACAGTCAACCCCTACGGAAACATCAAGGCAACTCCACCGCATTAGCCCTTCCATTCGCATGTCCCTTCGCAGTACCATCCAACTCCGCATCCACCCTTCCCCCACCCTCCAACTCCCCCGGTTCCTTAACCTGCTCAACCGCCACCCCAGCACTATACGAACCTACCCCAGCACCCGTATACGGCGCACCCTGCTCCGCCGGCGGCTGATACGCATACCCATCCCCCTTCCCAGCACCCCGTCTCCTCCTCACAAGCAACCCCCAAGCGACAGCCCCCAAAACCATTAACCCACCCACCCCAGCCCCAACCCCAATTCCCGCCTTCGCCCCCGTCGACAACCCCAAAGAACCATCTCCTTCCTCATCTCCACCTCCTCCCGTCGCCGTCGCCGTACTCGTTCCCGTCTTGGTCCCCCTCGCACTCGCACTCGCAGAAGGAGAAGCAACAGTAGTGTCAAAAAGCGACCTCCTCAGCGTAACAATTTCCCCCTTCGACACATCCGGCTTCGTCTCGCACGCCGAATCCATCGTATCCATAAAATTCCCCAGAATCACGGACCCCGATTTCGCCCGTAGGCACGACGCACAGTCGCCTGCATACTGCGTAAACACATCGGAGCAGTAGTCGTACGTCTTGTCGGTGTGGTTTGTCTTGTACCACAAATTCTTGAAGATGGATCGGAGGGGGAGGCAGTTGTCCTCGCAGCCGGAGAGGGAGGTGTCGGGGGAGCGGTCGAAGAGGCAGGTTTGGAGGGTGTATTTTTGGTTGACTTTATGAGATTTCTTTGTTAGTGGGGGTTGGGGTAGGGGCTAAGGGACGGGTTGGGTATTGATGGGGGACTTGAGGGAGAAAGGGCTAGTATGTCGTACAGAGAAAGCTCCAGGTATCGCTTTGTTCGTCGCTGATGTAGGTTGTGCCTGTGCTGAGGCAGAGGAGGCAGTTTTTCATGGTGAGGCCGTCTGCGGAGGTATTGAAGGAGGAGTCTGGGCAGACTAGGTCGCTGGCGAGGGTATTTGTTCGTTCGCCGCATTCGGCGGCACATTTGGAGGATTTGAGGACGTTCAGGGATGTCACTGGGATGGTAAGGTAGAAGGTGGTGAGTATGAGGCCGATAAGGGCTCGGTGTAAGGGTGCCATTATGGAGATATGGCGTGGGATTTTTGGTCGTCAAGGCATATGAGAGGGATCGCACCGATTAATTTGTAAGCTTGTCAGGTGTCAGGCAAGATTGCCTGAGTGGGAGCCGCCTGTTTTAAATATTATCAGGGCCTTCTTAGTGCTCATTCCTTTTGTTGTACGGGCAGGAATTGGGTGCTATGGGCACAAAACAGAGAAGGATATACTAGTGGGTTGGAGGAGCCCGGCCAATTGGACGCGATGATGGGAGCTCTAACTTTCCTCAGCCTGCCTTGGCGTTGGGGGCTTAATGCTCTTGGGGTTTAGTTGGTGCTTTCATACGAGACTAGTTGGTCCCTTTAGGGACGGTTTAATTCCCATGCCTTACGGCTAGCCCTATCAGATCAACGGTAGTTGTCGGAGGTTCCCCGACGGCTATATGGGGCCTTTGGGGCTTAAGCAATTTATATATGGGTGTGAAACTGTAGAGAATGTGTGATGGTGGTCTGGGTTTATTTCAGAGTCTAACCAGGTACGCTGTAAAATATGCATATCGCGGGTTGGAGCTAGTATCAAGCGACCCACAATAGAAGCCTTGTATCTGCCCCAGTTATGCTGATCTTCTGCTGTCTTATTGAGTATCTTTTCACAAATGAAGTACCCCTGTCAGCTTCATCCGGTTGAGGAATGTCTCAACAAAATTCCGCCGCCGAGAGGGCGATTAAGAATGATGAAAGCTTCTATTCCCTTCCTCTTGACCTAGGCGCGTATGAATGGACGTGCTGGCTTAAAGTTCTTCGAGAAAAGGCCTTCGATGAGCACATCATCTGTTTCGTCAAAGAAGGTCACCCTTGTGGAGAGATGCCCGAATGTTCCTGGAAGGTCGACATTAGGCATCCTGATCAACGGGTGAAGCTACAGAAGGTGGTTGTGGCTTTAGAAAACGAGGTTGAAGAGGTTCTTGCTGATGACTTTCATCTGTTAGGATTTCTGCCGGAGACTGGTGAGGACCGGGTTTATATCCAGGATTGGATATGTATATCTGATGAGTTTGCTCTCCATCCTTTCTTAGTAGGGTAGTTGTACTATGGAGCAATTGTGGTGCTTTGCAGACACATGATCATCTATGATTTTATCACGGATACATTCCTGATATACTAGATAATCTTTCAGAATCTCTTAATAGTCGAATAACGTTTCTCTCGTGTCTTTCATAATATAAAGACATGATAATGCCAACCACCGGATAATCAACTACCAATCTAGGTAGTCCATACCCGAGTTGGCGATAACGACCCATAGAGTTGGCCGTGTTAGCCTTGCTAATACCTCTCGAAGCGTAGGTCCGATTACGGTGGATATGATATTGCATTTGAGGTGTAAAGTTGTACGAGTTGTTGAAGCTACGCATTATGATCTTTCTACTTGTTCACGCTATGCGTGGTCTAATATGGTATTCTTGATAATAAGATATACCATTCAATTACTGAGGAATGGAGGGTAACAGTTAAAGAAATATAAAAAAGGAAAAATAGAAAACAAGATAAAGTAGAAAAGAAACAAAGGGCATGGGGAGAGAAGGAAACAAAAAGAGGAACCGTTAATTGCGGGAGAAGACAAGAGAAAAGCAAGTCGTACATAAGTAGAAACACAGCGAGGATCAATTCTTCAGAACTTTTATCAAAGCAAGCTAATCGCAACTGCTAATTATTGGGCTAAACTGTTCGATCGCGGCACTGGCTGACAGTTCGGGCCCAAACTCCAAATATCCCCCGACCTCCATGATCACTATACTCTTCCTGTACAGTTTTCTGCCTTTTGGGAGTCTTCGCGAGTTCGTTTCTTGGATGCCTCCGTGGTGTCAGGTGAGTCAATCTCCGGCGAAGCTAAACCCCATTTTCATCTTCGTTAAAATAGAGACCCCGAAGTTTTTGTAGTTTCCCACGGGTGCGCTTATCTAGAATTCTTACCCTCCCTCCGCCTAATATCAGGAACAATCTTCTTAGGAAAGCAAGGGGATCCTCGTGCCAGGTACGGGGTTCAGCTAATCCAGGCAGAGGAGGCTGTCCAAATCGTACGCCGATATATTGCTTCAAGAATATTGCACGGTATAAACCCGCCAACTGGACTTGCATCTACAAGGCCTTGAGCAATTTGATGGTTGAGGTACATTTGTGCGGTCGAGACTCGTCTGTCACTTACTCCCCGGCGATGCTCCCTGTCATGTATCTCGAGTTCTATAAAATAATCCAGGTCTGACGGCATTATCGATAAGCCAGGATCCAACACACATGGTTAAACTGCTGCCGGCAGGTGGGGCATAGTGATATGCCGTTCATGTAAGATCTAAGGTTTAGAACCAGTAAACCACGGTCTTTCCACAACTGGGCTTAGATCAAATACCCAAGATTATTGAGGTTCATATTCAGCGCGAGTCGGAATGCGTCGACAGTGCTTACCTGTGTATTTTCTTTACCATTGACATGGCAAGCTTGGAAGTTTTCGGCTCCACAGACCCAACATTCATTCGCACTCCTCTCTTTGACGTGCAGTTCCACGGTCTCAGAAACTATGGAAGATCCGCCGGTCCCTTGTGGTGAAAATGATTCGCTAGACATTGCTATTCGCCCTTCCTGTGGAAAGCGGGGGTGGCATCAGCTTTCGATATCTGGAATGTGACATTTTTTAGAGAATTCTTGGATGCGATAGTTGACGATGCTTTCCTTGGACTTTGAAGTAGGCCAGCTGCTAGTAGCAGGTAATGAGATGGGGCGCGTCTTCCATAGCTGCCAGCTGCTCTTTGGATCCTAAATGCGCACCTTCCAGGGAATGAATCTTAGAGAGGATCATGTTCAGTCAAGTTATCAAATTTCCCTTTCTGAGATAGAAGAAGCGCAGAAGAGACGTATCTGAAGGTGAGAGTAAAATCATTCTTGGAAATATCTACGAGTTGATGGCCCAGTATATTCAACGAAGTATGACTACAAGGCAACTCCACAGGAATATTATATTCTATTTATATAGTAACAGTAATAATATTTAAAAACTTTAAAATATAGTATTATGTCTATAAGATTCTTAAAGAAGCGTTCCTAAGTTAGTTTATTCTAACCTTTTAATCTATTTACTACTTTTACACAAATTCCCTAGCTCGCCATGACTGGCAGGGATATAGAAAAGGAAGTGTCTCCAGTCTTCTTCTTGAGTGAGGTCTTCTTCATTGTCAGCCCGCACCCCTGGCAACTCAAGGGAGCTGCCATACTTGATTACCTCTGCAAATTGATCTTCAAAGGGGGGATCTATGCCGATGACAGGGGATTAGGTAAAACACTTAAAGCTATCTTAGCTATGGAGAGAGCGAAGACCGAGAAGGATTCCTTCTCAGCTGTGATTTGTCCTTCAGCTTACAGAAAACAGTAGAAAGAGGAAATCAGCAGCTGTTACCATGAGATTGGCACCAATGGATTCCGTTCTGCCATATAGGATATATGGATTATACTAATACACATGTCGAATGATAGGGTACGAAGCCTAAGGCCCTTTTTTTGCCGATTCCCCGACCCCAGCACATCTACTCTATTAGCGAAATTAGGAAATTATCATTGTGTCATATCATTTCCTTGCGGAACGCGCAATGGAGAGATAGAAAAAACAAGGGACCGGCCTCTATCCGCCCAGTGTTAGCACTGCAATCCGAATTTTGGAGATTGACTGATATGCCTATGAAGATACTCGTACTCGATGAATACCATTTACTAAAACGAACTGGTGGAGCCTTCTTCGAGTCTGTTTGCGGCCTATTTCGAAAATCAACAATCATGCTCTCAGGGAGTTTTATGAGCAATGCCTGGCATGACGTTGGGAACCCCCCTGGCATTGTTAAACTGGCATCAATTCGGAACGAAGACCGAATTCGTGAGCACCTTTACAGGCGAGAACTCTCAGTCGATGAGCCATTTAGATAGCAAGGTTGTTACCTATCTCCAGAATTTCTTACGTACAGTAGTGATTGCGCGTCCTGCGGCCATTCTTAGTCTGCCTAACATTCAAATTAACGATTTTATTTCGACATAGATAAGGATATCATGCCGTAGATTTACGATCTCACGTCAAAGTTTACCAAGGCCAAAGTGATGTTATACCAAAGATAGTATGAGGTCAGAGCAACCCCGCCTGGGGACCTTGAGGGCTTTCCCCGACTGTTCCTGATATAAATATCGCCCCCGGACCTGGGAGAATACTACATTTCTTACTTTTATCCTTTACATATTGTAATACATTTATACTGCCTACTACGTCTTCAGTCATACATAATTCATCACACTGAATATCATCAAGCGAGCATACAAATAAATCACTTTTCGAACTTATTGACGGCAATCCACTACGCAACGGACACAGTCACCCTCCTTCATCTGCTCGAAGGCAGCGTTGATGTTGGCCAGAGGCTGACGGTGGGTGATGAACTCATCGACCTTGAGCTGGCCGTTCAGGTAATCATCAACCAGGCCAGGCAATTGGGTACGGCCCTTGATACCACCGAAGGCACAACCCTTCCATACACGACCGGTGACGAGTTGGAATGCTGTTTTTGGCAAGTTAGCATATATACACGGCTGGGAAAAAAAAAAAAAAAAAAAAAAAAGGGTATACAGAGGACGATCGAACGAGATTTAAGGGATAACAGAGCGATACCCTAGTTACTTAAAAAAACGGACACTAGCCTCTTAGACTAGGATGGGGGCGTTGGGGCGTAAAAAAAAAAAAAAAAAGGGGGGGGAGGAAACATACGTCTGGTAGAGATCTCCTGTCCAGCAGCAGCAACACCAATGACGATACTCTCACCCCAACCCTTGTGGCATGCCTCAAGGGCAGCGCGCATGACGCCGACATTACCAGTGCAGTCGAAAGTGTAATCGCATCCGCCGTCGGTCATCTCGATCAGCTCTTCCTGGATCGTCTTGCCGTTCAGCTTGGTGGGGTTGACGAAGTGGGTGGCGCCGAACTTGCGGGCCCAGGCCTCCTTGCCGTCGTTGACGTCGACGGCGATGATCTTGCTCGCCTTGTTCTTCACGGCACCCTGGATAACGGATAGACCGACGCAGCCGGCGCCGAAGATGGCGACATTCGATCCCTCCTCTACCTTGGCGGTGACGACGGCCGCACCGTAGCCGGTGGTGATACCGCAGCCGAGCAGGCAGGAGCGGTCGGTGGGGATCTTGGGGGTCACAGCTACCACCGAGATGTCGGCGACAACGGTGTATTGGGAGAAAGTTGAGGTGCCCATGAAGTGGAGGAGGTCCTTTCCGCGGGCCTTGAAGCGCGAGGTTCCGTCAGGCATCACGCCCTTACCCTGCGTGGCACGGATCTTGCCGCACAGGTTGGTCTTGCCGGACTTGCAGAACTTGCATTCGCGGCATTCGGGGGTGCTGGGAGGATTCTTTGGTTAGCTGGGGCTTCTATGCGATGGGGATATGGGGATGGATGCATACTAAAGGGCAATGACGTAGTCGCCGGGCTTCACGGAGGTGACGCCCTCGCCGACGGACTCGACGACACCGGCACCTTCGTGGCCAAGAACGACGGGGAAGGCTCCCTCTGGGTCCTTTCCGGAGAGAGTGTAGGCATCTGCGATGGTCAGTTATCGTCAGTGCGTCTGGGGGATGGGTTGAACAAACCGGTGTGACAGACACCCGTGTGGTGGATTTGGATGCGGACTTCGTGGGCCCTGGGGGGAGCAACCTCGACGTCCTCGATGGAGAGGGGCTCGCCGGCAGCCCAGGCGACTGCAGCCTAAAAGGTATTTAGTTGGATTAAGGCGGAATGGGATCGCGTCGCGAATCGAGATTTTACCTTGCAGGTGATGGTCTAGAGAAATTAGCCGGGCCCCGGCGGGTAAACATTCATGGAGGGGTACGTACTTTTCCAACAGTGTCAGCCATGGTGGGGGTATCAAAAAAGGGAGGGAGACAACGGGATAGAGGAAGAGAAATTGATGAAATAAAAGAAAAAGGGAGAATGGAGGAGTGGAAAAGAAGGACAAAGGAAGAAGATGAAGGGAAAGAGTTGCTTAAAACGGGAGAGCGTCCGATGGTGGGGGTCTTTTTTGGTCGATGAGGGGTGAGGGGGTGGGGAGCATGAGGGGGGAACAAAATTTACTATGTACGATAGTATCACATCTTAATCTAATAGCTCACTGTTGTCCATACCTCAAACATTGTCTCATGAATTGCTTCTTCTATTTGAGAAACCCCCTCATGCCCTCTCCGCATGGGGGTTGGAGCTCATGATGCAATTGATATCAACTTAGACTAAAGAAATGAACCGACGGGTTCCATCCGAGATCTACTGGTACGACTCCAATGGACGAGGCGTGATTGGATTTTATGCTTATCTGGCAATGACTTACTTACCCCTGGAACGATAGACCTTTCCATCTAGGTAATGTACTCTGAGCTGTGAAGCCCTTCAACTCGGACTGTCAGGTAAGGGTACAGTCAATCAGGTGTCCTAAGCGGCATCCCAAACAGGCAACGTTTTCCACGTGCCCGGTCCGTGTCCGGTCCGTGTCCCATGATGTAATAAGAGGAAGTGCTTTCCTCCGCTGACATAATTCACTACCGTGAGGAGAAGTTTCCGTCGGAGATGCTTCGGGAAACTACGCAGTCGTTTGTGTTGTGGATCACTGGTCCGCCCCTCCCAAAAGGGAAATATTATCCATTGCTCCGTAGCTGACCTGTCCTTTATCTGCGCTGTTCGCAAGAATTTTACTCCGGGCCCAAGTGTCTGAGGAGTTAATTGATAATTACGCCAACTATAGTGGACTGCGAGCTTTATACTAACCATGATCGATAGGCCAAAAAGGCCGAGCCTCTGTTTTGATAAAACTTGTACTTTTTACTTGCTGTACGGTTTGTTCATCCGACCCGAAGCGTTCTTGGCACGAAAATGAAAACTCCAGGTAGATGATTCAATATACCCATCAAGGGTCCATTACACGTCCTAATTCACTATATTGTACAGTACATTTTCCAGGCAACAAGACGAAAAGCAGCGTGTATGTCTGCAGCACAGAGCCCGCTCACTAAACGCTCGTAACTCAACAAAAACGGAAGCCCTACTAAGAATCCCAGACCAAATGCAATCCATGGGTGTCATCATTCCGAAAAAGTCTAGTTTATACACGAACCGCCGAACCCAGAAGAACAAGCAGATCATTCAATCGTTTACCGGCCGGGCAACTGGCCACTCTGCATCATTGCGGCGTTCTGCTCCTGGAAGCGTTCGTTCAACCGAGCGGAGCCCTTGAGGAACTTGTCGACGCAGCGAAGGGTGCAGGTCTCCTCACGGGAGATGAGAGACTTGGTGGTGAAGTCGTTGACACAGTCGTCGAAGCAGCGCTGGACAAGCTTGGAGTACATCTATATTGGAAGAAGGTATGTATCAGTGTCGGGTCATTTGCGCGTAGATAAGAGACGAGCTGTCGAGATACGTTGGCCGAAGGGTGTGAGATTTGTCAACGTTGATCTAGTAGCCGGGGTCACATACTGTCATGAACTCCTTCAGCTGCTTCCTTTCCATGCGAGTAGCGAACTCGCGCTGTTCCGAGGCAGTGAGACTAGAGAGTCGTTAGCATCTGCCGAGAGCTGCTGCGTCCAGGGCAACATAGTCAAAAAGAACAAAAGCCAAGCAGAAAAAAACATCAAGATAGAACATACCCTTCCATTGTGATATTAGAGATATGTGCTTTGAAGAAAAGCTGATGACGGGGGGTTTAAAGTGGTGATCGGAAATAACAATCTTCTTTTATTCCTCTGGGCGGACGTAGCTTCGGAGCTCAGAAGCAGACCGCAGGCTCTGGTCTCACATGACCTCATGTGACATACTCCCTTCACCTGACCTCGCGTCTGTGCATCACGTGCAGGGCTGAGGTAAGCCTACACGAGCTGAGTCATCTTCTCGCACAAGCCCGCACGTGATGCGGTATGCCAATCCCAAACCAGCAAACGCTAGGGTTTAAAAAAAGAACAGGAAGGACTCTTACCCACAAGGGACCAGAACACGGTCTTTTCGGACGCTGTGGCATGAAGGGAACCACGGTTTGACTGGGGGTAACCCATTACTTGGGCAAGACGAGAGCCTCTCCAAACTTCAAACAGGAGATCGGCGGTGGGCAAATACCCAGCACCACGGACTACCCAGGGGCGTTCGAGGCCCTTGGTTTCCCATCATTGGTCATAGTTTTGCAACGAATTATGATCACCCTTGGCTCTCCCGGGGAAGAAGGAGGGGTCGGCTTTTTGTTTCGAGCTGGGATCTGGCATGACACAAAGAAAGGTGGTGATTCCACGGACTGCTGATGGTGCGGCAGTTCAGGGTTGCATCTCTCGCCGTCGGGGGTTTTTTTTTTATTTCCCTTCTTCTTTTCTTTCTTAATATAGATACATAGGATGATATTCGATATGCATTGTCAGCGTCATGGTTTATTCATTAATTGACCGAGGTTCTTTTTCTATAGAGATTCATTCTTCCATATTGTTGCCTATTGTTTGCTTCTTGAAGATCTATCTAGGAGAAGAGATGGATATCCATCACGGGAACAGAACTAATGACCCTGGCTAAGACCATTTCCTAAGGAAGGGAAATCCTCTAGTTTCAGATAATCCCACGCTATTGCTTTGAACCCTTGTTGGGTCTCCCGGAGGGGAGTAAAAAAAAAAAAAAAAAAAAGATTCTAGATCCCTGGGGTCTGGGTCATTGTCGACGATGGATTTTTTGAGTCCGACTGGTTCCTGGTCAAGTTTAGTTGTCTGATTCATTGCTTTTCTTCCCTTTCCTTTCCCCTGATGATTCTGCGGGGGCTTACGTTTCTTAGTGTTTAGAGCTATTGATTTAATTTTTTTTTCTCTTCTACTACTTTACACACTAGATTATATTATGTTGTACCCCATACCATATTAAAATACGACTCCGATGATATTATTAGAAGAATTATATTAGATTATCGAGCCCACCAGCGAGGAACGAAAGAAAGGGCATTTCTCCCTTTCCCAAAGTCGTGTGTGTCTCCGATCGATCATCCTCCAAATTGCCGTTTTCCCTTTCGTTTGCCCCCATTTTCATTCAATCAGTTGTTCCTTCGTTCCTCTCCCCTCCTTCTCTCTCATTCTCATTCTCTCTTCTCTCCTTCGCATTTTTCTCCTAACCCCCCTTTCATCTACAGACTCGTATTCTATTCCGGCTAAATAGTCCATCGTTCCATCTGATTGGAAATATTGATTTCTTTCTCTCTGTTCTTCATTACCTTCCCATCCCCCAATCCATTCGGATTTTGGCGAGTGACTACTTTGCGGACTGGCGCGGCACTTGACCCTCCGCTGCCACGCTGACTAGTCTCTCGTGCTATTTTGGGGGGACCGTTACCATATCTTTCCCCCCAGCCCCGGAATTTCTTTGCGCAAACACGAAGGGCGGTGACGGATCCCTCGGTTCATCGATCTGGACCATATAATTCTGTCGCATCGTGCTTGAATTCCTCCCCCCACCCCACCACCCCCCGTCTCATCGCACGCTCCCGTCATGGTCACTGGCAAATCCCAGGGCGCCGAGGCGTTTCAAACGCTGCCTACGACAGCGTCTCCACCTAGGTTTATCGCCGCATCGCCACCGTCGAAACGCGACTTGACATCGTGGTGGAAACAGTTCAAGAGGAATACGAGGAAAGAGGTGCCAAAAGGTATGTGTGGAGGCACATGGTCTGCAGGATACAAGGGAGCCAGCGTCGAGTCTTGAAGATCACTGTCAAATAGACTTTGACCAGCTGTTTCGTGATGATGGCGGTCATTCGTCTCGATTTGCGAAACCCCTTCTAACTATGATGGTTTGAACGGCCTTGATCGCTGACTGTCCGCAGAAAAGCCGCAGGGTATTTTCGGAGTCCCCCTCAACGTGAGCATCAAGTACGCCAACGTCGCCATTTCCCTGACCAATGACAATGGTGAGAGCTTTATTTACGGCTACGTGCCCATCGTCGTCGCCAAGTGTGGGGTGTTTTTGAAGGAAAAAGGTACACTCTCCGGATGAGAAACTGTCGGTCGGTTGGCTGATGTGTTGGGATAGCGACGGATGTCGAAGGCATTTTCCGACTCAACGGATCCGCCAAACGAATCAAGGATCTACAGGATATTTTTGACTCCCCCGAGCGATATGGGAAGGGACTGGACTGGACGGGATACACGGTGCACGACGCCGCTAACGTTCTGCGTCGGTATCTGAACCAACTCCCCGAGCCGATCGTCCCGCTGGGCTTCTACGAGCGCTTTCGCGAGCCCCTACGCATCTATCAGAGGCAGGTGCAGTCCGGAGGGCCTACAAACGAGGGAGAGACGTTTGACCACCCGAAGGCGGTCGCAGCATACCAGCAGTTGATCCGAGAGCTCCCCCCGTTGAACAAGCAACTGCTCCTATATATTCTGGACCTCTTGGCTGTCTTCGCTTCCAAGTCTGACCAGAATCGAATGACGTCGGCCAACCTGTCCGCCATTTTCCAGCCCGGACTGCTTTCCCATCCCCAGCATGATATGTCGCCGGACGAATACAAGCTGAGTCAAGATGTGTTGATCTTCCTGATTGAAAACCAGGATCATTTCTTGTTCGGCATGAATGGTACCGCTGCAGACGAGGCGACGGTCAAGGAAGTAGAGGGTGGTATGACCCCTCGAGCGACCTCGCACTCCACGGTTCGGCGCTCGGTCTCGAGCGCGAGCGGCGGTGCAGAGAGCTTCCGAAAGTATGACAGCCTGCGCCGGAACGTCTCGGTGTCATCGAAGAATTCTCGTAATTCCAACACGGCCAGCCCCGCATCCCCGACGTCCTTGGGCGCCGTTGGCGTCCACCGCAGCAATACGCTACCGTCGAAAATGTCCCCGGCTATCGCGCAAGCCAGATACAGTCGAGTGACGGAAGCCACCGGCGGGAACACCCCCGGGCGGACCTCCACGCAGCGCTCGCGCTCGCCTAGCCAGGCACCACCGCCGGGCCCCGAGCAGAAACCGCAACCCACGGCACAGGGAGATGAGGCAGCAACGGGTCTTGTGTATGTGCATACATCAACCCATGGCCCGATTCCGGTTACCAAGGGGCCGACCAGCCAACCGCCTACTAGTCATCCGCTCACGAGCCATCCGCCTACAAGCTACCCGCCCATCCCTGAAAAGCCGGCCCAGGACACTTTAGCGGTGCCCTCTTCACCTCCGCCGGCCGCTGTGACACCGACCAAGGAGCGCAAGCTGTCCAGCTTCTTCACCAAGTCCCCGCCGTCGGGGAGTGAAAAAGAGCCACGACAGCCCAAACGGCTCCAGAAGAAACGGATCCCAGGAAGCGCCAGTGCCAGTGCACAGAGCTCATCCCAATCACTCCAAGCTGCCACATCTGATTCTGGTATCGGGATTCCACCGCCTCGCGCATCTGATCCTAACGACGCCGGAGGTGATACACCGAGACCCCCGAACGCCAGTAACCCCGAAGATCATTCTCCCGAAGGGAAGATTGAGAAGTCAGGAGGTCAGAGCGAGAGTGGACATCCTGCCGACACTACTTTGAGACCGTACGGGTCACGCACTCCATCGATGAACTCACGGTCATCGTTCACCGATTTTTCGGACGCTGATCCCATTGACGACACATCTCGAGCCGAGCGCAAAGAGCATCGGCGAAGCTGGAGGTTTCATCGATCATCCAAACGGAGCAATGAACAAATCGGCCTCGGCCTCGGGTCCCCGCCACTCTTGGCTTCTAATCCGGGGGCGGACCTTAGCACGAGCTCGTTTGGTAGTTGGCATCACTCCAGCAAGAGCTCGCCGTCTGATCTCCAGCAGTTCGCCAGCGAACACTCATTCCAGCCGCTTAGCCTGGATGCCGAAGTGAACAATAATGGCAAGGACTCGTCCGAGCCGGAGAAACGTAGTTTGTTCGGGAAATTCAAGGCCAAGGTTGCACAAGTGCGAGACGGTGTCAAGGACTCCGAACGGGATCGAACAAGGAGTCCTCCTGTCCATTCCGACCCGGAAATGTCTGCCTCCAGCCTGACACTATCTCCTTCCAGTAAGGATACCGGCCACCTCCGGCCTGCTCCGCCGCCGCCAATCGATGCGAACAAGGAAGTCAAAGAGGCACAAAGCCCTCCAGTTTCCCCTCTCCCCGGGTCAGGTATGCCTCCAGCGATCCCGGAGGAACCGCGCACCCCTGAAAGCCCTGTCGCGCCCGTCAACACGGAGGTAAAGAAGGAAAACGGAGAGGTCGAGACGGCAGCCGCAACAACCCTCCCAACTTTTGAATCTCACAAGGGAGATATCGAGACATCTCAGTTCCTTGGCAATTAGTATACTCTTAGCATGAGGCGGTCTTGAACACATCCGACGAACCTCAGATTTTTTTTTAGAACCCGTGGTCATCTTCGTATGTCATCTTAAGGGTGCACCGGTATTGCTGCGGGAGCCAGAAATCCTGGTGAGAGTTTGGATGGATGATAGAATAGGCTTATTTTTTTTATTTCATTTGTTTTTCATACCCCGTTTTTTCTTGGTGATGCCTGATGGGTCATGATTCATGTATGTATGTTGCTCTCCTTGGCTTGGTTGCCATGTTGAATAGGACGGTTAGCGTTGAGCTCTCTGGATGGGATATATAGAGCTTGGATTTCAGAAACGGACAGGTAAAACATAGATGCTTCGCTATCTAGACTTGAATGTCATTACCTTACCTCAAGTCAGCCGGGCATACCACTAGTAGTAAACTATCCTAATAACTGCCTAAGTAATTAATCACCAAGCCGACACCCCAGGTACACTTCAACCGAGGCAGAGTAACACCGACACCTCAGGCATCCGCGTAAACCTCCACCATCTCCAAACTCCATCATCCATACTTCCGGGAACACTTCCCCCAAACCACCCACCACCAACCACCACCACCACCGCAAACCTGGGCGTAAGCCCAACTCGAAATTCTCCAAAATGACCTCAACACCGCCCTCCTCCTCAATGGCACAGGGTCCGACGACCCCGAAATCCGCACCCCCAATCAACATCCTCCCAACCACCAGCTCAAAAGTCTACGCCCTGGTCCACCCAATCCTCCTGCTCTCTCTCCTCGCAACCCGCTTCAACGCCCTCGTCGCTGATCCCATCACCGAACTCCTCAATGACCTCCCCTTCCTGGCCCTCCTCCAGGTAACCTTCGTAATGACCTGCCTGCCCCCCGCCGGCTCCCCGGAAGACGATAACATCCCCAAACCCACCACCCCGAAACCAAAACCCTCCGTCCGCCGCAAGCCAATCCCCAAATCCGACTCCTCCTTCGCTGCTGCTGCTGCTGCTGCTGCTCTCTCCACAAAGCTCATCGTACGCTCCCCCCAAACACCCAAGCCAACCTAACATGAACCCAAAAATTAACAATGAATGGATAAAAACAATAGCCAGCAATCCTCTCCCTCACCCTCACAACCCTCCTCGCAACCCCCGTCCTAACTATCCTCCTCGTCCTCTTCGGCGCCCCGGCAACAACCCATCACGCCCAGACACTCCTCTGCGCAGCACACATGGCCGTCCTGTCCTCCACAGCATTGATCTATGTGCACGGTGTTGACGGCAATACCTGGAAGGAAATCTGGGGTGCGAATCGGCCAGCCGATGTTGTTTGGGGTGGGGCGCTTGGAACGGGTGTCGGGGCTTGGTTTGGTGCTGTACCTATTCCGTTGGATTGGTATGTTTCCTTTTTTTTTCCCCTCTCTTCTTTATCTGGTTTTTAATGAAGATTGGGGGTTTGGTGTTAATGGGTGATGTAGGGATCGGCCATGGCAGGCTTTTCCGATTACGGTGCTCGTCGGGGCTTATATTGGGTATGTTGTTGGTTCTGGGTTAGGGAGGACGGTTTTGTTTGGGAGGAGGTTGAAGATTGAGCAGTGTGGTGCTGTTGGTGGCGGTGAAGTTGGGGAAGGGAAGAAGGTTGACTAGGTGGCTTTTTCTTTTCCCTTTTCTTTTCTTTTTTTTTTTTTTTTTTTTTTTTTTTTTTTTTTTTTTTGATGTGGTGGTTTGGGGGTGAGTCTATCTTTATTGATGGATAGGGGGTTGGTTACTTGGTAGTACGTGACTCAAGGATTTAGCGGCTATAGGGTGAGGGTGGGATGATTGTATTATTTAGATCCTTGGTCTTACTCTAGTATTAATATTGTATAGTATTTGTTACGACATGGTGGGTTCATTTCATGTAGAACGGAGAAATTCAAAATAGAAATTTGATTTATTGATTGGATGGCGTAATATATTCAAGTCTATGAGCAACCCGTGCTATCTAATATCCTAGAACGATAACATTGCTGATAACAGTCTAGATCAGGATGATCAGTCATTACACAGTCGTGAGCTGGGAACATAATCAAACAGGCTAGAAGAGTAGTGTAGAGTGGTCAGCTGGAGCCACGTATAATGCAGCAAAAAAGGATTAAATCGTAAAAGAGGGAAGAAGAGGAACCGATGTCCTCGCGCAAGAGAGGTCCTCCAAGGACTCGTGTCCCTAACTCCCAGTCAGGGAGAGCTGGTCGTAATGCAATCAATGGTGATGGAGGTCTGTCACAAGCCAAGCGATCAGATCATATTTCCGATTTCAACCCGCCGATTGGGCGGCCATATCGGCCGACACGTATCGTCTTTGGAAGTGTCGGGTCGATCATAATCCGAGTCACTCTCGTACGGTGAGCCGAGTTTGTCCTCCGTCCGGGTAGGGGAGGTGGTCTGGGAATAGCTAGTGGGGGCGGGCCGTAGAAACTCCTGCGATTGGATTGGGTACATGGTTTTCAGGCCCATTGAGTTTCTAGCCAGTTGCTGAAGCTGCTGGATATCCGATCGGAGGCCGGAGATCTCGTTTTCCAGGCTGCGACGTGCGTTTTGTTCTCGTCGGAGGAGCATCACCAGAGCGCTGTACTGCTCGACAGAGATGCTGCTATGGTGGTCCGAGAGGGATGTTAATGAGGGAGTTTGTAGGGTTTTGGACCGGTGGAGATTATGCTGTGGGCTCGGCCGAATGGTCGCGGTACTCAAAGGCCGATCTCCCGTCGATCCGACGCTGGATGTAGCCTCACTGCTGGACGGCGGGGAGTGAGTTGTAGACTGTTTGCGCCTATGCTGACTCGCATTGTGCGACTGTTTGCGCCCTGACATCGCGGTCGGCGAAGGTTCACTCCGTTCGGTTTGCATACGGGCGATGGCGAATTCCAGATCAATCAGCTTCACCTCTAAGGTGGTCAATCGTTGTTCGAGTGAGATGCTCTCGTCATGTTGCATGGAGCTGACCAGGGTTCCGACATTTGGGGGCATGCTGGCTTCCTCCACACGGTCATCCAAGGGGTCAACCCCGTCGATCGACGGTTCCACGGCTGTCTGCGGCGCACTGGCTACCGTGCCCCTTGTCGTGGGTCGAATGGACACCACCTCGGTATCGGACGCTGCGCCACACGCGGTCGATGTGACGTAAGACTCGATACTCCGCCGTCTCCATTGGATAGGAGACATTCGATGATGCTTTGCCAGCCCCCGAAGAGCTGTTGCGCTTCGTGACCGTCGTTTGCTCCGCAGTAGCTCGCGCCGTCGCTCTTCATGGTCGCCGAGACGCGGGCTTTTACTTCGAGTACCCGCCGGGTCCGAGTGGATCAATGCATCCAGCGCATCGCGAGACTCGTCGTCATCCGAGAAGACCAAACTGGGCAACGTGGCCCGTCGTTGTCGAAGGGGTCCCATGTCGTGCTTAAACAACGTGTCGTCAAAGGGATTCGGGCCCCGTAACTCTTCGCCGATGGGTTTGCTATATTTCGATTTTAACGAACTGGACAGCGCGGCGTAATTCGGCGTCTCCTTATCCCGCAGTCGTTCCGGGGAGTGATTGAACCGAAAGTCCGGAGAACCCTCTTCACAACTATCTGTCTGGCTGCGTCCTTTGCGGGTGAAGATCTTCCTCATAACGGTCTTCAAGGTGCTTCCGGTCCGACGATGAGCGTTCGGTCCGCGAGCCATGTTCGACATGTCCGGTGCAAAACCTAGGGCCGCCGCGGCTTTTTGATTTCCACGAAAGCCGCCTAGCACGATGGACGGGTCCGAGCCGCGGTATGAGCGAGAGCTAACCATCAACGGCTTGGAGGTGATCGGAGGGAGAGCCGTGTCATAAGAAAGGTCGGAACCGGGATCCGACAACTGATCACGCGGAGCCAGGCAACTTCGAAGGGAGTCACTCCCGATACTTAGACTTGGGCGGGACATGACGAATCCCAAATCAATTACGTTGTATCACACAGTAAGGCGCGCGAGTAATGCAGGGCGGAAAGCGAGTGAGATTCATGAAAAAAAAAAAAAAAAAAATCTAGTAAGGAGTGTGTACCCAATCGGTAAGGAGGGTGTCAAAGAATAAATAGAAACGACAGGCTTCAAATGTGGAAGGGTATCTCAGGCGTTGTTCAAAGGGTACGGCAACAAGGCTGGACGAGAGAGTCAGCGCGATAGTGGGATGGAAGAAGCTTGGGGGAAGCGCTGACCTTGGCAGGAGATAAGATCATAATCTGTCCGACAGATGTGGACTACATACGCATACATATACCGCTATCTCGAGACAGACAGAGAGAGAGAGAGAGAGAGAGAGGAATGAATGAATATTCTGGTTCACATCAAACCATATCTCTCCCGAAAGAACCAAAAAATCAGAGCGAGAGAGAGGGGGGGATAAAGTTCGAGAACAAGAGGTTAGGGGGACGATGAACTCCACGCGGAAGACTAACCGCCACGATGGGGAAGGGGAAGACAGCGCAGGAAAGGGAATCACTGAAGCTTATCAAACAGGGGACGGCATGCTAGTGGGCTCCGATGCATTGCTAAGAGAAAAGAGAGAAAGGAATAAATAAGTACTAAGGATTAATGAGTATGGTGGTGGTTGTATAGCTGCCCTGGTGGCTCAACGACTTGGCTAGAACGGGCCACTAGTAAATGATTGCTGCTGACACGAAGGAATGATCAGAAGAGTATAAGGAGGAGAGGGGTATAAAAGGAAAAAAGAAAAGGGACCGGATTCAATTGGACGAGGGCGGAGATTGGGGTTAGGAGAATTAACTATAGTAGTAGTAGTTAGTAGTAGGAGGAGGAGGAGGAGGGTTCGAAAGGAATGGGCCTTTATTTTTATTTTTTTTTTTTAAAAAAAAAAAAAAAAGAAAAGAAAAGGGAAACAAAAGGAAAAGAAAAAGAAAAACGAAAAGAAGAGTATTGAACGTCGACTGGAGAAAGAGAAGAAAGACGGCATTGAGGTGGAGTTTCCACTTGGCGTCCAATGTCCGTGCACGCTGTTTCAGGAGTTCTTTTCAGGGGTAAAAAGAAGATGATTAAAAAAAATAAAATAAAATAAAAATAAAAGTTACACAAATACCGGTATTTCAAATTATTTGTGATCGTCTCTCCTGCACACTGAATCTTATGCATGTCATGATATATACTCTTGTGGTGTATGGATAAACGAATCACATGAGCTATGAGTTTCTATATTATATATTGTATCCTAATTCTTGTGGACTGACTATATACGTACAGTATATCCCATAGGCATCACCTCCAGTTGAGATTAGATTGGTTACGATCCATATCCGTCGCCTCAATATAAAATGATCATCTTCTCTCCTCTTTCTCCCGGTCCCGAAACTTCCGTCGCTCTTAACGACGGAAGCACATTGATCTATTAAGTATTAACTGCAATCTATTTTTATAAAAAAAAAAATAAAAAAAATCCGGGAATTGAGTTCAGACTCCACGTTGATCATGAGCAAAGGCAGTCCTTATAACTGAGTGCCACATGGAAAGACATCGCCTGCGTCCGGAGGCCTGAGGCAGGAGTGGGGTGCCTACATCTACACTAAGGATCAGCTGATCCCCTGCAGAACAAATGCGAAGACGATACTCTGCACCAACACCCATACACACCTTAACCCCAGATCCAGAATTTACAGAGAACCATCATCCAGACAGACAGATCTCATGGACTATCCTTCTTTCCCCATCTCCTTCCCCCCTCCCCCCTTCTCCCGAAAACCCCCCAATCCACTCCATCATCACCTTGAAGCCCTCTCTCCAAATGAAGAAATTCCTAGATGCACTTGACGTAAACATAGGTTTGATCACCGAGCAACTACCGTGGAACGAATCCAGGAATTCACCTCCGGCGCAGCTCATTCGCCATCATTCCTTAAGTCAATCAACCAACTTTTTGCTCCCATCTCCACTGATCCAAAGAATCTCCCCCAGCATAGACACGATTCCACGGTACACCAATGGAATAGCCCGGCTAGCCTAGCTCGATACGGTCAATGCATACATTCTCTTTATTGGAAATGGCCCCAACCCTATATCCAATCATTCTTTATTCACCTACTATAAAAGTCCCAAATCTTGAGCTGCGAACGCATTCCTTCACCGCTACTCGAATTTGATTTTTTGCGACTCTTGGCTTCACTCGAGTAATCAAGGACAGAATAATGCATACCTCCCCGAAGCAAGGAACGAAGAACACAGAGAGATTCCGTCACGAACATCTGGGTCTACCATGTATCCGCTCCGATTTAATCTATACGCAACAACTGACATCCCCTCCTCACCCAGAGGGTCCAAACACCCCCACCAACCTGGGAGCTCACATCGAAAGAAGAGGAGAGCGGGGGGGGATGATATGATACGCACACTGCACCGCGCCACCAACCGTTTGAAGAGCCGGACCGCAAAATAACCAATTTAAGGAGGCAAACAAACAAACTGCGAGTCTGAAACGCCACACGGACTCAGTGAAGGATCAACCCCCGGTCAGGCCATACAAACCGGTTGAACGAAGTGGGGAGAGTGGGAAATCTATACATATTATGAATTTATGTCAGTGGTAAGGCTGTGTTCTCCGTTCGATACTACTCACATTCCAGAATAACCCGTACGTCCTTCCATATTACCTGTCAACTTTGTTCCTGAAATAGCCCCTGCTTCCTGGGGAGATCAGGGATACTGCACTGCACTGCACGGCCTCGTGCCACCTTGCCTTCATCCCTCGTATAGAAAGTACAAGTACTACTATGTAAGTGTTCCAACCATTAGCGTTTCGTTTCATCCAGAGACCCAGCATCGCACGACAGAAACGCCGGAGCAAATGGGGGGAGAATAATAAATTTTGTAAGTAAAAAAAAAAAAAAAAAAGCCTTCCAGATGTCAAAATACACTAAACCGACCTTGCAGCTCGTAGTCATATGCAATGATGCGCTGGACATGCATGGGTACAGTGGAACCCGCAAGATGAGACGCACCAAGTGGCTCCCCTTTACACTTTATTCTCCACATTGTCATCCAGGACACATGTCCGGGACGTATCTCGTCTCGGTCGCTGTACGAGAAAAAAAATTAAAATAAATAAAATAAAATAAAAAACACGCCTGCCCCTCAAGCAAGCCGCATAACCATAAGATAATATAACTCTATCATTCGAAGCCTAATCTAAGTCATCGGACACGATTATCTTCCGTATAACATAACATGAACTACTACCGTACAGAGAAACAGAATGCGGATGCATAGAACCTCGCCGAGGCATGTACATACAACACGTAAGTAAAGCCCTATGCCACGCAAACCCCCAAACCCTATCTAGTCCTACGTAGCAAAATTCCAGTACTCTCATCCTATCTCTCATTCTATCTAAGCTCCGACACTAGAAAAATCCATTGATCATACCCCAAAAAAGCTACATCCCCGAACTCCCACCACATGAAACCATCTGCTCTATTTATATTCCCTCTAGAGCCACTCCACGGATTATCATCGCACCATCGAAACAAATCCCCACAGATGACCTCAAATTCCCTCACGGTGTCGGCAGGTGCGGTATGACGATTCGACTCAAATTCGTGCTCTCAGATACCTTCATCAAACAAGGATGGGATATAGTTGCCCCGTGCGAGATAAGAGTCCCGAGGGTTTAGCGGCAATGTCAGTGCTGATCGCGAACGGGGCCTAGTGGTGGACTAAGGCTGAACTATCTGTATGCTAGTATGCTAAAGGGAGGGGCTGACGTGGGATGGGTGAGGGGTAGGGAAATTAGAATGAATTAGGTGACTTTTAACCTATCTATATTTCTTGGGGTTGTTGTATGTTTGGTGTACCTAGTATGGTGGATGATGTGGGTTTGATATTTGATAGGTTGGGTTAGTTATATACGGCTTCGTCGGTTTTGCTCGGTGTAACGATGTGCGTAGGATTGCTTGGGTGTTGGCGCTGGCAAACTCTGATGGCTGAGGTTTTGGTCTAGTCAACACTATAGTATGCTCTCTTTATAGCTTCAATGTAAGCATCTTTATGATTTTTCTGCAATGTAGATCTACGATCAAGCCCTCTAAGATAGAGCTCTACCTTATGTGTATTTGTTTCATCTATAGTATTATCTTCTTTAGCCCATTCCTCGAGTAAGACAACGGACGCCCGGATTGTTGGACTAATATTGATAGATAAAGGAAGTTCTTGGCTCCCGGTTTTAAGATTGGATTGCCATTTCAAACCCCCTTCATATCATTCATTGGTCTTAACCCTTGGCGGGCTTAGTGAGATTACCAAGAATGAAAGGCTTCAGGACAAAGAAACATAAGAGGAACCCGCAAAGAAGGTTGTTGGTGCCGAGCTTTCTACTTTGATGTGCTCAGGTACGGCGAAGCCTACGCGGAATTCTTCCAATGAATTTCTGCGGGCAACGTTCCTATCATCGTCGACATGGAGCTGACATTGCGTAGGAAAGCATCAAGTACGACGTCGCAAGGCGCAGGAACGCTGCTCCCGGTTCGGCATTCACCAAAATATGAGGTGTAGACTCGACCGAGTACAGAACATGTCCGGGACCCTTGGGGATCAACAAGCCCAACATGTCAGACTACGTTGGGAATCCCGATTGGCCACCCTCTTCTCATCGTCCAGGGCATCATGCATGGATCAACATAGAGAAGGGGCGGAGCAAAGTGGGGATGGCTCCTTCACAGCAATTCTCCGGCGTCTGGGTAGCGCAAGTCGGCGTTCTCTTCTAGGAATGCCATCCATCGCTTGAGAAACCCGCTTCCTCTGTGGCAGATCATAAAATACGTTAGTGAGCCCCACTATTCTTTCGAATTGCTGCTGGTCGATCATAATACAGAGTTGAAGGTGTAAATGGAAAGGAGTCAAAAAGGAGGAAACTTACTTGCTGATGGTCTCCGAGTCACCACAGACGCAAAGATGCCGCTTGGGACGTGTCATGGCGACTAGACGAGTTTGGTCAGTATGCTTGACCAGCACAGGATGGCTACAAACGCACCGTTCAAACGTCGCTTCTCCCCCAAGAATCCGACTTCGTGCTCACCGTTACTTCGCACCAGGCTGACCACAACAGCCTCCTTCTCACGGCCCTGGAATCCATCCACACTCCCTAGCTCGATAACCGGGTATTTCTCCCGTAGCATCTGCGACAAAATAGCCAATTGGCCGTTGTATGGAGTGATAACAGCAATATCCTCTGGTTTCAGACCTGACTGCACCAAGTTGTCTACGTGTTTCGCAACAACCATTGCCTCCATTTCGTTGCTCTTACTCTCACCCAAAAGGGCCTCCTTTTGGCCAACCTCGTTGTCCTCGGTTTTCTCAGGGAAGTCTCCTCCTTGAGTATCCCAGAATACCAACGGCTCCTTCGTATCATCTGTCTCCTCTACTTCGTACGGTAGGTCTTTTAGAAGGCGTGCTTTTACCGCTTCGCCAGCCATCAGTTTAGACTCATATAGCTCATCTGACGGAAACCGCATGATTGTCTCATGCATCCGATACTGTGTGGTTAGCATTCTTTTAATGCTGTCGCCATGCATTGAGAGCAGCCGATCAAACATGGTCGTCTCAAGAGACATTTTCCCGAGAGCCCCTCTGTCGCTATCACTGACAGCGGTCTCCTTCTCCGCCTTTTCTCGTGTTGCTGCATCTTTCGACTTCTGGACGCTAGACTTGACAGTAGGGGGTAGTTGTAGGTGATCGCCAGCCAGAACAACCTTGGAAGCGGATAACAGCGGAATCCAGCATTGAGCTTCTAGGGCCTGACTGGCCTCGTCGATGACCACAACATCAAACTTTTGATTCCTCAGTTGATGGCCACCTGCTCCATGCAGTGTTGCAAGAACCACGCTGCTTTCTCTAACCAAATTATCCACACATTTGGACTCCCTCTCTCTGAATTCCCGACGTAATTCCTTCAGATCTTGATAAATGGCCCGCTTCTCCCGTCCAAACCTAGTCTTGCGAATACTAGCTTGCTTCTGGTCAATCTCCTTTCTGACATCCCGAACGATGGAAGCGGCTTCCGATGTGTGGGTCAGAACTTCTAGAGAATGTTCAAGAACCGATGGTAGCAAACGGGCCGGGTGGCCTATACGCACAACAGGCACTTTCTTAGGAGCGAGTCTTTCCACAATATTATCCACGGATATATTCGACGGTCCACAAACAAGCACGCGTAACTTCCGCTGCACCATCTGAACAATAAGCTCGATCAACGTATGCGTTTTGCCAGTTCCAGGGGGGCCGTGTATAAGCGCAACGTCCCGCGAAGCTAAAGCAAACCGAATAGCTTCCTTCTGCGAATCATTCAACGTCGGATCACTAAACTCCACCTCCCCACCAGCCTCATAGTCCGGCTGCAACGGCGTCGTATGTCCAAAAGCAACCCGCATAAAATGCGTATGATCAGACTCGGACATCTTCGCCATCTTCTCCATCGTCTGATTCATCCTAGACGTAAGAGTCTCGGTCAGCCACACAGTACCCTTCCATCCTTCACACAAGGCTCTCTCACCGTCGATATGTCACATCATTCGCAAGCTTAATCCTATATCCCACAATTAGCAAAACATCCATCCACACATTCCAGAACCCTCCCTTCCAGAGAAACCACAAAACACAAAACATACACCCAAAGCTTCTTCCCCCACAACTCCTCAATCGCCTCATCATCCTCCTTAGAGCGCCCCCCATTTCCCCCCCTCTGCCCAAATGCAACCCATATACTCCTCTCCCCAACCCTCGTCACAACCCCTTCTGGCCCCTTCGGCGCCTCCCCCTTCCCATCCTTCCCCTTTTCCTTCCCCACCTTATCCTTCTTCCCAGACCCCCCAATCTCATTCACCCGCACAACATCCCCCACGCGAATCCCATGCGCCCCTAATTGCGGCTCTCCGCCCTTCCCATTCTTCTCATCATTCTTGGCCGAGACGGCGGAATCAGCGCCGAACTCGCCCACCACGCGACCGCCGAGACCGGTCCGGCATTGCGAGAGGACGAGGCCTGTGAGCGCGTAGCCTGTTGCTTGGAGGGTTCGGCGGGTGGCGGGGGAGACGGAGGCGGCTGTACTGGCGAGGGTGGAGGAGGAGACTTCGGCTTCGTGTTCGTGAAGGAGGAGCTGTTGTTGGGACTGGGCGAAGTGGGGGATTGAGAGGGGAGTTGGTGTTGATGTTGGAGACATTTGTTGTGTGGAAGGATTGTTGTTGGTGAGTGTCGTGGTGGTTGTGGCTATAGTATAAACATTTGTCCGGGTTTGGGGGATAATTGGTTGGTTATTGTTGGTTTTAATTATTTTGGGAGTGTTGTGGTGACGTTGTTTTGTTCGGAATTAAGTGAGGTAGTGGGGTTTTATGTCCGTGGGGTAGTTAGTAGGTATGAGTGCATAACCAGTTATTTTGTTCTGCTTAGTCAGATGTACATATATGCACAACACATTATAGAACAGATGTGAATTGAGGACGTTTTGGATTGTACATCTGGGATTAGTTAGCTGTGGACATTTTGACTGACGATTGATTCACTTGGTGGATAGACAAGGGAGTCAAAACAAGGCTGAAAATATAGATCAGAGCCAATGTCTGTACTCAGCGCCAGAAACATGACGATACTATGCATAACTAGCTATAGTCCATGTGTACCAATGCAAATCAAAAAAAGAAAGAAAAAAAACAACCGTATTAGCTATTTTTGAGAGATACAATAAGAGGTGAAAACATAAGGAAATAGACACTGGTGAACTGAAGGGTGCATCCAGGATGGTTTTCTTTTCAAGACTGATGGCATAGTTCATGCATAGATGAGAGTACGTTATGGTTTGATTTTTCTTCAAGGATCTCGCCAGCGGGTAGATGCATCTCAACAACATATTCTGAGCCTGTCCAGAATGAGGGACTGTGTGACCACAAGCTCCGAGAGCGCAGAGGAATTATGAAATGGTGTGTGGGTTTCATCATCTCAGAAGCAAATATTGGAAGATGAGGGTCAAAAGATAGGCAAAAGATACAAAAGAGACCAGCAATAAAATATACCAGACCCAGGCTAAGGATTCAGGGACTCAGATGTTTTTGGCCAATAAAGGGCATGTGGCTGGGTTTAGACCTTCCAATACATGCAGGGCCCAACACAGTTCGTTCCGCGTCCCTTTCAAACGAGCGATCATCTGCTAAATAAACGTGAAAGTCTCGGAGACCATGCAGGTCAGCAAAGGCTCTAAGAAGCTTGCGCAGATATTTGTTTCTGCTCGAGTATCCGGAAGTGCTATGGGACTTTGTACCAAGATCAATGATCGTGAGCGAAAGGCGCGAAAGATCAAAATGTTCACGGATGAAACGGCGCAACACCGCCCAAGAGAGCAATGCTTCGTATTCTCTGTGGGTATATCTCCCAGGGGTTCGAAAAGATAGCGGAAACTTGAAAGTTAGGTGCCGAATCTGCATGGAGGACGAGGTGGGGATGTAATGTAGAAGCCTCATGATGAGGTCAGGGTCTTCGTCCGTGAATGAGAAGTTATTTTTTGAAAAGAATATCCGACGAGCATCTTCATAAAATCCACGGCTGACCAAAAAATAGGATGTTGGGGAGGAGAAACAAGAACAGCTTGTGGAATAGGCCGTCTGACGAGCATGACAGAAGCACATGGCTCGCACTGGAGAGCAAGTTCCGCAACAAGTGAGGGGGTACAGGGTTGATCGCTGACGCCTGCGGTCTTGCAAGGTTACGATACCTTTCGGGCATTCGGAAGCCATAATATAAGGATCAGAACGATTGATCATTAATTGCTCAAGTATAAGAAGTTGCACCTCTTTCGGAAGTCGTAGGAATGGGAAGGGAGGCTTAGCTCCGAGGTTGTCAGTCAATCTCCAGCAGGCTCTTTTGACAACTGGTCGGATGTCGTTCTCCTGGGACTGATTGAGATGAATGGCACATTGGGATAGTGTAGGAAAAGGGTCCATTGCGCACATCAGTCTGTTAGCAACCTCCAAATCTTTGACCCTACACTTAAGACTGAAACACGTAAGGGAACGCATCCGCTCTGTAGCTAAACCACAGAAAGCAACCCACATGTTCATGATTGTGCGATGGATTCCTCGATAGAGTTTGAGAAAACGCTTATCATTAGGTCCCAGATCGATATGGAGATATTTCAAATGCTCCATACCCCAAATTGTTGCACCGCGAAACCTGTAAAAGTCTGCCCTCTTGTAGAGAGTAGCACTAAATTTGTTGAGACCAAAAAACATAGGACTAATTTCATCGCGAACAGCGCCGGAGGTCTCAAACAATACAGTCGGCAGCGGTAGGTGAGTGCAGGCCTTGTCAACAAAAGCAGTCCATGACCCCTTAGTCTCACGGCTGCGAGGGCAACCTGGCGCAATCACAGGGGGTATCTGGGCATGATCCTTGATGGACTTGATCCGGGCACCTTCAGTGGTAAAGTTAATCAGGCAAGGGCGTAGAAGTCCAGCATACTCCAGGATTTTTATTTTAGCTATCTCTGGCAGATCAAGGAATGTTTTACCCGGCTTGAAGAAGACTTCCACGTCCAAAGGGTCAAACTGAGAACTTGTATCGGTCGGTGGAGAGTACTGGCCTGCCATGGAAGAACGTGGAGGATTCAATTTATTGTAGAGTTGCCAAAAGGCCTCGGCATCAGGATCCATGGTATCCATTTGGAGCCTGTGGTGATTGTTTTGGCAAACCAACAGTTAGCGGGTTGCCGGGGCGTGTTGAGAACGAGTGGTAACAGGAAATCAGCATCGTGGGGCCTTACATCTAGTGAACAAGGTTGTAGGTAGAGATATAGGAGGCTTAATGCTTTGTGACGTTGATCACAAGTTGCGAAAAGACATCCAATAGGTAGGCAGATGAGTTAGTCGAGGCATTGCAAGAGAGGTAAGAGAAATGGTAGCGAGGTTGACTACATGGGAGCGGGGCGGGAGGAAAGAGAGGAAATGAAGAAAGCCCGTCCATGTGTGCAAAGTTGAATTTGAATATTAGTAGTTGTAAAGAGGAAATCCCCTAGTAGTAAATAGCCACATCTCGTGCCTCGTGCCTGGGGCACTCAACTCACTCCCCCTCGATTTTTATTTCCACTCCGCCTTCAACACTCTCATCTTTCGGTACCGTAATTAGATTTTTCTTGTTAGGAACCAGTCCTTTGATTTCACTCTTGCATAATTTTGTCCCTGCGAGGTCACAATTGCCGCATTTCCTTCCTACTGGTAAGCAGGCCGTCTGCCCCAGCCCAACAAGCAGCTTATTGATTTCATGCCATTTGTCTTTGGGTAGCCATGATTCCAGCGCCTTGCGAGTCTCCTCCGGCGTCTTCGTCTTGTGCCAGCCCCAGAGGTTCGTGATACGATGAACGTGCACATCGACTCCAATGCCTTCATGCTTTCCCCAAGCAGCACTCATACAGAGATATGCCATCTTTGGACCTACCCCTGGGAGCTTCATCAGCTCGTCGGCAGTATCTGGGATATCACCATGGTACTGATCGCGAAGAATGACGGCCGCTGCCTTAATGTATTTGGTCTTGTTATTATGGAACCCCACCGTCCTGATCAGTTCGTTCAGTCGCTCAGGTGAGACCGCCAGGATATTCTCAAGGTTCAGAGTACTATCTTTAAGAGGTTTCACTGGTTCAGATGGGTCTTCTGTTTCTTTTTTGATCACACTGGTTTCCACTAGAGGAGCTTCACCATTGCCAAGTTCGGTGTGCAAACGCTGCATAGCCACAGCCGTAACTGTGTCCTTCGTTTGCGATGACAGCATCAGTGCAATCAGAGTCTGGAACCGTCGATCGCGCGGGGATGACGCTCGCCAATACAGTTCAGCACAGCCCATTGTGTCAACCGGAGCCGTCGGATTAGCCTCACGCATCTTTTTGACAATGCTGTACATTGTGTCCCAGTTGGAGGGCGGCTCTACTTTGAATGCGCCATCTTCATCTTTGATTTTCCGAGCAGGGACCCGACGTGCTTTCTGTACGGTCTCAGTTTTGACGGATTTTTCAGCCGTTCTGTCGGTAACCCTTGCCGGAGGGCGAGAGCTAGTTCTCCGCGGTGGCGAAGAGTTTACTTTGTTTTTTTGCCGTTTCGCCGGGGGTTCCATGATATCCTCAATATCCACTGTATTGACAGACGAGAGAGATGAGGTATCATCATCACTTGCAGGTAATTTAGGTTCAACATGACCATTAGAGCCTCCGCTATACGCGAAACTGCGCAGCGCATTTATATTGGACGAACTGCGCGTTTGCCGGCGCACGGGAGGCGAAAGAGCCTGCAAGACTTTCTCAGACTGTTTCGATGCTCGGGAAGTTCGCATGGCGTAGTATTCAGGGCTTTTTCAATATATGTAGCTAAAGTGAGATGTGGCATTCAAATGAATCAAGGATCGACGGAATTTTTAGGGGTCGGAAAGACTGGGCCGCCAAGCTCATCCACGCGGAGCGGACGATCACAGAATCGCATGGGGAAGAAAAGACCCACGGGACGTTGTTAAGCCTCGGCGCAACTCCCTTCTTGGTGAGTAACCACTAAGGTTGCTGTGCGATTTAGTTACTCCCCTTGCTTTTAGTCTTCTAATTTCCTGCCGAACAACCACAACGCCGAATAATCTTCAGGCAAAAAAATCCTTCATTCTAATTCCTCCGACAATCAAAGCATCTCTCCGCGGCAAATTCGCGATCCACATTCCAGACATACCCCCTCATGGCGTCAACCTCCACCACCCAACGTCTCCTCCGCGAACTGAAAGACTACACCAACAACCCGAATGAAGCGCTCCTTCACCTCGGGCCCGTCGACGACGATGACCTTCTCCATTGGGAAGCAGTGCTAAAGGGCGTAAAGGGAACACCATACGAAGGTACCATTCACCCTTCTCAACCCCAGCCTCCTTCCCTCCCCGCTTCCCCATCGACAAATCCCACCCTTCAACGGCCTCAACTAACGAACAACATAAAAATACCATAGGCGGTCTCTGGTCCCTCTCAATAACTATCCCACCCAACTATCCCCTCGCACCCCCAACAATCCGCTTCAGCACCCGAATCTCGCACCCGAACATCTCCTTCACCACTGGCGAAATTTGCCTCACCCTGCTCACGACCGAACACTGGAGTCCCGTATACACGCTCTCAACAACCCTGACTGCCATCCACCAACTCCTCACGGATCCACGACCCGATAGCCCACTGAACGTGGATGTCGCAGCCTTACTGAGAGACGGTGACATTCCCGCCTGGGAGAGTATCGTGCGGTTCTGGACGGAGGAAGAAAGATGGCAAGGGCCGGGATCTGCCTCTTTCTTGCGGGGATAGGTCAGCCTGCGTCGTAGAAAAGGGGCCTGGATAAACGACGTCGTGGAGGAAATTGCGTTGATAGATGGAGGAGCGGCTTTTCTCGATTGGCTATTTTTGTCCCGTTTCAGTTATGTCGATACTACGATTCCGCATTTATATATACAGCACGTAAAGTCCACTATTTCCCCATACCCAAGGTACCATACACCAAACCATATACTGAATAAACATCAAGATAATCACATATCTACTAAGATTCAATTGTTCAGAGTAACCCGCACTAAAGCCAGGTCATCAATCTAATTATGCACAACACGCTAGACAGAATAAAAAAAAGGAGAGACATGCCCTTAAACCCATGATCGATCTCATCTCAATACCGCTTAAAATAAAGAGAGACAAATGTCGGACGCCACAGTATGCACAAGGATCGTAAGTGGAGCGTGAGCGTGAAAAAGGCAGTACAAAACGTAACGTAAGCCTATTATTTTCAGAAAAGAAGAGAGAAAAACGATTAAAAAAAAAACGCCATCCATGTATGCAGAAAATCGCAGTATCATCGTCGGACTCACACGATGTCGGCTTTGCTTTCATAGAAAGAGAAGGAGGGAGTGGAGGGTGGACAAGATTACAAGGCCATGGCGACCATGGCGGCTCCGCCAATCATCACGAACAGCTCGCGGGTGAGGCCGGTGGTGGAAGCGGCGTTGTCGGTCTGCAGGCCGGGGGCGGCGCCGGTTTTGGTGGCGACTTCATGGTTGGTTTCGGTGGGGTGAACGACTGTGATGGAGGTGATGGTGCTTTGCTCGCCGTTGGGGAGGGTGGTGGTGCTCTTGAAAGTGGAGGTATAGGGGGTTGTGTTCTTGGTGGTCTCGGGCTTCTTGGTGGTCTCTGGGGCCGTGGTAGTTTGCATGGTGGTGGGGTCCTTCTTGGTGGTGGTGGAGCTGGAGCTAGAGCTAGAGTCGGAGTTCGTGGCGGAGGGTGTAGAGTCGGTAGAAGTTGTCTTGGGGTCTGAGTGAGTGGACGGGGGCTCAGTTGAGGCCGTGGTGTGGGTGGACGGCGGTTCCGAGTGGGTTTCGCTGGTGGTGGTAGGCTTGTCAGTGGTGGGCTTGTCGGTCGTCGACTGAGTGTTTGGCTGAGCAGTAGTATGCTCAGTAGTGGACTCGGCAGTAGACTTTTGAGTAGGAGTTGGAGTAGCAGTGGTGCCGGCCGCCGTGCTGGTTGGTTCCGCCTGAGAAGTCGACGAGTCAGACGAGGTAGCAGAAGCCGCGGAAGTGGAAGGAGAGGAAGGAGAGGGAGCTTCAGTGGTGGGAGAAGAGGGAGAGGAAGCGTGAGTAGGAGAGGATGGTACTACAGCAGTGGCCGAGGGCTCAGCAGCTGTGGAGCTGTTGTCCCTCTTCAGATTCAGATGGGCTGCCAACGAGCTATCCTCCGTACCGAGAGCCTGCACGGCGTCATCGTCGGAGGGGAAGACGCCATGGTGGAACTTTTCGAAGAGATGAAGAGCCTTGTGGATGGATTGCTCATCGATCTTCTCGAGATAGCTGTAGAAATCGGACTTGTCGGAGACAGCGCTCCCCTCGGCGTCGGCCTGTTCGGGCGCTGTGGTCGCAATCGCAGAGGATGCGACGACCAAGGAGACGAAGCAAAGCCTGACAAGACGATTCATCCTGTCTGCGGGGGTTTTTTTTTTATGTATTGTGGTCGGATGATGTACAGAGAGCAGACTTAGTCAAGCTGATTGGCAGCTTGGCGGGCTAACTGATAGGCAGCAGAGACGATGAGATTAAAATCGGAGGTTCGTATCGATTGAAAACCCGTCGGTAGTTCCCTGTCGAGGTGGGTGAAAAGACCAAGAAAAGAGCAAATAATGACCAAAGAGGTGAATTTGGGACAATGAGAGGAGAGGAGAAGAGAGAAAGGGGAGCGAAGGAAGACTTAACAGCGAACAAGGCCTTTTTGTTATGAGTTCAGGTTTCCGGCCTGATAATGGAGTTAGTCGATTTAGTCCGTCGGCTTCGGATCCGCCAGAAAAGAAAAAATTCAATTCGAGGAACAGGTAACACCGATGGAACGAATCACAATGGACATTCACGGTGGATCTTCGCGTGGTCAACCACTAGATTAAGACTTTCACATCAATAACACTGCAAATAGAAGTTCACATCGCCGGTTAGGGTCATGGTCTAGTGTTGTATCTTGGGTAGTCTGGAAGTGGTTCCCATGGTATGGGAGCCCTAAATTCAGCAATAGTGGCGATGCGCCTTGGCTTCTCTTTTACTTCTTTCTCATCCTCTTTTATTATGTATGTACAGTACCGTATGTACACACGTTATCGGACACATAAATCTCCTCGTACATACAGCTGGCACCGTCAGCACTAACAGAGCTTATGCATATAGCGTTGATGCTTAGAATAGTAGCGATAGGCTGTAAGGTGTCTCTCTGCAAGTGAGTATAAATAGGTGTGTCTGTTTCCCACCCCCCCACTTGCTGCGAGGGAAGAGTAAAAGTCGGATTTCCTTGTATGTCTCAGAAATTCAAGGCGACCGTTACCGGAAATAGTAAACGAAAAAGCGGAAATCACCGAGATCCTCTTGGCGAATTAAGAAGGACGTTTTTCAGCTCTATGATGACACCACTGTGAGATCAGAAGACGAGGAATTCCCCACTCGTGCTTTAAACCAAGCATCTCAACCTCAACCTGAACAACCGCCAATCGCTCCCAAAATTCAGAACAGTACAGTACAGTACTGTATAGCCACAACGTTCAACAAATACTGACTTTAAGAATGTTCTCGTATTCCGTAGTATACGTATGTACGTCCTCCAAGTCGAAGTAGATAACTACCAAAAGCTCCATCGTTGAGAAAGGGGATGTGTGTCGATCCCGGAATGCAGCCCCAATCTCTAAAAGTGACTATTGACAACACCATTTTGATCGTCATTGACGGCGATAATTTTACCATGATTGTTTCCCCTGGTTCCTAGCTGTGACCTTGGGTACCGAAAAGTCAGTCGACGTTACATTCATTCATAGATCAATTGGGTAATGATTGAGACACCGAACCACCGGATCAGGATGCGAACGTCTAGGGTTGACTCCTCCGCATTCGGAAATCTGTGGCTGTGCCTTCCCAGGATTGGCTGCCTGAGGCGGCAACACCGCCAGACTCACTGAGCGACTACAAGGACAGAGTCCATACAGTACTGTACATATCATAATCACTAAGATAGGGCCATTAATAATGGAATCATAGCTCCTAATGATGTAAAGTATGATTAAGGCCCACGGCCACGGGCGGTGTCTACCATCTAGATATATTTGCACCTCAAGTCATCCAACGAGTCATGATAGGGGACTAGAGCTATTATTAGCTCTTGGCGCGCCTCCCAGCCAAAGGCAATCGAGAACCAAATCGTGCGGATTTGAGCCGCAATAAACTGAATCTGGCCCATGGTTCTGGTCTCAACTCATAGGGATAAACTTCGCTCAAGATTTGAATCTGAATTGACGGATAAAGCGTTGCGTGGATATTCCTCAACGGGGCATCATAAGTGACAAAAAACGATACCGCTCGGAGCCTAGATTCCACTACCTATATAGTGTTAAGAAATCTATATATATTGAAAACAGACCCACGTAATAGCCATTGCCCGAATTGCCTTCTGAGTCTACCGAGAAATAAGAAGTGAAAAACAAAAAAGAAATATATTAATTGCCAGATCTGACGATAGCGCACGTTGCAGATCAGGAGGTTCCACCGACTGGCTTTTCTACGATGATGTTGAATGTCTGCCCCTTGTGTTGCCAATACTGAATAACACCGGTCTCGATGTCCACTTCGATACGATCCCCTATCGCAATATTAATAGATCTCCTTGCATATAGATTTTAAAACGATCCAAGGAGCACTCCCTCAACGGGGCTATGCCTGAGTGTTTGTCAATTCTGGAGTGTAGAATGAAGCCGGCAAGGCACAGAGAACCATAAGCCATATTTATATCCTCTCTGCCAAGCGATGAATGCCTACATCGATTTCCCAATCCCATTTTTATCCATTCCCTTTCGTTTGGACCATATATCTATCTCAAACAGAACGGGATGAAACATGAATTTGAAAGAACTGTGTTCCTGCGCCCTATTGCCCCGTCCTTTGTTCGCCCGGAATAGTACAACGATAACCAGGTCACTGCTATGTAAACCACAAAAGATAATCGAGCCTCCAAGACAACGCCCGGAAATCGATTATTCCATAGCGGGCGTCCTCAAGTCACCCAATTGGCCTGAGACGTACTACAGTCTTGACAACCGGATATCGCTATTTATACACAACCCTCCGCTACGCTTCGCTAAATACCGCCCACGTAAGAAACAATATGACTGCGGTTCATGATAGAGCTCAGCCCTAACTTTATCTCTCCATCTCAAAGAATTTTCGGAGTGTTTTATTGGGTGTCTAAATTCAGGACAACGTGGTGCCTGCTTGGATGACTCGTGATCTTCAACCTTATTCATGTATGTGTTGTACGTGCATGCAGCCATGCTGAAAGAAAGTATATTTAAAATTAAGGCAATAAATTCAATGCTGTCAACCGGAAACACTGATCGGCGCTAATGAATACATACATGGAACTTCGTCGGTTTCACTTGTCAGGGAAGAAAAGCATCCTGCATAAGGCAAACCATACAAATAGGATGCACTATAACCTTGTGCCCTGTCAATTCCTCTCCGCCACTCCATACCACTCACCCCATCCACTAACCTTGCCTTGGACCTCACGAGCAATCTCCTCAAACGTTGCCATAGCGCTAAGCTTATTTTGATCGATAGTGTGATTGAGCGCAATAAGCTCGAAGAAGTATCGATGGGGGCCGTGGCCTCGAGCTGGCCTCGGCGCTAGATAGACACCCCCTCCGCTGTTTGCCCCATATTTGAACCCGCCTCGGAGGCGATAAGGATCATTCTTGGCGTCCGCTTCAATGAAGTCGGACCGGTGGAGTCCGACGAGTACCGGGGGGATACCGTAATAGAGTCCATGGATAACCGGTTCAGTCAAAGGTGCATCGGGGTCTTCGCACACCAGGACGTATTCCTGGGTGTCTGAGGTGGTGATAGGCCATCTTAGCTCCGGGAAATATCCACCACCGTCGTATGCGTGCGCGGTCTGCATGCGTGAGCCTGAGCCGCCGATTTCAGGGCAGTCAATGAAGAACGTGGGGTAGGGATAAGCGGCGAATGCTGGACCTCTGGTGAAGAGCTTGCTTTCCTGCCCTTTGACCCCGGTGAGGAGCAGAGAAAGGAGGTAGCTGATGCCGAATTTGATGTAATGCATCTAGCCACGGTTAGAGTGTCTGCGAAGTCTGCTATGTGAGTTGTTCGGCTTACCTTAGCAGATGGAGGTTATGATGCTATTTAACCTGATAGGCTGGAGAAAACTGGGGACAGTTGGAAGATGATACTGTGGGGATCCTTTGCTGGAAGACAACAGGTCTATGTATAAGCAAGACACTTTAAGTCTGTGGCAGAAGTGCCTCAAGGAAAGTACCATCATGTCACATCCATTCCAGCAACAGTGCGCTTCTGATGTTGAAGCCGCAGCTTCCTATTCTTGCTCTGTTCTGATCTCAGTTCTTAGACTTTGGGCACTCACGAGACACCAGGCCCTCTACACCTGCCCGTTTATCCCCATGGCTTCCTCCGGCGGAGTACGTACTGTTTCCAGGAAACATGTCAGTGAGGTGATCACAAGCTTAAGACTCCTTGAACGCTGACATTAGCTAGCTCACTAGGGCCGACTCTAATCGTATCCATTAGTCAATGTTTTGTCAATTGCAACACTAATCTAATTCGTGGCTCGACATTGGCCAACTAGACCGTTAGAAACCCTTCGGATTTTGCGGGGTGACAGAACTTATTCTATCCCCAGACCGTGTAAACGAACGGCACATGCCGAGGTAACCTTATACCAACTCCACATCTGCCCATATGATGTTGCATCTAAACGGGAGACTTATCAAGTTCCCATTAAATGGCAAAAACCATACCTTATAAGATGCAATAACAACGCCAATATATACCCATCCTTCTAAAACTGCAACCCCTAGCCAGTCCCCATATAACCAATCCACCATGGAAACCCTCTGGGCCACCATCGTCGACACCTACTCCCCTCAAGCCATAGAATTCACCGGCACCCTAGCGGTCCAAATCCTCGCCTTCTGGCTCCCGTCTCTCATCTACCTCTCCCTAGACCTCCTCGCTCCCCAATTCTCCAATCGCCACAAACTCCAACCGGCCCCCAAACAACCAACCCGCAAAGACATCCAATACTGCTTCCAAGTCGTCGCCCGTAACCAAGTCATAACCTCCGCCCTCCACATCCTCCAACTCAGCCTCCTCAAAAACCCCTCCTACAAAATATCCCCCACCCTCCCCACTCTCGGGACCCTAACGCGCGACTTCGCAATCAGCCTCCTCGCGCGCGAAGCCCTCTTCTACTACGGCCACCGTTTCCTCCACCAACCCGCCCTCTACGCCCGCATCCACAAACAACACCACAAATTCACCGCACCCATTGCCCTCGCCGCACAATTCGCCCACCCCATCGAACAGATCTTCGCCAACGCGCTGCCGATCACTCTGCCGCCGCAGCTGCTAGGGAGTCATATTCTGACGTTTTGGGCGTTTCTTAGCTATGAGTTGTTTGTGACGGCGACGGTGCATTCTGGATACGACTTTTTTGGGGGGAAGGCGAAGATGCATGATTTGCATCATGAGAAGTTTAATTTGAATTATGGGTCGATTGGGTTGTTGGATTGGGTGCATGGGACGGATAAGCTTGAGAGGAAAAAGAGGGTTGAGTGAGTTCCATGTTTTTGGGTATGGTCGTGGTAGTTTCGGGGGAAGTTGGGGTCTTAAGGCAGTGATGCGCTTGGGATGGATAGTTCAGGTGTAAGGTAGGAGGAGGATGGAAGATGATGGGATTGTGCTTAGTATGTTATATGTATGATGAGTGTCCAGGTGTGTATGCCTAGTACATCGGGTAATTGATTTGTATATGTATCTTAGCGGAGGTGTAACGACTAGATATAACAGGAGGCTATGGGCAGAAAAGCGCAGTCTGTAGGGGAAGCAAAAAAGCCGAAAAAACAAGAGGAGAAAAGGAGAGAGAGCCCAGAAAATAAAACTAAAGCATTGAAGAAAAGTATCAAGGTGAAAAGAAGACAGAACTAAAGTTGTTGGCTGAACTAAAGTTGTTGGCTGTGGTGGGCAGACTGTTTGAAAAAGAAGAAACCACTTTAATCGTGGTGAAAAAGAAATTCCGTTGCGGGGAATCGAACCCCGATCTCCTGTGTGAAAGACAGGTATGATAGCCGTTACACTACAACGGATGTTGCTGACAGTACTTCTTATTTCTGACCTTATAACGCAAATTAAGATGCTAGGATCAAAAACTCCCTCTAATCAAAGAACCTAGCAATATCGTTCCAACCCTCACATTAGCGTCTCTGCATATCTAACCGAAGAAAAGTCCAGACCAGCCCCAACCACGCGATGTACGTGAAACCCCACTACGGTCGCGCAAGTTTCCAAGCCACGATTCTGGACTGCGGGATTCCCGTTTCTTGTTAACGGGATGGAAATTGAAATAAACAATCTTGTAGATGGGGGGCTATTTATTGGGATCATCGATATGTTGGACCCTTGGTTTTCTTATTTGTTATTAGATATCTAGTGAAAGGCTTGTTTTGACTCGTTGTGGGCACAGGAATCATTGGACAGGGGCTGGGATTATATATAGTGCTGGGGGCCAAAAGCGGCGTGAGTTTTTTTTTTGACTGAAGACTGCAGGATGTCTCCTACTTTATACCAACAAATCTTATTCTTTCATCACAGTGCCTGGCGACTGTAAAGGAAGAAAGAAAAATCCAAGATTTTTGCAAAGCAATGTGAAACATACCTCGTAAGAAAGCAATGTTTGGGGAGCCATCGGGTAAAGTTCCGCATTTATTTGTTTTGCATCCCCACGCAGAAAAGTGGCTCGAGAAAGGCCGGTCATTTGCCACCGGAGCCGGGACCCCTTCCATGGACCATGGGCGGGACCTATTTTTGGTGTGTATTTGGACCAGGTTCCCATTGGAGAGATGTTGTGGGAAAATATTTATGACGGTGGTCATGGCTTTTTAGATTAAGCAATTTCCGTCCCATTTTTCATTCTAGACAGTCTTGCGATGGTTGATGCATTGGGCATACCTTGGTAACGAGAGATAGTGTATCAGACAGGGCAAACAATTTCTCTGCTTGTGTGTGTGCTGGCATGTCTCAGATGAATCCATATGAAAACTCTCCTACTATTAATAGTCGGAGGGGTAAAAAGCGTCCGCGCTGAGAGTCGATATGACGCCACAACACATTCGGTTACTAGGCCATACATCGTCGAGAGAGAGACCTTGTTCATTGAGAGGGATGAAGGATTGAGAATGCGAGAATGGTTGGTTAAATACAGTAGGGCATATAAAAGGAGGGATATGTTATGTTCCCCCTATTTACCACCGTCATTATGAGAAATGGTGTGACAATCCTCCGGTCGAGTGAAGGGATCTTCAAGGTTGCAAACCTTGGACGGGAAGGGACTATTGGTGGATTGACTCTCTCCCTCTCTCTTTTTTTCCCACTTGTTAGAGTTTAGTGTGACTTGAGAGTAGACATCAAAACTTGTAAAAAAAAAAGTCTTGTTAGGCGTTCGGGATAGGTGAGACTCCCAGAAAGAGGCAATTGATGTGCTTGGATTTTTTATGTCTTTCCCGCAGTTTTATCAAGGGAAAAAAAATTGATTCATATCACAATTGATTTGTTTTGAAGGGAATGCTCAGCCAACAAGAGACTAGGGTCTCAGGGATTTGGACGGGTCCAGACCCACCACGTCCAAACATTCTCCACCGCGGCTTCACTTCATTCTTCGTTCCTGTATTTCCCTTCCTTATTTGTCCTGCCCTTCTTTCCAGTGAATCCACTTCCTTTCCTCCCGCCGTTAATGATTGATTGAACCGGGGCAAGTTCCTCGCTAGTGGGAGATTTACAGCCATTGAGAGACATGGATGGGTGGCGCCTCCGCGGCACCCTTCGTCCCTGGGCCGATCTCTCCCCATTCCCTGCACAGTAGATGATCTGGTTTGCTGCCTGGGAGCATTAATCTCAAGGGTTTCAGGGTGGATGACGAATGCTTCTAGCATTAGCGGCGGTGTATCCATGTCGGCCTGTATGTAATGTACCGTTGCCAGTGCTATCCTTATCCCTTTACGGCAGGTATGCAAGTGAAAATACCGGTAAACAGTCGTTTTCCCATAATACTGGCAGCTGTCGGCCTTCAGTCTCAGGGATGCGGACTCTGGAACTCTGGTTGGCCTTTAAGGGCGTGCCACAACCCCTTCCCGGCCATTCCTTTTCTTCTGTTTCTGCATCCCCTTCCGTCTTTCCTTCTTTTCTTCTTACTTATCATCCCAGTCACTCGTTCAGACGCCCACATTCAGTACATTCTCCATCTGGATTTCTTATTCTATCTGTAATCGCCTCCATCTCATAGGTTACAGTTTTTTTTGGTGCTATATCAGACTCCCAGCTAGACGGGTCTCGCCATTCTTTTCGGACCGTCGTATCAACTGCAATCGTTATACATATATTTCATCATGAAGGGTTCCGCCGTAGCGACAACGCTCACCTTGGGTGCGTCCGTCGCGCTTGCCGCTCCCTCCATCCAGGCGCGTGACGATATCACCGCGGTCACTGTGAAGGGAAATGCCTTCTGGAAGGGTGACGAGCGTTTTTACATGCGTGGTGTCGACTACCAGCCCGGTGGCTCCTCCAACCTGGCCGACCCCATCTCTGATGCCGAGGGCTGCAAGCGCGACATCGAGAAGTTCAAGGACCTCGGCCTGAACACCATCCGCGTCTACTCGGTGGATAACTCGAAGGACCATGACGAGTGTATGAATGCCCTGGCGGATGCTGGCATCTACCTGGTGCTCGATGTCAACACTCCCAAGTACTCCCTCAACCGTGCTAGCCCCAAGATCTCCTACAATGAGGCGTATCTTCAGTATATCTTCGCTACTGTCGATGCCTTTGCCAAGTACAAGAACACTCTGGCTTTCTTCTCCGGTAACGAGGTTATTAATGATGGCCCCTCGTCCAAGGCCGCTCCCTACGTCAAGGCTGTCACCCGTGATCTCCGCCAGTACATTCGCAGCCGTAACTACCGTGAGATCCCTGTTGGATACTCTGCTGTAAGTGGTTTCGATACCTCCCCAAAGCAATACGCTGGATACTAATGGAATGTGTGAACAGGCCGACATCGACACCAACCGTCTGCAGATGGCTCAGTTCATGAACTGCGGTAGTGATGACGAGCGCAGTGACTTCTTCGCTTTCAACGACTATTCCTGGTGTGACCCTTCCTCTTTCAAGACTTCCGGCTGGGACAAGAAGGTTGAGAACTTCACTGGCTATGGCCTTCCTCTTTTCCTTTCTGAGTACGGTTGCAACACCAACAAACGTCAGTTCCAGGAAGTCGGATCCCTGTACAGCGAGGACATGACTGGTGTCTATTCCGGTGGTCTGGTCTACGAGTACTCCCAGGAGCCCAGCAAATACGGCCTCGTTGAGATTAACGATGGCAAGGTTAAGACTCTCGCTGACTACGACGCCCTGAAGTCGGCCTTCGACAAGACCAGCAACCCCAAGGGCGATGGTGGCTACAACAAGACCGGTGGTCCCAATCCCTGCCCCGCCAAGGATTCCCCCAACTGGGATGTTGACAGCGATGCTCTTCCTGCCATTCCCGAGGGTGCTAAGAAGTTCATGAAGGACGGTGCTGGCAAGGCTGAGGGTTTCTCTGGCAAGGGTAGCATGAGCGGTGGTGGTAGCACTTCCACTGGCACTGCCGAGCCCGGTTCTGGCTCTGCCTCTGGCAGCAGCTCCAGTGGATCCTCCTCTAGCACATCAGCATCTGCTGGTGTCATGAACATCCCCAACATTTCCCTGGCTCCTATTGTCGTCAGCATGGTGACTATCATGTCTACTTTCGTAGGCGCTGGTCTCATTCTTGTTTAATCCATCAGTTGATGTAGTCAACTTGAGTAGTATTTTTTTTTTCTTCGTTTCATGATCTTCCTTCGATGTCATATGTTTCTGTCGGTATCCAAACGGATAATTTGAGGTGTATATCCAAATTGACAAAAATTGTCTTTGGCGTTAACTTGGAATGGGACGCCGACCGGAGGCTGTGACTTTGTACAGTTTGTGGCACACCATTAGCCAGTTTTCAATGTGTCAGTATAGAGCAATAATTGAACGATCTATATCCCCTTCAAACCAAACCATTGTAATGTTATAGTATCCGTCAGCGTGGGTGACTGCGGTCTTCAAGTTGTTCAAGAAGTCCTACTAGCAGGACTTTTACCTACGTCCACTCTTAACTACTAGCGTTCCCGCGGTGATGCGCTTATCGCTGTATAGAGCTTAGCGCTCCCGCTTCTTCACTGTCGGCTTTATACATCATTTTAATAAAGCATGCGTAGTACCTTATATTTTTCTCATTAAGTAAAGCCAAGAACCAGCTACCTTGAGGATGATATGCCAGCTCGCAGGTAAACACCTCGAGCGGCGGTGATTCTTGATGCACTAGGCGTTGGCTGCTACACGTTCGAGTCATTTTCAACTCCCTCAAACCCTCCTGCATTCCCCAGACGCCCCTGATCTACGTGGATATCACTTTCACGGCTCTCTCCAGACTATTTAATATGCGTTGAATGTACTGACTGACTACATTGTACTGTAATGTCTGTTGGCTCTCATCCGTTAAAATTGGTTACCAAACCGTCTTTTTCTTTATATGCGTTGACCAGTAAATATGAAAAGGGGTAGCCTTGTAGCCTCGACCCCACTCTCTGGCATCTAAAATCAACCTAAATCTCCCTTGAAGTTCGTTTCAAATATACTCAACGCTTAGTTTGCCAATTAGGTCGTCCATGACGTTCGCTATGGCAGACTCAACCATATGCATTTCTCGTCAAGAGCGTGGTAGACGGTGGGGTAGATATCGTCAACGGGGTGGTCGACGAGGTGATAGTGCGCAGAGATCTAACTTGCGTCAGGATCATAGGCCCATGGCTGAAGGGCATGGTCAGGAACGCATAGCTGGAGTCCTTAAGAATGCCCCTCCTAAGAGTGCAGAGGGCGGGCAAATTGCCAGAGGGAATCATCATCTGAGGAGACGCGGCCGCCAGGCGATATCGTGTGAAGGTGGGGGATACTAAGGGATTGACCCGTGAATATGAAATTGATAAATATGGTTTCATCGTACAAACGGATGTGGCCACCACTACTAACCGTTGGACTGTTCCGACAGCAAATTACCACGGGCTTTTCTTATCGTCACATACTCACTGGCTTGTCATATCAGAACCTACCACCCTACCACCAGGTCAAATGCGGGATGTCCTGGAGGACACTCGGCCTGAATTAGCTCGCTCCGAGTTGTCACGCGCTGAGGTCATCCCGTAGCTGGGCTACAGACGCAGGCTGGCCAGAGTACGGTAGATTGTTGAAGCAGACTTTGCTACCACCTACAGTGTGACCCGGCTAATGTTCGACGACCCTCACTGAGTGTTATTCCTTCGTTTGGTATCTTATATCTCGCCGAAGGAGGTGCAGCGGCCACTCATTCTGGAAAGGGACGTGGGAACGATATTTAACGTTGTGTGTGGCCCACACGGGGCTAAGGGAATGGGACTCTTTCGAAGAGTGGTAAGCTCTCTGTCTGATCCCCACGGGGAAAAAGCAGATACTGAAGAGAAAAAAGGAAACGAACTACGAGAAGGTGCTGCTACATGTCACAAAGGCAATTCTGAGTATTTTGTCACTCGTCTAGGAGGCGACATTTAAGTCAGAGTTGAAAGATATGGCGAAGGAGCCCTAGAGTTGTTCACCTCTTGCCAATTTTGACCCAAGCTCAAGTAGTCACTCTTTATGTGCTGCTGGTGAAAATATGCTCTTAATATTGAGCATATTTGGAACTGGTGATGGAATTGCTGCCTCTGCAATGAAGGCACAGTCGGGCCCATTATTGGAGAACATGCAGCAACCTAAAATTGACCACCCTGGAGAGCTTTCATAGTTCGGTCCCCGCCATGATAACGACCACGCATCAATCGTTAGCATCCGAATTCTGCCGACTTTGTCCGGGATTTGGCACAGCAAACGCACTGACTCTCAACTCGAGGAACTTTTTACGATCTAGATGCACCCTACGAAAAGGGAGTTGGTCGGCTGCTTGACACCAATTTTTGCTTCATCCTGCGAGACGCAGTCCGTGCGATCCTTGAACACTGGGAGATACTTGTACACCGCACGAGATGGCAAGACAAGAGAAAAATATTACGCACTAGTAGCCCAACCCCGGACCGGACCTACCATAACACCCAAATCCGATGAGTGAAGCCTGAGCGTGTCAAGGGAATGGAATTGAGTTAGAATTTGACCAATTGTTCGGGTTAAGGAACGCGACTCAGTGGAGAAGAAAACTTTACTAGAAGGTGTCTGGTGCGCTGAATCCATGCGGAGCTTTATTGACCCTCATCGACGATGAGGTGGCCAACGCTGTCACCGTGGTCTTTCTGCAGGTCTCCAAAACGAATATTGACCCGGTGGTAAACGACAGCACTATGGACAAGGTCCAGGACCTGGTATGTGATGCCAAACGGACCATGATCACACTTCAGCTCACCAGTTCTCCTTCTCGAGGGGATGTGAACGAGGTCATCTCATTAGCTCGCAACCATCCCTTCGCAGACTGACCAATCATACTTGTCGAGTTTACTGCCCTGCCGTATAACATGTTTTAGTGCATCCTACGATCTTTAAAGGCCCTCCATGCTGATCCCCGGTCCCGGCCACTTAGCTGGTGGCTAGCTCCGCAAGAGAAATACGATGTAGAAACCAGCACCGCGTTCGGGTATAGGTCTTTCCCTGTCGAATCATCAATCTATCTTGGAAATGTCGCACTGGACCTTTCATCGCCCCCATTGGCAGTCGTGATGCAAAATAGGGGTAACATAGTCACACCACCGAGGTTCTCTGTTGACCGCGATTTCACTACCATGGTTGAAGAATTATTTACAAGGATAACTCTGGATAGGGCCCAGGTGTGGGCAATGATTTACGCATTCAAAGAACTACATAGCACTCATTGAAGGTCCTCCAGGGACGGAAAATGGTACGTAGGCATTTAGAACGCAAAGTGCTTGCTAGCCAACAAAGACTCCCTACGTCTAGGACCAATTCTCTGTGTCAGTATCTGCTACATCCGTTACATATCTTCAATGAAAAGGGGCTAATAGATAACCATAAAACAGGTGTTACTAACCACGCACTCGATCAATTCTTCAGGGGCTTCTGGATACAAGGATCTCCTAAATTGTGCGTATTGGATCTCGCAGTGCCTCCCCGGCGCTCGGGTCTCTCTCACTTGAAAATTATAAGAAGCAGAATAGGATTCCTCGCCTCGCAGGCCATGGGAGATTTATCAGCGCATCACAAAAGAGGCTGGATGACATAGATGTCCAAATGGACGACTTCTGCAAGCGACTCGAAGGTGGGCCTTTTGACATCGTGGAGCCCTATCTAAGACGGCAGTTTCCAATTATTAGTTTTGCAAACTGCTATGCCCTTACACCTGAGTTCTAGATAAAGTTTAAGATAAGTAAATATTAATAAGGCCTTAAAGGAAAGCTTATATTAAGATATAATAATATAGGATTGATTACTATAGACGCCACTCCAGCCGGAGGATAATCGCTTCTTTTTCTAAATTGACTAGTATATAGTTAGTTAAAAATTAGAAATTGGTAAGACAGGTATCTTCTATCAGGAGAGAAAATGAAATGAGGTAATATAGCGCTGGGTAAAGAGAGACCCATGTTAAAATAAGTGAGCCAACCTCTGGGATTATATCAAGCCAAATAAGGCGAGAACCTTAAGGTTAGCTGCTATAAGAATAATCTAGGTTTACTTAGATCTGTATAAAACCGTTAAACATGCCGCCCGTACATACATTTGACCTAATTGTGATGTCAAGAGAGAATGGCCTTGAAAACTTTCGAGAACGCCTTTTCCATGGTAGCATCGGTCACGTTACAATCGTCCAGTCGCGCCTTTGCACACATATTCTCACCGTTACAAATCGAGTGTTGTCCTAACCATTACAAAATCATGCACTACTCTGGCAGTTCGCGAATACCCCTTGACCTTATATAACTAGTTCGACAACTTCGCGCAAAAGACCGTGACGGCTATTTATCAACATGCCTTTGCTGTCATACCCGCTGGCTCTTGAGCTCAAAAAGGAGCTGCAGGGGACCAACGCAGAAGTGATTACACCAGATAATGAAAATTACCCCGAAAGCATCAGCCGCTTCAGTGCTTCAAGTGAGAGAGATGCGGTATGTATCTGGCTGTATCTGGCTGTATCTGTTGTTTATCTAAATCCTGACGATATATGAGGGTGCCGTAATTCGAGTCACCTGCACAGATGAAGTCTCGAAAACTGTCAGCTTTGCCACTAAGCGTCACATCCCCTTTGTGGTACAGGGAGGGGGCTATAACACAAGCGGATCCTCTTCCACCTATGGGGGAATTGCTATCAGCATGTCTAAAATGTCCAAGATTATAGTTGACCAAGCATCAAAAACCATTGCTGTTCAAGGTGGCGCAACATGGCAAGATGTGGACAGGGTTGCTGATACCTTTGGACTTGCTGTTGTTGGGTGCACTATGAACAAAACCAGTGTTGGCGGTACGACCTTGGGAGGAGGGTATGGCTGGCTCACTGGAAGCTACGGGTTAATCATAGATAACCTGCTTAGTGTTAAAATGGTATTAGCCGACGGACGCGTGGTTACGGCGTCCACCACGGACAACACAGACCTGTTTTGGGCTGTTCGAGGTGCTGGGCAGAACTTTGGTGTGGCCACGGAGTTCGTCTTCAAGGCTTATCCACAAAAGAATCCGGTGTTTGGAGGACTACTCTACTTCACTGCCGACAGGCTAGCTAAGATTCTTGACTTTGCGAATCATTTCGAAGAGCGCGCAACCGGACACGAGGGCTTATTCTTCGGTTTCACTGCTCCGCCACTTATGCAAGCCACCGTCATCTTCGCAGTAGTCTTTTATAATGGCCCTCGCCCAGAGGCGGAAAGATTTTTCGCGCCGATCCTGTCGCAAGGGCCGGTATTGAATGACACCAGAATGATGCCGTATCCCGAAATCAACATGATGATGAACAAAGCTGCCGAATTTGGAGGACGCAAAAGGCTTGGTGGAACCAGTGTCACTCTTCCGCTGGATGTGAAATATATGGAAGAGTTATACAGGGATTTCGACAACATTATGAAGACGTTCCCTCTCGCTAGCGAGAGCATCGTCGTGTTCGAGTTGCTGCCCTATACCGAGCTCATCAAAGTACCTAATGATGCCACCGCTTTCGCGAATCGAGGCAGGTATTATAACGCAGGGTTGATTTTATGCTGGCATAATCCTGAACTGGATCCCAAGATGCGATCTTTGCACCAGGATATGGTGCAGAAAATTGGCGAGCGTGCGGGCATTGCTAAGAGCCCGGAGGCTAACCAAGGCGTTGGCGTATACGCGAACTATGCTGGTAAGTATCGCGCTGCAGAATAGCATCCCAGCAACCTCTTCGCCTTATTCGGTATATATTCATAAAGCTTACTATTTACTGTATAGGGCATGAGGCGAACGCTAGAGAGCTCTTCGGCGATAACCTTGCACGGCTGCAGAAGCTGAAAATGCAATATGATCCAGACAATGTGTTCAGGAAGTGGCACGACATGTTCCTGCATACAGAAACATATTCGAAAAAGTCTTGATAGGTAAATTCTAGTGGCTCGAGTACACATACAGAACTGGTTGTTGTGGGTTTACAAAACCATCATTTACTCCAAGCATCTCACGTTGCTCAACTAGGCTAACTTGCTTTACAGTATTGGAAGACGCTCAAGCCTGCAATTATTCTCCTAGGAGATAGAATTCAATCACGATGGTACTATGCATAGCTGACACCGATTTAATTTGGTAATCGTGGCTCTGTAGGTCGTGCAGATCTAGTATTCTATTTGAATTTCTTAGTGAGATTTCGTTTTTAGGCCTGCGGTAAACTGCAAGAGTTATGCCCACAGATGTATAAAAATCTGAAGGAAAGCAAGCTCAAGATTATAACCCGGTATAGTATAAATATAAAGCAATAATAGCACAGTACAGTGAAGTATGATCATTAAACCATATAACAAACCCCAACTTGTAGTTACTAAGAAAGATTCGTAAACACGAGGAGTCAACCCTGTTCAATTCGCCGTCTGTCTGAAGTCTTCGAAATTAAACAAAACGGCATTGAGCATAAATCCCCTTAAATTGTCGAATACTGGTTAGCACTTAGACGCTCGCCTGTTAGTCCAACCACGAATACTGTCCGAAAGAATCGACTTTTAGCTTCGAGGCTCTCCGAACAAGCTGTGATGCGTATTGGACTTATGTTGTCACGCAATGCCATGGCTGTCCCAGTGGTATCAATATTGGGAAAGACTATTTTAGGGTTCGTGCCGTTTCTCAGCCATTCGGTTGCTGTCAATTGCAGCAATTGATCTTGGCTTGACTGTTCCGGGCAGTTGCCATTTGTGTAGGGGGATTTGTGGCATGGCAACCGGTCTTACGACACGAATTTAAATCTTTTGAGTAAGTTTTCATTGGAAGGAGAGCTCGACGTACGTTTCTAGGAGCTTGAGGCATACATCTGAAAATCTGGAATGAGTGACCACGTCCCCTGCCACTCTGATGATAGCCTGGGCGGGCCGACCAGCGTAAATATATTGTTTTAGGACGACTGCACTCTTGTTAGGTTCTACCCTGCGGCTTTCAATTTCACCGCATAACTGCAAGCTCAGATAGACTACCCTGTCTTTAGTTGAATTTGTTTTTTTAGCCCATTGAAGGGTCACAGTACTCTCTAACAGTCGCCGTTCTAGTCTTACAATTCCCATAGTTTACGATCAGTGTTCTGGATGTCATGTCGCTAATAACAGGTGACATCCCCACTAGTAGTAATCTAAAGGATTTAAAAGAGGTTATAGATATTCTATAGCAAACGATTAGGGACGTCATCATATTATATCGGAAATATTTCCCAGACTTCCATGTTGGTCGGATCTACTTGCTACGACACAAAGAGTAAGAAAGCTCAATTTGTAGCGCCTTAGTGAACCTAATGGCTGAATCAAACACTACATATGTGTACCAACGTCTGCCTCTCTCACACACACATACACACACAGTCATTTAGACTGTTGTGTACGCTATCGCTGACCCCGACCCTAACCAAGTTACTCCTTCGTGGGCCGTCCTTGTTCTTCTACTTGCGAGTTCCTTGTCGCTGCGGCTTCTGCTGTAAGTTTGAGAGCCGCGGGAGCATCATCTTTTGACATGTAGAGCTCCATGAGCTGCGAGAGTGAGTAGGTTTAATACTAAACGCTTGATTGAGCTGTGCTATGCCTACCTGAAAATGAGGGGCAAAGGAGAATTGTGAGTAGTTAAGTAACGAGGTAAGTTCATTTCTGGTTGAAACTTGGTAGGTGCTATAGTGGTGTTGATACTTCGCCCCAAACGCCTGGACTAGGACGGCATGCTGCCATGGATGGATATCATTATATCCATTCTCCCACCCGTGAATGAATCGTCCAATAGTGTACCCATCATTGCAAATCACGACTCTAGCTCCCATTAGCGAAGTAAACGTATATAATCTTGGGAATTCGCGCTGACATGATAGGGTTTATATTTAGGCGTATTATGGTGCTGCCGTCTCCCACAAAAAGAATTACCCGCTGATCTCCAGTATCTCTGGCTGCCAATGCAGCTCCCAGGCATGCGCCTATGGAATAGCCGTAATACCCTTCGAAAATCTGGTTTCTTAGATCCCAAAGTTCGCAGTGCCTGTTTCAGTGAGGAGAATGTCTCCCTCCTGTAGCCAACTACCAAGTTCGGCCACAGTCATGAATGCATAATGGGGCCATTCGGCGACTCAACGTGCTGCTACCCACCCATTCTGCTGCTGAAAGACTTGGGCTCAGAGCGCATATTTAATTCACCCACCCTCTGTACGACCCTTTGTAGAACACCTTTCTTTCTCATTTGAGGGCATTGTGAATACCTCACTTGAACATGGTTGTTTGGTTGTATCCGAGAACCTGTTGTATTGAAGTCTGATTTCAGGGGCCCGATGCTCAAGGTCAAGTATACATTTCTACCCTCTCGGAAACGCCCGCATCGAAACCGCTGCCGGCATGTACAGCTCCAAAATTGGGTAGTGCCTCATCCATCGCGCCTTTGCCCATGGGGCGCAACGAATGTTGGCAATTCACTTCCTGAATTAACTCATGAACTACATCAAGAGCACTGTGACGGATTGCACCTGCACCAACCAGAATAACGGGATTTTTCGCCGCATGGACGTATTTCAGCACAACATCAACGACGTATTCCTCCTTCTCTGCTTCATTTGGGGGTCCATTCAGCTCAATTGGAAAGACGCTCCCCTTCAACCCTTTGCTGTACCATGTCGGTGGGTAAAGCGATGTACACAGGCCGGCTCTGGATCCAGCATTCACGTAGTGCATGGTCAATTAGTGTTGGGGCATCATGGGGGTCCGTGATCTTAGCTGTAGCTATGGCTAGGTTCGCGCTAATGTTGACCAAATCATCATAGTCACTATTCCCCAAAGTACGGAGGAGTAGCATCCCATCCCCCTGTGACGTAGCGCTTGGCTGGCTGACAAATGTGTACAGCTGGGACATGTTCTGAGTATGCCCCAGCAATAGCGTTCAGCGCCGAGAGTTCGCCCACACCAAATGTTGTAACCATCGCCGAAATTCCCTTGATCCGAGAATATGCATCGGCGGGATACTGTGTTATAATACAGGTGAACTGCGATTACATCGTGGATCGAAAGCAAAAGACCTACCTGCGTTTAATTCATTGCAGTTTCCAACCCTTTCAAGCCCAACTTTGGGGATATAGTCCGATCCCGTTAGGTTATACACTTGTGGTCTTTATCAGCATGATGTGGGAAAGTAAATGGGGTACAGAAGTGCCAGGCACTTCCTTGTATCGTTCGCACACCAGTTGATGCAATCGTGTAAACAAATGTTCTACAATATCTTTAGGGCGTTTCAATGCAGAAGTGCGAATATCAGACGCAATATCTAATGAAAATTCTTCGACAACTTCACCGTTCCACCAGCAATCGACCCCGAAAGGTGTACCGTACCAACGTTGCCAGGTATTGGCACGAATGATTGAAGGTGGTATATAACACTAATACTATTAGTACAGTTCCAAGAACGGTTCAAAGGAAAGAAGCGAAGTAGGAGGTTACGAAGATGATTGTTTGTGACAGGAAACGTTAGGCGGTTTGCGAGTCAGGTGAGTTGGGAACTGTTAACCCTTCTGGATCTATCATATGAGCCCTCAGAGTGGATCCAAATCCTGTCAGAACGCGCGCACCCAAGAATGGCCTGTCAAAACCCAAATACTTGGTTGTCGAAGTATAATAATGAGGTCAGCGGTCTAATATTTTGTTCGTGGGTGACTAGGTATATTCTGAAATACAAAGTTTAAATTGCTACAATCTAGTACGAGGTGGTCTGATACCACATCCGCCGAACTTACCGCGGAAAGGAGTGTGATTGATATATGACGATATTATTCAAACCTCCTATATGGGGCTATTGATGATCGCCTTGCTTTTCCCTGTGAGCTATATACCAAGCCTTTACACTGGTGATGGCGTCTTCAAATAACAACCCTCGTGTGGCAATTGTAGGCGTTGGCCAGGTCGGCGCCGCTGCCGCGTACGCGCTCATCCTAGGCCGTATCGCAAAGGAGTTGCTTCTGGTCGATGTTAACGCAGAGTTGAGAGATGCTCAGGTACAAGACCTCTTAGATGTGGCCTACAACAGCAACAGTGGCATAGGTGTGCGAGCAGCCACCTACCAAGACGTAGGTCAATGTGACATTGTGGTCATTACAGCTGGATCGAAGTCTTCTAGAGGTCAGTTGCTCCGGTTTGGAAAGCAATGACACTTACTGTGTTTAAAGGATAATTCTCATATCGTTATTAGGTGAAACCCCTGTCCAGCATATGTACAACAAGATTTCGATCATAAAGAGCATTGTCAATGAAGCAAGACCATTTAGATCAGATGCGATCATTCTCATTGCGGCTAACCCAGTAGACCTGCTCACATCCATCACTCAGGAGCTGTCTGGGCTCCCAGAATGTCAAGTTTTGGGCACGGGCACCTCCCTTGATTCGGTCCGACTTCGTGGCCTACTGGCAGAAACGACTGGGGTCCGTATAGAACCCCGCCTGCATCCTATGATCTTTACTGTGCTTACTAACCAATTCCCAGGTGGCAATTAGTTCGATCAGCGCTTATATCTTGGGTGTACACGGAGCCTCTCAGGCAGTCGCATGGTCCCATGTGACCATTGGTGGTATTCCCATCGAAGAATGGTGCCCCCAGAACACTATTAGCCACGCCGATGTTGCGAACGAATGCAAACGTAAATCACAGGTTATTGTACGAGCCAAGGGGGCAACACCGTTTGGAATTGGTTCCATAATCTCTAGCATTTGCTATTCTATCCTTTTGGATAAGCGCGATGTTTGGTCTGTAAGCCATTACCAGTCAGAATACGGCTGCTGTTTCAGCCTGCCTGTAGTCCTCGGTAGGGGCGGCGTCATAAAGTCTACTGATATACACTTGGATAGTGGAGAAGAGGGTGATATTGCCCAGGCAGTGCAGACATTGAAAGCTCTAATCGAGCGACTCAAACATGATTAGCGGGCGCGAACTGAACCCCAGGACGCCCGTGGATATATATATTTGCGCGACTGACGTGCCGGAGAGGGACATGAATTGTATATACTAATAGGAGTGAGTGGAGGACTGACCTAAAACTTACCTTTTCCTACTTGACTTGGCTCGCATTATGGTAAACAAACTTTGATGACAATCGAATGCTGTTCCTGAGAATAACTACTAGTAATGTATCTCTGTCATATCATCAATACAAAGTAGAGATAGAAACAGTGACAACAGCACGGATTACTTACTACATGAAATGCTTAACTCTGAATCATGTTCGCTTGCCCGCAATGACGTGTTTCTTAACTGCAAAGAAACTGTCGGGACTAACGGACATCGAATCGATTCCTGCGTTCACAAGGAACCGCGCAAATTCGGGATGATTGCTCGGCGCCTGGCCACATATGCCAATTTTGCAACCTTTCTGGCGGGCCACCTGAATAACCTCTTCTAGCATCCACTTGACTGCCCTGTCCTGTTCATTGAAAAGGTCGGCGAGATCCTCAGAATCACGATCAACACCGAGTGTGAGCTGGGTTAGGTCATTGGAGCCGATGGAAAAGCCGTCGAAGAATTCTGTAAATTCGGCGGCTAGTATGACATTGGACGGTATCTTGCACATAACGTAGACCTGAAGCCCGCTCACCCCCCGTCTAAGCCTATTCTCTACCCTGGTAGGTAACACCTTCTTCGCCTCATTGATTGTCCGACAAAACAGAATCATCACGATGGCGTTGGTGAAGCCCATCTTCTCCCGCTTGATCGCATGGCCCTCTAGAGCGAAGCCATCCTTGTAGCGGGCTGAGTAGTAGCGGGAGGCACCACGGAAGCCAAGCATTGGATTTTCCTCGTCTGGCTCGAATTCGCGGCCGCCAACGAGACGCGCATACTCATTTGCCTTGAAGTCACTCATGCGGATGATGGCGGGCTTGGGGTAAACCGCGGCACAGAGGAATGACAAGAGCGAACTTACCACCTAGTGTCGACTCCAAAAAATCTGACAAAAGCGTGTCTTGCGTGCGCATCCGGCTTTCCTTGGCATGTCATACTAAAAATGGCGATCCTGGCTTTTCTCTCCCTGAGATCATCGCCAATCCTAGAGTCATGTCCCATGTCTCAGAGCTCACAGTCTTCTCATAATCCCCCACATCTACTAGACGTACGCGGGGGCCTTCTGTCAACCTTAACCATCCCGTCAGGATAAATGTGGTTGTGAAGCACGTGTCCGGCACCGAAAGGTCTATGTCATGTTAGAATAACGCCGTGTGAGGGATAGTCTCAATTGCGGCTCGCCGTAAGCATTTTTGCGCCATTGAATCGGCCTGCTCATCCAACTCCTTTTCCTCCCAACCTGTAAATGTAGCCAATTCCCCCAACTCATCCTGTTAGCTGCTGTGGTTCTTGTTCTCTAGTACCAAAGGCACGGTATCAAGGTCTCCCCAGAGACGTGAACAAAGTGATGGACACTTCTTGACAACGGCCTCTGGTAAGGGAACAGCAATGATCTTTTCTTAATACCTCCGCTATAGTGTCGTAGGTGAGATATAAACTCCTCAGTTGCATAACAAGGGATGTAAGGACCATGAGAGGCGAAGCGATACGTGAAGTAGTAACTAACTGCGCGGCATTGCGAATTGTAACGATAACTTCACTCCCCGAACTATGAACAGCAAGATCTGACATTCCAGCATAAACGACCTGGAAGCCATGTCAGTGTTTCCGGGTAATAGTTAAGCAGTGGGGCGGCATACGTGTGATGGTTGTCCACACCAAGACTTTTCCTTCAGTCAGATTCTGAGGTATCCGACAATCGTTTTTCGTGCTTTGAAACATCTTGATTTACCGAATTTTCCATTATGGTTTGTGGTTGAAACCGGATTTAGTATAACGATAATAGTAGCGAGCGGCTAATCATCCAATCCTTGAGCTCTTTCAAACGTGTACATGCCTTAGGGTAGTGTTAACTTCCCATATTACCAATGGGGACGGGTGTTTATATACTGCCTGCACTCCCGCAGGGTTCAAAGAAGACCCAGCATCTGAGAATAAAATGTCTCTCGTCATACTGAAAAAGACGTGGCGGCATATTCTAGGTGCGGATGACTCCACCTGATTCTAGAGCACGTTGTAACGCCTCGAGAAGAGCTTATCGGGAATATCACTACATTACGGTACAATGCAAAAATACGAGTACAGCTGAACAGAATCGCAGACTTATCGAAGTAGAGCTCTTGGTCAAAGCTTAGAAAATGGCATGATATTGGATGTACGTTCTATAGAACTGTGATGCTCCTGTACCTTGGGCGAATGTAGTCTATCAAGAAACACAGTTGATCATGTGAATACTTTCGATATTTGAGCTATGCGTTTGCCTACAGTACGATGTCGGAAACTAGAGCAATATCGTCTTCGGACAGGTAGCCGACCCATGTCTTTAGTCAAAAGAAGCAATTGGATTAGGGGGAAACCTCTTAACTAGCGGAGAGAGGGAGTCTGAAAAGTAACTAACTACATGGCATACACCTTAAGTCCATAAATTAGATCCTCTAACCGAGGCTTGGTCGATCTAGCAAGAAAACGAAGGGATATGGGGTTGATGCCGATATGCCAGTTTTGCCAGGCGCTGATTCTTATACGTTGGCAGCACATTCTCACAGGTACCTTTATTGATTTGGACCTCTTCTGGTAAACCTCTCTCTTGGGTGTGGTGCATATTGTCGACAATTGGGCAACTATTGCCCGGTATGTCTTGCCGTTACACTCTCTGCGCAGACATGTGCGATGTCGATGCGAATGTATCATCGAAGTAAATTTGATAGTCGTGCGCTTTATTGTTCCTCTAAACAAGCAATCGTAAGATCCTCTTAGATGCAACTACAGTGCGCCTTGGCCAACCTCCTCGAGAGCCTCAGCCACAGAGGGACGTTGCAGGGTTCGATTGTGCCAGGCTTCCAAGGCCGGAAATTGTTTGATATCAATGCCAGCATGTTTAGCTCCGGTAATGTAAGGGATGTGGACAATGTCTGCAACAGAACTAAGAGCTCAGATGTAAGACAACAACTCATATAGGCGTCCGGCCTAGCACGCATTGAGTGGTACTTTGTACTTACAATTTATCATCCACAATATATGGCTTCTGTGAGACTTGCAGATGCTTCTCTAGCACCATATACAGCTGAAGCGTTTGGTCCACAAATCGCGAAATCCCGTATGGTATTTGTTCGGGGGCTCTCAAGGAGAAATGGACCGCTTCGTCATGATTCGGCCCTAGTCGTGATGCCAAAAAAAACAGCCAACTACTGAGTTCCAAACCTTCCGGAGATCCAGTTGGGAAGGACACACGGTGCTCTCTATCATACCTCTCAACCAGATACAGGATTATTGCTCCTGATTCCTGCAGTCTGAACCAGTGGTCACCATCCTCTTGTATGTCGGTAAGCATAGGAAGCTGCCCGTGTATGTCAACGAAGCGGAATGCTTCATCCGTAATCTCTTCCGCGTGTTCCACAACATTTAGTTGGCATTGCAACCTTTACGGGGTCAGAACAAGTTCAAATAAATAAATGCACACATATGCTGCCCGGATCTAGCCTACCCTAACTCCTTGAGTAAAATTAAAATCTCCATACCGTTTTTGGAACCCTTTTTGACAAAAAGGGATACCACTGGCTGGGAAGGTCTATGGCTCTCCAATTTTTGGACTGGCATTGTGGGAATGAACTACCCACATGTACGGGCCGGAGTGTTGAGAAATGAATAATATGGGTGAAACTTCATGGTATGCTGAATATTATTCTTACTTATCTTTTATTTTTTGCTCTCTCTCACTGGGCCTTTTTTGGGTGTATATCCGGAAGACGTCATGCAAAGTTAATTGAAGGAGGGTCAGCCATATGGGTATCCGGATGTGCCATATCATACGTCTTCTGGTAGTCGTATGATGGAGATAACTCTTTGTCTCCTGCTTCAACAGGAATATGTAACTAGTTCACACCATAGTGATGTATGCAGCATTGTCTTTGTCCAATTGCCATACACTTGTGATGGCGACACAGGTTATAAAAATCCCAGATAGTGGGTTGTAGGGTTGCGGGGATGCTTTAACATCTTTGGTGAGATTGGAAAAAGGCAAAAAAAAAAGAAAAAAAAAGAAAATGCGACGTGGTTTGCTTTCATATTAAGGCAAGGAAAATAGCACCGGCAGCGGATTAAATTATAGAATGAACAGTAAGTAGGGGACACATCTTGCGCAGGCTACTTATGGGGTCTTTGGTGATCTTGCCATGGTCGCAAATATTTATAGTGAACTGTTTACGCACATCAAGCTCTTGCTCATGCGAATCCTAATGAATTTCTTCTCTCCTTGTCGTATGGTGATGGGGAGGATGACACTTGAGAATACAAAGATAAACGCTTCGCCTGAGTATAAGCTTTACTGTCGCCCGTCGCCCCGCTCTTATTATATACCTTCAGGTCTTCGTGCTGTTAGGAGAAGACTCAATATATTGACTATACGAGCCATACTGAAAGTTGTATATCTGTGGTTAGACCGAATATGTGCTCTACGCATTGGAGTGCGGGGCTGATAGAGTAAAGCGATGTAAGATGAGGTGGAAGACGGGGACCACGAGATGTATAGGACATCATATTGGAAAGAAGAATTTGTCCAATAGCGGTCTGCACAATTATAGAGACATCTAGATGGTGTCGCATCTGGGCCCCTGTCTATTGGGTTTGTCTGAGGAAGGAAGATGGAGTGTGGCATTATGTCTCGGACAATGTGTGAGGGAGCAGTATGACAGATGGGTCCTCCAACCATAATGTTAATCTGCGGTCTAGACTATCGTAGTCCCTCATCTAGTGTCATCTTCCCGAAGTATGGCTGCAGTGCATAATCATGGAAGGGGTATTTAGGGACCGCTATGTCCAAGAAGAGGGACAGTGAGGTAACAAACTAATTCTACAATTATTTTTCAGCCTTCTAAGAACTTGTCTTTAACACTATGTCAATGGCTTTCAAACGAGATCCGTAGAATGTCCAAGCATGGCTGGTCGGCAATGGAATCGCTTCCCTACCCGCCGCTTTTCACTCAATAAGGGAGGGCAAGGTTTCTGGCTCGAATATCCATATTCTCGATCTTCACCCCGGTTTTGAAGGAGAAATGTCCACACTGGGTGATGCAGTAAAAGGTTACTTTCTACCCTACCAATGTCTCCCTCATTCCATGGCGAGTGTACCAAGGATCTTTTGTCCCTTGTGCCAGCAGCGAAGACCCAAAGAGGTCTTTATTGGGTGACATCCACGATTTTGAAAGACTGCAACAATCACACTCACAAGAACACCCTACATACGCCAACCCCAGGGTAATAAGTCTAGAGGCATCGGGTCCTGTCTCCATGAAAACAAGAGGGTTTCAGGTGGGACTAAAGCATCAGATGGAGCTGATAAAGGTCGTCATGGAGAGCGAGAGATTACTAGGGTCTGCAACTACCCAGACTGTTCGAAATCTTCGGACGAATCGAATTGAATCCGACCCTTTGTTTTCTGACTTCAAACCTAAGGACAGGTCGATTAGTCAGAAATCGCGGACATCGAATATGTTCTTCATACTATAAGGAGATCTTATCAAATCCGAGGATGGAATCGTGGTTCTTAGGAGGTATGAACCTGATAAGTCAGATGCAAAACAGCAATTGTATATATATATATATATGACAAAGGAAACTGTGCATATGCCGCCTTCCCTATGTCAGACGTACTCCATCCTTTTTCCAGTCTCAATAGGGCCCGAATAGTTTTGCTCTTCATGCAGAAACGCAGAATCCCCAATATCTTCCACCGTCGAATAATCTCTCAATATCGACTTCTGCTGCTAGTATAGCAAGGTGCCCTTGTGATACCTTGGTCGTGCATAAAAACTCAAGTCTGCTATCCTTCCATCAAGTTCAACATGGTCTGGCTCCGGTTTATCAAAGCCAATGTTGATTGTAGGTGTGTCAAAATACTGGTTCATATTAACTCATGTGCAATACACTGGATAGACTGAAAGAGCTCCAGAAATCGACATTCAAAGTTCTTATAATTTGTGTGTAGAGCAGCTATAGATTATTTTTGAATGGCATATATCTTCAAGAATACTCTATCCGGGTAATCATGTCTAGAGCTAGGAGCGTCTTGAACCACTTGAGTTTGATTCGAGGACCCAGAACGCTTGCAATATAGTATATATCATTGCTTTTAATACGTTCATGGCGCCATTCTGGGAGTGAGACCCCACCTGGAACATTAACAATTAACGCTGGTAAGATTTTATGCCAATCACATTGTCGTTCCTTATAGCAAAAAGTATATAATAAAGTACTCGAACATATGCACTACTAGATGAATTGAAGAACTATCTCGAGTGACATATTCCGTATGTTCATGGGAAGGAGCCGGAACATTCGTAATAGCAGAGAGTTGTCTCCGGTCGTCAGATGTAAAAACGCAAGGCTTCAATCTCTGGCCCATCGCGCACTGTATCTTCGAGTTACTGGCTATAATATTCAGGGCACTAGCACGATCCCGCTGCTTGCATATGATAATGTGTAAATTCTTTTTACATTGACCGTCTCTATAACAAAAGGTACAGAGTACTGAATGCCGATAGGGGAAGGTAAGCCAACGCCACTGAGCCGAGGTGATCACCAGACCTACAAACTTCAAAGAGTCGCTCTGCTCTCACAGCTGAAAGCTAGAGGAAATTCGCAATGTGTAGGCATCAGGAAAAGTCGTAAGGAAGTTCACATTGACACACAACGATATCGTGTCACCATGAGCGCGACTCCAGCTGGAAAACGGCTGCTTCTCTTCCTGGCTCATTACGGTGCAGTTGGATCAAGAATAGGGACTAATGGGGCTTGTGTCTCTTACCAGTATGAAAAAAGAAACTGGGCAACATGACGCAGAGGGTACTAAAACTCCCATTAAAACGTGGTAAGTCAATCGTTGGGTTACATTAGACACAGTAAGTCGAGACCCTTAAGGTCAGCCGGCATTGAAATAATCTAGGTTTAAAAGTAGACATAAGTTAGCCAACAACTTTTGCAGAGCGGGCTTATTATTACCCTGGTGGTGATAGCCCTCTGCAGTCTTCTGCAAGGGATAAGGACACACCCCACCCTGGCCATGAAACGCTACCAGTAGGCTCCAAGGGAATGGGAATGTGGCGAACTTACTCTCATGCTCCCCTCATTTAAAATGAACGGTATGACAGACATAGAGTCTGGTAGTGGGAAATTTTACTTGGCTAGACAAGGGTACTAGCGAATGGGCAGGCAAAATAGGCTCTGGGTATGACTATAGGGAGGCTAAAATCTCACTAAACATTGCAATTTCCAGGTTTCGGTGCATGTTATGGGCAGCAGTAGTACGCAATAATGTTCAAACATAGAAGCTGAGTCGGGTAGTAAGTGGCCACGTTATGCAAGATGAGATGCCATGCTACTTTAAGTATGATCATTTTGGTGTCTAGGCAGTACCATTACAAGTAGCATGACGCGGCTTCTTGAAGAGTTTTTCTCCTTGCTCCGTTACAATTATTCAAAAGCCTCGAATGGGATAGCACTGGATGGGCTTTTAATTGACCTGGGGTAAAGGGAGATGTAATAAAAGGTCAGTTGGGGATAGAGCCCTGTGGTTCTCCTTGCAGGAAGAACCAGCAGTCAAGATCTTTGCCACTGAACCTATTGACTCGGAGTTTTGATATTATCCAGAGGAAGGGTCAGTTGACAAAATAGTTTGAGAGAGCGACACTGTTCTAGACTGAACCAGGCAGGTGCATTGTGTTATCCTCTTCAGAAAGTCTCATTGGCGAGACACAGAAGATCAATCACGTTGCCAATTCTAGGTTTTGTTTCTAATATGCACATACTCAGAGAAACTAGAAGGATGACTAGTATACCAAGCAGCCAGCTTACAAGCCATGACCCAAACCGAACAAGTACATGGACGAGGGAGCTATATAAACCTCCATTTACCCCTATCTTTCTACCATCTATTTCTCATCACAAGGAACTACCTGTGTCTCATTCTTCAATAGGAATATTGCACTCCATTGCTCTTTCGACTCATAAAGCACTCATATCTGCCACAATGAAGTTCCTGCATACCATTGCCCTTATTGCTACCATCACCGTTGCCGGCGCTACGCCAACTGGTAGTACTCCATCCCAATGCACTCCAGCGCAAGCTAATAAATGCTGCACTGGTTTGACTGACGGCATTCTGAATCTGAACGTTCTTCCCGCGCTTTGTCTCCGTAAGGAATCACCCTGCTTGTGCACTGTGTGCCTTCACTAATAGCATATCAGCTCTCGTTGCAAGTTGCAACAACCAGGCAGCCTGCTGCGAGACAAATGGAGTTGTAAGTAACTGGGCTGCGAATTCTTAGTGCCAAATGCTCATGAAGTCATCGCAGGGACTTTTGAACTGCCTCACTGTCCAAGTCTAGTCTGTCAGACGCTTGGATACGCGCAGATGTATCCATTTAGATAAGGCTACCGGGATAGGGCTCGCACTGAAGGGATTGAAATTTTTTTCCTTTTTTGCTTTGGAGGAAATTATGAACACGATGTATAGTTTGTGTGGACACACTCATTTAGCACGGGGATAAGCCCAACCCACAATTCAATGCATAAGTGAATATTAGCTGTATTCTACGAGTAAAAGTCCTAGAAAATTAAGCAAAGTTGCCCTAACTTTCCGTATGTAAGTCCGACAGCACTTGAAATTTGTAAATCTTTGTCATACGTGTACTGAGGTAAATATCTATACCGCTCCTTTTATTGCTTAACCAATCAAAACGATCTGTATCTCACATGGATATTAGTTTTGCTGAGTGTATTCATGACACAAACAATGTTGCCATACGGCATTAGGATGGTTATATAATACTACAAGTCACCCTATAAATTACCTTTCTCCACAATTCGACTTATTTGAGCATGCAAGTTGACAGAACTGAGGTTGCAAACACAGACTCAAGCTCCCTATATTGTGGGACCTAAATCAGAGCCTTGAAAAAGAAAGATGACAATAATCAGAGAGAACGTACAGCAGTAGGTCTCCTTAAATTGGGAGACAAAGTGAACGATGTTCTCCAGATATTAACCTGCTGTCAAAAATGCTATAGCCTAAGTTCATGCGAATATTTACATTCATAGTATACAGCAAATATGCCGAATCGGATAGACATAGTATATTGAAGAAATGTATATCCCGTACGTACTCATCAAGATAGATATCTGATGAACCAACGAGTTTGTCCATCAAAAGGGAAAGCGTTTTATTCCCCAAATACGTATCCTTTGCTAAGCTATACCACGTATACATGATATCCAGAAGGCATCTCTCGTCCACATCCCCCCTTTGATCGTCGCTAGGAGTAATCTCCTTTTTACTTCCCAGAACTGCCAGTCCCATCTTATACGATCGCCATGGATCCCAGAAAGAAATCCCAAGTCGTCTGAAGACTCGAAAGTCGTATCGAAGGAGACGATCCTCAGGACTCACAAAGTCTTGGTCACGAGCCTAAAGAATAGTTGGAATTCCCCTCCCCTTGGACGTTGTGTAGGATAGGGCTCTCTTCCGAAAATTGTCCATGTCGTTTCTAGTGTCGTGCAAACTGATGTCATTCGGTAGAGTCCGACAGGATCTGATGGCCAAGTTATCCGGTGAAGGGAGCTCAATTAGCCATGGGTGGTGAGAGCTGAGTTGGACAGGGGACGAGTGTGAGAGTTCAGTCATACACTGTGTAATGGCAAGATGCTCATCTGCATACCAACTTATCTGGTTGGGATACTTGATAAATGCGAGTTAAAATACCCATAGAGCACGATGAAGCCAGAACTGCTCGACAAAGAATGGATGATGGGTGGCTTCAGGCGGAAAAACCACTGCTAGGGACTCTGGGTTATTGAAACAAAGCCAGTCATGCATCTCGCCCTCGCTAACAGTAGGGAGGGCGGGCTGGTTTGGCTTCCTTGATACTGTCGGTGAATGTATCATAACAGGCACAAGCGAGGCGATGGACTTTGACTGCCGATATTATAGCTTGCCGTATTTAGGAGCTTGCTGAGTCTAGTGATTGAAATAAGGACCAAATAGCGGGTGGTATTTGTCTCCAGTGTGTCTATCAGGCAAATGTGTAGGGTGCCTGATCAATGGACGCGGATTCCAACACTACCGCTAATCGAAACTTACGCCCATTAAACCCTAATGTCATAGAGCAAGAGGCCAGGACTGCCTCAGTAATCGTGATATAGAAAGTGTTGAAAAACTCATCTGCCTTTGGGGAGATCTGTAGTAGACTGTTCAGGCTAGTAAAGTCATAGAAGGACTCAAGAACCTGAATGACATTCCCAGAAGAAAGACGGTGGAAAGGATCCGCTATGTTGTCTATGGGCTTTCATAAAAAAAAATAAGGAGAAAGAAAACAGCAAAACGGTGGATGGCATAGCGAGTGGCCCGGAAGCAGCTTCCCCTGGAGTACTGCAGGGATTCAACACAATTTGGAGGCTTAGCGTACGGGAAATGGGAGACACAATTTAACTGTTGATTAAGAATATATAAACACGTTTACAAACTTAATGTTGAATTCATTGACCCACTTCTATACTATAGTCGAAAATACACACCCTTCTCTTCTGCCGACTCAGGGAGCCCTTGCCCTAGACCCTAAAACCGGTTCCTGAATAGTGAGGACCCACTCGGAGCGGACCGAGTCCGCCTCCTCTCATTCCCCTGATACTCTTTCAGTCACAGACGTGTTTCTTATGGACCGCTTCACGGAATTCCCACAATGCACTTAACTGCCGACATGGTTCTTCAGTATATCTCGGCGTCGGTATCGGCATCTGCAGGCCCTCATTTTACCGAACTGCTATGTCCAACTCCGGCGCAATCAACTGCTCCAAGAGTACTCTCACTCTCAGCCCCGACAGACGTGGATATATTCTAGCGGCTCTCGGAATGCAATCTACCATTCTAAGATCTGCCAATAAGAGAAGTAATTCGGGAAAATTCCGGGTGACTTTCCCCTGAGGCAATCTCTTTTCATTACTCATGTAGTTCACTGCCCCGGGGCAGGAAGACCAATGAATTCTGATGGTTTAGTGATCACTCCACCGCAACACGAACTATCGAGGATGGTGTTTCGCCTAGATGGCATCGGCGATTAAAGCGTCATTAGGGCATAATATCACTCAAACGGCCGTTGTCTATCAGTGAAACCGATGCCTCTATTAGCTTTGCTTGGCATGTCCACACCGTTGGACTTGGCCCACTCTGGTCCCGCCTCAAATTGCTTAACTTGCAACGGGCCAACGGCATTGCTTCGACATGAAAGAAGTAAGGCATGGATGTTGTGAACTTGATATTTCATGCGTGGTTTGGCTCAGACAGTTCCCACAATTTCAATTTGCCTGGTGCGTCAGTTTCGTTCCCCAACCGTCCTTCAATAATGTAGCTTTTATGGGTTGCCTGGCATGATTGTGGACATGCCGCGGGCTGGCTAGATTTATATGAATGACAGCAACTGCCCCGATGGATATCTTCGTTGCTTCTCATTCCCAACTATCTTTTTTCTTTTCAGTCATTCTTTTTGGCCGTCCCGCCGTCTCATTTTTTTTTTGGGCTGCTGCTGGGCCAGCTGACCCGTTCCCTTCATTACTGTCATTTTATACTATCATTCATTCCTCTTCGCGATCTACTTTTGTTTTCTTTCTGTGTTTTCGGTAAAATAAAAAGGCAATGAGGCCTTTTCTCTTCGGAGGCCTGATGGCCCTGAGCTCCACCCTAGGCGTGGCGGCCATGAACTATAACTCTTCCGCCTACAGTGATGCGGCTACCGGTATCGACTTCCAGAGATGGTGCGATGAAAAGACTGGCTTCTGTTTCGGTTTGGCTCTTCCTGAAACTGTTGATTCCGACTTCATCGGTCAGTTGGTCGTCCCCCTTTCATCATCCAACGGATGGGGTGGTGTCAGTCTTTCAAGCTCGATGACCAAGGCCCTTTTGATCGGGGCCTGGCCCAACGGGGATTCTGTTGTCTCCAGTCTGCGTGAAGCACAGTCCTACACCAACCCTGATGTCTACAGCGGAGATGCCAGCCTCGAACAAATCCCCGATGGGACTTCCATCAACAGCACGCACCTTACTTATACCTTCCTTTGCCGTGGTTGCGTCGTCGGAACGCCTACTACCTTCGGCAAAGATATGGACAGCTACTTCTTCGGCTGGGCACTCAGTAAGACCAGCCCTAAGTCCCCTGAGTCTTCTGATGCCACTCTGAACTACCACGCTGCCGGATTTGGTAGCTTCCAGATGGTCCTCGCCAACGCCAAGTCTGCCAAGTACTCTACCTGGGCCTCCAAGGCTAAGGCGTCGTCAACCGCCACTCCCTCCGCCTCCGCCTCTGCCAGCGCTAGCAGCACTCCCTCCGCTAGCGTTGCCCCCACCATCATGAACTCAACTTATGACTACATTGTCGTTGGGGGTGGTCCCGCTGGTATCATCACTGCCGAGCGTTTGGCAGAAACTAAAAAGAAGGTGTTGCTCCTTGAGCGTGGTGTCGCTCCTACAGTCCAGCTGGGTAACAAGAACGCTCTCTCATGGAATAACTCCCTCACACCGCATGATGTTCCTGCCCTGGGCAGCTCTCTTTCCAAGCTTGGACTCCTTGACGGCTACCTTTGCGATGACACTGCTGGTATGGCTGGTTGCGTTCTCGGTGGGGGTACTATTGTCAACGCTCTTGCCTTCATCTACCCCCAGGAGGCCGACTTCAACGACAAGTGGCCTACCGGCTGGAAATGGGATGATGTCAAGGAAGCCGCTTCCCGCTTGTATGATCGCAACCCTGGTAGTATCATCCCGTCCGCCGATGGCAAGCGTTATGACTACGGCATGTACGATGTCCTCGGAGGTTTCTTCAAGAGCCTCGGCTGGAAGTCTGTCAACCAGCATGAGCAGCCCAATGAGAAGCATCAGGCTTATGGCTACCCATCTTGGTCTGTTGCCAACGGTATCCGTGCTGGGCCTGTCCGTTCCTACCTTCCCCTGGCCCAGGAGCTCGACAACTTCAGCCTCCGCCTCCAGACCAAGGTCCGCCGTCTGGTACGTCGCGGTGGACGCATCACCGGTGTCGAGGTTGAGACCGAGTCTGGTGCCGTCGAGATCATCAACATCCGCGCTGGTGGCAAGGTTATCCTGTCTGCTGGTGCCATGTCTACACCTCGCATTTTGTTCAACTCAGGTATCGGACCTGCCAAGCAGATTGAGAACGTGAAGAGCGGATCTACTGGCATCGTTCTCCCTCCCCAGGCGGAGTGGATCAATCTGCCCGTTGGAGAGAATCTTAAGGACCACCCCATGTTCACCATCAGCGTCCACACCAAGAGCAACTTCACCGCCGTCAACACGTCCAGCATTGTATCTGGCCCGTCTGAAGACCTACAGAAGCTCTACTCTACAGCCTCTGGTGTTTTAGCCGAGGGTGGCCACCGCCTGCAGTTCTGGACCTCCAACGAAGGCAGTGATGGCAACACTCGCTTCTTCCAGGGATCCTGCAGCGTCGCCAGCGATGGTGTCATCACCATGAAGCTGTACATGACCCACGGTGCAACCTCTTCCGGTGTTCTTGGAATTGCAGGCTCTGGAGCCACGGTTATGGAGACCGACCCCTGGTTGCAGACAGATGCCGACAAGGACGCCGTGACCCGGTTCCTCCAGGGCCTACTGGACGACATGAAGAACTCGACTGCCGGATTCACTGTTCCTGACATCAGCACTGCTTCCGACATCATCACCAAGAAGACTAGCGGTGACCACTTCGTCGGAACTACTAAGATGGGCACGGACGATGGCCGCACTGGTGGTTCTTCTGTTGTCGACACCAATGCCAAGGTTTACGGTACCGAGAACTTGGTAAGCTTTTTCGGTCCCACTATATCTTAAACCTTTCTACTAACAGAAGATTAGTACGTTGTCGATGCCAGTATCCACCCTGATCTGCCCACCGGTAACACCCAGGCCATTGTCATGATTGCCGCCGAGGCCGCTGCAGCCAAGATCATCGCCGGTGGTGACTCCGTTCCTGCTTCCAGTGCGTCGGTGTCCGCTCCCGTCCAGAAGACCGCTTACTCCAGCGGTGCCGTCACTGAGGTGTCTGCTACTGCTACTGCCTCTTCTGCCGCCGCCGAGTCTACTACCTGTGACGAAACCTACACCAGCACCGTCACTCCCGCTGAGACTGACTCAGCCACCTCTTCTGCCACCACCACCAGAGCTGTCATCAGCTCCAACTCTGCGGCGGCCGCTGGCACTACCTCCGCTGCTGACGCCGCCTCGGTCACTGTGGTGACGGTTACCAAGCAGGTTGTGGTCACCAGTACCACTACCATCACTGTCCTGCCCACTTTCGCTTAGACGATGGGTAGCAAGCAGTATAGCTGTTGAGGGAGTCGTGCATTGTCATGCATATCTCTGCATTGACTCCCACTGTGATGTGGCTTAGTTCTCTTCTTATACATATTTTCGGTATAGAGTTTTGCAATAAAGCTTCCTCGTATATAAATCCGTACGTATTGTAGGACCTTCTGTTACATAAAGGCCTGTGGACAATGTGTACAGAAGTCTGGAGAGAACATTTAGTGAAATTCGCCCAACAAAGTGCAGAAGCAATAATAGAAGATAATTGGCCAAAAAATCAACTAAAAGTTATATATATGCCTTCTGCATGTTTGCTAAAAGCCAAAAAATGAAATGCAATGATCTAAATGGGATTCTTGATTGTTCAGACCCATTCCTGCCTCTTCACCAGCATCGCTTCTTTCAAGCCAGAGAAGCGTGCGGATTCAAGGAATAGTGATGCGCTGCCTTTGTCTAGCTTCGAACATACCGTGTTCCTTAATACAGGTCGGAATTATTCCTGCACGTTCATAATGAGTCTAGATGTGTTGTTGTCTTTATAAGAAGACAAAACACGCTTCTGGCGGACACCATCTCCAAGTATATCCCCTTCTTGGCTTTGACAGCATTGTGGATGAATTTAGCTGTTATTCTCATCATGTAGAGGTGTTTTTCTTCCTACAAAGATGGATAGAATAATATCAATTTTGAGATGCCGTTATATTTGTAACTCCCTTTGTTGCTCAGCGATGATACACCGTCTCATAACCTCCAGTGATATATAGATAGAGACTTCGAGAGTTATATGGTGCCTAAACCATTAGGTCGCCTGTCCTTGTACTGTATTATAAAATTTGGATGACTGCATCCCAAAGATGCCTTCAGAGCTAGTCAGAGAAATGGCCCAGATTGCACTGTTTCAGGAGCTCCTCTATGTAACCATAAATCATATATGCAGTATGCTAACAGTCGTTTTCTCTGCTCCAAGATATGTCCAAAGTTCCTTGTTTATTTTTGACCTCCGCAATTTCCCGCATAAATATAATTAAGATAAGTAGGATAGAGATAAAGTGCGATAGGATGGAATACTAGTTAGCCCATTCTGGCTACTTATGTCCAGCCCAATGTACCTCATCATCTTCCTGTGTCGCCTTTTCATATCGTCCAACATGGCAACTATTCTCCAAGCGACTACATTGCTTGCACCCGGTCCATCACTCGGACTCAGGCTACAGGCAGGGTCGAAATACTTCACATATTCGCGCTTCTCTATTCCTGATGCTTTGACATCGGGTTATCGAAGATTACCACCTAGTATGGGAATCCAACAGTGCTACATCGGTGATAATTCTGGATGCTTCACGGCATCACACACACTGTCATCTCATATTGGTGAGATGTCATAGAATAGGGCTTACATAATGGGAGTTTTGACTCACTGTAGCCTATTGATATAGCAGAGCAGGGTTAAGGTCGTGGACGAAACTTGTGGCCGTTTAGAAGCTACTGAGATCTGTTCACCTTGCTTCTCGGGCATGAGTCAAGCTTTGCCGATTCGAACTTTCCCGCAAATTCATGGCTGGGACGTGGAGAGTAGAGTTAGACTATTTATGAGTGGAGATCCAGTTAAGTTTGCATCTTGGATGTTTGGAATGCGTGAAGGAGGCTATATTTGCCTATTGCGAAGTGATAGGATTGTGATTACTGCACTACTAAATTCATCCTGCCCGATAATTCATGTAAAGAAGATAATGAAAAATGGAATAGGTCTAGGTCTTCTTTTCAAGTGAACGGTAAATGCCTAGTGAGGAATGAAAACAAATCGACAATTTTTGAGCTTTTATACCCTAGAATCCTTCATTGGACCAGATCATGCAAGGTTGGCGTATAACCGGCCGCGCTGAGGTCAGCTCACTGTCTCCCCCTTCTTCATTTCAATTTGGCGTTTAAGGCTGGCAAGGACAAGTACGGGATGAGATCAGAATAAACAGATTACTATCGTCTAAGGTGCCTAGTACGCAAAAAAGTTAGATCAAGAATAATCTTTAAGAAGCTTAAATTTCACTCCGAAAACCAAGGTATTCCAGCCCATATCCAAAGAGCAAACCAAATCCCCAAGCCTCAAGACAGGAAGAAACCAAACCCTTTCTAGTTCAATCATACATACACAAGCGAATCCAAACAAGAAGCCTAAGGCGTAAACCACTAAGCCACCAAACTCATATCAGACAGCCGTCGTCACCACATTAGCCGGCGTCTTAACCTCGCACAGCGCAACAGTATCAGAGGTAAGATCCGCATACGACAAACTCGAGGTCCCCTCCTCGTGGTTGCTCCACTTACTCCCTGACTTCTTATTCCCCGACACCTTCGCATCATGGAAGCTATTCGTCACCGGCGCAGGCTTCTCCTTCTTGGGCCGGAATGCGGGAACGCAGGCGGGGATACATGCGGCGATGATGCCGATGTTTACCTCTAGGATCGAAACGATGGCGATATTTGTTATGGCGTCTTGGTGGTGATTAATTAGTTAGTTAATGAATGAATAGTGAAGTGAGACAGAAACTACGGGTGAGGAAACGTACATGGCATATCCGGGGCAGTCAGCGACTCTGTGTAGACGTTTCGCAGAGCGTTTGAGATGGTGGCGATGAGACCCAGGCTAAGCAGGCCGCAGATTAGGGTTTTGCGGCCACGTTTGATCTTCACATCCCACAAGATGATGACAGGGGCTGATGTTAGGCAGAGGTCGACGACAATGGTGAAGCCGGAGTGGATGTAGGCTACGCCGTAGACGGATTTGGGGGGAAGGCAGATGCCGGGTGCTTCTGGAGTCCATAATTTGTATAATGGGATGCAGGCGACTGCGAGGATGACCACTGCGCCAATAGTGGCTAGTGTCATAAAGAACATAAGCCATGCTAAGGCCCAGCGGATAGCCCGGTTACTTCGGATTCGGAGGATGTAGAGGCTGATGGAGTACTTGGTTACCAGAGCGCAGATGACGTTGATCATCTGGTACATTGTGTTGATTTTGACCATTTGGAGCACGTCGCGCACAGGGTCTTTGAGGTAGATGACATGTCGGCCCATGCCTAGGTTACATTCGAGCTGGATAGTTACCAAGCCGGCCAGAAGGGCCATCTGTGCAGTATTTAGCTTCGTCGTGGCTGGGATGAGATGATATTGGAAAGGAGAATACCCATGCGATCACAATACATGTATCGTCCCATCCCCAGTTTTTGGTTAGATGAAGACGGACCCATGCGCGCAATGCCACAAGAGCTAGGGCAATTACCGCGAGGATGTAGTATTCTGCCAAAAGGCCGGCAGTTGAGCGATGGTCTGGTGGGAGTGGTATCTGTTGGTTGGGCGCAGAATCCATCCTGTCGTTGCTGCGTGGAAGACCCAAAAACGAAAGAGACAAATATATATAGACATTTCATGCAGAAAGGGCATCCACGTTCGAAGAGTCCAGGTAAGAAGCTAACTGTTAACAACGAAGTTCGATCTAATATCATTACATGCATGATGCACGAACCAGTATAACAAAGAAGCAGCAGGCCAACGTCACCCAAGTATGACCGTTGCATTCGAATTACGCCCAAATCGACACAAGTGTCTGTAACCCCAATTCTCATGTAATTATAACATGACGCCAATGGCAGCTAAGAATGGGGGACGAGTAGCTCTAGATCACTGGTGGGGTCGTTCACCTCGTGCGATCGAGTCTGTCCTACTTTTCCTTTGTTTCCCGTTTCTTTGCCTCGGACGCCCGAAGATTTTCATAAAAAACCCAAGCAATCGGCAGAGGCACCTTCAATAATCCTCGTACCCCCCCCCCCTTCATGCACGTACACTCCCCGTTGACTACTGTCGCACATCAGACAAAGCCGTTTTGGACTCATCGTGACATTTATATCTGCACTACCCCAGTTATGCGCCTCGAGTAACGAAGGCTGGCTAAAGTTGTGGAAATTGTTGATACTTAGGGAGATCCTTTTAACAGTAGGTTTTAAGAAGCTGAATATGCGTCGTTGAAAGGATCGAGTACGTTTTATGTCTACTAATCCGTAGTGATAAGTGTATGTTACCGAGGAAGGGCAGGGCTTACTGGTGGGTAATCGTGTCGAGTTCAATCTCTTCTACCAAGCCAACGATATTATAGCTGTCCCTTCCATACCAAGCAGTTAATAGCAAGGTGATGTTAGAGAGACTGGCCCCTGACCTCGATCATGAGTCAGGCAGTGTATCCCACAAATCTCTCTTCCGAGCGCATGGCCGTTGGTACTAAGCCCAAGGGAAGAAATCTGACTATTATTGGCTTCAGCATGGGTGTGCTCTATCAAAAAGCCTAGACAGGTAGATGGATAGATTGAACAGGTGAAAACTGCGCTCAAAGTTACTTTTAGTGATCATTCGTGTTACCCTCCCATCATTCTAGACCGGGCTTTTCAAATTGTAGTTCGCATGGGATCCATTTTCACCGCGGCGTTACAGAATAATGGCAGACCGCCCCATACATAGTGATAAAAGTTACTAGTCGCATTATTGTCGGTGGCTGCTGGGGTTGCAGTGGCCACAGAATTGTGGATCGGACTGTTGTTCGTGAGATCAGCTCAACGGCACTCAAGTGGCAATCCCTATTCATTGACCGGAAGAGCTATCATTTTGAATAAAACCACACGGTAGATCAAAATATTTGTAATTAGGGGTGTCATTTGCCTAAAGGATTTAGAAACTTCCACGCGGGGCTTGCCAACATCACAGCGCCTCGTAGGACAAAAAATCTCTCTACGCTGAGAAGTTTTCAGCTATGTATGACTACCTTAGTTTCAGGAATAGAGTGAGCCAAGGGGCCCTTTGAAACATTTTCGGTCATCAGCTATTTGGTGGACTTTTCACAAAAGGCAACACCCGTCGCTCACTGATCACTAATGCGGCTGAAAAGGAGCCCTGCAGCAGACGACAAAAGATTGCCTGGGGTGTGAGTACTCAGCTAATCCTTTAGCTAGGCAGAGAGGTCATAGCTAAGTGCATCTCAAGTAGCTTTGAGCCAGAGAGAAATGGCAACACACCATATATAATCCCAGGTCAATCACGGTCATATTCATGGGAGTTTCGCTGCCTTTGATGTTGAGCTCATCACCAGCTCAGCAACTGTCTCGGGTCATTGATATACACGAAAGGTTGATCCTCTGGTATTCCTATCTGTTTCCGCCACATATTCTCGTCACATTCTTTTCTCTCTGGCCGCATGCTAGCACTGTATTTGTTGCCTCATCTTCCATGCTGCATCAGTAGATTGGTGACGACTTAGAAGTAAAGCACAATGTGTGACCTAATCCTTGTCCATTCTAATTATTACGTTTCCCCTTACTCTCTGGATGAGCTGCAAGGTACATAAAGTCAAACGAAACCTTTACATCTCTTCCATATATCATGTCCCTTCTCGGTCGGTATAATGTCCCCCAAATAATCCCTCGCCTTGATAATCCAGGCAAAAAGCACAATAATCACCGACTTAACGGCACCCAATACTTTCTCCTCCCCTCCTCCGTATCCGCGTCCCTAAACCTCTCAATCCCATCCACCACCCCGTCCTCGCCCACCTTCCCATCCCCATCCTCCACTCTCTCCGCCCAAATCAACAACACCTTAAGCAACTGCACCTCCTGCAAATCTGTAAACCCATTATACCCAGACTATTACAGATCCGTATCACTACCATTAGGCCCAGTACCTCGTACCACTCCTCCAACCCAACCACGCCTCTAACCACGCATCCACATTCATCTGCTGCTCATCGCTCACACATGCCCTCCCTTTCTCCCCGACTTTAAACGGTAGGAGCAGCTGACAACTATTGGAAAAGACGCGGTTCGTGCGGCAGTCAATAGCTGATATGTATAGACCTGTGGGTGCTTGGAGTTTCAGGTCTAGGTGATGATAGCCGGGGAAGATCTCTTCCTATTCCATTTTCGCCGTCTGTGCTGAATATGGGCGCTGGTCTATGGTTCGGATAGTCATGGTATCCAAATGAGGAGGGGAGGTATGGTTGTTGGAGGAATTCTGCGGGGCTAAGGAGTCGATTCCCGGGGCGATGTAGCGGAAGGGGATGTGTATTGTTGAGATTGCTTTGAGAAAGTTATGGATGAATGTGCCTAGGGGTATTTGGGCTAAGCCTAGTGTACTTGGGTTTACCGAGGGAGACAAGTGGGCTGGTTGTCTGGACTCGATGGCCGTTATGAGTCGTTGCAAGGCAGATACGGCCTTTTCCACGTCAACTGTGGTATAGGGCCGCAGAACCCATGGTTGACATTGTGTCTGGCAGTACTGATCAAGTTGGTTGTACTTATGGATGGTTGTGACCTTGCCCTCGTCGATCATGTTGAGATATGCGGAGAGGATGACTTCTAGGGGCTTGAAGCCCCATCCGTGGTCGCACTTCGGGGTTTGGTCGTCTGTGTGAGCTATAAATGCTGCGAGGGATAGTTCTTGGTCGAATCTATTTTCAGTTAGAGGTTGCTTGATTTATGACGAGGGTATGGGTTATGCACTATGCCTACCCCGTCTCGGTTATTGAAACTATTGTGTCGATAGAGCCAGACAAATCGTCGAGGGTATCGGTACTTGGCCCATGTCTCGAAGAAGAAGCAGGGTTAAAATAGGTCCCTAAGCTAGTAAACGAAATTAGGTTCACCGAATTTGTTTTGCGGTAGGATGTGGGCGAGTTTCAAGAAGAGAGGTCAGCGTTTAGGTCTTTGACTAGTTCTTCTGATGGAATTTGATACTCCCACCATGATGTAGTTGGGGTTTTCTCTGGACCTTGTCTATCGTCTGTTAGTGCGATGCGACAGGTTTCATTGTGCTGAGCAGAACAGCGCTCATAGTCTAGGCGATCAAGGTATCAAGGTGGGTTCGCCGCCGTGACACGGTTCTCTCTAGACATTTTAACAAGACCTAGCAACGGACGTGGTTGAAACTATGATAAGGGGGTGTCAGGGCATGTAAATACATTTCAGTAAAAGGACGCCTTGGCGATATTATATTATATAAGCCGTTGATATAACCTTGTGACAAAAAGAAAAAGTTGGTTTAACACATTCAAGCTTTATTAGCTTGTTCTTCCAACCGGGACAATTTCTGCAGAAATTGTGTAATCTGGTCAATAGGATGGATCGAATACTCTCGCATGATACATTCGAACATTGCCCAGGCAATACTTTTGCGGACTCTATCGTGAGCACGTCTTCCACGCTCTCTCCAGTAGCGTTCAGGTGGAACAAGTTGCGAGCCAGGACTGGGGTGATCAATATTGTCCCTTGCACCACAAAGCCCATTAGGGTAAGTCGACAATTGAGGTTTTCAGACCGTTTGACTGGTAGACCCCAAACAAAGCCTTGGTGCCAATCTCCCCGCTGGCCCCGACACTTCACCTAGGCCGAAAACTCTGAGAACGAGCAGGAAGAATCCTAGATAATACTCAGCTGCACTACCATAGTATCCCGTGCAACCTGGAGATATATGAGCAATCACCCGCTAATCGCAACGGCAAGCACTATCTCAGGCACGATGAATCTGATACTCTCCACTTGAATGGAGACCCGGCTTCTTTACTTTAAAAAACAAAATTAGTTTCGAGCGCGTCCAGTCTACTATAGAATACCGTATAGTCAGGCCTTCCAGAGAAATAGCCCCATTCACCGGCTGACCCCTGCAACTGGCCTTTGTAGACCGTCTCATACGGGAGGTTTAGCTCTTCTGCTCCTGGCATGGAGTTCATTGCTTCCGATAACCTGGGGCTGCTTGCTTTGTCGATGCAGCAAAAAACTACCCTGGTATATTCGAACCCAATATTCCTGAGGCCCATATCCAAATAGTACAAGATATGGGACACAAAGTCAAGATGATTAACACGTCAACCACGGTCCGAGATTTTGCCTCATTATCAGGAATCCTCGTCGCCACCCTGTCAAGCTTAACCAGGAGTTCGTTATTATATCCATAAGCGACAGCCTCTCCGAGGTGCTCGACCTCCCACAGATCGTACACATTTATGGCCATATGTCTAGCCTCGTTCCCCCAACTACATTCTCAAGATATGCACCGACCATATCCAGGCATCGTTTGGATTTCACCCTGTAGCCTGAGCTGCTGAAAGTATATTCCATAATGATGCTGATTAGCAGGATGTTCCTGTCGATTCTGTATTAATCTCAGAACTTTGGTGTCCATAGTCCGACGGTACAGGCAATGATTCGTAGACATCTTTGGTTCAATTACTGGGTTATCTGAGCCTAGTCACTACAAATAAACGCAGTACCACGTGGTTCCGAGATAGACTCAAGTTGCAAGGACAGGGGAAAAAAAACTGTAGTAATATCAAATTGGCTCTGTGTCAGTTCACAAGGCATGTAACCCCTCAAATGTCGAATCGTGAGACTGTGGGCAACTCTTAGATTTAGTTTTCCGCTCCGCGAAACTAACGCATGCCTCAAATAGATTAGCCGGGGTTAATTCTATAGATTCCGAATGAACTCACTGGATGTTGGCGTCCGGATATTCCCTGGCCCATGCAAGTCTCTGAGCCACGTTTGGCATTTAGATCCTGCGGATTATAGTGATAAGTGCAATGTTGGCGCTAGATAATCAAGATGATTTTGCGGGACAGAATTTTGTAGTTGGTCGTCGGTGACAGCCATGTATGCTTGACCATATTCTCAGTGATACCCCTCTCCACGTTATCCGTCAACAGCTGCATCCGCTTGTTGGGCAGGTTTACTTGCGCGCGTTAGGTTATTCGTTAAATGAAATACGAAAAGAAGTTGGGAACTGGGTAGTTTATCCAAATCTTGTCCAGCCACTCGGACAATAGTAGGTGTGTAGTGATACCAGGGTATTGATAACAAGCAGTTAAAGATCTAGTTGAACTGGTGAGTTGAAGCATTCTGAGCCCTCTCTCTCTATTGCTTGACGTTGATAATTTGCTCATTGTAGCTTTGGGAATTGCAATAAAATAAACCGTGTTGACAGCCTGTCTAGAAATATCCAATTGCCTATTAGAATATAGTACCCCCAATAGACAGGAAAGAAATTCTAACTGGCTCTCCGTAGCTAGGTGATCGGCGCTTTGGGAGCCCTAGTGGGTCTTATAATATGATTCTGATCAAAACTAGCGGTTCCTTTTAGCTCATGATCATTGAGTATAACGTAAACCTAGGGTTTAGCATGGGAGTTTGCCGTCAATGGGATTGACTCGTGCTGATCGTTACCCAGTGTTGGGCCTTGTGGTCTTCCGTAGGTACTGATCGCCTGTCGGTCATTTAAGGCGACCGATCTTTAGACCCTATTCATTCGTCACCAATACTTCTATCTGGATCAAGCCTTGACACATTCTCTTGCTGTAAACAGAGTATCTGGACTTCCTAAGTCTTAGGCTCTAGGATTCCCGAATAGTCGTGAGAGAGTTTTGGGAAAGCAGTCGAATGCTGCTATATTTTCTGGACTTGTCGGGGTTTGGTCTGGTGGAGAAACCGTCAAGTCTACATAATTGGAGATATTAGCCATCTCCCTCAGTTCTTGTATAAGGCATACTCAGTACGTACCTGCGATGAGCCCGCAGAACGCAGGTTAAAAGCAGGGCGCCAAAGGCGCCCAAAACAACCAGACAAACTGTGCCGATGATTGTGTACATAGCCCACTATTTGGGCCCGAGGCCCGCAGGTAACGCATAGGACATGCACGACATCCCTAAGAAGGGGTGAATTGAGGTGCTCGGTAGGGTGACGGTCATTGTGACTAGCTTCTTGTGCTTTTTTAGAGCTCTTTCTTGGTAAAGATCAATTCGTAGTGGTAATACGTTTGAGATTATTGTCTTATCGTCCCTGGGAAGGGATTAACTGGGATGCTTGATCGGGTGACGTCCATTGTGACTAGCGTCTCGTAACTTTGAAAAGTTCTTTGTTGGTAAAGAGTAATGTGCAGTGGTAAGGCTTTTGATATTATTGTTCTGTGTATAAGGTCATTCTGTTTCTCTTATACTATTGTGGCCATCTACATCTCTTCCAGTCAGAGATCTGACATGAATTCTCGGATCCATTAGTGGATCTCCTACTCTATCAGTCCACGTGAATATAGTCTTCCGATCGCCCACTTATTTATTCCCTATATTTGAGAATAATAAGATGCGACACTCTTCCAAACTTCACACGTCAATATATACACCTTTGGAGCTCCAATTCAAGAGCCACAAGCACACCGAAAGATGAATAGCAGTCCGGCCGTAAATACGTTTGCTCTAAGATTCATCCCAGGGCCAAGGGGAGGTGGTGGAACTATATTTCCGGTAGCCACTACACCCGTACAATACTAATAGATAACGTAGTATCCTAAGACCTTTAAGTTGAATAGACACTCGTATGTTCGGTGGTTCATCATGTTCCGTGATATAGCGCCTGTAGCGCGAATAGCGCATGAGTACGAAATCGTCCAGCACAATTCCCTTGCCTGTACTTAATGCGGGGTCGTTATCATGGGAAGGAGCTCTACGAATGACGCCGGTGGTGCCATCGTTCATCCCTTAAAGATGATGACGCTGTGAATGGCACTGGTTGGAGTAAAGCTCGTGTTTTAATTGGGGATGTGATAAAGAGGGTGTTCCCTTGGACACGGGGGGGGTTGGGGTCACTTTTAATATGACTCCAATAGCGTTGCAGCCGAGGTTGGAGGAGACAAATGTAATCCCGAACACCTGCGGCCCTCACGCACACTACGGAGTACAACAAGTCCCTCATCATTTATCGCTACGTCACTTTTGGGGGGGGGGGGGGGGGAGGAGGGGGTTATTACGGTCTCTTGGCACTCATGAGGTCGTCTGATGTTGCACTTATTAAGAGATTGATGTGCGCTCGCTCTCCCTGTGACTAAGGAAGCCCTAATTCTGTGAAGATTTGATAGCACGTGTATTAGTTTCTCAGCTGGATCGTCCCCCACAACCACCATTTTGATAAGGAATTATTAATTAGTCAAAGGTTGATCAGTTTAGAACTCGACGAAGAGTTAGGTAATATCGTCCTCGTAAATATTATGTCAAGTTGAGTACAAAGATGACTCGCTGACTCTGACAGCAAAGTCTTCAAGTGCGTTGAAGAGAGAAGCAATATCCAACCTTGTCCAGATAAATGCAATGTCCTCCGCAGAAGAACGTGGAAACGACTCCAAAAAGGCCGGCGAAGGGGGCCATCTTGTAAATTAAAGAGTAAGATCAGCATGCAGTAGGTAAGTAAATACTACGCTCCCACGAGCAACACATGCCTAGTTAAGAACCGTGCACCGCACGTTGTCTCAAATGCTCCGAACCTAATCTAACCCAGGAGATCCACGACTAAGGAGCAATCGAATGGGACGCAAGCGAATAAAATGCCTCATGCATCTCATGCTGTCGCCGTCGAGGCACCTGCCTATTTAGCTTAGCAGCCTTAGCGTAGCTTAGCTGAACTACGGCTTGATTTTAAATCCTACGGTGAAGCTATAGGGAGATGGAGCTGATGGAGCCAGGAGCCGAATGAACAAATAATCACTCATAGAGATCCCAAGCTGCTGCGCCACGAAAAGGGTCCGGATTGGCTCGAGCTTAAGCTTCGAAGGGTCCCTTTTTGTGATTGAAGTGCAGTTTTTGCATTTTGAAGCGAGGAAAGAAAAAACGGGGAGGAGAAAGAAGGTTAAGGTGCCAAGCTGCTCAGCCACCTCCATTGACTGTGGTGATTTTTCTTCATTTTTCTTTTCTTTTTGTCTACCGTTTGTGGCAAGCGAGATGTGAGTGGTTTGCATCTGATCATCTGACGTTGCTTTTTCGCGTAAAGCCCTTTCTTTACGTACAGAAGGATTGGTTCTGTTGTATTCTCCAAGTCTTAGGAAATTTGTAGCTCTCTACGGATAATGCCCAATTTGATAGAATTGTATTACAGGGCTCTTACATTTTTATAGAAGAACATGTTTTAGAGTTTTCGAAGAGTAGAAGAAGAGAAAACAAATTTCTTCTTTTTTCTTAAAAAAAAAACAAAAAGGGGAAAGGGAAAAAAAAAAAAAAAAAAAAAAAGAAAAAAAAGAAAAAAAAAAAAAAAAAAAAAGAGCTTGAGGAAGAGAAGCTCCAAAGCATGAGCCACCAGTTGCCCCGAGCGTCCCTTCTCAATTTCTTGACGTGCCGATTCGAATATCTCAAACAGCCCACGACTCATAATTTAGTATTTAGTAAAACGCCGTCCCGTCGAGGGAACTATTGAATAATAATAATACCCATACTAATCCAGAAAGACGCGGTTCCAGTCCAGGCAGCAAGATTGCCCATTCTTCCGACCAGAGACACACAATCCCAAGGGGGTAAGCCGGCCGGCGTCGAACGAAGGCGGAATGTATGAGGGAATTTGCTGCACCATTCCCTTTGCCGCTCCAGCTAGCACGGATGAGGAATGTATGTGCCTTGTAATCTCTCTCTTGCCTCAGTCTCGTAGTGTCTCGTAGTAACGGTTAGAAAAAGTGAGAGAGGGAAAATCCCGCATACTAACGGACAATGTCTGGCCGATTCCATCCATGCAGCGATCTCAACTCTACTTAGTGCAAGCCCGGGTGTGTACCTTAACGACCGCGATGTCACGGTTGTGGCTGTGGTGTATGGTTTTTGGCAACAGCTTTTGCGGCTTTCCTCCTTTTAACTTTTTTTTTTATTTTATTTTTTTTTCTGCCCTTCCCTTCCCTTGCCTTTTTGGACCTTGTCCCTCTTTTCCTTTTCCCAGACCGTCTTTCTCATGTATAAATTCCACCCTCACCCATCCACCATGCTCGTAGATCCGCTCAGACTTCAAAAGGGATGCTCATCGACGGCGAAAAGTGGGCCTGCGAAGCTTGCGTCCGCGGCCACCGTGTGACGACCTGCAAACATCATGGTGTGTCCCTCGCTCTCACCCCCCTAACCAACTAACCTAGCTTGCTTCTAACCATATCTACATCCAGATCGACCACTAATCCGCATCAACCGAAAAGGCCGTCCCTTTTCCACCTGCTCCGTATGCAACAACACCCCTTGTCCAACACCAGAAGAGCACTCCAAGCTCAAACGCGAGGCCGAGGCCAAATCCTCTTCAAAAGTACAATATGACCGAGGCACCACCATTTTACCTCCACATCTCAAATACCACATAAGCCACCACCATACCACCACGTATAAAATTATGCTATACTCTGTTAGGCTGATGTTGGGTTACTTTTTGAGTGCGCGTTTCAGAGAGGTGCCGCCAGAGTGTCGTCCCGTTCTCCTACCGTTTTAGTCCCCATCGCGCCCAGACCGTCGCAGTCGCCCCCGGCCGGGTCCCAGAGTCAGGGTAGGGCTGAGCCATCTACCCCGGGCATGCTGCCGCAGCAGCGGCAGCAGCCGCGGGAGTTTGTTTTGGGGTCGTCGGGGTGCGAGCAGCAGGCGGCGTTTGGGGGGTTGCCGTTTACGTGTGCGTCGTTTGGGGGCCCCGCGTTGTGTTCGATGGTTGATATCCCCGGGTCGATGGCGATGGTGAGTCCGTTGGAGGCAGATCCGACGGGGCGATTGTTGTTTGGGGATGGGGGTTTTGTGGATGGGGGGTTTACGTTGGAGGATTTGGATGTGGGGGCGTTGGAGAGGGAGGTTATGCAAGAGGATTGGTCGTGGTTGTCAGAGGAGGCTCTCTAACATTTGTGGTGCGGGGGACTCGCGCGGAGGAAAGGAAAAGCAAAGGGTTTATGATGATGTTTTAACGATGATGAGTGATGATCTTGGTGTTTTTCTAGCTTTGGGTTAAGGAGGGGGG